CCCGGTTTGGGTGCCTAGCATGGGCCTCAGCCAATAATGTGTGAGCCAGCATGAAGCCTTTGTAGGCATCTTTGTACGTGCACAAGGTCCAAACACCCATAAAAGGTTTTGTACCTCTTATCCACAAGGATGCACAAAGCCCACAGTATAAAGACCCGGACAGGGGGGAGGTTGAGCCCTCGTAGATCTGGGAAATGACCACGTGATACTGCAGTGAACGGAAGCATGGGGCCCGAAAGACTTCGGGGCTGGGCAGCGTCATCTCTGCAAGTGGATCTTGAGGGGCGAGATCGTCGTGGCGCTTGAGGCTTGTTCCAAATGCAGCAGGGCTAGACCGGCCGTCAGCGACGCATCAGCCCTCAGCATCAAAAGAACAAGTTGTGTCTTGCATGCCCTCAGCGCAATTGCTCTTCTCCCTGAACTTCAGCCGTTGTTGTTATCGAATTTTTGCGTCCTGTGTCGAGCCCGTGTGGCGCGCCTAACACGAGCGGTCGCCGTCTAAGTCAGCGATCGCCTCTAGACCACAACAGAGCCGCAAGTCTACTCGTCAACACCACCGGAGGCGACACTCCGCCTCCGGCACTTCCACCTCGATCAATCAGATCGACCCAGTGTCCGCCGGCTCGTTCCGTGCGTGTTCAGAGCTCGAGTTACAATTCCAAATCTCCAGCTGGGGCTGTGCTCATTGCGCCGATGAACGCGTTCGCGCAACGCATTATTGAGCCCGTTGGACCGCGTTAAGGATCGCACTGTAAGTGTAAGAGTTTCTTCCGAGGCTTCTCTCTGGTCGCAACCCGCTCGTCCTTTCTGATAATCTATTGCCTTATTTGATCCCCCACCTGCGACGCGAACAGCACCACATCTCGTCTCGATTGCACCTCAGCCACTACCACACCGTGCCACTTCCAATCTTTCTCCTCTTTCCAGACTTGACCGTTTGCATCATCCCACGCTAGGGGCTCCATTCGCAGTGGTTCTGATTACGTCTTTGCAGCCTCAGTTTTTATAGTCGCCAGGTCCTGCCTGCCACCCACCAAAGTGCGGTAGTAACTGTTCTGTGTATGTTTCGGATGTGCGCAAGGGCTGAACGTTAACTGACAGCCTCTAGTACTTGTCAATTCACATTCAAAGCATTCTACACGAGCAACATCAGCCCTGTTATCAGATCGCCAAACCATCATTTAGTCTTTGCAACGTATACAGTATGGCGACCGCCATCAAGACCGACCCCGGCATGGACTACCACAGCGGCAGTAGTGAGTACTCTTTTCCACTTAATTTATGCTTTGCTTTTTTCTACGTTTGAGATCGATTTGTTTCGGATTCGCTCCGTGCCTCATGCTGTCTCCGGCAACCCATGCGGCCTCCTGTCCTTCATCACCTGCCTAAGCACCTGTTCCCCCGTCTTCTCTTTCCTACTCCGAGATACGCCGTAGAGACAAGTCAAGTCTCGCCAAGATTGTCTGTACAGACGTCAGCACAAGATTTGTCCGTGTGCCCCATGGCTACCGGACCACCGGCATCAGCATCTATGCACTCCATTGATGTACCGTGCTCATGGCATGGCTACATATATGCTCTCGTTCCTCTGTCGTTCCACTCGCAAGCCCTAATACACACTTTTATTGTAATTTCTATTCTCGATTGACGGCCTCTCGCTATCTATGTCAGCCACTCAGTACATAACCTGGTCAGACTCGCTAATCATGATGCCCCGTTACTCTCCTAGCGGCACTGCCATCGAGCATTCTTCGCCTATCTCCCGCCGCCCTTCATTATGCTCGTCGGATGGGATTAGGAGGGACAGCTCGATCGGCTTTGTGTCTGCTACGGAGAGCAGAGGGCAGTGGCCATTAATAGGCAGCGACACAAAAAGCCCACTTGCACAATTTGGTTTCTTCAAGAACTTGACTGAGATGAAGACGACACGAGGTTTGCACTATGCTCCGAACAGATTGATCGTGGGCTAACGGTGTGCAGATGGACAAATTCCTAAGAGGAGAGGTCCCAAGCCTGACAGCAAACCGGCTTTGACCCGCCGACAAGAGCTTAACAGACAGGCTCAAAGGTACGTTTGCTACAGGGTTGTCGATGAACGTGCGCTCATCGAGTCTTCAGAACACATCGTGAGAGGAAAGAGATGTACATCAAAGCTCTCGAGCAAGAAGTTCTACGCCTGAAAGAGACATTTGGCACAACAAGTCGAGAGCGAGACCAATTTGCCGAGGAGAATCGTCGATTGAAGGAGCTCCTCATGGCTCATGGTATCGCCTTTGACAGCATTGCAAGTCCTTCCAATGGCCTAGTTTTGAATGTTGGAAGCTCGACATACAGCTCCAGTGGAAGTGTGTCTGGTTACGGGCCGGGGTCTGCATCGACCGGATACACCTCACCACCGAGCGTTCACCACCGAAACGGATCGATGTCGCACGACATGATGATGCCGCAATCGATGCACGCGCAACCTATGCAACCCAATCAGCTAGTCAGCGGACTGGACTACGACCAGATTGGTGTTGACTTCGTCTTAACGTACGACCGAACGCCCTACCTTTCTCCTCCACCCCAGCAATAATGTATCACGCCCGCTACGTCGCCTTCTTCCTTCGTTTATCATCCTCCGTACGTCTATTTCTTTACTTTAATCCGCTCCTTATCTGACTGTCCCGCCTTCCAGTCTCGAGCGCCCTTGCATGGACCACATGCAATTCCTCATGGTACGTGCCCATGATGCGGAAGAAACAATCAGCGGACACGCACTCATGGCCACGGCGCCACCCGACTCGCACATTGCGAACCAACCGGAGGAGAAGTACCCTCACCAGATGCCGGATGTCGCGATGCCGGACTTGATGAAGCTGCTCGACCTCAGCGCCAGGCTGCCCCTAGACGGCGAGATCACGCCCATTATGGCGTGGGTCATGATCTTGAAGGAACAAAATTTCAAGACGCTCACGAAGGAGGAGATTGGCGCTATCAAAGGAGAACTGCTCGCCAAAGTGCGCTGCTATGGGTACGCGTGTCTGAGCTTTGCACAACGAGCATCTACTGACAAGTCACAGCTTTGGCGCAGTCCTCGAGGAGTTCGAAGTGCGCGATGCGCTGATGAACACCTTGGCCGGAAAGGGAATCCAGATGATTGGCGCGTAGCAATAATTCAAACGTACGCGTAGCATTTCAAATAGCGATTAGAAACACCTTCTGGTGTACTTCCTAGTATTGTGCGCTCTGATTCTGCCATACGATTCGATCATAACTTTACTGTTCCTCTTGTGCATGGATGGCTGTGGAGCTGGACCCTGCGCGGCAGCGGGGACGCCACGACTGTCGCAATGGCCTCATTCTAAACACTGACCTGGCACTTCTCGTCTTGAAACCCCTTGATCTGCTTTCAACATAAGCAGATAGTGCTGCTCTCTTCTTGACTGCACTGCATCTATCTCACGCTCCATTGGTCGTCCTGCAGTCGTCACCAGCGACCCCACCATCTCCCGAAGCTATGGCCGAACTCGCTGTCTTCGACAAAGACCCCAATATCTACCTCTTTACCTCTCTAACAGCCGGCTCCTCCCACATCATCACAGCGACGTCGCGTATCGAAACAATCCTTAAAGCGAATAAGATTCCGTTCATTGGACTCGACACAGCAACGCACGAGTTGGGCAGGAAGCTGTTCCAACGGCGCGCATCCGGCAAGAAGCTTCCTCTGCTGGTCAAGGAAGGATATGTACTCGGCGTACGTAGTGCGAGACTCGAGCATGACATCTACTGACAACATCACACAGGGCATTGAGGAGATCGAGGAATGGAACGAGTACGATGAGCTTCACGAAGCGTTAGGCGTCGACACAGCCTTCACAGCCTACCCGCCCAAGCCCACATCCCTATTCGAACCAGCGCCGAGCAAGACACCGCCACCGCTAGCTGGTGCGCTGCCGGGGGGCTTCTCATTTGGGCAAGCGGGGGATTCACCATTTGCATCGCTGGGTGCAGTTGGAGGCAGCAGAGCAAAAGAGAACGCACCCGTTGCAAGCGCAGAGCAGAATCTTGCAATAAGGCAGATGGGCGCTGAAGCAGCGAAGATCGCAGCAAGCAAGAAGCCAGTACCCGTCAAGATCTCGACAACGAACCCGCTCCTGACGGAGAAGACGAACGCCAAGGGCCCCGCCGATGTGCTGAGCCCGAAGTCGACGCCGCTACCCAAGTCGCCAAGCACAGCTTCGAACGAGAAGAAGGAGAGTGGGGCTAAGAAGACCGAGCTGCCCGATCTTCTCTCCCCACGCTCGATACCGCTCCCCCAGACGCCTGGCGTAGCACCAAAGCTCGAACAACAGAAGCCCGTCCATGCACCGCCTTCCATGCATGAAGATGCAGAGAATCCAGCGCTGTCGGCCGGTCCCATAAAGGAAACACAGGCACAAGAGGAGAGCTCGGAGGAAGAAAAGGACAGCGATGAGGAAGAGAGCAGCGAAGAATCCGCCACAGAGAAGAAGGCGGGGAAGACACAAGAGCAAGACCCCAAGGATGCGTCAAAGGCTGGCGCGAGTGTTAAGGAGGGTGAGCAGGAAGAGGAAAGCCGCGAGGAGGAGAGTGAAGATGAGGCGAAGGCTGGTGCTGCTGTCAAGAAGGAAGAGACCGAGCCTGCAGAGACCAAACCTGCGAGTCCTACGCCGCAGCCGAAGCAGAGCAGTAGTGAAGAGAATAGCGAGGAAGAAGACGACGAAAGCGAGGAGGACGTCAAGAAGGTTGAGGTCAAGAAGACACAGACCCAGGACGCCAAAGATGCATCCAAGGCCGGTGAGAGCGTACTTGACTAGACCTGCAGACAGCGCGATGTAAGTGAGCGGAACGGCGTCGAAGCATTCTGATTTCAAGCGAGCATGAACTGGCGATAAACACGATGAATTTCAGTACACCTAAATCGTACTCGTGTGCAAACCGATTGATCACCACTGCTGACCGTATGTAGTCTCGACCACTAAGGAGACACCTCATTGGCCGTGTCACCCTAGATGCACAGGAATCCAGCTACAAAAGCCTCCCCTGCTCTCGGTCTTACTCACCACTTCACGACTTTGCTATCGGAACCTAAAAAGGTGTATGTCTTCGCGTGTATGTGCTTTCTCTGCTGCATTCAAAACCGATCCTCTACGACACCCATAGTCTCTGCTGTCTGGTATCGCTGCAAACAATCAAAGTCCAAGACAAGCCATAACATGATCTGCTCTGATCAGTATGGCCACAAAGTCAGAGTCATGTCTTGCTCGTAGGAACGTGATCTCTATGATGCGAGAAACCGTCGCTACAAAAATCGATATGAAGAATGCATGACTGTCTGGTGTTTCGCTCTTCGAGTTCTTCAAGACGTAGAGTACCTGCTCGGAACTGTTCTCCGAATCCATGATCTACCATGCGCATGTCTGCGCTGTCTCCCAGATTCGAAATCAGCAAGGTACCGCGACATTTCGGAGCAGGGTTGTGTTGCAACAACAGTAACGACCTACCGCAAGAAGAGTAAATGAGCATGCTGATCTCTCGTGGCTTGCTGCGGTTGCTCGCCGGGTCGCTACTTAAGCTGCGCCGGCCTGCAAGCATCTCCTTCTCACTACATACTCAGTTGTCTCTTTTGCTCCAAAGTGGTTGTCGAGGCTGGCGAAGTTGGAGGTCTGCGCTTCCGGACATTCGAATTTTGTCTTCCCCGCTGGCGGCAGAATCGGCATCTATTGCATCCGCATGTCAAAATTCCGCTTCCATGTTGGTCGTTTACGTCGAAGAATAACGGTGCTCGGTGCTGTACCTCTCTGGTCGTGTTCTCAAAGTTCTTCGCTCGTGCTATGACGGTCTGCTGTCCTGCTTACAACGGTCCTTGAATGTACTTGCGGCTCTGAATGATTTATCACGCGACCGACGTCCAGCAATTCCTCATCTAGCTTACTACTTCTTACTCAATATCAAACAGCACGGCAAAAACTATCATGTCCTGTCCTATCTCGGCCTGTTCAGTAAGTTTGGGCCTTGGTCCTTATACCCTTTTTTGAAGACTACGACTCACGATAATGAACGGCGTTGCCTACGAAAGCTTCCTGCAGATCGAATGTGCAGTTGTGTTCTGCTCTATCTTCCATCACTGGGTACTAACTGCTGTTTCCGCGCGTGAATTCGGTCCCAGTCATCACCTCTACTCGCAGTGTCCATTAGAGACTGGGACGAGCAAGCACTTATGGGGATGATACAAAAAGCCATCTGTCCGTCTCAACATCTACTTTCCATCCACTGTTTCTCTGCTCAGCGGGCACTGGAAATGAGCAACAACAAATCCACTCTCGAGGAACTCCATGTTCTTTGTTCGGTGCTCGCAAGCAACGAGGGCACTGCGTTCCCTTATGATGTTTCGAAATTACTGCACCTCTGGGCCATATGTCCAAGATTTGACCAAACTCGACGACATGTCGTCTAATTTGCAGCTAGTCAAAGAAGACAATGCTTCCCCACTTTTACATCTACACTCCATACCGAAAATGACCCAGACGAAGCACTCATGGGTGCCTTCTCCGGCACCGCGATGTCATGGTAGCCTGAGTAATGAAAAACCTTACAGGCGAGCCCCTATCTCGCTCAAAAGCACTTTGTGCACGGTTCGGTAATCTCTGCTGGATAGATACACCGTCCGCATCATCTTTCTATGTGTTGATGAAAGGAGTTGCCCCTTTCACAGGCAGATATTCTAGCTCGCAGTGGTTGCTAGCTTTGATTACGAGCAGTCCCAGAAATTTCCAAGTATTGTCTTCTCGACATCCATGGTCTGAAGGACTCGGTTCTGATCACGTGTTAAAATGATTGAGAAAGTAGCCTCGATTCTTCGCAAATCATCGAAATCCACCCCCATTTCACGCATTTCCGCCAGATAAAAAACTGTACTAGATGTATTTACGTTGTGGTGAGTATGTGCGTACCGAGGACTGTTTACAGGTCAAGGCTTGAAGCTCATCTACAACTATCTCGTAATCTTCCTTTGCAAAGAATAGTACGCCTACATATTTGCTCCATATTCAAGCTTAGTTGAACGATATATCTATTGCGCACTGGCTGTACCCGGATGCTGGTAACAGAACAAGGTAGGGAAACTCTGACCGCACTACTCTCGTCACTCCTCCACACAACAGACTTCCTTCTACATGTCCCAAGAGCAAAGACGTGTTCAATCATGTGAGCGGTGGCTCCTTGTCCTCAAACCAAAGAGCTTTGGGACCCATGTCGTGTGGCGTATCTGTGTTCGTCAAAACCACCGTACCTTGGGCGATGACGCCTCATAGCCCAATTTGTACGACAAACGATATCTTCGGCTTGAAACAGAAATGGCTAAGGAAATATGTTTGTCGGAAGCTGTATGGTGGATGCAAGTCAACATTCGAAACCTTCGTGCCTAGAGTTACAGACTAACGTTGAGGCAAATTATCCAGACACCAACTGCTACATCTTGTACCCGAGATTGGGATCCGGGCGATGAATTCCAACCTCATTTCCACTGGTGTCCCCCATCTCATACATGCTCGGCGGCGACCATACCTCCAAACGAGAATTTTCGCCATTGAACCTACCCAATTCGTATGGCTTTGGTGGCGCGTATATCTCTCGGCGACAGCCACTCACACCCTCCACTTCGGCTTCAACCTGAAAGGGCAACTCGATTGGTCCTTGTTTGCCGTGACCTTGCAATCCGCCGAGTGTGTTTGTGTGTTTCTCTTGCTTTTTCTGTGTGCGCTTGCGCCGCCAGAACCACCAACCAGATGCAGGGATGGTGAGCAAGAGAACACTAATAACGATTCTGGCAATCGCTCCAGGCGATACTGAACAAGTAAATTATTGGTCTCGTTGTTGATGGGCTGTACAGCGATGATCTCCGGCTCCGGCATTGGATCGCTGAAAACAGCCTGGCTGAGTTGAAACGAATCGCGTTCCCAGTCTACGACGAGGTATGCTTCCTGCAAGAAGGCCCTTTCCAGTGCATATTTTGTCTTGTTTGTAGTATTTCTCAGCGAAAAGTATCTCGTAGTCGCGTTGAAGATAGGCCAAGATGCCTCAAGATCGAAAGCCTTGTAAGGTATGTTGACCGTGATCGCTGGGTCTAAGTGTATGTGCTCCCTATCTTGAAGTTTAAGGACCCGTTGAGTGATTGGAGCGCATTGTGTGCGGCGTCGGTAAGTGTATAGCGTCCTGTATCGTCGTGATAGGTGAGGTTGAGTACTGATGCAATCTGGTCGCAAACATTGTGTGGCAGCCACAGTTCAGGAACTGTAGTACCAGGAATAGCAAGGACACCAGGATTGAGTACTGTGGCAGAACCGGCTCGCAATGTTGCAGTGATGCTCTGCACACCAACGATGACATCGGTCGCGTGGGGAATGGTGACTGTGTCTTTTGACGTACGAGACTTATCATATCCTCCGAGCACAAGGCTGCCGGCAGATTTTGTTGTAACCTGGTTACTATTCAGCTTGTTGAATAGAAAGGCTATCTGAAATGGATTTACTCACGATATGCCGCACCAGCCTGGTAGCCAAACGACAAACTTGGTATGTGTCCCTTATGTTTCAGCGCATGTAGAAACGAGACACATCGACCGGTGTTATTGATGGTCATATCAGACTGTGAGAGACCAAGTCGTCTAAGCCAAAATCGTGTAAGCCCAAGATCGCTGGGTGTCGAATAGGCGCCCACGGCCTTATTCTCAAAAGTGAGGTTGTCGTTCGCATTGCCAACGAACGAGATGCCGGCCCTGTCGTATCCATACAGGCAGCTTTCATCAAGTTCGAACTGTGTACCTGGTTCAAGATCGTAGTGACCTATCTCTTGCCATGTGGATGACACATTGGGTTGAAAGCCGTAGCTTGCGCTGGGTGAGATGCTAGAGTTTGATGTGAGGACCTCTGCACCACAGGCGACGCTACAATTGTCGACAGTTATGCTCTCACAATCACTGTCCCGTGGTATATATATAGTCTAGCTGTTCATAGAAGGCAGGACTTGGAAGTGCTGTGGTGGTGTACCTGCATGCACGTGGAAACTATAAAGTCTCAGCGACGTAAATGACCTCTTGCAGTTGGAAAAGGTTTACGTAGACCGCCGCCCGTCATTTCCGAGCCACCTCCCTGAGTTCTGAACTATTAAAGGGCTTATCGAACTTGTTGTGTTACTCATACTGTCCTACTGTCGTGAAGAAGTTGGTTGGAGCTGCTGGGGTCTCGGTGACATCGTCTGTACGTGCACGAAGATGAGGTTCTGTGTCCTCCTTTTGCGCAGACCTGAAGCCTGTGGCCATGCAGGTTCCAGAGGATGAAACGATAATGAATTAGGTAGATCCATGGACTCAGCCAGCAGGAAACTGCCCTCTCCAAGACTCTGAAGGCACTGGCGCAGTTACAGCACGTCTTACTTGCGGCATGCAGGCGCGCTACATGGCATATCATTCAGCTGTCTTGGCTATCTCTGGTCCCTTCCGACGTGAAGAGCCAAGCTTTAGGCAAGATTTGGCGAATTTGGACGTCAGCCGTGTCTCCACCCTGCGTCTTCAAGCACCATTTTGGAGATGCCGAAGAATCCGTGAAAACCAGGCTCCCAGGGTACACTCTACCAATCGCGATATACCTTGTGGTTGCTTAGAGGCCAATTATGTCTTCCGAACGGTCGTTGGGGCTTTTAATATGTCCAAGATACTCCATGTTTTCTTGCTCCCCGTTGCAGCGGTAAACGACGGAGGATTCTGGCATCCCGATGTTGGTGGCTTTGAATCCTGCCATATCGATCTCGTGCGAGTTGCGATCCATCCACAAATCCTTCTGTCAACATCGATCTCAAACTGCCCCGGACGTTTGTCTACTGCATATGGAAGCGCGAGCAGAATATACAACCATGCAATAGCCGCTCCTTGTAGCAGAGTTCTATAGAAAACAGTCTGATCCTGGCTCAGATATGTGAATCATCTTGCTAAGATCTTCATGGTTGGGATTCTATCAACGCTGAGGTGCTGAGGTGCTGAGATGCGCAAGCTGAAGATTGCTAATGGCGATGCGGGACGCATACCTTGCTGAAGGCTACTTCGTAAAGTGGATGGCTTCCCACGAACAGATGCATCTCGCGAATCGGAATTCTGATTCGCGAGAGCAGAGGCCCAGTTGGCAGTGCTGATGAAGGACGGTGACGTCAAAGCGATTGGCCAGCAAGCGAAACCGCAAGAACCACGTTTCTCATCGACCTCCTTCCTACGATCTTTCAGCCTCACATCGTCTTACCGAAATGATGAGTAACCTTCAAGATGTTGGCTGTTGTGCTTTGGTTACCATTTATGTGCTTCCTGCAGTCCACTAATCCAAAGACTTCGCGCTTCTGACGTCGGCCTACCTCATCAATACCCCCGGCTTCCCACTTTCAAAAGCAAGGAATCAAGGCTCTAAGCGGTTCTTCGCCTGCCATTCTCCAGACCAACGCTCGTCTAGTAACATGGAATCAAAGTCGACAGTCAAGCATGCTATGTCCGAGTCTTGTTTCCTATTTGCGATGCGTTTAAAATCGAATACGTTCAGTACCTATGATGAGTACATCCCGAGACCTTACTCAAATTGGAATGCCATATAAACTCTGCGATTCATCGAGATGGCGCTGTCCTCAACAACTCCCTCTTCTGAAAACATCAGAGTGTATACTTCCCGAATGTATGTGGAGCACCGCTGCTCCTTCAAAGCCCCGAGAAAATATTCTTATGTCTTCCGTTGGTCTGATCTGGCCCTGTAAGGAGGAGGTCCATGTGTCAGCAGGTTCTGCTCTGCCGTATCATCAAGGAAGTAAGTCCGGATCGAGAGTATGCACTGCGCTATGAGCGACAGCAACGAGTGACAAAGACAAAGCCACCGCGCGTCGCGAAACACACCAAGCCCACACAAAGATCGATGAAAGACGAGGCAAAGCCGTGTGGGAAACGAACATCTTGATTCTATAAACGGGTATCCCAGAAATGAAACAAAAAAGCGCCGTTCCGCTAAGCGCCGCCATGACATCGCAGCACGGCGCCAGCGAAGACAAAACCCTGACATACAGCGCTTACGAAGCAAAAGCAGCGCCGACATCATTGAGCGCGCTACCAGCCTCGTTCAGCAGGAACTTCAGACCACCCTCGTTGGTGGTGGGCGCAGCCATGTGCCACGCGTACTTCTCGATCCAGCTCTGCTGATCCATCCAGGGCAGGACCTCCTTGAGGAAGGCGGGCGCATCACCCTCGGTGACGCCGAACTCGGTGACCCAGACGGGCTTGTTGAAGGTCTCGTGGAACTTTGTGAGGTAGGATTTGAAGTCGGCGGCCTTGTCCCAGGCGTAGTAGTGCGCGACGACGAAGTCGATCTGGCAGCCAGAGCACTGGCTCATGAACGACTTGAGCCAGTTGATGCCCTTGGCATCGCCGTCGCCGTTGGTTACCGCAGGGGAGCCAATTTTCAGCGACCCCGCGAGCGGCTGGATGTATTGCTTGTGCGCAGTCACGGCGTCCGAGACGGACATGCAGGAGCCGCCACCACTGGATGGGTTAGCGAAATACTTTCAGTTGAATGGGTGCAAGGAGACGTACCCGCACTGGTCGGGCTCGTTGAAGGAGAGAACGCTCTTGACGCTGTAGCTCTTCTTGGCGTTGGCTACGTTTGTGGTCCAGCCAGATGTGCACCAGTCCTGGTTGGAGTGGAGGAGGGGCACGTATTCGAGGCCCGAGACGGGGGTGCCGTCGATGACGGCCTCCCAGTCGTACATCCAGGTGATCTGGTCGTAGCTCTTGAACAACTGAGTGTATGTCGAGCCGGCGACACCATTGTTCTGCTTGGGGAAGGCAAGACCACGCTTGCCAGCGGAGGCACGCTTGGTAGGGGCCGCTTCAGTGAGAGCGGCGAGGGCAGCAAGGCCCATGAAGAGAGAGGACTTGATTGACATTTTGGATTGTTTTGTTTGGAAGGAGTGACTGGTGCTGAAAAGAGTGAAGCACCGGTAATTTGAAGAAATGAATGAAGTGACAAAAGAGTGTCTTGTTGTAATACGAGCCGAACTCCAGAGTACCTACATTGCTTCTATATAGTTACCATGAATCGGAGATGAAAGCACGGCCCGCAGGTCCAGCTCCTGCACCTTGTCCGCGCGGAGTGTTGGCGTCGGTTGGCGTAAGCCATCGGCGGCTTGTCTCGTGTTTCAAAGACAAACGTGCAAGTCCGGCTATGCATACCGCTCAACTGCAGCCCTTTGAACAAATGTCAAGTCTTGGTGCAGTCATGTCTGCAGTAGCATGAGGGATTTTGCTAGTCCTCGACCTCGGATTCGCTGATTTTCCGTCTTGTGCAGGCAGGAACCACGCCTATTTTCCAGGAACCAGCCGGCTTTCAGGAACGGCCGTCGCAGCGCACCTCAATTATCGTACTGGGCTCTCCACGCACGTCAATCCGGTCATGCGCGCTGTCAGCGCAAGACACGGCACTTCCAGCTGTGCAACAGCGCATTGCACGCCGTGCCTTCCTATGCAGCGCACGTGGAATTCGAGTTGTGAAGTGTGTCGCGTGCGGGGGCATCCAGGCAGCCCAGGCGCGCGGGACTTGTCAGTGGAGACCCACCGGCAGCTAACCACAGGTACCCGGGCCAGAACTTTGCTAGCTCTCGATTTCGCAGCCAGGAACCGAATGGCTGTTGGCTGCCTTTACAAGCGTCGTCACGTCCTGTAATTTGCACATGCAGGCCAAGGAAGACAAGACTCAACACGCCGACGTGTCTTCGATCTTCTCTGCTGAGGCGTCTTCTGCAGGTTTTGCTGCCTACGATTTTGCCGGCATGCCTAGATCGGTGAGAGGAGGGCATTGTCCGTGGAGACGATCGAGAAAGCGCAATGTCTTGCCGCGTCTCTGCTGTGACTTCTGTCAGTGCGACTGTGGCAGCGTGGCTTCCGGCGAAGCCGGGGGGACGTGGAGAGGGGCACACTCGGTCGATTGCCACGTTGCGACCATTGCTCAGGGCGAGCAAGAAGACACACGTCACCCCGAGTTCCCCATGCTGGAGATCCTTCTCGTATTGAAGCCTAAGAATATATTCTATACGACGTCAGGGGTATACAACGATAAACTCGTCTCTATATGAACGCGAGCGATGTTCCATGTAACGACAGATGGCTGAGAAGAGTCATGTTCAATGTGCGCCCAACGCTTGCAGCGCGATCCGCAGTTCTTTGACTGCAGTCGCTGCGTCGTCAAAGTTCAGCGCCGAGATGGCCCACTTGGCATGTTTCTGCGCTTCCCTAATCGACTCTTCGTCGTCTCTGAAAGGTCCCTGCGATGACGACGCTGCTGGGGGCGGTGTTGCCGCGGGCTGAGCATAGGGGTTTTGGCCTGGTGCGGAGGAGTACTGCTTAGAAGGGGCAGTTGCCTGGGGCATGTGGTATGGCTGCTGAGGGGGTTGAGACGATGGCGCAGCGAAGTGTTGCTGCGGTTGCTGTGATGGAGATGCGAATGGATTCAGGGGAGGAGCCAGCGGTGGCTGCGCAGCCGGTGGAGGCGACGAGGGGGTCTGGTAGAAGCTGGACGGGTCCGGTGCACCAGGGACGTGTGGTGTGGCGCCCGCTGCGCCACTTGGGCTTCCCAGGGACGCTGTCAAGGGGTCGTGCTCGGTCGAGGGTGCTGTGGGCAGGCTAGGGGCAGTGTTGTCTGAGGTGAAGGTCGGCGGTGCATCCGTCCTTGGGAAGTAGCCACCGCCCACGGACACGACCGATCCCTGGCGAGATGTTGCTGGCTGCGAGATGGGAGACACATCGTCGTGTGCGTTTGACGTGTAGCCGGTAGGCACTACGGGTAGGCTGGGTGGAGGCGACACCTTGGGCGCCGAGAAAGCTGGTGAGGGTTGTGCGTCAGTGTTGGGAGCCGTCTCGACGTATGGCTGCTGGTATGGATTTGCAGCAGGCGGCTGTGAGGAGGCCTGGTTGATGCTCTGGACCTCAGGGTCGGCCGGGTCGAGCAGAGGCGGCGGCGGCGACTGTTCCTCCTGCGCTTGCACGGGATTGCCAGCGTTGGGGTCCTCGCCCGCCTTGACAGCCTTGAGTATGCGCAGAGCGTGGTACTTAGCGAACTTGGTCTTCGCAGCGATCTCTGCGTCGTCCGGCCTCCAGATGCTGAGGAGGTCGAGGAACGTCGAGGCTGCCATGAGCGTGTCTGCCGTGGTCGCCGTGACCTTGTTCTCTGCCATATCCCTCTCGCCCTTGGCAAAGGTCTGGAGGGCGAACTGCTCGCAGTAGGCGCACGCAGCGTCGTCGTCCAGCAGGGCCGTCTCGCCAGGCATGTCTGCCTTGGCCTGCTCCAGCTTCTCCATCAGGTCGGTCGTGTAGGCGGTGCATTCTGCGTCGGCCGAGTGCAAGCCCGCGGCGATGATCTTGTTGACCGTGTGGAAGCGCACTGCCCCGCGTCAGTATGCGAGTTGTAGGAATGCTGCTCGCACCAGCGCGTGAGGGTACTCACACCAGTACGTGATGATGGGCTTGAAGCGCTCGAGCTGCGCGGCCCGCTTTGCAAACGGCGCGAGCTGCAGCGGCTTGAGCCGTGCAGGTACTGCGTCCGCCATGGCTGTCTGCAGCTGGAACCTTCGGCGCGTGTCGTATGTGCAGTTGTTGCGCGTGTCGCAGCCGCGCAGCTCCAGGCCGATGGCAGCGCATCAGATGTGGTCATAGGCGACAGGGGTCCGCCCCGCGCTGGAGCTATGGGCAGCTGTTTGAGCTTCACGTCCCAGCCAGCCTTGAGGACAACTTGCATCTAACCAGCATTATTCGCGCGTAATGTGAGCGCCGCAACACACGCACTCGCTGCTGACGCGCTCTCCCTTCACCAACACACAGCCATCCACCCACGCAACCATGGTCCGCCTCTCCACCTACCTCGCTGCCACGGCCGCGCTGGCCCTCAATGCCCACGCCGAGACCATGTACAGCAAGAAGTCAGGCGTCCTCAACCTTGCAGGCACCGACTACGACAGAGTTATTGCCAAGTCCAACTACACCTCGGTGCGTTGAACAGTGCTGCGGGGAGAGACTGCCGCTGACAACTGACCAGATCGTCGAGTTCTACGCGCCGTGGTGCGGCCACTGCAAGAACCTCAAGCCCGCCTACGAAAAGGCCGCCCAGTCCCTCGCCGGCATCGCCAAGGTCGCCGCCGTCAACTGCGATGAGGAGATGAACAAGCCCTTCTGCGGCCAGATGGGCGTCCAGGGCTTCCCTACCCTCAAGATCGTGCGACCCGGCAAGAAGCCAGGAAAGCCTACCGTCGAGGACTACCAGGGTCCGCGTTCCGCCAAGGGCATCGTGGACGCTGTCAAGGACAAGGTGCCGAACATTGTCAAGAGGGTCACCGACAAGAACCTGGACGAGTGGCTGCTGGAGAACAAGGACAGCCCGAAGGCTATTCTGTTCAGCGACAAGGGCGTCGTCAGCGCTACTATGAGGGCTCTTGCGATTGACTTTGCTGGCGTCATCTCCGTGGCTCAGATCAAGAAGTCGGAGAAGACTGCTATTGACAAGTACGGCGTCACCGACTTCCCTTCTCTCATCCTTGTTCCAGCTGGCTCAGAGGAACCCATCAAGCACGCCGGCAAAGTCGAGAAGGAGGCCATGGTCGAGTTCCTCTCCCAGGTCGCACCCCCAAATCCGGACTGCCCTGGCCCCAAGGCGAAGAAGCCCAAGGCCAAGAAGGACAGCCAGAAGGAGTCCAAGTCTTCCAGCAAGTTTGCCAAGGCGTCTGCTTCTCACAAGACTGCCGATGCATCCTCGGCTGCTGCTTCTGCTACAGATGAGACTGTCGAAGAGCCTATCGCCGCAACCGAGTCTCCCGATCCCAACGTCAAGACCGGGGACACTCCTGAGCCGGTTGAGCTCCCTGTCGGTGACGTGAAGCCCTCTGTCCCTTCCATCGCAGATGCGGCCGAGCTCCAGTCTTTGTGTTTGAACGAACAGGCTAAGACTTGCATTCTGGCTATCTTACCTCCGGACGATGCCACCGATGCTGCCATGTCCGCCATGTCCGTCATCACTACATTGACGGCTATTCACAAGAAGCACGGCACGAAGCTCTTCCCCTTCATCACCGTCCCACCTTCGAACCCTCTTGCGGACAAGCTCCGTTCAGAGTTGAGCCTTGGAACCGATGACACGCTCCACCTCGTCGCCACCCACGGTAAGCGCGCATGGTACAAGAAGTACCCCAGCACCAAATTCGGTGCTCAAGAGGTCGAGTCGTGGGTCGATGCCATCCGCATGGGCGAGGGCAAGAAAGAGAAGCTTCCAGAGTCTCTGATTGCACCTGGCACACAGGAGCCTATCAAGGAGAAGGTCGCTGAGCAGGAACCCATCCAGATCAACGTTGAGGAGATCATTGAAGATTCTCCTGAGCACAATGAGCTGTAGAGATACCAATGTGCATATGATAGCATAGTTTACGTGGTTTTTAGCGATGCGAATGCACAAGTAGTACGAGATGCACAAGTAGTACGAATACTCCGTCAGATAGTCTAGCCTCTGCGTTCTCAGTAAATCGATTTTTCCCGTGATGGGAAGTTCTCGTGACATTAAGCAAGGGAGCGAGAAGAGCAACAATCCTACCACATTACAGTTGTACAAGTCTCCGACGACACTCACATATGCACCGCCAAGCTTTCCGCGCACGTGCGTACATCACCAACCTCCGCGACCATCAGCACCTACAACAACCAAGCAGAAACGACATCACGATGTTCATACAGTAACGAGAAAATATAAAAGCTTTGTGAAACATATTACACAAAGATGGCGCCCGCCACGCCCTTCAACGCCGCAGAAATCACCGAAAAGGCGCGACGCGACCTGCTGCTGCTGCTCGAGGGTGTAAGACAGCCAATCACGGCCCTTCGTCCATGACCTAACGTCCATCACATAGATCCGAGGAAAGAAGAATCTAGTTCTTGAGAAAGCACTTGCCGGCCCACTGAACTTGCTAGTCAAGTTTTCAACGCTCCAGGAGTATGGCGTCGATAAGCCGTTCTTTCTTGAGAACGACAATGTCGATGCCAGTCAAAGGAATGTCGTGTTTCTTGTAAGAGGAGAGAAGGCGAAGACGGTGATGAGGGTTGCTGGTACGTATATCGTGCCTCGTAGCACACTGGGAACTGCTATATTAGGCGGCTTCATCTTCCATCTGCACATATATTTCTTCTTCAAGACTAGCGTTCAGGACTGACATCACGCAGATCAAATCAAACGCATACGGAGAGAAAGCGAGATTGAGCACGAGTTCTCTATCTTCTGGGTACCGAGGCGCACTATCGTCTCCGACCAGCTGCTTGAAGAAGCTGGTGTGCTTGGTGAGGCCAGTGTCAGCGAGTGGCCTCTCTTCTTCGTGCCTTTAGCCGACGATGTCCTATCCCTCGAGCTTGATGATGCTTCCTCAGACTTGTACCTAGTACGTCTTTGCGTCTCTTTTTTGATTGATATCTATTGACCCTTCCCAGCGTAAAGATCCCACGTCCATCTACCTTGCCGCGAAAGCACTCATGCTCCAGCAGCGCAAGTATGGCCTTTTCCCGCGGATCATTGGCAAAGGAGATAATGGCAAGCGACTCGCCGACCTCCTCATCCGGATGCGTACCGAAGTGGCAGCAGGAGAAACCCCAAGCAGTACGGGCCCGTCCTTTCTCGGGCTTGCCCCAAGCACAACTATCGACAGTTTGATCATCATCGATCGAGAAGTCGACTTCCCAACCGTGCTACTCACCCAGCTGACATACGAGGGGCTCATTGATGAAGTCTTCAACATCTCGGCTAATCAGACCGAAGTTGACTCCTCGGTCGTCGGGGGCGCAGCACCACAACCAGGCCAGACAGGCTCAGCATCCACCAGCATGAAGCGTAAGATCTTGATCGACCCCAAAGACAGTCTCTACAGCGAACTCGGCGACGCCAACTTCGCCATCGTCGGCTCCCTCCTCAACAAAGTCGCCCGCCGTCTCCAGTCCAGCACAGAGCGCAACAGCCTCGCCGCGAAAACCACATCCGAACTGCGCGACTTCGTCGCCCGCCTCCCCGGTTACCAAGCCGAGCAAGCCAGCCTCAAACTGCACACCTCCCTTGCCGAGGAAATCATAAAATACACGCGCACAGACACCTTCACGCGCACCCTCGAAGTCCAGCAGAACCTCACCTCCGGCGCCGATCCCTCGACGCAGCACGACCTCATAACCGAACTCATCGACCGCGGCACGCCTCTCCCCGCGATCCTGCGCCTGCTGTGCCTCGAAAGCACAACCAACGCCGGCATCCGCGCCAAGGACCTCGACGCATTCAAGCGCGCCATCATCCTCGCCCACGGCCCGCAGCACCTGCTCACGCTCCAATCGCTGGAGAAAATGGGCCTGCTGACGGCACGCGGCGGCGCCGCACTGGCCGGCGGCACAGGCAGCGCCGTTGCGCCCGGCAGCGTGACAAACTACACGCCGCTGCGCAAAGTGCTGCGGCTGTGGGACGACGAGGTCAACGAAGCCCAGCCCGCCGACGTCTCGTACGCGTTCAGCGGGTACGCGCCGCTGAGCGTGCGCCTCGTGCAGAGCATCATCATGAGAGCGAGTCTCGCGCAGGCCATCAAGCCCGTCGCGCCCGGCGCGCCGCCGAGCTCGAATCCCCTCGCGCAGGGCTCGCGGCTGTGGGACGATGCGGCAAAGTACGTGCGCGGCGCGACGTTCAGCGAGGTGCAGAACGGCGGTGTCAGCGCCAAGGCGCTGCGTGCGAGGCAGATGCTGAGTGGGCATGGGGACGCGGGGAAGACGGTCGTTGTGTTTTTCCTGGGCGGCGTGACGAGGGCTGAGATTGCGGCGTTGAGGTGGGTGGGAGGAAAGTTGACCGAGGCGGGCGGCGAGGGGAGGGGGACGAGGGTGGTGGTAGCGGCGACGAATGTGCTGACGGGTGAGAAGTTGGTGGATGGGGCGACGGAGAAGGGCGTCTTCAAAGCGTAGGGTATGTAGTGTTGAACGTGACTGGGGGTGAATGTTGAGACGCTTCGAAACCGAGTCAGATCTGTCCAGTCAATCACGATAGATAGCATTTGAGGCCGCAAGTGCACGTCGTTCTGCAAGCAATGTCAGGGCTTGAAGAACTAGCTAGAGACAGCTCGATCCTGCGTATCACGGTTATCAGTCGACATGTTAGCAGGCCTGACTTACAGGTAGAATGAAGCGGCAGTACTAATGTAGTCTTTAAAGTCTCATCAGCGTGCAAGAGCTCCCCGAACTGACACTGACTACCTCCCGTGTTTTCATGAACGTGGTCTTCATTCCGGCTTTTCTGCTATCCGAGAAGACAACACCTCGAAGCAGTACACGATGGTGGTGATCAGACACATTGCATGAACGGCACGGCAAGAGTACATGGCATCACGATGGAGTGGCAATTGTAACATCGAACGTTCATTCAACTTTCCTTTCCTTCGCTCTGGGTTGTACCTTTTCGCGAGCTCATTGTGCGAGACATCCATTATTCGTCAGGGCATCGTCGTGAGAAGTACATGAAAGACTTTTGCGTCCCATAAATGCCCGTAGGAAGGAGAAAAGGAGGTAGGAACCAAACACACAAAGTCTATCGTGAAATGCTGCAAAACACTGAAACTCCGTTCGCAGCGCCGGCGCACGAGGCAGCGAGCAGTCTGGGTATATGCCCCTTGCACCTGCGGCCAGTCTTGCCCGACATCCCTGTCATCCAAGCGTCCACGTTTATCGGGTGGAGAAAGCCTTGGTGACGACGCGCTTCAGCGCAAGCTCCTTCTTCTTGAGGTCTTCGGCGGAAGAGTCCTCGACCTCGAGCTGGGCCATGGCGTCGGAGAGAGCAGCCTCGATCTTCTCCTTCTGGCCGCGCTTGAGGCGGATAGCGGTAGTAGGGTCCGAGACCATCTCTTCGACGCGGGAGATGTAGGACTCGAGCTGTTGCCTGCCCTCGAACTTCTTGGAGAAAGCCTCGTCGGAGCTCTTGAACTTGGCGGCGTCGTTGATCATGTTCTCGATGTCGGTCGACGAGAGCTTACCGACGGCGTTGGAGATGGTGATGTTGGCGCTGCGACCGGAGGTCTTCTCAGTGGCGGTGACCTTCAGAATACCGTTGACGTCGACCTCGAAGACGACCTCGAGGACGGCATCACCAGCCTTCATGGGAGGGATGGGAGCGAGAGTGAACTCTCCGAGGGAGGTGTTATCCTCACAGTTGACACGCTCACCCTGGAAGACGGGGAACTGAACGGTCTGCTGGCTAGGAGGAAGTCAGTATATTTTCAAAAATGCAATTTCGTGGATACACACTTATCAGCAACTGTCGTAAATGTGCGCTTCTTGATAGTGGGCACAGTTTGTCCACGGGGAACGACGGGAGCGAAGATGTTGCCCTCCATGGCGACACCAAGGGAGAGGGGAACGACGTCGAGAAGGAGGAGGTCAGCAGTCTCGGCGGAGGTAGCCTTTCCGGAAAGGATACCGGCCTGGACGGCAGCACCGTAGGCAACAGCCTCGTCGGGGTTGATGCTCTTCTCGAGCTTCTTGCCACCGAAGAAGTCGCTGAGGAGCTTCTGGATCTTGGGGATACGGGTGGAACCACCGACAAGGACGATCTCGTCAACCTTGCTCTTGTCAATAGCGGCATCCTTGAGAACCTGGGCAACGGGCTCGAGAGTGCCGGCGAAAGCCTTCTGGTTCAGGTCCTCGAAACGAGCACGAGTGATGTTGGCATTGAAGTCCTCACCGTCGAACAGTGAGTCGATCTCAACAGTGGTCTGTGTGGCGTTGGAGAGAGTACGCTTGGCACGCTCGCAAGCAGTTCGGAGACGACGAAGGGCACGGGCATCGCCGGAGATGTCCTAGGTAAGTTAGAGGCTGAGCTGGAACCCTGGACGTAGTCACTATACCTTCTTGGTCTTGCGGAGGATCTCCTTTCTGAAGTGGTCGAGGAGGGCAGTGTCAAAGTCACTTCCGCCCAAGTGCGTGTCACCAGCGGTGGCCTTGACGGTGAAGACACCACCCTGGATGTGAAGGAGGGAAACATCGAAAGTTCCACCACCAAGATCGTAGATGAGGACGTTCCTCTCCTTCTCGGACTTGCCGGAACCGAGACCGTAGGCGATAGCGGCGGCGGTAGGCTCGTTGATGATTCGGAGGACGTTAAGACCAGCGATGGCACCGGCGTCCTTGGTGGCCTGACGCTGGTTGTCGTTGAAGTAGGCGGGGACGGTGATGACGGCCTTCTCGACCTTCATGCCGAGCTTGGTCTCAGCGATCTCCTTCATCTATTGAGAGAGTCAGTGTGCGCGTCCAAGCTATTACTTCGCACAAAGTACGTACCTTGACGAGGACCATGGCAGAGATCTCCTGGGGAGAGAACTGCTTGGTCTCACCGAGGTACTCGACCTGGACCATGGGGGAGTCGCCCTGAGCGACGATCTTGAAGGGCCATGACTGGACGTCCTTCTTGACAGTCTCGTCGTCGAAGCGGCGACCAATGAGACGCCTGAAATGGTCAGCAAATTGCTCGTGTGCATTGCTTGACAAGCATAGAACTTACTTGACGTCGAAGACGGTGTTTTCGGGGTTCATAGCAGCCTGGTTCTTGGCCGCCTCACCGATGAGACGCTCCTCGCTTGTGAACGAGACGAACGAGGGAGTGGTAAAGCTACCCTGCTCGTTGGCGACTGTAGGCAAAATCGTTAGACAGTGATGCTGGAGGTCTCAGACGGGTGGGCGCATACTGATCTCGACATTGGTGCCCTCGTAGTTGGCAACGCAAGAGTAGGTTGTGCCTTTCGCAAAAGTTAGCAAGCCATTGTGGGGTAATTTTTGACATTCGAGTGTGCGCACCAAGATCGATGCCAATGGCACCCTCGTAAACTTCGTCGCTCATATTGAATATATTTTACAGGAACGACCTGAAAAACTTTTGGGAGAGAGGAGTAGTGGAGGGAGGTAGGAGGCGGTGGGAGCTTTTCACACACGCTTATAGACTGAAAAATTGTGGGCGGCTCGCCCGCATAGCGCCAAACTGCCCGAACAGCGATTCTTGCCAAGACATCAACCGCAAAAATTATTCGCCGAATCAAGCCTATCGATAGCTGACTATTGACAACCGAGGCGAGTTGCGGCTCCTTGCTCATGAGTGATACGGGCGGGGTCCAGGCTGATCTGACAGGCTGAAAGCGGTAGTGGAACGCTGGTGTGGCATGTCTTTATCTCCTGTGGTTGATTCACTCAGCACGCGTTTGCCTTGTGATGTGTAAGACCCTGGAACACGTCTGTTCAAGATTCGTAAAGATGAATTGTTCATTGATGGGTATAGTCTTGGGTGTTCGAGCTCCTGTTGCCAAATAACCCCATGGTCGTTTGATTCGAGGCAATGATCCTCAGACCTTGAATGAGGAACGCCGTTCACCAAACCAATGTACCGTACGCCTTGCATATGATTTGCTTTTCCCCGTCATGGAGACCTTCAGACCTGATTCAGACCTGATTGTCGTGAAAGACAAAGTTGAGATCCCTCGGCCTCTGCCTGTTGTACCTGACAAAGTTATCGTCTCCTGGAGGCCGCTCCTTCTTCGTGTTGCTCGTGAGCATGCTCTGCAGACTGACGCAGACGCTCTCCACGTTGTGCACAGGGCTCCAGCCGGATCGGTCGAGAAGGTCGAGGCAGATGATGCCGTTGGTGTAGATGTGCGGGTGCCACGGTATTGGGTGCGCGTCGTCCTTGACGAAGACTACTTCGGGCGGCTGGTATACGGTCAGCTATCATTGCCTGCAAGACAGCGCAAGCTCTGGTAATTGCGACGCAGGCGTGTTAAAAGAGGAAGAGGCGCACCTCGATTGGGTAGTTCTGGCTGAACATGAACTTGAGCCTGTACGTCTCATTTGCGTAGAGGGGATTTGGATCGATAACCTGAATGTCGACGAACCAAGTCTCGAAATTGTCCGCTGAGACTAGAGTTATTCCAAGCGGAAGCTGACCCTGCATCTACATCACGCAGTCAGCATATGGTATGACGTTGCCGTGTGTGTTGGAGATCTGGATAGTCGTAAGGCGGCTGTTCAGGTCGTTATACCTTTGTAAGCTCCTACGCACAAGTTAGCAACGCCCAGTGATGTGAATAGTCTTGAGTCCGCGAGCCTCGGCTCGTGGCGCTTTACCTTGCTTAGCCGCCTAGATGCGAACATGATAGACTAGTGTAAAGATGTGGTCCGGAAATGATAGTTTGGAGTGGATGTTGACAACTGCTGTACGCTGTTGTGGCTGTTGGGCTTATGTTTGTGGAGTAAACGGCAGCTACCGCCTGCTGAGGTGGGGGAGGGGCGGGCGCGTGCACCTGACAGACGTGGAAGGGAAGCAGATTTGATATTTCAGAGTGACAATGTCAAACTTGAGGCAAGTGAGAGTGCCCAGGATTAGGTGTAATAGACTGTGGTGCTTGAATGATTCCGGATGTCGTGCGCAAGGTACGGAGCTTGAGCTCCAAGTCTCGATCCGCATGATGGAACCTCTTTCCTGACCACTCACAGCAATGCCGGCTTGGCGACCACTTCAGGGCAAACGAGTGAAATAGTTATTTGAGCTGGAGAAGCTGTACATCATATCTTGTGCCGTGATATCTCTAATCAAACCAAAAGCCATGCGCCTTGCGTTGCTTTTCCCAGCTATCAATATACAACTCAAGATGGCCAGTGCCCAGTATGAGACCAACGCGCTTACTTACGCACGACATTGCAATATACAAAGAAAGAAAGAAACGCCAGAGCGAATATCGAGGAGAGAATCAAGAGTAAAAAGCACCCTTCTGGAAGCTCTCCACTCCCATATCACCAGCTTTACCCTCAATTTTGGGGCCCTCGACTGGCTTGCCGGTCATGGTAGCGGTCCGGCTTGTGGCGCTACTGCTGGTCATAGTCTGCGTCCTGCTACCTGCTGAGCTACCGGCCTGGCTTCCGCTTGTGATCTGCGCAGGCTGCTTGCGCTGGATGGTCTCGAGGTAGATACCGGGGAGGTATCCCATCCTTCCGTCTCGTGAGCGGCACTTCCACCACTCTGATGTGTTGCCCATCGGATCACTCTTGCTCAAAACTGCGACCATGTCGCCCTTCTTGACCGCCAAGTCCATTCCTGACATGTTTGCGTCAGGTGTGAAGTCGTACAGCGCGCGGCAGAACTCGAGCTTGTTGGGGTCGATTGCCGCGGCCTGTGGGTTCTCCAGCATTCGTCGCTTTTCAGCCTCCTCTTGCGATCGTGCCAGCGCCTTGATGAGCTTACCCATCAGATATGGCAGACCGAATACGGCGGCAATGAAGAAGAAGAACGGTTTCTTCGAGGGTTTTGGTGGCGCAGGTGAGCCATCAGGTAGCTTTCCTGTGAACGCGTGAAATCCTGCGGGTGTCAGGCCCATTGCATCTGCTGGCATGGGTCGTCCTGTGAGTTTCGCAAAGGCTGTCCGTATCCACCGCATCACCGTGTAGATTCCCAGCACCGAGCCGAGCGTTTGTCGTAGGTTGCCGAACTGTTCAGCAACTGACACCATGGCTATCATGTGTTAGCTGTGCTCAGCTGCTTGTCCAAGATCACACATACCAAAGAAGGACGAATGTGTCGCCATATATGTACTCTGAAGCATCTGTGCGAATCCTCCGAATGCGCCAACAATGTTCTCGATCAGCTGAAAGGTCGCTTGTGTGCTCTGGCTGAACGACTGTGTGAGGCTCTGCGGGTTGTTCGGGTCGCCAGGCATGCCCATGCCGCCGTACATGCCACCCATCCCCATGCCGCCCATCCCACCATACATTCCGCCGTATCCCCCGCCGTAACCACCGCCGTACATCGAGCCCATCGAGCCCATCGAGCCCATGCCGCCCATTCCGTACGGTGAGGAATAGCTGCTGTAGCCGCCGCCGTATGGCGAGGCACCGTAGCCTCGGTTCATGTTCGAATATGTCGATGCGTTCCTGTTTGCGACTGTGCTGAGCGAATCTGGCACTGACGGGAGGGGCGGCGGTGCGCCCGCTGACGATGCTGCTGGTGTTGTCGTGCTAGACCCTGTGAGGCCTGTGATTCTGTTAGAGGCGATCGGCACAGATTGCATCTCCGGCCACTCACCAACCGAGGCACTCGTTGCGCCTCCGCTTGTCTCCCAGGGCTTTGGCGGCGATGGCGCAGACATTTTTGGAAATGTGTCCCCTCACCACTCCGTCGAGCGCCGGCCGATTGTTATGGTGGAGCGCGCTGCTGATATCGCTGAGGCCGGGTGGCCTACCGACGTCAAAGGCTGGGAAACGCGGATCCGGCCTGTCGAAGCGGGTTTGCGGGGTTCGCCGGGGTGCGCAGTGGATGACGAAGTAGGTTGACGAGAACGGTGGACAGAATCGCGCGCTGCAGAATTAAAGAAAAGGGTATCAAGAATGAAAAAGGAGGCGTCAGGGTCGTGTGGAAGTGTGTGATGATGTGGTCGTGATTGCTCGGGATGCGGCAGGTCTTTCACAGACCTCGGTTTCTGGCACTCTCTTGGGAAAGCACATGCCGCGCGAGTCATCGCCACCCAACGCTTGCGCTGCATGAACTCCGCCATTCGGAGTACTTCGACAGATCGGGCGTTCCGTGCGAGATGGTAGCGAATCGAAAGCGGCTTGCCAGTGCGCTTCAATACTGTCGCTTCAACACATAGTTGGTGCACCGAGGCAACGTTCACGTCTTTGCTAGCACCCTGCCAAAAGTCGCTGAGATCAAACCGACAACTTCTCGCAAGTAACACCAGGAATAGTGCATGTGCTTTTGTTTCCACCGTCGCATAGTCTTCGAGGGTGCACTGATTCATTCCTACGGTGATCATCAGATGATACGTCCGACCTTTCGTACGAACTGGCCTTTGTCATCAAATCAGTGTCGGAAGAGTTGGCAAGGATTGAACAGATGTGTACCGTTCAGGTAATCAAGCAACAAAATCAACATGTGTTTGCCAATCGTCTTGCAAAAACGACTGAGGTGAGGACTGCGTGAATTACCATATGCTCTATATGTCGGTATAGATATTTCTTGGTGGCAGCTTCAAGTCTCAGGACCACCCTCAGTCGCCGATAGGAAATAACGAGTGTACCCAGCTATCCGGATCATACGCCACAAGAGCATCAATCTGATCCTCCGTCAAAGCTTCCGTAAACTCAAAATCATCATCCAGCACCCTCGCAGTGATATGCGGGAAATGCCAAATCACGGCGAACTTTAGCGTCCTCCCCACCGGTCTCTTGAAGTAGTTCGAATCACCTCCTTCAAGGTTCCCCTGTCGATGCATAGTGCTCTTCGCTCTCTCCTCTCCATTGCCAAGGATCTCGAAAGCGTCAAACTCTCCACAGCCAGTCGACCAACAGGAGCAGGGTATGTTGTTGCGGTCATTGCCATACTGGAGGACGCGAGGTATGGCGGCATTGAGGAACCACCAGGCCGGAGCGTCGGATATGAGGCCATAGTCGCTGCCGCGATTTTGGTAGTGATCCATCTGGAACTCTATGAAGAACGCTTTCGAGGATCCTGACCAGGCGTAGTGGGAGGTGGCATTGGGCCGCCAGTACGGGCAGTTGATGTCGCATTCTCTGTCGGAGAAGACTGCAATCTCGTACTCCGAGGTGTCGAGAGTGCCGTCGAAGGGCTCGCTCCCCGGTGAGACTTTGTTGCCAGCAGGAGTGACGAAGCTCAGCGAGTTACCGAAGGCACTATGTCTGGTTAGCATGTTGCCGAACGTTCGCCAAGAGAGCGTACTAGTCAAAGGTCCCAGATTGTCGTGGATCACCTAGATTGGCAAGGAAAGAAAAACCCGTGGCCTCAGCAGGGGCTGCTGACGTATAGTACGCAACACGGTCCCACGCTGCAGCTCTTTTGTGGACCTCTGCATCGCCGGTTCTTGAACTTGGAAACTGGGTAGGACTGGACTTCAAAGCGAAGTTCGGGTGGCGTTCAAGGTTCTGGGTGACAATAGGTGGCCTTTGATATGCATAGTTGGAGCTTGACAGATTGACGATCGATGTATTTTGAGTATCGGTGATTGTAGGTGTCATATCCGGGGTGGGTAAACAAGGTAGAGGAGGACCGACATAGGTGGTATTCGGCAGTGTTGTAGAGGCGCTGCTTAGAGTACTTGCACAACTTGTCACGGTGACGGTCGAAGTTGTAGTAGTTACAGAGCTGCAGTTGATAGTAGTGGTCCACGTTCGCTTGTTAAGTGGCTGTGTCTCGTTCATATTGTCATAGTGGCGGTCTCGCTGCTTTAGCACCCGCCGTCGGTTGTAGAAAGGTACTGTACTTCGCTTTCTCATCTTAAAAGCCTCGCTGGGCAGTTGGTACACAGCGAGCTGAGAAATGTTCATGGGACCGCGAAGGTGCATCGAGACCTGCAGGTTTTGTCAACATCAGTGCTGACTACGTATGTTCGTAATGACTACCTCGCCAAACAATGGTGTGAGCGACCCTGTCGAAGGATATCGAACCGTCTCATGGCCACAGAGACCTGTACCGGAGTCCACATAGGTAGTACGGTTGTATGCACCAGGTTGACTGATGTTGTTGTATGTGATGGCCAATACTTCAGAGCAATACTAGTTGCCATCTGAAGCACGCTCGGCTGTACCAGCACAGAGCTGGCCGGCAGTCCTGCTGTATGCGAAAGGGACAGTGGCTGCGAGGTATAGAACATGCTTCATGTTGGATACGTTTGTAAAGTGTACACCTTGAGTAATGCGGTATGGCGGAGAGTATGCGAAGATAGCGTTTTGCTGAGTGGAGAGTGTGAGAGTCGCGCACGTAAAGAGCATGCTTGGCCATGCTTTGCGTGGCACTCGTACGATGCGTGAGGACACGAGGAAGTAGCCTCGCAGGAGGCAATTGCTGCACGCAGGTGAACCCTGCACCGCACCTTTTATCTACAGTCTTCAGGGTACTTTTACCAACGCGATTCGAAAGCACGGCTGTCTGCTTCGTGACTCCCAGAAGTGAAGTCTACAACGCAAAGAACAGTGGTCGAAATTCCCTGGCTAAGATCAAATCTGTCAAGCAATTAGTGGCTGTTCGTACTCCGTTGAGAAGCCAGAAATGTGCGTAATTGCAAGAGTTTCAGAATAGTCGAGTTGAATGCATCGTCCTTAAAGGGACTGATATAAGAGGTGCCAGAAAGAGCATCGAGAAATCATCATTGTGCGGGGAGGAAGAGCGAGTCGAGAAAGCGTACCTGGTGTATCACACGGATCAACCCAAACTCAGAGAACAACATCATCACATTGGACTGTGCCTCGCACAGCGTGCGGAACTGAGACGAGTGAAGACCTGCTGGTGTGTCGTGGTGTTCGATACGCGCAGCTCGAAGTTTTTGTCTGTCGGCAGGCGCACGGTAGCGCCAAGGTCCGCGCCTGCCATTTCTTCAAAGCACCCCGTTAGCGCCTTCCTAAGCGAATTTTGATCTTGCACCCACTCTCGCAACATCTTTCGAATCTCATCACGTTCCAGGAACTAACCACAGCCGTACAAATCCTCGAAAATGGGTCGTCTTCACAGCAACGGAAAGGGAATATCGGCCTCCGCCGTCCCCTACTCTCGCAACCCCCCGGCGTGGTTGAAGACCACTCCCGAGCAGGTCGTTGAGCAGATCGGCAAGCTCGCAAAGAAGGGTGCCACTCCCTCCCAGATTGGCGAGATCCTTCGTGACTCTCACGGCATTGCCCAGGTCAAGGGTAAGTTATACGCATTCTAGACGGGTTTGCGCAATCGCTAACTCTTCGCAGTTGTCACCGGTAACAAGATCCTCCGTATCTTGAAGTCGAACGGTACGCTACCATGCCCCTGTTGAAGCGCGAGTCAACAACAGCTCTGCTCGCGAGCATCTGTTGCGCTATATAAAACTGCCTCTGTTTAGTGCAAAGCTGACAGGGAGCTATTAGGCCTCGCCCCCGAGATCCCCGAGGACCTCTACATGCTCATCAAGAAGGCCGTTGCCGTCCGCAAGCACCTTTCCACCAACCGCAAGGACAAGGACTCCAAGTTGTATGTTGGCACAGAATCTAGAAGGAAGAAGCAAAAGACTAACGCCGCGCAGCCGCCTCATTCTCATTGAGTCCCGTATCCACCGTCTCTCTCGTTACTACAAGACCGTCGGCGCCCTCCCCCCTACCTGGAGGTACGAGTCCGCCACCGCCTCTACCATGGTCGCATAAGCGCGGGTAGTGTGATGTGATTGGGCGTGGAAGTAGAAAATATCCAAACGGAGTTTCACGGGCATGGATGCTTTACGGACTACCCATGAAAGGGAGCCGAATCATGATCTGGAATGAATGAAAAGCATTACCTCAATTCAAACACATTCTCGTGCATTTCTTCTCTCTTTAGCAAGTGATGTAGTTGTCAAACTGAGCGGGTATCTGTGGATTCAAACGCCTCGCACCCTGCTTCGATGGTCCATCTAAGCCAAACTCCGATAATGAATTGCATACCATTTGTTGCAACGCTGAGTTCCTTGATCCCCCGTCACGGCTCGCAGCCTAGCAGCACACCTCATGCCGACCTGCCCATGCGCATACTACTTCATTCACTACCCTCTTGTCACAGCTTTAACCCTCAATCTCCGCACTCTTCATGGCCAGAAATTCGCTCAAGAATTTCAACGGCTTCTCCGGCTCATTCGTCGCCAAATGCTTCATCGCCTCCAGCAGGTGTGGCGTGACGTGCTGGTTCAGGTACACGCGCGTCGGGCTGCCGTGCGGTATTGGCTGTGTAGGGGCTTGCTGTGGTCCGCTCGGGTGAGGTGAGTTGCGCGATGAGGCGGGCGCAGCGGGCGCGGGTGTCGGCGTGGGTGCTGAGACGGGTGCTGGGGTAGGTGCTGGTTGCACCTCGGGTTCCGCTTCGGGTCGTGATTCTGGGAGGGGCGCTGTTTGGGGTTGTGACTACACATGTCAGCAAGGACCTATTCACGAGAGATGAAAGTCGGACTTCTGGGGTTGCTGCAACTGGTACCTCTGTCGAGTCCGTCATTGTCACGTCCGCTGTCTCGGTAGCTGTGGTGCCATTTGTGATGGGCGTGGGCTCTGTTTCTGCGACTTGCGCCGCCGCATCTAGTGTAGGTTCGGTCATGTTGTGTTGTCGATGAGAGAGAAATTTGGTATTCCCAGCGCGTCGATCGCTTGTTCGTAGAGTGTTCGTGTGTGTTTCCGCAGTTCGCCGGTGGTTTTTGTCAAGGTTGCGCTGCAACGGACTTGGAGCTTGGTGCTCATGCAGACGGGCGCTAGTGGGCTTGAAATGCCCAGCGATGGTCAATCGATCGCTCGCCCACGTCTAGTCCAAGTTCAAGAGGTAGACCAAATGAATTGAACAACATTACCCGCGCGACCTGTATGCTGTTTATCTTTTGACTTTCGAGCTGCATCTTCCAATCCTCAGCATCGCTGGAGAGGCTGAAGGTTAGCTAGCATGTATCGCTACCACGGCCCACTTCTCCAATTCCAGCTGACGTCCGTATGACCCTCGTGACAACGGATATGCCAAGTTGTGACTCTTCCAGCTTTGTTCGCAGTGCGTAGAGACTCCCTATGTTTGTAGTCTGTTAATAGTGAACAAAGAGCCTCAAACCAGCAGGACTTCACAGCATTGAGGGAACCACTGCGACTCCGCACATCTACTCACTTCAAATTTCGAACGGTATGTGCTATTATAGACTTCACATCTTCATGCACTGTGGTCACTCCACGTTCTCGGAAATGCCGGTTGGGTTTTGTAAAGCGGCGAATGATGTCGCGGTTGACCTTCCAGGATCGCCTTCGAGACAGCAAAGAGAGTCTACAATATCAACGACATCGACTGTGGTTTCGAGAGCAGACAGCATGGACCCGGAGGAACGGCGAAAGGCCAGATCCGTTGAGGTCGCGACGACGATTCGACCATGTGTTCACGGCCAGATACATCCGCTGCAGACCAGACGACTCGAACGACTATGTGCAGTCTGCCAGCAAGAAAGAGACGAAAGACTGAAGGTTCTAGACTCCCTCAAAAGTGCAATCCAGTTCGAACCCCGGAGATGGCAGTTCAAGTATCAAGGAGGAAGCACCTCAATGCAGCAGAGGGAGCAACGTCCGGACTGGAGGGGAAATCGTCCATGTGGAAGGTCCCTACGACGTTAAACAGTCTGGTGACTGGCAGCTCAGGTTGGATGAGGGACTGGAAGTGCCAAGGATCTGATGTTGTCGATTAAATATGTTGTCGCTCAAGCCAATCGTGGTAGCGATTATCTGAGATTATGTAATCGCTTTGTTCGGCTTGGATTGAAGCTGGACCTCAAAGCACCGCGCGACAACGTGCAGGTATTCCCGCCGCCAATTGACCGCTCCGCACCCCGCAAATCTCCTCGGAGTCTCTCGTAAACGCTTCTCTCGACATCACCCAGCGCCCAGCCGCCGCAATGCCTACACCGGAGTCCGCTGCGTTCCTGGCCAAGAAGCCAAAGGTTGCGCCTACATTCGATGGTGTCGACTACGAGGACAACGTTGCCCTGAAGGGCGCGCAGGACGCTATCATCCGCGAGCAGTGGGTTCAGAGTATGATGGCCAGGCTGGTCCGGGAAGAGATGGGCAAGTGCTACAGAAGGGAGGGAGTCAACCACCTGGAGAAGTGCGGGCACCTGAGAGGTACGAGGCCGCTCGATTCTGGGAGTGCGATCGCTGCTTCTCTGCCTATAGCAGTAGGGGACGCAGCGACTGTACAGCTCAGATGTTACGTCAAATGAGGTCACTACTAACGGAAGCTTCACAGAGCGCTACTTCGAGCTGCTGAAGAGCGCCAAGGTCAAGGGTTACTTATTCCAGCAGCAGAACTACAACGACATGAACGGGTCGAAGCCGGCCGCTTAGACAAGAGATACGATATCCGGAGATCTGAGAGCAGAACAAGCGGAGGGCAGACAAAGAGACATGCGCAAATATCAATCTCAGCGCAAGCACTGGTGACGAGACGGTTTCAGGCGTCGGATAAGCGGTGCAGCCTGGGAGTTGCTCATGTCATTCTGCAGAGGCAGACCTGTACATATACCTGGCAGACAAAGGAAGATGAACAGCATGGTTTGATTTGAAACCACACACACCATCCCTTCTCTCAAGTTCGATCTCTTTTCTTATGAGCTATTTCATCGCACATTACTCACTAATGGTGCAAAGCTGACTGTATGGATTCGTCGATTGGATACAAGCCCGCATTTGATGCGGCCAATACTAGCGTCTCAGAAACCCCGCCAAAGCTGGGGTGCATCATTCCATAGACACCGCACCACAAAGATGCCCTTTCCTTTCGCGCTACCGACAACATCCAGCATATCTTTTACCGATTACTTCAGCAGCAGCACACATCCTTCACTCCCGAACTGTGCAACGACAGCACGAGGCGTAGTTCGCGATGTCCTCAAACGCCACAAGCGCATACCTCCATCCTCACAAGCTTCAAACCTCGCGACCGTCCTTTCCGCACTCAACGACTACATTCCATACCTGTTCGCACTCGATGCTGGACTGAGTGGTGCAGCTTGCGCCGGGGAGGAAATCGACCTGGTCCTGGTCAAAGAGTTGGAGGTTGAATGGCGCTCAACCCTCAGCACTTCGATACCAGGTCGCGAACCAGCACGCATAAAGCTCAAAAGCCTTGAGAGCGAGCTCTGCTTCGTACTTTCAACTCTAGCATATGTCTACAGTCTGCAAGCCCGAGCGCAGCTACACACTCTATACAATGCCACGCTTCCAAGCCCTGAGCAGCGCGCAATCGCGATTGGAGCTGCTATGAAGCTCTTCCTCGATGCAAACTCAGTCCACACATATCTGGTCAACAGATCAGGGCAATGGCATTCTCAGCCTGCTGCGATCGATATCTCAGCATCTGTTATGGGCGCGTTAGCTGAGCTTACTATGGCTGAGGCTACGCTGATTACGGTGCTTAAGGATGACCCGTACCCGGCTGTTGTGATAGAAGACAGGAATAAGGACAGCAAAGATTGGATGTTTAGAGGTGTCGAGATACCTAAAGTTCGCGCGCATCTCTTCGCCCGATTGTGTCTTGCCTCCTCAGAGCATGCGGCCAAAGCTCAAGCTATGCTCGGTCAGTCTTCCAAAGTCAGCGACGATCTGATCAAGTACGTCGACGATCTGCGCAGGACTGCGAAGGGCAAGGCATGCCGTTTCTTAGCCTGTGATTCCGAGGCTGGTGGTAAAACTGGTGAGGGAATTGCCTGGTTACGTGGTGCTAAAAAGGAACTGGGTTTTACGTCGCTGGGTGCAGATCAGCAGAAGAAATCCTTCGGTTTCTCAAAGCTCAAGAAGGATTTCCAAGAGAAGAAAGAAGACCGCAAGATCGAGAAGGGTGAGGGATGGGGCACTGATGCCGGCAAATTCGAGGAAGGCCGAATTGTGGACATGCTTCTGAAGAAATGGGAGAAGCAGAACGATACGGTAAGGACGGCAGCATGGAGTGGAAAGTTATCGCTCGCTAACACGCTATTGCAGGTCGGTATTCAGCTCGTTCCGCCTTCGGAGCCGCTGCTAGCAAGCATGCCATCTGGCCGAGAATACCACTCAGCGAAGATGTGGATTGTGCCAGCGCTCGACGAAGTCTCGCTTGTCCGCATGAGGGCACCACCAGACCCAAGTGACGCATTTGAGGGCGAGGAGGAAGACAGCACAGACGAAGATCAGAGGACAGCTCCGGGAGCCTTCCATGCCCATTCTGCTAGTACCAGTTACTACTGAGCAGCAAGTTGTCTTCCAAATTGTAATGCTCAAGCACATGGCTGACTAGGCGCTGTCTTTTGGTCATAGCATCGATTTTTACATTTCCTGCTGGGTTGGAGGCTGTTCGTGTCTATGGACGCGGGGGCAAAGATACTACCCCACAATGTTTTGACGCCCTTCACGCTGCCAATCCAGGTCAGAGTAAACTGACACAACGTTTGAGACGCGCCTTACGTTGTCGTGCAGCGAATGGATATCGCCAACTCTAAGCCACGGGTAGGATCGTCGCAGAAGACCCAGCCCTTTCCGCTTTGAGCAGGTCCAGCCGTGCGGAATGAGTTGATGCTTAGCTTGTAGATACCGGCGGGATTCCGTATCAATAGTGTAGCAGTCTACATAGCAAAATACGTGCTGATGACAGCAACAACAGCTACATTCGAAGCTGAACGAACCCTCGTGTGTTTGTAACGGAGTTTCTTTGTTCACAAGTTTGGCATTCTATTGTGGCTGCAAGGGTGCACTTGGAAGGTGCCTGGGCGACTGCTTGCATCGACGGCGAATCGTGCGCTTCTTCCCCACACCCACGCTAGCGACTCCAACCCCTTACGATAACGAAGATAGGCATTCAAGCCCTCTCCGCCATCATTCGCTGGCCCAACCCAAGCACGGCAAGTTTACGCTGTACCCGACAGATAGGCGTGCATGCGTACCACACGGTCGCGCTTCGCCATGCGCCTGTTGCGAGAAACGGCGGTTCACGTTCCCCGCTCATGGCTTGTAGTCACGACAGGGGGGGGGAGGAGCAAGATTAGCAAGTGACCTTGATATAATGCATACCAGCGTCGCTTGTTGTCCAGCTGTGCATCCAGTTTTCAGTCTGTTTTTCAGCTCGTGCCTAACGCCTTTGCTAATTCCACGTTGTTTCAGCGAGCCGAATAGCCAGGCACCGGTGCCGTGGGACCAATCCATGCTGAGCTATGTCATCGATACACAAGCGCGCCATTGCGGACGAGCCAGTCACGAGCGTCCTGCCTAATGGCGATGTGCCTTATGATCCGAATCATCAATTCAACCCCGATGAGGGGGTTCTAGCAGCGTTGGGTTACAAGAGTGAATTCAAGCGAGAGTTTAGCTTGTTTACCACGTTCTGTGTGAGCTTTGCGGTGCTGGGACTATTGCCCAGTTTCGCGAGTACATTGTACTATGGTATGGGCTATGCAGGGACCGCTGGTACGTGGACATGATCTTCCATTGGGTTTCGCTTGTGCTGATATTAGCAGGTATGGTTTGGGGATGGATGATAGCCATGATCGGGATCCAATGCGTGGCCTGCAGTATGGCAGAGCTATGCAGTGCTATGCCAACAAGTGGAGGACTGTACTATGCTTCGGCAGTGCTTGCACCGCAAGGCTGGGGACCATTCGCTGCGTGGATTACAGGTTGGAGTAACTGGCTTTCTCAGGTCACTGCCGCGCCATCCGGTCAGTATACAGCACATCTAGCAATCGTCAGAGTGGCAAGATCTGATATACGAGACAGTAAATTACGGCATCTCAGCCATGATCCTGGCCGCTGCATCTATCCGCGATCCGACCTACATCCCCACCGATTACCAAACCTTTCTGCTGACGGTCTTTATCATGATTTTGCACGCCGTCATGTCCTCACTTCCAACCCGCTGGCTAGCACAGATCAACTCCGGTGGATCATCATTCAACTTCATCGCTCTCATAGTCGTTCTCATCTTAATCCCAGCCGGCACAGACCGTGAAGAGCGCGGCCTTCCCAAGTTCGCATCTTCTCGTGAAGTATGGGGCACGATCTACGAGGGCACATCTTTCCCAGCAGGCATCTCTGTACTCATGAGCTTTATCGGTGTCATCTGGACAATGAGTGGATATGACAGTGCTTTTCATCTTGCAGAAGAGTGCTCGAATGCAAACATGGCTTCTCCACGCGCCATCGTTCTGACTTCTGCCACCGGCGGCATCTTCGGGTGGTTCTTGCAGCTGGTAGTTGCATACACCGTTGTCGACATCGATGGCGTACTCAATTCAGACCTAGGACAGCCGTTCGCTGCGTATCTCATGCAGTGCATGTCCGAGAAGATGACCCTCGCTATTCTCGCTTTGACCATCATTGCAGGATTTTCGATGGGCCAGGGCTGCATGATTGCTGCGAGTCGAGTCACATTTGCGTACGCGCGTGATGACTGCTTCCCCTTCAGCAACGTCTGGAAGCAGGTCAACAAGCGCACGCAGACGCCCGTCAACGCTGTGTGGCTTAATTGTGCAGTCGGCATTGTTTGTCTACTGCTCATCTTCGGCGGAGAGCTCGCGATTGGCGCGCTGTTCAGTATCGGCGCCATTGGTGCTTTTGTGTAAGTTTCGCCGCGACTTCTCAGTGTGTGCAGATATACTAACAGAAGCAGTGCCTTCACAACACCAATCTTCATCCGCGTCTTCTTTGTCGGCAACCGCTTCCGCCCCGGCCCATGGAATCTCGGACGTTTCTCGATCCCCACTGGCTTCGTCGCCTCCGCGTTCGTCATACTCATGGTGCCCATTCTGTGCTTTCCTAGTGTTACAGGCGCAGATCTGCATGCAGACGCTATGAACTGGACGGCGGTTGTCTACGGCGTGCCAATGCTTTTAGCGATCGTCTGGTGGTTCGTCTCTGCACGAAAGTGGTTTAAGGGCCCGAAGGTCAATGTTGCACACATGATGCATAGCGAGGAGCAGCAGATTCTTGAGGGTCAGAATGTACAGAGGTCGGTCTCGGGAGGCTCAGGAAATGGGCTGCCGGAGAAGCTCCAGAGGGTGGTATCTCCATCGGTCTGACGTAGGAATTGAGTCGTACATCTGAACTGGATGGTCACTAGAATCAGATTCTTCATTGTTTATGATGAGCTTCCATTGTGAATGTGGGTCGATGACGGATTCGCTCGGCCGAGTGAATGGTCTTGAGAGTTTTCCCTCGCCGGCCACTTATGAGCCGCACATTGCCGAATCCAGTCCACGAAGACAGGGCGTAGCCAGACAGTTACCATTTTTTAACTAGATAATATATCCTATAATTCCATGAATCCTCATCGATCACATCTCTTCCCAACTTAAAGTTGGATATCTTCGATAGTATAGTGGTCAGTATTTCTGCTTGTCATTCTCAGGAACAGCTCGCAGGAGGCCGGGGTTCGATTCCCCGTCGGAGAGATTCGATCTTTTTGCAGCTTGGAGCACCTAGAACGGACTTGTGAGTTGTTTAGTGGTGAAGTCAATTTTTGCTCCAGATGGGTTACAATATTTCCGCACCAAGAACAATCAAATATAGCAACTGTCAATGCAAAACACTTCTGTTTGACCGCTGAGGCGATGAATATGCATGAGAGAAGTAAACGTTGACAACGAAGCTTTCTCCTACAGATGCTCATCTCGCAATGTGCTCACTAATTCCCAGGCAGCTCGACGCGCTCCATACTGACCGCATCTGTTCTTCTCCCGGTATCATCCAAGAGTCTCAGTAAGTTCTGGTGCCCCTTCTCACTCGCAATATCCCACGCGGTCACCCCGTCACTATTCTTCCTGAACGGATCTGCACCCTTACTACACAGGAACTGCGTGACAGCCATACGTACCTCCAAGTCCATCTTATACGAGCCTGTCCAGAAGGCAACAGCTTGATGCAATACAGTGTCCTTCACCTTCCCATGTGGCAAATTGATCTGCCATCCTGCCGTGAGCAACACCTCCAAGATGGCGATGATGCAATCTGCAACACCATCCTTCTCGGAGTCTGATAATGTCTTAAGCAGCCATGAGCGTGTCATCAGCTGGCTGGCAAGCGTGGACCAAGTATCCGGCTCCACGGGTTCTGCACCATTCGCAATCAGGAACCGGACCATCTCGACTTGCCGCGCACCGAGGGCGAAATGGAGCGGAGTGAGACTGGTGGAGTAGCCAAACGGAACTTCGTTGACGTTGAAGTTGGTGGCTATTAGGTGGCGTGCCATGTCTACCTCGCCAAACAGCGCTGCGAAGTGTAGTGCTGTAACGCGCTCCGGCCGGAAATGCTTGCGCAGACTGCCTCGCCAGAAGCCTTTCTTCTTGTCAAGAAGCTTTGCTAGACCCTGTTGGTCGCCTTTGCAGACCACTCTCTCAATATTGTCTCGTGGTTGACAACCAACTTTCTCGAGGATGTCCTTGCGAGACAAGGGCTTAGAAGGGATGGAAGATTGCATATGTCTTTGTTCTCGAATGTCAAGCTCATTTACCGTCGTAGAAGGTGTACCAGCTCTGCCAACGGTCGTGTTTTGAGCTATTCTTGGATTGATTATAGCTACGGCTTCGAAAGTCCCCGCCGTTGATGAAGGAGGTGTGTTCCATCCCACCTGTTGTAGGCGAGGGCTTGCTTCCTCAGACATGTTTCTCGGAGGTGACTGCCAAAAGTTCGGACTGCTTACAGAAGTGGCTATGGAGCTCCGACTAGGCGCCGGGGAATGCGCCACGGCAGGTGGAAGCCGATACCAGCTCTGGTCTGCAGTGGTTACTGCTGCCGATGGCACGGCATGTTGGGAAGATTCCCTCTTCGTCACTGACAAGGTGGTCTCGAGAGGCTGACTGTACATGATCGTAGAGAAATCTAGATGGCCCATACCCATACCTAGTGACATACCAAGCCTCTTGAGTATGATTTCTCTTCTCTCTTCTGAGATCATGGCAAGGTACGTTTTGGCCAAGGCACGATCATCGAGCAGGACGCAAATATGTGCCATAAGCGCCATGGACTCAAAAGAAGCATCGCTGAGCTTTCCTAGAAGGCGTCTCCTTGTTTGTAACGTCCCTTTACATTCCTCTTTTGCGATATCAACTCGACCCATCCGGATGTGCAGCTGTGAAAGCAAGTGCATAGCCTCGCACATACGCTCCTGTTGCACATCGGAAGTTAACTCGTGTTGACTAAGGCTTATAAGAGCTTCTTCGGCAGTTGCATGGTCTTGTGTGTAATATGTACAGATGGACATCTTGAAATGGAGGTCAAAGATGTCACAGAACGTGCGCCGTTCCTTTGGAAGTGTTTCCAGCACACGACGAGCTTCTTCTAGAAGTGACTCAGCTTCCATCCATTTTTGGGCTTCGAAAGCTGTTGTTCCAGTAGCCAAGGCAGCTTTCGCAAGATCAACTTCAAGATCGTCGCCCGAGTCGTTGTTTTCGATCGCATGTGGCATTGGCTCGTGATCGTTTTGCTGTGAAGAAGATGCTCGTTTCGTAATGGAATGCCTTTGTCTACCAATTGGTATCCCTGGAGCCTTGGAGGCCATGTCTCGTAGGGATCCTGGAGGTAGCAAGCTGCGAAAGGCTTGTGATGGCTACAAAGCGGGCCAACTATGCGCGAACGCAGGCACAACAACGTGTAGATAGTTACAGAATACACACTGAAGTAGCTGGACCTTCGGTCAATATGGAAGTGATAAAAGGTCACTCGATTCTGCCAACACCGCAGTGTCTGGGTTCGTCGAAGGGCCGTGATGTAGAACAATGGGTACTAGCCTTGACGAGTTGGAATGTAGATGCGGGGCATGAGTGTGGAAACCGGTCAGGGAGAAGCCCGCCGGATGTGACGTGCGCGCACCGTGGTTCTCGCCCCCTCACACGACCTTTCTGCAGTTGTCGTTTAGTGGGATTCGATAAAGATATAGAATCATCTCCTCAGCCAGGGATGGCTGGAATGACTGTCAATAAGCCACCGTGCGGTGAGACGGTGATTAATTACAGCAATTCAGAGTATTTGGCCCACCGTTTCCCGGATGCGGTTAGTCGCTTATGGCTGCGCAGGCGCAACCGCAGTCAGGTTAATGGCCTACTGGTCGCTGAAGCGCCACAAAGTTCTGCAGATCATGTCTCTCCATTTCGACCCAAGATAATACTTCAGCTCCATAGGTCAGCCTTGTGACATGTTGCCCTGCAGCTCTTTACGGATGCCACTGCATGACATGAGCATCATAATCGTCGAATGCTAACGATTACAATGATACCCACATCAGGCAACGTCAACTTTAGCGGAAAGGTTGCGATAGTAACGAAAGTACCGAGAGCTTTGTGTGACGCAACAGAACGGCCCCAAGGTTCTGCTGTACACGTACAGTGCCACGATTACTGAATTTAGAACGTGGGACATGATGCATGCACGCACTCCGCTCAAGCTGACCTGGTGGCCCCAGATAACATCAAATAAGCTAGTCTCCCAGGCCACGCAGTGTTTGTGCCACGCTTGTGCCTTCGTTTAGAACGAAGTCTTTGTTCAACCACCATCTCGTCGTTTCCACAAGTACTTTTTCAGGGCTGTTCCTGCGAGAGAATTATTCTGCAGGTACATATTTCGCCATGACGACTACCGAAAAGCATCCAGCAGGACTGTGCACCCAACCCACGAACGGTCGTCTTGACTCACCAGATGATGGGAGACCTTCGGGCTGGAGATACCGAAACTTCAAACTCGGACCTATCACCATCCCATGTTATGCTTCTCCGGAAGCGCAGCTGCTCTTGGTTTCGTTTGTCTGCTTTCTCTGCCCAGGTGGAATTCTCCATACTCTTGCGATGACAGCCTACTGACAAGGACAGGAATGTTCAATGCTCTCAATGGCATCGGTGGAGCAGGGCAATTTGACGCTCGCGCGAGCAATGCCGCGAACTGTGCCGTATACGCAACCTTTGCCGTAGTCGGCTTCTTCGCTGGTACCGTCACCAATACCCTCGGTATCAGGAAAGCCCTTTCCTTTGGCGGCATCGGATACTGTGTTTATGTCGGTGCACAGTTTTGCTTCTCTAAGGTCCAAAATCTTGGCTATGTCATCTTCTCGGGCCTACTGCTTGGTAGCTGCGCAGGCATTTTGTGGAGTGCGCAAGGTGCGATCATGATGTCGTATCCTCCTGAAAATCTGAAAGGTCGATACATCTCTTGGTTCTGGATCATCTTCAACCTGGGTGCTGTCATTGGTAGCGTCGTCAGTAGACTCTGGGTTTCAACGATCGGGCATGTGCTGACCGCGGCCACAGATCAGCCTCGGTATGAATATGTCGAAGGACGCAACCAAGCTGGAAGAAGTCCCCGTCGAAGACAAGCCCGGCATGGCCGAATGGAAGACCGGTGATAATGGTGCAGCTATTAGCGACGCCACCTACGTGGTTTTCATAATCCTGACCTTCCTCGGCGCCTGCTTGTCGTGGACCTTGACCGATGCAAAGCATGTTGTGCGCCGGGATGGTTCGAAGATCATTCTGATGAAGCATCCGACCTGGCAGTCAGAAATCCTCGGCCTATGGAAGACACTCAGGAGTGACCCATATATCATCCTCCTCTTCCCCATGTTCTTCGCATCAAATTGGTTCTACACCTACCAATTCAACGATGTCAATCTGCCGCGGTTCAATATCCGAACCCGTGCTCTCAACAGCACACTATATTGGCTTGCACAGATCTTCGGCGCTGCTGTCTTTGGCTTCGCGTTGGACTCTCCAAATATTCGAAGAACTACCAGAGCCAAGATTGCATGGCTTGTCATGTTCATACTGACCTTCGGTGTTTGGGGCGGAGGCTACGTCTTCCAGAGGAAGTATACAAGGGACGAGAGGACAAGGCTAGACCTGTATGACTGGACCTCTCAAGGTTACGTTGGCCCTATGTTCCTGTACATCGCCTACGGGTTTTACGACGCAGCATGGCAGACATGCGTGTACTGGTAAAATAACGGCATACCGATAGCGACGCTAGCTAACCAGGTGTAGGTTCATGGGCGCCATTACCAACAACAGTCGCAAGCTAGCCAACTTTGCAGGCTTCTACAAAGGTATTCAATCAGCAGGTGCTGCAATCGTCTGGCGATTGGACGACTACAAAATACCTTACATGAATCTGTTTGCTTCGTGTTGGATCTTACTGGCTGGCAGTCTAGTCGTCGCGCTTCCGGTCATGCTGCTGAAGATTAAGGACACCGTGCCAATCGAGGAAGACCTAAAGTTTACTGACGAGACCGTGGAGGATGTGATCGGCCACAAGGTCTCCGCTGATGGGTCATATGGATACCCGAAGTAATCTTTGTGTGTACATATCGCTTTCCTAGCGACCGTGGGCGATCCAGTAGAAGACTGTCGTAATTTGTGTGATGTACAAGAATGGAATATGAGTTGATCTGCCTTCAGCGCTTCAGCGCAGACCACTTGGCATCACGTCCCCCCTTTTCTTGTTCATCACATCGTCGAATACAGGCCAATACGATTCGGTCCGTCGAGCACCTGGTCATCGAGTGTGATTTGAGCGGCTATGGGCGTGAGGCCATTCCCTTACGCCGCGCGAGCGATGAGGAAGCCTGTCTGTCGCACACTCAGACAGACAGAGAGCGAGAAATGGGACGGCTGTGGGCCTCTGTCAATGATAAAGACTAGCAGGTGATGACAAGGGTGAGGCGTAATGATTGTGTCTGATGGCCAGGAGCATCGAGGCATTAAGCTGCACGCCTTCCGGGCGATCTTCGGCGACCGGTCTGCACTTGCCGCCGCATAGTCTTCGAAAAAGTAGCATCACAATACACAAAAAGTTCCGCACGCTGAGAAAAGTGGAAACAGAAGACAAGCCCTCAAAATCTGATCTCGTACACAAACGGTCGATACCACCACTGACAGGAAGCACAGTCTTGGATCCTTGACGAGCAAAGCAACAGTCTATAGACACGAGCAGACCAAAAATAGATACGGATGCCCTCTTGGTCGCAAAGCGGGAGACGAGAAGCGCACTTGCGTGCAGCACGATATGCAAAAGAGAAGTCCCGACTCACAAATCGACTTTTTTGCGGCTCTTCGATGAAAAAGAGAGGCTGACGAAGGAGCAATAGAAGGGCAGAGATTCTGGACTCACCATAAGAACGAGGATGTGCCTACTTCACATGCTCACGACATTACAGGCATACACATGCCAAAGTCAATACTTGTTGGTGAAAGTAACGTGCCATCGCACGTCTTGCATCGATTCCCTGTACCCAAGACCCAGTTCTGAGATATCATCGCTACAAATTGCATCATAACAAAAAGCTGGCCCAAGGGCGTGCAGAACGTATCAAAATCGTGGCTGAAGTCGTAGTCGTGGCGCCATATTGCGCGATCATTACGCGACCCTGTTCGCTTCCCTACATAACGCCTGTAGATCCCAAAGCCGATCCGATGTGGGAGCGCTGTTAACCAACCATCATGCTATCGCTGAAACGCTCGACATCATGTTGCAGTACCGTTGAGTGTTCCATCTATTGCGACCGTGGCGATTGTGCGCCGCTGCCCGGTCGACTCCCATATGGCGACTCATCATCGAACCCTTCGAAACTCGCGCCGTCATCGTTCATGTGAACATCCTCGCCCTCGTCGAACTGCGGGGCCCTCATAGCCGGATACATCATCGGTGGTGCCGGGGGTGGAACACCAGCCTTACTGATCTGCTCAGCCAGGCTAGGCTTCTCGGCGAGGTTGTTGAGCATAGCGCGGCTTGCGTCGAGCATCGAGACCGCATAATCGAGGAAGTCTGCGCGCTTGGAAGATACGGAGAGTGTCCAGCGGTACTCGCGAAGTCGGAGCTTGTAGAACTCGGCTTCTTCGCGCGCTGGTGCTGTGGCCCATAGGAGGGAGCCGAATGTGCCGATCAAGGTGAAGTTCACCTTCGAGGCAAAGAACCAGAAGGCTCGAAGATGCTCAGGCTTCAGACGATTGACGAAGTCCATGGCGGAGATGAGGCGAGTCTTCGCTGCATTACGGCACATAAAGAGACCGTAGTTGTCAGGCTCCTTTGTGTCGAGAGACTGCACAATGCGACGGTGAAGGGTGATCTCCGTCGCAAAGTAAGCCAGATGAAGGTATCCCGTCGAGATGAGCTGACTTTTGCTCGGCGCATGCATCTTGACCTCTGCAGGCAGCCTCTCGTGCCACTGGCGCAACTTGATCTGCACCGGCTTCGCTCTTGCCAGAATCAACTCCGTCGACTTTCGTCCTGCGTTCGCGAAGTCCTGGATTGCTGTTTGTGTGTAGAAAGTGTCCATGACCTCGGCCATGATCTGGGTAAGACTGATCATCTGCGCGAACAGTATCCGGCTCCTTTGGTTCTCTTCTGCTTCTTCCCCAGCATCTTCTTCTCGCTTTTCGTACCCATCTCCTTCTTCGTTGAAGTCGTCTTCTGAAATTGGCTTTACTGCCCAATTTGCGTTGAAGATGTGCGAAGGTCGGCCGTGGATAAGCGAACTCCACTTGTCCTGCATATACAGTGCCCATGCAATGCGCTTCCTCAATCCGCGCTCCCAATGAGGAATGGACCACGATGAGCAGTCAAGATGGAGACCTAACTCCTGCCCAATCGCTACCAACTGCGTTGTCAGACTCCACGAATCGGACTCTGGACGTTGCAATAGCAGTAGGCCTGCCTGGACTGTGGACAACTTCGGCCTCTCCAAAGCCAATGTGAGCGACCTCATCGCAATGGCCTCCAATCGAGCGGCATCTGGCTTCGAGTAGTTCGCAAGCTTTGGATCAAACGACCACCAGTTGAGGGCCAAGATATACATTCCAGCCAACAATGCTGGTGAGAAACTTCTATCGCCGCTGCGATATCGTTCAATAAAGAGGTGCTTCTGGAGTATGGGGTAGCTTGGGTGGACCACCTGGAAGTAAATGTCAAGAAGGGCAGGGCCATGAGGGTGGACGAGTTGTTCGACATGGCTCAGGTAATTGGCCTCTTCAGCATGGTCTTGTGTGTTTTCGTCAGGAAGCATAATGAAGCATTCATGATCATTTACTCGTCGTAGGGTTCCAAGATCGAAAGTAGACTCGTTGCGAATATCGAAGTGCGACAGACCAATAAGTGTAGGGTCAAACGGTGAGCTTAAGCCGATGTACCTGCTGTGCTGGCGTCGCTGCAGGCCCAACGTCTCACCCAATTGAGGCAGGTGGATGTTTGCCGCTAGTAATGGCTGAGGCGGTGGGGGACTTGGCGCTGTTGCAGTGATAGTTGGTGTCGCCAGAGCTAGTGGGGGTGGCTCTGCATCGACAGACCTGCCGACAATGTTAGCTGCATGTTTCTGTACGACGACTTGTGCGACATGATCCAGAGGCTTTGAAATGCTCAGTAGATGTTTTGTAAAGTCTCATGCTTGAGTTGATTGTCCGTGTTACGCTTTCGCGTGCGCACGTGACATCACTCAAGATTGATTGCGGCGTGGTCAACAGCACCCGAACCCTGCAATGACGAGGCGCTATAGTGGGAAGTCTAAACGTACCTCTTCTTTGATACGTTTGGAGAGTCCTTCTTGTCACCGTCGACGACCTTCCTCTTTCTGGGCAGTGGGCTTTGCACAAAGGTGCACTCTTGCTTGTGGAAATCGCACAGAACACACAGCGCAGCACCCTCCTGTATCACGCAGCGGCTCTTTCTCCTCCTGCACGCGTCACAAGGGCGTTCTCTCCGTGAGCGTATGTTAGAAACAGGTCCGTTGGTCGAGGTAGGTTTGCCGGCAATAAGGTTCTCTTTTCCTGGAGAGAGCTTTTGTTTGCGTGGACGAGCGGCGGCGATAGGCACCGGCGTCGTGCGAGGCATGGCAGGCTGTATAGCCAGTACGGTCGTCATATCGCTATTGGATGGCACAAGTAGTGCACTGGAGATAAGGGCGAGTATCGTAAGAGGTCCGGCGTAGGCCTAGATACAGCAAGCTGGCAAGGTCTATGCTGCTGATAGACGACGGGCCGTTGGCTGGGGGCCGGAGAATAGGTGCCGGAAAGGATGCCAGGAAGCAAGAGTGCCAGTGCACCAGTCACACGATGCTGGAGTCGATAGGGTCCAGATCGGGTAGTAGCTGAAGCTTATCGCGTGGGAGAAAGGTAGATGGCCCACAGGCTATATCCTCCCAGTAGGGCGAGTGCAAAGAGAATTGAGTAATCCTTATTTCTGTGGAGAGGTTTTGAAGAAACAGCCTCAAGGACCTAGGTTGCCGGTAATGGCTGCGAGAAGTATGAGATGTTTGGTGGTGCGTGCCGTCATTGAATGCTTGCGGTATTCTCTGGAGAAGGCGGACACGTGCGGCGATGACGGGCAAAGCCTGGGGGAGCGGGCTGGAGATCTAGGACCCTGTGCGGGGGGTAAACAGGCACATAATCCGGTGTAAGTCGTAGAAACGTCAGTGTCGAGAGCGTTGTCGATGTCTTTTGAGGTTTACGCTTCACACATCTGCGAACATGTGCCTGGATGGCTTGTGCTTCTGCCCGTTACGTGATAGCAAACTGAATGCGGCTAAGTGGCAGACGAGTAACCATCTGCAGGGCGGCAGCCATCCAAGCACCAAGCAGATAAGAATGTACGGAGCCAATGGGCGCAATTTTGGCCCGCTGATGATTTGCTGCGCGTAAAATTATTATGCCAACTTTTGGAGTCTATCTCTGGATCATCTCCGGCATCTAGCCTCGCGACGTAGTTACCAGCAACACCAGCCAAGCAGTGAATTGCTGTTAGGTACTCGGTATTGGCATCTGCACGTCACCCGCGGTTCGAGCGACAACGCTGCCCTCCTCATGTACCTTGACGCATCGTAATCTACCGCCTATTACTCGAGGCGGACCGTTTGGGAAAGAACTCGCCAGACCGCACCTTGCCAAATGACTCCTGGTGCCGGTGTTGTTGCTGGATGAAGTGCGTCCCAGTGGGTAATGCTCTTGCAGAATGATGTGAACGCTCGTGTGGATCCAAGAATTCTTTGGAAATGTTCATAAGTCCACTGTGAACGGGCCCATCGTGGCGGTTCTCGAATCTGCAGCCTTGCGTTCAAGCCAGCGCACGTGGACCTTTCCACCTTCACGATGTGATCTCCGCCCCGAGCCTCCGCTCCCCAGCCTCGCCTTCTCACCGCTCACCTTCTAGGCAAGGCTTCCACCGATCAGAATTTGCGTGCTTTCCGAATCCTCGCCTTATGTCATGCAGCCGCCTGCCACCGTGCAACGCGACTCGGTTACAGATTCAAGCCTTCTGCGGCAGGTTTAGGAACGTCAAACCTTCTAAGACATCAGGATATGGCTAAATCAATACCTGTACGTAACTTTCGCCAAGCTAGTCTTGAATCAGTCAGCAACTCCAAACTTGCTAAGGTTGAGCGGCCGAATACGCATGCAGCAAGAGCACACATGAGCGAGTTATCGAGGTATGGTATCCGCAGCCTGCCGTTCTCGCTGCGCCTCTCGAGCGGTATGTGTAATTTGTACGATCTTGGCTCGGTATCTGTGCAAGGAAGAAGAACGTCTGAAGGTACACGCGGCTGCAATCAATCTCCGGGCGGCTTTGTCGCTCCGCTTTCTGTGACCGGTTCGAGATCTGCCCGCTGGACAGTGGAAGATCCAGAGTTGCAAATGTTGTTACGAGAGAGTTTTGCTGAGATCTGCATGTGATTGACAGCGGACGCTTCGAGCTTCTGGCGCGATGGCGACTGGATGACATCCCAGGCCCATCGTTGGCCGGTTTAGTCCGGGGTACGTTCCACTGGGCTCATGTCGGGACGATGTTGGACAAAGTTCGATTCGAAGTCTAGACGTAGGGTTTGCATCGCGATCTTGCCACACAGGTGGGTAGTTGTTCATGGCAGTGTAAACTCAAGTTCTCAGATGTGAAGTAGAAGACTGTATAGATACGACACTGACATTGTACTATTGCCTGCTATGTCGCTTCAGATGTACGATATTCTAGCATGCACTACTTCATCCGCGAAATAATGCTGTCCTTGCCATGGTCATCCTCCAGTGTATCTCGCCGCTTTGAACCATTTGCCCAGTATGAGATGAGCGGGACTCTATCTGGGCTGTTCCGTGTAGTCTAACTTGGAAGCAGGAATGATGTAGATGGGCCGATTGCGTAGATCAATCACGAGATATGGGCGAACTGCATCAGGGCTCCAGATGAAGGTGGATCTCATTCCCAAATAAGCCAAGGTCCAACTTGACGACGGTGCGAATGAGTCTTGTGCCTGCCACGTGATCGTTGTCACTGAGTCTCCCGGATGGTGGCTGTGCTCGCTGTGGCGGAACTAGAGATGATCTTGAACGCAGTGTATGTGCTGCCGACTTCTGGGGTTCTGCGCTGTCGTACCAAACGATTCTGGAGCGTACTGATAGAGTGATGCTTCAATTTTCCCTAAGAATTGGCGGTAGCTAACATAGGTGCTCTCTGCTGAACAGGAGCAATAATCTTAAGACATACTCTCCCGCGGCCAGTCGCCTCTCTGAGCTTTTGCAACAGCCGTATGTACAAGGTTGGCCTTCTTCTCGCCCATGGTGGTACCGTTGGCGAGGCTGTCCAAATAACCTGTATAGCTCTAACCCAGCACGTTGTTGTTCCGCCATTATCATGTCGTCGTTATATCTAACATGTCGCGCTCAAAATAGACAAAGAAGCTGGTTTGTTTTGTTGCAAGGCGCAGTGCCCCATCGTAGGTCCTTGGACGCAGCGGTTGCGATCGTCGAATCGGCAAGGGGTCTCTCTCTGTGGATGGATGATGTGCACATAGTCTTAGTGCATAGGAGGCTGGTAGTTAATGGGTCGCCTGTGATGGAGCTGTCAGTTCCTGTGCTTCGAGGAACAGAGCAAGAGAAAACTTACTTGAACAGAAGAATATGCGGCTCAGGCTCGTGTACTTCGTAGTGCTCCCACCCTAAGCTCTACATGCGCGTCAGAATGAGACATCAGGTTGGCATCGCCATTACATACCTGGGTGATGCCCAACGCCCTCCACTCATCTTCCCACAGCAGCTTCAGTGTGCCTCTGGCGCCGTCAAAGTAGTCTTTGGGAATGATCTTCAACATCTGCTTGGGAAGCTGGACGTGACGGTATTCGAATTCGTCGTCTGAATATCTGGTGTGTTGTCAACAGGCGCGTCCGCGGGATCCGGTGTAAACAACGCACCTTGCCGAGTAGTGGATCGCGTCAACAAACTCATCCAGCTTCTCCTTCTCGTGCTCAGACAACGGGCGCGGCTTCTTGTTGCGGCGCGTGAAGTCGATGTCCATATCGGCGGCCATTTCGAGTCTCGGAGTGCTGCGACAGGGAAGCTCGTATGCTCGTGCAGTGTGTTGTGCGAGGGTGAATGTGGCGGGGCAGACGGCGAGGGCGCGTTTGGCGGAGACGCGCGATTGTGGCGCGACTGCTAATGCTCTGTTTGTGTGACGATGGTGGTGCTGCGAGCCGGTAGGAAGAGAGAAAGGGTTCAAGCGCGCGAGAACAACAAGCAGTTGTTTACATTGGGTACGGTAGCATGAAAATTGGCCCGTCACCGCCGCACAAACCCCGCTAGGCGCCCCTAGCGTACCGGCTCCACCACGTTCAAGAACGTTCCTATCACGACCACATCTCGATTACCGATGCTGCGATCTTGAATTGTCAAGATTGGCTTCACCTCGTGCACACATATTCCCTGGATTCATCGCTGAACATCTCTTATTTCACCGACGTTCAGTAATGTAGTTACCCGTTACACGGACCTTCACCCTGAGACCGCTATTGCGCAACACCGCCCGCGTCTGCGACTATTATCTTAGTCTGAAGTTGCAGTCAACGACGCATCACATTACACCACATGCACGCCTTGCTGAAACCACCCATGCAGTGGCAGTAAGTTGAAATGATAGTATTCGGTAGAGATAGTGTTGACAGAACAAGCTGCTTTGTAGGTCATCCACTGTGTCCGGCTAAAGAAGTCCCGTCGTGATCAAAGGCTGCATCAAGAGTCTGACTTGCTGTCCAATGCGCCAGTCCTCTGAGCTCCTTCAGACACTTCTCCATTCGGTACTCTTCCAGGTTGGGTCAGCCATGCTTTCGATAGATAGGCTTGGGTATGTCTGCAAGTCTGGGCTCAGTGTTCTCCTTAATATTGTGCAGCCAGCCTTGGAGAATCCCCCTGGAGTCTTTGAGGACCAAGTGTAGCTGTCGGCAATGTCTCTTCATTTTTTCAAAGAACTCGGAGATGAGCCACTCAGGATGCCAAACTTCTTGCATCCACTCTGGACAGCCGTCGTCGTCGTCTTATCCGTCATTTCCACTATCTGCGTTGACATCGTCCTCCCCATCTCCCCCCGTAGTTCACTCCACGTCGAACTCATCTTCATCGGGGCTTTCGTTTCTGTCGTCCTGCATGAGTTCGTCCACAAAGCCTCCTCGGTCTCCGTCGTCTTGAGTAATGCTCCAGTGCGTCGGAGAACAAAGCGCATCTGAACAGTCCACCCATCAAATGCAACTCTACTTAGCGTTCAAGAGGAGAATCGTACCACCTCTACTAGCAAACTTCAAGCCAATGCAGTACGGGAGTATTGGTCCACAGTTCTCATCACTGTTGTCCGGATCCCAGTCATCGCTGCATGTGAGAACAATGTATTGATCCGATCTCTTGATCAGCCAGTTCGCGATATCCGTCCACACAGCGCACCGAGCGAATGGTGTGAGATGGGGTCCGTCATCGCCTGAATTCTTAACGTGCGATAGATGGCGTAGTAAATTGATAACAAGCGACCACATGGTTTCCGGCGTGATGTTCAGCCAGCCCTCTAGTGGAGGTCCCATGGTCTGGGTTCCGTCCGGGTACATTTTGGTAAGGAAGTGAGAGTAGTCGCGGATGACAGCAACCTGGTGTCGCGGTCGAAGTCGCTCACCGTTGTAAGGGTGAGGAAGATGTATGTACCAAGGATCAAGAAGCTTGCCATCTCGGTATCATATACACATGCAATATACGCTTGCACGGAAGCTAGCCTTGTTAAACAGCTGTGCCGCTTGTTGCCTGGGCTCTGTACGCATACGCATCACTGCCTCGTATTCTTTGTACCTCCCCTCCTGCGTTGCAGTGAAGCCGGCTATAACAGCAGAACATGGTAGCCGCTGCAAGGGCCATCGACTCGCGAGACACTCACGATTAGTCACTGACTACCTCCCACGTTTCGAGATTCTGGGGCCTGCAGCCAGTTTTCCTACAACGCAAGGCCTCTCGAAGCCCACACATATCGTACGCCAACCTACGAATCCGACGCTTCGCATACACTCTTCCATCAATCTATCACGTCCAACAACGCCCTCACTGTACCAGTTCCGGGTTAACTCAACCCCAAAAACATCTCCAGCTCCTGTCATTCATTTTCCCGATACATTAACATCTACTTCCCCCCCGCCCCTCCCCGCCCTCCCCACCAACTGTGCGAACATCATCCCGACTAGCGCCCCTCTTAAGCCAAGCCTCCGCCCTCTCCCCGTCCTCCCCGCTCGTCACGGTCTTAAGTTCAACACCACCGCCGGCAGCTTGCAGGGCGCCCTGGGGCTGATACTGGCAGTGCAGATGGACGTTGCTCTCCGCGTCGTCCGGAGCATAGGCAGCATGCTGAGCGAGGTGGAGATGCGGGTCCGCAGAGTGGGAACGTGAGTGTGCGCGCGTGCGCCGGTCTTTGGTGTACCGGATAAAGACCCAGAGGAGGAGGAGGATGAGGATTGTTGCGGTCAGGACGGTGAGGGTCAGGATGAGGGGAGTGGATGCCATTGTGCGCTGGTCCGCGGCGGAGCTTGGTGGTGAGAGATAGTCGTGTTGGAGCGGTGGCTTGGGATAGGTGGATCGTGGATTTGGCACTTTTGTAGTGAGGTGAGTCGGTGTCGTACCATGGGGTCTCGTGCTGCCGGTGAGGTCTAGTCTTTGCATGTCGCACTCGGCTGGAGCGTTTACCCTCCTCGACAGTGTTAGTGTCACGAATCGTGTACGAGCACTATGGTGTGACGCTCATATAAAGATAGCCATCGTGAGCTCCACGGAGACGGGATCAATTGTTCTTCATGTCAACCGTTGATCATATAGGACAAGTGGTCAACCAGTGAGGACGAATAAACATTGGGATATCTCGCAAGAAGAAAACAGCAACCGTAACCCTACCCCTTATGCGTATACCCATTACACGCTGAAGCAATCCCGTGCAATGCGCTCTCATCCATGGACTTGGATCTTCCCTTGTATAAAACAAAACAATACCGATAGTCCCCACCGGCATCCAAAAATTCAAGTCAAAGATCGTCGAGTTTTCACTGCGCACAGCGCATGAACACCTCAAATGAATCGCATCCTCAACACCAAGAGTCTCTGCGCATCTTTGGCTCCGATGACCACAGTGCCAGCCACAACCATCTAGGCGAACAGACAGAAGGCAGCCGCAACACTCAACCCCATGACCGCAGATAACACTCCCGTGCCAATAGTGTTCTTAATACCAACCGACTTGCCAGACAGAGCTAGGCCAGGCTTCCCAGTAGGGACCATAGTACCATTCACAGTAGCAGTTGGCCCGCCCGTGATCCTTGTGGTGTTGGAAAACAGTGAACCGGCGGAGGCGACACCACTGCTATTCGATGAACCAGTGCCATATGCAGTAGCGCTGAGTGTGGCACTAGCAATTTCCAACGTCCTGGTAAGCGTGGTCTGAGACGCAGTCGGATCCTGTATCGAAGATGAGGAGTCATTCATAGCCAGCGCAGCAGTCTCACTTACCGCAGCAGTAGGAGTCGTGGGATACATCTGCGCCAACAGCACCATCACGTCAGCGGGAAGGTCTTTGTACCACTGTGGGGTGACGTCGCCGGTCGGCAGGACGATGTCGGTGGCTGTGCCGGTCGGAGTAGGCATTGCCGTTTTGAGCACCGAGAGAACGGAGAACTTGGTAGGGTCCATGGTGACAGGATCTATGGCGCGCACGATGAGGTCGGCGGCTGCGTGGACATTGGAGGCAGCCGCTGTAGTGGTTATTGCCGCGAGGGAGAGGGAGAGGATGGCCGTTGGCTTCATGGTTTTGAGTTAAGATGTTGTGTAGAATGATGTCGTGGTATCGTGCTGATGTGTCGCTGAAGATGCTCGTGCATGAGATATGCTGCCGCTGTTATCATTGACAAACAAGGCGAACGCGGACTGAAGAAAGGCAGGAACCCGCGAGAAAACCCGCGAAAAGTGGGGAAAGTGAAGGTGAAGACGCGACCTCGATTCTCTGCACCAGGCAAGCTGAGATCCGAATGCAACGACTACTGAAGGTCCAATTTCCCGATCCAGCGACGTAATGCTCTTCGTGCCTGACAACGCGGCAGTGAGACAGAAACAAAGATTATGTTTGGACGTCCAAGCCGGGTACCTGCGTGCCTGCCCAGACTTTATGACTGGTCGTGCCTGCTCTAAGCGCCTGGTGAGAATAGAGATGGTACAGGTGTAGCGTTTCGACCCGCTGGTGTGGGTGTTTGATGAACGATCGTGCAACCACAGACTGACAGGTGCAGAATGTTTGACAACCTCCAGAAAGAACGCAAGGAAGCAGCCAGGCTTCTGCAGCCCCAATTCGCAGGGAGATACTGCAAGCAAAAGTATGAGAAGAATGGAGGCGGTCAGCGCAATGAGGGAGAGCGCATAGCCTGAGGTTGTGGAGCGAGTTGACCTGGAGAGTCTGTGTCTTCAAATCATCGCTCGAGTTAGGTGTCAAGACTCAAAACATGAAGCCATATTTGTGAGGTTGACGTTCGACACTGGCCCCTGGCGATGAAAGTCGTGGTCGTGTTTCGCGCTTAGCTTGCTTCATCGTGTACTCCGTGACAGAACCATGTTCCCAGGTTTCAAGCGCATGGTTTCACGAATTGACGCGCAACTTCATTTTGACCAGATTTGGAAAAGTGCAAAGATTGGTGCGCATGACAATATCGATAGCAGCATCGATGCGAGGTAATGAGATGATCGCACTCACTCTATGCGAGCTCTCCGGCGTAGTCATACACTAACCTCACCCTCCGCGCCTCGTTCTTGTCGCTCTTCCTGACCACAACTCGCCTGACGTACTTCCTCTCGCCTCCGATTTCCGCAAATCCCCAGATCTGCCAGCCAGTCCACTTGTTCCCCTCGTTGTCCACGAAAGTTTCGACCACGTCACCCTCCGCAGTCTCCTTGAGCCACCCCTCAGCAAGGTACTTCGCATCCTCTTCTGTCACACCCTTGCCCTTCGCCTCTTCAAGAACTGCAGACAGAGTAGTGTACCTGTTGCGCCCTTTGACTGTGCCAAACAGCCAGTCCGAGTGTTCGCGCCATTGCCAGTCAAGAGTGCGCTTTTCGGAAGTGCCCTTCAGGCCGCCAGAGACGAGTTGGTCGATGTCGATTTGCGAGGATGTGCTATCTTCGGCTGTGTGATGCTTCAGGTGCTGGGTTACAGTCGCGGCGCCCAAGGCTTTACGGGTCAGCCAGCCGATGCCTTGGAGCGCAAGAACGGGATCGAAGGCGTCAGAGAGACTCTTGTTCTGCGAGACGCGTCAGTGAGCTGGAACAACTGAAATCACATTTGGTTGTACCATGACCCATTTCCCTTGAAGGTTCTTGATGTTAACGGATGCTGGGGCGGCCATAGTGACTGCTTTGTGGCTCTGCTGTCTCTCACAACGAGCTTACGGGTGACGGAGGAAGTGATCTGGTAAGATATGGTGCACCTGTTGTCTTTGGGTGGGGTACTCCAGAGTCGATCTCGCAGGGTCAATCTATGTAAAGCAGCCTCGCGGCAGGACTACACAGGTCTTATGTATCGCCCATACGATCTGCCCAGATCTTGGCCCCTCCTGCCATGCCTTCGTTCACATGGCGCTTTGTCTCGTACCTGCATGTGCGTCACGGCAGGGCAATTGCCTAGGTAGTTCCTCAATCAGGTTAGCTCTTCCGCGGGGAAGATGGTGACAATTGGAGCGACAGCTCGGGCGTCAGTCCCACCCAGGCAGAGCACCAATGGCGCGAAGGAGAGGTGGCTGCCGTTTGTCTTGGGCCGAGGAATCCTATGTGCGGTCGTCAAGTCATTAGGCGAATGTAGAAATGTTTGCGGCGCGAACGCTCGGAACTGGATGGCGCCGTTGGTGGCGCGGGGCGAAGCGCACCAGAGCGGCAGCAGGTGACACCGGAGAAGATCCCGCTGTCTTCCGGTACAATGCGACGGAAAGCATCTGGGGAAAGCTCGCAACAGTCTGAAAAGTATTGGGAAGATACGGAATCAAGGAAACCTGTGGAAGAGGGTGTTGATTTTGCTGACGTGGGGTTGCTTCTGCAAATGCCGAAAGTGCACCGGAAGCGCAACTGTGACATGTTACACCTCTCTGCGTGTGTTCGTACTCATACCGCTCCAGAATGCTGACGGCTACCATCAAGCACCGCACAATACGCCAGCAACCCTGATCCCCAGGTCCAGGACTGCAAGATGCTCGTCTCCACCATCAACAAGCCTCTTGTCTGTCTCGCTGAACACGCCTGCTAATCGCACCTTCTTGACGTCCTCCACTCTCTCATCGAACATGACCTGCTCGTACAGCTGGCCAACTGTCTGGCTCGCGCTCCACCCCTCTGCAATCATGTTCTCCACCACCTTCGCAATCTCACTGTACCGTATATTCCGGCTCGAGCTTATGGGAAACAGCGAGTCGGAGAACGTGTCGAGGGTGGAGGCAGGAATGACGCCTGCGATTTCCGCAATGGCCTGCAGGGAGACAGTGTGCTTGTTGACCAGCGTTGCGTCGGAATCAACATCCATCTCGTCGTTATCAATCACCGGCTTGCCTTTCCTCCCCGACTCTTTCGCAGTCTGTGTAGCGCCTACGAGTCTGGCCGCGGACTGGAGGAAAGTGATGGCTTTCCTTAGATCGCCGTCTGAGACGCGGACCAGCTCCTCGCTGACGCCCTGGTCGAGCGGCACGCCTTCCAGCCTCGCAATGTCGTCCACGCGCTTGACCGCGTTCCCTTGATCCAGGCTCTTGAAGCGGAACTTACTGCACCTCGACGCCAGCGGATCGATGATTCGCGTGACGTAGTTACAGACCAGACAGAATCTCGTCATCCTGCTGTATGTCTCCATCGTTCGTCTCAGCGCGGACTGCGCATCCTGTGTCATACTATCCGCCTCGTCCAGCACGATGATCTTGAACGGCGGGCATGGGTACTTGTCTCGATACCGCACCATCTTACCCTCACCGCCATCTTTGTCTTCAGTCATAACGTTGTATGTGGGCGCAGTGCTGAGCTGCTGGCGTGCAAAGTCTTTGACTTTCTGGCGCACGATGCTGATGCCGCGCTCATCGGAGGCGTTGAGTTCGAGGACACGCGACTTCAACAGTTCAGGGCCGTAGAGCTGTTTCGCGAGAGCGAGAATTGTGGACGTCTTGCCTGTGCCAGGAGGGCCGTAGAAGAGCATGTGCGGGAGATTGGAGGATTGGAGCGTGCGCGAGAGGATCTGGATAGTGTTGTCTTGTGCTGTGACTTCTGAGAGAGTCTTGGGACGGCTGTGGCCGTCAGCTTTCGTAGCACGCGGAGACAATTTTGCGGAGACTATACTATTTCTCGACCCATGGCTGCAGGCGGTCCGGCTGCTGCTTTGTGGACGGACCTTTGGATGAGCTGGCTTGAGCAGCAGCTTGCTGTCGTGCCTTGAGATTGAAGAAGTCCGCCATTGCGTGGTCAAGATGTTGCGGGGACAGGAAGACAGGAGGAGCTAAAGTGGAACGCGTCGCGTATGGCAAGCGCGTCTTCACGTTCAGGTAGGCGCACGGGCCACGTCAATGACAGCATCATGTCGGAAGTGGACTCTTCAGCATAAAGTATTCGTTTCCTTGTTCGAGCAGGTCTGGCATGCTACCTGCTCGTTGAAGACCCTCCAAGACGCCATCCTATGCGTACCCGCAATGCCGGCCCACCGCCCACAATAGAAGCACACGATCGATCGAAAGGACCTGCACACGAAAAGGCGCACCTTCAGGGAGATTCTACTTTCCCCTCAAGTCACTAGCCTTCAACCTCTTAGCCAGCTGTACAGAATCGGAGTCGGAGCCATTGGAGGGCTGTCGCGCAATGTTGCGATGAGCCGCCCCCCTAATGGCGGAATGCGAAGCAGAAGAAGACGAATGCGAGGTGTAATGAGATCGTTTAGGGGGGCGCTCACCGCTTTCTTTGAGAACCGTTAATAACGTCGCCCAGCCTCCTGTGTGCTGGAGTGCTGAACCTTCTGATGCGTCGTGAGTCGACGCGACCTTGAAGAGTAGAGACTCTTCATCCTAGACCGGTTGTCAGTATATGATCAAATCAAGAGCAATGCTTGACGCACCTTTGAGAGTATGCCTAGATTGCGAATGAAGCAGAGGAGGTGGAAGTTGGAGATAGCGTTGAGGCCACTCGTCGTGTTGAGCGCAAGCCCATTCGCCTTTGCGTTGAGCGACTTGCTCAGTGCTGAGACATCAGCCATCTCGCCCATGATTTCGCGGTTCTCGATCGGGAACTTCCCGCCAGTGAACAGAGGATTTGGCTGGGTAGGAAAGCCGTGTGTGAGTGTGAGGAGCAGGTATTCGACAGGGAAGTCCGGCTTGGCGTTCTCCTGCACGTTGGCACCGTGCTCGTTGATCCGTCGGTAGAAGACCTCGGGGATGTATCGCGATCGGTTCAGTGTTTCGTTGTCGTCCTCGTCTTGTACCAGCATGACCGATGGCTCAGCTGAGGGCTCGATGAGATCGGCGCGTACCATCTCTACTGCTGCATTTGACGCCTGGTACGATGAGATGCCAATCTGCCCTTCTGCATCACCGCTGATGACGCAAGTAACGAAGTTCGACCCAAACTGCCCTGTTTCGCTCCACTTTGATGGTCGAGGGTACTTTGCCTGGTATCGTGCCGCGAATGTGATCTCAAGCGATGAGAAGAAGTATGAGTCTGCGTGACGCTTGCAGATGACTGAGCCATCGCCCTTGTCCGCATCCAGGAGATCCGTGAAGATCACGCCAACCCTCTGAAGCCCGCATTGTGCAGCGATCTCGTCAATCTCCTTCTCGTTGTCCCAGTCGCTCAGCGAGATACCGTCCGGCTCGTTGACCTGTGGCGGCTCGTATATGGTCTCGACGACAGCCTTCGTGCCCAGCGGCACCTCGGTGTACTCCTCGTAGCGACCGTACAAGAAGCCCAGTCGCTGACACCCTGTGTTTCTCCAGAAGTTGATCAGATCGTCAACGACTTGTATCGACGCGAACTCGACGTGATCGACCATGCGGTAATCTTGTGGCTTGAGCGAAATGGCGCTGGGCTGGCACTTTGTGCAGATGCCGTCAGGGAACGGCTTGTGGCCTGATGGGCAGTCTGGCCGCACGCGGTAGTATGGTTCGTTGAGCGGCGGAATATACGAGCTGCCAAGCTCTGGCCTATTCTTTGCAGAGTTGACCTTGCGCAGGTACGAGTGGAACGAGAGGTGCTTGATCTTCCTCTCGGCAAGGTAGCCTGTGTCGTAGGGCTCTAGCGGCATGCAGTAGTCGCACATGCCCTTGGGTCCGTGGGTGCACATCCGCACGTCGCGCTTCCGGGCGACCTTGCCATCCAGCTTGTCGAGGCGATCGTCGAGCGGGGACTGCTTGACCACCTCCCACGGGTTCTTGATCAGCTGTGTGGGTCCGCCGAGGGGCACCGCGGGCATGTCGGACTGCTCGACGGCCTTGCCATTCAGGCGGGCCGCTCCTGCTGGAGCTGCAAGTGTGCCATTCGATGTCGCCGACTGCTCGTCGAAAGTCAGAAAGAGCTGCGCGCCGTGTCTGTGGACGTGTCAGCGTGATGGCAGCATGAGGCAAGCAAGCTACCCACAATAGCCCGACCTGCTCGAAGCTCACGCCCTTCAGCGACGCCACTTTCCTGGCATCTCCTCCTTGGGGCTTATTGCTGACAGCGACACTCGCAAGGTCGACGTTCTTCGGCAGCTTTTCCGCCACCTGAGGCAGGATCTCTGGGAAGGTGGTCGTGGGCTCGACGGTGAGACGGAACTGGCCCTCTTTGCTCACGAACCGGAGAATCATGGTGGGCGGTATTTGTGGGAGTTGAGCAGGGGAAGTAGAGTGCCGACTGTAAAAGTGCAACGGAGAGGATAAAGGGTGCAGGTGGTTGGTGACAATGTTGGCTCGCAGACGCGTTGGAAGCTCAGCGAACTCAGTCGTCATTACCCTTAAGCCCGGCAGGCACCGACAGGGATCTCCGCCGCTAGCGCATCGGTGAACGAACATGAACATCTGGCATCATTCACGGCACAAAAGCACCCAAACATTCGCTCTCACCGTCCGCACCTCTCTTACAGTCGCTCCTTTGCCTCGCCTCGAACTGCACCGGGTTCTTGCGCCCTCCAGGACTATTAAGAAATCGACCACGCACAATTGAAGAAAGCCTGCACCGCAGCCCACCACCACAATGTGGCCCTTCGACGCCGTCGACTGGCTCATGCTGCTGATCCCCGTCGCCTACCTGTTTATCCTGGTCGGCTCGCTCACCGTCTTCTCGAACCTCTACCGCAAGCGCCAGGCGGCCGCGGCGTCCTCGCTCGAGCCCTGGTTCCCTCCGCACCTCCAGCGCAACATTTATCTGTCGCTGCTGCACCAGGAGGAGCCGAAAGCCCCGGACAGCATCCTGAAAGCTGCGCTTCTGCGCCGTGCGACCGAGGACATCCACCGCATTGTGCAGGTCAGGAACGCGAAGCAGGCGCTCCAGGTCCTGCTGCAGCGCGGCAGCGTGGGCGACGATCTGTGGAAGCGGTTCGAGCGTGCGGAGAAGGAGATTGAGGAGGAGCTGAGAGACGTCGTGCAGGAGGTGAGTCCCCTCTACAACCACAACCCCTTGCAGGAGCAGTTGCTAACACCGCCCAGGCCAACGCGTTCGCGCCCAACTGGGGCCAGACCATTTTCCAGTCAGCCTCTGAAATGGCCCAGAACAACCACATCCGCGAGCGTCTCGACGAGATCCTCGCCAAAGCACCCCAGGAGTCGCAGTGGTGGACCAGCCGCCGCGCCGAGATCCAGGGCTCGTTTATGAAGGAGCTGGACGAGGAGAAGATCAGGAGTCGCGAAGGCAGTGTCGCTGGGACAGGGAGCGTTGTGGGCACGCCTGCGGCCAGTGTGGCCGGGAGCGTCATGGGCGACGACGCGGTCATGGTGGAGAGCCCGAGCGGCAAGAAGAAGAAGAAGGGCAAGAAGAGTGCCGTGGCTTGAGCGGAGTGATTGAACGTTTGATTGGACCGACGGGAACAGGGTGTCCATTGCGTGCATTGCGTGACTGGCGTTGAGGTGTTGGCAGGGCCACGGTACGATACTCACATTGAGAAGATGCGTCTTGAATTCAGCCATGCCATTTCCCCTCCAATCATAGGCATCCATGCATTCTGCAGCTGAGATACCAGCATACCTTGACGCTCACAACACTTCCGTTAAATACTGACATTGAGAAGATGCATCTTTGATGTAGACGAACTCGAATGTTCTCATGTAATGAATTGCAATGCTACAACGCCATTCCCACATTGATCAAACCTGCCAATCTCATCGTACAAGCACCCTGCTGTCCAACGAAACGGCGACCTCGCACCAGATATACAGTCCTCTCCTCCTCTTCTCTGCCAGCTCCTCTTCTCTGTCAGCTCCTCTTCTCTCCTAACCACCACAAGCAGTCTACTTCCTCGCGGGCCCGCTGACACCGGCGCCGATGACACTCGGCAGCTCCTCGCTGCCAATCGAGTACATCATACCAATGATGGTCGAGATGAGGAATGCCAGCATGACGCCGGTTCCAACAAACAGCCAGAACGGAACGGAAATGTCCTTCTTCTGGCACGCGGGCCCAGCCCAGTGCGTCACCTTGCGGTCCTTGCCCTTGCCGACAATGGTGGGCTTGCAAGCGCAGCCGTAGCGGTCCTGCTGCGTCTTGTCCTGGGCCTTGTGCAGCAGCTTGCACTCGCCGTGGCCGGAGCAGCCGAGCGTCGTCTTCTCGCACGAGGCGAGCGAGCTGAAGAAGGGGGGCAGGATGCCGCGGACGGTGCCGTTGGTCTTCTTGTCCGAGGTGAAGACGGGGAAGTCCTCGAGGTCCGAGTACGAGGCCTTGGGATTGGGGGATGTCGAGGGCTCGGGCGTGAGGGAGAGGAGCGCCTCTGGATCCTGGCGATTGCGGCGCGCCTCGATGGAAGTGGGCATGTCGTAGGTGCCGTATGAGGAGACTACGCGGCGCTTGGAGTTGGCCGGCGAGGACGGCATGGCGACGACGGTGATGTCGAGACCGCGCGCGGCCAGGCCGGGGAGGGTGTACTGCAGGATGTTGCTCTCGATGTCATCGTTCTTGTCGGCGCGGAAGATGGTCAGGTACTCGTTGTGGAGCGTCGTCTTCTTGAGCGCGGAGAGGGCTGATTCAGCGTCGATGCCTGCCGAGTACGTCTTCGCCTGGGGGTCGGCGTGCTTGGGCAGGGACTCGGCCTGTGTCGTGAAGTCCTCGATCAGGCGGTCGTTGTCTGCCGAAGGCGGGGGGCTCGAGATCTCGAACGATGATGTGGCAACGTGGCGCAGCTCTGTACAGATGTCAGTCCCCGTACAAAAGCCCTGCAGGACTGGCGCCTACTTGTGACGAGGCTGTCCTCGGCGTCGTCCAGCCACACGAGCAGCTGGGCTCTTGATGTGTCCGCCTGCTCTCCAAACAGCTTCTGCGGTCGCCCTCCGTATGCGTTGATGCTCTTGATTGCCTCGGCATCGGCGTCCTTGACCGAGTGGAAGCGCGCCAGGCCGAGGCGCTGGGCGAGAATCAGTCGAGCCGTCTCGGGGGCCATGGGCGATGACGCTGGCGCGGCGTGGTCCCTGGATCCATCGAAGGTGAAGACGTAGCCGTTCTCGGCGGCGGCGGCGGCGCAGCACAGCGACGAGGCGACGAGGCCCCAGGAAAGCTTCATCGTGGCGGCGGGTGATGGAGGTTGAGATTAAGATGCCTCCGATCCAACGCTGACGTTGTTGCTGCACGTCGCAGCTTCCAAGTCCGCACGGACGTTGTGGCCTAGCTGGTGGCCTTCACCCGCTGTGATTCGCCACCGCCCATTCACAGGCACCCAGCCCTACGGAACCACGACAGTCGGACTATCTATTGTTAAAGAACAACAGCGGTGACCGCCGCGACTCGCAAGTGCCACACCCGCTCTGCACGCCTCATGTCTCACCACGTCGCCTTCCGCCCCTCATAACGCCCGCTGTGTCCCCGCAATCGGCGCCATGTTCAAGGCACAAGTGCTGCGCCGGGGCTTCTCAGTCTTCAACCGAGTGCCGACCTCGAGAATAGTCCAGTCCGCCGCGCGCCATGGCCACGAGACCATAACGATACACCGCGTGCGCATACGAAAGCCCTTCCTCAGCAGACAGCGACTCGTCGGCGCAGTGGCTATTGCAGCAGCCGCCTATGGACTTGGGCAGTACCTCGGCCTTGAGGTGGAGATAGAGGAGGCAGAAGTGGAGGAGAGGCGAAAGCCAGGACGCTGGAAGAAGCAAGTTCGCAAGGAAGACGGCACTCTCCAGGAGGCCGACGACGAAGAAGCAAACGAAGAGGATGAAGGCGAAGAAGGCGAAGAAGACGAGGACGAGGAAGAGTACGACGACGCTATTCTGTTCTTGCCCACAGGGTTTTCGAGGCTCAAGCCCAAGACGTTCTACAGAGGTTCGGATCCAGAGTGGCAGGAGTTCAAGAAAGTCACTCAAGACAAAGCGAGGATCGAAAGGATACGGCGAGAGCTTGTGACCATGGTACGCACTTCGCCGGGATTAAAAGAAAAGCTTGGAGAGATCGACCACAAGAGGGGGCGAGCCTGGATAGAGTTCAGGTTTCCAGAAGGCCCGCCCCCTGAGTACGAACGCCCCGGCTACGAATTGACAGAAGACCTGGAGTGGCGCAAGACCACACGAGATGTCGAGCCGATGCACCACCACAGACTCAAAAAACTTTTATATCCCACCGCTGCCGCTGGCGCAGTGTACGAGGACACAAAGAAGAAGGCGGTGCGGTCTTGGAACGAGTTTGAGGTTTACATGGGGTGGGCAGAGAAGACCACGGTGCCTACAGTCCAGCAAACGATACAGCAAGTCGGCAACACCACGCCACCTCCAAGCCCTGCTACACCTCCAGGAACTGCAGCTCCTGCGTCTCCATTTGGCGCTGCACTGCCTGGAGCTACACAGCAACCTGCAGGCCAGCCGTCTCCACCCGCAGCTGGCACGGGTAAGGACCTTGCGAGCATTACACTCCCCGACGCCAAAGCGCTCACCCTTGACCTTGGACAATTCCGAAAAGAGTTCCACAAAGCCAACCACAAAGGTGTCCAACATCACATCCCGCGTGGTGCTTTCGGGGTATTCGCCTTGATCGAAGTGTGCGGCAGCAAAGCGCGCCTGACAATGAACGTCTTGGGTATATACGATCCAAAGGTCGGGCGGTATGTTGCAATGAACGCGAACGTCTGGAATCAAGTGGCAAATCGACAGTCGCCGAGGGGAGGTCCGTGAAGCGCGACGTACAGCTATGGAAACAGCAAGGCGTAAATGCATTAATGGCGTCAGGGATCTGAGCGTACTTTTTCTTGGTTAGCGGCATCATGCGAGCAAGCCCTTTCTGGCGCTTCGGCGCACGAGATGAGATGTCTTGGTGATTGTACAGTACAGAAGACGGCATTTGGAGAAGCCCACGTGATATAACTAGCGAGTCTCTTCTCAGCCAGATGCATAAATCCCCGTACCTCTCCTCACTTCGCTCTCCTCGCGCTCGAATCCACAGCAGCTCAAAATGTTCAAGAGCCCCTCTCATGTGTCGACTGTGTCTGCCTCCTGAACGCATCAAATCTTCGAGAGCTACCGCCATGCTTGGCCGCCTTCGTCAGTCTCGAAAGGTGCTTCGAACTCCTCAAATGCAGCTCCAAAACAGGATAAGCACGAGAATATGAGCACCTCACCTCTGCCTTCTGTCTGACCGCATCCGAACTGCGCGCGCACGTGCGCGGCGCACAACATTCCTGTTCCCCTTCCATGACACGGTCGTCGTCGAACTATGAAACTATTCCGCGACATTTTCCCCCTTTGTCTGCTGCGATCCCAACCAATCACTTCAGGAAAGTCATGTTCGCTGTCTGCGTCTGTGCTGGCCTTTGCATATGGAGGGTCTCTGGGTATGGCGAGCGCTGTGGGATACAAAAATACAATCCCTTCGAGTACATGGAATTGTGCTCTTCTTCCGTCTTCACACGGCCACTCAGTCATTCTTCGGAGAGTTTGAAAAGCTGTGTGCGCCTGTATATGCCTGTCCGTCTTCTTTCTGCTCTCTTCCCTGGATGAAGAAATGTTGACGCAACTGCGTTTGTCTGCTCTACGCACTGCTTGTTGCTGGTCCGAAAAGAACGCCACGAATAACTATGCTTTTGCCCAGTTGAAAAGACCAGATACGAATGGCTTATGTTTGGTGGAAAGTCACTTCACAATCTCTATGAATCAAAGTCACAGGATCTTATTACGATCGAACGTCTCGTGAGCTGTGAAGTCTCCCCCGAGTCTACTTCCTCCTTTCTCCATCTACAGCTTACTTTAGATATTCAATATACTCTCCACACCAACCTATGTCTTTCTACGGCACCAAATCCTGTTGCAAGACTTTTCATGACTGGCTGCAGCTGTTAGCGTGTAGCGCTATGCTTCTGCCCAAAACGTGAGAACGGTACTGTGATGTACGGATCGTCCACGCTATTCGAATATCCCACGGGCAAATACTGGCTCCGCTCGTCTTCCGCTTGCTTCTTCTCAAGACTAGAAGTTTGTGTCCTGCCGTGCGCTTGCAGTGAGTCAGTGACCTCCTCACAACAAGTGGCTGCCAAACAATGTGATCATTCGTTCCACGAGCGATCGTGACGGGGCCGTGGTTATTTCAAGATCCTTTTAGATCATCTTTCGTCAACATGCCTATTTATTCGTAAACGGAAAGAAGTTGACTGCTATGCGCTATAAAATACTGCATACAGCCCGCTTCTTCCTCCGTGGGGACCATTCTCTTTTTCACTGGAATAAAACGCCTGTGCAAGCTTTAAATATCTTTCTGCTGCACCGCAACAACTAGGATTTGCCCCTATGTCTGTCGGGACGTCTTCGAGCCAGGGGTCACGCCAGAAACAACCCAATGCGAGATTCATGGCCAACGAAAAATACGTTGACCTGAACCGGCGAGACGGATCCGTGGAATCTAGATATCTTCAGCTCCAATGCTGAAGTGATCCACGTCACTGCGGCTGAATACCGCGGCTTCTGCATCAGACCTACGACTGCTGGGCAACCAAATCTCGCGCTGGGTTTCTTGTTTTCTTCCTGTATCATTTAACTCAAGACATCCATCAAGAGCATAAAGTATAGTCAAAACGTTTTTGCAATCCTCTACATCTGGTGAGTCACTCGGTCATATCTATCCGGATTTGTGCGCACGTGGCATTGTAAAAACAAGTTGCGACCACAGCATGCTTAAACCTGCCTCATGCCGCTGGACTTCTGACCAGATACTCGTATGACCGAAATCAAGTGATCTGGCCTTGAGGATGGCATCAGGTGTCTATGTTCGGTCTTTCACAAGCGTGATATTTTCCAAAATTTCTAAGTTGTGAAGGAAGTCAAGGTGTACCAAACCTGACGAGACTGTACCTTGGCTCCCTGCTTCGACTGCTCTTCTACAATCTGTTCAGATATCTGAAACCAGGAGTCGAGTGTCATGTTTTTTGTAAGCGTTGCCGGGCTCTGGAAAACAACATCGAAAATGTTCATGTCGAACGTGGGTGGGGAAGACCGTAAGTTACTTTGCTTGGAAGACCACAACGATCGACCATACTACAGCGATTATATGAGCGCAGCACATCTTGTAAGTGATCTTCTGGTACTTTATAAAGATCCACGCACCTTGGTTCTTCTTTCCGGTATCCGGATTTTCCCTGAGGTCTTTACTAAAATGATCGACATCTACATCTAATGGTTCTGCCTGCCAAAAGAAATGTCAAATCGTTCTTATATCCCTTAGAACATGCTCGCCAACTTAAAGTTACGGTTCTATTCTGTTACACATTTCGGCAGTGTGTGCTCTTCCATCATTCCCTAGAGTGTGGTGGTGTGTCGAAAGTTCGAGGCCTTCGATTTACGACCGTCCTGTCTGCTCTTCTTTGCGAATGGTCTGCAACACTTCTTATGTCATTGGAGCTGTGTGAATGTCAAGATGCAAGAGTGACCTTACCCCCCACCATGACTCGCTGCATGTAGCGCTTTTCTATCCAGGTATCCCGGAAAGGAAATGCGAAAACTCAAAATGGTGTGGTAGCACTTCAATTGTCCGACTGGTGCATGTTCTTTGCCTATCTGTCAACAAAGTCTCTGTTCGCATCGCTACCCTTGTTTACTCTAGAACAGAATGAGTCTCTCCGCATGTTGGAGCTGCTTTTTCTCTCTTCCATCGAAATAGAGAGATAGTAATCGCATGTTGCCGTGTGTTTATGTTTTCCTTTATAAAACTTTGGGGGCTCACATCTGATTTGCTACAGAACAGAGGCGACATGGCTGTAAATCGGTCCCGGTCACTGTTCCCTTGAAACGTTCGGAAACTAGAGATGATTCTGAGATGGACTCGAATGTCGGTGTCCGTTTAGGCCGTCTGCTGCTCGATAATACAGCAGGAGACAATCGTGATTGAGTGACAGCCGTCCCAACAAAAGAATTGACCTACATTATAGCCTACTGCCTGAACCTTGAACTCCGTTGGTCTACGGACTCGTCAGAACTGCGTTCTTCCTCTTGCTGTTCGAAGTCTGGCTGGAGACGGCCTCGCGCAACTTCTTCCCGAAGACAATGGAGTCCTTGCTTAGATCCTCACGTAAGAGCTTAGTCTATGCTCGGCGGGCGATTCCAGGCCGTCTGTCGAACTTCTCTTCCTCCTTCATTTCTTGCTTATTAGCGCCACTGCCATACCAGAGCACCTAGCCATTAGGCTGGACGATCTTGAGTACTTCAGATTTTGGTCGTGCGTACTTCTTGAAGAGGTCTCAGAGGCCGGCTTCGTTGAGTGCAAACTGTCCGGATGGAGGATGCAGGTCGAGAGAGCCGCCTTGTATTCGGGTCTCTGACGTAGACTTGTAGATTGTGAAGGAGATATTGTGGCTTTGAAGGATGTTGGCGAGGGTTAGAGACACAGGACCAGCGCTGCAGATAGTAATCTTACGTATTGTCGATGCTCTCATTTTGTGCCTTTGATTCACTGGAAACCTCTAGATTTCACGACTTCAGACTGTTGGTCCAATGTCTGGGGAGAGACTTTCCAGGTCGATGTTGTGAGTTAATTTCAGATGATGATGGCAACTACTTCTTCCCTCTGGTACGGTTCGATTGTGCACGGACACATATTAGCTACCTGATGAGCTTCTTCAAATCGATTTGAGCCCGGTTGTTTCAGCCTCCGATGATTCGATGGTCTCTCGAAAGCGAACATGCAGCCTGTGGCGTCAGGGTCGCTCTTCGGGGCCTCAAACCGTCATTTTGGGCCCGGGAACAAAAGACTAAGCAGTCCGTCAGCGTCAAGGGGCAGCCTCGTCAAGGTTCCGACGCCACGCAGAGGCTTCTTCCGAGGAGGACTGCAGATAGCAAGAGACTTCCATCAGCACTTGAGAAAATGGTCGCAAAATTCATGAACACAAGCTAGTCGTCAGATGCTTCGCTGTGGATGTAACGTTCGAACGCAGACAGGCTGTGCTGAATTGTCAATTCCTCGCAGTGCAAACTGGCCTTCGTACCGATGATGCGCTGACTTTTTTGCAGTTATGTGATCGAGCAGCATGTCCTTTCAACATGGCGGTCTCGATCCTGGCTACGCGGCAGCTTGGTAGGTGCAAGCACACTTCCAGTATGTCAGACTCCGTCGTCACTTCATCGAGTATATCGTCCATTGTGATCGTCCATCAAAACTTCGCATCGTAAGAAACTGATCATTGCGGCACGATCTGATGTCCATGGATGCTTGGTGCGTAGTTTCATGATTTGCCGGGGCCGAGGACGGTCAGCCCCCGAGTGATGAAAAAGGTCGGATACAATGGCAAAAGTGTCGTAGCCTCCAGAACATTCGTGGGGTTGTTTGACGCTCAGCCACTGACTACCTCCCAACTTTCCGGGATATCTAGCCAACTTTTTCTGTGACCCGACCCGGCCGAGACACATTGCGGAAAGCTCTTTCCGGTTCCGTCAGCCGAACAGAGCCGACCACTCATACGAAACGACCCCTTATCTCTTGAACATCATTACCATGGATGAATCAGCCTGATTGTCGAGATCACGGGATGCGCTCCGAACAGCAGCTGTGGTGTAAAGCTAGTCCGGCTTTGGCATGCGAAGGCGCCAGGTTCATCAAAAGAACCGCCGACATATATCATGACAATCTCTCCAAGTTCCTTTCTAGCATCCAACCCCAGCCTTGTCTTCCGCCAACCTCCGTAGTGAAGGCTCGGTACTTCTCTCGCCCTCACTCTCAACCTCTTCAACCACTCAGCAACTACCGAGCCAACAATGCCCCAATAGTTGCCTACAGAGCGATGCCACCGATGTCACCGATGTGCTACTCCCAATACTGCCTAGATCAACCCCAGATTAACAAAGATGAACGGATTCGAGCCTGATGCTGCGTATGAAATGATAGGTCAAGGATGGGACTACCTCAGATCGACGGTGTATAAAGAGGCGTGGAGGTCCTCAGGGAACTTCTCAGCACCGAATTCGAACTGGCCGTTTCCGGCATCTCTCCCAAGTCTCTTCCACAAGATGAAGGCTCAATCCCTTCTTTTGCTGTCCTTGTCAGCTCTTCTCGGCAATGCGCAGGAGGCGTGCGATGCAACCTGTCAGGCTACTTACACTCAGCTTCTAGCTGTGGAGGCCTCCAGTTGGGTTTCGAAGAATGTAACTTTTGAGACATTCTACAGTACTCCCGCCAACGTTACAGGAGCGAAACCTGGCGATCTCTTGCGATGGGAAGACTTGTCCCAAAGCGTCGTCAACACAAACTTCACGGCACCTGCTGGAATGTCGATCTCCAGGTTTCTCTACATGACCGAAGACATCGATCGAAAGCCAATTCCCGCGAGTGCCTTCGTTCTGCTCCCTTATAATAAGCCTCACGATGACAAGCCCTTCAATACTACAGTCTGGACCCATGGTACGGCCGGCCGGATTCGTAACTGTGCACCATCGAACCACAAGGACTTGTACTACGAGTGGCAGGGCCCATTCGCTTTGGCAGCAGCTGGATATGCAGTTGTTGCTCCTGACTATGCTGGTCAAGGATCAGACATCCCGCAGGGCTTCATGTATGAGGCTGGCTACCTTCACGCTGCAGACGTCGCGTATGGCCTGATCGCTGCTCGGAAGGTGCTCGGCAACCTCTTGTCGGAGGAATGGGTTGTCGTAGGGCACAGCGAAGGCGGAATGACTGCCTGGCGCACGAATGAGCGATTAGCCATGCCTGGTCAGGAGGAGCTACTCAAGGCAGGCAAATTTCTCGGAGCCGTTGCGAATTCGCCAGCTCTGCGCCCGTTGGACCTGATCCCAGAGTCCATCAGACGTGCTGCTGGCGGACCCATCGGCGACGCTGTCTCGGTCTTCTTCCTGCAGTCGCTTGCACTCCTGTTCCCCGGCCAGATCAAAGTGGAGGACTACGTCACCGATACGGTCCTCGGCCGCATCCCTCTCGTGGATCAAGGTTGTTTGCTCATTGGACGTACCTTATTCTCGAACCTTACCAGTGATGAGCTGTTCAAGGACCTCAGCTGGCTCGAGAACCCAGTCGTAGTGGACTGGCAGAAGCGCTACAACGGCGCTGGCCCGCATGCTTTGGCAGCACCCATGCTGGTCGTCGCAGGCATCGATGATCCACTCACCTATGCCAACAATACAGAATGGGACTTCAACCAAACATGCAATTCGTATCCCAATTCGAAGGCTACCCTGAGACTGTATCCTGGTACCGACCACAACGTGGCCGCTGCGGTATCGCAACAAGACTTCTTGAGATGGATCAAGGCCAGGTTCGATGGGGCTGAGGTTCCAGTTGGCTGTGCAATCCAGACTGCGACAACTGCGACGACTCGATACAGGAACGTGGGCACTTTCTACACCGGCTCTGGCGGTGGCTAAAAGGATCTTGGGTCATTGCGATATGCGTCTTTGCTTGCAGCTCGACCGTTGCATAGTCCCTCCTACGCGAACTGCCGGTCTAAGCATGGAAAGAAACATACCCGCCCAAGTCTTAAGGGAGTTGGTTGTGTATCACTGGTCGTGTATTAATAAATCATAGTGAAATCTAGTTAAATTATTTTCTAAATGCTCCCTCATTTGACTGCGTGATATTACCGTATATATGTGCGCGTGACCATCAAGCAGCGGCAAGCATCATCAACACTCGACGCCGCCTTCGCTCCGCGCCACCAAAATTGCGCTGCAACCACAGTGCAGAGCTGACACTCGCCAAATGACAACGATCAGCGACAGGAGCTCGCGCCTGCGATTCATGCATGTCTTCGCGAGACATTTACGATCATAGCACAGCAAGATCGTCACGTCCTGTCGACGCGTCCTGCCAACACGACCAAGCGTCCAAGACAATAATCGCTCGGCCACAAAACATCCTGCCTTAACACCGCCTTCTCAACACGGCGCTGTGCCGCCTCCATTCGTTGTACAACAAATCACGACGGCGCGCGTTGTGACAGCAGTGTTCACGCTCGAGTAACCGAGCAAACTGTTCGTACCGTGTGTATGCCTCAAAAACATACCCCACCATGACAGTATCGTCGAGTAGTCGCCCACACTTACCACCACGATCCGCGTCTCCAAACGATAGATCACGGACCAATTATAGTCACATAGCGTGCAAGGCTGGCGCACGAGCCACTGGTACCTGCATCTTGGCAGTGCATGGACCAGAACTGTTGGTCGAGCATTTGCCGACCTCAATTCTGCTGCTGACAAGAGATGATGTCGGATGCGAGGCTCATTCGACGATCCAGGGCTTCCTTGTACAAAGACTGATTGCTAAAATTATAGGAGCGACATCTTCGAGACCCAGAGGATCCGGCGCATTAGAGATTCTGCTCATGTTGGCTTTCTCGGCACGATTGCTGTGACGGCGTCTTACAGACTAGGGGAAATTGCGCCCAGCCACAACTAGTCCACGCCCTATCCGAAGCATCACGTTTCCCCAGGCCTCATCTCCTCAACGTGCCGGCATTCTGCACATCGTGGCCCAATTCGCCATAGTTTGGGCGCCCTAGTGCTCTGTTAACGATGTTTTACCGCATGTGTACCTGCATCTTCCTGGTGTAATCTTAGGGACCCCTATCCTAACGCCTCCGATGCATGGCAGCAACCGTGCCCACAAGACGACGGTGAGTCCGTCAAAAGGCCTCAGTACCCCGGTTGCGTGCTTGCTTTGCTTCCTACGCAAGGCTTCGTACGCATCAACAGCCTCGTGATCAAAGTCCAACGGCCTCCGTGCCCAGTCACTCGTTTACAACACACCGCTTCATTCTTTCAGCGGACAAACACAAAGTAATAACAAACCCGTCAATATGAAGGCCTCTATCGTTGCTGCATCAGCACTTGTCGCGTCTGTTGCTGCCTTCGAGCACAAGAATCACGCTGGTTTCCACCTGCGCCGTGACGCATACGAGTCCGCTAAGGACGAGATCTGCACGGTCTACACAACTGTCTACGTCCACGCCCGTACGTAATTGACCTCTCATACCGCCAGTTGAACGCATGTGGTCCAGGCATCTGGGCAAAGAAGGCGCAGTGTCATAAGACCTATCACTAACATGTCTAAGTACCCTCGATTGTGCCCAACACCACTACCATCTATGAGCACTCTACTCCCGTTGCGGTGACCTCAACCTCGTGCACCGAGGGCGAGAAGTCCAGCTCCATTTACACCCCAATTGTGATCTCCACCAAGACATCTGAGGCCTCTCACCCAGTCTACCCCACTGTCCCAGCTGTACCCGAGGTCTCCAAGCCTGTGGTTCCCGAGGTTTCTAAGCCAGCCCCTCAGCCTTCAAAGCCTGCTACTCCCGAGTATCCCACCAAGCCCGTCGACACACCCAAGCCCAAGCCCAGCAGCTCCAAGGCTGCTGATAAGCCCAAGCCCACCGGCAGCTACAGCAATGGCGGCCGTATCATCACCAACGGCAACAAGTGGGCCATGACCTACACCCCCTATGCTCCCGATGGTAACTGCAAGACCGAGGCCGACATCAAGTCCGACATCAAGCAAATCGCCGATCTCGGCTTCACCACCATCCGCTCCTACAGCACTGACTGCGGTGTCTTCGAGTATGTCGTTCCTGCGTGCCAGGAGCACGGCTTGAAGATTATCTATGGCATCTTCCTCGAGGCCGGCGGTAGCGGCGGCAAGGGCCCCTTCTCACAGTACGCCAACGACCAGCTGGACGATATCAAGAACAACGCCCCTAAAGATGGTGTCGCCATGGTCATCGTCGGCAACGAGTGCATGTTTAACAACAACTGCACCCCTGTGGAGCTTGCCAGCTACATCGACCACGTTCGCGAGACCCTCCAGGGCGCTGGCTTCCCCAAGGATATCGCTATCACCACCACTGAACCTGTTGGTACATGGGAAGAGAAGGGCGCTGAGCTATGCAGCCACATTGATATCTTCACTGTCCAAGTCCACCCCTACTTCACTGCATCCATCTCGCCCGATATGGCAGGTGACTTTGCGGCTCAGCAGCTTGAGCAGGCGGCTAAGGTGTGCCCCGAGGCTGCTGCTAAGGGCAAGTACATCTCCGAGATTGGCTGGCCGAGCGCGGGCAACAACAACGGCAAGGCTATCGCTGGTGTTGCTGAGCAGAAGGAGGCGATGAAGAAGATCATCGAGAAGGTTGGTGCTGAGGCATGTCTGTTCAGCTTCAAGGATGACCCGTGGAAACACCCCGGTTCGCTTAATGTTGAGCAGCACTTTGGCTGTTCTGATGCCCTCTCTTACTAAGCTGTGCTCACATTAGTTCTAGTGGACTAAGAACTGGGTAGTGGTGTCAGGTAGTGAGCATCCGCAGAGTTGCCTCTCGGATATTCTGTAGAGCGCCCTATGGATATATTCACTGCATTTACGTATTCACGCTTGTTTATGGTTGGATAATCCTTCTTGATGGCGACCCTGGTCGATGGTTTAACGGCGACCCGAGGTATTATTTAGTGTGTAATTTCTTAATTTTACTATGATCTCGATCTCCGAAGACAATGTTGGTGCTTTACAACAAATTACACGTGCTCGTATTCATTTAGCTGTGACATGCGTGGAGCCACTGGGCTCGAATCCATGTTTACTAAGACAAACGTCCTGTTCCCGCTGGCTGTCGAAACAGATGTTTAGAGCTCGTTCCTTGGGCGCTAGGAGGTGACCAACCACTCGAGCGCAGCGACGAAGAAGCTATGCTTCTGGTGAGATCTACTCTCGAATTAACGTGGCCAAGAAAGAGAGTACTTAAGATAACAAGTAATCTGTACCCGGGGACGATCAGTCACCACGCCATGATGTACTGGAGAATATTGTATTACCGACATGTCGTTTTCAACGATACACCTAGAAGCAAGAGGGCATCAATATGTAATGTGAGAAGAGGACGGTGCATGTCGCGAGACACATTACCATTCAAAATTGCACTCAAGAAGACACGTCTCCAGTAGGTTGGTCGAGTAAACTTGCAATCTATTGTTAAAGCACTACAATTATGATTTCATTAAATGCCAATCAAATCTGATAGTCTATCGAGAATATTAGATCATGTAGCCATAGCACTAAGTTGCTTCTTACATAGAAAGGGAGAGTATTTCCTTTAACAAAAAGGTATCTTTCAATGCGTAGCGTCTCTACGACTCGGTCATTTTGGCCAGTACGAGGTTGTAGTCTGCAGTTCTGCAGTTGGGAACGTTTGGAATGCTCTGGGAGCATGATGCTCCAAACGCCAACCGTGCCGCGTTTCCAGTCGCTGTAGCGCCACTCAAGGCCTGGAGCTCAATGCAGCCATAGTCTTTTTGGAAATTGGTCATGTGATCGACGAGGGCAGTAGCTCCCGCCTGGTACTGAGCAGCAGGGATGGCAGATGCAAGTTGGGAAGCACTCAAATCGTCACCGAAAATAACGGTGTCGAGGTAAGCACGGCAGGTGCCACGCTTCAGCAGTCCGTGAGCCACATCTATGCCAGTGTCGTGACGCATGACCAAGTGTCCCTCTTCAGTTTGGTATGAAAGGTACTTGGCCACATGTGAGGTTGAGTTGAGCTGGTACTCAACGACGGCGGGATCGGCAAGGGTACGATTCAGGCCAAACCTGTGGCTGCCCATACCGTCATGCCAGTCAATGTCTTGGCCATCCAGACGGAAGAGAGCTGAAGATCCAGAGAGATCCCTAGGGGTAGGAGATGAAAGTCCAATGAAAAGTGCTCCACCAGCGGCGCTAACTGTAATGAGAGCTGTAAAAGTCGTTTCAACTACAGAAACCACGCAAGCCTTATGGGTTGCTGAGCCGCTGGAACAGTCGATGACCGAATTTCGTAAGGCGGTAAAGAACACACCACCAGTAAGTGAAGCAACTGCAGTAAGGAGTGCAATGGCCGTAGCGGGGCCACGGGTAAGGAGGACGGCAACCATAATGACGTTAAGTGTGTTTAACTGTGCTTAGAATGGTGGCTTCTAAGAAGTATACGACCGACGATGCTGTAATGAATGTAGGGTAGTTGAGAAGTATCTGGTATAAACTGCAAGAGGGAGAATACAGACGACTTTATATTCAGCTAACATGAAGGGCTACGTTACAGAAAAGAGGTTAAAGCTCCAGGGTGTTGCCTGAAAAGGGAAACCTACGAAGAAAGCCCGTTGTCGGAAATTTGCAGCAACACAGTTAAAACAATCACAGGTTGAAAGCTACGTCTCTGTTGCCACTCGATTTCTCAACCTAAGCATTTTAACGATCACCCATCAGCTAGACAATAACAATACGAAAAATGCCCGTTGCCGGAGATTTGCACGAATGCGGTCAGAATAATTACAGTCTGAAAGCTACGTCTCGGCAGACTCGGCTGCCGCTTAGTTCCTTAGTCTGAGCTGTTTGACGATCACTTAACAGCTAGATATCACCAATACGAAGCCCTAAGGCTTTGGCAGTACCTAGTGTCGTACTACAGCCTCATATTAACAACCTAGACTAACTTAGATGCTTTGCGTTTAGGTTAACTCTGTGCATCGACTTATTACTACTATCTAATCTAAAGGAAGATGCAGATGAATAGTTCTATCATTGCTGGTACAAGGAACCTTTACAGAGCTTGATTATTGGCAAGAAACGTACGAATTAGATCACTAGTTGCCTTGTGCCATCTTTCGGCTCTAACAGTTCTGGCAGCAAAATCCATCAGAAGCGTCCCCCCCCCAATAGAGTTAACTCGGACTTAAGCGTAAGTGGAGACAATTCATTGCAAAGCTCTATAAGTAGGCAAATTCACTGTATAATCTCAGTTGTGTGAGATTCAGCCTATACCTATGATAGTTAGAGGTGGCGCAGATTGAACAGTCTGTGTGGGGATACCAACCACGATATGTAAGCAAGCTTCAGGCTTTAACTTCTTAGCAACTCTTGTATTAACAACAATTATCACAGAAGCGACAGAGCTATAGGTAATTTGCTAAACAATTGCTAAACTAACGCTTTAATTTAGTAGTAACATGCTTACACATCTAATCTGATTGCAGAGGCACATCTTAAGGTCTAGAGGGACTGCAACATAAGGTGCTGTAACTTCTACTTTAGCAAAGGCCCATCTTGAGCTGAGATGGAGCAATTGTGATAACGGGGTTGTGATGAAGGCTCTATGGAATGTTGCTGCTAGAATAATGCACAAGATAGCTAACACTACAACTCTAAAGTCTTTACTATTGTCTCTTGTCTCTGTCAAGATTCCCCTTTGCGTTTCCCACAACACTGTCTTCGGTCGGATGTGGCTTTATAAACTCTAGGCCGACGAAGAGCCGAGATTGGATAGCGCGACCGACGCAATAAGCAGCTGATTGGTTAACGTACAATTCTGTGTCCTAGCTGAAAAATACGAGACTGACGCGCCAAAGACCGTGCTTCTACCTACAACCTGGCCCACGTGCACATAACTAAACAAATCCGTCCAGCTTAGACCCTTACAATATCGTTCCTACAATACGAAGTAGTTTATCCTAATAGATATACGACCTTTTGCCCCACATCAGATCGCCTGTCTATTCCCACACAGTAGGATCCACTTAGAGCTCACTTGCGCAGTTTCAGTGGCTCCAGGCTCATAACTGTCGCGCAGCAAAAGATTTATCAATCAACCTCTTGCTGCACAGGCTAGTGGATATATCTTTTGCAACAGCTTCGCACCTAGCTAATACCCAGTTAACTAAAGGTCAGGGGTTTGGTCAGATGGAATGAGCGGTAAGCGGCCAATTATCAGAGATACGGCAGCGCTGATGTCCGGAGTTAGACCGGGACAAATCCCCCAATTAGTTGATACCTGACCACTCATCTTGGCCGAGTAAAGTAGGGGTTGTTCGTAACTCTTGAGCTTTGGGTTCTAGGTCCGCTGTTGCTTCCGATGAGTACGAATTATCTTCGGACCGTTCGCAGTTGATTAGTTTAGTTTTGGTAGGGCTACAACATTCTACTTCACCTGCATGGAATGATGAGCGCAGCTATGCTCAAGTCTTGAAAGATATAAAGATGCTGACTTCTTCCTTAGCAGGCAGTACATCTCTTTTGCACACAACTCAATTCTCTCCAAGCAACACACTTAACACTCATACAATTATTAAAGCTTCCTACAATGCACTTCATTTTCGCTCTTCTCCCGTTTGTTCTTTCAGCTGCGGTTGCCAAGGACCACAAGCGATGCGACTGTCAGATTCAGAACCAAGATGGAAGTTGGCGCTATGACTGGCAGTTGACTTTCAATACCTGCCAGAACACCTTCTCTGATATTGTAAGGTCTCTTAAGTCCCTAGAACCATCGTCAGCTAATTCTAATAGGCCAAATACGATCCAGGTGCCGGTCGTGTAAGTATACACCTTTCGAACCAGTGTAATATTCTAACAACTTAGTGCGTTGCCGCCTCCGGCAAACGAATTGACGGTGATACCTGGTTCCGTGACTGTGCGTTCCAAGCCAAGAGTGGATATTTCCCCGTTTCAGGCGGAGCGATCGATACAACCGGGACACCTATGACTGGTACTGGAGGTTCCACCTGCGACTAGTCTGGCGTATAACGCGACTATCTTGGTGGTTATATGGATGCTAAAGAGAAGCTTCCTCAGCTGAACAGCAGGAGAAGGTGGAAAATTGTTCCATATCCAGCTTGCCCAGTCAACGCTCCACAAAAAGCGCATGGTCGCGACCAAACACGGCTTCGTTATGTAGAGATCATGTAGCAGTCTAGTACAGATGCCTGCGGTCGAATTGTCATCTCTGTTTACTCAGAAGGTTCACACTGTGCCCACATAAAGTAGTGACAGTTAAGATCGTGATGCACCACCTAAAGCCTCCCCAACACCCCTCTTGACTTTTTATGACAACAGGCAATGTGTGACGGTTAAGAGGAGAAGCAGATCACGTGTTGTCGGCGGTGGTCTGGTACTACTTCCTCATGTTGTTGAGCACCTCTTACCTCAGCTGCATCACAAACACGTCATCAAAACAGACCCCGCAGCGAGCCTTGGAGAGGCAAGACACAAGCAGAAGAACAACACGGAACAACAGAATACACTTTTTTGCATTTGCCCTTGATACCGCAACAATATTATATGAGAAAGTCTTTAGCATGGACCTCGTCAAGTAGGCACTTCACCTGTGTAGGCGACTTACCTGTGAGATATGTCATGATATCTGTAAATCCGTACAATGAATTCGTGTATGCATGCGCTCTCAGAATCCTGACTTTCTCGCCTTCCACATCATCACACAGCTTTGACATTGCATAATACCTTCCAGCGCTTGCCTTCATCAAGGTTCAGTGTACTCTATTACAGAGTTGTTCCGTGAGACCAGAACCTGCTGAGGCTTTCATTGGAGCTATTCAATGAATACGAGATCAACTTTCCATCAAGCGTGCGGATCGTCAAACACACCCATTCGAGCTCTCTGCTATTCATGATGTAGAATTGTGTCATATTCGCGACCGTGGGGAGCATGACAAGTGTACTCGTAATCAGGCACTTCTATAGAAGGATTTTCATGTTCTCATTCCTCCCAGACTTGAGCATGATTCCCTTAATACTCGTTTGAGCCTCAATCTCTCTCTTCCTGATGTTGTGCTTCACTTTACTCGTGAACTTCTCGACGAGCCAGGTGCTCATCTTCAGCAAACCATGGAATTCTAGCACCGGGCGGAGAAGCCAGAAGAACACGCCAGTCAGTAAGAAGTTGACGGCGACATCGAAGCAGAGCAGGAGGAAGCTGACGTGGGCGGGAGCCCAATACGGCACCGGCCGTCGAGCTCGACGACGGGCGAAGTGCAGCCGATGATGGCGATAGTGCCGAAGCCGCCGCATATGATGAATATACCGAGCAGCCAGACGCGGTCTTTGAGGCGAGATACGAATGGAGCGCGGGCAACACGGGCACGTTCTAGAAGGAAGATATAACTAAGCGTTATGGTCAGTTGAGCTCGAGCAACAGGCGCCACGGAATTTACATGGCAAGTTTGTTGCCGATGTGGAAGACCAGGCAGATCATCGCTGATACATAGAAGAGTTGGTGGGTCTGCAGTCCTTGGCCGGTTTGTACAACAGAGGCACGAACGATGAAGCCAAGACCAAATATAAAGAGAATGGATGAAGTTGCGTTTGAGAAGGACATTGCTGCGAAGTGTCCTGAGTCGAAATTCTGACAAGACTTAGAAGTACAGAGTGCTATAGACAATGCACATCATTAGTCCTAGAACCGAGCAGTTTCAAGGACCTACCTAAGAAGACAGCGAGCACGATCGTACAGAACAGTGCAACGGCGTCATAAGCCGTTCGGTCTATACCGGTTTCGTCAGGCATCAACGAGTGTCCAGTATCAGGATTAGTTGTGATGGTACGTTCATTATCTCTGGCTACGAGTCGCGCAGACAGGAGCGTCATCTCCATCGCCATCCGGGGAAGCACAGCGCCAGCGATGAGTGGCCAGCGCAGGATAGTCAAGAGTCGCGACATAACGGACGTGTCTTACTACCAGAAAGACATGTGAGACATGTGAGACATAGGTTTCCGTGAAGAAGAAAGAATGTGGATTGAATTGAGGCAAATGATTCCAAACCTCACTTTCCATAAGACAATACTAAACCGCAGACGCACCGTGTCGCTGCATATTATGCCATTGACGGCAGCTCTAACTTCCTTACAGCTCGATTCATCACGGGGCCTGGATGGGGAGTAGGCTCCGGAAGGCTCCAGCTGGGTCCCGCTCAGCAAACTGCCACAAATGCGACTCCAGACTGTCAAGTCATTCGATCGCGGCTCGAGGTTTCATGATCTGGTGGCGCATGACACAAGATTTTTGTCAGACGCGTTGAAGGCTTCGAAACGGGCCAGCGCCTATGCCCGAAATGATGGGACTAGGAGAAACCTCGTCGGCTCACTTTCCCTGCACCTGCGTGCGGATATATATAGACTTTCCGATCATCCGTTCTTCCGGGGAATGAGGCGGCGACTATAGAAGGCTTGCCTTCTGTGAGTTCACTAGCTTCGCGTCGAGGTCCCCGCGCACCAGTAGTGCCTATCCTCCTGTTTTGAGCCGAACTTTTCTATTCGCGTATTGCGATTTTAATATACGATGTGCCTTACGAGTCACGACATGTGTGGCTATAGGTCTGTACAGTTTGCTCAATGCTGCGCTAACTCTGCTTTCAATGCAACGCGATGACTTCCAGTGAAAACCAAGCCTCCTAAAATTGACTATTGTTTGCATGCCGGAGGAGGTGTAGCTGATCAGTACTTTGTACCGAAGCCACTTAGCGATGCGGCTTGTGGTAGAAAGTCTTTCGAGTAGAGAGTAATATACAGTAGTCAATGTAAGCAATGCTCACCAACAGCAGTGGCTTTGGAGACTCCACCAAAGTCGAGTCAAGTATCACCACTGATGACTGACAGGCTCAGACCGTACTTCAACGGTAGATAATCGTGCAGGTATGGTTATCGCCTAGCTCCCAACGGATCCCTCAAGCCAACATCTCAAGACATTCAGTATATTCTTTTCACGCTTGGTTTCACCCAATGCAGCCCCTCTTCACAGGTATGCTGCAGACTCCATGTTTGTATCTTATTAATATCCCAGCCACTGACGTACTTTCGATCCTCTTCCTCATGATAACCGTCCGGCTCTTTCGCACGACCAATGTATAGTGCCCTCAAGTAATAGCAGTGCGCTCCATGCCAAGTGTACTGTTGACATTCGTGGTGCGCAAAGCATCCAGCTTCGCAGGCGTCGAGGCTTGAGTGTACTGTGGAGTTCACGTCGAGCTGGAACCCTGCGTCGAAGGCTGCGTCCCAATCGTCGCGCTGAGAGAAGTTGCCAAGGTATGAGAAAAGGAGATCTTTGTACAACAAGGGGCGTTCGTGTTGCTGGTGTTAATCATTTTCCCATGTCCACAGGTCCTTCATCACGTGTGGGTCTGTCTTGTGCAAGGTGATGACAGGTTCACACCAATAATCCTTGCCAAACGGCACGTCTTCAAGCCCGCGTGGGTTGAACATAGGCCACAAGCCGCTAATATCCACTCCAGCTTTGTCATGGAGGGCCCATCCGAGAATGGAGTCTCCGCAGCAATCGTTCCTGATATCGTCTTCGTACTCAATCGTGAGTCGAGGCCCTTGAACACCGACGGCATTGTGTGGACGATCAACCAGTCTGTGCGCAGCAGCTGTAGACAATATGAAGCCGCAGCCACCGTTTGCGAACCAGATCTGCTCTTCGTGTTCTGACTTCGAGTCGGGGCGATGCTTCTTCCCAGGAGACGGCGAGCCGAAGTAGTGTGGTACTGAAGAATCGTAATTGTCCAGCATGCGGTAAACGTTGTCCCAGAAGAGATACGTGTCTGATTCGAGGAAGATATACCACTCAGCCTTGCGGTTGAGCTGGATCGCCCTCTCCACTGCTGGCAAGAACTTGTATTTGTCAATCTTCCAGCCTTCATGGCCCTGGTGTAGTTCGACGCCATCACAAGTGGCATTTTTCTGCGCCTCGTACGCCTCATAATCCTCCTCCCTCATATATGTCATTGCTGGCAGATCTGCGAGCACATCGACGGCGTTGTGGGGACCGTACTTGTGATATTGGTCTGAGATGACAAGCACGTTGTTTATGCACTTGATGATTGTGTTGACCATTGCGTTCGTCCTTGCACCGGCGTCTGCCACTCCTGTCTTGAGTACGACCTGCACTTTCTCCCTGAGATGCTTGGGGAACAGGAAGCACTCGTCCATGATGCCAACGTTCCAATCGATGTTCTCCTTCTTGTGAAACTATGACTTGGTCTCCCAAAGCCAGTGCCTATTCGAGGACTGAGTGCGAGATACGACTCGGGCCACGGGGCATTAATGCTGCCGACTTCCGAGCGGACAGGTTCATCCTGCGAATCCGGGTGAAGTTGAGAAGGAGACGGCAGAATCGCTGAATGTTGGTCACGCGGAAGCAATGTGGGATTGGTGCACAGCTTGATGTGCTCAGAAGCTCTGGTCTTGATGTGGCAGAGACCAGAGTGGCACCTTGAACGTCTTTTTTTCAGCCCTGTGATTCACGCTGAAGTGCCCGGTCTCCCGACCGTTCAGTCGGAATTCGCGCCAAACCGGTGAACTACACTTGGACAATGATAGATACGTACGCGCACACCTAGAACTTCACCCACAGGACTGCATACGTTCATGAAACACAAGAGCATACTATACGATGCGCGCAATTGAGCAGAAGTGCATCTCCTTATCATCCTGGGGACAGACGTCACTCATGAAGCGGCACGGAACATTGACCTTTGGCACTGCCACTCAGGCGAGCAGCCTGGCGTGATTCTGGCCACTGGTGCGCGCCGCTAGCTGGCGTTCCTGCTGCTTGTGGGTCACCGGTCAAGCCTTCTCGTCGTGCTGTGCAGTTCTCTGGCTGCAAGTGCGTATCTGCGCAGTTGATTCGACCGCCCTTTGCAGGCCGTTTTGGCTGTGCTGGTGTTGCTGTTGGTGCAGGACTGGCGGTCGTCACCATGCGAGTGTGCAATTCTGCGCGATCCTGCGGCCCACGACGCAACGCGCAACCGCGTAATTGATGGCGACTAGATTGGAGCAGATGGCGTTCTCTTTGGGAGTGACTTGCGTCGGAGCCGGGAGAAGTTGTTGTCGCAGCGAATTATCCCATCGTGCTCGCAGCTTGGTCTGCGAGTTTCGAAGCGTGGGAAGGCTTAGCGTGGCGCTAGTCCAGTAGCTCAAGGCAGCAGCGACTGCGTGGTGGATCCCGTGTCAGCATCGCGAAGGGTGTTCTCCAACTATACTGCCCTTTTCTCACTTCTACTCTCGACTCGTCCAACTCATCAGTCCTTCTGCGTCCAGTTTTCTGTCCTGAGGCCTGCAACCCCTCTTTTCCGTTGCGCACCCGCCCTTCTGCATCGTTTTGCCACGCACGCAGCCCGTCTTACTCCGACTGCGCCGCCTTTCATATATCGGACACTTCCCCACGTCTGCTGCAACGAAAGGACTCTGCGCGCCCTTCCTCCTCCGCTGGAATCACTTTCGTCACTCAGCCAATCAGTCACGACTTTCCGCGGCCGCCAAATCGCTGATTCCGAACCGGTCAATGAGATCGTGATTCAGGACTTGCACCACCATCATTGGTTCCGGCCATAGGTCAATAGGATCCCTCGGGCTCTGTGAATTGTCCACTCGCCGTGACTCATAACCTGAGGCCTCCTCTACCAACTTAGCGCGTTTGGATTCAGTCATACAACATGTCTGCACCTCAACCCCAGAACAGCCACCCCCGCCGCCGTCCTATTAAGGGCAACGTCTCTCCACTCAGCACCCATGGCATGTCACTTCGCAAGTGCGGTACCTTCTCGTCACCCAAGTCGTTGAGCAACGAACTTTGTGGCCTGGAGAACCAACCGTTCATGCCCAGGAGGTCTCCGACTAGCACCGAGAGCCTCGAAGCTCTCCTTCAGGAACAGCACCCTAGTGTCAGCCGTGTCGCGAACCTGCTCAAGGACTTCGACGAGAAGCTCGCAGGTCACAAGGTCACATCGGCATCCGGTGCTAGCATCCTTAACGATCCTGAGGTGCTTCCTGTTCCCAGCTTCATGCTTGACATCACTACACTGGATGATATGCCCATGGACGTTGACTCTAAGTTCAAATCAGCTGAACGCAACCTTCACGAGCACGCTTCGGACAGCGGTCTGGGTTCCAGCATCGGCTCGAAATACAGTAAGGACTCATTGCAACTACCCGTCTTTGAGACCCCGCCATCTAACGCATTTAAAGACGACGCTCGCACCTCAAGCGCTCGCGAGTCTATCAACTCTTCCATCACCACCCACTCTGCCATCACTCGTTCGTTCTCGGCATTGGGTGCAACCGAGGAGAAGCACACTCTTGGCGAGTACGCTTGCAAGCAGATCCACGACTCGATCATCAAGCCCATCCTCGCTGAAGAGTCGCTGAAGGACTTTCATCCCCTGATCCAGGACGTTCCTCGACGCATAGGTGAGAAGAGTATTTGCAACCTCCGCGATCTCGAAAAGACGCTCGTCTTCCTGGCACCGGTAAGTGGTATCCGTTATCTTTCAGAGAATGCAAAAGCTTATTGCATCCTTCGCGGTTTTAAGGAGTTTTCGGCAACACCGGCATCCTACCTTCGATTCTGCGAGCGATCAATTCAACTGCTTCACACGACTGTCGACTACCTTTCGGAACGCGACCAGCGACTACCAACCGACCGCCCGTACACTAACAACTACTTTCTCGATTTGGTCGAACAGATCCGGAGATACGCTGCAATCATGGCCGCCACCCGACAAAAAGAAGCTCAAGGCGAGCACCTCGACGAGATGGATTACTCCCGGTATGACCGCGCCGCGACATTTCTCTTTACTCGCTCGGCTAATCACTCAAACGATAGCGATGAGAAGATCACCCTTCATGGCGGTCTAAGCAAGAACGGCCGTCCTGTCGAACTCGTCCGCGAGAAGGACGGCAGGGTCATCCCCCTTGCGATCGGCTCCGAGAACGCATACAAGAAGCGCGCCCTGTCCGAGGAGGATCTTGAGGATGACGACGACGTTATGCGCTCGATGGCTCGCCGCAGGAAGTCAGACAAGCCCGGTGATGTTTTGCACATGTGCCGTGATTGCAAGAAGGAGTTTAAGCGCCCCTGCGACCTGACTAAGCATGAGAAGACACACTCTCGCCCATGGAAGTGCTCCGAAGAGAGGTGCAAGTATTTCGAGCTTGGTTGGCCCACTGAGAAGGAGCGTGACAGGCACGTCAACGACAAGCACTCTACCGCACCGGCGCAGTACAAGTGCCTCTACCCTCCCTGCACATACGCCTCGAAGCGTGAGTCGAATTGCAAACAGCATATGGAGAAGGCTCACGGTTGGGAATACGTTCGATCCAAGAGCAACGGCCGCAACAAGAGCCAGGCAATCAGCAACAGCCCTGCCACTCCTCTCACCCCCTTCCTTGGTACACCACAGTCTGCTGCTCTCACTACACCAATCACACCCTTCATGGCCTCTCCATCTGTGCCTCTGATCAACGACTTCGACTTCCAGGGTTTCCAGACTCCAGCGATGAGCATTCACAACTTCCAGGACGATTTCCGTCGTCATTCAATCACCACCGATAGCACACGCCTCACGTACTCTTCCAGCAACTCGCCGGTCGAGCCTAACTCTTTCATGGAAGCTGCTATCACTCCTGCTGATATTGCTATCGACCACACCGTCCCCATGTTCCCTGATTGCGGAATGGGGTCGAACTTCAACATGAATGTTCAGCAATACACGCCTGCCTTGAGCACCGACTTCAACTTTAACGAGCCGATGTTCACCATGACCTCGAACCAGACTCTCGGTCTTCCTCAGTTGTCACCAATGGCGCAGCCCAATCTCACTCTGTACTCTCCTCAGATGCAGATCGATGAGGGTTTTGGTGACGCTATGGATAGCCTGGACATGCAGACCTTCAGCCACCCGACTGAGGATTTCACTTTGTTTGAGTCAACACCGGCTGGCAACATGTCAATGAACAACACTGCCAACTTCTTCCCTGACTTCAATCAGCTTGGAGGGCAGTTCGACAACGGAGCTCAGCAATACGACAACAACTTTTACAATGCCACTACCTTGGACACCACGTTGGATGAGATGCTGGGCCTCAACACTAGCAACCGGCAGTAAATGCTGGTCTGTATTGTATACGATGATGGATGTGCATTTGAATAAGGATCTTTTCCCACTTTGTTTCTACGGCGCATAGCGAGCACAATGAACACCACAAGAGATGGTTAGCGGATACGGTATGGGAATCGCATGGCACACAAGGTTTCCCTCTCTGCTTCACGGAGGTACGGCATACTCTCAGAACAGTAAACCCATAAAAATATGGCTCTGGATCTCTCGTCTCCCCAGCATCGGAATTGGTTGGATCTCCCCCCTTCTCTCCTTAGGCGTGGAAGAAGCAGGTGCGGTCGAGATCATCAGACAGGTAGTTTAGATACATAAGTTGTGGAGGAAAACATGTTTCCGAAGCTGCATGGTGATGCATGCGCATGATGACTCTGAGGTTGTGACACATTCCGCGTCGATGACTGCGTCGCGTCACAGCAACCACACTGGACCCTGAAAATTGCATTGATCAACAAGCATCAGAGCCAGGGTCCTGAATCCAGCACCACCACCACCAGCCTAACCCCTAACAGGATGACATCACGGGCTATCGCTTTCAATAAAGACTGCACGAACAAGTCGGACTTAGCGCTCTAATCTGAGCAGCGGAGTGGATCATGAGTGGGTCAGGAACGGAGATCGGATGCAAGTGGCACGGACTTGAAACGCTCGAGCGGCTTTCGAATCAAGGTGCCCCCTCCTCATCAACCGTCATGCTGCTTTCTATCCTCGACAGGCGGAGGCTCTCGTCGTCGTCGTGAAGACGCGTTCTTGTCACTCTCTTTGAATACCCTTAGGCTAATCCGGCTGTCCAATCTCTATCTCTGTCTTGTTTTTCTCTATCCGGGAATTAACGCTGGTCGTTCTCCTGCCTCCCACGACTTCGCGATACCGATTCGCACCGTTCCAGTTTCAGCAGTCTCTTCACGTCATTTACACGGGTTCCCAGGATGTTGGGCTTTCACAAGCGAACAAGGAGTTTGATTCCAGTTAAGGAATTGGCGAAGTACGATGTCGTGCCGGTCGAGGAGGAATTGTATGGCTACGGGAGCGAGAGCGAGGAAGAGCTGGAGAAGCAGAGCACAGACGCGACAGATTCGACGACATTGACGCGACAGCGCCAACTACTGCTCGTCTACCTTGTCTTCTTTGCTGAAGCGTAAGTCAACACCCTCATCTGAGCTGTTCACCCTCGACATGCACCCCAGGACCCTGAGTCGAGAGCCATCGCGCTAATGCGTAACATGCAGCATCATGGCCTCCAGTCTCCAGCCCCAGCTCCAAATGCTGCTCTCCTCCTCTGACTACTGCGGCAACCTTTCCACATCGTACCTGCGCAGTATCCTCGATTGCGCGTACGCGTTTGGCGGCACCACCGGCCTCTTCTGGGGATACCTGGCTGACCGCATGGGTCGCCGGCGCGTCACGCTGATCGGCCTATGGAGCATGGTATTTTGCTGTCTGAGCATGGGCTTTGCGACAAACCTTGCTGCCTGTGCTGCCTTCCGGTTCTTTGCCGGCATGGTCAGCTCCGCGGTAGTTTGCACTTCCCTGACAATGATCGGGGATCTGAGTGCAACTGCGGAAGAAAGAGCAAGGAACGTTGTAAAGCTGCCATTGATCTCGCTGTGTGGCTCTGTTGGTCCACTGGCCCAGGGCATGGTAGCTGAGAGTCTTCAAGCATATGGCATGGTATGGGAGAAGTTCCCAACACTTGGCTCAGAGCTGGCTTGCGGCAGTGTGCTATTTGCAATCGCACTGACTGCATCTTGTCTGCTCAAAGAGTCTCTGCCACTCCATTACGACGTACCGGCTGGCTCCATGGACATCGATTGTGAGAAAGCCGCCTTTCTTACACGCAGCTCAGAGGATACGAACATTACCCTTGTCGACTTTGCCAGGCCCGAGCCCATTACTATCACACAGTTCATGCAGGCACCCTCCCTGCTCGTTCTCCTATCGTCATTCTGTATCCTGTCCCTCCACGCTGCGACGTTCGATGTCCTCCTTCCACACCTTGGCCATAGCAGCACGCAGCACGGTGGCATGGGCATTCCGTGCGACTGGTTGAGCATCGTTGTGCTGATAATGCGTGGCATTGCCGCCGTAGCCATCTCTACTCTCCTCCCAACGATGATGGAGAGTCATGGCCTCCTGAAGCTCTACCGCACCGTCTCGATCCTTTTCCCGATTATTTACATCATCACACCACTACTTGCTCTGCTAGCAGCATGCACCGGACTTGCACCTCTTTTGTCCGTCCTGGCAATCTTGACGAAGCACATCCTTGCCAGCGGAGCATTTGTCCTTGTTCTTGTCCTGGTTCTGAACACGACCCCTGACGTCTTCTCTACAGGCACAGTCGTTGGCATGATGCAAGTTGCATCGCTCTTCAAGGCGTTTGCTGTGGCCGTCAGCGGCGCAAGCTACTTCGTCAGCAGCGAAGTCAGCGTGCCAGCTACCAACTTTGCCCTTTGGACCTGCTTGGCTATCTTTGGCGCAGCAGGTGCTGGGTGTGCGTGGTTCGTCAAAGAAAGGCCGACTGTTGGCCTCGATTTCAAGGGCGAGGTGCTGAAGTGGGAGAGCGTTTTCGACGTCGACGCCGATGAAGTCGTCGACGAGAAGTTCGAAGAGGCTTTCGTGATTGGCGATGACGAATGAATACCTCCTAGCCGCTTTGTTCATATCCAGCGGCTCATTTTCTAGCTTATGCAGCCTTTCCTTGTGTATATATCACCGCGTTCCCAATGCTTTATCAATGCTGCACCCATCACGACTGTGTTTTATTGCCGCGCACAGTGTGTAAGCATCGCCGTTCTCCAGCAAATGTTCAAACTACAAGGCTACATTTTTGACAAGCAGAGAGTATAGCTGGAGGAACTCCATGGGTTGTGAGTTGCTGCCGCCCAAGGCACATCTCCAGCGCCCTAGTACTGTATCGTCTTCGTGAGATTGCGGGTAAGGAGCACGTGAATAGGACTGGGGCAGCCCCAAGTTTGAAACACGCCAACTCGCTGCTCGGAATCCGGTACACATGCGCAACAGGGACATACAGCAACCATGGCACATTTGCTGTACTGCACCATGACAGCTGAACAGCAAGCAATGCACGTGAACACCTAAGCCTCATCACGATCCTTCTGCTGCACTCCACGCGTTCGCCACGATGATCCTCTCCGCAGTAGTTTCCAGCTGCAAAAGAGGCTAGATCCAAACAACAGCCCGGTCAGTAACGACACGAGTAGCGGGCGGGATTGCCCCTGGGGCCTGCATGGAGCGTTCAAAATGAGTGGTCGCGGTGCCTTCTGTTTGGGAAAGGTTTGAAGCCGCGGGAGAAGGCAACCGCGATTCGTGTTCCCTTTCACTTTCTTGACAACAACACGCCTTGCAGACCGTTTGTTTACCGCCAGTGTACGACCGACCCAACCCCACCACCAATAACAACCGTATCTATTAAGCCTGCACCACTACACAGTATTCCAGAAAGCAGCATTTGCGATAGTCTGCGCTATGACGCTCAGCGACACGTACCAGAGGTTCTTGGAGCGCCCTTCGCAGGGCGTCCTCGCGGAAAAAGCGGCGCTGCACTACATCACAACGCTTACCAGCATTACCGATGCGCCCGCGATCATCAAGCACTTCCAGGTCCAGGAGAAGCTGCTGAAGAAGACAAAGCAGCAGGTTGTGAGCGTGGTGGAGGGCAGTCACGCACTGAGTCTGGATGTCGAGACAACAATTGAGTTCCTGAACGGCGGAGGCGCGTACCTGCCTGGCCTGGATGACAATTTTGTCGCAGACCGCACCGTCACATTCCCTATGGTAAGCGAGCATCTACAAGGCATCCGAGCGCAATGCTGACGGGACACACAGGTCCACATTGTGCACTTCGACAGCGCAGACAAGATCACGCAGATCCGCCAGTACTGGGACCAGGGCTCGCTGCTCAAGCAGATTGACGTGATAGGAGCGCGTTCTCGCAACTGGCCTATTCGCGAAGGCCCAGAGCAGGCGAAGCTGATCAAGTCCTCCGCTCAAGTCGCACGTCCAGACTCGGCGCCGTCTTCGCGCCCTTCGACCGCTTCGCGAGCTGCAGACGAGGTCTCAATACGCTCACGAGGCTCCACCACAAACGCCCTCAACGACCCCCACGCTTCTCTGTCTCTTTTCGAGCGTCGCCAGATCGACGAGGAGGAGCTGCCCAGCGCGCACCCGATAGCACCGCGCGCAACGTCTGCGAAGCCTCCCCCGCGTGAATACTCAGAGCTCTTCGTCAGTGGAGATGCAGCGTCACCTTCGCCACAGAACCAGAGAATTCCGGTCAAGGGCGGCACCAACAAGCAGTCACAGAGGAATCGCCTGTTCGACGAGACAGAGGAGGACAACATTACCGCAGCTACACCACTCAACGCCACCAAGATGAACCCCAAGAAGTTCAATCACTTCGAGTTTGGTGATGGCGAGGACGAGACACCGCGTGGACGTAACGCATCAAAGAAGGAAGGCCCCCGTGACAAGAGCAAGAGCCAGGCAAACTGGAACTTTGAGGACTTCGTTACTCCTGAAAAGACGAACCCCAAGAACAATCCACAGGCTCAGCGTAACTTCAGCTGGGAAGATGATGAGGTGAGTGAAACAGAAGCAACCTCTCACTGGGCTGTGGGAAGGGCTCTTGCTGATATTCTTTAGGTCGAGACTTCGCCTGTTCGCGTCGAGCGCGTGATAAAGGCACGCCCTGGCACGGGCCACCAGTTCGAATTCGAAGATGATGGTACACCAGCTGCACGTAAAACTGTAGCTCCCACCAAGGGCGGTGTTTCGAACAAGGGTCAAGGTCTTTACGATGAACATGTTACCGGTAATGACGACAACGAGGGCAGTGCTTACGACGACGACCGCCCGTTGAGGGACGTGACCAAGGCTGCCAGGAACGAGAACCGCTCAAAGGACTTCGGCGCCCACTGGGAGATGAACGATGACACACCCGTCGGCAAGTCTGCCGAGAACAACAAGCCTGGAAAGTCCCACCAGGCTACCAAATCCAACTTCGGATTTTACGATGAGTCGCCGCAACAGGGCTACAAGATCAACATTGCCGGTAACGGCATGGGCAATCGCGCTGGTACACAATTCTCGCTTTTTGACCAGGAGCCTGAGCCGGAGATTGATGACAGGACCATTGGTGATCACAAAGGCATCAGGGCTACTGGCGATGGCATGGGTGGGCGCAAGGGTGCCGACAAGAGCTTCTGGGACTTCTAGACGTCTTGTCGTATTCGTGTATAACGCTTTCTGTTTTGTTTCACCAAGTTGTATTAGTCTTTGCAGATCTGGAGAAGCTCATGGGGTTTACGATCTCTCCCATGATTGGCACAGCGGCGTGCTTCGGCTGGCGCGATCATAGGTATACCATGGTGACATAGTTGCAATTCATAACGTCTGTTTAACAACTACCGGCGGTCGCCTCTCTGATACCAGAAACTTGACTGCCTCGAGGCTAATGTTTTGGACCTGCTCTTGCAACACGGTGCCAAAAATGCAAGTCTCGAAGAAGCCGGTCTGCGGAATGGAGATGCACTATTCAGCACTACACTCATTGTCTCTCTTGTGGACATGTATATTCGGACCAGGACGTCCTGAGCCTCTTACTTTAGATGGTCATTTTCAATGGGGCGAAAGGTTGTTGTAATGCTCGTATGAATCAGTAGTGGTATACCAGAAGTCGCGCAAAGACATCCAACGCGACAATTTGTTAGATGCGATTCTCAATATGCTATTCAGATGGAACAACAGACTATCATAAGTCAGGATCGGTCAATCGCGGAACCCAGAGGTAGTCACAGATAGACACCACGGAGGCAGACATGCATGCTTCTGTCTGGCTTCTCGTCTATACTGGGATCGTGAGATCTGTCGGCGCATCAGGCGTTGCCTTCGTGAACACGACTTCCAGCTCGTCTCCAACTCTGTAGCTATCCATCTCACCATCCCACTTGACCAGCCTGATCTGAGCAGAGAGGCCCATTCGCGTGCCTCCCGTCCCGGTACATAGTCCTTTCTCCACCAGCATCGTCCAGACACATCGGAACGCCTCACCCTCGTGCTCACGCTCGCCTCCCTCCCCGTCCATATCTGGATCGTTAAACCATACGCCTTGCTCCACCATGCGGTGCGGATCATCGCAGCTATCCATGCTTGCCCAGATATCCCAGGGCATGTACTTAATCCTGACTTCCGTAATCTTGTTGGCGTGCAGGAGCTTGAATGCGTGGAAAGCAACGTGAACCCAGTACCGCACTTTCAGTGGCAGTGTGTAGCCAGGCCGGCTGTTGCGGCGGTGGTAAAAGGACTCTCGACTAATGAAGTAGAGGGGCAAGGTTATGCTGGCTAGAGAGGGAAATATCGGTAGAGTCGAGAGGTAGGAGAAGAGAGGTGCGACTTCCATGTCTACGAGAATGTCGAGCTTCGTGGTCAAGTCCTCTGCGGTGCTGGTCGCGGCGGGATGGTATATTTCTTCGGCGTCTTGAAAGGGATTGTGGTCGAAGAGCGTGGAGATGTCGTTCGCAGCTGCATTTGGGTTCAGCGTGGGGGCTTGATGGTGGTATGCAGGGTACAATGCGGCGTCTGAGGGGTCGTAGAAGTTGTCGTCGTAGTATCCGCCTGTGTGGTCGTGCTCGTCGTAGTGGCTGTCGTATGCTGCGCCGCGGAGGTAGTCGACATCGAACTCTTCGTTATCGAATTCTTCGTCTGCGGCTTCAAACCACCATTCGTCCCTCCCTTGTGTGCGGTCTGGTGGGTACATGCGTAGATTTGGAAACGTGACCCAGTCCAGCTCAATGGCTCTCAACCATGTGAGCCAATGCCCTCCAGACTCATGCTGCTCGACAGCTTCAAGCAGCGATTTGAGAACGAATGGGCCGCAACTGAGAAGGACAATGTGGTTCTTGAAGAGAGCTTCGAGTGCTTCTAGCGCGATTTGACGGTTGAGGAGGAAGTATTCGTGGTGCAGGACCAAGAGAAGGGCAGCGGCGCTGGGACGGAAGTGTTTCAGATTACGGCGCTCGATACGGAGAGCGCGATCGCTGCGCTTGTCAGGTATGCTGAGTGCATGATTGTAGACCTGGCAATGTTAGTTACGCCTTTGACATTTCTTGTAGCCTGAGGCGTACCTGATCGCGCAACTCGCGTGGCAGTAGCAAAAACGGCAGAATCGAGCCGCTTGCAGCAATGCGTCTTTTCCCTGCAGAAGTATCAACCCCAAGTGCTACGTGCGCAGCTGACGCAGTGGCAGCCATCTTACCTCGCCCTCGAAATGTGCGCCGTGTCTCGTGTCGACGGAAGCGGTCCCCGCAAAGCCGTCTACGCCATTTCCACGTGATAGTCCACAAGACTGGGAATCCCTGCTCGGAAGCAGTGATCTCTTTCGGGCAAGAGCGAGGGATCGACGGCGTTTGACGGGCCGATGAGCAAGTGGTCTGATGAACGTGTTTATGGCACTGGCACTTCGTGGCCCCCCCCGCACCTTACGCGACTGTGGTTTGCTCTTCCATGGGCCAAGTGCGGAGTACTCCTTAGGGACCATGGTAGTCGGTGAACATGGCCGTTTAGGCAACGTGTCGCTTTGTTAAAGATGCCCCTGAACGAGGCATCGAGCGATGGCAATTCAAAGTCTCAGTTGCATTTCGGTCTTGACCGAGCTGAGGAAGGCTCCACCAGATCTGGCCAAGACGCCGCTAGCCAGTGGCCGATCACTGACATAACAGATCTGATGTTGGCGGTACTTACAAGCCAACGGGCACAGCGCCGCTCGCTACCACGTATGATGTAGATTACCTTTCGGGGACGCGCTGCATGCTGTACAATGGTGGACTCAGGGGCGACAAGCGTTTTTCGACGCCGGCATGTGCTGCCGAGTAAGTTTACGAATATAGTCGTAGGAGTCGGACGTCGGACGCACTTGGTGTCTTCGGTGCTAATCATGGGAGGAAGCGAGAGGGCTAAGCAGTTTCGCAACTATCCGCCCGAAATTGCTATGATGGAATGTCACTCGGGACAGCTCTCAATTGAGCAATCCGAACTGCCGATAATTACTGAGCCTTGTCGACCACCGCTGAGCGCGGTGCAACCTGCCAGCTACGTACCAACTGCATCTGTGCCACGGCCAGAGTCCCAACAGTTCCACCTATGAACGGCTACTTGCCGCTCACTTACGAGGCTCGCCGCACAGCATGAGGTCTCAATCCATGTGTTTCGGCCTGAGTCTGTTCTAGCAACGTGTTGTCCTCAGGCGACACAAAGGCTGTTCAGGTCCTGCAAGTCCATAGGTGGCTTAGATCGGACAGCAGTGACATTGAGCGCTTTGATATACCCCATAGCTAAGGTTCGCAACGAGGCCAGAAGGCCGTGGCACACCTGACCGTACCTCGCAGACATGCAATCTGCCGTGTGAGCGTTTACCCCAAGTAGCGATGTTATACGACCAATGCAAGGCCGACAGGTACAGCAGGTTGTGAGTTGAATGGCTGTGGATAGCCCGTCGCCGTAATTAGTCGTGCTTCCATGACGTTTCAAGATCTGCAGGTCAACGCAGGGCGAGGAGGTATTCGATACAAACAGAGATGCTCTTTCAAATCGTGGGCGCTCTGTGAGAGACATTACCTCTTCACCTGGATCAAAGCCAATAGCAACACTAAGCCAACCTGGCTCATGGCCCATGCTGGTAGGTGTGTTGTGTACAGAGCATGCATTGGCACCTGACACGAAAGCCGTTATCCTCGAAACCTGGTTGTCGGGTTCTGCGTACTGTTGCACAATCCGGGTCTCAAAGAAAGAGGCGTACATGCGGTGGTGGGTACAGCGCCTCGAAAGCCCCCGGGCCAGTGACCGGGAACAAGATGCTCGCAAAATAGCGAGAAATGCAGACTTTGTGGATGACTTGGCCGCGCTTAGCCGGGAGTTCTGCGAGGCTGTTGTAACCATAGGCTTCAGCCGTCCATTTGTGTCACCCTGTGACCAGGCCGCAACTTGACTGATGTTCATTGTTGTCTTAGGAGTCAAGGAGAAAGGCAGGTCTGCCGAGGTGCTTGCCGATGTCCGAGTCTGTTACTGCTGGAACCTTGTCACCGTGAGGTATTTCGTGTCTTTTAGATTCTCGATCTGGCCTTCTCCGAGCATGCAACTGAGGTTGTATGATCCAAAGTACAGTGCCCTGCACCACTCTTTGACATACAGGTGACTGTACCCAGCACCGGGGTTACGCAGACCACGCAAAAGCAGCCTTGCTCTTGGTTGTTGATTTGATTCAATGGGTGTGCGTACGCAGCGTGACCGCTGACAATTTCGTGTAACTTCGCTGGTAGATCGGCACAGGCTAATGCAGACCTTCTGGTATGAGGAGTGGATCCCAGGACATCGAATAGTGTAGGTCAGGGCCACGATTGAAATCACCTTGTTAGGAGGTCAAAGAACATGACTTTCAGGTAGTCCCACACAGTATCTCGCTGTCCACGAGACGAGATGGAAAGTTGATCATGCTTACTTTGCGTTCCGTCCGCTCGGTAGGGTGCGGTGAGGGACCCGTTGCAAGGATAATGGCCCTTGAAACTCGATGTGGATGTAGCCGTCCGAGGAGCGACCTGAAAACCCTCCTCGAGTGGGATATCCGTCTTGGATCTCTTTGGTGTGAGCCAGGGACAATTGATGATTGACGGCGCGTGGTGGCATGTGCGAAGTGTGTGATCTTATCTGGATTAGGTCCCAGTTCATCCATGGTTCCATATCTGTTCTTATGCATAGTAGGGACCAGATTCCTCAGGCTCCACCCAAGCAACATTAATAGGCAACAATTGACGACCCCGGCGCACACGCTGCTGCTTGGACAAAGCAAAGTGCGGTGGTGCTGGCAGCACTATTGTAGTTTATGCAGCATGTACGAGTCGGTGTGTCGTCGGTCTTGGAGATCGTTGGGGAAACGCTGACATTGCTTTTCCCGGCGAACACGCCGGTTGGGCAGGAGGGGAGATCGGTGGCCCTCGTGGCGGGCGGTGCGATGGGCGGCATCACGAATCCCGCGCCTTTACGGCTCAGGTGCTAGACTAGATACCACGGTACGAAGTACGGGTGCAGGTGCGGCGCCTCTCACGCACGCATGTGTGGCCACTGGAATGCTGGACGACGGCGCGCACTCCGATGCTTGGGCGCTGACTGTCCGGCAGATGTCGTGCTGCTGGGCGTCATCTGCACCGCCATCTGACCAGCAGCAGCAGTTCGCGCGCGGAGCCAGGGAGAGCCAGATTAGTTGCAGTAGCCGCCGCTAGACAGGCTTGTTTAGATACACGAGGCCTCGATTGAACGATTCCCACGTGCGGCCGGCTTTGTTCTGGGCATCAGTATGCTCATTAATTCGTCCCTCCCAGAGTGCCCTTGCTGGCCGAATTCGTGACTGTTGGTTTTCCACTCCGCTGCAAGCACCTCCACTTCGAAAGCATCCCGCGGTCGCACACACGTCCAGACCACCGGCTGCGCGCTGCTTGTTCGTGTTGCCATCCGGCTCGTTGTGTGCCCTCCGCGCCCTTGGAACTGAACGGGCCCGTCCATGCAAGGCACGCTGCGCTCATTGAATCATCGGTCGCGAACGACAGCTGCTGCCCCCTCACCCTTCCTAGACCTCAAGTCGACCTGGATGTCTGCTGCAGCCAGCCTTTCCTCCCAACGAACTTCCACCTGCCCATAGTCTGCGCGTGCACCAAGACGAGTGCCTGTGCTGAGCCGGCGCTGTTTTTGTTTTCGCAGCCCCCGATCTGTTTGGGGAGTCCAGTTGGACCGCCCTCGACGTGTGCAACCTCCAGGCGCCACCCATCAGCTGCTCCATAGGCTCCCGGACGAGGCCAAAGCCCACCAGCGACCTCTGGCGCGCTTCGCAGGACGCCTGCACGTTGCATCGGATCGCCAGTACGCCAGTCATCGCGTAAATCTCAGATCCCGCCTTCAGAACGTTGTGTACCAGAGCAGCGCCAAGCCAGATTGGTGCTGCAATTGACCTTGCTGCGACGCAGACCCGCCGAGGATTGCACTGCAGCCACGTCCAATTTGGCTACGAGCGTTCGTGAGAGCTCCATGATCCGTTGCGGTCGGCGCGACTATCACTCGTTTGGCCTGGTGTTGCTGCTGTCCGCCAAAAGAAGGGCGTCTCGGCATCGTCATCGCTCGCGTTGGCTGCAACTGCAAGTACCTGCGACTCTACTGCCCAGCGGAATTGTTCGCGTGTAGGCTGCACACGACTGCGCCTGCCTCTCGTCGCAGCAGAGGATTTTCTTGGCGCGTCGCCGGGATATTTCGTTCTGCTGGCTGCCCCGCCAAAACGTCCGCTCGACCCCAAACGGTAGGAGCGACCCGTGCGCCCTCGACACTCGACCGTCCTTCTCTCCAGCCTGCAGCCCTCCCTGGCCAGCTTCCTCCTCCACGCTGCTGCCATTCTTCGACCCCAGATCACCACCCTTTCTTATTACCATCCTCGCGGTCCAGCAACCCGCTGCAACGGGAATTCACCCATCTATAACACTCTCTTCTAGGCCTCGCTCTCTTGCTCCCTATTGGCCAGCAGCCCACCACTGGCGCTCTGCATCACCACCAATTCACGGCAACCCACCCCAGATTTGCCTCCCAACCTCAGGTAGTGCAAACAGTACCGGCCCTCGCTCGTTGACATTGCTATGGAGTCTGTCTCTCAACAAAGGCCAACTGCGCCCGGCAACGGGTCTCACCCTCAGGCTCTACCTTCCATTGCCTCTCTTACCAACGGCCTCTCCCCGTCTGAACAGAGCCCAGTTCGGTTCAGACAGCACTCTGAGTCTCGCGAAGCTCGTGATTCCGGTAATTGGTCCATCTCTCAGAGCAAACGTGAGTGCTCCAGTCATTCGCACTACCGCCTTGAGGGTCCCCTCCATCGCAGTGCTAATTATCCACAGACTCATCCACCGTATCCAACAACATGGGTCTCCAACTTCAGACGATCCTCAACGCTGAGGACTCACCAACTCGCAATGTGCCTGACACGCCGTCCTCTGCTAGGCACCAGGCTGCTCACCATCAACAAGTACGTCGATCGCAGTCTCGTCTAGTGCATGCTGACAGCCTCTTAGCCGAATGCGCCATTTCCTTCTCTCAACCAAGGCTTCGGCGATAACCGCTTGAGCAATGATGCTGGCTCTCATTTCGACTCTCGGCGCAGTAGCGTGGACAGCCGTATGAATGTTGGAATGGGCCACCTTCAGATCAGCCCTGCGTCTCCGTACGACAGCCAGAACACATCGCGTGTTTCGCTTGTTTCCAACCTTCAACAACAGCGAGGCATCACCAATCCCGACGCACGCGTCAATGGCGTCTCTCCGTTGTCACCATCCGTTCGTAACAGCGGCATCCGTGCTAATCATCCTCCCCGTCGAGCGCCTGTGATCAACCCAAATCCTCGCAGCGTTTCTGGTATGCCAGATCCTATGGCTGCTGCGCCTACAAAGGGTTATGCTTGGGCCTTCCCTGCCGAATTCGAGCCTGACGAAAGGCGGCAATCAAGCAGTGGTGAGTCCAGTGCAGGGAACTCCCACATCCCATCGCGCCAGAATAGCTTTGCCACTTCCATCAACAGTAGCATCTACACTACAGATTCACAAGTTCCCCCCGGACAGAAGCGTTTGGATAATGGCACGCACACCCCGTCCCCACGAGACTGTCCTTGCTAACATCACGCAGACATCTCAACAACTCACCACCACTCTATGCAGCACCGCAGCGTTACTAGCCTCCAAGGCCTCGACCACAACGCCCTGGCCCAGGGCAGTGGCAACTATAGTAGAACTCCGGAGCTGCGCATCAGCCACAAGATGGCCGAGAGAAAGCGCCGTAGCGAGATGAAGAATCTCTTCGATGAACTCAACCAGATCCTTCCTAACTCCCCAGGTAGCAAGTCGAGCAAATGGGAGATCCTTACGAAGTGTAAGAATTCCTTGTTCAATCATCAACAGCCTTGTGCTAACGTCTCCACAGCTATCGAGTACATCAGGAATCTTGGCCGAGCGCATGAAGCTGCGCGTGCTGAGAATGCACGACTTCGTCCTGAAGCTGACTTCTCTCGCCGGGCACAAGAAGAGAACGAGCTTCTGAAGAACGAGTTGACTGCAATGTGGAATAGCCTGCGTCGCCTTGATCCTAACAATCCACACGTCTACGGACAGATGACGCAAATACTCGCACAGCAGCAAGGGAACACACCGGCCCCAACTAACAATGTACTGCCACCATTGCAGCAACAGCAACAACAACCGCAGCCACAGCCTCCATCACAACAACCTCAATGGGGCGCACCAGCGCCTACGGCGATGCAAGGCGTCGAGTTCGGCGGCATGCGACCTTACGAGCACCCACACCGCTGACCGTTACGGTCACACACAACGAACGCATTGCGAGACTAGTCCAAGAGGACTTGTTGTATATTATCATCTTAACATTCACGGACCACGGGCGTTAACACATACACTTTTCGACGTTTCAAAATCTCTCTGCCAGTGGCTACTACGCCGGCGCTTTCGAACCAGCTGCATGGTCTGAAAGGTCTTTCCCTTTGTTGTTATAGGGCGGCGGCTTAAGCCTTCTGGCCTACAGACACTCGACCTGCGTCCCGCACATCTTACTGGCGAACCCCGCTAAAGATGACAGCCACGCTCCATGGGATACCCCGGCTGCTGTCTTCCTCGTCCCTGTTTTCTCGCATCGCACTGTGTTCTTTCAAGGATATCTTATTGAGGATTGCTAATTCAATCGACGGATTTACGCGAGGTTCGATGTTGGACTCATAGCAAAAGTATTCTAGGCGTATATCCTACATCATCCACGTGGCTTATTTTCGGGATGGGTACCCGTGGGGTACGGCAATCATTGTTCATTATGGACATGGTCATTGCACTATTGTAATGTCAGAAAGGGGTCTCATTGCTAGCTGGACTTCGGTCTCAACATACGTGGAACGGCCTATCTGCATGGATGTTATGTGTTTTGGTAATAATGCTGCTTACGACGCACACAAAAAGCATACATTGGCTAGAACAATGAAGTCAAGTTACCGTACCATTGTGCCAGTCCCATTCGGAGAACATGCTCCGGACTGATCCGAGACTTTCAACCGTCTGACATTCAATGCACTTCACGGGTGAGTTGCCTCGTGCAGCCAAGCCACCATGTGCTTGACAGGTCAACGTGTGCTTTTAATGGGTTGCGGGTCGCTGGCGTTGGGTTCACGAGAGCAGATCGTCAAGATCTACAGATCTGCAAGTGTATGTACGGTCAGCCGCATATCCGGTGGCTGAGATAGCACATGGCGACCAGATTGTTGAGTCAGGCTTGGGAATATTTGGGCAGTTCGAACCGGGGCGTAAGGTTCGGTGTTGCAGGTGTGATGGTTTCCCCCTGCACATTTAAGCTTTTGAGTCGAACGTGCGAAAGTAGCGTATCGAGACGGAAATATCCAGCTTTCGAATTGACCTCAGGAACCAGTAGAGATGTAGACATGGTTCCATTAAAGGTTTGTGGGTTGACAGATGTCCAACGCGCAAGGTACCTGGGCCTTCTTTGGAAAAAGGCTTATCCAGAATTTCGTGCACAACTACTTCGATGCATCGGATCAATGAGCCTATTTGGCAATTCTCGGGATGAGAGCTCTCTTTGATAGCTTCATACGAGATGTACTGACAACAGGAGCTCGTTTTGAACATAGTAGAGAGCAATGGTACCTGACAGGATCAGGCCACATTGTGGACGTTCAAATCCATCCATAAACTCGTACCAGTAGCACTATTGATATAATGAACGAGTACTATATCTGAGCGACGTAAGACTTGGGCATACGAGTGGTGACGACAGTGAGCTAACGTCTTACAGAACCGTCTGAGCAATGTGACCATGAAGGGCCTTAGCGATACCCCTACTTTTTGTGTGAGCTTACTTCGACTCAAGTGTGTCACCGGCTTGCGGTTCCAAAGTGACAACAGTCTGACTTTCTCTTAGTAAATAGACAAGCCACTGCTTGTGACCGCTGCTGATTGTGACAGCCATGTGTTAATACTTGTGCAGCGTGATCTAGCCTTCTGCTTGTAACCTTCACATTTTTCTTGGGCTCGAGAGCGCTGTCACGATCCAACAAACTAGGTGAAGACGCTTGAGACAGCCGCACTGCATTTTCGTTACAATAGACCCACTATCTTTCGCTCCTTTACGCCATACATTCAAAAGGAATCCCAATAAGTTGATACTGTCCCAAACGCTCAATATGCCACGTTAAGAAATGATAAATGCCAAGTTCTTCCACCCTTGTCCCTGATATCGTATCGAACCGTTCGTTAGCTCACTTCATATACTGCTCCTGCTGTAGGCAATCCAGACACCACGAGTCTCTCTCTTGCCCCACTTCCGCAGTGCATTCTCTGCAGACTTTCCTCCCACACCCACCCAGGCATTGTCTTGCGCAAATGTAACATGTTCGACCGACGCAGCGTTTGCAATCCATATAGTTCTCGAGGTCCTTTTTGCGTTTTGGTGCTGACTTGCATGCATGGCATGCTCGCAGATCGTTGACGGCGGGCGATGGGACTTCGATGTTCGTGAAGCCACTTGCTGGGCTTGTGCTGTTCTCGGTGTCCATGAGGTGTGACGTCGATTTGACAGCGGCGAACATTGGACTGAGGCGCTTTATCTGCTTAAGTGGGCGAGGCCCCATTGCGTGCGGCGAGTACGTGTGGTCGATGTTTCGATCGAAAGATGACGTATGCTGAGGACGAGGTGCTCGACTGTTATGTGTTGCGTCTCCGTCGAGGCTTCTTTTCCTCTTCCCCAGACTCGCCGGGTCGTGATGCGATTCCGTCATGATGTGCCAGTGGTGTTGAGATTGGCTGTGTGTGTCGACAGGACCGAAGAGGTCCGACGTGATGTAAACCATAGCGGCGGCCTCTCGGTGAAGCAGACGAACGGGTGGGACGGTGGGACTTCTAGAGAGGAAGGAGCGTGTGGCGGCAAAGCGGTGAAAGGTGCAAATGAAAGTGTGTAGCACTGTCTTCAGACAACTCGACCTCTATCAAAAAGCAGGAACGCAGACGCTGAGTACAACAGTGCAAAAAAGAGTGCAAGGACAGGAACAGCGAGAACCTGACTGAGCTCGCATGTTGGAGGATCGTCGTAGCAAGGCACCTGCCACGCTAAGAACGCCGATAAACGCGCTAACGCATGCAGACGAAGAAAGCGCGGTCCCCACATCGCACGCTTCACGTGCCAGATTGACGTCCAAGCTGCGCGTCCGCTGTACATAGACGGCCTGGGCCCCATCGCTGGAGTTGGACTTGCGATTGCGTATATTGTTTGGAAATCGACACACGATGTTTTGGTGATTTCTTCGGCCGTTGTTATGATCTGGCAGCCCTCACGACCCCATCTTCGACCTTGAATCGTACGCGCTCCTGTCCCTGAGCCATGGACAGCATCATTGTCTCTGAGCTGGTCGCTCGATTGGGAGCTGAGGAGGAGTCGACCAAGAAGATGGCAGCGTTCAAACTCCAGACTGCCATCGGTGACCCTTCCTTCGCAGATGTCTTCATATACGAAGGAGGCTTGCCAAAGCTCAGGTTTCTGGCCCTGCATGCCACAGGAAATACTCTGGCCTATGGCCTCACGTCGCTGGCGCGCCTACTTGAGCTGGACAAGGGTTGGGATCACATCACAGATGATCTCATAGTGAGGGTGCGTTCTGTAGTGGAGATATCAGCAGATGGGGAGAACTGACGGAGGAGTGACAGATAGTCGACCTCGTAGTTGCGCAGCCGCTCGTCAATGTCAATCGAGGTGCCATGTCGGTGCTGGCAGCGATTGTTGGACACCCTCTCCACCGAACCTCCCATCCTGGTATCACTGGCTTCCAGCGACTCAAACCAGCCGTCGACACCCAACCCCAATTCCTCCCATCACTCGTCGAAAAGATCACCTCTGCCGACCATGCCCTCTGCGCAAATTCGCTTCAGCTGATCAACGCACTTATGCGTGATGCAATCGCACACGACGCCGACTTCGAAGCCCCGAAATTCATAAAGCAGCTACAAGAGCTTGGTGTGATCAAGAGCGTATACGCTCTCATGCAGAGCTCTGCAATACAAGACCTAGCTCACCCATTGCTCGACTTCCAGACGCTCACGAAGATACTGCTGCGCAACTGGCGGGAAGAGAAGGTCGATTTAGAGAAGTCAGATCATCGAAGGGCTATTCGGGGCTTGCATACTGCCAGTACCGCCGAGAAAGGAGATATCAAGAGCAGTAAGAAGCTGAAGTGGCGGCGATTAGGCTTCGACACAGAGTCGCCAGCGTGGGAGTTTGAATCTACAGGCTTCCTTGGTCTCATGGACTTCACCGACTACGTCTACAAGAACGAAGATGGATTCCAGAAGCTGTTACTCGAGCAGTCAGCAGAGGCCGCCGAACAGCGCTGTCCAATCGCTCGAGCAAGTTTGTCAGTGACATCGATTTTGTATGAGCATTTCGAGGTGGAAAGAGCAGACGATCTTGACTCTCAAAGATATACACTTCTGGAGTCTCGAGCAAACTTCGACCGCTCCTTCAGACCACTGCTGCTCCACTGGTCGAGGGTACACACAAGCGGTCTCAATGCGTTCATCCGGCTGTGGAAGACATCAGGGGCCCAACTGGAGGACTTCGATAAGATCGAAGAGCTGGTGCGGATCCTGATTGAGCAAGTTGTTGGCCAGGCACCCCGAACAAGGGAGATCAAGGACGTCGAAGAAGAACTAGCAGAGTTTGAGATTCAGAGACTGCGAGAGCTGCAGATGGAGTTACTCGAACTCACATATGAGGATGCATGGGGCCATCACTTGCGGTATGTTCATCGGCGGTGCCACTGCACATGCCAAGACTGACCTTGCGCAGCCAAGTTCGCGAAGAATTGAACCACGAGGCCCTTCAATTCATCAAAGAGCAGAGGATAAGGTGCTTACTTCAGGGCGGGTGGTTCCCAAGCGGCCTAGACCATAGCTCGGGTGGAGGGCCAGTCACAAGCAAGACCCTCAGCCGTGCAGTCCCCTCAGCGTGGCGTTTTGTGCGACTATCACACAACCGACGATATCTGCATTATGCCGACTTTGAAGAGAAGACAACAACGGAACCGAGGTTGGACGCCTTACAGGAGAAGAGTAAGTGCCACCAATCAGTCCAGGGTGCTTACTTGCGCGCGTAAACGCTGTGGCTGACATGCATTGACAGTCGATCTTTCCATTGTGTCCTCTGTCGTGAGCAATGTCTCGGCAGAAGCGCCCTCTTCGTCCTCGTCTGACAGCACGGTAAAGAGCCTTCCACATGAACGAGCGACTACCTCGACCAAGATCACGATCCATGGTTACCTACTTGCTACCAGCCACTCGCGGCAGGCATCCAGTGGTTCAGGCACGGGTCGTAAAGAGTCGGTTTTACTGCAATTGTACCCGCAGAGTCACACTCTTGCCTCAGAATGGCTTGACGGGTTGTTGATGCTGCTGAACCAACAGCCTATTACAGCAGACACCAATAAGCTCGTGAACTTCATCGGCGGCTACGGGCTGAAGATTCGCCTGCTGAACGTGCGCTTCGAAGACGTAGGCTTAGAGGAGCCGATTCTACCGAGTCGCGAAGGCTTGAACGACGAGTATTATTACGACATAGCCGGAGCGTGAGGCTGAGCACAGTTGTTTCTATTGGTAACGCTGCCCACTTCTTTGACAAACGTGGGCATTGAAGAAGGCGTCCCTGGAACCGGGCTGAGGGGATCGAAGACCTCAATCGCGCGTATCGAAAATTTATGGATTTTGACATAGCATTATTCACTCAAGCTCCTGAGACTGGATTTGGCAGGCAGATGAAGACCTCTCCGTCGAGCAGACGTTGATAACCTTGGATCTAACATGGGCGAATTTTGGGAGGGCGGCTATCTGTTGACGGGCGCTGGTTGAGATTTACTCTGAGAGATACCCTGCTTGTGACATTGCGAATCATAGCAAAACACCATGGATTTCTATTGGCAATACATGGGTCGTGCATGTCATTCAGCTTGTTGTCGTTCCACAATCGCATGCGAGTAGCGGAGTACAGAATGTGCGTGGTCGTGCAAGTGCTACTGTGTGATGTCCGGCTTACTCGTGATCCAGCAAAGCGGATGCGTGTCCCGCCTGAGGCATGCCGTCCCAAACAAAGAATGACGACACGAATCGTAGGGGCAGTCTACGAGCGCAATCCAACATAGACATCTGCAGCTGTGACCCTCTCCGACAGCCGCGATTTTCGCGAGCTAGACGGTGTGTTCCAGTCCGACGACACTAAGAGTAAGCGTTCAGCGTTTCAGGCGAACACGGAAGAAGTGGAGACGAGAGAGGCGGGGGGTCTGTGTGCAAGGTACCACCACGCAGGGTCATCATTGGAGAGCTTCGGTCGCGTTGTGAGTTTGCTGCCCGTGCTGTCGTTCATCTGAGTACGTTGATAGGGTGTTCCAAGGGTATACCTGGTCTATCGGTCGACTTTCAACAGGCGTGACCGGCGGTCTGACTGACTTTCGGTTCCTGGTCCATTGCAAGCCTGCGGCGGGTCCAGATGAAGTTGAAGTTGAGGAGTACACGTCGTTGGCGGCATTAGCGCAGGTGTTGGCATCCGACTCGCAGCTTCGCACATGCGGGCTGTCGTCGTATGCTGCTAATAAGCCCTCACATTGTTTCTGTTCCATTCCAGCTCCGTTTTGCTTCTTTGTTGATTCTTCAACCCGTCAAACCCTCGCCTGTCCATCATTGCCGCCATTGGGCAATCCCTCCCGGGCGATCATCCCACCAGCCCTTGCACCTTCAGAGTCGTGAGGCCGACACACTTCGGTCAGGGCGTGAATCCTCTGCAGGCCCCCGTATGTACCTGGAATCGGCCGTCGCGCCACACTGCAACCGAAGCCATGGGGAGAAGAACAAAGGCAGTTCCTCCGCCGCTACAGCAAGTCGACTACGACGCGCTTCCGTGTTCAGTACGGTACGTGTCCCAGCTCTTTCTGATTTGCCAAATGTGTGATGAGGCGCGTCAAGCTAACCCACGCTTCTGCAGGAGAAAGTACTTTTCATCCTTCGAGCGACTGCAAATACAACAGCAGGCCCCCGGCACCGGTGACCAGACGAGTGGGCCGTCTTCAGCATCCTCTTCTTTAGCAGCTTCGAGCACACCGTTCAGTCGTCTTCACTCGAGACGCCGAGCACAGACTGCGACTGCCAGGAGTCAGCAGGAGCCTGAATTCACAAAAGCAGAGGCTGCATTCTTTCTTTCGCTACCTGATAAGGTGCGGAAGCAGCACTTCTCCGCTGAGGAGCAGGTAATTCTTTTTGCCAAGTGCGACCAGGCGCTCCTTCCTCCTTCCCGTGACCAGGAAGCGGACGAAGTAGCTAAACAACGCTTCCACGACTTTCACTTCGATTTCTCCACCGACGACCTTGACAACGCTTCAAAGCTCAGAGAACCACCACGTGGGCGCCGCTCCTCCATTTCTACTTATAGCCCTTACCGGCCTTCATTCAACCTTTCACCCAAATCAAAGAAAGAGCGGGAAGCAGAAAGCAGTATATTCTTCATCGACATCATGGATTCGCCATCTACACGTCCTGCAGTATTCAGGCGAACATTGTCGCTGGGCGGCCCACCCATTTGTCACCCAACTTGTGCTTCAGCAGGTTCAGCTTCCCCGCTGTTCATCTTCCCAGCAGAGTATCGACCACGACACCAACGATCACAATCGTCGGCGCTCTCTGGACGACGATCTTTGTATACTCCACCGACACCCACCTTTGATCCAGAGGCCAAATACTACCAGGATCCGGAAACACGGACGAAGCTACGCATGTACCTTGCATCGCCGCAGAAATTTGACGAGGCCATTGAGTTTGGGTTCCCTTCTAGTGCTGAGCAGGAAAACGCCTTGCCCCACTATCAACTGCCTCCGGTCACCCAGCACTCACGCAAGTTCAGTCGAGACATGCATACGTTCTTCAGGGATGGCACACTTTCCTCCTTCGAGGACCCGAACAGCGGTAACCAAGGCCTTGAGTCTGACGGTGACTCCACTGTCGATTTCGAATCACCGCGCACACCCTCAAGCGCAGGCTTGTCGTTTGGTCTTTACACGCGCCAGATGTCTTCAGTCGACTCAAGTGGCCTGCCAACTTCGCACCCAAGCCCAGGGCATCCGAACCGCGAGATGACGCTGCGCATGACTCTTACTCGGCCCGACCTTCGAGCGGATGAAGATGCGCTATACGGCTGGCAGCACCAATCTCAGCACCAGCACCAGAAGTCGACGGTGACAGCAACTGTCCAGGACGACCCGTTCGCTCTCGAAGAGCTTGTTCTGACCGACGATCAGACCGGTACCAAGGGACCATTCTACGTCAAGCCCAAGCCTAAGGGCAGTCTGGTCACGCGGCTCCTGAAGCGCGCGAGTCTCAAGGGACGATATCCCACAACCTGATCGCCAAAAATCACGTTTTCTTTGTCGTTCCATTCCACGACTCATGTATTCCAATCTCCAGCGACCATATTGTTGCATGTTAGCGAGCGTTCTGCTTCAAGCTACTCACGGCTATGTACGATGACGATATGCATGGACGAGGCGTTTCAATTTCACTTCTATTAATGTCCATTATTCGACTAAAGACAGACAGCAATCTTGAAGAGAAGACCACTGAATAAAAAGTTCTGAGCTGCCTTTGCGGCACTCCACTAGACGGAAGTCGCTGTTTTACTATTTGATTCTTCGATCCAATGACTCTCACCTAGTGGCCTTGGGGCTCAGGCTAGTGTATTTGCTGCCGGTAGTCACGGCATAAAGAATGCTTGTCTTTACAACATTCTCTAGGTTCTCTGATTTTGCGAGTCGTAAAACTGCAGATAGCGTTCTGTCTCTTCGCCACACTTACCTCTGCATCGGCTCACCTCCTCTCGCCCCACGCCTCGCCTTGCGACGATCATTTTACCCAGGCGCCAGAACCTTGTATATACCCAATGCGTCGCTTTCGGCGTTACCCGTTTTGCTACGGGACTAGTCGAGGCTGCCGAAAACGGTCAGACTTTTTAAGGACTCGAGTCGTATTCTGCCTTGCACAGAGGAACGAAGGCAGCGACATGCCATTTCCCGGAAACGGCGTAGTCCCAAATCGGTGATTCCAAGCGGACGAGCATTTAGGTCGCGGTGCTACTGTTGAAACATCGCACATCTTATGGCCCGCTGCCTGGCCGCGTTTCTGGTCAAGCCACAACATGACTGCCGTGTTGTGGCAGTGGTAGGTGGTGCAACTGCCGTGCTTGGGGCGTACAAGAGATGATCACACCGTTCCGATGCAGATCTTCAGAGGAACAACACACCGAATCATCATTGTCGCGGCTATGCTCTGCACGGAACCGCAGTCGGGCGCTAAAGTAGAGGCCTGAGGCTGTTGACCTCCCAGTAGACGGGTCCTTTGGCCTCCATATGTGCGATGAGATCCTAGTACGATTGTAGCATAATCGTAGTATGATGATCGAGGAGTTTGATACTAGATGATTTCTGCCAGAAGCTACATACGTCGGTGAAGCATTCGCACATCCCCTTGGCAAGGAGCGTGTCAATATGGACTGCAAAGTCTCAACACGACCCCCTGCATCGGAAGAGACATTTCAGAGCATCGGCTGCGCCCCAGGCAGTGCACCTTGAACAGAATTCCCGTATTTTCGAGTGGAAACTGCTTGTCCTGCGATCTCAGGCTGTGGACTCCCATGTCCACTCGCTTCCCCCCATGCATCCCTGTGGTCCCACATGCTCAACCAACGACATGAGTGCAGACTCCACCTCGCAATTGCTCAGCAGCCACATCCATCTTTGCGCGGCGACTTCGTGGTGATGGTGTCCGACTAGGTGGGTTTGGCGCTCCGGTGAAAGCTTCAGTTCGCGTGGTAGGCTACTGTTTCAGGGCGCCTAGGGCCGTGGTGTACATAGCCGCCTTGCGTGAATGACGGCTAGCCGTCAGCCTCTGCGCGGAGGGCCTTGATCTGTCCCGCTGTGAGATTGTTTCCGCGAAAGGCTTCCGTTGTGTGACCCAGAGGATTTAACGGCTGTGCGATTGTGTGATACTAGCAGGCTGGAATGAGGACTTCACTTTGGTGCAAGCTGCAAGTGCGATTCTATGCAGAGCATAGCCGTGATGGTTGGCAGTTCAGTATTGCGTATTGATTACTGCCGTTTAGAAACGGCTTATGCGCGTCGACGAGATGTTTGCATGAGCATGACGTGGCCGGATACATGTGCGATGTCTTGCAGCAGGTGCAGCTCGTGCACCCCGATTTCGAGACTGTATGCAAGGCAGCGAATCCGTGGAGTGAAATGCGTGGAAAGCATGCAGGGACTTTGCACGAGTCCAAGGCAAGGGACGAGACAATAGTTGGGAAAGAGCAGCGTGCAAGAGAGAGGAGGTAATGAGCCCATTAACCTGGTCTGGACACGGAGATCAGTCAGTCAACACCGCTGGGTGAATGGGAATAACATGTTCAAGGACACCTGCGATAGCAGTCAATATGCGGCTCTGCATCAAGATAAGACGGTGCGTGAAGTGCGCTTCGGTAGCTTTTCATTATTCATGTGCCTTGCTTGACAGGCATCTTCATTCATACATGTCTACCACTGCAATCTCCAAGCTTACCGCGACAGGGCAATATCGTCGATGCGCAGGATCATCTTCACAGTCTCCGCCGCCAGCTCGATGGCGCTTGTGCTGACGAGCAAGGGCTGGAGAACGTTCTCTTCGGCGATGTCGTTCTTGACGCCGCCGCTCTTGATGCTGATTCCGGCGTTCTTCTGCTCCTGTGCGTGCCTATGTCTCAGCTCTGTGACGACCTTGATGCTGTTCAGGCCAGCGTTCTCGGCCAGTGTTGTGGGAATGACTTCCATGGCGTCGGCGAAGGCTTTCCAGCAGATTGCTTCTGTGCCGGTAAGCTCGCGGGCGCGCAGGGAAAGCTGGTGTGCGATCTCAATTTCCGGAGCACCTCCACCGGCAAGGAGAGCCTTCTTCTTGACCAGGGAGCGGATTGCGCAGTGGGCGTCGTGCAGAGAACGCTCCGTCTCATCCAGGATGAGCGTGTTGGCTCCTCGGCAAACGATGGAAACGGTCGATGCGGCTGACTTGACACCAGACACCTTGACGTAGCGGGCGCCCGAAGCCTGGACTTCCTCGACGAGATCTGCCGAACCAAGCTTGTCCTCGGTGAACGAATCGACGTCTGCAATTGGCTTGCAGCCAGTGCTCTTGCAGATGAACTCGATCTCATCACGCTCAATGTCCTTGATGACCATGATCTTGAGCTTGGACAAGAAATGCAAGCTCAGATCGTTTACGGCGTCGCGCAAAATCGACTTCTGGATGAAGAGGACATTGCACTTTGCCTTCTGGATTTTCTTGACCATGTTGAGCAGGTAGGTTCGCTCCTCCTTGAGAATCTTGTCCATCTGTCTGTAGTCATTGACGACGATCTGGTTCTCCATATCTGGCTTGGGAGGGCTCAGCTGGAACTGAATGAGACCTATCCGTGCCTTCTCCTTGATTGTGGGTCCACCGGCGCTCTTCACTACGGGCTGTCTGAGCACCAAGCCATCAATCATCTCGCTGTCCTCGATAGTGCCACCCTGCTTCTTGATCATCCTGATGTTCTTCAGGTCGACGTTGTCGGCAGTCTTGGGATCAATGATCTTCAGGACCGAGTCGACAGCCATGATAGGCAGCTTGGGCTCTTGTGCAACAATTTTGGACGAAAGGGCGGTGGTCGCGGTCTTGAGGAGAGTCGGTCTGTCGGTGAGAGAGATGGGGATTGACATGTCTGTCAGGATCTGTATCGCCTCGCGTGCGGCGCGCTGGAAGGCCTCTGAGATGACGGTAGGGTGGATGCCCTTGGACAGCAGACGCTCGGCGGCACCCAGCAGACTTCCAGCAATGACGATGACCGATGTCGTGCCGTCTCCGGCCTCGATATCTTGGGCGTGTGCGAGGTCGACGAGCATCTTCGCAGAGGGATGGAGAACACTCATCTGACTGAGCATAGTGGCTCCGTCGTTGGTGATGATGGTTTCGCCCTTGCCAGTTTGGATCTGCCAGCAGTTAGTCCTGGCGCGTCTCCAAATATCTGCCATAGTCCATACCATCTTGTCCATTCCCTTTGGTCCCAAAGACTGTCCTGTGTCAGTATTCTCTCTCAAGACAAAGCTCCCCCGCACTCGGTAGTGGGACCTACTGTTCGGATCGCGTCTGCCACAGCTGCACATGTTGATTAGTACAGAGCTCGTGATATTACTTCGGGAGCCGACGTACCTCGTGCGGCAATGATGTTGGCGCTGCGAACAGCTCTGGGCTTCTCCTTGTCCTGCAGGCTGCATCAGTCAATGTTTTTGTGCCTATGCAGCTGTGTGAATCACCTTGAAGGCAGCATTTCCGCTGCCACCGTTCGCGACTTGTGCAGCCATCTTGTGTTGTATGCGGTAAACAAAGACTAAAGAGGGGTATCGTGGGGTGAAGGCGCGTGGTTGCTGTCGCCCAAAGTTATTTTGCAGCGCGACCGCCGCGGGCAGTACTAGCCAAGCCAGAGAGAGCTCCGACCGCCGACTTGCCTCCGTCACAGCGGCCATCACCACCTCGCCCGCATCAGCAACAACCCACCCGCGCCTCTCACCACCCGTTCTCTCCTTACAAGCCACGTCTATCCTTGGCAGTAGCATCCCCATCAGCACCACCGATATTACGCCCTCGTCCTAACCGCAAACATGCCCAGCGCCACGGGCTCCAGCTGGGAGAAGTACCAGAAGAACTTCGCCGACGACGAGGTTGAGGAAAAGAAGATCACACCCCTCACCGATGAGTAGGTGGCTCATTTAATCTGCAAGGGAAGCCGGTAGCTGACATGGTGCAGAGACATTCAGGTGCTGAAGACGTACGGCGCGGCACCCTACGGCGCGGAGCTCAGGAAGCTCGAGAAGGAGATCAAGGACAAGCAGCAGACAATAAACGAGAAGATTGGTGTCAAGGTGCCAACGTCCATTACATCCCCGTATCGCGACAGCAGCTCACACAGCGCAGGAATCAGACACCGGGCTCGCTCCGCCGCACCTCTGGGATATCGCCGCCGACCGCCAACGAATGCAAGAAGAGCAGCCCCTGCAGGTCGCCCGCTGCACCAAGATAATACAAGACGAGAAGGACTCGGAGAAGAGCAAATATGTCATCAACGTCAAGCAGATCGCCAAATTCGTCGTCAACCTCGGAGAGCGCGTCTCGCCCACAGATATCGAGGAGGGCATGCGGGTGGGTGTCGACCGCAACAAGTACCAGATCCTGCTGCCTCTGCCGCCCAAGATCGATCCCTCGGTCACCATGATGACGGTCGAGGACAAGCCGGACGTCACATACGGAGATGTAGGAGGCTGCAAGGAGCAGATCGAGAAGCTGCGAGAGGTCGTCGAGATGCCCCTACTGTCGCCAGAACGCTTCGTCAACCTCGGTATCGACCCCCCGAAGGGCGCTCTTCTCTATGGCCCCCCCGGAACCGGAAAGACACTATGCGCGCGAGCCGTCGCCAACCGCACAGATGCCACCTTCATTCGAGTCATCGGTTCCGAGCTAGTCCAGAAGTACGTCGGCGAGGGAGCGCGTATGGTTAGGGAGCTATTTGAGATGGCGCGGACAAAGAAGGCGTGCATCATCTTCTTCGACGAAATCGATGCCGTGGGTGGCGCGCGTTTCGACGACGGCGCAGGCGGCGACAACGAAGTGCAGCGTACCATGTTGGAGCTCATTACACAACTCGACGGCTTCGACGCCCGAGGAAACATCAAGGTCATGTTCGCCACAAACAGACCCTCCACCCTCGATCCCGCGCTCATGCGTCCCGGCCGTATCGACCGCAAGATCGAGTTCTCGCTCCCCGACATGGAGGGCCGCGCAAACATCCTGCGCATCCACGCGAAGAGCATGAGCGTCGAGCGCGACATCCGCTGGGAGCTCATCTCGCGTCTGTGCCCGAACAGCACCGGCGCGGAGCTGAGGAGTGTGGCGACAGAGGCCGGCATGTTTGCCATCCGCGCGAGGAGGAAGGTCGCGACCGAGAAGGACTTCCTGGCTGCCGTCGACAAGGTTATCAAGGGCAACCTCAAGTTCAACTCTACCGCGACGTACATGCAGTACAACTAGACGCAGTTCCGTGGGGGAAGGATGGCTGCAACGCTGCAGCGGATCGAGAGCTCGGCTCTTGTATGACTAGATATCACGAGAGCTATCAATGTAGCCATAATGCATGCTTGAACAATGAGTAAATGAATGCATCCGGAGCCGTGAACTCAGATCGTGGATTGATGACGGCCCGCATGCTCGCTTGAAGTTGGAGAGAGAACGTCATTTTGAGGTCGTACTGCAGGAGTCCCGTTCGTATGTGAGCTATTGGAACCTTGGGGTATGATCGGTGATATCAAATACCGCACATTTCTCGGGGAAGCATTCTCACTGTTGACCACGCCACATAAAGGGGTTCCGTAAGAGATGCGGTTAGAGATGCGGTTAGAGATGCGGTTAGAGATGCGGTTGGCCTCGCTTGCTTCCACGATCGTTGATCAGCAAGAAGGTTCTTGTTCAGTTCATCCGCTGCGAGAGCTGCTAGACCAAGTTACAAGGTCGTTTGAGTCAATGACACGCGTGAATAGGGGGGTAGGGGAAGGGTTGTTTGTTTCGTTTGCATTGTTGTGCTCGAAAGTAACTGAAGTACGAAATCTCTAGCATGCATTGCCGATCACCCATCCAATATACATAGAATACAGGACAAACTCCTCCGTCTTTTTCCTCTGCGACCCTCTGACCCACTCACGAGAGCCTTCTAGTACGTTCGCTTGAACGGCGGTACAGCCTTGCATTCGTTCTCGTCCAGTGTCGTACCGACGACCCTCCTGTAGCCGAGCTCAGTCTTGCCGTGAGGCTGCTTCTGCCACGACAGAGTGTGCTTCATCCAGTTCTCGTCGTCACGTTCGGGGAAGTCCTCGCGGGCGTGTGCTCCTCTCGATTCTTTGCGGTTGGCGGCAGACTCAGCGGTCTGGACGGCGCAAGTGAGCAAGTTCCTCAACTCAAGGGTCTCCACAAGATCGGAGTTCCAGATCATGCTGCGGTCCTTAATACCAACGTCGGCGAAGGTGGAGTCGACCTCGTGCATCTTCTTGACACCCTCATCCAGCGACTCCTGTGTGCGGAAGACAGCGACGTCGTTCTGCATAACTTTCTGCATGGCAAGTCGGATCTCAGCCGTCGACTTGGATCCCTCGGAGGTGCGGACCTTGTCGATGACGGAGATAGACTCGGCACCAGCATCGGCGGAGACGGGGTCGGCCTTCTGGCCAGGGCTGAAGTTGTCGCGGATTGTGTGAGAGACTGCGCGGCCGAAAACAATGAGATCCAGAAGGGAGTTGGCGCCGAGACGGTTGGCACCGTGGACGGATACGGAGGCGGCCTCACCGCAGGCGAACAGACCGGGAACGACCTGGTCGTTGCCCTCACCATCCTGTGTGATAACTTCACCGGTGTACTTGGTGGGAATACCACCCATGTTGTAGTGGACGGTGGGCAGGACGGGGATGGGCTGCTTGGTAACATCGACACCGGCGAAGATGGCGGCGGTCTCAGAGATACCGGGCAGGCGTTCGTGAAGAACCTCAGGAGGCAAATGGCTGAGCTGGAGGTAGATGTGATCCTTGTCAGGTCCAACACCACGTCCCTCACGGATCTCAAGTGTCATCGAACGAGAGACGACGTCACGGGAGGCAAGATCCTTGGCAGTAGGTGCGTAACGTTCCATGAATCGCTCACCCTCGGAGTTTAGCAGGTAACCTCCCTCACCACGAGAACCCTCGGTGATCAAGCAGCCAGCTCCGTAGATACCAGTGGGATGGAACTGGACGAACTCGAGATCCTGATTGGGCAGACCAGCACGGGCAACCATGGCCATGCCGTCGCCGGTACATGTGTGAGCAGACGTGCAGGAGAAGTAGGCACGTCCGTAACCTCCGGTAGCCAGAACGGTGTTCTTCGCAATGAACCTGTGGATTGTGCCGTCTTCTTGGTTGTAGGCAACGACACCCTTGCAGACGCCGTCCTCCATGATCAAGTCGGTGGCGAAATATTCGATGAAGTACTTCGTGTTGTGGCGCAGAGACTGTCCGTACAGTGTGTGGAGAAGGGCGTGGCCAGTTCGGTCAGCGGCAGCGCAGCATCGGTAGGCCTGTCCACCCTTGCCGTACTTCTGGGACTGACCACCGAAGGCACGCTGGTAGCTAGAAAGAGTCAGCAGTTTGCACCTGCGAAGGTATCGTGGGGTCGTACATCTTGCCATCGTCTGTTCGAGAGAAAGGGCAACCGTAGTTCTCGAGCTCAATAACGGACTGGGGCGCCTCTCTTGTCATGTAGTGGATAGCGTCCTGGTCACCGAGCCAATCTGAGCCCTTGACGGTATCGTACATGTGCCATCTCCAGTCGTCCTCGTGCATGCTAGAGTTGTTGTCAGCCTTCTGGTGCACTTTGAATGTACGGTGCTTGAGACGTACTTTCCGAGAGCGGCATTGATACCACCCTGCGCGGCAACAGTGTGCGAACGCGTGGGGAAGAGCTTGGAGATACAGGCGGTGTTGAAGCCAGCCTCAGCAAGACCGAAGGCTGCACGCAGACCGGCACCTCCAGCACCAACGACGATGGCATCGTACTCGTGGTCGATAACAGGATACTTGCTGGAGATGAACCCTGAAGCCTCCTTGGCCTTGAGGTTCTCGGTAGCAAAGATGCGAGCGGCGGGCCGTGTCGACGAGAAAGCGCGTGACGGTGTGCGAATGCTCTTCGAGAGCTGTGGCGGTATTAGTTAGCCATTGTCCCATCTACACGCACAAGAGGTTGCGCCTGCATCCACGCATCGCCCACGAAGCCATTGAGAAGCCTTGGCAGCATCGTCGACATTGTGCCAGGGTGCTGTGGGATGTGAGGCACACGCCTCGGTGTGGCGGATGCCGGGTTCGAGAGCTCGAAGGCGGTGGGTGGCGCATAAAGCTTCGGACGGAACTCACCTGGCTGGCAAACTGCGTGCGACGCATCCTGGCGAAGCTCATGATGGCGGTAGCCGTGGAGTGGAGAGCGGAGGTGGTGTGGGAGACCTTTGGCGGTTTTCGATGTCGCAAGTCAATGATGGTACGTCCCCTGACAAACTAGTTTGTATGATTGGTACGGGAAAGGCCTCGGCAGAGTCGGCTCTTCACGAAGGAGCAGCGGGATCGAAGCGTCTGCTCCGGCTTTTCACGAACGAATTTGATGTGTTCGCCCCAGACGGACGTTGAAGTGTGGAGTTTACATAGCTGTGTACGGGTATCAAGCCCATCTTATTACACTTGATCACACATATCCGGGTCAGACAAGGCTGACCCGCATAACCCGCAATCGCCACGAGAATAACACCAACGCCTGAGAGCTGCGATCATTTCCGATTGCTAGAAAATGGAGTGTACAACTGGCCAGACGACGAACTGTTACAAATTGCCTCGAGTGTTGACTCATGTCCAGGTGCAATAGCCCGGAAGTTTCGCCGCTGGTGTTGTAGATTCTCGCTGGCTATCGTTGTCGTCATAGACGTCTTCAGACCATCACATGGAAGCCAACCTCCAATCCCCAATTCCTGCAGCCGGAAAACGTTTCCATTTCGCCTTGAGGTAGAGCTACTGAGTTCACAGTGGCAACATTCGGCCAAGCTAGCTTTGGTCGCGATTTTAAGTTTACACAGTACGTCTAACGAATTTTGCCTTCGTGGCTACAGCACATGCTTGCTGTGTTCGGCTTCTGTGACATTGAAAGCGCAGCGCTGTCAAGGGCTGCAGAATGAATATGTGCAGTGTACGTAAGTACAAACTATCAGACTTATGGACACGTTCTGGATTTGGCCATTCTTCTGTTTTTTGAAACAAAAGGGCGACCAGATTTGATCGACCGTAGTCTACACAGCGTAACAGGCATGTTCTCGCGAAGTGATGTTAGCACCGAGGCTACAATTTCGATTCTCAAAGACTAGAATATGTGGTCCTGACCGCTGTGTTCGACATTGTGACAGCCTGTGCAGTGTGCACGGAATAGCGTACATCCACACAACAAGGAGCACGTGAGAAACATTTCCCACCAGGGAATACAACACGCCGGCGGGATGCACATAGAACGTAGAAACGAAAGTCGTTCATACACGCTGCACGCTATGGGACGAAGGTGGCACGTAGAGTGAATTGGGGGAATCGTAAATTTTTGCATCAGACGCTCATGATCATTGGCATCCATGCATTGCGCCTATCCCGTTCACCAAAGAGCCTTTGAAAAGAAACACCGAACAACTGTCAGAACACTTCTAAGCAGAGGTCTGGAGATCCTTCTTGAGGGTACCCTCATACTGCCTCTTCTCGGCGGGGGTCTGGTAAGCACCGTGACCGAACTTGGAGGAGGTGTCGATCCACTTGAGCTCGACCTTCTCGAGAGCACGGCGGGAGGTGTGAGTGAACATGGACTTGCGGAGAGTCATGACCCTCTTCTTAACACCAGGGCAGGCACCCTTGATCATGACGAAGTCGTTCTTGACCTCACCGTAACGGACGAAGCCACCCATACTAGGTCTTGTTAGCGTTTATCAGACAGGGCGGTAGATGTGAAACTTACGGAGTAATCTGCTTCTTGGAGACATCGAAGTCGGTGGAGGCGTTACCCTCATCGTCACCCTTACCGATACGGTAGATCTTGTGGTTGACGGAGGTACGGTGGTGGTAACCCATCTGACCAGCACGGGCAACAGTCCACTGGACGTGGGCCGGGTGCCAGGCACCGATACAAGCGACCTTGCGGAGACCCTTGTGGGTCTTGCGAGGAAGCTTCTTGGTTCCCCAACGGGAAGTGACACCGTTGTATCCGTGACCCTTGGTGACGGCGATGACATCGATCATCTCGTTGTCCTCGAAGATAGAGGAGATCTCGATGGGCTTCTCGAAGAGACCGTGACCGTAGGAGACCTTGTCGGCGACGGAGCCACCGTTGACCTGGATCTCCATAAGGTGGGCCTTCTTCTGCTTGAGAGGGGTCTTGGAGATCTGGGTGTGGGCTAGCACACGGACGACAGTGCAGTACTTCTTGATGCGCTCGAGCTCGCGGGTGATGGACTGGCCGGAGGACTCGGAGTGCTTCTTGGCGTACTTGGTGAAGGCCTTCTTCTTGCTCTTGTACCAGTTGCGGTAGAAGCGGCGCTTGACCTCGTCGCTCAAGTGCTCAGCCCAGACGGTGGTGAGCGAGCGGAGACCGCGGGGAGTCTCGATGTAACCAACAAGACCGACGGCGATCATCTGAAAAATTGTTAGTCCTACGCGGCCAATTGCTGGGTATTTTGGTGTTCTTACGGGAGGAGTCTCGATGATGGTGACGGCCTCGACGATCTCCTTCTTGTGCAGCTTCGCACCGGGACGGTCCAGATCACGGACGATCGTGGACATACCAGCCTTGTAGCCCATGGCGGCGGTCAGGTGGACGGGCTTCTTGGAGTCATCCTTAGGGAAGCTGTGCGGGCTCGTAAGCATGCTGTTCGCAATTTTCGCAGTCGGCGGGTCGAGCATACCTCTTGACCTTTCCCCTGTGACGGGCAGCGCGCTTGCGCGGCAAGAAGGCCAGAGAGCCGTGGCGGGGGGCTTCGAACTTCCTGTGGGACATGGTGAAGTTCTTCCTGTCGGTTAGTGTCGAAGAATTCGCAAGTTCGTCGTGAGAGTTGAATTTGTCGGCGCTCGCTTGTGTGCGCAGTTAGCGCCGGTCTAGCTCGCCTCGCGCCTTCCCACCTTGGCGGTCACCGCCCCGCGCTCAGGACAAGGACGGCTTTGAAGCTGGGAGTGCCTCGATAACTTCTTGTACCTGCGCTACACTGAGTATCGCCCGCCTGCACCCGTCGTCCGGCCTCCCACACGCGCCCACAGACTGCTGCACCCCCGTCCACCACCTCCGCCCACTGCTACCACCGTCTTCGTCGACCCCAACAAACACCGCTGCCACTACATCATCCAGGATCACTGTTGCCCAGCCTCAACGTCGGCGGCGCCATCATAGTCCCGCCGTCACACCACACGCCAGTCGCTGTACCGACTGTCTACGCTCCTGCACCTGTGATCACACTAGGTCCTGATCGCCTTCGACCGAGTCCACAGCCCTGGTCCTGGAATCATGGTAGAAGCAGCAGAGGGCAACCCCACGACGTGGAAGTTCACACAGTAGGTGGACCTCAGGAATCGCTGCGGCGAGAGCTCTTGTAGCTTCACAGCCGCGCAGTCGCATTGCTATGCGATCATTCTTCTACATGGTGCTGACCCTGTCAGGTGCTTCGGTGACAAGGGCGATGTTGAAGATATAACAGAAGGTACGTCACCGGCACCCCACCGCCCAGCACAACAACGCAGCGAAATACTTTCAGATGGCATGGACTAATGCAATCAACCAGCGGACATTATTTCCACTGTCGAGTTCGATCAGACGGGTAACTATCTGGCGACAGGTGACAAGGGTGGTCGAGTGGTCCTCTTCGAGAGGAATGAAACGGTACGTACCCTTGGTCGAAGGAAAGAGATGCGCCTTGAGATCTAATCACCCTCCAGAAGAAGACTTGCGAATACAAATTCCACACCGAGTTCCAGTCGCACGAGCCTGAGTTTGATTACTTGAAGTCCCTCGAGATCGAAGAAAAGATCAACAAGATCAAATGGTGTCGCCGCCAAAATGCGTCGCATTATCTTCTGTCCACAAACGACAAGACGATCAAGCTCTGGAAGGTGTTTGAGAAGTCGCTGAAAGTTGTTGCGGAGAACAATCTATCACACGAGTTGACGCCCGGAGGTGGGGTTGCTGGTGGAGGCGGTCCTGTCAGGAACCCAAACGCACACTTCCGCGCCGCTACCGACTTAAAACTACCTCGCCTCACCCACCACGATACCGTCGTCGCTGCCGTACCGCGAAAGACATACGCAAACGCGCACGCCTACCATATCAACAGTATATCTGTGAACAGCGATGGCGAGACGTTCATCAGTAGCGATGACTTGAGAATCAACCTTTGGAACCTGAATATTCAGGATCAGAGCTTCAACATAGTCGACATCAAGCCCGCTAACATGGAGGAGCTCACAGAGGTCATAACTGCAGCAGAATTCCACCCCATCAGCTGCAACTGGTTCATGTACGCCAGCTCTAAGGGCACGATCAAATTGGCAGACATGCGAGAGAGTGCCCTGTGCGACCAGCATGCAAAACGTAAGTTATCAGATTCTTTCAACAGAGCTTGTTTGTACTGACACCCTGCGCAGAATTTGAGCAGGAAGAAGATCCGTCCTCCCGCTCTTTCTTCTCTGAGATCATCTCTTCGATCTCTGATGTTCGCTTCTCTCACGATGGCCGCTACATCCTCTCACGCGACTACCTCACCGTCAAGATTTGGGACGTAAACATGGAGCGGACCCCTGTCAAGACAATCCCCATTCACGAGCACCTGCGACCTCGGCTGTGCGACACTTATGAGAACGACAGCATTTTTGACAAATTCGAAGTTGTCTTCTCCGGTGATGCCAAGAACGTCATGACAGGCAGCTACAATAACAACTTCATGATCTACCCATCTGATCCTGAAAAGGACACAGAGGTGGTTCTGCAGGCAGACAAGTCGGCTTTCAAGGCTAAGAAGGTTGGCATTCCCACACCGATGAACTCGTCAACAAGCCCAACAGGTGGAAAGAAGGGTGGTTCAAGAGCCGGCAGCCCTGCTGCTGGTGCAGCTGGGCAAGGTCAGCGCATGAGGAAAGAGACAGATGCGGATCAGATCGATTTCAACAAGAAGATCCTGCACATGAGCTGGCATCCATTCGAGGATAGCATTGCTATTGCAGCAACCAACAACGTACGTATGACCTTTGTCGCAGCGTATTATTGTGCTAATGTTTGTTCAGCTCTTCGTCTTCTCGGCGTTGTAAAGGATTTTCAATCTACGGCGCAGTTGATCTGCAGGGGCATTCGCCAAACAGAAGCATCTGGTGGCATCTCCCTTGATGATCTATTACTCCTTATTGCTTCCTCCTCCATCGTTCGCGATGACCAATGTAACGGCGCTCGGAAGGTAGAATTGGGCTACGCATGGTGACTGGGCTGGGGGAGCACGAACGATTGATGATATGACGCGCAATTCGAAGGCATGAGATCACTGCATTAGATTGGAACACCACGATAATTGGCCAGTGGTGAATAACAAAAGAATCAGGAAAGCACCAGTATCGATGGCTTTGTGACGACCACGGATGAGCTGACAACATCACGAAGGTTTAGATAACCACTCCGTCCGAGCGAGCTCTAGATTCGTATGCAATATCAGCATGCATACGCTTACCTGCGAACCTACGTAGCCCACGTGCTCAAGTTGACCCCGGTCAGCCTTATGGTGGGGTGCGCCCAAGTTCACGGGCAGGTGCGACTAGCGCCCGCGGTGAGGCTCTAATGCTGACACGTCTACCATCTGGGCCTCGATCAAACACCAATCAGTCAACGAGACCATGGCTTCCTGTTAACATCATTCCAATAAGATCGCAATTTCCGTTGTGAGTTACAACTTTCTCGCGTAATAAGGCCTCCCGTGCGCCACAATTCACTGTATCGTCGTGAAAGTGGGCGCTGCGCCCTGCATCTTCGGGCAGCCATCGATGCGATTGATCTTGTGCAAGGCTGACGGACTTCAGACCTTCCTATAAGCAGTGCATTGGTCCTCAAGCCTCCCATCACCATCAGCCGACATTTTTGAATTTGTTGGTGTCGTCATGGCAGCCCTTGCACCTATCGTCAGCAGCTTCTCGCTCATTTTTGGAGGCTGTTGCGCCAATGTAAGATGTCAGATCCTTCGGTGAGACCAGACTAACATTTTGCAGGTGTATTGCCTCGAAGCTATTGTTAAGTAAGACTTTCGAGGTCTTTTTCTTTGACTGCTCTGACACACAACAAGACAAGAGCCTGACAGCGGCCTTCTGATAACATTCTTTCAATTCGTCTTCACGTGTCTCTCGACACTGCACTATCAATTCGACCCCAATGGCCGCTACTTCATGCGTTCTTCGCCGGTGCCGTTCCGCAAGTGGGTCACAAGCGCAGTTTTGTTCTTCACAGTCAACATGTTGAATAACTGGGCATTTGCATTCAACATCTCCGTCCCTGTCCACATCATTCTCAGGAGTTTTGGTAGTGTGACTACGATGGCAGCAGGGTACCTTCGCGGGAAGAAGTACTCTCCTCTACAAATCTTCTCAGTTGCCATCCTGACCTTCGGGGTCATGGTGTCTGCTTGGGCTGATGCATCATCGAAAGTCAGGAGCTCATTCCCGAGTCGTGTGAATTACTGACAAGAGACAGGGCAAGACAAGGGCCGCCAACGCCGATCCAAACAAGGCATCATTCGAGGCTGGACTACTTGTCCTCCTGGTTGCACAGCTACTGTCCGCCTACATGGGCGCCTATGTCGAAGACGTCTACCGCGACCATGGCAAAGACTGGAAGGCGAATCTGTTCTACTCCCATCTTCTGTCCATCCCGATGTTTGCCGCCTTCGCGCCCATCCTCAACGCGCAATTTGAACGCCTGCAATCCTCGCATTCGTTCCAGGTCCCGTCCAATGTTGCACTTATCCTGCCACCAGCTCTGAACAAGCTGCTCGCATCGACCTCGCAACACGTTATTTATCTCCTGGCCAATGCAGTCACGCAGTTGCTTTGCATCACTGGTGTCAATATTCTGAGCGCCAATACTTCTGCTGTCACTGTTACGATAGTGTTGAACATCAGGAAGCTGGTTAGCTTTATGCTGAGTATTTGGCTCTTCGGCAACCCCATGGGTGGTCTTATGAAAGTCGGCGCGGTGCTGGTGTTTGGTGCTGGTGCATTGTATGGCTATGAGACGACCTACAGGATTCCACAGCAGAAGAAACTGGACGCAAAACAAGAAAAGAAAGGTCAGTAAGAGCAGACCAATTGTCCTGTCGGTTTTGGCTAGAAGAGTGCGGAATGACAAGGGTTTAGCATATACAGTACAGTAAAGATAATAGAGTACACATATAGAGCCGGGAGTATCATATCATATCCTGCAGAGGAGCACCTGATGATGTGCACAACGGAGAAATCAAAGGCGTACCTTCAAACCAGACAATGTCGTGGCCTCTAGAGTTCCGCTACAACCTTACAAGATTTGCTCCGCAGCAACTGAAGCTGTCCGCAATCTCAAGCCTGTCAAGATTGGCCCTCAATTCGTTGTGTCATTCGGTGCTGCAACATTTCATCACTGCTAGTTGTGGAAGACGTTTCCACCAAACAATGTTGAAGATACCAAAACGGTCTGGCTCTTGAAGGGGGCCTGCAAGGAGCTGAGAATAACGCGGCCCCTGAGGGGGGCCAATCATAGCCCTGCAGCTTGGGAACCTTAACCAGCGGAAGGTGGAGCTCACACTAGCGCGGGATCTCCTTTCGTGTACACGAAAGCTGGCGATCTGGCTTCTGAACCCGCAATTCACATTCCCTTCTTCAACTCAACTTTCTTTGGGGTTATCTGCGCGGGGTGAGTATTCTGCAGCTTCTGCAATACAACTTGGCGCCCTATGCTAACGCTACACCCAGATTGATACATCATGTCTTCCCCCGCCGGCGTTAGGCAGCGCGCTGCGAAAGACGGCAAGAAGCCCCCTTCAACACCAACCTCACCTTCAGCAGAGGTCATCTCTGAGAAGGCCGCCAACTTTATCGAAAAGGCCAAGCCCTACAAACCGCGCCAGAAGCAGGCAGAATGGGACTACAAGCTTGCGATCACGATCATGACGGCGCTTGCGTTCATCACAAGGTTCTGGGGTATCTCCCACCCTGATCAGGTTGTCTTCGACGAAGTGCACTTTGGAAAGGTCCGTCAGATCGTCTCTGCCACGCACAATGAGCTATCGGCAGCTGTATTGAGCTCGGACATAATGCTAACAAATTGCGCAGTTCGCTTCTTACTACCTGCAACGCACCTACTTCTTCGACGTCCACCCTCCTCTCGGAAAGCTCCTGTTCGCCCTCGCGGGCTGGCTTGTTGGCTACAAGGGCGAGTTCCTCTTCGAAAATATCGGCGATTCTTATGTTACCAACCACGTTCCCTATGTCGCATACCGAGCTATGCCTGCTTCGCTCGGTGCGCTCACCGTTCCTATCGTCTTCCTGATCATGTGGGAGTCCGGATACTCCTTACCTGCCTGCGTTACAGCAGCTGGTCTCATGCTTCTCGACAACGCGCATATTGGCCAGACACGCCTGATCCTGCTTGATGCTTCGCTCATCTTCTTCATGGCTCTCTCCGTTCTCGCATACATTCGTTTCTACAAGCTGCGACATGCCCCGTTCAGCCGCAAGTGGTGGAAGTGGCTTCTTCTGACGGGTATCAGCCTGAGCTGTGTCATCTCCATCAAGTATGTCGGTGTCTTCACCTTCTTCTCGATCGGTGTGCCCGTCCTGTTCGATTTGTGGGATCTGATGGATGTCAACCGTCGTCAAGGCGCATTATCTCTCCCAGAATTTGGCAAGCACTTCGCTGCGCGCGTTGTGGGTCTCGTCATCGTTCCCTTCTTCCTCTACCTTTTCTGGTTCCAGGTCCACTTCACCATTCTCAACAGGTCCGGCCCTGGTGACGACTTCATGACTCCCGCGTTCCAAGAGACCCTCAGTGACAACGTCATGTCTCTTCAGTCTGTCGGTATCAACTACTACGATACCATCTCCATGCGCCACAAGGAGACCAAAGTCTACCTTCACAGCCACACTGATCGCTACCCGCTCCGCTACGACGACGGCCGTGTCTCTTCTCAGGGACAACAGGTTACCGGTTACCCTCACAACGACACCAACAACCACTGGCAGGTTCTTCCCGCGAAAGAGCTTCCAAGTGAGCTCGACCAGCGCATCAAGATCGGCGACGTCGTTCGTCTGCGTCACATTATCACAGACACCGTCCTTCTGACACACGATGTCGCATCTCCGTACTACCCTACTAACCAAGAGTTCACCACCGCCCCCATGGATGAGGCGGACGCCGCACGTTACAATGACACTCTGTTTGAGATCAGGGTTGAGAAGGGCAAGGGCGATTTCAAGACCATGTCGACCCACTTCAAGCTTGTTCACGTCCCGACCAAGGTCGCTATGTGGACTCATACTAAGCCTCTGCCTGAGTGGGCATACAAGCAGGCGGAGATCAACGGTAACAAAAATGTGCAGCAGTCCAGCAATGTCTGGTATGTCGATGACATTCCTTCTTTGCCTGCGGAGGACGAGCGCAACCAGAAGGAGGTCAAGCAAGTGAAGCATCTGAGTTTCCTTCGCAAGTGGGTCGAGCTCCAGCGCGCTATGTTCTATCACAACAACGCTCTGACCAGCTCTCACCCTTACGCTTCCCAGCCAATCTCCTGGCCCTTCCTTCTCCGCGGTGTCTCCTTCTGGACGCACAACGACACCCGCGAGCAGATCTATTTCCTCGGAAACCCAGTCGGATGGTGGCTTGCCTCCTCCCTTCTCGCCGTCTTCGCCGGCATCATTGGCGCTGATCAGCTGGCTCTGCGCCGCGGCATGGACGCTCTTGACGACCGCACCCGCTCTCGTCTGTACAACTCTACTGGTTTCTTCTTCCTTACATGGGCCGCTCATTACATCCCATTCTACATCATGGGTCGTCAGCTGTTTCTGCACCACTACCTGCCGGCCCATCTCGCGTCTTGCCTGGTCACTGGTGCCCTCGTTGAGTTCATCTTCTGCATCGAGCCTCAGGATCCTCAGACCCCCGGCACCCCTGCCGAAAAGGGTCACCGTAGGACTCGCTCCCGCCCTGTTCGTGAGCGTGTTGCCACTGCCAGCCAGCTCGGAAGCTGGATTGCTGCCGGTGTCATCCTTGCTGCGACCCTCTGGTGCTTCCTCTTCTTTGCGCCGCTCACGTACGGAAAGCCAGGTCTCACAGTCGAGCAGGTCCAGTCCAGGAAGTGGCTCGGCTATGACTTGCACTTCGCCAAATAGATGGTGGTTCAGCAGGTGTAGATGGCCGCGCACAAGTTGGTGCTGGTATTGGCTCGATGATTGAGCTGTTTCTTGATAGATTATCATGGGGTAGTGCTCCTCAGTGCGGAGTGTAGGTGGCGTGATCTTGCTTGCTCCGCTCAACTCTTTCGAGTCTTTCCTTATGTCAATATACAGGGTCTAACGAACTACATCTACCCATCGTCTCTATACACTTGACTGGAACAGCTAGACAGTAAATGTACGTCTGCCGGTTGACGAAATAAGAAAGGTCACCTTTCATGACTTCATTATCTTGTTTCTTGTAAACAATTGCAAAAGCCTCCGGGGGTATCCTAATCTAAATGTTCAATAGCAGTCTCTGCGTCTACCTTCTGAACAATCCAAGTAATCCAAGCCCCCTGTCCTCCGTCCCACGAACCAGGTCCACCTCCACAGTCCCCACCGCAGCACTCTTCTTCACCCTGTCAGCTGCAACCGTACTCGTGGATCCAAACGTCTCCGCATAATTGATCGCCGGGTCCCTAAGCCCAAAATCCAGATGCGCCAGCGCCGGGCTCTTCCCCGGCAACCACAGGATCGGCAAATCCTTCAACTTTCTCTCGTTCGTGAGCGGGATATCAGCTTCCAGATCAGCCCACCCGCGGTACCCTTCGCCCTCGTACGCGCGCCGCTGCAGCTGCCACACGCCGTCTTGGATCCAGCGACTGACTCGTGGGCCGAGGGCGCGGCGGAAGCGCGTTAAGTAGATCATGATGCGGAGAATGCATATGTCAAGTACGGCAAGGAGGACAGAGAGCGCAATGATGAAGGAGAGGCCGAAGACGTTTATGTTACTAGGCAGTCAGTATATGGAGAGTAACGGTACCGTGTTGCGTATGCGGGGACTTACACGACGTCGCCGGATTTGCGCATTTTCTGCATTTTGCAAAGTCGTTTCTCGAATTCGTTCTCGGGCTGGATGTGCACGCCTGCTGCTGTGTCTCTGTTCTCGGGACCGATGGTATAGTCGAGGAATGCGACTTGCAGAGAGGCGAGGATTTGGCGTTGCCACCGCGTCAACTCGCGGATCCATTGGTCGTCTGGCAGTCCTTCTTCTCTGTCGGGGTTCTCGAGGGATCCGGCCAAGAGGTCTGTTGGCACCGTCGCCATATTGAATACGTATGACGAGGTTGCGAGCAGTCTGAGGATCGTGCGTTGTATGCCATTCGCACCTGGGAACATACTAAAATCGATATTTGCTGGGAGTGGCAGATTCCCGAGATACACACTGAGAGGGAGCTCGTTCAGATCAGTACAGTAGTCTGTTTTGCCCGACTGTGCGAAGCAGAACTGGTACTAGGCAAGATTAGCTGAATACTCTTAGGATGGTTCACGTCGCTTACTTGATCCTGGCACCCCATGAATTGTCCTTCGTGATTTGAAATATACACCGACTTTTCTACAAGTTCACCTCCAGCGTTCACGAAAGTTGCATCTAGCGGCTGTGTTGCGTTGAACAACGGGTCGTTGACTGGGTTGTTGTACGAAACAGAATTTGAACCCACGTAGATCAGAACCAGGGTACTGTTATCACGCTTGAGATCTGGAATCGGCGCGAAGCTAGCAGTGACAGGTGCTTTGGGGTTGCTATAGTTATAGAAAGTGCTGAAGGGCTTCAGTATTGCACGAGAAGCCGAGCCTTCTTACTTACTGCAGCGTGTAGTCTTTCAAATAGTATGCTCCGTTGAGATCGACACCAAGAGTTGTGTTTGGTGTACCACCCGGAAACTTGGTTCCGTATTGGAATTTCAAGGATCGTGGTGTTGTCGAAACATTGCCCGTTGATTGACCGCTGTCGCCAATGCTATCCAGCACACCCTGGACGTATGGTCTCTTGAAGGCAAGAATACCACACGTAGTCTTCTTGCGGTACTGCACACCATCTGAGCTGGATAGGTCAAGACCAAAAGCTGGTCCCACGTCGATGAGCCCTGTGTCGAACTCGATACCAGGAGTGTCTTGACAGACAGCATTGCCCAAAGGACAAGGGACCTTGCGGGTCTCGAAAGGGAGCTCTCGTTGAATAAGAGTGTTGCAGGCAGCAGGAAGTGTGCCATTGATTGATGTTGCGTTATAACACTGGCTGGCGTAAGGTACGGACGCAGCTTTGACAGGATATACGTAATCTCCTGCAAAGATGCGTTCAGTTGACGCCCAGCCACAACCTGGGCTATCGACCAGTACAACGATATTCCTGGAGTCAACAACGAGAGACGAGAAGATACTTGCTGCTCCACTGACTGCTACAAATAGCAGTGCTGCAAGCAAGAGAACGAGTGATCGCAGGAGAGGGCGCTTCGCTTTGCTCCTCCAAGCCCACCACAACTTGATGGTATCAGTCATGACTGCGCTCGGTGCTGGTAATGTGCGTAACAATGCTTGTTGCTGGCGAAATAATGCATCTGTGGACTTCCCATTGGCGCGAATCTGATGTATCATGAACGTGACAAGATGCCATAGATGAGCAGTGCCTGCACCCCATCAGTAAACGGTAATTTACAACCCGAACTGATCCTACCTATGGTGGACATGACAGCGAGTAACGCTACCAGCAGGTTGCCAGTCCTTGTATCGATTGTAATACTTTGACCTAATGCAGAGCCCTTCGAAACGTCTGTCCTAGAGGCTTTTAGCACAGCGACGCCGGTTGCGGGGGAAATTCCACTCACCATACTCCATGCTTGACGAACTTTGATTCCAGTTCCAACGACATATTTGCGAAGACGCTACTTTACTACCTGCGCAATTTCGGAGGTGCGCAAGTCACTCAACGAAATGCCATGACCGCGCGCTGGCTCTATGTACATACTGTTCATTGCGGCACAGCACCTGCAGCTCCGTTATCTCCCTGAAGGAAGACGGTACGGAAAGTTTATACTGTACTTTTAGAACAGTTGACGAATGAGGTGCTTCGAGCATGTCGAGCGGCGCCGAAAGAGCTAGCCCACGAGCCTCCAAACACAAAGTATCGAACACTCTGAACGTAGGATCGAGAGAGTGGAGCATGAAGATCCCCCATGTGGCTAGAACCTGGCCTGTTGGGGCAGCGCGTGTGCTGGTCAGCGGCTATGTGTAACAGAAGCGCTGCATTGGCGCTTAAGTGCAGGTCCAACCGCTGCATGTGTGGTGACCTTCGAATTTATTCATACGAATATGCTGAAGCTATGCTCAGGACTCGACTACCAAACGCATGTAGAGCGTTGAGGTTTGAACAAGATGAGGGCTGATTGATGCAGTTGCCCTTTCACGCTGTGTTGATGGATAAGTTCGGGAGGCGCAAGCAATTCCGCGCTAGTCAACCACACCCTCAAAGACACCTTTCTGCGACCAAAACGATTTCATCTCAAACTCGAGGCAGTTGCATTGGATCGAGATGTGCATCTTGAATCTCGGCCAGCCCTCACAAGCTTCATCCTCGAACTTCTCTCACCATCTCCACTCGTCCGTCTGATCAGCCCAGGCATTGGAAAAGCCAAAATCTCGGCTCCCACATACTCACGTTATCTTCGAGCACAACAGCGCGCACCACATGTGGGCCGCGTACGTGCAACGACTTGGCACTATGACATTGAAGTCTCTGCAGTGCCGGTGGGGCCCTCGAGAACAAGTTGTTTGAGATTCCGCCGAGGGTGCAGGTGCACGTGGAAGCAGATTGCCGCGACGGCTGACAGATGCAAAACGCAAGCACGGGGACCCGGGTTGCGGCTGCGATCGACATGGCCAGATTTTGCTTTTGAGGTGTTGTGGTGAAGATCAACATGAAAGAGAAGATCGGAATCACCGTAGAAGGGCCTGCAGATCTCAATGTGCATATGAACCTTGGAACTTTTTTTGGTTGTTGGATGATATTATGAGTGGTATCTTACACACATCAGATATCATCTATTGTCCTATCTCCACGAGGCTCAATGCATATACGGTCAAGTATCAACATCGGAAATTACTCACCCACCAGATGCCTTCGACATAAAGAAAACTTGATATGATAACCACGCCATGCTTGATGAAATATTAGGCTAAACCGAGGTGGAAGATGGCCCTAAGCAAACTTTTTGCACTGTGCTTAACGACAAATGGGTATCATGTCAACGCTGCAGATAGCGACGCTCTAGAACCTGACAGGAGAGTCGTTGGAGACAACAATCCACTTCTCGAGGTCACCGTTCTGAGCAGCGCGGGCGGCACGAGCAGCAGGGCTGCCGCTGCGCTCAGGAACGACGTAGTTCTTGACAAGACGGGCAGCGGCGCTGCCATTGGCACCATTGCTGAGGAGCAGATTGGCGCTGCCACCGAGGCTGCCGCTGATCTTGCTGGTACGGGCAGTCTCGAGGAGCTTCGCCTTGAGCGCGGCGGGGTTCTGGCCGAGACCAGAGGGGTCAGCAGCAATGAGAGTGGCCATGACACCGGTGGTGTGGGGGCAAGCCATGGAAGTACCAGAGAGGAAGTTGATGATGTTGTCGCCGGTGCTCCAGGAGCTGAGGATCTGCTCGCCGGGGGCGTAGATATCGACGCACTTTCCGATATTAGAGAAAGTGGAGACCGCGTTGTTGATGTTGACAGAGCCAACGGTGACGACGTTGGAGTTGCTACCACCGAGGTGAGCGGGAGTGGAGCCGCAGGCATCGACGCCATCGTTTCCAGCAGCGACCGAAACGTGGATGCCGGCCTCGCTGGCAGCAGTGATAACCTCGTCGACGGACTGGGCGGTTCCCTGAAGACCCCAAGACATGCTCATGATGGAGCCGACAAAGCCAGGTTGGGCCTTGCGCTTCTTGTGGTTGGTAAGAACCCAGTCCATACCAGCGATGGTGTCAGAGGAGGAGCCGGAGCCGTCATCGCCGAGAACCTTGACAGCAATAATGTTGGCGCCCTGCGCAACGCCGAACTTCGCGCCACCAGCAGTACCAGCAACATGAGTGCCGTGACCGTCACCATCAACCTCAGATCCGGTAGCTGTGAAACCCTGCGTACCGCGACCTGTGAAAACAGCGTGGGTGGTTCGTACGCCGGTGTCAATGACGTAGATGTCGACACCAGCACCGAGGGTCTCGTCGGTAAAAGTGTAGGTGAAGTCCTGGGACTGGGGCGAACCGGATGCGCCTGCGTCGCTGGAGATGCGCTGCAGACCCCAAGGAGCAGCAGACTTTGAACCGAAAGACTGGACAGCGGCCTTCTCCTCAACAACGTTGACCTCGGTGTAGTTGGCGAGGTACTGAGCGTGAGTGTCGCAAATTTCAAGAACCAAGACCTTGATATCGCTGTTGGTGGATTCCCATTTGACTACATCCGCGTTGTCCTTGAGCTCCAATTCTTCAAGGTACTTCTGGACACCGCGGAACTGAGCAGTCTCATTGCGCTGGAAGGTAATGATGTACTCCTTGGTCTCGGTGGAGTGGTTGCCAAACTTGGAAACCTTGTTGTCAATGAGACCCTCGCCGGTGGCAAGAACTGTGGAGGCAAGGGTCAGAAGACCTGTGATGGCGAAGGTAGTCCTCATATTGAACTCTGAACTGAATCCTGATTCGGTAAAAGATGTGAGAGAGTGTGTGGCCGTCTCGGCGAGAGGGAACAAGGTAATAAAGAGCGCTGCTGTATGTTAGTGTTTGTTGCATGAGGCCTTGACTAGCATCGGCAATGGCACGAATTGAAACAGGCAAGCACCCCGCCCAGGCTCGAAGGCACTCGAAGAAGGCAACGGAGATATTGGTGATGCGTGAGCCAGACGGAGTTGAGACAGCCTCGTGGCCTTGTACATCAGGATGTGGGGTATTCATGGCGAAGTGACAAGCGACCATGGCAGCCTTAGACAGTTGAAACTTGGGGACTTACGTCAACGCGCGAGCTACGATAGCTGGTAGGGAACCTGTGCCGGGCGGAACAGGTCTGAGGAGTTGCGCGTTAGAGCCAAGACGTGCACAGCACGCTTTTAGGTGAATAAGGATGCGGCCGGAGAAAAGTCTTGAGATGGCAGACGAAGTGAAAGAAGTGAGAGTAGCTGTCAAAAGAGAGTCGACTACTACAAGGCAAGCACACCTAAAGAATGAAGGTGAGTGCTGTTTAAAGAAAGGAACGGCCTGAGGGTTGTGAGAGGAAGAAAGAACCAAGGATGGGAGGTCGGAAGAGCATGGGGCTCCGCTCATGTACTCGCGTCACAGATTTCTAGGCCATGACCACCAAGCTCAGCGAAGAGTCGTCCGCATTTGAAACAGCTTGGCGGTCGGCTGGCTCCCGCGCCGCCTAAGCCCAATTTACCTGCGCCGCCCGTTAGCCAAGATCGCTGGCTTGCTTCAGCTCTCAAGTAGGAACAGCTGTGGTACCGGTGGAGTCGAAGCGGGCAACGGCAGCCGGACCCTGGTGCACGATTGGGGCCTCAGGAGATTGTACGAAGATGAGCGCCCTGCTAAGGAGAAGATCGAGGGCAACATCAGACGCGTGGAACAGCACTGGCGCCCATGGCGCTGGCGGCGCCCCCTTGTATGGAGGTACACGATTGTCCACAAATCTCAGCAAACGCTCGCCAACAGACGTGGACGCGCAGGAGCAACATCGAGTCAGGGTCAATACGCTGATTGGCTACATCAACCTAAAACGCGAGAGCGTGCGACGCGACCCAACTCGGCAAGCGCCATCGGCCGCTCCCCACAGCACGCATAAACCCGCCACTCAACAGTGCAGGCTCAGCGACGCACGGGCAAGGGGTGCCTGGCGCGTCGAAGATTCATGCGCCAGGAAACCAAACTCGTGGCGTCCAACGACTGCTGCTGTGCTTGAGCCACCCGCAACCTGTGGCACATGATCGGCCTTCGACCTCGATTCGATTCGCGGCCGCTGACAGAGAGCGGTCTTGACACAAGCCATTATTTCCGTGCTGGCGACCCGTCAACCCCATGCAAAGTTGACCACTATGCTGGCCCATCAGGAGCCACACACGTGTTGGCGGACGTTTCAGCGCTGATTAAGGACGACGAAGAGATGAAGTTGTCTCGCTCCTCGGACTCGATGCAGTGAGCATGACTTGCAGTGCTGCTACGACAACGTCCTCTGCCTGTGCAGCACGAACGCCTCTGTGCGTAGGACAGAACGCACGTGGGACTGTCTGAATTCGTTGACGTCCTGCAATGTTGTTGATGTCTAACTCTGACATCACTTGTGTAGCTGCCGCAAGCGTCGGGGTCGTGCATGACAAACATGTCCTTCAGAGCAATGACAGCTGCCAACCGCCGGCTGTCGAGTAGCACAGCATGAATTTGTCGTAAACACACCTTATGCCGTTAAAAGCATGCTCTCGCAAATATGACGGCTAGACAGGTCGTTGTTTCGTGAACTCAATGGCCTGAACTGCGCCTCATCAATACCAGGCAGCGGGCACTACCACGCTAAACGAAGATCTTGGCCTTCATTATGCGAGCAATTTGCCTGCGCCGCATCGCTTAACAAGAACGGTAATTTACTGCTTCTCGGTAGATGGCCCACCTCATCATCTATTCTCCAAACATACATGCGAAGCGGTGTGTGTCGACGACAAAAGATAGGTAGTTCACCCCGTTATGGTCGCAGGCTTGCGTTAGCGTCTGGAATGGCAGATCCTGCTATCCGCGGCAAACCATGAGAGGGGAGCAGATTGTTCGTCAGTGCCACACAATGAATTCTTACAGAGAAATTGTACAGCCAACGTTCCAACGCTACCGTCACAAGATCCAGCGCCAGTCAAGATCCTTCCCCATGCTGCTAGACTAATTGCTCATCGTTAATAAAATCTACACCTCCTCGTCACTCTCATCACCCAACAGCTCGCCTTCGTCTGGGTCGACAACTGCGTAGTCACCCCTGCCTCTCGCGAAGGAGCTTCTGCTTGTGTAGGTGCGACCACCGAATCCACCGCCGCCTCTACCACCAGACACCATTCTCCACAGGCTGCCAATCAGCAAGGGGATAGCAGCAACAACAGCAACGAGGCCGCTAGCCGCAGCCACAGGGTATTTGACCCATGGTGCGTCCGAGCTGAACCCCCCACTACCAGAGTCACCGAGCCGAATAGCGCCGAACTTGCCAATGCCGTTCCAGTTCTTCCAGACGTAGTACCCAATGCCACCTGCGGCTGCGAAGGGCAAAACAATGGCGAGGAAGAGGGCAAAGCCACCGATACCGTGCTTCTTCTCGAACTCTTCTTCAAAACCAGGGCAGGGATGAACTTCGCCCATATGGTCGAACTCCTTACCACCCTCGCAAGTAGAGAGTGGAATCTTTCGGTAAGGAGTATTGTCCCAGTACTCGCGTGCACCCTTTGCGCAGACAGCCTTGGGGTCCTCGAGCGTGAGGCCAGCAATGAGCTTGCATTCGCCGCCGGGTTGCCGCTCGTAGTTATAGGCGCATTCGAAGTCACGTCGTGTGCATGTGCAGTTACGCTGGATGTCGTGCATGTGGTCGATGCGCTCGCCGTTCCTACACTTGACATCGCGCTTCTTGCGGTGGTACTCTGCGACGTGACCGAACAGGCACTCCTGATCTTCCTGCATGGGATGTTGGGGTGTCCAGAGATCGTAATCGCCGCTTCCAGGATTGTTCTCATCCAGGTTGCATTTCTTGGAGAACTCTTCGAGGCCGGAGAAATCGACGTTGATGGCAACGAGTTCCTTACCGTCCTTGCCCCACAAAAGGAAGTTGAGGGAGGTGTCGCTGGGCACCGTGGTGATTGCGTCCACGCGAACACCGTGCTCAGCGAACTTGTAGAGATTCCACTTGTCACCGCTGTCGAGTGAATAGTACAGATGATCCGTGTCTTCACCGCGGCGGACAATGACGACGACGGAACCTTGGTCGCCGAACTCCCAAGCGTAGGCGCCCTTCTTGATCTCCTTCCAAGTGATACCAGCATCAGTGGTCATGAACGTGCTTGCCTCACCGAGGGTACCAAGTTCAGCACCGACGTTGCCAACACCGAGCATGAAACCGACGGCTGTAGGAGAAGAGTATGTTTCGCGAGGATCTGAGCGCTCTGTGTATCCATGGATATGAAGACCGCACTTCTCGGGATTTGACACATCGCAAGAGTAACTCTTTCCGTCCGAATCTTTCTCGGGAGCCTCCAATGGAGTCCACTCGGCACCGTCATTGTGAGTAATTCGAGTCTGCTTCCTCTTCTTTGCGCCCTTATTGACCTCGTCGATGTTGGCGACTATGTTGGCAAGTGCGACGCCCTCCAGACCCTGCATCTTCTCGAAGTCGACGTAACCCTCGGTATTGCGGTTGACGCCGTTCAAGCTCATCACGTAGGATGTACCGTTGCTGTTACTCTTGACAATAGAGCCGTACTCTTGGTCTGGACGAGGGTTAACTGTGACGTGCAGGAAGATGGCATGTGTTGAGCTATCGAGCACAGTGTATGCTGTCTGGTGGTCCACGTTGAACTTGGGAGGGAAATTGGCTTCCGCGAAAGTTTTGGCGTCCAGGCTGGCCGACAGCTCCAAAGACTTTCCATCCTTGCCTTTTGTTGCGATGATGATGAACTCGGACATGGTTGCAAACTCAACAACTGATTCGAATTTGACATCCTTCTTCTTGAACCAGTCGTCACTCGAGATGAGCTCTACAGGAGCGCCCATCTCCTCCTTGGTGTATTGTTCACAGAAAACCTGCTCTTCTTTGACATCGCGGCCAGCTTCACGCCAAACGAAGGCACACTTCTTGACGTAGGGAAGCATAGCCTCCCAGCTTCCGGAGACACCATTCTTCTGTGAGACGTATGAGACAGTGTGGCAGTCCTTGTCGCCCAGCTTCTCGCAGTGTTCACCACCAAGCCATATGAGCCAGCCCTTCTGCTTCGGGTGGAACTGCAAGATCTGCAGCCTCTGCTCGTTGGGCATAACAGGAGCCTCGAAACTGTGGATACTGTCCTTGAGGCCGCGGTCTTCTGAGTAGTATACCTTCTTCGAAGCGGTCAGGAAGTAAACGTAGTTGTTTTCGTAGGTGTGGGGGTAGATTCGGACAATCTCGTCGTCGACAGCCTTCTTCCACTTCTTGCCGTGGTCGTGGGTGATGTAGGCTTCGCGCTCTGAGGTCAACAGAACGATGGTCTCGTCACGATCTCTAGCGTTGTCGCGGTCGTCCCTATTCTGAGTATCGCGCTCGAGGTAGTAGTGCTCCATAAAGTTGCTGCCCTTGAACTTGGTGATCTCGCTGGTAATCTTGTCGCTCTTCGGTGGTGGTCTTTCGGCATCATCGCAGGGCCTTTCGACTTCCTTGTCGCGTTCGGTTTCGCCCTTGCACTGGTTGCCAGGAATCTTTCTCCAGCCTGAGCTACCCTTGTACGTCTTGTCCTTGCCCTCGCAAGCACCCTTGGGCAGTCTGACCTGGTCAGAGGGTTCGCATTTCTTGTCCTTGCCCTCGCCGCTGGGTGCGAAGTTGACATCGCATTCGTAGTCTCTAGCAGCGTCGCATTCACAGGACTCAAAGTGTGGCGTGGGATCCTTGAATGGCTCGGAAACGAAGCAGTCGGCGTCCCACTTGCGCCTCTTGAACAGCTGCTTATGACCCATAACGCAGCTTGGTTTACCGTCGTCTTCCTTGCGGACTGACCAATCTTCGAAGTCCTTGTCTCCGCACTTCCGTTCGTGAAGCTCAGAGAAGTCGAGATGGATGATGACATGCTCGCGACCACCACCGTCTTTCTTCTTTGACGCGTAGAGCATGAATTTTTGGCTTGTCGAGTCGGGAAGCGTAGTCAGTTCGCGAGCGCGGAACTTGTAGTCGATCTTGATCTCCTTCCAAGTATCCTTGCGTCCATGCTTAAGCGAGTACATGATTTTGTCGGTGTCACCTTCGTCGTAGACTGCTACCAGAATGGATCCTTGGTCGCCGAATTCGTACTTGTGTGCTTCTTCGAGAGCCAGCTCCCACGTAAGACCAGCATCGTCTGAGACATATAGGTCACCATCAGTGTACTTGCCTAGCTGATCTCCGGTGTTGCCCACGCCCATAACCATACCAGGTGCCAGGCTAGAGAATACGCGGCCACTGTTGTGAAGGTTTGTGACAGAGTGCAAGTGGAGCTCCTTCTTGTCCTTGTCCTTGATGTGCAGCTTCTCAAAGGTCCTGCCGTCGTCAAAGCTGATCTTTGACTTCAGTTCCTTCGAAGAGCCCTTCTTCTCAACGCGTTCCCAGTTATCGACAACGTTGACCATGACCACGCCCTGGATGTTGGCGATTTTCTCAAAGTCTACGAAGCCTCGCTCGTTGCGGTTCATATGCTCAACGTTCTTTGTGAAGTACGTGCCGTTCGAGTTGCTCGTGTATAGTGTGCCCATCGCGGTGTACTTCGATGTCATAACGTCGACTTGAATGCTGTAGTTTGTCGACTCGAGTATCGTGTACGCATCTTGTTCGACTTTGTGGTCGCCGAACTCAGCGTGATGCCAGGTTTCGGTATCGGTCGTGACGTAGAGGGTTAGTTCGCTCGAGTGATCGGCCTTCGCAGCGGCAACGATGTAGCCTTTGACAGCTGCCATGTTTGCCATGCCTTGGACGGTGCGTCCTGATGACATGACCGGCTCATTGACGTCCTTGAAGTAGCTATGGCTGTTAGCATGATTTCAGACGAAGATCCTCTCTCAAGCTTACTTGTCAGACATCAGCAGCCTGAAGTCCTTGGTCCTGTCCGAGTATTTGCCCCTTGTGATGCACAAGATGCGGTCGTCGTGCTTGTCGCTGTCCATGAGGAATCTCTCAGAGCCCTTCGCCCATTGGCACATGCGGCGGTCCTCGATGAGAGGCTTGGGCTCTGTCTTGAAGCCATCTGTGGTGTAGTACGAGCGTCCGAGACATGGCGCAGTAAAGCAGTTCTCGATCTCGTTGAGCAGAATCTTCTTGCTGTCGGTCGCGTGCCAGGCGAGAGGTGCGCCTGGCGAAGGTGGCAGCTCGGTCTTGAAGGAGTTCCAAGACTTTCCCTGGTCGTATGTGATCCAGTGTTTTGACTCGCCCAGGACTGTGGCAACCTGATTGTCGTACGGATTCTTGAGAATGCCAGCTCCGTTCAATTCTTTCTCCTGCTTCCAGCCTTTTCCAGCGTCTTCTGATCTCCATATATTCCCACTCTCAAGCTCTTGCAGTAACGCGACCGTCGAATCGTCGAAGTAGAGGATGTTTACGAGCTCGCTCTTGAACCCTGTCGTCTCGACGAGCGGCGCATCGCTCTTAGCGGCGATAGAGGGCACGAATGCCAGTAACGTCGGCAGCAGCAGACTCGTATTATACCGCATGATGCATAGGGGCGATAAGGACCGCGGAGTGTGAAGGATGGATTGGATGCGTGCTTATTTGACAGCTGGCTGCTTGCCGTCTGCAGCCTTGTCGAGCTGAAGGCAACACTTCTTGGCGCTACTGAAACAGTGGACGCGACGCAACGAGAAGCTGCGGCGAAGCTCTGATGACACGTGGTAGGATGTTCGAAACGCGAAAAAGAATTCAGGAAGGTGCTGCGTGCGAGAAAGACGATATGCGCTCAAGAAGACAGGCTGTTCGAACAAATGCACGTCTTAGGAGATGCAGCTGTTCCCGGTGACGCGCGGAGGGACCCCTGCCACTTCGATTTGGTCATCGTTCCTGCCTAAACGAGCACGTACATCACCAAGCAGCCTTTCCGTCCACTTGTCAACTGCTACCCCAAGCTAGCATTTCATCTTGTTACAATTATAATCTAGACGGACATGTCTACTGTGAATGCTACAACGCCGCTAATCGTGCGAGAAGACGCCTCATACCATTTCCATCTCGTCCGGTTCCGACACAGAATCATAGCGAATCGCCCTATCATGTCCTAGTTGACTTGCCTTCTTCACACTGCAACGCAAACCACTGACGCTTACTGCATTTACTGCGTCCGGGTACTTACACCTTGCTGACCCACACAGACACTTCCTGTTCGTGAAGTAGTCGCTGTCATAGTCGACGGTGATCTGCTCACCAACAGCAGTATCTTTCTCTGCTTTGAGCACCAGTACCCTCTCCTTCCCGGCCCTTGCCTCGGCAGTGTTCTCATTGTTGTCGCAACTGTGGTTGCAGAACCTCGTGTAGTTCTCGCAATGCTCCGCATCGACATAAGCAACTCTAGCGCTCGTCTTCGAGAACTCTGGGCCAACCAAGACTTCGTGGCAGTAGTCGGTATTACCAGTACGATGAGGTACCAGCTCACCAAGTTATACTCCAAGGATATCACCCTTCTCCCATTCTTGTTTGGAATGGAGACCGTAGCCCATGTCAGGGATCGCACTAATCTCAAAGCGCTCTTCCCAACCTTCGGCGCCAGTGAGCCACTCACTGAAAGTATGATCGCAAGTATCTTCCTGGCAGAAGAAACCGCCAATTGATCTCGCTCCTTGCCAGCAGTATTTACCGAGACAATAGTGACTAACTGGCTTGCCGCACATCTTGATTAGCTGCTTAGCTGTGGCACCGGTCGCGTTTTCGAACAAGGACTACAGGTTCATCAATTGTGATGGACTTGTAGGTGGCCAGGGTCTTAGATGGTTTGCAGGGCGAACTTCCTTCTGCCATTGGTAGTTTACAAGGTGTAATGCCCTGATTCTGGAGGGAGGGCAAATACATCAGCTATGGTCATGCCCTGGATTGAAAATCGGCTGTCCATTACCATTTGACTCATAGAAGTACTTTTCCTGAGCGGTTGGCTTCGATGGACAACGACAGTAGTCATACGGCTCGATTCGAGCCGCCGCAGCGCGAGTAGGGCGTCGCCTTTTGACTGGCATTCTGCAGCAGTTTATTGTTAGTTTTTTATCTCAATAATTGTCCAAGTATGTTGCAGGCAGAGAACGAGAGTTTTTATTCGCCCTGTGTCTACAATGCATTGCACAGTACCTGAGACGAGGCGAACAGAGTCAAAGAGCTGGTTCCACCAGATAGTGGTACTGCGAGCGGGGTCAAAGCCTCAAAGGACTCGACCGCCCTCTTTGCGATTCAATCCGAATCGTTCAAGATAAAGCACTCTTTCTGGACGGCGCTTCAGGGCCTTCCTTTCCGAGCCATCTGAATATGAGCTGAGTGTGACGGAATTTTCTTGGAGCGCTCTCCCCTCATGCCCACTTCCTTACTAGCTCCAAGCAGTGAATTATCTTAGCTCCAGAGTTCGCATCACGGCCGCGATATCTTCCCTTTCTTCTTGCGAGTCACTTGCCATCCAAAGCTCTGTTCTAGTCAGCAATTCATACAGTCAGAACTGTAACGAGTGTGCACTTACCGATTCCTCCACCTTCCCGCTTTGGATTATCACATTCACAATTACTGGAACCTTCGCCTTGAAGCCTTCGACAGTCGCCTTCTCTAGATCCTCAGGCGATCGCACAAAATATCCGATCCCACCGCACGCCTCTGCAAGCTTCTCGTACCTCGTCTCACACCCTAGCGCCCAACCCCTCAAACCCGGCTCACCTTTTGCAGTCTTTTCTCTTTTCGCCTCGAAGTCCGCAGCTGAATCTGAATCGCCAAAATAGATCCCACTATTATTAATCACAAAAATGAGCACGTCCATACCTAATCTCGCCATAGTCTCGACTCCCATCCCTGAGAACCCAAACGCAGAGTCGCCCCTCAATTGTAACAATCTTCTTACGAGGCGCCGGACCGGACGAGGCTTGTGCATTGGGTGCATTATATGCTTTCCAGGCTGCAATTGCGTACGGGAGGCCGAATCCCATTTCCCGATTACGATCAGAGGTGCTTGTGCGGTTCTGAGCAGTGCTACCACCTGCGACACTCTCCCTGCCTCGGCTGCTGAAATCGGAGATTTTGAGATTTTGGGTATATCAATTACATCATCGCTGTCTTCCGGATCGATTGGATCGTTGATGAGGTCCACTGGCAAATCGATGAAGGCCGGGCCTGGCCGACCATAGAACGCAGTACGGTAGACCTCGGTGATAGTGGAGGGTAACATATCAACATTCGACGGCCTCGGTGAGATCTTGGTGTGCGGAGAAAGGAGTGTGATGGAATCCATCTCTTGGAAAGCTCCTTTCGTAGCAAGATGCGTTTCGATGGATCCACCGAGTAGAAGTAGCGGAAAGTTGTTCGCGCTTGCATTGCCGACCTGAATAAGGTCATCTAAGCCTGCCTCTTACTCGAATTGAGTAGACTGAAGATCGTACGACACAGAGCATAGCAAAAAGTGTTTGTCAGGTAAACTTACGCCAGCGATAGCGTGCAAGACTCCAGGTCCACCAACAACCAAACAAACGCCCGGTCTGCCGGTAAGATACCCATACGCCGTCGCAGCATAGCTAGCTGCTTGCTCATTTCGGAAGCCAATGAATCGAATGCCGATATTAATAGCCTGCTCAGCGATGTCCAACACAGGTCCGCCGACGACGCCAAAGACGACAGTCACACCTAAGTTTCTCAGGGTTCGTGCGATAATGCTCGCACCTGTTGCTGGGGATTGGGTTTGAGAAGTCGTGATTAGATGAGTATCATACCATCAACCTGTGGAAGACTGTCACTTGCAACTGACAACATAGCAAAAAGTAGACAACATGATGACTGCGGGTCTACTTAGATGATATGTAGTCGTTGTAATAGCCTGTTACAGAAAAAAAAATTGACTGGATATAGAATAAAAGAGCGCGCTGGAAGCACGCTTAAGCTTGTTAGCTCTTTGATGTATACTGTAAATTTATCTTCTACGACACTGATGTGCCAGTATCATCATTCGACAGAGTTCACAAAGCTTCCGATGGTAAAGTATATACATCTCGAATTTGCCTGTGGAACCACTGTGTACAATTGTTGTACAAACGATGCTGGGCGTCGAGGTGTACTTCGTAAGTCTCCCTAGCCTACCGTCGGTATCCAATCGCCTCACGCTCTTCTTTGAGTATCACATCCACTGGCAGCTTGCGGTGAGACGTTGATAATTATATACTGTTGCTAACCCCTCATCCACGATAAGATGTAGTTCACTATGGGTAGGATCTACACAGCAAGCTACGCTGGCTTTCAGCGTATAGCACAGTCATACGGTCAGATGCTGTACTCGCTTCATACCGTGTGTCTGTGCCTACATCGTACTTGAAGTTGATCTTCCCGAACGGGGTCGGGCCGATGATGTACGCGACCGTTCGTACGTAGAGTAATTGTGGAAGGTTGTTGATTACTAGATGCCAGCGCAACACATGTGGTCGCAATGTACTACACTATAAGTATATTTTTTCGTGTTCTATACCGGTAAAGAAACGGCGCACTGACGTGCATTGGAAAACACTGCTAGGGTCACAACTGCACATGCAATTAGTCAATGATATAGTCGGTCAAGCATCGTTTTCGCTCCTCGTTGATCTGTACTCTGGTGTTCCCGCTCCTTGGTGCTCGTCTGTGCCACGCCTCCCTTTGCGCAATCACAGACACGGGACGCTCTGTGGCTCGTTGCTAGGTTCTTGGAATACGAATGATCGTGTGGGAGACCGAGATGAGGCCTGTTTGATAAAGAGTGAGACCGATCCAGACTGTGTATGATCGTCGTGTTTGTGCCTGGGGCGTCAACAAGAAAGCGCCCTCGAGTGCGGGTGGGTTTTCACGTGCAGAAAATCGCAAGAACGACTGGCGTGCGCCAATAATGATGCCAGCCTGCAGGCGACCACAACCCTTGATTCTTGATCCCTGCAGGCGCGATCGGTTCCGGCAGGTCCCCTAGAAGTTTAACGTCCATTATTGCGGCGACGGCTGTCCATCTGCCATCCCACACCGCAAGAGTTGGTTCTGCTGCACGAATCCCCGCGTTTGCATGGCCTGAAGTTGCAAAACATATATTTCTCCGTCCCCGCCACACTCATGTCGCTTCCTCCCCCCGTCACCAGCCCCACGATGCCGCCGAGCAAAGGTGCGACCTCTCTTGCGCGCGTTCGGTCGCCAACAAAAGTGCTTGCTAACAATTGCAGACACTGCAAAGCATGAGTGCGTCTCCGAGGATGCGCTCCAGCACCTGAGGACGTACAAATACTCGAGCGTCGACAAATCCTTCATCTCCCGCTACATCCTCAAGCACTACGTACGATGCCCGCGACCTCCACCGCGAATGCGCGCGACCTGACACAAGACAGTGGAATGGCTTCGTGGAGCTGCTTCCTATGTGGATTGCGCCCAACTTGGTCACGTTGCTAGGCTTCTTCTTCATTCTTGGGAATGTCGCGTTACTAGAAATTTACGTGCCGGATCTTGTCGGACCGGTCAGTCCGCCTCATAATGGATTCGCGAGGTAGCAGCAAGCTCACGAACAACGCAGGCGCCGTCATGGGTGTACTACAGTTTCGCATTCGGCATGTGGATGTACTCCACCATGGACAACGTCGATGGCAAGCAAGCGCGCCGTACCGGAACCTCGAGTCCTCTAGGGGAGCTCTTCGAGTACGTAACTTGAAGCGCAATGCACCAACCCAGACTGACTTCGATGCAGCCATGGAATCGACTCTCTGAATTGCACACTTGCCAGTCTTCTGGAGACAGCAGCTGTTGGCTACGGCTCGACTAAGATTGGCGCTTTCACTGCTCTCGTGCCCGTGCTGCCTATGTTCCTTTCCACCTGGGAGACCTACCACACACATACGCTGTACCTTGGATACTTCAACGGTCCCACAGGTCTGTCTCCCGCGCAGCTTTCTTCCTAACTCTCGCTGACGTATCACAGAGGGACTGATCCTTGCGTGTACCTTCATCTGCATGTCCGGCTACTTCGGTCCTGAGATCTGGTCGACCCCTCTGGCGCACTACTTCCCCTCGTACAAGGCTGAGATCGGCAACGTCACACTCAAGGAGCTCTGGGTTCCCATCATTCTGTTCACGTTCTTCGTTGCCCACGTACCGGCCTGTTTGGTGAACGTTGCAAAGGCACGTCGATCCAGGAACCAGCCTTTCCTCCCCACCATCTTCGAGTGGACTCCTCTGGTCATCTTCACTGTATGCACCATGGCTTGGCTTGGATCCCCGTACTCGCACCTGCTAGACGACAACCACCTGGTATTGTACTGTCTGACCATGTCCTTGGTCTTTGGGCGCATGACGACCAAGATCATCTTGGCCCATCTCACCCACCAACCGTTCCCATACTGGACAATCATGCTCGCACCCATGGTTGGCGGTGCTCTCCTCGTCAACCACCCATACTTCACCATCCCTGGGACCACTTTCGGACCCCTATCTGCGAAGACTGAGCTGTGGTACCTCCGCGCATACTTTGTCTTCGCAGCAGTCGTGTATGGCCGCTGGGCTCATCTTGTCATTACAAGCATTTGCGACTTTCTCGGCATCAACTGCTTGACTATTCCCAAGCAGACAAGAGAGAAGAACGCCAAATCCAATGGCGTCGCTAATGGCACTTTCCCTGAGAAGGGCCGTACAGACTAGATGCCGAACACAAGCCTCTGGAACACAGGCGCTCACTGCATCTTTCAGGCAACGAATAGACACGACGGAGCAACCCACCATTTCGAGCATGCATGCCTCGGCGCACTCTGGGTTAATGATAGACTTTTACACCACACACCACTTCGATACAGCTTCGGCTCATAATGATCCTTGCATTCCTGGATACATACTATTTATACATAATATTTGGAGGAGAGACGCAAGCCTTTTAACGCCCGCGTTGAAGCCTGACGCTGGCTGTAATGTTGCATAGCATGGAAGAGGGACTGGTACATCGGTAGTATGATTACAGTGCATGTCGCGATGGCGGCATTTGGAAGATGTGCGTGGAGCACAGCCTACGGGAAAGTCATATCTTTAATACTTGCAGGGCGCAGCGCCCCGCATCCACCAATGAGACGCTAGGTCCTGCACGATCACGCTTCGTCGGTCCCAACTTCCTGGCTCTTGTTTCTAACTTTGTTGCGAATGGCCCACGATCTGCATCGCAGATCTTCTCTAAAAACAGCGAGGGATGCATGAAATGCGTGAGCTGCGAATACCAACCAATTGTGCGGCGCCCCCTCACGACACAGCCCTGTTCTGAGGCTCAAACGCCTCTTCAAGGCTTACATATTGGCGCAGGTCCAGCAGTCGGTGCGCATCCAGCTCTTGGGTGTGGAGGCGGGCTGAGACGCAACCTTCACATAAAGACTAGCAAGCAAACATCAACTGCGTTCGGTCTCTGCGCTGTTCTTGTGCCCTGAACAATCTGCTCGAACGACGAAGACTGGGACCAAACGACAGTCGTGTTCAAGACACAACACTGCACACTAGCCCGCTGTCGCGGCAACATCAATCATGGGCTGGAAATTACTGGATTGCGCAGAGACAACATGTGCGAGAGATAGGACATCAGTCGATGCAGACCCAGATATTGCTGGTATCGGTGTATGAGTTCCTGGTCACTCACAGCCGCCCTTGCTAACGCCTCCCTGGGTCATCGTAGGTTTTTTGTCTACGACATGCATCGCCTTTCTTGTCGCATTTACAGTACTCTTCTTACACCACTTCGAAGAGATCGTAAACTTCTTTCGAAGACGCTTTATGAAACGGAAGCCCACGTATGAGCAGAACCAACACCACGAAGGACCCTACTGGCGAAGCGTCGCTTTCTGGGCAAAGGTGCTGAGCAAGAACCTTCTTGCTCTGTCTGACACACAACTGCTTACAGGACTTGCTATCCAGTTCACAGCAATGATCAAACATTGCTCAATGTCTGTGTATCATTTCAGGATTGTCGTCGATCTTGCCTTCCTCACCACGGTTACGCATCTCCTCACAGTGGTGGCGCTGCGCGACTACTTTGTGAACTACAAGTGGATCAACCTGCCGCGAATAATCTTTATGTTGGCCAACCTTGCACTCCTAGGCTACACTTCCTTCGTCGCATACTCATATGACCTCGCTCAGCTTGAGCTCTCCGACTCACTGGCTTGCTTCTTCCATCAGGACCGACCACACTTCTCAGCGGCGTTCGGCGGGAAATGGGCTGCTCTTTTGATAGGCGCCATTGGCGGGCACGCTGCTGTGATAGCAGCCATGTACTGGTTCAAAGAACCTGACCCGGCAAAGAAAGACGCGTGGTGGTACTGGATCTGGTATGGCGGCGCTCTCATTCGCACATGGCTTGTTGCCCCCGTATACGCTATCTATGGGGTCTATATGGCTTCTGATGGGCTGTCAGAGACCCAGGCTCTCGGCAACCCGCCCAAAGGCGTCATAATCGACGGCAACGAACGTGCTTGGAACTTTGGACAGTTTTTGCCTGTGCTGTTACTTGCTTTGCCTATATTCGCTGGATGGGAGTGTTTCTGGGAAGAGAAGGACGAGGACCGCGAGAACCGCTTTTTGCTCAATGGCGCAAAGAAGTCGAGGAATACCGTAGATGAGAACTCTCTCTCGATGTTCCATGGACAAAACAAAGCAAAATACGGCGGCCACTCTAGAGATGCCTCGAGGGAAGAACAATCCATTGAAAGCATCGGTCCAAGCCCCGCAATCACACCACGTCCGAGCCCACACGTATCGCCGCATCTTCGCTCCACGTCTCTGGGCAATCCGGATCGTCGCGCTTCGACGGAACCTGATACCCTACTCTCCATACCGTTACCGGCAGCGAGCTCTGGCCTTGGTCTCAATTTTAGCAGACCAACTCCACCGAGGACACCCTCCATGAGCCCATCTCGGCTTCGTGACAGCACAACCTGAGCAGGACCTAATAGAATAGCATGAACAACGCATTTACTTTCCAGCAGTCGCATCCTTCCAGTCCTTCCAGGCAGCGTACAATGGCACTACAAGTGCCCTGACCTTGGGCCACTTAATTGTGTGGGTTCAGGACTAGCGCAGCGACACCTATCTCCACATCGATACATCGGCCCACAACTTCCATCTTCTGCGAAGCCCAGCCAGTGTCCACGGTGCTGAGTCCTAGGTACCAGTACCGCCACCCTGAAGACGGTAGCTGCCAGCAGTGCTGTAGCTGCCACCTCCCCAAACCACGTCGCGTTGTCGAGGTAGTTGCGCAGAAGATTAGAAGCATACGTATCCGCTTCCATCACACCTCGCACGATAGCTTCAATCATCTCCACCAGCATATTTGGCTCCTCCTGCGCCTCTCCTTCAAAATTCGATCCACGAATCGTACCGAGCACCCTGGCCGTTCCCTCGGACAATGTACTTCCACATCCCTTCCTCCGTGCCAAGGATGTCGCAGTACAAACGGCATTACTTTACCGCTTCTCGCACCACCGTCTCATCGTCCGTATACGCCTTAGTAAGTGGAGGAGGGTAGGACAATATACACGACTTCTGCCCATGTCGAGGCTTTGGCTTTGCGGTGCGAGATCGCACCGTTGGGGAGGCGAGGGGCAGACTGCAGTCCCCAAGAGGTGGTCGATTTGACATGGTATGGCTGGGAGGTAGGAGCTTCTGGTGCTGCTGGAATTGGTGAGCTGCGCAGGGATGTCGAAGAAGGCGGGGTCGGTCGAAGAGCCTTGCCGATGTTGTTAGATGTTGGTGAACTAGTACTAGTTGAGATATCAGTCTGGACATCGTTCCATTGCCCTCGTAGAGTGTATTGTCGTCTGTGCGAATGAACCGTTTGATGTATCGCAATGCTTCGATATCTTCCTTCTGACTCGAATAGTGCTTCCACTATTCTGCTACCTTCGAGTTGAATATGCTGAGTGACGGGTCGTGGTACTCCAGCAGAGCTTAGAAAACGACTTCATATTCCCAGCTATGCGAAGCTGTGTCTCATGCCTTCAGGAGGCCTTTCTTGATCGAGAAGGTGGCATTGGCTCCATCGAGTTTTGATGAGCGATGCTGATTCAAGACGTGACTGTTCAGATTATGAACTCAACTCTGATCTAGGCAGCCTTTAACATCAACGAATTCGATTGGCACATGTCGAGCCTTACATGACGACTCGATGACATCCAGTTGTCAGCTTCAATATGGTGAACTAAACTCTGTGGCAGATGCGGTATACGGTAGTTCGACGACATGATGCAAGAGTCCCAACGAAAGCGTTTGGGTGGGAAGGGTTGAGGACATCGCACTTGTGCATACCGCGGCCCCAAAGCTGGGCTATCTCGGACCAGGAGTCTTATAAGTGGAGTGGTGTTGTTCAGAATTCAACTACCATTCCGCGCTGGACGCCATAAGTGTTTGGCATCTGCTATATTGGCGGCGACTGTAGACGTCGAAGCAGGTTACACTGGTGACGATGAGCCAAGATGACTTGTGGGCTTAATCATGTCTTTGCCAATCAGAGTGCCATTGAATTTCTTCCAGGTTGCTTCCCCTCGATCTCTGTGGTTTCGCTCCCACGCTCACCTGTCGCAGCTGCTTCCGGCTGCCGAGGAACGCCATCGTTCCCCGCGTTCCCCAAGACCCACGAGTCCTTCAGACTTTTAGACCCCATATCCCGCCACATACGTTGGCGAACGACTTGTCGAACGCTAGTAGGCTTCTCGAGCGACATCTCCAGCCTGTGGGTAGAGCCTCCAAGGTCCGCTCCGACGGCAACCGAGCTCTTCACCTCTGACGGCGGCGCACGGTGCACCTGCAGCCCAAGCCACGCTACAGACTATCTTGAGCTTGCCGCATAATCTCGGCCTTATCGTGCACTGAACACCCGCGCAAGAACTGGCATTCTGCAATTCTCACCGTTGGGCATCTTTTCCCGCAAGATCTGGGGTTGTACGTAACAACAATTGGCTGCAGTCTGGGGAATCTGAGTGTACAGTCGCAGCACGGTGGACCCCAGTTATGGTAGCAACGGAAGCGACCTGCCTTTACCGGTTCGAGGTGCGGGATGCGTGGTAGCCAAGATGTTGGCATATCAGCGTATGCCCAGCGTCTGGCGCCGGGCGACTTGCTTGAAAATCTCTGCTCGAGCAAATTGATGCTAGAATCGCGATACGCGATGATCCTATAAGAGTATTCAGGTCGCCGCTGCCCGTGAAAGAGCGCAGACCGGACTGGGAACACCGATCGTCCTCCCTCCACTCTCACATCTCACGAGCAGGGATACACAGCGTTTGCCTCTCTCTCTAAGATGCCGAACCATCATATTGTCGGTGCTGGAGAAGCCGAGAAGGGCTACGACTATGGCAAGCAGACACATAGCACCGAGGAGCCATTTGTGCATGGAGCTGCTACAGTCGGCGAAGCTACCGGACGAGGCGGAGACACGCATCGTGGTCTGAAGAGTCGACACATTCAGTTCTTGTACGCTGCCTCAAGAGTATACTTCGGCCAGTGAAGTTGCTAATCCACAAACAGGGCTCTCGGTGGTGCTATTGGAACAGGTCTCTTCGTTGGATCAGGTGCCATCCTTGCCTTGGTTGGTCCTGCCCCGCTATTCATGGCTTACCTGGGCATGATGATCGTTGTGTGGAACGTCATGAATAACTTGGCCGAAATCGTGACCTATCTGCCGATGAAGGGTATCACCATCCCTTACTTTGTTAAGCGCTTTGTCGACCCTTCACTCGCATTCGCAGCGGGATGGAACTACTGGTATGCATACGCCATCCTAGTGGCTGCCGAAGCTACTGCCGGGGCTATCCTTCTGGACTACTGGGAGACGCCTGTCCACAGGGCTGTCTGGATCACCATCTTTCTGGTCATCGTATTGTTCTTGAACATCGTCGCAGTCGGCATATTTGGTGAAGCCGAGTTCTGGTTCGCCTCTATCAAGTTCATTACTATCATGGGTCTCATTATCGTCGGTTTCACGATCATGCTGGGCGGCAGCCCCAATGACCAAGGCCGTCTGGGATTCAGATACTGGAACAACCCTGGAGCATTCAAGCCGTATCTCGTCGATGGTCACGCCGGGAATTTCCTGGCATTCTGGACTGCCCTTATCCGAGCCGGATTCGCTTTCATCACCTCTCCCGAGCTCATCGCACTCAGCGCTGGTGAGACCATTGCTCCTCGACGCAATATCCCCAAGGCTGCTGGCCGTTTTATCTGGCGTCTTGCCATCTTCTACGGTTTCGGTTCCTTCATCATTGGTGTAATCGTGCCTTCTGACGACTCCCGACTCCTTAGCCCGAGCTCGAATGCCTCCGCGTCGCCTTTCGTCATTGGCATCCAGAGGGCTGGAATCGGTGGCTTGAATCACGCCATCAATGCTGCAGTTCTGACATCTGCGTGGTCAGCTGGCAATGCATTCCTCTTCTCTGGATCTCGTGTGCTGTATGGCATGGCTCTCAATGGCGATGCCCCCAAGGTCTTTGGCAAGACGAGCAAGAACGGTGTACCATGGGTTGCAGTCCTCGCAACCTGGTGTGTTGGTTTCCTTGCGTACCTCAACGTCTCCAGTAATGGTGCTCAAGTTTTCACCTGGTTCTCCAATATCTCCACCATCTCTGGATTCATTGCCTGGATCGTTGTGATGATCACATACATTCGCTTCCGCAAGGCTATGATCTACAATAATATGCTCGACCAGCTGCCGTATCGCACGAAGTTTCAGCCTTACTTTGTATGGATCGTCCTTTTCGTTGTCTCGCTGTTGACTATCACCAACGGCTTCGGCATCTTCACCAATGCCAACTGGGATGTCTCTGACTTCATTGCTGCGTACATCACACTTCCGATCTTCCTGGCGCTATACCTCGGCCACAAGTTCTGTTACCGTACGCGATTCTTCATCCCGGTCCAGAACATTGATGTTATGAGTGGTAAGAGGGAGATGGATGAGCTGTGTGCGGATGATATCTCTGGAGCACCAGTACCGAAGAACGTGTTCCAAAAGATCTGGTTCTGGATTGCTTAGTTAGTAGTTACCATTCGTTCAGTCATGCATCGAGGCAGTCGAGTCGGCGTGCGCGTCAAATTTCTGACAGGGACATTTCAAAACGAAGTAGCTTCCTTGAACTTCGCATCGTCTCTAAGTTACACGAAATCGCCACTGACCAAATATTTTCATTCGTTGTGCGCTGCAACTACTGCAAGCACTTCTCCTTGTTTAATCACTGTTATCGCGTTCGCATGACCGATGTTAGTAAGCTGACCTTGGCTTCTGTCAGCTACACCTCTTCGGCGTACCCCACTTGCCTTACAAGGCCTCCATCCAATCCACACGATACTTTGTTCGCCTAGCTTACGTTTTTCGTATATCACAGCTGAAGACTAAATGCAGCATGTGGAAGGAACGGCACCGCGTCCCGAACCGTTCAGAATGTTCTCCCCGCCAGCTGTGTCCAGAACCACGAGCCAGAACCACAAGAGCCCAATCGGAGGACATGGCGAACGAGACAGGTGCAATGCTAGCAGGCCCGAAAACGGTGAACATGCCCTACTGTAGCTCTTGAGCGCATTTTCTGCACACGGTCGCCGTAATGGTAAGCTGTTCGCATTGGCTGCAGCTGGTCCGCGACTGGGTGTCACGATCAGCTCAGCTTCGACAGCTAAGGAGATCCGTGGTGTGAGATTGTGGACATAAAAGGTGAGACGGACTGCTGCTTATTGCCTGCAATTTCCTGAAAGCCGTCTGCCCGCCTTTTTCAAGTCGCGCCGGTACTTATTGCCTTCGCGTCCGTACAACTTGTCACCTGTTGTGGAAGCTCGCGGAGAGTGAGCCTTGTGTGCAGGTCCATAATTCACTTCCCTCTTTCGAGCTTTCTTCTTGAGCTCCTTACACCTTTCTACCATCATTATGTCTGATACAAACAAAGCCTGGGGACGACGCCTCGTCATCTGCTGCGATGGCACCTGGCAAACGAGTGTCAGCGACAAGGAGAACATCCCTTCAAACGTCACGAAGCTTTGCCGTCTGATCAAGAACTTCGGTACAGACAAGAAGGACCCCAACAAGAAATGGCACCAGATCGTCTACTACGACAGCGGAATCGGGACTGGCAATCTTAGTGGCGTGGAGTCGGCTCGTCAGGGTGGAACGGGTGCTGGTCTTATGGAGAACGTCATCGAGGCGTACAACTTCATCGTCTCGAACTATGAGCCTGGCGACGAGATCTTCTGCTTTGGCTTCTCGCGTGGAGCGTTCACTGCGCGTGCGGTTTCTGGTCTGGTCACGGACATCGGTATCGTCAAGCCGCTTGATATGCAGTTCTTTCCACGCATCTATCGCGCCTACATGAACTATGGTTCCCGAGAAGACGTCAACTATCCTGAATCTGAACGTGATCATCGCGGAGAGAAGATCACGCAGTCTGATTTCGACATCAACTATGACAAAGAGAAAGGATTCCGGCAGTCAACGTACTGGGACAATCTCTTTAAATTCTCCACTCCCACTTTCATCGACGGTGTCGGACCATCAGATGACAGCCGCAAGATTAAGGTCGTTGGTGTCTGGGACACTGTCGGAAGTCTGGGCATGCCCGACTTGGTAGGTGCAAACCTTGGAAGTCTGCGAAAGAAGTTTGGCTTCCACAACACAAAGCTATCAAGACGTAAGTCTCTTTGAATATTTTGAGAGGAGCTGGCAGCTAACCAACACCAGATGTCGATCATGCATACCATGCCCTAGCCCTAGACGAACGTCGACCCGCTTTCCGCCCCACCCTGTGGTATATCGACCCGGAGACGAACACCAACTCTGAACTGAAGCAAGTCTGGGTGAGTAGCTTTACTTTTATTCTAAAGACTCGCCTTGTCAAGAATACAACTGACTTGCATTATGCAGTTCCCTGGGGCTCACATCAACTGTGGCGGAGGTTCAGGCGACGGCTTGCTTGACATGGAAGGGGACATGGAGAGTGAGTTTGATATAACTGTATCTCCAGAAGGACCAGCTGACATGGAATAGACATCTCTGTGGCCACATTTACCTGGATGCTCCAGTGCGTCGCGCCCTATCTCGACATCGATTCAGACGGGTTCAATGCATTCCTGAAGCAATACCACGACTGGATCACGATTCTTCGTAAGGAGTGCACCTATATCCACCCATCACGTCAGAGCATCTTCACAAAGATCAAGAACAAGGGTGCTGCCTTCTCCCTGATCGGTTCAGAACCCGACCCATTGGCCGATCCACCAAGGGAAAAGGACCCGCACCAGCACGACTTTGACTTCGGATGGGGCGTTGGCCCGATTCTGGATAGCTACACTCTCTTGTACACTGGTAACGGCAGCCCGCGTGCACGCAAGCCCGGCCACGAAGAGATGGAGGTGGAAGGCCAATGGTTGCCCATCAAGGGCACCCCGACCGGACCCAACCCGAAACCTACCGGAAACAAAACGCATGAATACATCCATCCAATTGTGAACTACCGCAAGATGCTCCTTGGAAAGTGGGATCTGGACAAGTGGAGCCAGCACCAACACCCACTCGCTGGCTGGAAGCGAGACCTCAGAGTCGAGGCGAACGGTTCCAGTCGCTACTGGTGGTATGCACCAGGCGGTGATGACAGGGACCGTCTGCCCGAGTGGTGTGTCCTTCCAGACACGGCAGAGAACATCAACTACGAGAGAATATGGTACAAGGCCACCCAGGGTCTCAATCGAGCGGACAGTGATAAAGTGAGCATCAAAGGCTCACCGAAACATGAGGTGGGTTATCTGGAAGAGCTTGATAAGAAGATCAAGTTCGACCCGAAGAAGATGAATGACTACGAGCCGTAGCGAAGAGAAATTTGAGGAAACAATCCTCACGTAGCAAAAGGCGTTCGTTGAATTAACAAGCTTCAAGTCTAATAGTTACTTTGATCTAAGTGCAATGAATGAAAGACACTCGATACAACACCCCTCATAGGTCACATACCGGCTAATCAGAGTAAATGTCTCCCACGTGACCCAGTCTTGCAACGCTTCGGGTATCTCCTGTGGATTGTGCAATTACGCCTCGGCCACGATCTGAACCACTGGACGGAAACCAGGCTGACATGCGCATTTGTTCTGATAGTCTTATCTAACTTTCGTCTACTCCTCGTCTTCTTCCTCATCATCATCCCCAAACTCAACCCCATATTCCGCACAAACATCCCACCGATCGCCCTTCGCGCTCTTACTGACGTACTTCGTAAACCTTAACACACCCTTATCCCTCAGCACAATTGCCAAGTTATTCCACGCAGCCGGCTGACTGAAAAGGATACCATCATCCTCGTCGTCACCTGCACTCTTGTAGATCGCAGGATCAGCCTTAGCTTTGCGTCTCTGGCCCGCGCCAGTGCTAGTCGACGGCTCGCCAGACGGCGCGTCTTCCTCGTCTTCGCCGGCCATGTACATTTCGTACCCGCCGACTTCTTCTTCTTCGTCTTTCTTCTTGGGCTCGGATCTGCCGTTTGTCTTAGCTTTGCTCTTGCTCTTGCCCTTGCTCTTGCCCTTGCTTGAGCTGCCGTTCTCTTTGGGCACTTCCTCCGTTTCGTCTTCTTCATTCTCGTCAGCGTCACCCCAGCCCTTGGATGGTGTGATGCCGAGGGTGACTTCGAGTTGGGGCTCTTCCTCTTCGTAGGCTGTGGCGAGTGTGTAGTCGAGACCACGGCGGAAGCGGCGCGCAATGATGTTGCTCTTTGTGAGCGTGGCACCAGTCACGAGCGAGATCCACTTTGTGAATGCTGGGTGCGGGAAAAGGTTGTCGACGAGCTCATCGTAGGGTGTCATGCCGCTATTCTCGGGGTAGCCCTTTTCTGGGATAGGCTGGATAGCCTGGCGATATAGGTAGCGCTGCTTGTGTGGTGGACGCGCGATGCCAATCTTTGCGTGCTTGTTGTGGGGGTTGGACGGCAGATTAGGCTCGGCCTCGTGATCTTTCGACTCGAGATATTTCCGCAGGCGCGCAGAGAATTTGGCTGATAGGAAACCGGCAAGTCGTAACGAAGAATCGTCCTGAAACATCTCAGAGACCTGCTCCACAGTATCTGGTGTGAGGTAGTTGGGGTTCATGTACTTGATGAGGAAGTCAATCTCAGCTTCTGTGAGCTCTACATCGTCATCGTCCTGCTTGGCCTGCTCTTCCCAGTCTGGGTTTTCGACCCAATGCGATTGGGGTTCGTCGAAGACATCTGCCTTGCCGCCTTGCAATTGGGCAAGCGAGCTCTTCTCAGCAAGCTTCTCCTCCAAGCCCTCCTCGTACCCCTCTTCGCCTTCTTGTGGAATATGGAACCAGCCGCTGATGGCCATGCGCACCCGGCCGCCGTCATCCTCTTGATTTTCCTCCGCGCCCCTCCTGTAGACCTCCTCGACATCGTGGAAGCTCTCTCCCGGCTGGACGGTGAAGAAAGACAGCTGGTTCCAGGCAGGAGGGATCACGAGCGAGAACTCGGGCGATGGGACCTTGACCTCAGAGCCGTCTTCAGTCTTCTTATGCTCGGTAGGATACAGTCGCAGCGCACCTCCATACTCGGGCTTCCACGCCTTGTCTGGGTCGAGCAGGTACAGGATCCAGCTGACTCGACGACTGCCAATGACGTCGTCGTGGCACAACAAATGGCACCCCGGTGTGTATACGTTGACTGCCATGTCTGTCTTCTTTCCACTCAGCGGCCCAGAGCCTGTGATCGAGGATAGGTATTTGCGGAAGGCGGACGAGTACAGCGAATCGCGGAGGGTGAGCAGGGAAGGCAGGCGCTTGAGCGCCGAGTCGTCGAGGCCATCGAGGTTTGCTAGGTCGCCGGACTGGTGGATTTTGTAGATGTCGGTTTCCTTGGGCGTGAAGGAAATGTGTTCGCGGATTTCCTCGCGCACTTTGCGAAGTAGCGAATCGTCGACGAGCCTGTTGATAACGGCATGCTTATACCTAGTCTGCCGTTAGGAAGCTCCTCGCCAAAAAAGATGTTGACGTACGGTTGCGATCCGGCGTAGTATTCTGTATAGCCGGCGAGCCTCTTGCTCTCGAACAAGCCCTCGTCGAAGTTCTTGTGCGCCTCCGCTTCAGAGATGGCTCTCTTCTTCGATTTGCCATTGGCAGGTGCCTGGTTCTTGCGCTTCGGCATGTTGGGCGCAATTGGACAATTGGTGCTGCTGTGAGATGTAAAGTGCGTTGCGCCGCGCTCGAGAATTTTGGCGGCCGGAAACTTTTGAGATCTATGCAGGCCACCTGCGTCACACCATCATCGCTCGACTTGTCCACTATCGATAAGCTCTTGAAAAGCTGGGCCTGAGAAATGAACAAGGCAATCGGCAACTTGGTGCGCATCGAGTTGCTGTCAGGCCGTCGTGACGGCTTCGTATCATCTCATAAACATGATGGTGATAGATGGGAGCGACACAATTTGAAGAAGTGTTGTTACTACGTGAATCTAAACAACCGCGCCACGCAGCCTTAGCTGATCGTGACTATAAGACTTTTTACCTAGATTGCGCCGACCCATGAGTTGAAAACATATCCGTGCCGTGCAGCAAAATCGTCACCAGACAGCCGTAGCCCTAGTCTTTAAAGTTCGTGCCACATGTGGTATCATACACGACAACCCATTACTTACTCTTATGAGATGATCAAAGCAAACACGTGAAATCAGAGGCGCAAGGGCGAGACGCTTAGTCGAAGCTGACCTTGGAGCCCTTGAAGTCACCGAAGCCGCCACGGTTGAAGGAACCGCCGCCACGGCCACCGCGACCGCCACGACCGCCACGGTCACCGAAGCCACCACGACCACCACGACCTCCACCGCGGCCACCACGGTCGCCGAAGCCACCACGGCCGCCACGGCCGCCGCCACGACCACCACCGAAACCACCGCGGCCGCCACCGTTGCTGTCGTCACGGGCAGCAGCGAAGTCGAGACGGATGGGACGGCCGGCAATCTCAGCGCCGTTGAGAGCCTCGAGAGCAGCAGAAGCCTCATCAGTGGAAGAAAAGTCGACGTAGCCGAAACCCTTGAGGGCACCGGTCTCACGGTCGGTGGGGAGAGAGACACGGGAGATGTCGCCGTACTCCTGGAAGGCCTCCTGGACGGCCTCGTTGGTGCAGTCGAAGGAGAGGTTACCGAGGAAGAGGGTGTTGCTGGGAGCAGAGCGCTTGTCACCAAACTTGTTGGCGCGGTCGAAGGTCTTGTTGGCAGGCTTCTCACGGGGAGTGGAGAAGTCGACGTTGAGGGCACGACCATCGAGTTCGTATCCCATCATTTCCTTCTGAGCCTTGGCAGCAGCCGCAGCGTCGTCGAACTCGACATATCCGAAGCCCTTGGAGCGGCCGGTCTCGCGGTCGCTGATGACGCGACAGCCGATGATGTTGCCGAACGACTCGAACTCGCGGCGGAGCCAGTCCTCGTCGATGTTCCAGCTCAAGCTGCCGACGAAGAGGTTCTTGATGCCCTCGGCGGCGGCGGGAGCCTCCTCAGTCTTGGACTTCTTGACAGCAGGCGCGACGGCCTCCTCAGCCTTGCGCTTCTTGGAAGGAGCCGCATCGCTGTCGGAGGAGTCGGAAGAGTCGTCGGAATCGGCGTCAGAGTCGGAGTCGGAAGACTGGTAAGATGTTAGTGTTTGTTGATCGTGGATGCAGGTACCGTGTACTTACAGTAGCAGCCTTGGCGGCGGGCTTCTCCTCAGCCTCGGACTCGGAGTCAGAGTCAGAGTCAGAATCGGAGCTCTCAGCCTTAGCAGCGGCCTTAGCACCGTTGGACTTAGCAGCAGGCTTCTCCTCCTCGCTCTCGGAGTCGGAGTCGCTGCTGTCAGAGTCGGAAGACTCAGCCTTAGCGGCAGGCGCGTCGGGGATCTCAGAGTCAGAGTCGGAGTCGGACTCAGCCTCGCTCTCAGACTCGCTGGAGGGCTCGGGGGTGGGCTCCTTCTTCGACTTCTTGGAAGACTTCTTCACCTCCTTCTCGACGGCCTTGCCAGCAGACTTGCCGGCAGCCTTGCTCTTGGCCTTGGGGGTGTCGGTAGCCTTGGTGACACGGCCAGCCTTGACGCTCGAAAGCTCAGACTTCTTCTCCTTCTTGTCGGCAACCTTGGTCTTTCCCATGTTGGCGGTGATGAACTAGATCTACAATGTATCAGTATAGTGAAGCGAGTAATGATGTGGTGTGACGGAAATGATGAAAAAGGAAAAGAAGACGAAGCGGTGCTCGTATGCTCGTGCGACGACTTCCATAGGAAGATGATGCGCCGACAGCCTGTTCAACTGGATGCCTCGTATTGCAAAAGCCCACTGGTTCTCTCGAGATCGCGCGAAGCGATATGCCCTCAAGCCCACGAAAGCCCACAAGATGCCACAGATGAATTGGCTTCAAGGCGTGTGTTCCCACAAGAGCCGAGAAGACAAGACGAAAACCCTCATAGTAGCCATAAGCCCTCTGGTTTAATCTTGTCGTGCTCTTGCGAGCGACGAACAGTGCCCTCTGAATGTGTGTTAAGGAAAAGCCGCAAATATGCCCACTGACTTGAATAGTTTCTGGTAGATGTAGCCCTCAGTAGCCCACAGTTGAACCTTGTAAGGCTGATAAAGTGTCGAGCAAGAAAATGTCGACGGGTAAAAGTGTGGAAGAAGAGTGCAGAGAAAAAGCTGGGAAGCGCAGAGCTTTAAGCTGTCGAGAGGCCGGGAGAATTTGCCTAGCCACAAAAAAGGCGGGCAGAAACCGACTTTTCAGTGGGCCCAACCGTCGAAGGAGCGACCGGCGCTTGGGCGGTGTGGCCCCACCTGTCTTAGCGCGGTCCCTGCCTCGAAGTGTACACGCAGCCGAGAACTGCAGCAGCTGCCCAGTCAAGCTCCCGGACTCGCAATGGCATCACCGGCAACACACAAGCCGCGCAGGAGGAGGAAGATCGAAGAGGGCTCCCTTGCCCATGTCAATCATGGGACACTCGATTTTGACGAGAGCACGAATGCACGCAAGCCTGCATTTCCTCTGGTCGCATTTCTCTGGCCAGCCAAGGGCACCGTGTCGCTATGGGTCACGATACCTCTCATCCTGATGGCCGTTGGTCTTTTCCGATGGGCTGTCAGTCTATGGGGCTACTCTGGCTACCAGTCGCCGCCTATGCATGGAGACTTTGAGGCTCAGCGACACTGGATGGAAATCACAAAACATCTGCCTGTGTCGCAGTGGTACTTTTACGACCTGCAGTGGTGGGGGTTGGATTACCCTCCTCTCACAGCGTACCATAGTTGGCTGTTGGGCGTAATGTAGGTTGTGCTGCCGAGTCACAGTGATCAATACTGATTCCTGCAGTGGTTCTGCCATCGACCCTGAATGGTTCGCTCTCGACAAGTCACGCGCCCTCGATGACCCCAACCTCAAAATCTACATGCGAGCAACCGTCTTCGTCTCCGAGTACCTTACCTACGTCCCAGCGCTCATTGTCTTCCTGCGTCGGTATGCAAAGTCAGAAGGCGTCAATGTCTGGGAGGGGTCGATCGCGCTGATCGCCATACTTTTGCAGCCTGGCACCATCTTGATCGATCACGGGCACTTCCAATACAACACAGTGATGCTTGGCTTTGCCGTTGCAACGATATCGAGCATGGTCGCTGGCCGGCCGTTGTGGGGTTGCGTCTTCTTTGTTGGCGCGCTGGGGTTCAAGCAGATGGCCCTCTTCTACGCCCCTGCCGTCTTTGCGTACCTCTTGGGAATCTGTGTCTTCCCTAGGATCAACATTGTACGATTCTTCTCGATCGCACTGGTGACGATTGCAGCTTTCGCCGTGCTGTATGTACCCTTCTTGATGGGTGTTGCCTACGACATCTACAAGGGCCAGTCAGACACAGATCTTCCTAGACCTCCACTCATGGAGTCGATACCAATCCGCTGGAACAGGAATGCGTGGTACTACCCGATCGTCTTGCAGATGACACAGTCGATTCACCGAATATTTCCGTTCTCCCGCGGTCTGTTTGAGGACAAGGTTGCCAACATTTGGTGCACCATCCACACCTTCCACAAACTCCACCGCTACCCGCAGCAGCTTCTTCAGCGCGCAGCTCTCCTCGCTACCTCTGCGGCAATCCTACCACCATGCCTGATTATCTTCTTCAAGCCGAAGAAACAGCTTCTGCCTCTTACGTTTGCAGTCGTCTCCTGGGGGTTTTTCCTGTGCTCGTACCAGGTGCACGAGAAGAACGTCCTTCTGCCGCTCTTGCCGATGACTCTCTTGTTGGGCGGACAGGACGGTTTGCTACCATCGACTCGCGCCTGGGTGGGCCTTGCCAATATGCTCGGTATCTGGACTATGTTCCCTCTTCTGAAGCGAGACGAGCTTCGAGTACCATATTTTGTCATCACGCTTCTTTGGGCGTATCTCTTGGGTCTTCCACCGGTCTCCTTTTCTGCGTATGCTGAAGGCAGCAAGAACGGCCTGACTCTGCTCAGCAAGATCATCCACCTCAACGTCTACCTGGCAATGGCGGGCTGGCACGTTGCGGAGGCTTTCTACCCGCCGCCAGCCAACAAGCCAGACTTGTGGGTCGTTGCAAACGCCATTGTTGGCACAGGAGGCTTTGGTCTCTGCTACCTGTGGTGTCTATGGCATCTCGCCACTAAGAGCGAGATTCTTGGAAATGCAAAGAGCAAGACCCAGTAGTCTGTCTGATATCATTGAAATGAACAAGATACCCAAGCATCAGGGGGGAAGATTTAGGTTGTACATTGTATATATACAGCGAATGTTCAATGCTGGATGCCATCGTGCTGTGTGTTGTACAGTGCTTTACAATTCGTTGTGGTACACCCCGTTGGCTGCCCTAGATCTTGAACCCGTAGCCGGCCATGCACGTCTTGTACTGGGAGACGAGGTCGGCGCACTCCTTCTGGGGATCGTCCGATGTCGAGAAGAGCATGCACTCGTCACGCTTTGCCTTCTGGTCGGTGCAGACGCAGCATGGCTATCTGGGTCAGTTGCAGGCTCTTCGGATTAGAAATGCGAATGCGCACCTTGTACTTTGTCTGCGGCGCGGTGGTGTTCTTGAGGTCTGCGCCCATATTGGCGGCGGCTGATGGTGCTATTCTGGTTTAGCCATCTGTGTCGCATCCACGATGCAAATGCATTGCCAGCATACCTGAAGACATCGTGCGGTGTGGCGGTGGTGGTGTGAAGTAGCACGTCTTCAGTGCTTAGAAATCGCCTCGGGAACGCGACTTTTGGCGATCTATGGCGATGTCATGCTTGCAGCCTTGGCTTTCCCGCTCGCCGAGTGAACGATCTGATTGCCGCCTGGACCCCTTGCAGGGATGTGTCGGTGGCATCCCACTTCGAAATACCCCACCAACGCGGCTTCAAAACATTCTCCCAAACAGTCAACTCGCGCCACACCGCTGCTGCTTGCTCGTTTGGTTGCTGAAGACTTGACCTTGCTACTGCTCTTTTTCTTTTGTCCCGACCAACATGTCTAAGCTTTTCTCCCTTGAGGGCAAGGGCCTCAAGCTCACGACTGCGGAGGATATCGAGCCGCACATCCAGGCCCTGAAGGAGAACAACGATGTCGAGGAGGTCCGATTCCTGGGCAACACGCTAGGAATCGAGGCTTGCGAGGCTCTCGCAAAAGTTCTGGAGACCAAGAAGAGTCTGAAGGTATGCTCCTGTCCTCTCCCTCTTGTCTGAGTATGGAGAGGCGCAACACTGACACACATCCAGGTCGCAAACTTCGCCGACATCTTTACAGGCCGTCTCCTCTCTGAAATCCCAGCTGCTCTCCAGCACCTCGTAAACGCCTTCCTCACATTACCCAACCTCCAGACCGTCGACCTCTGCGACAACGCCTTTGGCCTCAACACCGTCGCGCCCCTCGTCGACTTCCTCTCCGCACACACGCCCTTGCGCTTCCTGTACCTGAACAATAACGGAATGGGTCCCGCCGCGGGCGTCCTGCTCGCCGACGCCCTCACAGCGCTCGCAGGCAAGAAAGAGTCCGCGCGCAAACAGGGCAGCGACGTGCCGGACCTCGAGCTTGTAATCTGCGGCCGCAACCGCCTCGAGAACGGCAGTATGCAGGCCTGGGCCAAGGCGTACGCAGCAAACAAGGGCGTCAAGACAATCAAGATGACACAGAACGGCATTCGCCAGGAGGGCATCACGCACCTGCTGACCCACGGCATCGCGCACCTGTCCAAGCTCGAGACGCTGGATCTACAGGACAACACATTCACGGCCATGGGCGGCAAGGCGCTGTCGAGCGTCGTCGGCAACTGGCCGGCGCTGCGCGAGCTGGGCGTTGGAGACTGCTTGCTGTCCGGGCGCGGCGGCGCGGCCCTCGCGAGCGCTCTGCAGGCGGGCAAGAACAAGGACATTGAAGTCCTGCGCCTGCAGTTCAACGAGATCAACGCCACGGGCCTCGCGGGCCTGGCTGCTGCGGCGCTAAAACTGCCCAAGTTGCGCCGCGTCGAGATCAACGGGAATAAGTTCGATGAGGAGGATCCGAGCATCGAGAAGCTGCGCGACATTCTGGATGCGAGGAAAGAAGAGAGCGGCGAGCGGGAGGATGACGAGGAGTATTGGGGTCTTGACGAGTTGGACGAGCTGGAGAGCGACGATGAGGATGAGGGGGACAGTGATGATGAGGCGAAGAAGGGCAGTGATGATGATGAGGAGGGTGTCGAGGTCGAGGAGCGCGCCGCGAGACAGCTGGTCGAAGATCAGAGGGCAGAGGAGGCTCCTGTCGCGCAGGAGAAGGACAAGAAGGTTGATGATTTGGCTGATGTCTTGGCAAAGACTGAGATCAAGTAAGCGAGGAGACTGTTGCTAATGCTTGGAGCACGACTTGATGCGCATGGTAATTCAGATGCATAACGAGGCGATACCATAGAATTTATGATTTCCATTTGTAGAGTCCTTGATCATGCGTCCGTGCATGACCATCGTTCATATAATTCACGAGGTACCACCATCATGATGTCTGTAAATACCCGTCGCCCATTAAAGCTCGACATGACGAGCTATCGCACCCACTACCTACCATCGCAGGACTGCCGACAGGAATCAGACAGGTGGGAGACTGTTCTCACGCTTATGTGCGCGAGGCACATTCTCAGAGCCACCACGGCCTATGTCGGCAGAACCGTAAGACTGGAGTTTAGGGAAGGCGACATCGTATATGCTATCACCACCACGCGTAGTGTTTGTAGACTCGCTGAGCGACTGCAGACGCTTCCTTGAGGCGCTCGATGGTGTCACTCCGCCCTTCTCAGGAGAGCGCTGCTCCCTCGAACGCAGTGCGGTGTTCGCAGCGGCAATACTGTGAGCCCTCCAATTCTCTGGATCAGCTTTAGAGAGATCGAGTCCGGTATCGTAATGAGGCTGCTTGTGGGGCGTGAAAGTGCGACTGTTGGCGCGGGACCGGACGATATTGCCGCCACTGCTGACCGAAGACCTTCGCTCATGTCTGGCAGCTACAGACTGAGCGATAGCAGTCAGGCCTCCCCTCTCCGTGTGACCATGGGCGCGAGCTTCGAGGGAGTGCAAGTGATCGGCCTCGGCTTTGGTTACGACACCACGCTCGACCTTGGGTACTATCTTAGCGTACTCTTGTTGGAGCTCGGCCTCGAGTTCCGGGTGGGGTGCGTTGGTGTGGCCGATGGCTTTTTGCATTTCTACATCGATGTTAGCTGGCAGACCGTGGTCGAAGTAGGGCGGCACTCACTGCTGACGATGCTCTGTGTGGTCTTGAGGATCTCCGTGTCAACATCATCAGGATTAGCCTCAACCGCCGCGTAGAGATCCTTGACGACAGTGAGGAGAGACATATGAGGACTCTGACCCAAGCTGGTCTCTTGACTGTAGATGTCGCTACGGGCCGCGGCCAGAGACTCGACTGCACTGACCAGGCGCGCTGAGCGGGCGTCTTTGGCTTCGACGTTCTCAGAGAAGCGACGAGCGTCTTCCTCGGTGATGCTACCTGGGTTGCTGCGCAGCCTCTGCATCACGTCTTGAGACACGTTGAAGGGTGACTGCGACGCATTGCCGGCAGATCGTGGGTCGTCGTCGTTGGAGCCTCCTTGCTGCTCCTCGTTGCGTATGGCGATGTCAGCGATGGCAGCGATGATGTTGGCCGTCCGTTGATCTCCCTCCTCGGCGTTGTCAGCAAGGCTTTGAGCATCTTCTGTAGTGATGCTCTTAGCGTTGTGGCTCAACTTTCCGAGAATGAGCTCCATACCGTTCTGCAGCCTGCGGTGACGAGCCACTCTCTCCTCCATCTCCGAGATAGCTTCTGACATGGTTGGCAAAGAAGCAAAGAAGCAAAGAAGCAAAGACGGCGGGAAGGTGAAGTGTCTGGGGTGCGGGCAAGGTGAAGATGTGGTGAAGAAGATCCTAAGAAGCAGCGAAAGCAGGCGCGAGTGTCATGAGCGGTGACGTCGTGTGTTTGGCGTGCCTGCAGTGCGGCAGGTGAAAGGAAGGAGCAAACGGCAGCGGCGTCCAGCACCCGTGCAGCCCATCAAAACGTAGCGAAAGTTTAACCATGTAGACATTATCACACGGTGCGTCACTTATAACGGTCCTCCCAGATGTGGCGGAGAAGGCTTTTCCTCGTCTCAGCGTGAAGAACGAATGTAGACTGAGCAAGTCCCCGCTGCCTCATGATGTCTTGCACAGAACGCCCATTTCCTTCCAACAACTTGTCAAAACGCATTATATGAAGTCCGGTCGTAGAAGAGGCAGGGATATCAGCTCGTAGGAGTGTCTGCCCTTGACAATTCAATTCGACGCTAACAGCGCTTCTAGGGTTCAGTCGCTTGATTTGCAGCTTCGTCTTCTGGAGGAACTCGATCTGCCCCGCAAGCGAAACGATGTCGCACGCTTGAGACTGCAGCTCGATCTAGATGTGCCTCAGTTGAGTGAGCTCGGGGAAGGCTATTTTCTGGGTGAGAAGCCTATTGAACATGAGGCTTCTGAGATTAGTATATGCCTGGGCCGATGTGCCGGATGCGCCGAAGGTATCAAAAACAAAGTGGATCCTCGACATAACGCAGTTGCTCTTGTGTGCGCTGCTCCAGCGACTCCACATATTGGGTACGAGGGCCAGCCGTGATCGAGTTCATGGAATATTCTCCTGATAAATTTGCTGATTGACAGTCCACAAATTGAGGCTGGCGCTGTCTCTCAAGACATAGCTCAGGCCTCCGAAACATGTGAACTTGTCGCCTAGATCGGCCAGAATGTCCTCGCAGATTACGTTGCGAAGCTCGGCAGGAAGTCTGGAGAAGTGGGGTTGTTCGTTGCCGCGTATGGCCTGGGGAGAGAGCGTGAGCTTCGTTGTAGATTTCGGCGTTGCTGTATCATCAGACATGCTTGTGGACTGTTGCATTTAGTGATGTCTGCCGATGGTGGAGGGCCGAGGCTGGCCTGTAGGCGCGTCGACAGGATCTGGGTTCAGGGAGGTGCGAGGTCAGATGTAATGGAATGGAACATGATGCGCTTCGCTGGCTCCCTGCCGAGCTGCACACCTGTGTGTAACGAGTAATCGAGTGGCTCGTATGCGCAAAGCCAGCCCTGGAGGGCTTGGGATAGAAGCAAAGCACTGCATTGATGTCACGTGCTGGCTTCTTATCGATTTCGAAATTTACAGCTTCCGCCGACAGTAGGCAGCGCGTCAAGTGGCGCCGCAACGTTCACGTCTACTCCTTTCTAGTCTTTCCTTTCTCTGCTATCAGCCAGATGGGGTGTGAATTTGCTGCAGCTGTTGTACTCTAGGCCCCTTTCATACATCCTCTTCCGCTGCGCTTGCTGATGCTTGCGCTCCGCCGTCTACGATGCCTTCCCCACTCCGTCCCAGCTTGTCAAACGCGCCTTCTACGCACAAAGCCTCGCCCGATACCCAGTTATCTCAGACAATGGGATCCGACTCTACACGAGCTGCGGCGCTCGACAAAAGCGTCCCCCACGACGACCAAACTTTCCAGACCGTCGACAACTCAAGAGTCGAGCGAAACTGATAATCACGATGGCCTAAAGAAGAACCTTGTGTCCCACGACAATTCTGAGGACATGTACGACTTCTACAGAGACGGCGATGATCATTTTAAAACTGGAGGCACTGAGCACATCGTGATCAATTGCTCAGGCCGTGTACCGCAGGCCAAATTACGCCTGACGCGATTGCAACATTTGCTCAACCTTGCCAATGCCAAGAATGCCTTGACCTCAACCTTGCGAGGGCCGCTATGGAGGGCTTACCAAGATTGCCTGAGATACACACCATACCTTCCTACCTTGTTGTCTCGTCGAGCTTGGGATGTGTTGTGGAAGTCGCAGTATATGGACTTTCTCAATATGCAGCGTCGACAGGGTCGTTTGATCCAACTGCACGCCGACCTTCTTAGAACGAAAAGGTTTGGTCTTGACCTTGCTGGGCAGGTTGCTTATCGTCTTGAAAGAAAGTTCATGGCTGGCTTCCAGCAAGAGGCACTTGAGTTATGGAAGGACCATCGCCATCGATACCCGGATGCGCCCGAGTTCTTGGATACAGGCGCAAGGCTCTACGCGCTCGAAGGAGTCCCCGATCGTGCGCGGGAAATTATGGATCGATTGTTTGAGCTGGAACCGGACTGGCACGAGTCCGTGATGTTGGTAGTGTTTCGCGCCTACACCAGCTCGCAAAGGGAACAACACCTTGAACAGGCAAGACATATGTACAAAGCCATAAAAATCAAGGTTGGTGACAATGGCTCCATCGAGATATACGATAATTGCCTGCTTGGATTCCTGGAGGCACGATCGTTGCCGGACGCAAGGCGAGTGTTTCGAGACATGGTCGAAGCCGGCTGTCTCGACTACACCGGATCCGAATCGCAGATTCAGCAAGTTCTCCGGAGACTCAATCGTTTGTACGCTCTAGCCCCCGACATCTCTAGCATGTCTACTGTTGCACTGGATGCTATCGCGGTCTTACCGGTAGCATACCACGGTCATCTTTTCAGCGACTGGATGAAGCACTCATATCTGCAGGACTCACCTCATGTAGTTGCTCAAATCCTTGACTTGATGGTTGAGCGCGGGTACCAGCCTGAGACAGTCCATTTCGATTTTCTGTTGCGAGCGCTCTTCCGCACCAAAAAGCCCGACGATGCTCTGAAAGCGGAAAGCCTCGGTTGGAAGATGGTCGAAGAGGCTCGCCTGTTCTCGACGCTTGTGAATCGGTCCGCTCCAGAAAGCCGCGTGTTGGCCATCAAGGAACAGCTGGAAAGCGACATTGTGCTTGATCCAGACTCTCCAATACAGACACCTGCAGCGAACACTTTAACATTCGCCTTGCTCATGGGCCATCACGCCGAACGCTCGCAGTGGGAGCATGTCGACTTTCTCACAAGACAGCTAAGGGAGGCCAATGTTGCTCCTGATTGCACGATTATGAATGTGCTCATCAACAATGAGATCCGGAAAGGGCAGTTTGTGGAAGCATTGCAGATCTACAGAAAGCTCACCGGCGATGGAACCCAAGAGGGGACCGTTTTCCCTGACGGAGAAACAATGAGGTGTCTGTGGAAGAATCTCCAGCACGCGTTGAAACTCCAACAGGATTCTGGCAGTCAGGACAGCCTCAATCTGCCTACACCCCGCGAGTTGCTACGCGAAACTGTGGAATGGTGGAGGCTGGTCCGTCAGCGCTCGGACGCTGACCAGTTCCGTCGCGGACTGATTGGGCTGCGTAAGAACGGAGCCCACCGGCTGTTGCTCCATTGCTTCAATCAGTCACAAGATCTAGCTGGGGCTCTCGTGGCCCTGCATGTCCTGCAGCTTGAGTGGAACGTTTACCCTACAGTAGGGGATGTAAGAAGGTTGCGCAAGCAGATTGCATGGGTGTCCATGCAGGACCAGACCGGCTCGGCACGCCTGCAATTCAGTCTCAGCAACAACAACGAGAGGAATATGGAACGACTGGGTTACACTTTTGACCGGATACGCGACCGCAGACTCGAAGAACGAGGCGCAAGTGGCGCTGAATTCCCGATGACCGAGGCGGATACGGGCCATTTCGATCTCGGGACGATCAGCGAGTTTGTCAGAGTCATCATGCTCGGGAATCGTTCTCCTCAAGTTGTCGAACGTGAGATCCACGCCGCGCGGCAAGCTACTGGAGTTTCAGATTTGCCGATTGGCGATGTATCCGCCTTCGACTTGGTTGAGGACGATTGGTGGTAGTGCACCCCAGCCGATTGTGTGTTTGACACCCCTCCTTTGTGAGCGCGCTGACGAGTGGCTTGCATTGTAGTTGTTGCATTGTAGTTGTTGCATTGTAGTTGTTGCATTGTAGTTGTTGCACTGTAGTTGTTGCACTGTAGTTGTTGCATTGTACCATGTATTTTGTGATACCCCACCAACTCCATAGACCTAGATTCCCATGTATCATATCATATCAAGTCGTATCTTACACCTTTCTGTCCTCTTCCACAGGTTCTACAACCCCAGAGGGTTGCTTGCACTTGCCTTGTTGACGGCGCCGCCTGTGAAACCCGGCCTGGACGCCATGCTAGCAGCACCGCCAGCAGCACCCGTCGACAGACCCAGAGGGTTTCCCTTTGTAGTCGCGCGGGAGCCAGCAGCGCCCGTCATGTCTTTGATCGAGTTACCATACTCCCTCACCATGTCGCCCCAGCCTCTTGACGTGTTCGCTATGCTGATCATGGTCAGTATCGTGCAAGGTACGGTGCCTTCTCAAGACATACCTCGCGCCAGCACCCTTTCCAGCACCCGCAACACCATTCCCCGCTGCCGTCACCACGGCACCGGCTGCATTTCCTATGCCCGAGGCCGCAGCACCGGTTGCACTGCTGATGCCCGAGGTCGCAGCGCCAATGGTCTTTGTGAGCCAGCTCTTGTTCTGCGGCGCCTGGAGGTTCTTGGGTGTTGGCGGGACAGCCTTCTTTGCGCCGACGGGCTGCGAGCCCACTGGCTTCTTGACTGTGGGACCCTTGACCGCCGAAGCACCAACAGGCTTCTTTGCTGCGGTCGCGGGCGAGACGGCCTTCTTTGCGCCGACGGGGGTGGGCTTCTTGTACGGAACGGTTTTGGTCTGGGCGGCGCCGACAGCGGGCTTCTTTGTTGGTCCAACGGCTCTGGGCCCCGTGGGTTTGGGGCCGGCGATGGCCTTTTTGGTACCGATGGGTTGGGCGACCATGGCGATGATGCAATTGACTTTGTGAAGCTTTGAGTGTTCTCGTAGGATTTCGATACGATCTCCAAATACTGGTATTGCTCGTGTCCAGAGCGCTCGCCCTCCCTTCTTCGTGGTAGCTACCCCATATCAAGTTTCACGGCGATCAACGTTGCCCCATGACGTATCGGACGGGACACAAACGTCCTGCGGGGCGCCATATCGGCGCTAGGCCACATCGAGGACTGATCGGCAAGGCGCGTTTCGAGCCGCCTCCGTGGACTACTGCGGTGTGGACCCTGCAAGTCGTTTCGCATTCGCGGTCGCTGGACGACATGGCAATGTCTCCTCCACGGACATCCTCCACGAACAATTTCTGCGTGTGTAATTTACAGTAGTGTGCCCCGTGCATCTGCACTGTCGTAACTTTTCCTCTGCACTAGACAGCCAGCACGCCTTGACTGGCTGTGCTGCGTGCGCCTGCCCCCTCCCGCTCCCTGGAGCTGCGAATGACGACGAACATCGGCCCTGCACACCGCAACAAGCGCACGCACGCAATGACTTGCTTTCACCTGCACCCCAGGCGATGCCAGTGAACAACAACAACAAGAACAACAACAACAACAACAACAACAGCAATAACCACAACAACCACAACCACCGTGAGTGGCCATCTCGTTTCCACCATGCAGCTCGGCCCACGCACGCGACCAGCCGACGACGTCCCCTGGCGCAAAGATGCTGGGCGAGGATGCCATCCGGTCCCTGAAGCGCTCCAAAAGCGATGTCGAGGACCTCGTCCCCGTGGGCGAGCGGACTCCGCCGCGCGGGAGCACTTTGACTCCGCGCGCAAGGAGCTGCCGCTCGCTATCCTTCACGAAACTCGCTGACTCGATGAAAAGAAAGGGCCGGAGCCTCAGCCGCTCCAACTCGTCTGCAATCGACAAGGACTCCATCTCGAGCCCCATCGCAGACCCGCGCAGTCCTCTGTGTCCGCCCACGCCGACCGAGCCCTTTGCTGCATCGCCATCGCCGCTGGCCTCGGCCAGGTCTAGCCCGAGCCCCCGCAAGCGCGCCTCCGCTGCGCGCCCGGCGGCCAAGCACGCATATTCGGTCTCTGACCCGACCAACGACCACTCCCCGCCGGCCCGGCCGCGCATTGCCGTCCACGTGCCGCCGCTGCCCTCTGCGTCCAGCTTCAGCAGCGCAGACACCGTGGTGGGGAGCCCGCTCGAGCGCATCGCCGAGACGCCGTTTGACTGCGACCACGACGGCGAACCGCCCGACTTGGACCGCGTGAACAGACAGCTGGCAGTCATGGAGACCATACGCAACTCGCTCCTGCCGCCGGCAATGGTGACGGGCACCAAGGCTCGCGCCATCCAGCAGGCGAAGGAGATGGAGGCGCTGGTCGCAGAACGGGCGAAGCGCAGCGGAGACGAGCCGCCGCAGTACGACTTCCACGAGCTGATTGGCAAGGGAGCCTACGGGCGCGTCTTCAAAGGGTACGTGCGTTGGGTGTTCCAAGTGGACACGGCTGACACGGTCGCAGCAAGAGCCGCAAGACTGGCGGGCTGGTCGCTATCAAGATCATCGACATTGACACGGTCGACTACCAGGAGATGACTACGAAGAACCTGTCCGAGACACTCAAGGAGATCGATATCCTGCAGCAGCTCCGCGACAGCAGAGCACGGCCCTACGTCAACATCATCGAGGAGGCAAAGGCGGTCCACAACGAGCTGTGGATCATCAGCGAGTATGCCAGCGGCGGCAGCGTGGCTACACTCATGAAGCCCATGGCCTCGCTCAAGGACCCTGGACCCGGCCTACCAGAGAAGTTCATCATCCCCATTGCCCGCGAGCTAGCGCTGGGCCTGAAGTTCATCCACGAAGCTGGCGTCCTGCACCGAGACATGAAGTCCAACAACGTCCTCATTCTAGAAGACGGCCGCGTGCAGCTGTGTGATTTCGGCGTCTCTGGGACGCTTGAGCCGCAGAAGTCGAAACGCACAACCATTGTTGGCACGCCGTTTTGGATGGCGCCTGAGCTGCAGCGCGAATGGATCAAGGACGCAGATCCACACAGCTTGGCGAAGCCTAGAGAGATTCTGTATGGCTCCGAGGTCGACATTTGGGCGTACGGCTGCACCGTGTACGAAATGGCTTGTGGGTTTCCCCCGCACCATCGAATCGCGCCTTTCGACCTGCCAAACGCTGATGTACCCGTGCTCGAGGGCGACAGGTACTCGGATGAGTTGAAACACTTTGTTTCTTTCTTGCTCCAGCCTGACCCCCAGGATCGACCCACGCCAGACCAGATCCTCGAACACGTCTACCTCAAGGATTCCACCAAGATGTATCCCACGGTCATGCTGGTGAAGCTGGTTGAAGACTACTACGTCTGGGAACAGCAAGGCGGTGCGCGGCAGTCGTTGTTCAACCCCTTTGGCGCTCAAGCGCCTGATCCGCTTGCACCCGAGACCGATGAAGATGAGGATGACGACTGGACGTTTAGCACGTCGGATGAGTTTGAGCAAGAGCATGCACCGCAGTTCTCGGATCCCTTTGCCGGCGGCCCAGCGGGACAGGCGTTCGCAGGCATGGGCCTACCTCCAGTGGCCGACATGGGCCGCTTCGAACAGCTGCAGGCGCGGTTCAAGGAAGAGTCGATCACTAGAGGACAGAGACGCCTGAACAAGCTCTTCGACACAGAGACAACGCCCTACAGATACAGCATGATTGACGAAGACGATCCTATCAAAGGACGACCGCCGTCCGATCTCGTGCTGCGCGACTTCAACCCCGGCGCGCCGAATAGGGAGACGGTCATCGATTTGGACTTCTCCATGCCTTCCACCGACGAAATGCCGAGCATCGATCTCGGCGAAGTACCGACCATCAAGGCGAACCGCATGAAGAGTTTGCTACGAGAGATGGAGGAGGAAGACGCCCTTGAGCTCGCGCGAGAGAGGGAGCTACTCGAACAGCAAGAGCGTGACGCAGAGGACCAGCTGACGAAACGTGCAACTCGGGACTGGAAGTTCCCGTCTGCGGCGGACAACCGCAAGACTCAGGAGTGGACGTTTCCGTCAATGGACGCTCCAGCAGATGAGCCTGAGATGCCGGACAATCGAAAGACGATGGAGTGGTCTTTCCCTTCGGCAGATCCACCGAACCGAAAGACGATGGAATGGTCGTTCCCGTCAGAGGCACCAAAGCCGAACCGGAAGACGGTCGAGTGGACGTTCGATGCTGCCATGGCAGAGGCGCAGTATGATGCACCGAGGAACAGGACGTCTCGCCGTCGTGACACCAAGGAGTACTCGTTCCCTGCAGCAGCCGCCCCTATCGATGAGAACAGGAGCACCATGGACTTCTCGTTCCCTATGCGTAGCCCAAGCCCACCGAGAGGACAGAGCGGGACTATGCTGGACTATTCAACGCGAACACTTGGCCCTGGGTTCCAATCGGGTGGGCGGCGAATTGACGACTTCCCGCGCGTGAGCCCAGACCCAAACTCACCTCTCCGCTCGTCAATGATAGACCTGGACATGGCCGAGCCCGACTCGGACTACCGCCCTTCCACATCTGGCTCAGAGTCGACATACACCGGCTCGACCTACACGCCCAGCGAAAACCCCTTCAACCTCGAAAGCCAACTGACGCTGACGAGCAACAACAACCGCGCCTCGATCCACTCCAAATCACAATCCGAGCCCAACCACGCCGTCCCAGGCCTCCTCACGCCCCAGCAGTACGACGCGCAAGGTCAACCCATAAACGCCGATCCGCACCACCCCATGCACGCCCGCGGCGTCTCCTCCGTGAGCCAAATGCACCCCAAAGCCCCCGCGACGTCGGTCCCGCCGCTCACGCACCGCGCGCAACGCTCCCAGCAGATCTGGGACGGCTGGAGCCACACCCATGCGTACGGGCTGGGCAGCGACGACCAATCGCCGCCCATGAGCGTCACCACCGACACGTCCCTCAGCGAGGAAGACGTCGACGAGCTGTGGGACACATTTGAGCGGCTCACGCTCATGGGGCAGCGAAGGTACCAATCCTACGGCCCCCTCCGGTCCGCGCGCCGCCTAGGAAACACATCCCTCGACGACAGCCCCAGCGCGCACTCGGCGCTCGCAAGCGACACAGACACAGACTACCCCTACACGACAGCCGAATCAGACTCGTCCTCGTCCCCCCACGCCTTTCACGCGCACAGCCGCGTCAGCGCTGGCCCCAACGGCCGCCCCCTCGTCGACTTCCCCGCCCCGCGCGGCCCGGATCTCGACGTCCTGCTCCAACCCGACACGGACCCGCGCGTCCTGCAGGACTTGCTGTTCCGCGCTGCCACGGAGCTGCGCGACGGCACCCGCGCGAGCCGCGATCTCATGCGCGCCATGACGCTGAGCGAGGTCGAAGACGCGGTTGATCAGAGTACCGTGCGGTTGCCGAGTCAGGGGCGGGAGTGAGTGTGATATGCGCGGAAAAGGGACAAGGCGTTTGGTTTGGGGGTTGGTGGGTCTGTGAGGAGCGGGGGCCGGGCGGGCTGCTTGTGCTGCTGGACGGCAATGCTGTGCTTGCTGTGCTGTGCGATCGCGTGGGCGCTGCGGGCGGTATGTAAGGATATGCTAGATATGCCATGACGATACGATACGATACGACACGATATGTGCAAGACCATGCATCGATATACATCAATTCTTCATCGTGGCACTACTTCTGCTTGAGTACATGCTTGATCCATCTCCATCATGCGCACACAATCCGTGAGACCAGCGCTGACCCATCCAACGCCGAGCTATGCAAAAGAACTCGCGCTCCGCGAACGCCGTGTGAGAAACCGCAGACACATCCAGTCAGACACTTGCCTCCGTGCTCTGGTCATCGAGGTCCTCGGGCACATGTCCCGGGCCCCCATGCTCCGCCCCAGCCTCGCCTTCTGCTTCCGAGGCGCCACTCTCCTCATCATCGTCGTCGTCGTCGTCCTCATCATCGTCGTCGGCTTCAGAATCATCCTCCTCCTCGTCTCGGTCCACAGGCATGCCCGGCACGGGCGTCCACTGGACGTAATCGTGCTCGATCCAGCGCCTGCTGCGCGGCAGCACGTAAGGATCGAACGGAAAATACGCGTCAAGGAGAAACATATCGTCGCCCCTCTTCTGCGTGAGCGCCGTCTCGCGGCCGCCGATGCCGGCTAGATACGCGCCGGCCATGGTGCGGGCGAGGCGCACACGCTTGTTGGTCTCGAGCAGCGGGTACACGTACAGGAAGCGCAGATGCAGCGCCATGCGGGCGAACTGGGCGACAATGCTCGGGGCGCAGATCTTCAGCGGGTTGAGCTTGGAGAAGATGTTCTTGTGCAGGATGGCGTGGACGGAGCCGTGCCACGCGAAGTCGCCGTCGTGGTAGATGATGTCTTGGTCCGTGGGCGTGCGGCCGTCGGGCAACACGATCAGGTCGCGCCACCGGAAGCAGAACGTGTACAGCAGCGCCTGGCAGATGGCGTAGTAAGTGCCGTAGCGCCGCAGGTCAGGGCCTTTGCAGCCCGGTTCCTGCTGCACCCGCAGGCGCTCCAGGTGGTGGCACAGCAGGTCGAATACGTCGCGGACGACGGCGCCGGAGACGTGGGCGCCGCGCGCGATGAAGGACGCGAGGTAGGCAGCGGCTGCGACGCGCAGCATGTGCGGCCGGAGCTGGTCGAAGGCGAGGTGCGAGCAGCACCCTGCGAAGCGCTCGGTTAGGTCCGCCGAGGTCTGGCTGAAGTGGAAGAGCAGGAATTGGACGTGGCGCGAGCGGTAGGTGGGGAGGATGATGTTTGAGAATTGGACGAGGAGGGATTCGAAGAGCTCGTCGCTATCGAATAGGTCGCCTTTTGCGAAGACGGCGTCGTAGTGTGTGAAGAGGAGGTCCATTACTGTGTCGAGTTTGTTGACATTCTCTTGGATCTGGCGCTTTCGTACGTCTTCTGGATCGAGGCTCTCTTCACTCGAGACGGACTCGTTGTCACTCATGTCCTCCCCCTCTGCGTCGTTGATCGCCCGCCCTACTAGCTCCTCCTCGTCGTCCTCCAGGTCGTCCATGTCTACTTGGATCTGGACATCGATCTTGGCGATCTTGTCGGTCACAAGTGACAGTATCTCTCCCTTCAGCTCTGTACAGTACTCTGAGATCTGCAGGATGTTCCTGATGTACCGTGTGTGTATTTTCGCCGTGTCGCTGGAGTGGGGAAACGTGTTGGCGATGATTGGACCGAGGTAGGTGCTTGCCATGGGGCTTTGCCGCAGAAACGATCTGAGGCATTCGTGTATCCGCTGTGTGAGGTGCGCTGGCTGAATAGCAGGATCGTCCTGCGCTCTGGCGGTAGTCGAGGGCGTCTCTCTGAACATCTGAACAAGCATTTGCAGGACCGTCGACGTGTATGCAGGGTGTACTGAGAGCAGCGACCGCAGTAGATTACGGTAAGCCTGCACAAAGTGCTCATTGCGTGCTATCCAGCTGCAATCGATGATTGAATGCACAAGACCCTTGCAGTTGTAGTCCAGCAGCGGCACAACATCCTTGAGCGCCACGATGTACTTCTGCAAAAGCGCAGAATGCGCTGTCCCAGGTGCAGTTGGAGACTCTGAGAACAGACTGCGCAGCTGGTCATATTCGCCCTTCTCGCCATATGCATGCTTTTCGATTGCCCGCCGTACTTCCTCCGCCACCAGCTCCATACTCTTCTCCACCTCCATGACTACCTGTACATCGATGTTGGGGTCAAAGGTGACGCGGCGGCGCTTTGCTTGGACTGTGATGTCATTCTCTGCATCGGAAGAGACGTCGCGTTGCTTGCGTTTCAGGCTGCTGCTGACGGTGGGCGCCATGAAGTTGTTCGCAGGTATGCGGGGAGCAGCGAGGGAGACCATTTTGGGTGAGAGTCGTTTTCGAAGTCGTTACATCGGAAAAGTAATGAGAGAGAGAGATATTACAGCCGTTCTAAGGTTTGGCAGCGCATTCGTAAAAGTGTAGTGGTTCGCTGAACCCTTCACACGCGACACTGGCAATTAGCGGGGACTAGCGCCTGGGCGCATTCAACTTTTCGGTGGGTCGAACTAGGTCTTCTGATAGGTCACATTTGAGCATTCCTTCAGACAGACATGATAGCGATTCCAAGACGTGAAGTAGGTTTGGATGTGCACACATGATTGCAATCATTTCGCTCGCCGCGTGTCAGGATACCAGACCACGAACATATCTCCATGCTACCTTTTCAACCTAGGCTTCTGCTCCCAACTCGGTGATACTTTTTTCGTCCCCAGAAGGGGAGTACGCTGCCTGTCATGAACATCCGTGGGCTTAGACTTTGCCTAATATTACTTCAACCGGGCATTTGTAAACCTGTGACGAGACAGCAGCCTTCCCTACAGATAGGAGCACCTCATCTGCAATCTCCTTGATTCAGGTAAGAGAAGCGCAGGGCTTCATGGGCTCTTGGAGGTCGACCATAACACCAGAAGCCTCACATCTCACCGCACTGCGAGATCACAATGTCCTGCACTGGCTTGCCCTCTGGGTTTGCAACGGTCCTGGTGTTCTCAATCTTGGTGACAACGTCCATGCCTTCGATGACATTGCCGAAGACGACGTGTTTACCATTCAGATGGGGTGTTCCGTGCTTCGCAGTGATGATGAAGAACTGGCAGCCATTTGTCTGTACATGTCAGGGCTGCTCTCCTTCTGCCGGTACTGAGAGAACTCACGTTGGGTCCGCTGTTGGCCATGGACAATAGCCCGGGCTTGTCATGCTTCAATGTAAAGTTCTCATCAGCAAACTTCTCGGTGCCGTAGATTGTTCTTGAGCCGGTGCCGTTGCCGTTGATGAAGTCACCGCCCTGGATCATGAAGTTCTTGATCTAAGTGGGAGTTAGTATGAAGAACAGCTCAGACACAAAGAACAAGACATGGTGTGCTTTACTTACCACACGGTGGAACTTGCATCCTTTGTAGCCCTGCGGCTGGCCGCGGTTGTTCTTGGTCTCACCAGTGCAGAATTGACGGAAGTTTTCAGCGGTCTTTGGCACAACATTCTTGTACAGTTCCATCTGAATCCTTCCCAGCTTCTCCCCTGCAGCTTATGTCAGTGGCCCATCGGCAGGACAACGATGCCGCCTACGGTGACAAGAGATCCAAGACTAGCCCAAGAGGGACGCGTGGTAGACGAGGGCGGGGTGTGCCCACACCACCACCTGGAGAAAGCGGCACGCACCTCCTAACGTGACATCGAAGAACACGATTGGGTTCCTATCCTCGGCAGTTTCGGCCATGGCTGGGGCGGTGCACAATAACTGCAGCAAGACTGATGAGGAATCAGGTCGATTAGGAATCAGGTCTAGATTGATGACCTTGGTTTTCCGGTGTTGAATAGCAGCGGGGTTCTCACCGTCGTCGAACAGAACAACGTGAAGCCAGTCAGATGCACCCCGGAAAAGTTGCAAGCCGGAGCAAGTGCACGCCGAAGATCTCTAGAGGTGCAAAAATTCGTGCTGCAGTAAGGCACGCTTGACCTGCCTGCGAGTGACGCCGATAAAGACTGCCCGCTAATCTGTCAGTGGCTAGGCGCATGGGTAAGGTTCCAAGGTTCTCCACTCGAGCAGGGGGTACCACCGGTGCTGACGACTGCGCAAGCCTGCCTGCCGCTTCGAGAGCGAGAGAAAGCCCGAAGGTTGAGGAGCGTTACGAGCCCGTATACCGTGTACGAAGTCCTGTAACGGTGCGCCTGCGACCGACGGTTCCGTATGCGCTGACCGCGACTGAGGTCTTGTTTTGACAGTGTGTACCACGACCAGCATCGAGACCTGATGTTGGTCCATGCAGCGCAACGTCAACAGATCCAAGTTCTTGACAGCATGGTGACAACCCAGAGTGACAACTCTCTGTCTCAGCAACGCGTGCATTTCAAATTACAGGCCGACGGCGCTGCGTCCGTGAAGCGGCAATTGTCAAGAGTCGCTCATCCGGGCAAGCCTTCGTTAGGTCCGGTCATCGTGCTTGGCCGCTTCCAACGTTAGCGAGCGTGCTGCGGCTGCGTCCTTTATCCTGCGGCCCTGCCGCTCCTCTCAGGCTTGACGTTATTCACCTCCCAGGTTCGACATTCACCTCCCCGGCGCCTCAGCGTGACCACCCAACAGCGCCTGCAAACCGCCCGGAGCGCATGGCCAGCAGAGCTATTGTGCCAACTCACATGTCACGGCCAGTCGCAGTCGCAGACGCAGCCACACCTTTTTAGTCAGCCCGTTGCCACTGCGCAGCTCCCGCAGTCGTTGCCGTCACCACCACATCTCCCGCTCCACCAGTTCGGACGAAGCTAGGGCTCCACCTAAAGGTCGCTATTGTCGCTGTGACTGCATCACTCCAGTCCTCCAAACGCATTGTTCTGTTCCAGTCTCTCACGCTGCCATTGTTGGTTTCGTGTCGACCAAGCGTGTCGTCCGCATCCGGCATCCCGCGCGCATCTAAGCCCAACGGCTCTTTCGCAGGACTTGCCCTTCCTCTGTCAAAACGATAGATCTACATAAACGCATGGCCGCGTAGATCCACAGCACTAAGCAATGTCGGCTACCAGTTCTGCGGCGCCTGCCGCCAGCAGTTACAGCCCCCAGACCAGCTCTACCAGCAGCGGAAGTGGTGGCGGCGGTGGACCTACCAGCTCGCCGTTGCTGTTCTTTGTTGCGTTGGGCTTTGGTGTTGTCTTCACAAATCTATGGTAAATACAGGCCAGCGTCACATGTGAATGCCAGTCAGACTGACACCCTTGCAGGATCATTGTCGGTGTGAAGTATTGCTTCAGGTACAATCGCCGCCGCGCCGCCGCTGCTGCTGCTGGTGAAAACGGAGAGCCGATCGATATGACAACCATGCCGCGACCGCACAGAAGGAGGAGGGAGAAGAAGCTGATGACCATGGACGAAGTCAACGAGCAGTTTCCCTTGACGAAGTACAAGCAGTGGAAATCAAGTCAAGAGATGAAGGGCCTGCCAGTAAACGGTGGCATCGCAACCGCACCCCAGAGCAGAGCAGCCAGCTTGAAGGACGTCGAGGGCGTCATTCCCGCCACCGAAGGCGCCGCAAGCCCCAGGCCTGATACCGCACTCTCACTCGCTCGTGACGCCGTACGCAAGTCAACCACTTCGCCGAGAGCGAGCATGTCACCAGCTGAGGCAAAGGAGACCACAGCATCGAAGAAGCCCGAGGATGAGAAGTCGCCAATGTCGAGGACCGATACCGTGGACACGACAGGGAAAGACGTTGAACCAGCAACCGCTCGCCGCGGAGATGACGATGAGTCTGACGACGAGGACGACCCGATCCGTATCGCAACCGCACCTGAGATGTTGGCTGAGCCGGGTGACACCTGCGCTATTTGCCTGGATACCCTTGAGGACGACGAAGATGTGCGAGGACTCACTTGCGGCCACGCTTTCCACGCTAGTTGTGTCGATCCATGGCTGACAAGCCGTCGGGCTTGCTGTCCTCTTTGCAAGGCTGACTACTACGTCCCCAAGCCTCGACCAGAGGGCGAGGCGGCTGATCAGGCAGGCTTAGGCCGTCGCCCAGGAGTGGGAATGCGATCTCCATCATCGCCCCAGGCAATCTGGACTAGCTCTCGCAACGGTCTTTTCCGCTCCCGCGTACTCATCATTGGCAACCCAACTTCCCAAGAGACCCAACGTGCTGATCGTTTTGGCCGCCTCAGTCGCCCCAGTCGACAAACTCGCTCTGCGACTGGAGATGCCGCACAACCGCAGACCACTGAAAACTCGGGGTGGATGTCAAGACTGCGACCCAACAGGACACAGCAAACTCCAACATCTTCGAGGAGCTGGTTTGGACGCGGCCGTGCTGAGCCGCGAGTAGAGACTGCACAGCCTACACCCGCCCAGCTTGAGGCTGGAACCAGGTAGTGGCCATATACCAGATACGAATTCATACTTTTTCACACGACTTATCACGCCTCTCACGATCATCTCTTAGCAAGCATTTGGTCGCGGTCAGCGTTCAGTGCACCGGCTCGACGGCTTGCGCATTTCTCAGCTTCTTTGGCGTTGGACACAATGTTGCCAATCTTGTAGGTTGCATCACTCTCAGGCAACGGTCTTGCAGCATACTTGTGCGTTTGCAACTAGTCGCAGGTGATCCATACAGTATGGAGACACGGGCAAGGCGAAGGGATTGTAGATAGGACCGCCGCTTATTTTGCGATTGTATATGGAAACATTTAGCCATCATTGCTATATTATCAAGTCCCCCTGTGGGAACCTGAGTGGGCACACCTGCCTGCTTTGTCAATGTAATGTCAGACAGTGCGGGAACGGCCTGAGACAAGCGAAGAGCTTTCCCATCGACATCATCGCCGTAAACCCATCACCAACGCTCGTCAACACTCCCACGATTGCGCGTGCTTTTGCGTATCAAGGCTAGCACTTGTCGAGCACACCTCTCTGAAACGAATGTCTGCTTCGCCCTGTACGAGCTGGGCAGCTCCGACGCCACGGAATCCGCTTGGCTTGCACAACATACGCCACACGTTGCGACCAGGTATGATCCGGCTGAGGGGCTACATCCGGGCTGGTTGAAAACAATAACGCTGATGAAACGCTATTGGCTAGCTGAGCTGAGCCGAGCTGAGCAGCCTGAGCTGAGCTTGCGCATACCGCTCGCGACATGGCACCTTCACGCTCTCGATCCCTCAATGCAATCATAGAACACTTTTGAGGATGACCTACAAGTACACCGACCTCGAAGGAACTAGCGATTCATCCGATATTTACATCCGTCTCTTTCACCTTTCGCCTGCATCACCAGCAGGACGCATTACAGGCCAGCTGAAGCCCGTACCTATCTCCGAATCTCCTTCTTACACAGCGCTTTCGTACTGTTGGAGTCGACACATCGATGTCGGCACACTTTATATCACACAATCTGACGACACCCTTGAGAGCGGTGTCCCGCTGGAAGAGTCTCTCACGGTGCCGGCTTCCGTGCTTTCCTTCTTGACTCGAAGCCAACCAAAAGCGGGCCTTCTGGATAGATGCGGTCTGCATCAATCAGCAAAACGATAGAGAGAAGTCCCCTCAGGTGCCGAGAATGAGAGACATCTATCTGCGAGCAAAGCGCACTCTTTGCTGGTTAGGTCCAGAGGCGGGCGGTAGTATGGAGGCTATTGCATATATCGAGTCGTTGAACAAACTGTTCAGACGAAAGCTAGCGGAATTAGGTTTTGGAAAATTTACTAAAGACAAGGTTGAAATGGGCATTCCCTCGTTCGAACTCAAAGTCAAATTGGGCGACCGCCAACTCGAAGCAATATGCAAGATACTCGAATGGCCGTGGTTTGAGCGAGCTTGGATCGTGCAAGAGTGCTTTGTATCTACAGATGTGTGGATCGTCGTCAGCAACTCATCGGTGCGGTGGCACGCCTTGGTTGGGGCATTCTCGCACCTCATGCAATTTGAACGCACGTTACTCGAGTTCTGCCCGGGCCATGGGGTCTCGTACCTCATAGAACTGAGATATGGCGAGATTGATTGGAAGGCTCAGAAAGACGTGGAATGGTGGCGAGTGCTGATCAGACAGCGTCAGTTCCTGTCTACAGACCCACGAAATAAGATCTACGCCTTCTACGGGTCACGGTGCGGAGAAGATTTTCGTAGAATGGCCATCTAGCCTGACTACGAGGGGACAACTGCTGAAGAGTTGTACATACAATTGGCTTCGAGAGGACTCGGGCTTATGAAGCAAGCAGAAATCCTGAACGTTCCAAGGCTTGTCGTTGGCAAGGACCAGAGCGGGAACGATGACTGGCACACCATGAACTTACCATCGTGGGTACCGGATTGGAGAAGGACAGAAAGCGTACCTCTCTCAACGTTATCCGACGAGCAAGCAACGGATAAAGAGTGAGGAAAGCAGAGCGACTACGATACCACGAAAAGCACCGAGTTTGAGGCCGATTTCGACATACCGGTGAAGCATACTTTTGATCAAGCTGCATTGTAGTATGCAGGGTAGTGACATCGGATTAGCATATCGCGACGATTTGTTCACTCTACCTCCACTCCTCAGCCGTTGGTGGCGCAGACGCCCATGAGCCTTGCAAGAGGTTGCATTGGCTCGCCCTGCGACTGTTTTCTGGGGCCACAGGCAGATCAACTTCGAGCTGATTGGCGCTACTGCTCTGCACCACCTCAAGTCCCACAGGGCGAGTTTCATTCAGATGAACCCTGACTACGGAATGAAGAAGAGACGGGGGGTGCTCGATTAACGACTAGCTCCTGGGATAAAGTCGGTTAGATCAAAGTTCTGGTAGTGTCGCGGAACTTGGAAGCGTCAGATCCGCGAGACAGGGTGTTCGGTCTTCTAGGTCTCACAGCGAGCGATTCGGATCCTGGTAATACCACCTTAATCGAACCGGACTATTCGTCATCCATGGCAGAAGTATACACTGCAGTTGCGGGCAAGGCACTTGGAAGCAGAAGGACCTCAACGTCCTCGCCTCGAAGTTTTTGCTGCGGTCCAGCATGGCGTTCACGTATTTGACGATCCAATCTCTTGAGTGCCCGATTGGAGATGTCAACAGATCATATGTACAACCCAGCGAGGAAAAAGAACCATGGCACACTCTCCGCTGTCAGCACATCTATTACCTGTGTGCCCAGGATCCGGTCACCTCAGACCCGGCAGCAATATCTCAGTGCGCGATATAGCCGTTAGCATTATTGAAGAGTTAGTTAGCTGCTCAAACTTTCAATAAGTCGGATCGACGTCGCAAGGCGCCTTTAGGTCATCAGTGAAGGATACAAAGACCAACATTGTGCCGTAGTAAGTGAGTAGCTAGGCACCAATGGAAGCGCACCGAAAATAGGCGCTGGTTTGATATCGTATTGAAAACCGTGTTTGATTTCACCGCCGGCATGGGCCCTATTTGCTTCTGGTATCGTGAATTGCATTCGGCACAGCGCGCTCGATGCTCTCTGGCAACGCCTCTTGGATCTTCTGAGGCACAATAGAGGCTTGAACTCCGTGTTCGGCGTGGCTTCGTGTAATCTCAGGGTTTGTTTCTGCTGCAATGTTGTCAGTCTACTTTGGATGTCAGTATTACAAAGGAGGCTTCTTTGCTGAGTTGTCTTACGCTTTTCCCTTCAACTCCAGCAATGTGACCAGGGGCCCGTGCCTGAGAGGTATCAGTCTATAGCCCGAGTACGTGCGGTCTTGTAGTTAACCACCTCTGCCATGTTCTCCTTCTTTCCCTGAGGTGCCTCTTGCTGGGCTTTGTTTGGGATGTCTGCGTCGGCAGTATGGGATCCTGGCTGACTGGACATGTTCGGCGCGTTGGTGAGTATCTTATTGAGTAAAGTGTTCAAACGGGTAGTTTGAAAGTGGTCTATTGCTTTGAATTGTCGTTGCTACTCGTCTTCGTGCACATTGTCAAGTCGGAAGACCATTGAGTCATAACAACGTACCCACGTCATGACTCTTGGCATGAGCCAGACGCCTCGCATTCTGTACCTCGTGAGTGCGGCGATCCACCTCTCGAGAGCTTGTGTAATGCGTCTCTTCGTCTTGGTGTTTGGATCGTAGCGTGCTCGTGTGATGGTGGAGGTTGAACGTCGATGATGCCAATGTGTAGCGCTGAATCCTCCGCGGAGACTTTTATTAGCAAACGAAGGCGCATCTCAGAGGTCAATGTAGACTGAACGTATTCCTTGTTCATCCGTACATCAGTATCTATACTGTCCTAGTCACTTCAACTCCCGTCTTCTCCGCAATATCATATATGGCGCCAACGACCCTGTCCACATCCTTGCTTTTGAGAGGTATTCGATGCGCGCCCTCCCACTCTACCAGTGTTGCAGCGTCTTTGGAACAGTACTCATGCAGTAATTTCCTGTGCAAGTGCAGCCCTGCATCAGCCATCCCGTGTACATGTAGCGCAGGCATCCTCAACACTGTGTCGTCCTTCACCTCTTTGCAAAATTGGAACCCCTCTGACAAGTCACCAGCGCCCACCAATGCTGGGCTAGTCAGAACGTCTGGGTTCAGGTTGCTGAGCGGCGCTCTGCCTGCAAGCAGGATCCCAAATCTCCAGTGCAGGCCCGGAATCTTTATTAGGCCAACGTCGATACTCCGTCCTTCTCTCCTCGCCTTTTCCTCTCTCGCTTGTTGCTCGAGCAATATGCTTGCGGACAACTTCGCACCCTGACTGAAGCCCATCAGCCCCACCCACTCTCCTGTGGCTCCTGCTCGATCGTCATCTTCCATCGTGGTCCGTATGGCGTAACCCATCTCTTCTATACAGCTCTCGGCATCAATCTCAGGATGCTCTGGAAGCCATCTGAGCCATCGGCGGAAAGGCGCGTATGAACCATAGACATCGATGACGTCCGCGTGGGGATCGCAGAAGAAAGGTGCATCTGCCCATACAAGACGGAAAGAGTGTTGTAAGTGCCTAATGAGTGATCGCGACTGCGCTTCGAAGATCGCTGCATTGACACCGCCGCCATGTAGGCAGAGTATCCGGGGCAGTGCTTTGGTGTCTGGTTTTGTGGCGTGGATCCTAGAAACAACCGGTGGGTCCTTCGAAGGCATTGCGAGATTCTGGTTGTGAAGATCGAAGATTGGCCAACGGTATCTAGTGGTGAAGAACGTACTACGACGGTGAAGCAGATGTAAGTAGCTGCAAGGAGAATGGACGAAAGAGGATGATCAGACTCAAGAAACAAAACATGCGTATGCTGTCACCTAAGAATAGGACACCATTGTCGCATCCCCAATCTGGCCGCTATCAGCTTTCGGATGTCCGAAGCTGCCACATCGAGCTGGTCATTAATCGCTGGTGCCACTAATGATTATACGATGCAAGTGGTAGGATGTCGCTGACGGTGCGAGCTGAGACTCGCGCAGGAGCATGTCCTCTCTGTAAGCCCAGCATCAATTCACTCTCAGATGCAGCGGTGATGGAGTTCACGGTCTTTTTGACCAAAATCGAGGCTGAGCGTGGGGAGCCGATGAAACAATCAGCGTGAAACCGTGGTTTAAGGCCGGAAGGATGCTGAGTCAGGCATCGCTGGACAGCATCGGAGTGACCTAATTTATCGATTGCGCTTTGTTTGGTGATATCCCTCGAAGGCTGCGCGATGATGAAGGCTTTGTATGAGGGCAAAGGTGTTGTCCAAAATTGAGGCGTGAGATCTGATCCTCCCAATTACATGGTACCTCGGCAAATCCTCCTTTTGCTCCTCACGACTCGCCGACCACAGCAGCAATACCAACATGTAGTTCTGAACCCCGACCGAGCCTGTGCTCCCACCACAGCCTTACCAACAAAGCAATATCAAGAGTCGTGCAGCCATGTCAGAGGTACCAGTGATCATCGGCGTGGGCGACGTCAAGAATCGCGACGTCAACAACGCGAAAGAGCCGGCAACGCTTATGCTCGAAGCCATCGAAATTGCCCTCAAAGATGCCTCATCCAACTCTGTCTCAGACTTAAAGTCTGCAATCGACAGTATAGACGTCGTAAAGACGTGGACGTGGCCATACCCTGATCTTCCTGGCTTGCTGTCTGAAAAGCTCGGTGTGCAAGACAGCGTCAAGTGGAAGCACTACTCCGAGCATGGCGGCAACCAACCGGGAAAACTCTTCGATGAAGCCGCGAGACGCATCGCGAAAAGAAAAAGCAAGGTTGCGGTCATCACAGGTGGTGAAGCTCTGGCATCACGTGCGTCATCAGAACGCCCGCAACAACTTACTTACAATCGCTGATCGACCCAGTATCTGCATGTGCAGCGGCCAAGAAGCTGCCACCGCCAGGCTGGACCAAGTCCTCCTCAGCCGTAGACTCTGTCTTCACGCCCACCGGCCGAGACCTAGGAAATAGTACGATCTCCACCCTCTGGCAGACACTCAGTACTCACTTCCCCACAGATCTCGGCGCGATCCATAAGATCGGCGCTCCCATTCACGTCTACCCCTTGTACGAGAACGCATTCCGCGCCCACCGAGGTCAAAGCATGAAAGCCAACAACGAAGAAAGCGCAAAACTATACGCGGACTTCAGCGCTATAGCTTCCACGCACGACTACGCATGGAGTCAGGGCAAACGTCACGATGCGCAGACCATCGGCACAGTCAGCGCGAAGAACCGAATGATATGCACGCCCTACCCCTTACTGATGAACGCATTCAACACCGTGAACCTAGCGGGCGCCATAATCCTGACCTCCGCATCCCACGCAAAGCAACTCGGTATCCCAGAAGCGAAATGGATCTATCCGCTCGGCGGCGCAGGGACATCCGATTCCGCTGAGTTCTGGCACCGTCCGAACTACCACAGTTCGCCGTCGATCGAACGCTCGCTCAAAACCGCTCTGGACGTATCCGAGACGAAGGCGGCGGAGCTGGATCTCATCGATATCTACTCGTGCTTCCCGATTGTGCCCAAGCTGGCCGCTACAGCGCTTGGTGTTCCTGTAGTTGGCGGTCCGAAGCCGCTGACGCTGCTCGGCGGGCTGACGAGTTTTGGCGGCGCAGGAAACAACTATAGTATGCATGCGTTGACTGAGATGACGCGGCAATTGCGTTCGGGTAAAGGGAAGAAGGGGCTGGTGTTATGCAATGGCGGTGTGTTGAGCTATCAGCATGTCCTTGTTCTTGGAACGGAGCCGAGGAGTGCACGATATCCGGTTGAGGATGTATTGCCAGAGGTACTAAGTGATGTCGAGGTGCCGGAATTGGCTGAGCTGGCGCAGGGACAGTGCGTTGTCGAGGTATGTTTTCTCGGAATCCTGGCCGTCGAGAGAGGAATCTTACTGACCAGGGGCAGACATATACTGTAGAGTTCAGTCGCGATGGAAGCCCTTTGCGTGGCCATATCGTTGGACGGTTGAGGAGCAATGGCAATCGCTTCCTTGCCAATCATGGAGATGAGAGTACGCTACGGCAGATGGCCGAAGGGGCAGGTGAGATTGTGGGCAAATCTGGCTGGGTGTGGCAGGATGAGAAGAAGAATGGTAGAGGGCTGTTTGCGTTCGATAAGCCCGCAAGACTGTAGTAGCCGCCATGGCCACAACTATGCCGAATGATCCTGATCCATAACTGCGCACTCATACATGCTGCATTGGTGAACACGATCTTGGTTCTGAGATATGACTGCGCAAAACTTGTAGTTGATATAATGTACAGATCTAAGAGAAGCGTCCAAAACGCCAATTGAATCAGACCCTGCAACTCACTAGGTCACACGACACCAGTCGTGACGATGCTCGCTAAGTTTATCATGTCGTGTTATGCTATGTTCGGCCGTTATACATGCTCATACATCGTAGATGACTCCACCAATGCTTTCAGTGCACTCGCTGATATGCTTATTAAAGAAATAAGGGTCAAAGGAAAGAAACAAACGCTCCAAATCGAAAAAGACGACGAAAGAGAGTAAAGGAATGTATGCGCAATGCAAGGGGAAGGTGGAGCTCAGTCACAGAGCTAGTGCTCATTGACAGAGAACTGTGTGTTCGTCTCCAGACTGGAGAGCGTAGAGTTGGTGTCCCAAGTGCCATTGTCGGGGATGGTCTCGGCCACGCTCTTCATGCTCTTCTCGCGGCGCAGCTCTCTCGAACCTCGTTCAGACCTCTCAGACCTCTCTGGTCGCTCAGATCGCTCAGAGCGCTCAGGCTTCTCGGAGCGTTCGGAGCGTTCAGATCTTCCGTGTTTCTCGAGGCTTTGCTTCCTCTGCTCTTTCAACCATTTTTGGTGGCTATCAGACCGCATGGAGTCCTTCGAGGCTCTCTTAGCCTGCATTGCCTCCTTGAAGGCCTTGCTGTTCTGCATGGACATTGGACTGTTAGGGTACAGTGCCTTGACGCCAGCACTGCGGCTCTCACACAGGTACCGGGTCTTGAGGTCTGGCTTCTCTGTGCGCTCGGTGCGTTCCGACTTGCCAGAACGTTCGGTACGTTCACTTCGCTCGCTCCTCAGCGTTCGATTACTGAGCGCATAGCCGCTAGTCCGTCGCAAGGTTTCTGGACGCGGCGTGATATCGGGTAACTCGTCTTCAGTGTTGCGAGTACGCGTGGAGCGGCGGCGCCTCAACGAGGGTTGAATGCGATGAGATTGCAGCGATTCGATCTCGTCAAAGGCCTCAAATAGTGGCGAAGCCGGACGCGGTGGTGTGCTGGAACGAGATTGTGGAGAGTGGGGCGGTGTAGGTGGCTCATGTTCGAGGAACACGGGCAGCGTCTCACTGTCTGCTGGTGTGGGCTCAGGAAGCTCTTCCTCCTCCGCCGCTTCAGGGATAGCATCGCTTTCTGCAAGCAGGCGGCCAGTCTCCACGAAGACCGAGTCGGGTGGGGTCTTAGAAGCCTTTGAGGGAGCTTGCGTGAAGATGCTCTCGACAGGAGGCGGCATGCCAATGAGATTGCGAGGAGTCGCAAAATCAATGGGTCCTGGTGGAGGCCGCTGGTACGCTCGCACGGGTAGAGATGAAGGCTCGTGGAGCGCAGCGATCGATGACGGAGGTGGAGGCGGCGTCCTGCGTCTTCTTGGAGATCGATCAGAACCCTCGTGTGGAGATGGCGGTGGTGACTTGTTCCGAACCGATATCGTCTTCTCAGACATAGCCGGCGTGGGTGGGAGAGGATTTCTGGGCGGAGGAACCATAGGCGGCGGAAACTTCCCAAATTCAGCATTCGTCGGAGAAGCAGTGGTGAAGGATGGCAAACCGGCTGATTTGAGCTCCTCCGCCCTTGTGATGATGGGTTCTGCGTCGTCGTACAGAGCCATACCGTGATGGTAAATGCAACCTCCGTCGTTCTTCTCGCCGTTCGCGTGGAAGTTCTCGTGTTTCGGTTCGCGGTAGATGACAGGGAAGAGCCTCAACAAAAGCGTAGGCTGTCCATCAGAAGGGCGTGCGGTATCGGCGAGTGACTCTATTAAAGTGCCATCAGGCTTGTGAGTGTTCTCGTATGCAGGCCAGAAATCTGGGCCCGTGAATTGATGCTCTTCATCGTAAAGAGCTGGCATTGTAGCTGTGATCATCTCACGCTCAAGACGAGCAAAGCGCCATGTCTCAGCAGCAAGCTTGACGATCCTCTTCACAGCAATCTTGATACCTTCTTCTTCTCTTGGGTCGGCGAAGTGCTTGATCGCATTGACGATCTCTTCGACAACTGTGCCGGCAGCAGTGTTGATACGTTGCTTTGCCCCACTGCTTGTAAACGCAGCGAGAAGGGTCTGCTGACGCCAGATGGCCTCCTTCCTCGTACTCTTGTCGCGGATGTGGTGGCTCATTGACAAAAACAAAGAATCGGCCTTGTCGTAACGGCGACCTAAGCTGAATAGGAAGGGGCCGAAAACACGGTAGGTGATCAGCTTTGAGACTGTGTGTGCGATGTACGCAGCGCGGACTTGTCTGAAGGTCTCGCATTAGTGATGTCAGAAATCAAGATATGGTGCGATACATACCTCGAGGCTGGAGTGTCGCCCAAAAATGACGGAAGACTGTGCGGTACCTGTGCCAGTTCTTCGTGAGGAGGGCGCACCGGGAGATACTTGAAGTGGGTGGTGGCAAGGTCGATAATTTGCTTCTGCAGCTGCGAAAAGGATACGAGGCTGATGACATGGTCAGCAAAGATTCAGGTAGCAAAACAAGGGCAGGAGAAGCAGATGTGACGAAAGCAATTGCATTACGGAACAAGAGGATAACTGTCTAACTCTACGATCGAGATACAGTCCAGGCCGCCTGCCTTGGATGCCACGTGCGCTTGCTGGTGGGCAGGCGCAAATGACCCAAGACATTTGGCCCTCCTCAACACCATGAAAATCCTCCAAATCAAAATGAACAGTCCAAATCCACTTACTAGTATGTGTCGCCCTTGCTTTTGATTTCTGCAATGTCTCCATAGCATTCCATCATCTTCTCCAATCTCGACTTCTCGGACTCGAGGTTGGCAGCGACGCTCTTGATGATCTCCTTCTCTTTCTGGCTTTCGGCCTTCAGCTCGTCGTACTTTTGGAGCAAGTCGTCCTTTTCACGGGCCAACTCATCAGCTCTTCGGTTCGCCTCACTGTGGAGCTCGGTCCAAGCCCTGTCAGACTCTTCCTTAGCCTCTTGATACTTGGCATCCAAAGCCTCACGCTCTTCGCTCCAGCCACTTTGAAGGCTGTCGCTGTGCTCCTGGTGGCTCCTGATGAGAGCCTCACGCTCAGCAAGCCAGTTCTCGCGGGCCTCTTCGTGCTCCCTCTGAGCGTCGCTGAGCTTTGTCTCAAGCTCATCGCGCTCAGTGGTGAAGGTGGCCTCACGCTCCTGCTGCTGACGCTCGTGCTCTGCACTCAGCTCCTCCTTCTCGGCAGCAAGCGCATCTACCTCTTCTTGTCTTCTCGTCTCTGCAAGCAGGTCCGCCTCCTTAAGCTTCTTGTCAAACTGTATGGCAAGCGCAATCTTCTCGGCGTCGTGCCTCGTGGTTGCAGCCGCTTTCCACTCGTCAAACTCCTTCTTCGCCTGTGCCTTTTCAGATGCATACATGGCTTCCAGCTCTTTGACCTTGGTCTCCCAAGACTTCGTCGATGCGTCCCACGCAAGCTTGGTATCCTCAGCCTCCCTCTTGTGCTTGTGGGTCTCAGCAATCTGTTCGCGAAGCTCCTTTACCTGCTCCTTGGCCTCAGCTGAATGCTTGTTCTCGATGTGGATGATCCTCTCTTTGAGATCATATATCTCCTCGTCCTTGGCCCTTAGCTTCTGTGAGAGCTGACCGTGTACTTCCTTCTGTCTTGCAAGCGAGGCGTGCAGGTCAGGAATGGCCTGGGAAATACGAGAGAAGATATCAGCTGTTTCACCGTCAAAAAGAGAGCCGTTCTCTATAGCAGGCATGCCCATGCCATAGTCTCTAGAGCCTGAGGTGTCATGATGCTGGTGTGAACTGCTATTGGGGGGATACCCTGGTGGATACTGATTCCAGGTTTCTTGATATGGGGAGGAAGAGTTGTGAGAAGAGGGGCCATAGGGATTGGGATTTGAATATCCCGGCTGACTCATGCCATAGCTATGTTGATTTGGGTAGTAGGGTGGGGCACCGGGCGCGTACCCATACCTTGGATGATACCCAGGAGGAGGCGGTGGAGGATTTGGATAGTGCTCGACTGGCACGCGCGAGGCGAAGCCGCTAGTACGGGGATGATGCGCTGGCGCTGCATGTGGTGGGTAACGGGACCCACTGCTATCACGTGAGGAAACCAACGCCTCACCGCTTCGATTTTGTCGTCGAGAATGGACAAGGGCCGAATCGGAATCGTCATCATCATCATCGAAAGCAGGGACATGTCGCGTGCGAGCTCTCTCCACAGGCGGGCTGGGGGCTGGTGGTCGATCGTCAATGACTTGACGAGCAGCCTTTCGAGGGGCTGGGGCTTCACGTAACCGTCGGGCCTCAGGAGCTCTGGACTTCGTCATTACCGTGACCACGGAGTGAGGCGATCGCGGAGACTCCTTCGATGCAGCAGGGATTGGTTGACAGGTGTCATCTTCAGCGTGTGAGAGACCGGGGTCTGCAGCAGCTGCAGGCGGCTCTGGCTCTGGTTCGGGACGAGGCGCAGGCGCACGTGCAGTCTCAGCAGCCACTGGCTCAACCGCTGCTGGATGCTCTACGACGGGCTCCTGGACGATCGATTCTGGCTCGACCGCTGGTTCGGGTACCGCCTCATCCTCAGCGGTCGGTAGCTGATCAGCTTCTGCTGCTTCTGGTTCCGATTCCTTGGGTGCTACAGTGGGTTCATCTGTTCAATGTTAGTCGAACTGATCGTGAAACGCTCAATGTAAAGCACCAAACGTACCTCTGGGCTCCTCAATCTCAGCTGCAGGTTCAGTCTTTGGAGCTTCCGGGTCAGCTGTCGCTTCGACAACTTCACTGACAGGCTCTGGAGCAGCAACCTGCTTCTTCTTCTTGTCCTTCTTGTTCTTCTTGCCTTTCTTCGGCTGAGAAGCCCTATCATCCTCTGCAACGGCGTCTGAAGGCTCAACCACAACTGCCTCTGTAGGCGCTAGTGCTGCTGTCTCCACGGGCGCTTCGCCAACAGGCTCCGCCGGCTGTGGTTCTTCCAGTGGCTCTTCAGAAATTGGTGCTGGTTCAATCGTTGTTGCTTCGGCAGCATCTACGTGACCGTTGACTGCGTCCTCAGTTACTTCTGGAGTTGCTGTCTCATCTTGTTCGGCCACTACGCTTTGCTCTGCTTCTGTTGGTTCCTCTGGAGCTAAGAGGGGAGTCTCTTCGACTGGTGCGCTAATTGCCTCAGTTTCATCTTCGGCTACAGGCACGGGGACGACCTCTGGCTCAACTGCGACTGGAATCTCCTCAGCCGGCTCGGCGACATCTTTCGCAGCGTCGTCCACTGGTTCGACTGGTTCTGTCGTGGCCTCCGCCACCGCTTCTTCCGGCTCTTTTGCAGTGCCCGCATCATCAATGGCTTCCTCCTCTGGCGTAGCTTCAGCTTCTGTCGCTGGTTCTGCGATTGGCTCTATGGCTGCCTCATCTTTCGGTGAGCTTGCCTCGGCCAACTCCTGCTCTTCAGGTGATGGAGCTTCTGGTTCGGTCGTTTCCTGAGTGGCCGGTTCGGGTGTGGGGCCGTCTACCGCCTCGTCGATCTCCGCTTCCGGTGCTTCTGCTGTTGCTTCCGGTGCTTCTGCTGTTGCTTCCGGTGCTTCTGCTGTTGCTTCCGGTGCTTCTGCTGTTGCTTCCGGTGCTTCTGCTGTTGCTTCCGGTTGCTCAACTGGTATTGCTTCAACAGCAGGTGCTTCTGGCGTCAATTCCAGGGGCTCGGTGACCTCTGGAGCAGATTCCTCGACAGCTGGTGCTGGCGCGGGACTTGCTGGCGTAGATGTGACGTCGACCTGCTTTTGGGTGCTCTTCTTGCTCTTCTTCTTTGCCATAATGGCAATCGGGGTGGCCCCTGTGTTCTGAGTGTGGAGACCCCGAGCGCCGTGATCCTGGGGTAGTTATGTCTGCCTTGCACAAAAGATGGTGGCAATCGTCACAATTGTGAGACTATAGGACTGCTTGCGTGGCACTCTGACGGGGGGACATGTAGATGGCCAGCGGATACGCGCATTAGGGGCTATATAAGAGATGATGCATGATGAGGATTTGTGAGCCGTGCATGAGATTACTTGAGTTGGCTACGCATGACCGTCCAATGGGGACAAATGCAGGGAGAGTGAGCTGGCAGCGTAGTCCGAGCCGAGTAATCTATGCGCCCCAGTCGAGACATATTCGGCGTCTAAGAACAGCATCACCAGCCTCGCGGGTGCGTGGGGCGTGTCTCGCCGCGGTACTCATATCATGCCTCTTACAACAGGCCACGAAGACACCAACAAAGTAGCCCAACATGCTCTGCTTTGAATTGAAGAGGCTGGGTAAGGGTTTAGTCGGCATTATGACTGATTCGAAGTAGAAGGAAGCAGATCGATGGGTATGTGCTGTCCGTGCTTGAGGTGGACATCGGACCTCCTATGCAAGCAGGACGACGGTGCGTATGTGGTTATCTGTGAGTGGTGCAACGTCAGCAGGCGTGCAGAGGCGCCCGTTAGCCGCAGCAGCCTCAAGGTGTTGCATCATTAGTGAGCGGGTACATGCAACGCGGCGGAGATGCGGTGTGTGGGTTTTGGCTGCATCTGATTCTGCCAGCAAAGCATGCAGTCTCGCGGTAGTTCGAGCACGGGCGTCACGTGACTACCCGTCACCATGATTATCCGCAAATTCGAGGTTCGCGTCAAGCTTCCGTCAGCGCTCCAACCACAGCTGTACAAGCATGTCAACTTGCCGCAGACCGCATTTCAGTCCGCCCAAGTCGAGGCGGCATGGTGAAGCCACGAGCTGCTCGCAAGCAGCCCATTGTCCTCTCCTCCGGCGATGAGCGCAGTTCACCGCCTCCTTCCAAGAGGCCCAAGAGGGGCGCACTAGCTGGTTCGTCCACCGATGTGCAGAGCGGCAGCAAGGCGAAGCCTACTCGCGTGCAGACGAGGCGCGCAGTATCGCCGAAGCCGTCGTCAGCCGCGTCAAATCAGAAATCACCCACTAAATCTCCAGGGAAGCTGAAGGCGGTTCATAAACCCATTACATCCTTCTTTCGCCCGGGCTCTGTTCCCCGTTTGCAGGCTGTGCAGGCCACAGCGTCACCGAGCCCTGAGAAACGCGCTACACCGCCAGAAGATCTCGACGACATCCTCGAGTCCTCTGACGATGATCGACATCCCCAGCCACCAGCCGCCCTGCCCGTGCGCAAGCGGAAGAGCGTGGCGGCTCTTGGTGCCTCAGATGCTGGTAGTGTCCCCAAGGGTAGCCAGAAGTTCCTTCGTACGGCGAGCAGCGCCCGTAGCACACCCCCACCTTCGCATCCAGCTCGCAAAGAACCAGTAGATGGACGGCCATGGACTGAAAAGTACGGTCCTCTGTCGCTCGACGAGCTCGCGGTACACAAGAAGAAGGTGTCAGACGTACGCGCATGGCTCGAAGATGTCTACAGCGGCCAGCAGAGGAAGCGCCTTCTCTTACTCAAAGGCCCTGCGGGCAGCGGCAAGACCACGACCATGGCGCTGCTCTCCAAAGAGCTGGGCATTCACATGCATGAGTGGAAGAACCCCGCCAGCTCCATGACGGCTTCTGAAGGCGCAGTATCTGCGACTGCACAGTTTGAAGACTTTGTGGGACGAGCAGGCGCATTCGGGAGCCTCACCTTCGATCGACCTCAGCAAGTTCAAACGCAAGCTTCACCGAGCACTGACAGTAGACAAAAGCAACTCGTCCTTGTAGAGGAGTTTCCTAATACATTCGCGCGTGCGTCACCTGCCGTACAAGCTTTTCGATCATCTGTTCTTAATTTCCTCGCTTCAACCACTCCCTCCGCTACTGCGTTCTTTGCCAGACAGGCCGGTTCTGACTCACCCGTCACGCCCATGGTTATGATCGTCTCTGAGACACTGCTGTCCACGAACACGGCCGCCGCTGACAGCTTCACTGCTCACCGCCTGCTCGGCCCTGAGATCCTGACCCACCCCGGATCATCAGTCATCGAATTCAACCCAATTGCCCCAACATATATGACAAAAGCGCTGGATCTTATCGTGGTCAAAGAGGCGCGCAAGTCAGCGCGTAGGAATACCGTTGGGCCTCAGGTCGTACAGCGGCTTGCCGAGCTCGGCGATATACGCAGTGCTGTGTCGTCTCTCGAATTTCTCTGCCTGCGTGGGGATGAGTCGGATGGATGGGGCGCAAAGGTCAACTTTTCGAAGAAGAAGGGCCCTAGAGACGTACCAATCACTGAGATGGAAAGAGAATCGCTGGAGTTGGTAACTCAGCGAGAAAGCACTCTGGGCATCTTCCACGCTGTTGGGAGGGTTGTGTATAACAAGCGCGTGCCAGAAGATCCGAACAAGCCTGTACCTCAACCACCGCACTGGTTCCCCGAGCGGCGTCGACCGAAGGCCTCGGAGATCAACCTGGACACACTCATCGATGAGCTTGGCACCGATACACACACGTTCACCGCGGCATTACACGAGAACTACGTGCTTTCATGCGGAGGAGCAGACAGCGAAGAGACTATGGACTCGGTAGACGGCTGCATCGAAGCCTTGTCTGATGCGGATCTGCTGTTCCCAGACCGATTCGGGGCAGGCTCAGGGCGACGAAACCTGCAAGGCACGAGTGCGGACAATCTCCGTCAAGATGAGATGTGCTTCCAGACAAGCGTGCGTGGGCTTCTGTACAACCTACCGCATCCTGTGAAGCGCATGGCGCCGCCCCCTGGGGTCATGGGCATCAAAGCCAAAGGGCAAGGAGCCGCTCCGCCTAAGAGTGGCAGCGCATTCGTCATGTACTACCCAGCCTCGCTGCGGATCTGGAAGCAGCAGGAAGAAATCAACGACCTCCTGGAGCTGTGGATATCGCGAGCGCAACGCGGCGAGCTGCTCTCGACAGGCACGGGGTCGCTCAAGCCCGCGCCCCCAAGCAGCGGCGTGGAATCATGGACCCGCAACACCGCACCGTCTCAAGCACCAGCATCGACCTCCCCAAGCCAACCAGTCGATGACCCGCCCCCAACGCTCCTCGGCAGCGGCGGCTCAGCACGCTACGAAATGCTTTTCGAGCGCCTTCCGTACCTAACCACCATCCTGCGCAGATCCCGCATGCCCGCGGCCACAATCCGCGAGATCCAGAAAATCACCGCCTTCCACGGCGCAGGGAGTAGCAAGGGTGGAACAGAGGAGGACGGCGAGGACACCCTGGAGCGACAGGGCGGCGAGCAGGAGCAATGGGCGACGGACAAGGACGCGCCCGCCACGCCGCGGAAGAAGAAGGGCGTGCGGTTCGTCGAGAGCAGAGGAGAGGAGAGTGAGAGCGCGATCGCGGGGCTGATGGCCAAGGGCGCGAGTCTGGTGCTGGAGGATGATGATATCGAGGATTGAGGTGTGCGAGGGCAGACGCCGCGCCATTCACATCGCGACTCTCACACACGCGACGCACAGAATGTAGAACAAAACCAGTCTTTGCGCTTTGCATGCGCTCTCTTCATTTCGCTTCGCTCGCGCAGCCAACGCGCTGGGTATCCACGCCACACATAAAACACATGAACTATATCCAACGCCCGCCAGTCAAACGCCGATCCCAACGAGGGCGACGCCCGTTCCCTCACGCTGCATCCTCAACCCCGGCACCGCCTCGCAGCCGGCTCACCCCGAGTCCTCCCCGCTAGAAAAGTATCCCTGATCAATTCTCAAAATCCACTCAATCTTCTCCCTCTCGCTCTTGGCGCGGAAGACATACGTGTTCGTCCTCGCAAAGACGGCGAAAATCGTATCCTGCTGCTGCGGCGTGACGCCGTCGGACACATTCCTCGCATGCGCCCTCCCCGCGGTGCCGGTGTTCATGAGCCGCGCCAGCTCGGGGGAGTGGTTGACGCGGGCGTTGGTCAGGTTGACGGCGTTGAGCGCGTCGCCGTCGACGCTGTACACGTGCAGATACGGGCGGCGCAGCTCGACGTAGCGCCGGATCCAGCGTGTGTTTGTCGGGTCCGGGGTCAGCAGGAAGCTGGCCTTGAGGAGGTGCGGGTTCTTGTGCACGAAGCGCACCGTGGCCGTCAGGCTGGGCCGCGGGCTGGGCGAAGTGCCGCGCGAGGACGTGGGTGCGAATGCGGCGCCCGCCAAGGGCGGCTCGAGGTTGGATGCGGATAGGATTGTGGATTCGGGCGCGCGGTGGGCGGTCCAGAGGGTCAGCGTCTTCTCGAGGAGCTGCTTCTGGCGGGCGTCGAGCTCCTGTTCCGCACCCGTGATGGTGGCCTCGGGCTTTGCGATGCTGAGCATCTTCGGGCTCAGCACGGTGCGCGCGAGTTCTATTTCGGCGATGCGGCGGCGCCGCCGCTCGACGCCGATGTAGTCTTTGACCAGCGAGACGCCACGCGGTGTCCAGTCTGCGAGGTCTTCTTCGCCCTTGACGTAGTCCTCGCGCGTGTTCATGCGCCACAGGTCGGTGGCGCGCTTAACGGAGGTCGGGCGGATGGCGACGTTGAAGATGCCAACTGTGGAATGGACGACCTTGACCTGATTCCAGAGGTTGGAGAGCGAGAAGAGAGAGGTCTGACGGATGTAGGCGCGGTTGCGGATTTGCATGTTGATGTCGAGGGAGAACACCATCGGCTCGTCGAGCTTGGCGGATGTGACATTGAAGAGCAGGTTGGCTTGCACGCGGTACTTTTCCTGGGTGGCGCGATCGAGGAGGAGAGAGCCGTGGGCTGTGCTGTCCCAGCGGCCTATGAACTTGACGTTTGTGGTGCCGTCGGCGTTGTCCTTGACCGTTGGTGGCGCGGTCAAGTCGATGGGGACTTGTCGGACAGGAGAGTCGATTCCTGGAGCATTGCCAGATGCATCGATTAGACGAATGCGGCCCATGCGCATAGAGGTAACGTTCTGCCACTGTAGGACATCGCCGCAAGTATGTGTAAGGTTCACAACAACACGCCTTGCCAGGCCCTGATGCAGCTGGTACACACCAGCATCCAGTACGCTGCTCTGGGTTACTTCGACCGGCTGGTACGTTCCGTCGTCAGTGATCTCCTGGATCTGAATGCGGGAGAAGATATCGTGGGTGTCTTCGGTGTAGAACTCCGATTCCGCTATCCGCGCAGCACGGCGCTTGGGCTTTCGCTGAGGCGCCTGATCTCGCATATCGTCCCAACTCAGGAGCTTGTCAAGATGCATCGACGTTACTCGTGCAAAGACAGCCACGCGCAGGAACGTATCTGTTGGACTCGGGTATGGTATGCTCATGCTGTGGAAGGTCTGGAAACGGATAGGCCCCTCGTCGAACTTGTTCATAAACATGGTGCTTGTTGCGCCTCCTTCTTTCGAAAGAGTAGGCAAATACAGCAGAGCATGGACGTCAGTCCCCTCCCGCTCAGGGAATCCGACAAGCTCGTGCAAGGTGACGCTGAAGTTGAGTGTGGTTGTCGGCGCTTCCGCCGAGGACGGCTCTACCGACAGATGGATGATGCCTATTGGGTTGGCCGTGTATGGTGAGATGACATCGAGCTTCATGTCTCGCACTCTCGACTCGAAGACAGCAGCGAGAGGGACGTCGACGTCGCCAATGCGAGAGAATTCGGGCATACAGGGGTCCGAGAATGGACTCTCCGGGTTGAAGTGCTGCATATACTCAGGCCGGTTCATGTACTGATGCATCTGATGCATCCGCCGCACGCGTTGACGTAGCTTCTGTAGGGACCACAGATGTATCACTTCGTGCTTGAAGTCAATCACACGTACGCCGACACAAGGTTTTGGTGTGTCGTCCAGATCGTCGTCGTCTTCCTCACCGGTGTCAGCAAGGTTGATGAGATCGTATGTCGACGGTACAGTCTGGCCGACATCAACGATGCAGAACTGGAAAACGACATTCTTATCCATCTGCTGGCTCATGACCTGCGCTTCTTTCAGGGTTGCAGCGTTCTGCAGGATCGTCTCAGCCATTATGACATATTTCCGTTTTCGCCAGTGCTGGAAGGCCGTTGTCGCAAGCGCAAGCTGCTGCTCAGTCAGACCGTCTGCCGCGGGTGTAGCCTCACCCTCTGGCTCTGGCTCTGGCTCGACCCCCAGCTTTCTCAATTGGCGCTCGAACGTCTCTTTCTGTTGTCTCAGCTTCGCCTCCATCTCTTCCTTGGCAGCGCGCAGTTGGGTCAGCTCCACCTTAGCTTCTTCGTCAGCCTTGAGCTTGGTTCGATAGTCCTCCTTTTGCTTGTCCAATTTGTCTTGCATGTCGCCTTTCAGCTCTCGCATCTTCTCACTATCCTCATACTGCGGCGTCGATGGCGAGGTCAGCACTGTATCCAGCGAGAAGTTGTCGATGGTTCCGTTGGACGCGTATTTCTCGCGTATGGGATATGACGATGTCGACTCCATGTCTTCGTCCTGCTCGAAGAGACGATTCGCGTTACCAGCTTTGCGATTGTCGCGTTGTCTTTGGAGATCATCAATGATGGCGTCGAACTCATCGTCCGGCAGATTGTCGAGGCGCTTGTCTGGTCCCAACCATGCAGCGAGAGCTTCTCTCCGCGCGAATGAGAACTCCGACTCCTTTCCGCGCTGCCAGAAAGCGGGCGAAGATGCTCTCGGGCTATCCGGGTCGAATTCTGAATTGGCGAGGCTGATTGCGCTGTGGGTTCTATCGTGTCCGGGTCGCGGTGCGGGTGAGGGAGAGTTGAGCTGACTGGCGTGTACGGAGTGTCGCAGCAAACTCTTTCCAATTTCGGCGCGCTCGGCTCTGACTTCTCCTGGATTGTTGAACCTGAAGATGTGGAAGTCACCAAGGATGATGCGGTGACCGCTTCTTAGCTGCGTTGGCTTGTCGATTCGAAGTCCGTTCACCATGATGCTTGCGCCTTCCTGGGGAACTACGGTGACTGTACCGTCCACGTTCTCGAGGTCGCAGTGGTGCGCGAGTATCTGCGAGCCGTTCAAGCGGATTGTTGCAGTTTGGTCCATGGTGTCGGAGTTGCCTACGGCAGTAGTTCCAGGCTTGAGATTGTAGATGAGGCACTCATTCATAAGCGCATCGTCACTCAGGTTGACCAAATGGGGCATGTTCTTCGGTGTGGACAGACCAACGAATCCCTTCTCAATGCTGATACCAAGCTCTTCCAAAGCAGCCTCTCGCTCCTTGTGGATCTCTTCGGTCTTTTGCAGCTTCTCTTCCCATGTCTGGTTCAGATCCTTGTACAGCTTCTCGGACTGATTCAGTTTCTCCACAATCTCAGCCTTGGAAACCTTCTTCTCGGTCCCGTCCGCTTCGGTGATTGTGACAATCTGCTGCTCCAGCGGGGTGCCCGGTGCGTACTGCTCTGCAACCATACCGCCCGCACCGCCTCCGCCGCCTCCACTGAGTTGCGAGCGAAGTTTTGCCAGCTCTTCGTTGAGCTCACGAATCATGCGCGCATTCGGGTCCTCGTTGACGACGGCGTGGTTCTTGATGCGTTTCGCAGAGTCGGCATATCGAAGCGTGGAGAGGGTCTCGTCAAAGTTGATGTCGGCGGGCGAGATGGCAGCAACCATGGCAGTCATGCTGTTTCCTCCCAGCGAATCTTTCAACAGCCAGGTCAAAACCGAGTCTCGGTACGGCACTTGGACCTTCTTTTTCCCTGCTGTTGACTGATCTGCTAGCGCTGCAATAACACGACCCAGTGTTGACAGCGACCTGTTGATCTCGGCACCTTCCTTCAAGCGTGCACCCGTGGCTCCGGTAGACTGCGCTCTTTCTGATCCAGCCAAATCAACCAGACTGATCTTGGCGACTCTTTCGCCGCTCATGCCGGCCTGTGCGTCGTGACGCTTTTGTGTGAGGGTTACGGTGAAGACGGCGTGCGATCGGGAGGACGTCTCGTTCATGTTGGTTGCGGCAACGGTTCGGGCCTTGTTTCCCTCGTCCATGAGGTTCTCAATGTCCGGGAACGACTGGACCACCAGCTTCGCCAAGTCTTCAACGTATGGACCGGTCGAAGGGTGCTCGCGGACCCTGAGGTTGCCCTTGTTCGAGGGGTTCAGGAGATCGCGGACGCGTTCGTTGTAGATCTCCAGGTAGGAAACCTCGACCGTGCAGCTCAGGTTCTTGTCCTTTTGCATTTCTGTAATTCTCTCGAACATGTCCTGGGAGATCTTGGGGATGATTCCGTACTCTGTCCCGTAACCCATCATCGAGTACGACTTCCCCGAACCCGTCTGGCCGTACGCAAAGATGCAGTTGTTGTATCCCTGGAACGCATTGTCCAGCAACGGCTTCCCCAGGTCCTCGTGCAGGTTGTCCTGTCCTGCATAGTTGGGCGCATCGCGGTCGAAGGACCAGTAGGAGCGGTCAAACGCAAACGTCTTGGTGCCTTCGGCGGCAGCTTTTGCAGCTTTTCCCTGGACAGAAACATTCGACGGGGCCCGTAGGATCGTCTGGTCGCCCTTCATCTCGACAATGCATTGAGCATTGCGCTGCTTCTCTGGAGCCTGTCAGCAGCGACACAGCTCGCGCAGGCTGTTTCGTCTTACCTCGGCCGTTGAAGGGTCTACACCTCACCACGACCTTGATATTGCCGCCGCCTGACGCCATGGTGTAGACCGATTAGTGTTTAAAGTCCAAGATTACGGGGGTGCTGTGTAAAGGAGCGGAGGCCAGTGGCGGCAGATATTGTGCGGCGGTCATGTGTGGAACATGGAGGACATGCACAGCAGAGTGGTGCGTGATTGCGGTCCCTGGTGCAGGTGCGTAAAGGGGGCGGTCAGCAGTAGTGAGTGGAGCATCGACGGTTGTTGTGGTCGAGTCGCGGCAACTAAATAACAATATGCGCGTGAACCAGATGCCTGTCCATGCGTGCTGGCGTGGACCCTGCGTGGCGCCTGTCATACGATAGATCGTTCGCGAAACTTTGAACGGCTGGCAACTGCGGCCTGCTCCAAGCAAACATTCGCACACCGACAAGCCAGACAAACCAGACAAGCCAGACAAGCCAGACAAACCAGACAAACTAGACAAACTAGACAAACTAGACAAACCAGACAAACCAGACAAACTAGACAAACCAGACAAACCAGACAAACTAGACAAACTAGACAAACTAGACAAACCAGACAACCCACACAAACCACACAAACCACACAAACCACACAACCCACACAAACCACACAATCCAGACAAACCACACAACCCACACAAACCAGACAACCCACACAACCCACACAAGCCTCTCGCATCCCGGGCCCATGGCTGACGACATGTTCGCGCCGCCCGTGAACCGCGCCATGCGGGTGCTGGACCGCAGCTTCTTCCAGAAAACGGTGCCCGCATCCGCCGCGAGAATCCTCCGCCCGCAGGACATCGCGCGCTGCCGCAAGGAGCTGCAGCTCAGCAGGGACGCGCTGGCCAACAACCGCATCCAGCCCGTGCGGCCGGACCCTGACGCAGAGCGCGCGCAGAAGGGCGGCAAGTGTCTGGTGCTGAAGCCCGAGATTGTGCACGACGGTAAGCGGTGCACCCCCACCCCCTCTCCCCCCGCAACGCTTGGGGTGCTGAGTCTGAATGGCAGGCAGATCGCTCGACATGGAGCCCTAGACTGCGCGAGCTCGAGCAGGACGGCACGCTCGGCGTGATCCCCTACGCGCTGCACCTCGACTACGACTACTTCACCTACGCGGAAATCACGGCGGCCACAATCCCGCCGCCCGAGAAGAAGAGCGACGACGAGATCCCCCAGGGCTTCACCCTCGCCGGCCACGTCGCCCACCTCAACCTGCGCGAGCGCTACTGGCCCTACAAGCACCTGATCGCCACGGTGCTGGCCGACAAGAACCCCATGGTCAAGACGGTCATCAACAAGCTCGACACGGTCGGCGCCGAGAACGCGTTCCGCACGTTCCAGTACGAAGTCCTCGCCGGCGAAGACGACCTCAACGTCGAGGTGCACGAGCAGGGCTGCACCTTCAAGTTTGACTTTGCCAGAGTCTACTGGAACACGCGCCTGCACACGGAGCACGAGCGCGTGTGCTCGCTCTTCGCCGAGGGCGACGCCGTGTGCGACGTGACGGCCGGCGTGGGCCCCTTTGCCGTGCCGGCCGGCAAGAAGAAGGTCTTTGTGTGGGCCAACGACCTGAATCCGGAGAGCTACCGGAGCCTGGAGGGCAACATCCAGCTCAACAAGGTGGGCGACTTTGTACGGGCCTTCAACAGCGACGGCACGCACTTCATCCGCACCGCCTCGCACGGCCTGCTCGGCACCAAGCACTCGGTCGCCGTCATGCCCAAGACCAAGTTCTCGCGCTCCAACCCGCCCAAGACGGCGCCCGCGCCGCTCAAGACGCTCATCCAGCCGCGCATCTTCGACCACTACATCATGAACCTGCCGGCCTCGGGCATAAACTTTGTCTCGTCCTTTATCGGTCTGTACGCCAACGTGCCCGGCGTGCCCGTCGCCGAGATCAGAGAGCTGTTCGCGCACCGCAAGATGCCCATGGTGCACGTGCACTGCTTCAGCACCAAGAGCGACGACAACGTCAAGGAGAAGGAGGAGATCTGCGCCGAGCTGAGCAGCCAGATGGGCTACACCATCACGCCTGACATGGACGAGGTGGATATCTACGATGTGCGCGATGTAGCGCCCAAGAAGAGGATGTTCTGCGCCACCTTTAGGCTGCCGGCGGAGGTTGCGTTCCGGGAGACGTGAGCTCCGAGCTGTGAGTGACGGGCACGACGGTATAGACAAAAGGATGGGGTTCTCGAAAGCACGCTTCTGGATACCCATAGAGACTGATAACGCACCATGATTGACATGGCTCCATCACTGATACGGCGTAACCTTCCTGAGCACCTCCCATGTCATGCTCGTTCATTCGCGCTCGAGCAAGGAGCACCTCACAGATCCATCAGCATCTCGTCCTCACCACCATCGCCGAAGGCATCCCCGGTCCCGACAACCTGCCCAGACACGCCGCGCCCTCCCTCATCGCGGTCCAGATTGACCAACGGCGTAAAGTCCAAGTCGGCCTCGAGCCCATCCGTCTCAGCCACGCTGTTACCAGCTGCAACGCTCCCCTCACCTTCTCCACCCACGCTGCTCACCCCAGTGATGCGACCGACGACGTCTGGGACTGGCGTGTCCGCAACCACAACAGCAACAGCAACAGCAGCACTCTCGGGGGCCGTCTCCGCTTCGTCCTTGCGCAAGTCGAGGAGCCGCTGGATACCTTCATGCAGCGCACCCCTGACCTCCACGTCTCTTCTGTCAAAGACCTCAGCCAGCAGGTCATCGACTACCATCACCCACTGCATGATCCTGCGCTCGTCGATAGCGGTGGCGAAAGCATCGACCGTATCCGTGCTGTCGCCGTCCCAGTCGAGCCTGTTGGCACTCGTGTCGAGTTTGCGAGCTTGCTGGGTGATGGACGAGACGCTTGTCGTGATGGGCAGAGTCAGCTCGCGGATTTCGAAGCCGTGCGGTATGAAATTCAGGGGGAGACTGGAGGACTTGGTGCGTTGGAGATCGCCGTCTGCTGTGCGGCCGCCGCGTGGTCGAGATGCGGATCTGGCTGCGGGTACAGAGGCGTTGCGTAAGGGTCGACTCCTGCAGACTGGACTTGAGCTCGTATCTGAACACGTGTTTTGGAGGTGCTGGAAGAGACCGTCCATCTCTTGAGCCGTACCTGTCGAGCGCTGACAGGAACCAGCAGACCGTGGCCTGTGCGGTAAGCCTGCGATGGGGCTTCCGCGGTTGGCATAGGCTCGAAGCTGATCTCCAATGTGCTGCGACTGCGAGCCTTGCGTCCTAACAAGGGGATTCGTATCAGCGTGCGCACGTCTCGAACCGAAGAAGTCACAAATGTCGGTATTATTCTCTGAAGACAGTCTTGTCTCCATCAGGCATTCTGCTGCGGGTAGCACCAAGGATCTCTGTGAACTGAAAGTGTCGTCGTTCGGAAAGAGGGCTCCCGCCTGCTGTCGAGGTCGCCTCCGTGCGCAAGCAGCCTTGGGAACATTGCGCATGGGCTGGCCGAACCACGTATCGTCCGCCTGTGAAAATGGCGGTACGTACGGCCTGCTCTTGAACTATTGCTGAGATCGAGGCTTACATCGTTTGGGTGCCGAACCTGTGAACGGAGACTCCGAAATGGAGGGGTGAGGCGCTGCCTGCACGAGACCAGGTGACATCCGCTCCTCGAACGAGGGCAAATCACGAGCACGATGTGTCCTCGGGCCAGTGTTGAAAACACGTGTAGATGGGCCCGGAAAAGGCAGCTCTGTAAAGTGTTGTATGCTCTGCTGCAGCTCCTCGTCAAGCCTAATACTATCAATGTTGACTTGTGATGGGGTCCGAGGAGACAGTGGCTCCGTGAGCCTCGACTGTTGTGGCATGGCTGCAGGTACAGATGACTGAGGGTCTGTAGTTGTCTCACGCTGACTCTTTGCGGGGCTCAGTAATTGCCCATTACCGACAGGCTTCCGAGGCTTGATAGGCGCGTTCATGCGGGCGATGGTCAATGGGTTGGAGATGGCCGTATCACGCCGGCCTTCTTCCTCTTCGACTATGTCAGGCACGTGCTCTTGCAGAAACTCAAGGTCTTCCTCATCAATACCGTACATGCTCGACCTCCAGCCCGGGGGTTGGCTAGAGCTGCTGGGCCAGGCACTCCGATGCTCTCGATGGGGTGGTCTTCATGCACGGAAACAGGGGTGGACTGTTGTGGCGACTGCTCCGTGACCTCGGGCTTTTGATCTGGCTTTGAGATTGCCATGTCCTCGGGGTCTTCAGTGGGTTCTGCGCTGTTGATGTTCTCTGGGTAGTAGGAGACGAGCAGTCTGCCCACCGTCGAAAGCACAAATTTCTCATCACCAAAGACAACATCGTCTTTCGCTGGCTCAATATTCGGATCGTAGGTGTTGACCGGGCAGATGATGTTCAGGCAGAAGAACGGGTCCTTCACATTCGTGAGTGTGAGATTAGCCTTGCGCAGCCTGTCTCTGACAGCTGCTGCAATCTTCTTGAGAGTACCTCGAGTGGAAGACACCGGTCTGGAGTCGACTGAGATGAAAGCGCCGTGGTTCGCGATCTTCGACCCAGCCGCAGTGGACTTTGGCATGAACGCGTGCAACTCGAAGCCGTCCAACTGCAGTGCTGTCCAGTCGCACTGCAGAGCGCACTCTTTACCGATGATCTTGAGAGCGGCATCTTCGACGTTGGCGCTGGCTTTCGGTGCATAGACAAAGTCGCATTTGTTGTTCTTTGCCTTCAAAACGTGCAGTATGAACCAAATGGCTGGTCTCGCAAGTGCATATGCCTGCATCAGACGTCGAATCTTCGCGAGGCACTTTGGTGCACCTTTGATGGCTAGGTCCTTCCGTACTCTTGCCGTCTCTAGTAGTTTGGTGACTTTGACTGTTGTTCCGACGGGGTGGGAGTCGCGCACAGTACTTCAGCGTTGTCAGCATCAAATGCCATATACTCCTGAGGCGATGAACTAACGAAGTGAGTTCGCCATTGCGCTGGTAAGTAAGCTTCACGGCTACAGGCTCACCCTCCACACGAGTGGTGATAGACACGGGACCGCTCATGTCGACTACACTCGCAAGAGCTTCACCGCGGAACCCAAGCCACTTGTCTCCTACCTCTTTCAGATCGTGGAAGTCCCTGATCTTACTGGTGTGGTAGCGACGGCAGGCGAGCGCTCTATCCTCATTGGAAATGCTGTGGCCGTCGTCCCTGACCTGAATTGAGTCGATGGTGTTAGCAGTGAGATCAACGAATATGCTCTTCGCGCGTGCATCGAGAGCGTTGTCGATCAGCTCCTTGACGACTAAGCTAGGATCAGTGAGCAATTGGTGAGAACCTATCTGGCGCACTGTCGTTGGTGGGAGCGCAGCAATGCCCTTTAACGCGCTACCTTCTGCGTCGTCTGTCATGTCTAATGCAGCAACTCATGCATGTGAGACTTCATCGGTCTTGTGCAGAGGTGAAGTGTGGTGATTCTGTCGAGCGGAAGGCGCGCTACTTCGTCGTGCCTTCCTCCTGTGCTTGACCAGCAGCCCGAGCGTCCGGGTTGGCCAAACGAGCGGCAACATCGCCATGCGACTATCTCTGTCATTGCGCTTAACACCTAGGATCAACCTCTACCGCTTTTCTGCATATCTCAGATGTGATACATGAGGTTGTAGATACGAGGCGGAAAATCAACCACCTCGAAGTTGGGGATGCTTTCAATTTAGCCAATCAGAGCTATGCCGCACTGTCATCCGCGAACTACGAACTTCTCAACGCTGCCCAATGAGTCGGCTCCATCTCTCCATCCACAACTTCACTGCCAGAGCTTCTACGACAGAATCTGACGCTCTAAACCAACACTCTCAAAATCAGCGATTACGTGTTTGCGCGAGATCAGCGGCCAGCTTCAATAGCGGGCCCCACTTTTGAGTCAGAACGACTACACGTGTGTTCGGTGCTGCAATAATCGTTGTTGTATGTACTACTGTTTCCTACCAAGAGTCTTGCTGACCTTGCGCCCTAGGCTGGTGATTGTGAAAACGAAATGTCCTACACAACTGAGGCTCAACGTTGGCGAGCATTAGCGACTCGTGACCCCAACGCCAATGGACACTTCTTCTACTCAGTCAAGTCAACGCAAATCTACTGCAGGCCGACATGTCCTGCAAGACTAGCGCGACGAGCAAACATCAGCTTCCAGAAGACGATCGCAGAAGCAGAAGCGCTGGGGTTTCGGGCGTGCAAGCGATGTAGACCGAATGTGGAGAACGAGGATCCCCAAGATAAGGCAGTGGCCAAAGCAATGGGCTTTATTGAGGAGGCGGCGAGGAAGGGCGAAGCGAAGAATCTGAAGCTGCATGATCTGGCGAAGAAAGTCAGCCTGACTCCACGATACTTCCACAAAATCTTCAAGGACAAGACCGGCACAACACCTCGCGAGTACACGAACATAGTCGCAGCTCAATACAGTAGCTCGAGCCCAGCTTTTGCGCCCGAAGCAAGCCCGTCACAAGTGGAGAACTTCGACTGGGAGTCATTCGATATCAGCGAAATTGGCACGTACCAATTCTATTCGAACCCAACATTAGGCGACGACTTCATGGCTCAAGCAGCTCAGATCACAGCAGCTGGATTCGGGGAAGCGTCGATGGATGAGGTACCGATACAATCGTGGGAAGCAGTATCACCCGAATCGCACAATTCAGACACCGACTCTACCCCGTCGTTTGAGCAGCTGGCAAGCTTCAGCGGGCTTGACACTTGCCTCGACTTCGGACACTACCAGACCGCGAAGCAAGTACCCATGGACCCGACATTGGACTTCGACCTCAACATGGCGATGCTCCTCCAATACGACCTGGCCAATGTCGACTTCACATTGGATATGGGGCATGACTTCGGCGTGTCGAGCACGCTGGGTCGAACAGACTTCGTGAGCTGACCGTACTTGGGCAGGCGGCTGTGCGCGGTTTACAGTAGATAAGACTGGGTCGGGTTTGGTCTAGTGTAGACAATGAAATGTATTTTGCTGCTCTTGCTATATCTCTGCCACCGTACTGACATTGTCCACGTTCTGTGTTCGACCCAACAGCATTTCCCCTTCGTGACCGTAGCTTCTCCGGTGCGCACGAATTTTTTATGCATAAAGACTGTGCGTGTTCGTACGAGGATTCGCCAAAAATCATGTCGCGGAACTGGGGATTTTCAGTCTGTCGTGATGAGGTCAGCGCGTGCAGCAGGAGTCTGTGTGCAACGTGTGTAGTTGTATTTGCTCTCAGCGACCGATTTATAAGCAACGACGGCGTAACATATGTCGATGCTAGCCATACCTTTTCCGGCTCTTCCTATAGATTGATATGGTCTGATGTATCTCATCTTCTAGCGTGGGAGGGGTGGTGTGCAAGAAAGTGAACATACCATTGGGAGCATGGGGATCGCGCTGATCCTGTGCGTTAGTAAGTGAAGAGTGATCAAGACGCGCAGACGACCATCGCGTGGCGTGAGTCGCGATGGGCACATGAAAGTCGCAACATGTCGTGTTGTCAAGCTGGCGAGGCTTCGTCGAAAAGTTGAACAAGGCCCACGCCAGCGCCAAGGTACTAACTGCATTGAGTGCTAGAGCAAGATGCGGTCAGGAGATTAACACTTCACATTACAATAACTTAATCAAGAGCATCTCTTCCGAAAGGTCCAAGGATTATCACACAATGAGGTCAGCGACATTATGCATTACAACTCAAGCCTATTTCCTCCTCAAGTATATGATCAGAAAGTAGGGTCGTCTTCACTGATCGGCACCAAATCGCCCTTGCCCTAGTATCAATTCCGTTAGCAGATCTCAATGTCGGTGGTGCTTTGGGTTCTCTTACCTTGAACGCCTCTACGATATCCGCCTGCTCGCTCAACATGAACCGACTGGCCTGGTTCCCTATGTCAGCTAGCTTCCTCCACTTCTCCAGATTTTCCTTGTTTCTCTTGTCTCCATGCGCGATCTTAGGCTGCTGCCAGTGGCCTTCCGAAAAGCTGATCAAGGTGGTGATCTTCTTCTGTGGAATATCGTAGACTGCAGACACTACAGTGCCGGTCTCCTCGAGCCAATTGATCTGCCAGAGTTCACCGGGGCGAATGCATTGATATGTTGCACGTTGGTAGTTTATTCTCCCAGCCATAGGCCCGCCATGAATGGCATAGACAACGCGGTCATCAGAGAAGCACCACAGCTCGTAGCGCCACTTCTCTGGGTTGCCGTCCTGGTCTTGTGCGTCGTAGTCGTAGATGAGGTGGGTGTCCTTGATGTCCTTTTCGAACGACGAGTGCAGTGGTGTGTTCGTCAAGAAGTCTGGAAGCTTGTCGCCTGGTGCCATTGTCGCGGGTGAATCTCTCTTGTGGTGATGCTTGCAATATGATCTATTCTCCTCTGCCGCTGGCGGATGTTCAAATACTTCAGCTTCGACCCTAACGCGGCACTACGAGCAAATGACGTAGCACATCACGATATATTGGCGTCGGATGAGGAACATACATTTTCCTGAAAATTTGTTCGGTCTTCCTTTGGTGTTCGGTTGTTCTACTCGGTACATCTCCATCCTCCACACATTGTTCCTGGAGGACACATCAAGCCCCAAACAATGTGCGCGCGTCTGCCCTGCATCGCGCATCTGAACGTGATCTTGCGATCCAGTTTAGTAGCAGAGGTTGCACGACAGAAGCGGTAAGCTGGTTCGGCGCACAGTTCGGCGAGGCACACAGGTACAGTGCACCACTGCGAAACGTGCTGCCTGTTACCAAGCGCTAGGTACGCGAACGGCCTCACCGAATTTCCGTTCCTTTGTTGGGACAGGAGACCACATGCCTGATTGGGCGCTGTACTCGCTGATGGTTCCGGCTTCGAGTGGTTCCGGCTTCGAGTGGTTCCGAAAGAATGACATGGCCCATCAGTGATGATAAGAGGCCCAAGGCAAGGCAGCAACTGTTGCACGAAGACGAATGCAGGGTGGAGGAATGGAGTGCCATCGCTTGCGCGTTGTCAGCTTCGTGGAACTTCGTCGGATTGACTCGCCGACTGATCTGGTTGGTTACTATGCTCTGTCCAATTGCCAGATGAAGATTGTACTCAGTCCAGCGCTTCAGGTCGTCGCAGCCACTTACCTGAGGTGTAAGTCGAGATGAACTTGACCCGCGCCCGTGAGCCGCTTCGCTCGCCAGAGGCCCCACCTGCCGTTAGTGCTCCCGCCGCTTTGGTTCACCTGGATCAACCCGGTGAGGCCCTGCTCCAGACTCGTGCGCAGATGACTTGTTGTTGTCGAATAAGCTCGTCTCATCAATGTCATCTTTCTCCATCGCGAGAGGGGCCGAGAGCACGAGAAAGGCTAAGCTTCATTTTGAGCTAATGTTGCCAGCTGCAGACGCGCCGCGCACCGCTCACCTGCTGTCAGCACCGCCGACACCGCGGAGGCGTCTGTCCCTGCGCGAGCCGCAAAGGATCCCGCAAGATTGCGCAGAACTTATCAATCCATCTTCAAACGGACGCTCTGTGCCCCTAAGCGGACCACAAGAGCCAAGGGAGGAGGAAAGCGGTGCAAACGGCGCTCAGTGGTTGGTGGGTAACGAACCAGCCCATTGGGAGCTGTTCATCGCGGGGCTCAAGCCCAGAAAGAACTGGCATGCGTAAGACCAGTCCCCATGGTCCTGCAGCCTGGGGCCGACCAACCGAGAGGAAGCGCGGAATGTGTGCCCCCAAAAGGGCTGCATGCCGTTTTGTAGCAGGCGGCCACGCTGAGGAACTCACACAGGTCACCGGTAACGCCGCCTTCCAGCGGTCAGAACAATTTCGCATGAGTTCCGCCAAGCAGGAAATGACTGTGTTAACGCTCAGTTCCATTGGCTTGCTGCTGGATCCAGCTAGTTTCGCGAATGGGCCTGGCTTTACCCATGCCACCGCAACTTGACCCCGGCCCGGTCATGCAGCGTCACGCAGGACAGATGCAATAGCTGTCTAGCGTGCCTATCTCATGGGCTTTCCAGCTGTTTATCTAATGACACTACACCTCAGCCTTCCGTCCTTCAGCCTCTTCATGCCTGATCTCATTCCTTCCAGCTTTGATGGTGTTTTGGACCAAGACAGTTCGCAGAAACTCCCACACCAATACCAACACATCAATACTCATCTTCACTTCTTGCTCACAGTCAACACCTTGGATGCATTCAATCTACTATGCGCCCAATACGGGCAGGGGAGAGTCGATGTCCCGTGAACGCTTGGAACTTCTACGCAGCTCAGCTTTCGAATCCGAGCACGCCTGGCAGTACGACACATCGTATATGGAACACGAAGCAGCAGCAGTGGCGCTTGAGCAAGAGATCGAACAGCCGTTAGCAAGTATATCGCCCGATGAGAATTCAGACGAGCAGATCCGGATCATCAAGACGCAAATCACAATCCACAGGGAACGACAAAGGGCTTTGAGGCCACACCTGGAAAGTGGCAGTGGTGACATTGACGGATGGGGAAACGAGTGCACCTTTGTACCAGCGCCGAATCAGTGGGGCGCGAATGGGGATCTTGATGAAGAGAGCGAGACGTTGTCTTCGGTGTGTTGAGACGATCACGTCAGGGGTGCACATGAGCTAACATGTGTACAGGCGCACAAGCTTCTCACCTGGCAGTCATCATCGCCGATATCAGTAACACCTCCCTACTCACCACTGTATGATGAGCTACCGTCTCCAGACATCCCCTACCACTCAATGCTGGATGCATATCAAGCACCGACAACCTTCCACCTTCATCGTACGCGTGAATGGACAGGACTCTCAGGTAGCCGCAACTATGTCTACACAGCGCGTGAGCACTCAGACAAATACGCGATGTACATGCTCGGTGCGATGCACCGTGGCGACAACCAAATCACCTCCGCCGACTTCTTCAGGGTAGCCGAGTACCCCAGAACTTGCATCCACATACTCCTTTCCGGTATCGAAAAGCAGCGTCTGTCCACTTCATCAAAAGATGCCGCATACAAGTCACGGTGCATCCACCTAGACGTCAAAGATGCGTTCTCGCAGTCTGTGAAGGAATATCCAGATCGTCAGCAAAAGATCCCCTGGTCGCCCCGGCGCTTCACATACGGCGGTCGACGTTTCGTGTGGAAGTCTGGAGACTCCAAGGATGACTCCATGCCTGAGACCCTGTGCGAGTTTCGCAAAGATTGGGCGAAGCCAGGGAGCCGCACCGGAAAGCGCTGCGACGATGCGCAAACGATGACGAAACTGGTGTGGGGAGAGAAGAAGAGGAGCGGGAAGGTCGACAGTTACACGATCCATTTTGCTGGCGGAATGGATCAGGTGTTCAGAGAAATCCTTCTTGCTAGCCAGATGGCACGACAGATCTGCTTGTTCACAGCTATGAACTGAGCAGTGAAGACGACGAGGGCAGAGCCGGGCTCATAAGATTTCTCCCGACTGTACGATCCGTAACGATTAGGAAGGATCGACATGATTTTATGACCGATATATTTCAAGGCGTTTGGTAATCTCACAGGAGGCGGAAAGATACCCATACCACATACATTATCTGGCACTGCTTCGCATAATGGCTAGAATACCAATCGACAGGTTGATACCATACTCTTCGTCCTGGCAAATCTGCTCGTCTTGGCTTACTGAAACTAGCGCTTGAAAGATATCTAATCTCAATCTCGGATCGCCTTGGTGAGGACTGGACGGATCGAAGCATTTGGCATGCTTAGTGAGCCCTATCACCGGTGACGTAATATCGTATGCCCACCAGACGCACCACGTGCACCTTGCTGCAACCTCATCGTCAGCCTTACGCGTTCTGCAGGGCCATATCCAACATTGTGAGTTGTGCTTACTTTTGCATTTGCAACGGTCAACCACTCGTGTCGCTGTCATTCTGCCCCTTCTGGACTAATTTCTCACTCAGCTTTCCGCATTGCAGCCCTAGCCCAACGCCCGACAGCTTGTTACTGTACCTCCAACCACGAGCCACAACCGCCATTCACCGCTTCTGTCAGGGCTACCGTCTCTCTATCGAGTCAGGGAGCCACAATAGACGGTCACGCGTATTGCACCTTCCTAATCGTGGAGGTACACGCATGCAGAGGCTCCTTGTAGAAGACCAGCTGACGGACATGCCATCGAACACCTGCAGCCATGACTTCCACCAAAAACGACAAACTTCGAGAGGTCACGACATGAATTTTGCGCAGCTCTGCTCTCCCCTCCTCCGCTATCGGAGCTCCTAGAGAAATACTTCTCCTCCAGCAACCCCAAAATCACTGAGCATGGTCCAGAGTGGGCACGCAAACGCCTACCATTTCTCGCAAAGACCTTCTCAGGCAAGGATAGCTGTGAGGGGTACTTTAAGCTGATGGGTGGCACCCTCGAGATGTCTTTAGACAAGGATGCCTTTCCAGATGCTAAAGGATTCATTGTGGATGCCGATGCCAACGCCGTGACTGTGGTAGGCAACGGTCACTTTTCCAGCAGGAAGACAGGCAAGGGTTGGGATGAGCATTTCATTCACAAGTTCAGCGAGTTCGACGAGCATGGCAAGATTGGGCACAGGGAGATTTGGGCGGATCAATTGAGCGCTTTGGTTGCTGTTGGCGAGTGAACGCTATGTGTGTAACTTGGCAAGACGGCGTACCATACAAACGAGCATTGCAGTGACTGTTGCCTCCTGGCGATGTCCGGCCGTCATGTTTCCTCGACGGTGTGCTGGGCGCTCACCTCGACCCCGCACCGTCATCACAGAAGTACGGCTGCACCGAGGCTAATAACCGGTCGACTTGAGCAAAATCAATGACATGTAGTGTAGCAATCGCAATCCCTCTTCTGCACTGTATCAAAGTATTCGCGAGAAAGAGGAAGGATACAGGCATGTCTTCGAAGCAATCAGGACGGCATGATCTCGACGACGCCAAATTGGGCGAATACCTCCAACAGCACATTCCGGAGTTCAAGCTTCCTATCAAATCAACAAAGATTGGATATGGCCAGAGTAATCCAACTTACTTTGTAGACGATGCCAACAAGACTCGATACATCCTGAGAAAGAAGCCATCCGGAACGATCATATCTCCAGTTGCTCATCGGGTCGACCGAGAGTATAAGGTGCTCAAAGCACTTGGCAAAGTTGAAGGCTTCCCTGTACCAAAAGTATACTGTCTTTGCATGGACTCGACAGTGATTGGGACAGCATTTTATGTACACAGCTATCCATTGAACAGTCACAATGAAGTTACATACTAACACTTACGAGGTAATGGAGTTCGTTAAAGGCCGCATCATCACCGACCCCAATCTCTCAACCCTACCCCCCACTCAAAGACGGTCAGCTTGGTTCTCCCTAATCTCAACACTTGCGTGGCTACACTCCATTGACCCCGACTCAATCGGGCTGTCCAACTTCGGCAAGAAAAAAGACTTCTATACACGCCACTGTAACACCTTCTCGCGCATCGAAGCGCAGCAAGCCAAAGTCAAAGACATAAAAACCGGCGCCGAGCTCGGCCGTGCACATCCAAACTTCGACGAGATCGTTGACTATATCCGCAAAAACGTGCCTTCGGGTCGCACAAGCATCGTCCACGGCGACTACAAGTTCGACAATGTGATCTTGCATCCCACGGAGCCGAGGGTCATTGCTCTTCTGGACTGGGAGCTGAGTACGCTGGGAAACCCGATGATGGATGTGTGCTATGCGTGTGGTCCGTACTGGAATCGCGCGCGGAAGGGCGGCGCGTTGAGAGATGATCAGGGCGGTGAGGTGTATTTGCCGGAGAATCAGAGGAGGAATGGGATGCCGAGTATGGAGGAGCTGGTCTATGAGTATGCGAAGATTACTGGATGGGATCCGAGGCAGGACCAGTGGGAGGTTGCGAAGGTGTTCCATTTGATGAAGGTGAGTTCAGAATTAGGCGGTCTGAGACCTTGTGCTAACGAGAGATACAGGGAAGCACGATCAGTCATGGAATCCAGGCAAGGACGATGAGTGGGCAGGCGAGCAGTGAATTCTCACACATCTACTTTGAGAACACGAAGAGAGGGTTGGACACGGCACTTGCACTGGTTAGGTCATTGAAGGAGAGAGAGACTTCGAAGAGCAGCTTGTGATAATGCCGACGAGTGGCGACTTCGGTTGTAAATAAGTGTGAAATAGAACAATAGGGTGTTTCAATCTTATACAAAGGAAAATTCCATCATACGCATATCACAGCTGGCTTCAGCTTGACCCTTATCACCACCATCTAGTTCTTGTAGCTAGGCGGCGCAGTCTCTAAGCCCGCCTGCCTCTCAGCCTTCCGTGTGCGCCTCCTCTCGCGACGCTCCAACTCCTTAGCCACAGCCTCAGCTAGCTTCTTCCTCTCCTCACGCTCCCTCTCCTTGACGATCTGCTCCCTGGCCTTTCCAGACCAGACAGCGCGGAACTCCTTGCGGAACTTCTGCTTGAAGGTGAGGGCCCGGTCGTTCTCCTCCTCGGCCTTCTTGGTGGCGTATTCCTCCTCATCGTCGGTGTCGAGGAAGTCGTCTTCGTCGTCGATCAGAGGGTCAGATGACTCGGCATTAACCACCTTAAGGTTGCGCTCCTTATCCCATTTCTTGGTGCGCGAGTATGCGATGCAGCCCGTTGTGAAGAGGACTACGCCGAGCGGGAAGGTCACGAAGACGCCCATAACGATGGCGATGGCGAGAATCTCTTCGTCCATTGTGGCAGTCGTGTGTATATTGGTTTGTTGTCGATAAATGCAGACGTGCGTCGTTTTTAGAGTACGTTATGGAGGGTCCCCGGTGTTGAGTGCTTGTTACCTGAAATAGGGGGAGGTGTCGCCACCGCGGTATACTGCGGATTGGCACATTCCGCGTTACGTCATCAGCGGCGCTGTCACACGCTTTGACCTTCACGGACCTTCTAAAATACCAACACCGACTTGAGGCCACACCTGTCCTTCGCAGGACTCGGAGCGAAATTCGTAGACTGATACATTCATAGCATCTCCGGCCGTCCGAGCATTGAAGATTGCCATTGGGGCAACTCTCGCACCCACAATTGCTCTTCCTGATCCGTACTCCGAGTACTACTTTGGTACATCTCCGACAAGAGAACCCATGGTACTTCTCTAACAGCGCGTTGCGGGATGAGCGCTTCCAGTGGAGCTGTCGACCTGGAGCGGGCTGTGCTGCGGAGGTAAGTGGATCATGTTTGGTCGTCTCTGTCGGCTCTCAGAATCGTTCTCAGACAACCGAGACTGCTTGGCTGTAGGTTCCCACACAGTCAAGGCTTCTTGTATATCGGCAGCAAACATCAGCTGTATCGGGCAGGGATCCGGGATCCTTCGCCCCATTTGCTTCGAAACGTTTCGCTCACGCTGCCCAGAGCCCGCCGTTCTTTACTAAGGCTACCAAGTGATTGCTTGTGGCACTGCGAGCGTTGTTTTGTCGTCGGAAGGTAGTCTCATTCCTGCAGAGATTGTGTCAAACAGGCCGCATAGCTGGGAAGGGCAACAACCGCGATAGTGCATTGAAAATTGGATCTATGATTGATCGACCACCTAGACACGTATAGCGTCTCATCAACCTATATGCAGAATTCAAAGCTCCATGGTATATGTGCCCTTTCCTTTTTATACGCCAGCGCTATGCAAAAATCAGGTATGTGTGGAAAGAAAGTGGTTAGATTACAGTGCGGCCGACGAGGGTAGCTTGAGAGCCTCTATGTCTAGGTACACGTGAGAAGCGCTGAGCCTGCAGACGACTTGTGAGAAAACGAGAAACAGATGGTGACAAGAGCGTAGGGGTATAAAATGAGTGTCTGTTGCCGTTGCAGCGCGACGCTTGTATGCTTGCTGAATGAGCGAATTAAAAAAAAAGGAAACCGGTGATCAGTGACTCAGTAACATGGAGACGATCTGCCGTGCACACACTTGACTTGCAAACTTTGGTGGTGTACTTCGTTGATGTGGCCCCGCATTGATCTAATGATCTGCGACGTCCTCGTCCCTCATGGGGTAGAGGATGTCACCGACAATGACGGACCTTACATGGTTGAATAGCACAAAGAACCACATTGCAATGATGGCAATGGAGAGACCATTGCCGACAAACAGAATTGTTTCGTCTTGCAGGGCGTTACCAATGGAGATGGTGGCAATGGCAAACCCGGTGTTGGGGAAAACCATGGCCCACCAACCTAAGTGGAAGTAGACAGCCCAGGAGCTGATAACCTAGAACAGAATTAGATATCTACCGACAAGAGTTGTCTGTAGAGACTTACAGCAACAAGAGCAATCATAAAGAACCACATAGCCAGTACCCAGAGGAATAGAGCAGCAACGATAGCCAAAGTGCGAATGAGCTTGCCATCCATAAGTCCATCGCCCTGAAGGTCGAAGTCTGGGGGCAGCGCATTTGCCATTCCGATGAGTGCTAAGCAGGTGAAAGAGGGAGGTCCAACTCCGATGAACATAGCTCCACGGTGCTCGCGGTCGGGATATCCGACCTGCATGAGTCGTCCAATGTAGTGAGCGTACATGAGAATGGCAACAGTGAAGCCGAGACCCTGACATCCAAGACCTGCTACAATGATGGGCATTCTGGCGCTTAGTGGCTGGTTGGATGCGATGACGGAAGCGATAGTTCCTGAAAGCATGATGGGGAAGATTGGCAGCAGCCATGAAGGCATAAAACTGTTCAACTTGTATGTGTGCGCGCCGAAGAGGAAGGAGTATTGGAAGACAGCCAAGCTGAAGGCAAAGAAGGTGTAAAGCCAGAACGCGACCGACATAGTGGTAACCGCCCAGGCGCGGTTGGGATGATCCATCTCATAAGCTTGGATGACGTACTTTTCCGTTCCCGTAATCATGGTGGCTATAGAGAGGAAGAAAGGCCCCAGGAAAAGCGCCTCGCGCTCGTGCGTGATAGAGCCTTTGAAAGCACCAGGGAACTTGGTAAAACGTAGAATCATAGTGCCAGTGATGACAGTGAAGAAGATGATGTTCATGACGTAGAAGATGGCGCCGATGGTAATCAGTCCAGGGAAAGCGTGGGGCTGAACGGAGATTAGTGTGGCAACACCACCCGTGGCCATGGTCAGGGTGTACCAAGCCCAGGTGAAATGGCGAAGACGGTCGCCGAATGTCATATATGGCTGGTTCGGGTCCCGCCTGTGTGGTAGCTTCGAGTTGTGATCCCAGCCGCTTCCGTGACCATGATCATCATGCTTCTGCTTCTCGAGGTCGATTGAGGCTGGAGGCATTGGCATGGCGGGTGGAGGCGGAGGTGGGTCATTGAATGGGTTCTCCGGCTCTTTGCCCTTAGAATCGATTGGATAACCATTGCCGTCTACGGGTCCTGTGAAGTAGGTTTCTCCTCCAGCAGGGTATGGGTCTATAGGTGTCTGAACCCAGGTGTTCGTCCTGGTGGTCTGTTGAGACTGAGGAGGGTACTGGTTCTGCTGTTGTGTGTTTGTGGGTTGCTGAACATTCATAGGAAAGCCGCCATTGTCGTGTTGAGGATTTTGACCGTTGTTCATGTTGTCAGGCTGGTATGCTTGGGGCGCGTACTGAGTTTGTTGGGGTCGAGAGACTGGTCGAACTGAAGTAGGGAGACCATTCTGCACAGGGTAGAGACCCGGGCGTGGGTCGGACTGAGGGCGGGAGTAGCTTGGTCCATTGTTGTCAAAGCTAGGATTGAAGTTGTTGTTGTCCTTGCTGTCGAAGGTCAATCCCTCAGGCTGGAATCGAGAATCCATCTTTGATTTTCAAGAGAGGTGGCCTGCACCGTGGGAACTAACGAACGGAGACGCCTGTATATAACTGCAAAGTCAATGACATGTAGAATAGTATGCAACAAATTAATTCAGCGCCGGGCCGTTAGGAAAGGAGATGGACGCAAGGGGCAGGCGGCGAAGTAATAACGAGTAGATAGCAAGATCAGCATGGGGGTGTGAGCGTTCCTCAAATTGATGTCGTTTCGGACCATGTACCACGATTGGCACTAGACATTTCTAGCGGTTAGCAGAGTGACTCCGAGCAGCGACGTAGGGGTGGACTGGGACCTTGACAAGCTTGGCTGAAGTGATGTGATGCGTACTTGCTCCTGGTATCCACATCAAAGCGCCAAATAAGCTCTGTGACACAGCCAACGCACATGCACTCTTGCTAGCAACCTGAAGTTGTCTTCGCCTCATCCCAGTCCATAAACGGAAACACATGCCTTGGCAGCGTCCGCTCCGCCAAGATGGATCTCATGAGTGCTGTGATAAGAGTGCAGCTGAGCGCGCGGGATCTGCAACACTCGTCCTTGCTTATGCAGAGGACAAAAATATCGTGGTCGAGTTCGACCATACTGCAACTTTACCACAAATGCATTTCACCGAGGTCGGCTCCGCGTGCGCTCCGTTGTGATGCAGTGTGCACTCTAGGTTCATGTAGAGCTCACCTGTAAAGCTGGAGATAGGGTCAAAGAGGAAGGTGTTGCCCACAATGAAAGCGGGATGTCGCCGCGGAACAGGGAGAGTCCCTTTTGCGTTACAACCCCGTTCTGGCTGGACCGGGCGGTCTCTGATTTGGATCACCATAGGATGGTGAAGACCGGTATTCCCGGAGTTCCAAATGTAGACCGGGGTGACGCTACGTCGCGAGTATGGCTGCGGGCAATTGATTGCGGCTGAAAGAGCGGATTGGTGTCCGTCGAAAGGGTGCGTGTGAAACGGGCGACGAAACGTCAAAAGCGGATCCAATCGTGTCGGAGTTGATGCCAAGTAGGTATGGTATCACCAAAACACATCCAAGCACGCGGCCCCACCCATCTGGCGACGTGGAAGCCACAGCCGCACACTAAGAAAGCTTGTCACTCTGATAAGATCGCGTAGCTGCTTTGCGAGTGCAACAGATCTCGTCCAAGACAACCGTGTGCGATAGAGATGCTGTCTCAGCGACGCCCTGAGGCCCACTCTGACGTTTGACTCTCCTTCAGCCAAGCCCGAGCCTTAGGCAAAAAGCCTATCTTGACCTCGACGAAATCGTTTCTACCGAACGTGCGTTACAGAACGCGCTGCTGTCTGAGGTAGTCATGATGGAAGGTGAGGTGTTGCGATGCAGTAAAAATCCACGCGGCGGAGGTTCAGCGACAACATCGCTGATGACAGAAGCGCTGACCGTTACGCGTCGGTGTTCAGAGGTTGCGACTTGTTGCCCAACTTACACGGAGCCCCCTATCGCGACGAGACGGCGACTTCTGGGCGTTGGCGGTGCACTCTACAATCGGACCGCGACTTCAATTGCGCCTAAAGACCGACGCATGTGAAGGGTTCCACTGTTTGACGTAGATGCGAGTGCATGCTCGTCGCATTGCCCAATGGCCAAGAGAAGAAAAGTATTGGAAGATGAGGCTCAGCGGGAGGTCATGGAAGGAGGATCAGCGCAAGGTGACGAGGACGTGGCTGCACGCGCACCTTCCCTTTCACAGCGGGTCCGCCAGAACAACAACCCTAACTAACCCAATCCTCAACTTTCGCATCCCGTGCATGGGAGGGTGGACATGATCCTCGTATCTGCTGATGAATTTTGCTGCAACCATGATGGAAGATTGCTGTAAGTTGGCTGTTCTTCCTGGTCTCGAAGATACGCCATTGATGACAACATTGCGCAACCAACGGGCATCTGCAACGCCGAATCCATACCCATTGAAGGGACTACAAATCCAATTCAAAACTCAGGTACGACACGAAATCAACATATCTGCATTATTCGATGCGAGACATGTGCAGGGCAAGTTGTGCCTGTCAACGCCGGCGCGTGCCGCTCTTGGCTGTGGATCCATTCAGGAGCAGCAGATTGACCTTCGTTCAAGAGCCATGCTCGTCAGGCATCTATTCGATATACGCTTTGACAGGAGAAGCCAAGAACCTGGCTTGCATAGGGTGTGCCGAGTCACGTCACAGATACATGTTAACTTTCCACAATAATGTTCCGAGCTTCACATGGGTACCCGTGATTGGGTATAGACAAAGGAGGCGAAATGTTCATGCTGCCCGATGAGAACGTATTTCAGAGCACATTTCTCGAAAATTGCTCCCGTGCGTTGAGTGCTTTGACGCTCTACCGGAAGACACGGGCTTAGCTGGTAAGTACCACTGCTGATTCTTGTACAGCAACTCTACATCACACTCTTTTCTCACCCATTACCTCTTTCTCTGATATTTCCGGTTGCACAGATATACCCGTGATACCAAAAGCAGACGAGTCCTCTTCGAGTGGAGCAACTCCAATTCGTCGAGCCTCTGCTGCTGTGAATGTCCCATACACGTCGACCGAGTCCATCTGATCCATATCGGGTACCGGAAAGATAAGATTGAGTCCGTAGAAGACCACAGCGCTGATGAAGAAGCCTGGTAGCAACATTAGCATCGAAAGGGCATCACAATCAGGGCATAACCTACCCACTAGGAAGGCCATGTAGTACAGCTGTACCAAAGCCTTCGGTGCTGACGTGTCTCCCCGAACGGTAACTACCAGTCCCCCAATAGTCGGCGCCCATCCGCATGCCCATGCTGGTACTGCTCGCCAGTTGAACCCCTTCCAAAAGTAGTAGATGGAGCCATCGGTTTTATACAAGTGAGTAAGCCGGATCCTCCTCTTTCGCAGCAAATAATAGTCTGTAGCCATGATGCCGATAATCGGGGCTAAGAACACGGAAAACGACGATAGCACAGCGATGAATGTGGTCGCGCGGTTGATTAGCTGCCATGGCTGTACGATCCATGCGGCAACGAACGTAATGATAGCACCACGACGTATGTCGATGTATCGAGGGAACAAGCCGGCCAGATCAATACCTCCGGCGATGGCGTTTCCGCATATGTTCTCGAACATCGCCGTGAAAGCGAAACCCGCGGCCAGAAAGAAGACGCCAGCACGAGCCTTAGAGCTGCCGTTTCCGTTGTCCATCATGACCATGAGGAGATCCGGAGGATTCCAGTACACCTCACCATAGATCTTCTGGGCTGCTGAAGCGGTGACGAGACCTACAAAAGAGACTAATATACCAGCGATGAAACAGCTTGTAATGGTGCTGTAGACATAGTGCCTACGCGCGCTGGCATAGCGGGAGAAGTCAGAGCCATTCGTTATGCCAGCCGCCAGTCCGCCGATACCTTGATTTATCCCAGCCATGATGAGCCACGAGGAGTTCCATCGGGAGCCAGCAGGGATGGCTTGGCCAGCGCTCCATAACGGACCTACACCTCTCGCGACTGCAAGAGCCCAGATCATCCAGGCCAGCATGCCGACACCACACCATGTACACACAATCTGGAACGGGATCTTGAACTTCTCAGGACGGAGCCACAGGAATGGAGTCGATAGAAACCAGAAGACCACAAACCCCACGAACTGGTCAGTCGTGGTGGGCATGCTCGGACCGAACGTGTTTGGCATACGCGCAAAGGAGGGCCATATAGCTGTCAAGCAGACTGCAATGAGCCGTCCTCCATTCCAACCTGTCCCGTGTCAATGGAATCCCGGCTTACAGCACAGTAAGGACTAACATTGCACAGCGTTCCAGATAAAATTGAGCAAAATCCTTTGCATCAAAGGGATGAAGCTCCCTCTCAGGCCCCAAGAATACCGATTTTGTACTGTAAATCCGATATGCCACTTCAAGCCGATCCATGCGATCAAGACTGAGAACAAGACAATGAGTAGTCTACTAACGATTATGATGAGCATAGCCTGTGGAACGGACAAGCCCAGCGCTGCAGCTGTCAGTCCGTGTCTCGCGGCTATCGTATTTCTTGCGTACTCAGGTAAGTGCTTGGAGTCTGCCAATTCGCAACATTCAGACTGGCTATCGACCAGAACCCGAAGAAGTTAAACCAGCCCCTTTCACAATATTAGACAAAAGCTGAGCATGAAAAGGAGGTTTTGAGGCACCAAGTTCGTCGTTCCGGCGGCAAGGGAATCAGATCGCGGTTGCTCCAAGCATCAGTCTGCTCATGTCGGCTGTCATCGCCCTTTAGTCGTATACGGTAGTCGAGTGAGACTAGTCTCCGCTTCAAATTCATAGTGAGATGCTGTCAGAGTCAGACTGCCAAAGCTGCTGGGAGACAGTGACAGTTGTAAAGAAAAGAATCGTATGCTTTGTGCCGGATCCGAGCGAATCTCCACACTAGGCTGGGCTCCATGTCGAGATGTTCGGCATTAGTTCTCAATCGCGGAAGCCGCAACAGTAGGATCATAAGCGCACGATGATAGGAAGCTCTAGATGAGGGGTACACCGAATTAGCACCTCAGCAGACAGACGGGTGGCGCCATGATCGACAGAACAAATGAAAAGCCTCGCTGCAAGTGCAATAGTCACCTATCGACTAATCTTCATGAATGGATAAACTGATACCGTTGACCGATGGACGACGAGAGAGGTGTGCAGCAAGCAAGGCAGGCGCGGGAGACGGCTCCCGGACTTCGGCACGCCCCACCAAAGCATTTGATCGAGGGGTTCCTAAGCCTCTCACACCCCTCGCCTTGCTATTGGGTCCTCCCCCTACACACACACCGCTGCTCAAAGATTCGCGACCATGAGTGCTTCTAGGAGCTTGCGCATTGGCGTCGACGTTGGGGGGTAAGGCGCCTGCCCATGGTACTCTGAACCAAAGCCTCGCAGTCTGACATAATATCGCAGTACCAACACCGACGGCGTTATAATAGACCCCACAAGGTCAAGAGAGTCCGACAAAGGCATTGTAGCATGGTGAGTCACTGGTCTGGTGTCATGATACTGACAGGTGACAATGACCTTCAGCCTTCCCACGTGACATCGATCTTGTGCATTCACAATTTCCTGATCAAAACTTACGTCTTAACAGGCACAAGGCTCCTACAACCGCGGACCCTAGTCATGGCATTGCTGATGCGATCACTACTATGTTCAAGTCTGCTTCCGTGGATCCTAGCTCCGTAGCCAGCGTCACGATTGGTACCACGCATTTCGTGAATGCAGTCATCACACGCGACACTACTCGACTGTCGCCAGTTGCTGTAATCCGTCTCTCTGGACCCTTCAGTAAGCATGCGCCGCCCGGCGTTGACTGGCCCGCTGCCCTGAGGAAGATAATACTCGCACACTATGCCTTGGTCAAAGGCGGCCTTGAGATAGATGGCAGTCTCATTTCTGATATCAAAGAGCAGGAGATTGTGAACCAGTGTAAAATCATCAAAGAAAAAGGCATCAAGAGCATTGTGATCAATGGAGTTTTCAGTCCCATCGACACCATCGAGAGACAGGAGGAACGAGCAGCAGAGATCGTCAAGCGAGAACTTGGAGAAAACGTGGACGTTGTGCTTAGCAAAACCGTCGCAAATCTGGGTTTCCTGGAGCGTGAGAACGCTGCAATCCTCAATGCATCAATCCTATCCTTTGCGCGCAAGACCATCACATCTTTTCAGTCTCCGATCAAGAAGCTCGGTTTGAATTGTCCAGTATTCATAACGCAGAACGACGGTACCATCCTCAGCGGCGAAGCAGCAAGCCGCCTCCCTATCCGGACGTTCTCGTCAGGTCCCACGAACAGCATGCGCGGAGCTGCGTTCCTGGTAGGAAAGCAAGAAGATGGTCAAGCAATGATGGTGGTCGATGTAGGCGGTACAACCACAGATGTTGGTCTGTTACTTGCCAATGGTTTCCCACGCCAACAAGCGGCATACTCGGAGCTCTCTGGTGTCAGGATGAACTTCTCGTACCCTGATGTGAAGAGCATAGGTCTCGGAGGCGGTAGCCTAGTCAGGAGGGTTGGCGACAAGCTCCAGGTCGGGCCTGAGTCTGTCGGCTATCGATTGCAAGAGAAGGCGCTCATCTTCGGCGGAGATGTGCCCACCGCTACTGACTACACCGTTGCGGGCTTACTCGAAGTCAACGTCGGCGACCCTGAGAAGGTACGAGGAATATTGGACGATAAGGATATTGCGGAGTTCAAGAACGAGACAAAGGCTATGCTGGAGCGCATTGTGGACACTATGAAGACTTCGCCTGAAGATCTTCCTGTACTACTTGTTGGAGGTGGCGCCGTTATAGCACCTGATACTCTGAAAGGCGCAAGTCGGGTTATCAAGCCGCAATGGTCGGGTGTTGCAAATGCAATTGGCGCTGCTATGGCTCGAGTGAGCGCTGTTGTGGACACTGTCAAGTCGACGGAGAAGCAGTCCGAAAAGGAGCTGCTCGTCGAAATCTCTGAAGAGACCAAGAAGCGCACTGTTGACGCCGGTGCTTTGGCTGATTCAGTCGCAATTGTCGAGATTGAGGCGCTGCCCCTGCAATACGTCGCAAATAAAACACGTTTCATCGTCCGCGCTGCCGGCGACTTCGACTTCTCCCGAGCACGGGACTTCGCAGACCTCGATGTCACGAAAATTGGAGAGGTTGTAGCAATAGAGCTGGACAATGCACAGGATAGAATAACGCCAGCGTCCATCGAAGACACCGCTGCCGAAGATGACGCAGCCCCACAGATCGACATTGTAGGCTACAGGCCGAAGGTTGTCAACCGCGAGTGGTGGATCTCGGAAACCGACCTTGACTGGATCACCATAGGGTGCTATATCTTGGGTACTGGAGGCGGCGGCTCGCCGTATTCAACAATGTTGAGGGTGCGCGAAATCCTGCGGGCAGGTGGTACTGTGCGAGTCGTCAGTCCAGACGACCTCAAAGATGAAGACCTGATCGGCAGCGGTGGAGCTGCTGGGAGCCCAACTGTGGGCATCGAAAAGCTACCCGCTGATGAGATAATGGATGCTCAAAACAGTCTCTACGAGCTCTTCAAGGGCGGTCGCGCAACGCATGTGATCCCGATAGAGATCGGAGGCTCCAATGGTCTTCAAGGTCTTGTCATAGGTGCATCGTCGAACATGAACGTGCCATGTGTCGATGGCGACTGGATGGGCCGTGCCTACCCAACAAAGTGGCAGACCACACCTGTCGTGTTCGGAGAGCGCGAGATTGTGTTCGCCCCGGTAGCTGTTGCTGACGGCAACGGCAACACGCTTTACATGCCTACGGCAGCAAGTGACTTCAAGGTCGAACAAGTGATCAGATCAGCTCTAAGTCAGATGGGCAGTGCTGTTGGTACAGCTGACGCCCCAGTCACAGGCGAAGAGACGAGACGTTGGGCAGTCGAGCACACGATTTCGCTATCATGGCGCATTGGTCGGGAGGTCGCACGGGCTAGAAAAGAGAACAGAATCGATAATGTCGCCGAGTCCATTATTGACGCTGTCGGAGGACCGGAAACCGGGCGTGTGCTTTTCAAAGGCAAGATCGTTGGCGTGGAACGGAAACTCTGGAACGGCCACGTCTATGGCGAAGTAATTATCGAGGGCACCGACGCGCAGTGTTCTGACAAGGTCAAGATCCCTTTCAAGAACGAGAACATAGCCGCCATCCGTATGCACGATGGAGAGGAGTGCAAGACTGGTGAGGAGTGCAACGAGGACGTGCTTGCAATCGTACCGGATCTGATTGCAGTCATCGATGCACACAATGGCGAGGCCATCGGTACGCCTGAGTACAGATATGGCTTGCTAGTGCTGGTCATTGGTATTACTGCCAGTGAGCGCTGGACCAGTCCGAAGGGTATTGAAATCGGTGGCCCCAATTCCTTCGGTCTGAACCACCTCACGTACAAGCCCTTGGGCAAATTCGTGAAGCCGGTCAGCGTGATCGACGAGTATGACGGGAGACTATGAACTGTAAGTCGCAGCCAGAGGGCCACACTAATCGCGGCACGTAGATCTTTCAAAGGTAGTTGATATAATTAGGTTATGCTGCCTCAGTATCTTATGTGTGCGTCACACCTGTGTAAAGTGGATGGACGATTTTGACCGCTGCCTCGTAACTCGTGAAGAGGATACCGCCGCTGAAGACCGTTCGCCCTAGTCGCATAGTCGTCCCTTTCCAGAATCCTTTGACGCCGTAGTCAAGCAGAACACTCTTGACAGCTTCAAGAGTACTTGTTCCCCGCGCGCTCTGTGACCTAGTCTTGATTACATCGAATGGCTGTGTTGCGAGCGTCGTGACAACACCAGCGACAGATCCGTTGGCAAAGTTGACGGCGGTATTCTGTGCGATATTTTTCTTCTTCTCGTAGTCTTTTAGAGTGTTGTAGGTGCCCATACGAAATGCCGTTGCAGATGCCTGTTTGAGAGTCGTGCCTGCGAGACCCCGATACAGTCCAAGGATTCCATGCTCTTTCCAGATAACACGTGTCGCGTGAAGGCCAGAACTGAATCTCTTCTCGTTACGCGCATCATCAATCAGAGCTGTCTTGATACGCTCAGTCGGTGTGACTGCGGTGATTGATGCAACAACACCAGCTGTCATTCCAGCCAGCAGATTGCGCCCAGGTGATAATGTTCCGGTTGTCGGGTCCGCAAAAGACTCCTTGATTTGATCGAAGAACAAAAATCGCACTGCATCTTTTCCGACAGAGCCGAATACAAGGGCTCCACAACCCTTGTACAACGCTCTTAGTCCTTCATCCTGGTAAATTCGCGTAATGACCAAAAATGGGTTGCGCGGAGTCGGCTGTCCATTTTCAACTCTCAGTTGTACTCTTGTCTTTGCAAATTCTAATGGGTACTACGAGAAAGGTCAAAACACGTCAACTCGGCGACATTATTGCTCGGCGTACTGATAGAAAACCCTCTACACCACCTGCAATACCGCCCGAAATCAGCGATACCACGGCAGGCGTATTCTTGTCCTGTGGCATGTCAGCACGACTCAAAATCGGCTGAAGTAGTACCTACACCATCTGCGACCATTGCTCCTCAAAAAATTAGTAGGTTAGATGATGTTTGGACGAGAGTCGGGATTGGCGAAAAGATGCAGGTACGTAACCGAGGCCATAGCCGTTCCGGCGGCTAGCAAACCGACGGCAGCGCCATGGCCACAGCACGTCACCTTGGAACCTTTGTTCTTACACGTCTCCAGAGTTCACTTCTTCCAAATTCCCGCGCGACACCGTATATGATAACGGACTGGGAACAAAAGTCGGAACCGTGACATGACGTCAGAGCCTTCCCCTTCCACAGGACTTTCATCTTCTCTCCTCTCTCAAGCAACGACACCGCATGAATCTCGGACGTGCCAGAACGGACCCTTAATGATAAAGCCATTTCTTGCGGGCTCCGCAACTCATGCGTTCTGTCGCGTAGTTGAAGGCCCATTTTCAAAACCTTAAAGCCTTGCAGCTTATCACCGTTAACACCACAGAGCGCGGTTCCCGACACGTGCGAACACGCGACGCTATCCTCCAGAGATGCAAGCAGCGCTAGCTTCTGCGGATTTACCGCAGCTGAGATCTCTGTGGCCGAGAGTTGCGTCAACGAGCTTCGAAAGACATACGAATGGAGGCTAGACTGTAGCACTTGCTGCGCACCTAACAGGCCTTCCGTGGACGACCAAATTGTCCTGCACCATGAAAGGTATTGTATAAAGAAGGCTGTTCGCGCTTGCTTTGCGATCCAGTTCAATTCAATTCAGTCCAATCAACAATTATCACACCATCAACACAACTTCAAGGAGATTTTCAATAGTCTAACTTGCACTCATTGCCTAAGAAACAAATAAGAACATCCCATCACAACGCTGCAATGGGTTTCATCTACTCACAGCTCTTCGCATCCCTCCCATCCCCCATTTACGACTACAAAGGCAAGACCGTCATTGTCACAGGCTCCAATGTCGGCCTAGGCAAGGAAGCAGCACGCCACTTCACCCGCCTTGGCGCATCCACAGTCATCCTCGCAGTGCGCTCGATAGAGAAAGGCGAAGCAGCGAAGCGCGATATTGAGTCCAGCACACGGACACAAGGCGTCGTCAAAGTATGGCATCTCGACATGTCCTCTTACCAAAGCGTGCTTGACTTTTCAGCCAAAGCATCGAAAGAGCTCGACCGGATCGATGTCGCACTCCTGAACGCCGGAGTGGCACGCGGAGAATGGGAACTAGCCGAAGGCGAAGAATCAACCATCACCGTCAACGTAACCTCCACCTTCCTGCTCGCCCTCTCGCTGCTTCCCACGCTCAAGCAGACCGCGGTAAAGTTCAACGTTCGCCCTAATCTTACCATCACGGCCTCAGAAGTCCACGCCTGGGCCGCTTTCGAAGAGCGCAAAGCACCCGATGGCAAGATCTTCACCACTCTCAGCACGAAGCCGGAGAACATGTCCGGCACAATGGAAGAGCGCTATCAGGTCTCCAAACTCCTCGAAGTTCTAGCCATTCGTGCTATGGCTGAGAGAAAGGGTGCGACACAGACCACTGTCACTATCAATTGTGTCAACCCTGGGTTGTGCCACAGTGAGCTCTCGCGCGAGTCGGGCTGGGCGCTTACTATCCTGAAGTTCTTCCTGGCACGCAGTACGGAAATTGGAAGCCGGAACCTGGTGCATGCGGCGTCCCTAGGGCCGGAGAGTCATGGCCAGTACGTGAGTGACTGTGTGGTTGCCCAGCCTTCGACATATGTGTTAAGCCAGGAGGGGTGGAAGGACCAGCAGAGGGTGTGGGACGAGTTGGCGGCGAAGTTGGAGGGCTTTCAACAGGGTGTGACCAGTAACTTGTAGGTGTGGTAATCTTGCTGGAATCGCTTGAGATACTCTGTTGTAGCATTGTAATGATCCATGATTTGCTTGACCGTACACATACGACCATGATAGTCAGTTCCAAATTTTCTTGCCTGATCCGCCCTCTATCGTGGTACCGTTTAGAGGAGACGCCCAACCGCATCGACGTTTTTACTACCTAGTCAAGGTCAACCCTGATAATGGATAGCCGCCTCAGGTCGAGCGTCTTCCCTATATGTAGCAGCAATGGATGTATGTAACCACGTGGCTTAGATCACATGATATCCTATTGTAGCAGGCACTGCCCGGTGGGCAAGTGCGCTTACCTCAGAGCTGAGAGTTCCTGGAACAGAACATCACAACATGACAACAGACAGCAATACACTCGTTGATCACAGTCCCCAACCGACACTGCTCACGCAGTTACAATATAACTTCCTCCACACTTCCATGCCTGAGTATTTACTACACCAGTACCAGCTCTAAATCCGGCATCCAAAGCAGCTTTACGGACTGATCTGCGTGTCCTCTTTTCGCCACTTATCCAGTACGTTGAACAACGACTCCGTAATCGGATGAGGAATCCCAAGAGCCTGTTCGCGTACCTAAATGCATGTCTCCATCAACGAGATAGCCTCTTCTTTCCGGCCTCGGACCTTGAATGCGATTGCAAGATTACTAGAAGCCAATGAAGTGGCTGGGTGCTCCCCTCCAAACACCCTCTTAGACGTCTCCCTTACGTCAGGGCGCATTTCGGAGTGAGGTTCAATGTCTCCCGGTCCCGTTGTTCACCAAGATCGTACGACAGAGCGTTCATGGCGTGCGAAAGCAGTTGTCTCCATTTGTTTCTACCGTCATGATCATTACCCGGAAACACTGCATCAAGACCAAGAAACGAGTCTCGTCAGCTCAGCGGTAACCTTATACGCTACAAGCTCAATATTGATTTTCAGCCATGTGAATGCATTCTCCATTGATAGAATATCTTCGGCTTCCTCCGACTAGGCCCTCTGTCTTCGACACAAAGCAAAGGGGGCCAATACAAAGACCTTCAAGATGCCCACTAAAATGTCCTCCAGAACGAGCAACCCGACAATTGCGATAATAAAAACGACCCAGACCGGCACGAAGACCACCCGGAAGACATCCCTTACCAAGGCTAGGGGCGACCACCACAGGCCCGGCATGTTGCGTTCGAGCTGTGTACGGAGGTAATACTGGTCCCTCAGAAACATGATCTCTCTCGTCAGCGCTTCCCGCACGAGGGCTTCAGGCCATATGCGCATCAAAAGAAACGGCAGTCTGAAGACCAGAAATATAATCGTGTCGCAGAAGCCGTCGACGCCAGAAAGGCCGATGAAAACATGTGCCCATCTGAAATGCCCATCGCGTTCTGGTCGGATCACGTCGGCGTAGTAACGGAGGTAATCTCGAAGCCCCGACTTGTCATAGAGTGTGCGCGTACCGCCGAGGACGAGTGTAAGCCATTGCGGCTTGAGCCTTCGTGGGTTGAGCCTTTGCAGAGTAGCAGGAGCCTGCTGGATCTTAGGAATATCAATATACACCTTGGCCCGAAAACCGGCTACAACTGGCTTTAGAGAGAGAGCTGTAAACGCGGTGCCTAATAGGAATGCAACGAGGACGACGAAGAAGGACCAGAAGGTCGCTGAGCTGGGCAGGACAGACATGCTGTACAGCGACTGCAAGATGTGAGCCACAATCGTTTGTGGTAGGAGGGGTGCATGTAGAGACCCACCGAAGTAGCTGTCAACGGGAGATATATTGTCGCGAGATAGGCGAGAGTCTTAATACGTTCACCCTGTTGTAGAGCCACTCGTGTTTCGAGCACAGCAGTTACTCCGTGAAGCTGTGTATAGGTCAATCGTGATTTGCTTTAGAGCATACTTGTACACTTACGGCATTGCGCTGTGAAGTTGTCAGTACAAGCCTCAATAGGAGATATGAACGCACGTACGCTTTCCTGTACTGAAGCGTTGAGCGCCGCTATCTGTGAGACGAGATCCTCAAGCGTGTTCATTTCAGCATCGTGCTCGGTTCTCCAATGCACCAAGCCATGGCGTTCTGATTCATGGGCGTCCTTTTCGCAAAGCCTCGTAATGTCCTTGTCAAATGTCCGTCTTACATACCGCTGACTTGCCATCAGTGACTCTCTGAGCTCGTGGCACGTCTTCACCGTCCAATGGTATACGTTTGATTTTGTAAAGTTCTCGTCATCGAAGAGGCTCTCGTCATCCGACGTTTGCAATCGCTCTTTCAACTGATCGTAGATGGCCTCTGCATTCAGATTTAGTGTCCGGAGCGAGTAAGTAAGACCGCGAAGAAACTGAGCGACCGGTGTAAGATGCAAGGTTGGCTCGCGCTCCATATCCCTGGCGAGCCGTTCATGGCAATTTACTACCATTACTGTCCAAAAACCTTGGGGTAGCTTTAGCAGGTCAAGCTCTTCTTGGTTCGTGATGGAAGCGTCAGGAAGTGCAATAGTCAATAGGACTGAGGTCGTCATCTTCACTATGCTTACATGGCCAATTTCCTCGGCGGCCGTTCCCTGATATTTGAATAGAGTGTCCTGGTCAAGATCTGAATTGCTGGTTCCTGTTATACTTTTGGTGGCTAGTTTCAGATATGTCATGTGTGAGGAAAGTGTCACTCGCTTGTAGATCTGTTGTTTAGACTGGCACTCTCGTCAGCTTTACCCTCTAGAGCCCGGCTGCTGCTTACTGAGCTCATCTGTGGCGGTGACATTCTCTGCAGCTGCGATGGCCAAGAGAGATTATTCCTTCGAGTCAAGTGTCTCTCCATAAACGCTTGTATGTACGCATGGTCTTCGTTCTGCAGTCGCAGACACATCGACAGAAGGAATAAAAGCGCTGCTCGTTCCTCAGGAGTAGCGTGCTCTTTCAACAGGCTAGATATGTGAGCGTCTACGTCAACTGTCAGCGACAATGTCTTACATGATACGACCTTGATGGCATTTATCCATCGCAGAGGTTTTGATCAGGGCCGACGCTGGCGTGGATTTGATCTGTGTCGTTCGTCGTTCATCACCTGTCGCACGAATCTTGAAATACTGTGAGCGTTGCATCTCCAGATCTTATAGAGAACCAACCCTTGTAAAGAATAGCATACCAGGTACGTCACCCTGAAGAGGTGACTTCCGCGCCGTGGAGCCATGGTTACTTGCTATCGCTTCCACCGCTGCCCATATCAAAAGCGAGCTCATGTCGGAATCCGGGTGTTTAGTCAAGAGCTGCCGGACAGCCTTGTCTAATGCCTGTAGCGGCGAGACGAAAAGCTTTTGATCCCATGTATGGATGGTCGTACTGGCTGCCATATCATCAAGGAGCTCTTGCAGTACGGATCGAACGCTGTTCTGCAGCAGACCATAGTGCGACTCGAATTCCTGCCGAACTTCCGGAGCCCCAGTGAAACGAGACCTGCTAGAGGAGGAAGCGTTCGATGCGACAGGAGTGCTTTGCAGGTGCTCTTCTGTTGCGTACACGCCAACGGCATCGAAATTGGCAGTGCTGGTTCGCCTCAAGGTTGAGGGAAGAGATGAATCTGCAATATTCAAGGGCAGCTCGTTCAGCGAAGAGTTGAAACCCGACGTAGCCAGCGGCTCCGTGTTCTCTTGTGCGGAGATGTGTGGAATTGATCTTGCCGCAGCAGATGATGGCTGGACAGGCTGTAATTCAGGAATGCCACGAGCCACAGCGGGAGATGCTGGAGAGGTTTCCACTTGTATGCGAGTTTCCAGTTCTGCGTTCAAGATGTCTGTCATTTCGATGTTTTGTTCGTTCGCTGTGTTGCCACCTGGGAGCATCTCGGCGCAGGGAGACGTCGACTAAATGCATTAGTAGAGGATTGGCGCAATGGGTCGTGAATGCGACTGAGTGAAGAGGGCGTCTAGGAGCTTTGAAGATTAAACAGGAAAATAATTGCTCTCCAGGCATCAGGCTGCGCTATTGATATGATGACTAGAATGAGTAAAAGCTCAGCCGCATGCACAGCCCTTCATCAACCCTACTTCGTACATGAGTGGGAGGCGAAGCTAAGCAGCCATTGGCTCCTTTCAAACCACTCAGCTGCACCCAACGCCCTGACGGCTGCATCGTGCTAGTTTGTGGTCGTGCACGTACCTAGAGAGATTGAGCGTCGGTCCCGAGTCGGACTGGCGTGGAAGTGAACGTTTCAGCCTCGTCACTTCATGTTCACCTCGACCGCGATTTTGCTTCTGAGTCCGGTACTTTAGTAGATAGTCTGGCTCATTGTACTGTTACAGTTGTTACCAAAAGAAATGTCCAATTGGAGAGACATTTATGTTACGACTCAGGAGTCTCTACCTAATGAGCAACGAACCCATGAACAAGAAGTTCTATCGTTGCCTATGAGATTACACGAGCGACTACGGCGGCCTCGACCAGTGCAGCGTTTTGGATTTTTGCTTGCTACGTGATGGAAATGGTGCTTCGAGATTCTCACGCTCGTTGTCGTTTACTGCGTCGCGTTGCCACCTCTTTGGCGTCGAGGACCAGGTGTTCGTCGTCGTTGGGTTCTGTTTTTATCTTGCGTTTGATGATCTCCTTCTTGATAAACGCTTCAGCCACGACGTCGTCGCCCTCAGTTTTGACCACAACTTCCTCTTCCTTGACCTCTGTCTTCGCGACTGTCCTCTCAGCGAAGGCCTTCAGGTCTGCCGTGAACAAGACCGAATGTGCCCAGCCAGCCTCCTTGCCCCAGAGCTTCCTGAAGAGGCTGCCGATTGCAATGTATGTCGCTGCGGTCAGACTACTGTGCTTACCCTTGCCGAATTTGTAGTCCTTCTGCGCAATCTGCCAAACGTGCGTATCGACAGGTACAGCCTCGAGCCAGCCCAGACCGAAGAGGCAGACGCAGTCGGCGACTTTTGGACCAACGCCTTGCAGCACCAGCAGCTCTTCGTGTGCCTTGCGGTAGCCTTCTCTGCCGCCTTCCATGAGCTCGCCAGCTGGCTGTGGTTCGACGCCAAACTGTGGTAGTTCCGGATTGCTGAGTGCTTCCAGCCATTTTAACCCCCCTTTCTCTTCCGCGACTATACGTGCCGTCTTCGCAATGTATTTCGCTCGATATCCAAAGCCCAGTCTTCTCAGATGCTCTTCCACTTCGGGCTTGCAGAGAGCTTCTGGCGTTGGGAAGTCGTGATACGGGACATCGTCAATGTGTCCTATCAGCGGGCCATAGTGTAGACACAGATTGTGCACCATGCCTGATATCCGGCTGATGTTGTTGTTGCTGCTGCATATGAAGCCTATCAGCGCCTCCCAGGCATCTTGCCGCAGTATTCGTATGCCTGTGAACTTTGGCGCTCGTCGTTTGAAGTTGGCATCTGAGGCTGCCCACTGCTCGTACAGCTGGCCGAGATTAGGTGTCAGGTTGAAGTAATGGTTCAGGAAGGCGAAGGTGTCGTCGTCGGCGGCGGCGGCAACTGAAGGCGCAGTGGATGCTCGAGGCGTGGGTAGGGCAGGTTTCGAGGGGAAGATGGCGCGGTAGTGGAGTGCTTCAGCATCCTGGCGGAGGGAGAGAATACGGCCATGCATGGCACAGCTCCATATATCGTCCTCTGACTTTCGCCATCTACAGGAAGTGGATCAGAGACTACCCCAAGCCGCACGGTGAAGGCGAAGACTACCTGAAAGACTGTCCACAGCGCAGTGTTGTGCTGATGCAGAGCTCTGTCAAGCTCGTGGGCAGCTTGCACCACTCTGCAGCGCGCAATGCCATGATATTGTTCGGTTCTCGAGTCAATAATGCGGCCGCAGTGAATGCTGTTGTGTAAGCCAGACCCCTGCACCGTCCCTTGGCAGCAGGCGCGCTAGGGCACGCTAAAGGTCGTTTCTCGATGAATTGCAGTTTCTCGCAGCGACGACAGCATCAACACCCGCTCAAGCATCACGTGCTCGTGTCCGGACTGCTGCTGCAAACTGCCTTTACTGCACTGCTGGATCTCGGTTTGCCAATTGCAGCTGTCTGATTGCTTCGACGCGCCGCAGCCAACAGCACGCGGCTGAATTCTGCACCGGCGCACCACAGCTCAGCACCCGCTCCAGCTGTCAAGATGAACGGTGACAGCTACTCCCGAGGTAAGCCGGCGTCTCAGTACACGTACTGACTGGTGTGCAGTGCCCCGCGATGGAACAGTACTAACATAAGCAGACGGCGGCCGCGCAGGCGGAGGATCACGGAACTACGTGAGTGCACATGGCGCGCAACACGGACGGCCGACTGACCAGCCCGCAGTCCTCGAGAGACGACCACCGCGATCGCGACAGGGGCGGTGACAGGCGCCGCCGCCGTTCGCGCTCCCCCCGACACGGCTCTCGCCGCGACTACGAGGTCGACACGTACTCGTCCAGCCGCGACTACCGTGAGCGCGAGCGCGAGGACACGTACGCCCGCCGCGAGAGGCGCGATGACCGCGGCGCTGACCGCGGCGCTGACCGTGAAGGAGGCGCCCGCGAAGGCGGCGCTCGTGAGGGAGGCGCCCGCGAGGGAGGTGCCCGTGAAGGCGGTGCTCGCGAGGGCGGAGGCCGTGAGGGCGGCGGCCGCCGCGACTGGGGCGACTCGTACTCGAGGCGCGACCGTCCAAGAGACCGCGGTGACCGTGGCGACCGCGACGGTGGCGAGGAGCGCGGTGGACGACGCGACCGCGGCGACCGCAACGACCGATTTGGCGGAGAAGACCGCGGCGGGAGGGGACGACGAGATGGTGGAGGAGGAGGAGGAGGCTGGGGCGGAGGCAGAGGAGGAAACCAGCGCCAGAAGTCGCCCTCGCCGGTCGCAAAAGCGCGCGAGCCTACCCCAGACCTGACGCCCTTCACCAACATCCAGAACCGTCCGCGCCGCATGACACAGTGGGACATCAAGCCCGCTGGCTACGAAAACATCACCGCCGAGCAGGCCAAGCTGTCCGGCATGTTCCCTCTGCCCGGCGCTCCCCGCGCTGCGCCTATGGACCCGTCGAAGCTGGCCGCTTTCATGAGTCCTTCTGCTGGCACTGCCTCCTCTGCCGCGCTCCAGACCGTCAACGCAAAGCAGGCAAAGCGACTTTACATCCACAACCTGCCCGCTGGCGCAACATCCGAGGAGATTGTCGAATTCTTCAACTTGCAGCTTAACGGACTGAACGTCGTCACTGGCCAGGACCCCTGTCTTTCTGCCCAGGTCGCAAGCAACAACGAGTACGCGCTCCTTGAATTCAAGACTGCCGAAGACGCAACCATTGCCCTTGCCATGAACGGTATTGCCATGCGCGACAGCGCTGCTGGCCCTGATCAGAGCGGTTTGTCCATTCGCCGACCCAAGGACTACATCACGCCCACTCGTGACGAGAACGCCTACTCTGGCGACGAGGTCTCGACCGACGTCAAGGACAGCCCCAACAAGCTCAGTATCGTCAACATCCCGCAGTACATCGACGAGGAGCAGGTCCGCGAACTCGTCGAGACCATGGGCAAGCTCAACGCCTTTGTGCTCGTCAAAGACAGCACCGATCAGCACCGCGGTATCGCCTTCTGCGAGTACGCTGACAACGAGATTGTCGATGCTGTTATCGAGGGCCTGAATGACATCCCTCTCGGTGACGGTCACCTGAAGGTCTCCCGCGCCACGGTTGGTCTGCAGCAGGCGCAGGGTCTCGACGGCGGTGTGCAGGCCATTACAGGCCTCGCCGGCGCCGAAGCCGCCAAGGACCACGAGCACAGCAAGGTCATCTGCCTGATGAACATGGTCACATCCGACGAGCTGATCAACGACGAGGAGTACGACGGTACGTCACCCCATCCACCACTTGCCGAACAGCTACTAACAGCACCGCAGAAATCAAGGAAGACATTGAAGAAGAGTGCAGCAAGTACGGTCCCATTGTCGAAGTCAAGATCCCCCGTCCCGCGGGAGCCCGCATCAACCTCGGCGTCGGCAAGATCTACATCAAGTTCCAGGACACCGACTCGGCACAGAAAGCCATCAAGGCACTCGCCGGCCGCCAGTTCTCGCGGAGAACCGTCGTTGCGACCGAGTTCTCGGAAGAGGGTTTCGATGTCGAGGCTTGGTAGACGGGGGCGCAACGAGAGAGGGGTGTGTTATGTTGCAGACGCGGCGTTTTGGGCTTTGAAGTCATCTGGTGCACGTTGGCACAGATGCATCAGACTGCTATGTACACTAATTCGATCATACACAAAAGCGAGCATGGCGGGTATGGAGCTACGAAACAGAAGACATGTGTTTGAGTCTTTGAATATTTTCATGGCTGGGCGCCGAGTGGCAGGACTTTGTCTCGACCGCCCTCCGCGACATATATGATTGGAATGCACAACACTTCGCTTCAGTTTGATTGCACGCTACCCACTGCCTTTGCAGCACAACATTGGCGCCACTCTGGACCCGAGTTCCTTCCGTTTCGTCGGTCAAGTGCGCCTTCTTTCTCCGGTATTTCACCAAAGTGTCCACGAGCCCGCACCACCCAAAACTCCAACACCACAAACAACCGCACGAGGAAAGCCACAAGACCAACATCAAACTCAGCACCTCAGTGCCATACGCAAAGCCAACGCTCAGTCTCAACCAAGTGAATCATGGCTCCCAGCAGGCACCAACGTCAGCACCAACAGGCTGGACAACGCTTCCCCAGGGCGCTCTTCAGTTCAACACGGGTCCCCAGCTCGGCTGCGGTTACTAATGTGGACCGGTGATGACACGGAAGGCTGTTGTTTACGGCGTGTGATGCGGTCTGGACGAGTGGAGGGTGGCTGTGGATATAGAAAATGCGCGGTTTGAACGGGCGTGCATGATCTCCGCACAATCGTGGAATTTTTCATCGACATGCGCAGTCCAGCGGCGAAGACTGTATTTCACAAGACCCTCCATCTCTCAATATCTCGTCTTGCGCTCTTCTTCATTCAACACTACGTCAGACTCGGGATTCTACAATCCTCACCGCACACAAGTCCACCCATTCACTTCAAGGAAGCACCACCACGAGCCAGCTGACCTGCTCTGACACCCCTGCCTGTCCGGAAGTGCGATACGTTTCCGGTCGGCGAACCACCGCTCTTGCTGATCGCGGGCTCCATATCCAGAGAATCAGGAGTCTCTGCGGCATGCTGGGCGTGCAGACTAAAGATGTGGAGATCGTGCGGCGGGTGCGGCAAGATGACCTGGATAACGACATCTACGGCGTCATGCGCCTGAGACCGCAGCTCAGCAAGCTGCCGCTCGAGGCGTACCCGACGCTGCTCATCACGCTCGACTTCCGAAGCCTCGAGCGACAGATGCCCGGCATGCGCGTCGCGGTGCGCCGCCTGTGCATGCAGCACGATACCACTAGCGGTCTGACGACCGAGTTCCGCGACATCAAATGCGGAAAGCAGGGTCATAGAGAGTCCGCTGCATCCTGTCCGCAACGAACTCGCATGCCGAGCCTGGGACGACGGGGCATTCGGCGACAACCTGCACGACGTGATCAAGGGTCAACGGTGGTCGTACTTGTCGGTCTCAAAGTGCTTTGCATCTGAGAAGGCTTTCGCAGCTCGAGATCGCTGGTGGACCGAGGGAGACGATGGGCGCCAGCCGACTATCTGCATCTCGGCACGGGATGCGAATGATCCAAAGTGGTGGAATAGCGTGCTGTCTGCGCTCGGAAAGTGGTTGAAGTCTGATGAGTTTGTCTTGAGATATGATGTCAAGTTTGAAGCATCATTGTTGATGCAAAGGGGAGTATATCTGTGTTGAGGTATTTACACAATTTTGGGCAGTAAGAGCTGATGGACTTGTACGAGGAGAAATTGGTGGGTATGAGGTGATTTCCAACCTATAGCATACTAGATACTGCCAGTCTCCTGAAAGGCCAGTGGATATGGGTATCTATTCATGAAAGAGCTGCCTCGTCGAAATTTCGTGGTTGTCTCTCGTATTTCCTTGGTGCCCAAGTGCTTAGACCTCAGCCACTGCCTAGGCATCCTTGTCAGGCACAGGTCCACGTCAACGCTAAAACCAGCTGCACCGCCTTTCCCCAGCCCCAAAGTCCCTCGCCCTATTTCAAGTTTCAACGCTGCTCTTTCTTGCGACTAGATTAAAATTATGGACTACATTCCCAACCCGTGCTTTTACCACGTCGAAAGCTGCTTGCGGTGATTGGATGTGTTTGTCTACGTCCATGTTTTTGACCAAATATATCCAATCAGGATCAGGCTCAGTGAGGTTCCAAGCTATGCTCACATGGAACATGTCTGAGCGATCGGTCTTATCGTGTTTGGTGTAAGGGGGCGAGTTGGACCCCATCGGCCCATCTCCTTTACCGCCTGAATACAATGCTGGGTGTCCGCACTTCTGCGCAGCTTCATTGCATGCGCTGAGCAGTCTGTTCAGTCCATCATGCGCCGGCTTCTTGATGCCGAGTACCAAGAACCATCGGTTTCGCTCATAGTTCGGCACCCACTTCAGATCACAGAAATCGAAGTGGAAGGCTTGGACGGCGGCCCTCCGCAAGGAAGTGTTCAGAGTCCCGAGAAATGATTTTCGGTCATCAGTCTTGATCTGCAGAGTGCGTGAGAGCGAGACATGCAATGGTAGAGGTGCGCCAAGCTCTGATTGCAGAGAGGGTATGATGTCAGGAACAGGCAGTGGCTTTGCGCGCTTCAAATTTGCTTGCTTGAGCGCGTCTTTGATGGTTTGTATCAGGCTGTGTAGACTGTCAGACTCAGCCTGCACAGGAACCCCTCGAACACGTTAGCTGACCGAGACCACTTTCAAGGACGGCACAGGGTCATCCTTACACTCTAAATACACATGACTCGGCCAATTACCTTCCACATGAGGGACTGCCCGCTTACGACCGCCGTGCAGGCTCGGATTGTCGCTTGTGCTGACGCGCGCGTTTGTGGAGTAGAGGTCGTGGAATGCTGCCGGAAGCGGCGGCAGGTTATTATTACTGGGCTCGCTGCGTTTGCGCTTCAACACAGGCTTGGGCTTCTGGGCCGATAAGGCATCTTCGTTGCCAGAGTCAGAGTCAGGGTACTGCACCAAGGACATGGTTGGCTTGGGTCGGTGTTGGGCCCTTTTGATCTTTTGACAGTCGTCACGTTGCGGCTCAGATGGGCTCGAACGCCAGTAGCGCGCCCCACTCGCCCAGGATCCGGCAGTGACGTAGCGCTTTCAGGAAAGTGCGCTGCAGAGCGACGATGAGAGCGATCATGTTACGCGTCGTTCTCTTGTCGTTCGTGCCTGCCAAGACTAGGCTTTATCTATCCCTCCTTCTCGTCACCTACCGCTTCTCTTCTTCAATCCACAGCCTTGCGATATCAAACAGCGACCTACACGTTATTTGTGTAACCCAGCTACCATTAGCCAAACCTTACCAATAATACGTGCGCATCGATCACAAATACCATGCAGGCGGTACGTTTCACTCCCTTACAGTTCAGTCGCGTGGCATGTCTCGACGTCTTTATTTCACACGAGACATACGTATCGCTGCGAACGCCGCAGGATGGACACCTCGTCGAGAGATGGATTGCTGATGTTTGTTAGGCACACCACGCATTGATCGATCCTCTCATCGAGCCAGAACCGAGTGACGACACCGGCCTCAACTCCCACTTCCGCTCAACTTTTGCGCCCAGACAGGATCGTCCCATCACACCACCCGGATCTGCTGGACTGCCCAAGGATGATTCGTCCGTGAAGGTCAAGGAACACCGCACGGGAAACTCGGTTGGGAGCCACCCTTTAATTCTTCCTCAACACACCGGCACCACTTCACTCGGGTCCTACCCTTTCGTCCAATCTCAGCACACCGGCAACTCTGCAGAGACCAACCCGTACCGTCGAGCGAGAGCGTCGTCTGAAGCCAAGGCTCCTTCTGCGACCATTTCACAGATTGGCCAGACTACTCCTGGGTCAAGCAGGTATGAGTACCCGTCCCCTCCCCAGTCTGCAAGCCCGCGCAAGCAGCACTTCTCGAACCACCGCGCGGCCGCATTCGGATCCATGAACGAGAGCCGACCCCGCCGTTCGAGCCAGCCATCGTCATCCAGACCACAGCAACATGTATCCGGACGGAGCCGAGGAGGATCGCTGAACCATGGAGAAGCCTCACCCCTAGACACAATCCGCAAGGAGACCAAGACTGCGCACCGTGCTCACCATCTCAGGAAAAAGAACCTCCAGGGAGCTGACATCATCGATCGTCTCGACAAGAGCGGTGTGTCGCGCTACCACCACGAGGGACCGTACGATGCAGCTAGTATGGCACGTAACAAGGACAAGAAGTACAGCCCTGTTGCGGCAGTGCAGGAGTCGAACGAGGAAGCGCTGAGGGCGACACCACGGGAGAACATCCGGGATGCCGTTGAGAAGCATCGACCACTGGAGGGCGTTGCTACTGTGCCACCAGGCATGACTGACAGATTCGGACGTGTCTACATCTATGAGGAAGGCACCGATATGCAGCGTGATCCCCTAAACAAGGGCGACTACAAGCGAGTCCCTGGTGTGGTCAGTCATCTCTACCCCGTTCTTGTACCCAACTAACGTCGCATAGCAATACCATCCAGATGACCTGAAAGGCAAGGGCGAGCCGTCATACTCGATCGAGAAGCGGCTGAAAGACCAGAAGAGGCTCGGCGACAGCGGGACTGAGATGACCTCACGTCCTCACAGCAAGAGCGTTGGCCACCTTGACGCGCCCGGTGCTACGCCGGCAGAGAACCCGTTCGAGCACGACGCATCCGCATCCGGCATTGGGCGGAGCAACTCGGGCCTGGGTAGCGCGTTGAAGAAGCGCTTCGGCAGCATGCGACGAAAGAAGCCGGACGCCGACGCTTAGGAGGCGCTGATGAAGAAGGCAATTGAGTCAGATTACTAGCACCAAAATTGTACAATGGGTCACGCGATGGAGTTGGCAGGTTTCTTGTTTACGGGCTGGGTTGGAGATACTAGATGGACTGGCATGTCCACCCACGACCGACACGTGGAGTGTTGTATAGCTGTTAATGAATGATGACTTGACTTTGTTCGTTCGATCTCGAGTGATTGAATGATACAAATTAGAGAAAGACTGACACCTGGCGTCGAGCATCTTCTTCACCTTCACCAACCCATGTCGAATGTAGTTTGTTGCATCGCTTCGAGGCCTCGTGAGGGTCGCGGCGGGAGCTCGTTTGTCGGGCCGTGGGAGGCTCGGCGTGCATTGGGACGCTGTGTGTGTGTGTGTGTGTGTGTGTACTTCGTATGTAATGCATCTCCCCCGTCGCGAACCAATAAATACAAAAGGCGGCTCTACAATGCAAAAACCTAGACTCTACGAAGTATGCGAACAACAATGCAATGCAAAACGAGTCGCCCTCCCAGAAGACGAACGACGGGATGAATAATGCACTTCCAGCGCCAAGACACCGATGCAATCGACACCACTGCACGCAACCATGCAATAACAACCCGACTCCCCACCAGCCCCACGCCACGAACCACATATGTACGTGCGTGCGGGCTACATGAAACTCATCTTGACCTCCTTCTCGCCAAATTCGTCCTCGTCGTCCGCCCAGGCGTTGAACCCCACGGGCGTCGTGTGCGCGCTGCGCAGCGGCGGCCGCCCCGGCGCGTCGTTGGCCTGGGCGTCCCAGCTCACCGTCGGCGGAGGGGGGGAGTCCCACGTGCCGGTGCGACCCGGCTGCGTGTGGGCCGGGGGCGAATCGGGGGCGCGTGAGCTCGTGTGCGGCTGCGGCTGCGAGGGGGAGTCCGACTTCCACGCGTTTGTCAGCGTGTCCGGCGACGCGGGCTGTGTTTGTCTCGAGGGCGGCGGGTCGCGGAACGAAGTGTCGAATGTCATGCTCATGCTTCCTGCGCCCGGGTCGTCGAACTCGTCGTACTCGTCGTAGTCCTTTGTGCCGCTTGTGCCGTTGCTCAGCTGGCTGCCGGGCGGCAGGCGGACGGGTGCGGGCGTCAGGTTGCCTGTGCTGTGCGCCTTGCTCGTTGTAGGTGCGGCGCCGAGGCTGTCGTTGAAGCTCTGCGTCTGGCGCAGGCCGGTGTGTGGGGCTGCGCCAGAAGCGGCGGAGATGTCTATCTTCATGGGGGGGAGGGTGGACTTGATCTCCTTGATCTCGAAGGCGTCGGGTTCGTAGCCGTTGTAGGGTTTGTCTGCGGCGGATTCGGCGGCGAGGGCGGCGATTTCCTTGCGGATCGCGTCGATGTCGAACATGACGGGGTTCTCGGCGATGGTCGCTGTGTCGGCGGTCTTGTCAATGGGCGCCTGGGCTTGCGAGTTCTTGTCGTAGACCTCCCAGTCTTTCTTGTCGCCTTTCTTCTTGCGCCACCAGGAGAGCTTGACGCCTTTCTTCTCCTTCTCGGCGTTCTTCTTCTCGAGCTCGCGGCGGGCTTCTTCAATCTCGCTGATCAGCTCGCGTTGCCGCTGCTCGTGGTTCTCTGGGTCGGGATCTTCAATCTCGACGAACTCGTCCGACTCGACGAGCCAGCCTGCTTCGCGGAGCAGCTTCGGGATCGCTGTGCGGTAGGCCATGTGGCCGGGCACCCACTCGGTGACGTTCATGTTTTCAATCGTAGGGAGCTCTACAGGTGCGAGTCCTGCGACGCGGGCGACGCCTCCACCGGTCGCGCGGAAGAGATAGCCTGTCAATGGTCAGCTGCATGGCGGATACTGTGAAAGACGACATACCCAAAATCCAGTCGTTGGTGGCATACCCATTGACGAATCGCCCAGGCACCACGCTTCGGATCTTGATGTACTCCTCGGTGTTGGCGACAACCGGTGTGCCAAACACGTACACGTTCTGCACCAAGCCGAACGCGCCGCGGGTTTGAAGCTCTTTCAACGCGGCGTAGATGACTCGAGCACCGAGCGAGAAGCCGACGAGGGTGATCGGCCTTGTTCCGAGGTTGCGGTCGATGATCGAGTCTGCAAGAATGAGACCAGCCATGTCAGCGCGCGCCTGAGAGACAGACCAAGGGTTGTCGATGAGGTAGGAGAGCTTTGTGAGGGCGAGAGGGAGCGTCATGGCAGACATGAGCGCGGTCAGGAGCGTGCTGCCCAGGACCTGTTGGAGGCCTTGAGTGAGTGCCTGCTTGGGTGTTAGTAGCTTATGGTTACTTGGTCATGCTTTGCGCACCTCTGTTGCAAGGATGTTGATGGTGTCACCCATGCTCCTCAGCATCTCCGGCTCCCAAAGGACCGAGTAGATGTCTCCCATGACAGGGTCGACAGTGCTGTACGGCAGGCGGACGTCGTCGGCCTTGCCGCTCATCCAGCCCGCCAGCGTGATGATGAGATTCGTTCTCTTGTTGTTGTGCAGCGGCCGATACTCGAACGTCTTGACCGCGCCTGTTCGTCTGTTCATGGCGCGGACGCCAACCGTGCCACCGGTGGTGACAGCAATACTGGTGATGACGGCCGTTCCACCTGCACCAGCAAGGAAACCGCTAGTGCCCGCCACACCGATGGTCGTGAAGCCCGCAGCCAGACCGGCACCAATAACGGGAGCAAGCAGACCAGCTGACAAGCCAATGACCAGACCGCCGCCGACAGTGGCAAGGCCCATAAAGGCCAAGCGCTTGCGCAGCGCTCGTTTCCTGCGCGACTCCATGTGCTCGTCTTCGTTCCAGTTTTCCTTGTTGGCTTCTTCCTGCATCTCGAGTGCGTCTGTGACGCGCTTCTCGAAGCGGCAGATCTCGAGCCAGTCGACGCTGAGGTGCTTGCCGACAACCTCGAACAGCTCTCTCGACCGCGAGTCGTAGATGGAGTCGGCGACCAGCAGGAGGAAGAGATCGCACAGAACCGTCCAGCGGAGGTCAATGTCGAGGTTCTTGCTCTCGAGCAGCTGCGACGGCGTCTTGGGCTCGGGGTATTCGTAGCCGTCGTCTTCGTGCGCTTCGTAAGGTGGAGGGGGCGGCGAGGAGTCGTGAAGGCTGGCCGAAGAAGACTTTTCAGCCTGCGCGTCTGGCCGTGGCGAGGAGACGGACGGCGGCGCGGAGGTGTCGTCGGTCTTGTCGTCGTCGGTCTTGTCGTCGTCGGTTTTCTTGTCGTCGGTCTTCTTGTCGTCGGTTTTCTTGTCGTCGGTCTTCTTGTCGTCAGTCTTCTTGTCGTCGGTTTTCTTGTCGTCAGTCTTGTCGTCCTTGAGGCCGCTGGCGACCTCGGCGGCCGGGTTCTTCACGCGGGCGTTGTGCATCAGCGCGGGCGTGAGGTCAGCAGGGATGACGCCGTGGTCCGTCAGCTGCTCGATCATGACCTGCTCCGACGTGTTGATGTCCATGTGGCCGTACAGCCTGACCATCATCTTCTGCGACCACATCTTGGTGCCCTCGGTGTACATGTCGAGGGCCTTTTTGACCTGGCGGCTCTTCTTCTCGATGATGGTGTCGAACTTGCGCTCCATCTCAATCATGGCGAGGCGCACGAGGCCGACGTAGGCGACGCGCTGGCCTTCGGTGAGGAGGTTCTTGGTGGCCTGCATCTGCATGAGCGGGTCGCGGATGGCGTCGTCGTCGTCGTGCAGGGCGGTGGTCTTTTCCTTGAAGAGATAGGCGGTGTTGTCGTCCATGCTCGTCTGCGAGTCGGCGTCGTCATCGACAATGACTCGAGTGTAGCCCTTTGCAGCGCCGCCGACGTTGGCGTAGCCGTGCATGTCCTCCAGCTCTTCGGGGTTCTCCTTGGCAATGAGGCGGTTGTCGTCGTCGTACATGTCGTACTGGGCATATGCCGGCATCGTCTGCCAGCCTCCGTCGTCGTCTTCTGCTGCTGATGGAGCTGGGTTGGGTTGTGCAAGGATGTTCTGGTGCGAGTATTCGTTGACGGCCGACTGTTTCTGGAGCGGCGGCCCGGGTTTCTCGAGGCTTGTACGGGCAGCCGGAGTGGAGGCGTTGGGTGGAGCGTCCGGCTTAGTCTCCTCTGGCGCGGTGCTCTGTGTCGTGGTGCTCTGTGTCGTGGTGCTCTGTATTGTGGCGCTCTGTGTCGTGGCGTTCTGTATTGTGGCGCTCTGTGTCGTGGCGCTCCGTGTCGTGGCGCTCCGTGTCGTGGCGCTCTGTGTCGTGGCGCTCTGTGTTGTGGCGCCCTGTATTGTGGCGCTCTGTGTTGTGGCGCTCTGTATCGTGGCGCTCTGTGTTGTGGCGCTCTGTGTTGTGGCGCTCTGAGTGGTGGTGCTCTCTGGCGCAGTGCTCTGTGTCCTGCCCTCATCATTCGCTCCAATCTCGGCCTCCTCGACCTCGACCAGCCCATTGACGCTCGGCGAGGCATGCAGCACACTGCCACTGCCACTGCCACTGCCACTGCCACCCGCCTCAGCCCTCTCCCTCTCCCTCTCCCTCTCCTTCACGTGCTCCACAATGCTCTCGACCGCCTTCGCCGCGCCGTCGCCCGGACTCGCGCTGGACATGTCCGCCTCGGCATCCTTGGTCTGCGCCACAGCATCCCTGAACTCGTCGGCGTCGTCGTCGTCGCTGTCCGGCACGGGCGTCCTCGGCCTGCGCGTCCTGACCGGGAGGCCAAAGTCGTCGTACTCGTCGTACTCGTCGTCGCGCTTCGTCGCTGGCATCTGCGGGTCGCTCGTCATGCTTGCAGCGCGGGACGCACATCTGGTTGCGGGCGTTGTCTCGGGGGCGTTGGACTATAAGCACATGGTGTCGCGGCCGGGGCGTGTGCAGTGGTGGTGTGTGCAGTGGTGGTGTGTGCAGTGGTGGTGTGTGCAGTGGTGGTGGGTGTAGTGGTGGTGGTTGAAGGGGTGGTGGGTGAAGGGGTGGTGGATGCAGTAGTGGTGGATGCAGTGGTGGTGGATGCAGTGGTGGTGTATGCCCGGTGACAGGCCGCGCGCGCATGCGGAGTTTGGCGTCGGGAGTGGTGGGACGGTTGCGGCGGACGGCGCGGGCTTTCCTCGGCGCCCGACGACTTTTCGAAACGCTTCGTTTTCGACGCCGCGCGCAGCGACTTTGCACAGCGGCGACCGGCGACATGAAGCTCAAGCGCGCAAAGGTATGTGGCGGCGAGGAGGTCTAATCCGCGACAGTGGCTGACGCGCCCCAAAAAGGCCTACAAGAAGCTGCTCCACCAGTACGAGCTCAACTTTGGGTTCCGCGAGCCGTACCAGGTCCTGCTCGACTCGGCGATCCTGCAAGATGCGTACAAGTTCAAGATCGATGTCGTCGGGCGCCTCGAAAAGGTGCTCGGCGCCAAGGTCAAGCCCATGATCACCCAGTGCGACATGCGCCACCTCTACGAGGCGACGCCCAAGAACGAGACGCTCATCCTGCAGGCCAAGACGTACGAGCGCCGGCGCTGCGGACACCACGAGCTGGACGAGCCGCTGACCACGCTGGAGTGTCTGAGCAGCGTCGTCGACCCCAAGGGCAGTGGGACCAACAGGCATCGCTACGTGGTCGCGAGCAACGACAAGGAAGTGCGCGTGAAGATGCGCCGCATCCCGGGCGTGCCGCTGATCTACATCAGCAAGAGCGTCGTGCTGATGGAGCCCATGACGAGCGCGACCGAGCAGTTCAGGGAGCGGGAGGAGAAGAGCAAGTTCAAGCAGGGCCTGAAGGGCGCGAGGAACCCGGATGCGGGCGAGAAGCGGAAGAGGGAGGACGAACGTGATGGGAATAACGAGTCTGTTGCTACCGACGCGCAGGCCCCGAAGAAGAGGAGGCAAAAGGGCCCGAAGCAGCCCAACCCGCTCAGCATGAAGAAGAAGAAGACCGACACGCCGAAGAAGACCGACACACTGAAGAAGGAGACCGACACACCGAAGAAGGAGACCGACACACCGAAGAAGAAGACCGACCCGCTGAAGAAGGAGACCGACCCGCTGAAGAAGGCTGTCGAGCTGAACGAGTCACAGTCACAGTCACAGGCAGCTGCCGCTGATGCTGGAGACGGCGACGCTACCGCGTCCAAGAAGCGCAGACGGAAGCACAAGTCGAAGGCGGAGGGCGGGGCTGAGGGTGGGGCTGAGGGCGAGGCTGAGGGTGGGGCTGGGGGAGGGGCTGAGGGAGGGGCTGCTGAGGGCGGTGGCGTCTCTCTAGACACAGGTCGTGCTTCGTCGTGAGACGGACAGCAATGATACCCAAGATCCATCCGTCAGCACAGCAAGAGGGGGCGTGCAGACTGCATGTGAGGAGGTATGATGCAATGCCTGGCAGCTATGGACAGCTCTACACCTCAGACCTTGTTGCCCTGCGCGAGGAGATCTGCCACCTTTGGAGGAAGCACCAGTGCGCTGCGGTCGTTGCGTTTGACGAACTCGACAATGACCTCGGCCGTCTTCTCAGGCTGGTCTTCTTGGAGGAAGTGGCCAGCGGCAGGGAAGACGGAGAGTTGAAACTTGCCTGCGCGGGATTAGAGAAAGCACAGATAACACCCTCGATCAATCGATCAATCAATCAATCAGTCGATCAATCAATCAATCAATCGATCAATCAATCAATCAGTCGATCAATCAATCAATCAGTCGATCAATCAATCAATCAGTCGATCAATCGATCCATCAATCAATCGATCAATCAATCCACTCACCCTGCATCTGCCCTATCATCAGCTCCTTGTCGAGGCGATCCGTTCCAGCCAGCAGCAACAGCTTTGCGCCTCTCCCACTGAGGAACTTGGCGCTCATGCCCGTGAACCACTTCTCCCAGTACGACTCGGTTCGCGAGAGATCCGTCTTCCACACCCAGCGTCCGCCAGTCGACGTTTGCATGAACAGACTGGGTACGCTGGCTCTCGCCGACTCGGCGTTTCTCAGCGTGCGCGACCGCATGTGCCAGTCAATGGCGGCATCGAGGTTGTCGAACAGCTTTGGCCGGGTTCGGAGGTACGCCTGCATGTGCTTGAGCGCCTCCATGGCGCTGCCCTCGACGACGTCCAGCACGGCGAAACCGAGCACCCTGCTGTCGAGTAAGCCCATGTTGGCGACGTGCGTCACCACTGCGCCGCCCAGGCTGTGGCCGATGAGAACGAGCGTGGGCAGCTCTCTCCAGCCCATCTTCTGCTCGGTGAGCAGGATCATGTCGACCATGTCGCGGCCCAGCAGATGGACGCTCAGGTCGTTGTCGACCGCGCCCCCCTGGTCCCACACAACACTGCCGTGCTCTCGTGCTTCGACCGCCAAGATCCCAATTCCCGGCATCGCCTTCCTGATCTCCTTCGCTGCGAGCGCGAAGCTCATGGCAGAGCTCCCCGCGCCATGGTGCAGCACCAGCAACGGCGACTGCAGAGACGCCGGCGGGGTGAGGTAGACGTGGAACTTGGCGCGGGGCGCCTCTCTCTCGAGGTACAACTCCTGCTCGTAGTAGTCGGACCAGTAGACTGCGGGCGCACGTCTCTGCGTGCTCGAGGGCATCACAGTGCCTGTGCTCGACATGGAGCTCGCCGAGCTCGAATCATCCTCGTCCTCCTCGAGCAGCGGCTCTGGTGGCGGGAGAGAAGAGAGCTTCGTCTTGGCGAACGACTTTGCAAGGTCCGACATGGCGTGCAGCTTGACATGAAATGGGACCAAGATGCTCGGCGTAAGAGCGCCCGCGACTGGATGCGCGCGGGGCCGAGGCGCATTCGCCGCCGTGCGCGATCCAACGATGTGCGACCGGGATGTCGTCCGTCGATCCAACGCTACGAACCATTGACATCATGCTCTGCGCGCATTGGCGCCCGCGGTAGCTTGAACGAAACCAGCTTATCGCCAGCAGCGCCAGCATTGCCAGCAGCGCCAGCCTCCATCTCTCGACACAGATTCCCTCTGCGCTGACGCTCGTCTTTTCATCTCTCGCCCGCTTCTGCGACCCTCTACGCCCCACGTGATCTACCGCTGCACCAGAACCGCAACGATGAGCATGTGGAAGGGCACGACGGACGCGTCCAATGGCGACCAGCTGCAGCCTGAAGTACCTCGCGACGACGCAGCCTCGGGACGGGCTTCGAGGAGGAGCTACGAGCCTTCCAGACGCACTGTCGAGTCCCATGAGGAGCCCACCGAGCGCACACGACTGCTCGACCGCCCCAGGCCGATCAACGCTGATGGCTACCTCGACCCAGATGACCCAGCTGTAAGATGCCATTGACTTCGCTGTGAGACGTGTACCGCGCTAACACACGCCAGGTATCGCCTTACAACCTGTGGACGGTGCGTTTTATGCGCTACCTGACCATCCTCTTCCTCATCATCACTTTCCTGTGGTGGGTCATCCTGCTGGTCTCCATCTTCGTCTCGCCTCCCGGCCTGCACACTCGTGGATCCGGCTTCTTCGACTTTGCCTACACCTGCCTGACTCTCGGCAACCTGCTCGTGCTAACGCTCTTCTTCGTCACCCCGGCCAAGGGACTGCGCATCACCACCATGATCATCGCCGTGTTCCTGGCCGTGGACATGATCATCATCCTGGCCGTCCCACGGCTCAGGCTCGAGGAGGGCTGGGTCGGCATCGCAAGTGTCGTCTGGGCTCTCCTCATGTCCGTCTGGTGTGTCCTGACCGACCGCGTCGTCGCGTATGGCAAGAAGGAGGAGGAAGAGCGTCTGACTGGCCGTCCCGAGTCCCGCCGCACGCTGAAGGAGTGGCTGGCTGTCCTCGCCGCGACCGTGCTCACCGTCGTCTTCATCATCATCGTCGTCTTGATGACCGCCACGCTCACCATCCGCTCCATCGACTCCGGGCTCAAGATGTACGGCGACCGCATCCTCGTCGACGGCGACAAGTACGCCGTCCACCTGGCCTGCGTCGGCAATGAGACCAACGCCAAGGGCGACAAGGTCACCACCGTCGTGCTCGAGGCTGGCGAGAACCCGGTCGAGTACGACTTGGAGCACTGGGCGTACGCCGCCTACAAGAACGAGACCATTGACCGCTACTGCTACTGGGTAAGCTACTCCGCTGCGAATGCAAAACACGTACTGACCTGGCCAGGACCGTCCCGGCTACGCGTGGTCTGACAACGCTCCCTCGCCACACTCGGCTGGCATGTCTGCCGACGCCCTCTCCGAAGCACTTGCCAGGGCTGGCGAGGAGGGTCCTTGGATCCTCGTGTCCGCTGGATCCGGCAGCATTGTGTCGCGCATCTTCGGGTCTCGTCACATGAAGCAGGTCACTGGCATGCTCCTCATCGACCCGCTGCACGAGGATCTCCTCCACCGCCTGTCCAGCCCCAGCCGCGGCTTCCTGCTCTGGGCGTGGGGAATCATCTCCCCGCTCGGCACCGTCCGTCTCGCCGGCGCCCTGTTCAAGGGCCGCACGAGCGCAGACCGCGTCTACGGCCGCAACGCGTACCAGGGCGGCAAGTTCATCAAGGCGCAGCTGCAGGAGAACCTGGTCGCCGACTCGCTGACCAAGAACGAGGTCGTGTCCGCGCGCAACATCCAGAGCGCCGACATGCCCCTCGCCATCGTCAGCAGCGGCATCGAGTGCCGCCGCGACTCGGAGTGGGAGCGCAAGCAGAAGGACCTGACGTCGCTCACCGACAACCTCGTCAGCTGGGATGTTGTCAAGAAGACGCCTCACCAGGTCTGGCACACGCTCGAGGGACGCGAGCAGATGGAGAAGAGCCTCGCCAAGCTCGTCAAGGCTGCGTCCAAGACCAAGACTCCTGCAGAGTAAGACTTCGGTGAGACTTTGTCGCTACGAGAGAGCAATGTTTCCTTTGCATACCCTGTCGCGTACTTTTGTCCATGCACATTGTGGTGCCGGTTCAGTGCCCACCGTATATACCTGATAATCCACGCTATAATCCAGTTGCTCGTTTTCAAACAAAACCCTGCGTTATCAACTCAGACATCTTGACATGAGACATGGCAGCGAGTATCGACCAGTGTGCTCGACAGTCGTCTCCACGGTACATGATGGTCACTAGCGCGCCCGCACGGCTCAACGTCGGCTAATCTATCCAAAAGTTCCGAGCTCGAGAACCGCACCACCACCACCACCACACCACACACACATACACACACACAATCGCAATGCTCTGCCGAACCTGCCTGTGGGCCGCTCGCCTCCCAAGCGCACCCACACGGCGCTTTCTCTCGACCTCCGCACCGCGCCTCGCCTCAGCGCCCGCCCCATCACCATCCCCATCAACACCAGCACCATCCACACAGCCATTCAGCGCCACCGCCGCCCTCTCAAAAGCCGCCAAGACCGCAGAAAAAGCGGACAAGAAATCGCCGCTGGTGCGCAGCTCCGTGGCCGCGGGCACGCCATTGCGGGGTCTGAACTTCGAGAAGAACAAGACGGATCCCGTTGCCAGGGCTGATGATGAGTATCCCGACTGGCTGTGGACGCTGTTGTCGCGCCAGGAGGGCGCGGGGGGGGATGTGGGTGCGGTGGGGGATTTGTTTTGTACGTCTAATATATTTCCTGGTCGAGTATTGAGCTCGCTGCAGTCGACACTGTAGTCGCTGCGCTCGCTAACACCCCCCCCAGCGAAATCCAAGAAACAGCGCCGTCTGGCCGCCAAGCGGCTGCGCAAGGAACAAGCGCTGAACCCGGAGCTGCTCGCGCCCAAGATCCCGCTGTACGAGCAGACCATTGATCTCCCGCGCGGCGACGGCAGCGTGGCGGGCGCGGCGGCCGCGGCGCGCGCCAGGGCCGAGTTGAATGGGGCGATGCGCCACAGGCGGCGTGCGGGTATCAAGGAGGCGAATTTTTTGAAGACGATGGGTTAAACGGCGAGACGGGGGAAATGTGTACAGTACGATGTGTGTGTGTGTGGATGGATGGGGTGGGGATTGGAGCGCCGTATATTAGAGACGGGATGGTTGGAGCATCAGTGAGTGTATGATTGGAGTATCAGTGAGTGTATGATTGTGCATAGTCGACTAAAGGAACCGTCAAAGCCACCATCAAAGCCCCCACCCACGCCTTCTCGCGGTCCTGCTCCATCCCCTTCTCACGGTGTGGCGAGTACACATGCATCGTACACACGAACGAGATGAACACCACAGATGAACACCACAGATGAACACCACAGATGAACACCACAGATGTAGATGCAGACGCAGACGCAGAAGCAAGCATGTAACATTTCGACTCGGCGTACACTACAGTACACTACAGTACACTACAGGCACGCAGCCCCTCGCATGCCCGGTCGTGAGTATATCGTGACGAAGGAGAGCGCAGGCGCAGGACAGGAGGGGAACCGGAACACCCGTCTGAGCGACCAAAGAAACAAATCTTGAGGGAGAGGGAGAATAGTGATTACCAAAGAGCGTGTAAATATCCCCAAGCCAAGCAAAAGTATACACAGGAAGCACCCCAGCCCATCCCACAATGCAGAGTCTAAATCCACGCCATCCGCGGCGCAACAAGCTTCCTGAACAACGGCTCAATCTCAGCTACATACTCTTCGGCGCAGAACCGCGCCAGCCCGCGCGCGCGCATGCACTCGAGATCCGCCTCTTCTTCTGCGCTGCGCGCAACGCCGCTGAACTCCTCCGCCACGGCGCTGAGCTGCGCCAGCTCCGCTGCGAACGGCGCGGGCTCTGCACTCGCTGTCGCCGGACGGAACATGTCCACCGAGCTGCGCTGCTCGCGCAACGAGCCCAAAGAGCCCCGCGAGCTGATGCTGGCGCCCCGCGAGAGGTGCTGCATCGACCGCGCGTGAGCGAGCTGGACGTGTGCGCGCTTGGAGTGGCTCTGTGCGCGCTGCGGGAGCGCGGGGACGGGCTCCGCGGGCTCTGAGGGGTTCTCCTTGACCTGGCTGAGGGAGTGGACGGAGGCTGATTTGCGCAGCGGCTTGCCGGTCGGCGATGGGAAGTAGCCGGAGAGATGGTTGGGTGCTGGCGAGGTGGGCGACGACTCGACGGACGAGGCGTCTGTCTGGGTGTCGCGGCTGCCATGCGAGGACGCGCGCGAGCGGCCCGAGATGCTGGTGTCCGAGTCGTCGGCCGAGTGTGTTGATGTCGACGACGAGGCGGCGCGGGGGGCGGCGCGGTTCATGGTGGCCAGGTCCGGGGCATCGTAGACGAGCGTGTTTGTTGACGAGAGCAGGGCCACGGGCAGCGAGATCTGGGCGCGGTCGATGTGCAGTGTTGGGTTCCTGGCGCTCTTGCTGCGGGAGGGCATGGCGTCCTCGGGCGCGACGGTGCGCTTCATACGCTTGGTCATGGCGCGGGCGAGAGACATGATGTACGATTAATTCTGGATAGATTCGCTAGATGGCGGTGTGTTGGAAATCAATTCCCGGAGCCTTGGTTCGTTATGCTCGCAATTCGGTTCGATGTTGCGGTTGGTTGCTAGACAACGAGTGCAGGAATGCGGGGAGCAAGTTGCGGATAGATTGCTGTGAGAAAGTCCACGAGGTCAGAAGTCGGGGTAAGAGATCATGGAGTAATGCAGCAGCGTTCGTCGTACAGCTAGTGAATGACTTCTGGAAGGGATGCCAGCTGTCTGATTGCGCAGTGTGTCGAGGACCCGTGAGCCTTGAGGTTGCAGATGTCTAAATTGGGAATCGGGCTTGTGATACAAAGGGTCGCAGGATGCAGCCTTGTGATTCAAAAGATCCGATTTGTTCCTGGGGGGACAGTCGATATTGGCGGAGTTTGATATTCTTTGTTTTGGTGTGTTGTAGTGTTGATACGTAGTGTTGATACTGGCTAGCAGCGCGTGACGGGTAACGGTAATGAGTGGTGGGTCGAAATAAAGCAATCTATCAAAGAGCGTAGTGAGTCCAGCTGGGAACCTGTGCCGTAAGGAGTGTCGACACCGGGCCGCGACAAGGAGTGAGTGAATGTTGCAATGAAGCCAAACAAGCAGCAAGGCAAGAGAAGGGAGGGAAGCCTGAAGAAAAGGGCAGTGCGACCAGGGCCTTCGCGCACAAGGCTCAGCAGCGCCGGCGACAAGCCGCGGGGACCTGTCTTCGAAAGATTGGGTCAAGATTTGACGGGTGGGCCAGGAACAGACAGCGGCCAGCGAACCGCATCGCGCACTGGGCCGTGAGCGCTGAGCACCAACTTAGTGGCGCTGACGAAGCCTGAGTGGGCGTAGCTCCTGAAGTGTTTTGTTCAACCTTCGAGGACAAGCGAATGGGAAGCGATTGCGTGGACCGGATGAGGACATACTAGCGCCAACGTGTTCCAGAAATGCTGGGGTTGGCCGGTCCTGTGCATCGGTTGGGCCACTTGGAGTCGCCTGTTTCAACGTCCTGATCAATCGCAGCCAGGCACCGAACCTATTGCCTGATGAAGGGGCGCTGGTGCGAGGCGGCATTGACAGCATGATGACAGACACGATTAGATGCCGGGCGAGCAGACAATGTGACAGGCAGTCGTACAGTGTCAACCACGCGTTGCAGCCAAGTGCCGCTGATTGCCTCGCAACAGGACAAGTGTGCCTGCCGCCTTTGGCCTGTCTGAAGTCAACGAACCGTGGTTGCGTCGAGGCGGCGCGCCTCTAGAACCTTGTGTGGTAGCGTGGAAAACGTCAAAGGCTCTGTCTCGGTGGCGTGCGGCCGTACCTTGCAGACGCTATCAACATATGCAGACGTGTCGGTCTGCCAGCGTCATCACGCTGCCTTGTCTTGTGGCCGTTGGTTTCGAAACCGCAGCACACACAAAGCAAGCGAGCTGAGCAGGCATCGTCCAAGGCGTTTCTGCCGTGAACCGCCATGTCTGGCACGACCCAGAACGTCCTGAGGCACTGCGACCCACATGGTTCCCGGCCTGACCCGCTCAAGATCAGCGGCTGTTCTGCTTGCGGCAGAGACTGCCAGATCGTTCTGCCCGTGTCGAGGACGCTTGATGGCGTTAGATGTGCGGAGTAAGCGTCTCTGCATTTTGCATCGCCGACAAGATCGATGCGGCATGCGTGTGAACATGAGACTCTCAGCCGCCTTCCGAGATGGGATGCAGATCGCCGTGCGTGAAATGAAGGATCGAAATAAGCAAGGGCTTGCGTCGGCGGAGGGACTCTTCTTGAAACATTGCGCGGCTCGAAGCGTGCAATCACGACGGCGCGCACCAGTGTCGAAAACGAAGAGAGTTTGGTCGAGCAACTGAGTTGGCAGCCACTGCAACTTTGACGTCAGACATGATGGTTATGGAGTTGCTGGGAGTGAAGCGACTTGTTCCATGACTCCTTCGGCACCTGAAATTCACTACAAGTTGTTGAGTTGTGCCAGCAGCAGCAAAGGAGCATGTCGTGAGATAACAGATGCGTTGATCTGTGTGTCATGGTGTTGATCTATAACGAGTTCGTGGGTATCTACTCCTCCATCGACTCCCAGCCCTTTTCCTGCTCGCCCTCGTCTCCATCGTTGCTCTCGCCCTCGTCTGTATCTGAGTCTGTGTCCGACTCCTCCAAGCCAACGAGCCTCTCCTTTGCGCCAGGCTTCATCTGCGGCACCTTGCTAGCGAACGCCGCACGAACCGCTGCGTTGGTGCTGGTGTCCCAGATTTGGACAGATCCTTTGCTGCCCGCAACAGCCAGGCGGAACCCGACCTCCTTGTCTGGGGCGAACGACGTCGAGAACACTCTGCCGACGCCCAGGTCTCGCGATACCACCATGCTGGGTCCGTTCTCCTGCACGTTCCACAGCTTGATCTGCTTGTCTGTCGATCCGGTCACCAGGAAGCCGGGGATGATGGGGTTGATGTCGAACGAGGAGATGGACTCGTCGTGGGCTTGGAGCACCCAGGCAGGCTTCGACTGCGATGGGTCTGCGGGTGCCATGCGCGTGTCGTGGTAGTGGATCATGCCGCTCTCGGTCGAGATCTACCGCGGTTAGCCAATGATTGTTTCGAGCGAGGGTGCACACATACGTAGAAGTAGTTGGGGTCGTGAGGGTTCCACCTGACCGCCTCGACGTCACTCTCGACGCCCCATCGCGGTGCCTTTGCCTCGGGAGTTCGCATGTCGGCTGCGACCACTGTGCGATCGTAACTGCCGCTGAGCAGCACGGTAGATTCGATAGGATGCCACGCGACCGAGGACACCTTGTCTGTGTGGTAGGTGTACGACTTGGCGCACTTGGTTGTGTTCAGGTCCCACAGCTTGACCGTCTTGTCGGCGGACGACGATGCGAGCAGGTTCCTGTGCTGACGATTCGCTGCGAGGGAGAGGACCGAGTCGACGTGGAAGTTGTCGTTGACCTTCTTCGACTTCTTCTTCTTCTTCTTGGGTTTGTCTGCGCTTGCATCTTCTGAGCCCTGGCCGAGCACGGCGTCGGGGTACATGCTGTCGACCACGTCCAAGTTCCAGAGCTCGATGTCAGGGTCCATGGTGCCAATCGCAACCGTGTTTCCTCTGCCAGTGCTCGACGCGGCAGACTTGCCCACTGGCAGATCTAGCCACTCGACAGCCAGCGGAATGGCGGGTAGCATGATGTCGTGGTGCACGTAGAGGTTGTCGTCCTCATCCTCGTAGACGTAGACTTCCAAATGCGCGACCTCGTCCTCTATGCGGCCAGCCAGGACCAGGTTGTCGGTTGCGAGAATCTGGAGCTCTTCCCTCTCCTCGTCGTCCTCCTCGTCGTTGCCCTGCATGGTGATGTACGGGTCGTCTTCGTCGTTCTCGTGGAACACGAGGTTGTTCGCATTGCCGAACATGGCCATGGTGTCGCCAGCAGCCTCGTCCACCTCGTCGTCGTAGTGCTCGAGGTCGTATTCTTTAAGGTCGTCATCGTCGTCGCTGGAGGTCGTCAGTGCTGGTTGGGGCATATTCAGGGAGGCAAAACCCACTCGCGGTTCTTCGACTTGGATTTTCCGTTGTGCTTGTCCTCCTTCTCCGCTTGCGCTTCCTCGAGGTCCTCTTTCGCGTCGTCAAGCTGGAGCTTGGCCAGCTGGGATATGCGCTCGTACTCGTCCTCGTCGAACTGGTACTTTTCCGGGAAGGGCGCCGCGAAGCCGCGTGGCACCCACGTTGTCGCTGTGATCATAGACATGTTGCTGCGTGTTCGAGGCGCACAGCGTGAACCGGCGGATGCTGCTTAACTTTTCGGCGGGGCGTGGAAAATCCTTGGCGCGAGCGCAACTTTCTTATCGATAGGGCGGGCAATTCACCCTTCACGTCGGACCTCCGCGCGTGTCCATTAGCCTGAACTGTCTCCCGACCATGGACCGCGGCCACAGCCCCAAGCGGCGCAGGCTCGACGATGACGAGTACTCGATCACGCCGCAGCCCAAGTTTCGCAAGCCACACCGCCCACGCGACCGCAACGGAGCGCAGAATGGCAATGGCGCCGAGGCGCCCCAGAAGCCCTTTGACGGGCCGGAGCCGCTGGTCGAGGACTTCGACTCGATGGCTCTGGACCGCGATTGGTACGGCGGCGAAGAGAACGGGCACACCTTTGGAGACGATTCACACAACCCGTTTGGCGGCGCCGAGAGCTCGTGGCTTGCGTCACAGCGCGAGGCGGCCCTGACGGAGAAGAAGCTGAACAACCGCGCGAGTATGCGAGCGCAGCAGAAGCAAAAAGACGTCGACGCGTGGGAGACGAATCGAATGCTGCAGTCTGGCGTGGCGCAGAGACGGCATTTCGACGACGACTTCAATGATGACGACGAAGCCACGCGCATTCACATCCTGATCCACGATCTGAAGCCGCCGTTCCTGGACGGCAAGAAGGTCTTCACCAAACAGATCGACCCGGTCCCTGCCGTGCGCGATCAGCAGAGCGACATGGCTGTCTTCAGTCGCAGGGGCAGTCGCGTTGTGAAGGAAAAGCGCCAGGCGAAGGAACGGGAGAAGCAGACCAAGGAGGCCACAAGCGCCAAGGGAACAACGCTTGGCAATATCATGGGCGTGAAAGAAGAGGATACAGACAGCGCCGCTCCAGGCCCTGAGGATGGCGAGAAGAGGGGCGGCAGCAAGTTCGCCGAGCATCTGAAGAAACAGGAAGGCGCTAGCGCATTCAGCAAGAGCAAGACACTTAGAGAGCAACGGCAGTACCTCCCAGCTTTCGCGGTTCGGGAGGATCTTCTGCGCGTGATCCGGGACAACCAGGTCACCATCGTTGTTGGACAGACGGGTTCAGGAAAGACAACACAGTTGACACAATTCCTCTACGAAGACGGCTATGCGAACCTGGGCTTGATTGGGTGCACGCAGCCTCGTCGTGTGGCTGCAATGAGTGTTGCCAAGCGAGTCAGCGAAGAGATGGAAGTCAAGCTCGGCGGTACCGTCGGATACGCGATTCGTTTTGAGGACTGCACCAGCAGGGAAACTAAGATCAAGTATATGACTGATGGTGTGCTCCTCCGAGAGTCTCTGGTCGAGCCAGATCTCGATAAGTACTCCTGCATCATCATGGACGAGGCGCACGAGCGTGCGCTGAACACTGATGTTCTCATGGGTCTCATTAAAAAAGTCCTGGCGCGAAGACGAGATCTGAAGTTGATCGTTACGTCCGCCACCATGAACTCGGAACGCTTCTCTCGCTTCTACGGAGGCGCACCAGAGTTCATCATCCCCGGTCGTACCTTTCCTGTCGACATCCAGTACTCTCGTTCACCTTGCGAGGACTACGTCGACAGTGCGGTGAAGCAAGTCCTTGCTATCCATGTGTCGCAAGGTCCTGGTGACATACTGGTCTTCATGACTGGTCAAGAAGATATCGAGATCACCTGCGAGCTAGTCGCAGAACGGCTCAAACTTCTCAACGATCCTCCGAAAATTAGCATCCTCCCCATCTACAGTCAGATGCCAGCAGACCTGCAGGCGAAGATCTTTGAACGGGCTGCACCCGGTGTTCGCAAGGTCATTGTAGCTACCAACATTGCGGAAACCAGTCTGACAGTCGACGGTATCATGTACGTTGTAGACGCCGGATTCTCGAAGCTCAAAGTCTACAATCCCAAGATGGGTATGGATACGCTTCAGATCACGCCAATCTCTCAAGCAAACGCCTCACAGCGTGCTGGTCGCGCTGGGCGTACGGGACCTGGAAAGTGCTTCCACCTGTACACCGAACGAGCATTCAGGGACGAGTTTTACATCCAGACCATCCCTGAGATCCAAAGAACTAATCTGGCCAACACTGTCTTACTCCTCAAGTCTCTCGGCGTCAAAGATCTCCTCGACTTTGACTTCATGGATGCTCCACCGCAGGACACCATCACAACATCGCTCTTCGATCTCTGGGCGCTTGGTGCTCTCGACAACATTGGCGATCTGACATCCCTTGGCCGAACCATGACGGCTTTCCCTATGGATCCTTCTCTTGCAAAGTTGATCATCACCAGCGTGGAGTACGAGTGCAGCGAAGAGATGCTCACCATTGTCGCCATGCTGTCTGTCCCATCGGTCTTCTACCGTCCTAAGGAGCGTCAAGAGGAGTCTGACGCTGCGCGCGAGAAGTTCTTCGTACCCGAGAGTGACCATCTGACACTCCTGCACGTCTACACACAATGGAGAGTCAACGGCTACTCAGACGGCTGGTGCACCCGGCACTTCTTACACCCGAAAGCCCTACGCCGAGGCAGGGAGATCCGCGATCAGATTAAGGACATCATGGAGAAGCAGAAGATGCCTCTTGTCAGCTGCGGGACAGACTGGGATGTAATTCGCAAATGTATTTGCTCAGGCTACTACCACCAAGCCGCAAAGGTCAAGGGCATTGGCGAGTACATCAACCTTCGCACCAGCGTTACGATCCAGCTGCATCCCACCAGTGCACTCTACGGACTTGGATACTTGCCCGATTACGTTGTATACCACGAACTCATCCTCACGAGCAAGGAGTACATGTCCTGCGTTACATCTGTGGATCCGCACTGGCTCGCAGACATGGGCGCAGTGTTCTACTCGATCAAAGAAAAAGGCTACTCGGCAAGAGACAAGCGCGTCACCGAGCGCGAATTTAACCGGAAAGCAGAACTGGAGGCCAAAATGGCGGAAGACAAGGCGCGAGAGGAGCGGAGGGTTGCGGAAGAAGAGAGCGGCCCACTGATCCAAAAGGCGACGCAGAGCAAGAAAAAGGAAGTCGCCGACGGCGTCGTCAAACGGCCGGTCATTGGCATAAAGAGCAAGTTCAAGCGGAGATGATTCCAAGTCCGAATTAGCGAGATGGCTCTAAACTCGGATCGTCGTTGCCGTGTCCGAACGCGTGGGCCGCGGTCGACATCTGGGGTAAAGGTGGAGATTCTTCCGACCACACGACTACGAGATTATCCGTCCACTGAGGCCGCGCGGAGCATCACAATGCTGCGAACACCACAGCTAAGAGAAACAAGTAAATTGAAGCCGGCCCAACGCCTGACTACCGAAGTGTCGACATCCCACAATCTCCACACGTGTCTCGGCCGCATGTCTCAAGCTGACAATTGGTCGGAACCTAATCCTCCGCCCTCCGAAGACCCATGAGCGCCCCTGCAGACGCCTCACGCCCATAGTAGGAAAGGCCCTACCCATCGAATCCTATACTCACTCTCAACGCTCTGCACGATGGTGAATGTCAAGAGATTTAGAGATCATAACCTGCTAGCCCTGAACCTGATTCTATACAACACTAGACCAACTCTGAACCAACTCCAACTTGTAGTCAGGATTCAGCACCCCACATCCTCAGGATTTCGTCCTAAACCTCTAGAGCCTGCGGGGTCGCCTATAACCCTGCTAGAGGCGCGGTATGTCCGGGGAGGCGCTCATGGGGCGTCCGCAAGGCGGGAGGGACGGCGACATTGCATAGGACGATGCAAGGGCCCCCAACGATCCGACATGTATCATGCAGCCCTGCGCGACTGATAAACTGCAGGTACACACTTCCTTTTGGCGGGTGAGTGGCTACCTGTCATCCGCTCCGTTCCCCCGATCACCACACAAGCCCACGCCTCGCGTTTCAGGACGGTTTGGCCGTTTTCTTTTTCCTTTTATTCCTTGTGCGAGACAGCAGTGAGGTTGTCCACGGATCCCTGGGCTATTCGACTGCTTCCAAGACGCAGACTCGACGCAGATGCTCGCCACATACACCCAGTTATGAAGCAATCCGCCATAGATGCAATTCTGGATGGCCCGGCTCTTGCGCCGCCGCCGGGCGTGACGCCCAATTTCGAGAACCCGGTTAATCTGAGTCTTCCGGGGATGGCGGTGCTGCAGCTCGTCGTTGCAACGGCGGTGGTGGGGATGCGAGTGTACACCAAGCTGGGCGTTGTGAGGAAGATGTTGGCTGAAGACTGTCAGTACCTTTGCAGTCTGGGTCGGGGACAGTAAGAGGAGAACGTTTGCTGATCTTTGCTGTAGACTGGTTGATAGCAGCGTGGCTCTGCTTTGCTGGCTTCCATGTCATCGTCTTCATGTTCGAAGACCTGCCGCTGGGTGTGCATCAGTGGGATCTCACTACTCGGAAGGCGATCGTGCATGCACACGTACGTCTCCTGCCTCCCAATTGTTTCTCCTTGCCGGCGCAACTGCTGACGAGACCTAGCTCTTTCACATAGCAGTCACCGTGTACGCGATCAACATCATTCCCCTGAAAATCTGCCTCGTCCTGCAAATCCGGCGCATCTTCATGCCACACAATCGCTCCCTGCACGCTCGCCCCGCCGTGCTATGGACTATCGACAGTTTCCTCGCACTAAACGTCATGTTCTACATCGCGCTCCTCCTCTTCCAGTTCCTCGCCTGCCGTCCATTGGCACTGTCCTGGAACCCCCTGGTCGCGGGGACGTGTGTGAAGGACAAACTAGTCGTGCACATTGTGTCCGCGTCGATCAACACGGCAAGCGACCTCATCATCGTGATACTCCCGCAGCCCGTGATCTGGCGACTGGAGCTCAGCAAAAAGCGCAAATGGGGACTGAGCGCCGTCTTCTTGCTCGGCGGCCTGTAAGCACCAAACTACATTGCTGATCCGACGATGGAAAGCTGACGACTGCAGTGCCTGCGGCGCCTCCGCGGTCCGCCTGTACTACGCAATCCGACTGTATCATTCCACGGACCTGACCTACAGCGCCGCGCTGATGGGCAAATGGGCCGAGCCCGAACTCACATTTGGCTTCCTCGCCGCCTGTCTGCCCGTGCTGCCCGCATTCATCAAACATCTTGTTCGCACGCAGCTTGGGCTCAAGGTGCGCGGGCTGTGGACCTCAAGACCGCTTTCGGACGGCAGGTCCACAGAGAAATTTGACGGCAGTGCAGGCAGGCAGGTCAGGACGATTGGCAGCTATGGCCGTGGTAATGAGAAGGGGAGCCGGATTACGAAGGTTATTGAGTTGGATATTGAGTTTGAGGAGTTGACGCGCGAGTCGAGGGATGGGGCGCCCGTGGGCAGGAGTAGGGGGAGTAGCAGGGAGAGGGACGAGGAGTGGATCATTGGTGCGAGGGGGGTAAGACAGCAGGCCAGTATTGGGCCGCTGAGGAAGTAGCGAGTACTCGGAGCTGTGAGTAATGATGTTAAATTAGCTTGTTTTCCAAGTGTGATTCTCCAAATGGATCCAGCTGTTTCTACCTGTGAAGTTCCTGCAGACAGCTCTCAATCACGTCTGTACCAGCGGCTCAGCCGTGACACGCGGACTCCAAACCAATGCCCAAACCCCCCACCCCATCTGCCTGCAGCCAGGGGTACATCAGTGCAACGGCCCTCCGCGGTTTAGGATCACAGGCGTCTCCAGCGAACGCGAAAAGCGTGCGTAGACCTTCAACATCCCTCGAATCCTCATCTTCGCCCAAGACGTACGTCAAATAAGCCAACCAGCCTTGTGTATATCCCAGATCCAAGAATTATGTCTACGGCCCCACTCCCAGCGCCGCCGACTCCGACATGTCTCAGCTCTAGCTGTCTTGAACCAGGGCTGAGTACGATAGCTCCTCGAAAGCCATAGTTCTTGTCCGAAACTCAATGAGTAACCCGCTACTATCCTCATGCTCCTTGATCGCCATGAGACAAGCAAAGAGGGCTTTGAACTCTGGTGTCCGTACGTATGAATTCCAGAGCGACCAGCATCGCCGGGAACTCATCCTTGGGAGTCGGACATCTCCTGGTCTACCGCCGTTCGCCATGTCGCGTCTAGACCTGGCGCGTTTCAGATCGAGCTCCGGGACGCGAAGCACGACGTCAGCATGCACGACTTCTATACCATTGAATTGAATCGTTGGACGAGGTCCCCAAATTCTGCGCAGTAGTGGCATGTTGCGGCTGGTAGAGTGGAACTTTGGGCCAGTCAGCGCGGTGTGGTTGCAGTCCTGCTCTTTCCAGACCGGGCTACTTGAGCTGGACATTGCTTATTGAGGGGTTTTGAGCGCGGGGGACGCTGCGGTTTGAGCTTGCCTTTCTGCTTTTCGCTTTTGCTCGAGGCCTTTCTGGCGTCCTGATGTTGTCATAATATGATTTCGGATTTAAGGATGCTATTGGTGCAGAAGTAAAGCGATACTTAGGACGTCATTGTCGGGGAGGTTTTGTGTGACTGTCAGCTGCACTAAGGTTCGAGCTGGATCATGGGTCGTAGTCTCTCGCAATGGTGAAATCAACGTCAATTCTATTACACCACAGTAGGTACTGTGGGAATTCGGCTCAAAGTCGAGAGCTGCTCGTTTCGCCCTAAGTGGTCCCGTGAACTCAATGGCTTGATCGGTGCTGAGCGAGGTATAGTTGGTCTTCACGCGCAATCCGGACACCCTGATGGTCTCGGTGATGACACTAGATGCGTAAAGTCTAAATGTGGGGCCATGAAAGATATTAAACGCCGCTGCAGGGCCCTGGGTTTTCCATGGTCCTTCAGGCCAACAAGAAGGGCATCGTTGAACGTGGTTCCATCTGTTGCTCTCGGTGATAAGGCTGGCTTAGGTCCGATTTCGCGGGGAAAGAACGCAAAGATGCCTCGGTCCAAGCGACGTCGACGCCATGAAGCTCGGCCAACTTCAACACCACCATCGATAACGCGTTGTAGCAGTGTTCATCCCCGCCTCAATTGCGACTCTTTTCGGCGTCTCCCTTGATCCCCTCAGCCTTCGTACGAGTCCACGTTCGAACCTCTTGCCAACATGACCACTCCCGAGGAGTTTTTCGGCTGGCTGGGTCGCGACAACAAAGCGGCCGAAGGCAACATGACCTGGTCATCGTTCAAACCCAAGCCGTTCAGTCCAATTGATGTCGATATCAAGATTTCTCACTGTGGAATCTGCGGATCAGACATCCACACCCTGCGCTCCGGGTGGAAGAGTACACGCTACCCAGTCTGCGTTGGGCACGAGATTGTTGGGCACGTTGTGCGTGTCGGAGACCAAGTAAGGCATCTCAAGGCTGGAGACAGAGTCGGTATCGGCGCGCAAGCGTTCTCCTGTCTAGAATGCGAGGACTGCAAAGCTGGACTCGAGCAGCACTGCGGCAAGATGGTCGGTACCTACAATGGAAAGTATCCAGATGGAAGTTCCAGCATGGGCGGCTATGCGGATTTCGCGCGCGTCCCAGCCCACTTCGCCATTAAGATCCCTTCTGCGCTGAAGAGCGAGGATGCCGCGCCGATGATGTGCGGTGGCATCACAGTCTACTCACCATTGAAGAAGAACGGCGCCGGACCCGGCAAAAGAGTGGGCATCGTGGGCCTAGGTGGTCTCGGCCACTTCGGAGTGTTGTTCGCAAAAGCTCTGGGCTGCGAGAAGGTCGTTGCGATCTCGAGACGAAGAAACAAGGAGAAGGACGCAATAGCGATGGGCGCAACAGATTATATTGCAACTGCCGAGGACGATAAGTGGGCCCGCAAGCATTCGCAATCACTTGATCTTATCATTTCGACCGTCAGCTCGCCCGACATGCCATTAGAGTCGTACCTTCGACTGTTGAGGACGAACGGCACGTTCATTCAGGTCGGTGCGCCAGAAGACAAGCTGCCCAGGATCGGTGCCTACAGCCTCATACAAAAAGGCGTAAAAGTTGGCGGTAGCAACATCGGTAGTCCAAAGGATATCGAAGAGATGCTCAACTTTGCCGCCGAAAAGGGCGTGAAGCCGTGGATTGAGCAGCGCAGTATGAAGGACGCGAACCAGAGCGTTGTAGATATGGAATATGGCAAGGCGCGGTACAGATATGTGCTCGTCAACGCTGACCAAGATGGTCGCGCAAAATTGTAGTTGTTGAGTAGGTGGAAAAAACCACTGCACTTCGTATGAAGAGATCCTGACTCGCGATTGCTGCCTCGTATTAACCGTATTCAGCGATGCAGGTGCAACCGAATTGGCAATTCCTGCCGGCACTGATCACGAAACATTTTGTCTGCTCTCGTAACCCTAACATCTCCACAAACATTGCGCCAACTGATCCTTAGCCAATGCCAGCCGTTCCAGCAAAGCGCAAAACTCATTCGAAATCAAGAAAGGGTTGCCTGCAATGCAAGAAGAGACACACTAAGGCAAGTGCTACCCCGCGTGCTTAACGGCCACTCCAGCCAATAACAGCCCCTGCCATATATGAGTGCAGCCTCGTTACAGCAACTGCAGCCTGGGGGCTTACTGTTCGCAAAAAACTGACTATCAAATCCAGTGCAACGAGGAGCACCCGACATGCGCTAACTGCGTTCGACTGGAGGTCAAGTGTGAGTGGCCGCCTCCGCGGGCCAAGGTACAACATGCTTCACCACAACCAACCAGCCTGGGACAGGGCCCTATGACTCGAGAGACTTCGTGCATCAGCAGCCCTCTCCAAACATACTCGATAGGAGCGCGACCGGCATTCTCCCTCGAAGACATGCAACTGTTGCATCATTGGACGACAAGAGTCTATTTGTTCCACGACCCTACGAACGAGGACGACAAGTGGATGTGGAGCGAAGGTATTGTCGGTGTAGCATTCCAACACACATTTCTTCTCCACGGAATTCTCGCTCTTTCAGCATTACATAAGACGTTGATTGACGATCAGGGCAGTCGTGCCAGCTTGCTTGCGCTGGCTGATACACATATGTCTGCGTCCCTCGCAACATATCTGAGGCTACTGGAAGAAAATGCTACAGAAACAGTCGTACCATGTTTTCTCTTGTCGTCGATCTGCTTCGCCTACAACCTTGCCACCGCCCAGATTGAAGAGCCTGAAGATCCACTCAGCGCTATCTTGCATTGCTTTCGCCTCCTTCGGGGAGTGAAAGTCGTCATTGGTCAGCACTGGCTGCAGCTTCAGAAAGACAATATGATATATAAGTTGCTCGCTCCTGTGCGTTTCATGGACGAGACCTCGTTGCCCGAGAATACCGAGTGTACCCCTCTACTCAACCTGAAGCAACTCGCCGAGCAGCTCGATGCGCCACAAAAAGAGATATGCATAGAGGCTATTGAGAACCTCCATGAGACATTTATTAAGACGACGCTGTGCTCCTCAAGGAATCAAGAGAACAGCATAATCATGACATGGTAAGTTGGCTGACCTGATCGTAGTTGATACCAACTGACCGTATGTAGGTCCGCATTGCTGACTAACGAGTTTCTGGACTTATGCCACACTCGTAACCACGTCAGTGCTCTTATAATCGTTTACTGGGCAGTTTTGCTGGACCGTAATACACACGCTTGGTGGCTGAGAGGTTGGCTGCTCCGATTGATCCGCGCATGCGAGGAGCTCTTTGCGCCGACTCCAGAGCTTCTAAAGTGGCTCGATTGGCCCATGGAGATGTCAAAATACCAGCCAGATCGCCTCGCGACTCTGTGCACAACTCGTCCCTCGCCCATGGTACTCACGCCAACCGCTGGGACAACATCTATCGACACACCAACTTCAAATCTCCGCGGCGCTCTTGGAGCGCTTCGGGACCAAGGCCAAACTTGAGATCGTTCCACTGGAATGATCTCAAGTCTGGCCTTCCAGTGAGAGGGACCTAGCGAGAGGCCTATTTCCTGGATCTCTTGCAGTCTCGCCGCAGTGACCGTCAGTAAGCACTTGCTCTTCCATGACCACCGAAGAAGCAAAGGTTGACTTCCACACCAGCCAGCGTCGATTTCGAAAGCTTTGTTTACCGTGTGGAAAGCTTGGCATCGCCAGCTTCCGACAAAATGCTTATCCGCATCACGAACGGTCGTGTGCCCTCCTTCCTATCTCGCGCTAGCACAGGAATTGGCGGACACTCCAGCAAGCCGCATCTCCAGACCATGTTATCAGCATCGAATCACACCGAGTACTGAGCGCAGATGCGCATTTCCCCGCTATCGGACCCGGATATTCGGTCGTTCCTGCAGCGATTATCTCGAACTATCGTCATGGTGCTCCGGGGTTGCGACTTGCAAGGGTAGAAGTGGGAATAGTCTGAGCAGTAGAAGAATATATAAGAGCAGAGATACGGTAGTAGGCAACTTCAGGCAACTGTCAATCGACCCTGTTTGGTCACGTCTCTTCAATTGGACTTGGAGCTCTCCTGTATACTGTCAAGATGCGCGTTTCTCTGTCAACAGTGCTCACCGCAGCCTTGGGCCTTGCGTCCTCGAGCAATGCTTTGAGGATCCTCATGGGCAATGACGATGGTTTTGGTAGTGGCAACCTGCGCGAGCTTTACAAACTCCTCAAGGAGGCTGGTCATGAAGGTACGCTTCAACATATCCCGGGTCATCTTGGAGGTCAGCTAACATTGTTCAGTCCTCGTAGTCGCACCCGCCCAACAACAGTCCGGCAAAGGAAGCACTGTTATCTGGGCCGAGGGGGCGAACCTCACCGTCGCCTCGCAATACGATATTGTTCCTGCCGGATCCAAGTCAGTGGGCCGCGATCCCAACGACGAAGACATATGGTACTACGACGGCACACCGGCCGCATGTACCTTTGTCGCCCTCGACTACGTCCTTCCCCGCTACTATCCTGACTGGCACGGAACTGCCGATCTTTTCGTCTCAGGCCCCAATTATGGCACAAACCTCGGCGCCTTCGTTATGGGTCTTAGCGGTACGGTCGGGGCAACGTTCGCTGCCGTCTCGCGCAGCATCCCCGGTATCGCAACCAGCGCGTCCAACAAAGCAGTACCGTACTTCAACGTCACTGGCCCGAATCACCCCGCTATGCTCGCGGCGAAGGTCAGTTTCGAAGTCGTCAATGAGTTCATTGAGAACACACCGTCTGGCCAGTCCATCCTCCCTCTCGGATACGGCGTAAACGTCAACATCCCCGAGCTCGTCAACGGCACCACACCACCTGTCGTCAAGACCCGCCTCACAGGGAATGCAAACACAGACGTCGCCGTGTACAACGAGACCTCAGGTCTGTTCACCTGGGACAACCTCGACCCGGTGGCGGCGGGTATCAATGCCGCTTACAATGGCGACACGAGTCTGCCAGGTGAGACCTGGGTTGTTGCGGGAGGTAGTATTAGTGTGAGCGTGTTCACAATGGACTTCAGTGCGCCAGAGACCACATACACGGAATTGGTCTATGGCAAGGTAGAGAGCTTGTTCTCTGGAGGCAATGGTACAAAGACAGGGTATAGCAAGAGGATGATGGAAGACAGAATGAGGAAGAGGGGTGTAATGATGACAGGAAGGGACGCGTTGTAGATGTCGTAGTAAATCGTCAAGCTCGCTCGACTGCACTTGCGCGTTCGGCTGCTTCTGAACGCCCAAATATTCAACGAATGTAACAACCAGCTGTTTCTAGTAGCGGCGTTCATGCTTTACGCTCGCGTTGGAGTCGTAAATGGGAGCTGAAGAGATTGTACGATGAACGTTCATTAGGGGAGCAGCAGGCTTGCATCGTAATTAGCCAAACATCGACAGACGAATGACAGAGTAACAGGCTTAGGCCTTTTGCACAAAGTCACATACATGCCTTCAGATGGGTATAGTAAAATATTGAGCCCCTCGGATGCTTCGTGAACACCAACCTCATGAACATGTGATGATACACATTCGCCCGATCTTCAACGCCGCCACATGCTCAGTCATCTGATCCATCCTCAGGCAGATTCTGCAGCACATCCTCAACTATGCTAATGAGCTCATCAACATCAGGTCTCTCACTCGGCTCGAGCGTCAGGCATTTTCGCACAACGTCCTTAACAGCGTCGCTAATTCCCTCCCCGTCTGCTGGCTGCTTCTGCTTGCCCCGCTGTGGCCCCTCGTCAGGGAATCTCCAATCGCCGCCGAGTACGCAGATGCTCAGACTGCCACCAGTCTCGTCGCTCCTGGACTCGAATGGCGACTTGCCAACCAGACACGCGTATAATGTGCAGCCGAGCGACCAGATATCGACCTTTGTGTCGATGACGGAGCCGGTCTTGACGTCGAAGAGTTCGGGCGCGCGGTAGGGCATCGTCGAGTGTTCGGCGGCTGTGTCTTGTACTTGTAGGGCGAGCGAGCGCGACGTAATAGGCGTTGGTGAGGGTGCTAACGAGCCGAGATCCATGAGGATGGGAGACTTGCCATCATCGTCAATCATGATGTTGCCTAAGAACATCAGCTTTTCGAGATCATGTTCACAAACCCTCGATACGTACCAGGCTTAATGTCACGGTGGGCATATGCCCTTTCTCCGCCAGGCGCAATACCTTCCTGTGCCATTGTGACATTGCTCTCCTCAAGCAAACCCTCTGCCTGCTCGTCGTCTTCGTCGTCATTCTCATGGTGTCTCCGACTTGGCCTCATCTCCATGGTATGTGCTGCTGCGGCATCTGCGCGCGCCGCCTCTCTCCCGACCTTCTTGGCCTTGCTGTCGCTCTTTGCACCGCCCGGTGCACCTTTGACCTTGTACTGATGCATGGCTTTGAGCGCCTTGCAGACTCCCAGGAATAGTACCATCAGCCGCTTCTCAGGGAAAGTTGTGTGGTTGACCAGATTCGCGTTGATCATGTCCTGCAGATTGCCGCGGCGGTAGTACGGTAGGAGAATGTAGACGGTCTTCGCCGAGGGGTCGGACTTGTCTGTCTCGACCGAGTAGTCTATCGAGTGGATGATGTTGGGGTGCGGCGAGAATAGTGTATATGCTTCCACCTCCTTCAACGCCAAGCTGACACTCTCCTGGCCGAAAGGACATCTTATCTTCTTGAGCGCGAGGAGTTGCTGATTCGAGTTGTCTTGTACGAGGTACACATATGAGAAACCGCCCTGCACGTCGTTAACTGGCTATGCCTGTGAGGGATAAGCAGCATAGTAGGCTCACCTCGCCGAGCAATCGCAGTATCTTGAAACTGCGACTGTTGATCTTCAGCTGTGGTGAGCTCGGAAAGCACACCATGCAATTTGTGAACGAGTAGACTACGTCCAGAAAGTATGTGGCTAATGATCCCATCGTGCAGGGTGTGAGTGCGTACGCAGCTGTTAGGAGCTAGGGGAGCTCAGCGCTGAGCGACGAGCGCGAAAGCCACGTAGCTTCGGAAATAGGCGGACGATCGCGGGAGTAAGGGATGTGAGGTTTGAAGTCGTGATACGGGCGGATTGATCGGTGAATCGTGTCTGTTTGTTAAATGTCTCTTGTTGTTCCCGACTTGGGCGCAACGGTGTTCGGGAGCTGACGGGTGGTTCGCCCAGGACGCGCCAAGTTGTGGCTGTGCGCCAGGTCCAAGACGCGCGAGCCCCACACACAGCCGCAAACTCAATTCGCTTCGAAGCGGCTCTTAACACTGGAGAAGAGCGGCCGATTGCGCGTGCTGCGTCCTTAATATTAAGTATATATTAATTTAAAATCGGATTTCGTTCATGAACAAGAGTCAGGGCGTCTGGCGCAGTGGTAGCGCGTCCGCTTTGCATCATCGCAAGCTTGCGGAAGGTCTAGGGTTCGATCCCCTAGTCGTCCATCTCTTTTTGTTTCAATCTTACGTCTATTCATTCCCTGGCCAACTCGAACAAGATTTGTTGTCGCAGTATTGTGCAGCCGTGTTGTTCGATGGTAGATTTTTCTTGGCGCCGTGTTGTTTCTGATCGCCGTGGATAAATAAAATGACTTCAATCAAGTATTGCAAAACTTGGCAGCGATATATTGTTTGCTCGGTTGTTGAAGCTTGTTGCATAATTAACGTACGACCTTGTAAACATGATGGCATTCACCTATCCTCCAGCGACATCTGCTGCCTCTTCACATAGCTTGGGCAATCTTCACGCTCAACCTTTTGTACATCTTTCGTGCTCTCTGCGTACACCTGTCTGGCCTTCGGCAAGGTTCTAAAGCTTCATTCGACTAATTTTATCCAGCAGTTTACCACTTCCGTTGCGGTACACCTGATCGTGATCTTCCTCTTGTATTTTACCGTCTCAATACCCCTCTCATCAAACCTATGACTCTGCCATGGTCGACGAACACTTCGCCATTGACGTAGCTAATGAACTGGTTAGAAATATGGTTAGCGATATGGCGGTCTGTCTCAGTGAAGTGCTCCCGGTATGTTTACAATAGACACGCGACGTCGAGCTCGTACGAGGGAAAACCTTGAGATTTGCGGTCGAATGGGTTTGGTACGTGGAAGTGATGCTTCGCTCCCATGCCGCGGAAAAGACCGGATACAAGCCTCGAAGATGTCAAGGTCTTGCGCAATGGTTTTGCACGAGACCTGTCACCTGTGTCAACACGGCTTCTCGAGACTACAGTCACGTGTTCTTTTGTATCCAGCTATCTCCGTGACATAGGACGTTTGTCTCCTAGAACTCTTATGGAGGCAAACTCGCAAGGCTGCAATTCGAAGCCTCAAAGAAGAGTGTTCATAGTTTCGGTGGATCTGCAGCGTTGCCGACGGCAGCAACCACGCTAATTTCGAAAGCCGACGACATCGCACCGACTTCGGCTCAACATGCACCACATCCCCCAATCACCACATCGGCCATCATGCCAAGCTGAGAAGTCTGTACCAGCTAAGCTTTGCAAAGCAATGTTACGGCCTACTGAGGCCTGCCTCCGAGCCATCTGCGCAAGCAACGACGGTGAGCCGGTGACGGCTGACAGGGTTCCTGGATTGACGTCAAGTTAACTGCAACTGACGATTCGGAACAATTGCCGACATGCAATGCTCTGGAGATGGCGCCTGGGCAAGCAGCTTTCGTGCAGTGTTCGATGCAACATCCATCCACTTCCCCTCTCCGCTAAGCCAGGGCGCGGGGTGAACTACGGCAAAGATGCGGACCAGCTCGTTACGGGGCGCATGCATCGTGCATCTGTGGGCACGGCATGATGTTATCGGGGCAACTGTTCGAGTGTATAAAGTCTTCACTTTTGACGGGTCTCACGTTGTCAACCACAGCCCCACGAGACCTTAACAGGCTTCAAACAGCATAATGAAGTCCTCTGACCTAATTGCTTTGAGCATTGCGCTCTACTCCGGCTCGGCCCTTGCGCAGAGCTACACCAATCAGTCTGAGGTGCCGCTCTACGGCCAGAGTCCTCCTGTCTACCCTAGTCGTAAGTTGTGATAAGTTCTGTAGTTGTCAGTATATTGACGAAGCCAGCGTGCGGTAATGGCCTAAGCTCCTCGTCCTGGGCGGATGCATACGCTCGAGCGAGAGAGTTAGTTGCGAGGATGACTCCCGAGGAACAATCGAATCTTACTCACGGCGTGAAAGGGCCTTGTGTTGGGCAGACAGGCGCAGTTCCACGTCTCAACATTCCGGAATTGTGCTTTGCGGACGCACCAGCCGGCGTACGCGGACAAGAATTTGTCTCTTCGTTCCCTTCTGGTATACACCTTGGTGCTACTTTTGACCGCAATTTGATGTTACTCTACGGCCATGCACTCGGTCGTGAATACCGCGGAAAGGGCATCCACGTGGCACTTGGACCTTTCCTTGGTCCGATTGGGCGGGTCGCTAGAGGTGGGCGAAACTGGGAGGGCTTGGGAGCGGACCCCTACCTGGCTGGAATCGGTGGAGGTCTCATCACAAGAGGCACACAAGCGGAGGGGGTTATTGCGACGCCAAAGGTAGGTCTCTCTGAGGCAAATAATGGACAATGCAACCGGCTAACGATATGACAGCATTGGTTGCATCAAGAGCAGGAGTACAGGCGCATGCCTGGATCTGAGGGTGAAGCTGTGTCATCAAACGTTGATGACCGGACGACCCATGAATTGTATGCATGGCCTTTCATGGATTCGTTAAGAGAGGGTGCAGCATCTCTTATGTGCTCATACCAGCGAACGAATAACAGCTACGGTTGCCAGAACAGCAAACTTCTTAATGGCATCCTCAAGACCGAACTCGGCTTCGAGGGTTTCGTGGTTTCCGACTGGGATGCACAGCACTCTGGCGTGGGATCCACCAACGCAGGTCTTGATGTTGTTATGCCAGTAGCGAAGTTCTGGGGTAACAACCTGACTGAAGCTGTGGCAAACGGTTCGGTGTCAACCGGCAGGCTTGATGACATGAACACACGGTTGCTTGCGGCTTTCTTCTACCTGAAGCAAGATCAAGGGTTTCCCGAGAACGCAGTCTACCCGTACAACGCCATCCATCCAATTGTCGACGTACGTGAAGATCATGCCTCCCTGATCAGGGAGATAGGCGCTGCTGGCACCATCCTCGTCAAAAACGTCAACAACACATTGCCTCTCCGCAATCCCCGGTTCTTGAACATCTACGGGTACGATGCCGAGGTCAAGAGCCAGCCATGGAACAACCCATCTCGTTTCGGTGGCGGATACGAGGAGAACTTTGGATGGAACACTCTCAATGGCACATTGATTACCGCGGGTGGTTCGGGGTCAAGCACGCCACCCTACGTGGTCAGTCCCTTCAAAGCAATTCAGGACCGTATTATTGCAGCACGTGGTACTCTCCGTTGGGACTTCTTTGGCGTGAACCCGACGGTGTATGCCAACGCTGAAGCCTGCCTCGTATTCATCAACGCCTACGCATCCGAGTCCTTTGACCGCACAAGCCTCACTGATGACTTCAGCGACCAGCTAGTCAACAACGTTGCAAAAAATTGCAGCAACACCATCGTCGTTCTTCACAGCGCTGGCATCCGTGTCGTGGATTCGTGGGCCGACCATCCCAATGTGACTGCAATCGTCTTTGCAGGTGTGCCCGGACAGGAAAGTGGCAACGCACTTGTTGATGTCCTTTACGGTGACGTGAACCCCTCCGGCCGTTTGCCGTATACTGTAGCACATAACGAAACGGATTACGGACATCTTCTCAACTCCACCGTCGACCCTACGCATCCCGCTTTCTTGCAGAGCAACTTTACTGAGGGGCTATACATCGATTACCGCGCATTCGACCTGAAGAATATCACTCCGAGATACGAGTTCGGGTATGGTCTCTCATACACAACGTTTGAGCACACCGATCTTAGTGTCGAAGTCGCGACCAACGCTTCTCTCTCAAACTTCCCTTCGGATTCTGTTCCAATTGTCCAGGGCGGCCATCCAGAGCTCTGGCAGGTACTCTACCGTGCACATGTTAATGTCACCAACACGGGTGGTGTTGCAGGACACGAGGTTGTACAGTTATATATTGGCGTGCCAAATGCGCCTGAGCGACAGTTGAGAGGCTTTGAGCGTGTCGGCATCCTTCAACCTGGCGAGAGTCAAGAGGTTCAATTTGCGCTAGACCGACGCGATCTGAGTATATGGAACGTTGTGGCGCAGAAGTGGGAGCTGCAGAAGGGAGCCTACAAGGTCTGGGTTGGAGCGAGCAGCAGAGATATCAGGGCTGAAAGCGAGATCGTTGTGCAGTAGAGAATTGATGTGAGAGTCGGTATCGTTGCCCTGCAGTTACTAGCACGCCATGGTCTACCCCTGGTGCCACAGTGGAAGTCCCTCGAAATTGATGTCTGCTTGAGAAGTTGCACCGCGCGGTCACGGTTCATATTGTCATCATAAGCTATTATCAGACTGATGAGATGTGGTCGAGTGGAGGTAAAGGGGCAGCTACCTATATGAGGGGACAAGAGTCTTAAATTCGGCACTTGGTTGACTGGCAAGACATCTGCTCTCCATACCCGTCGACAGCTATTCCATGGCACACTCCAAATATATCTCGGTCATACCGTCTGCTTCGAAAGGGCAAACCTCTGCTGGCCCTGCTCGATCTCCGAAAAATTCGGCTCGATGGGTTGAAGACAGTCAAGATCGAACAGGTCAGCTACTAGCTCCGTGGCTTCTTGGGACACATGTATTGATATGGACGCCAGGCGCTTAGATAACGACGTTCATGACGTGGTGAACCGACCCTTTGAGCTCAAGAGAATCTTGACAAAATCCAGTCTCTGTGCCCGAGTAACTGTGCAACTGCTGGCCGTTCCTTTTCTTCATCAAACTGCTAGCGGGACGATGGCGATAGGTACGGCGCTTTCGTAATATTGCCAGTCTGTGTCAAAACTCAGTAGCAAAGGTTGCTCGGCCGGTCTGGACTGTGTTGCTACGGCAATTGTGATATCGTATGTGCCTCAAGCGATGATAATTATTGAAAGGAAGGGTTCACTCACGAGTCGACAGTCTTGGACCCTGCAGTCATAATCTCCATGAAAATGAGGCAAACGATCATGTCGTAATTGAACCTTCGTTATTATGATTTATATGTGGGCGATGCGCAATCTGCAGGTGCATTGTGTCCCTGCTCCTTCCAGAGTTTGCTGGTTCTAATTGAAGTTGCCGCGTTCCTGCCTTAAAGGGCCTGACGTTCTTTTCCAGCGGCTTCGTAAACATCTCATTTATTCAAGCCCATTTTCCCACTAGAAGGATCGCCAGTTGATATTGAAAGAATTCCATGGCAAACCTGCCGGTCAAGTCCGCACTCACGACATGATGTAGACTTTGACACAAGCTATAACACACACTGTCGTGGTTCAAGAAGAGACGTATGATTTGCTGTTCTAGCAGGTACAGCTGATGTGAGGGCTGACGATGTCAAGAGCGACCGACCATGCGACTTCAAGCAGCCAAGGTGCTGGTGCATAGATTCGATTGGACCGATGCAGCTCCTATCGTGTGACCTTGCTCGATGTCTCTGGACATATTAGGTAACTTCGGGATATCGTATTTGATTCATCCACCACGTTCATCTCCCGTGCACGAACGCGTATTATGGTGTGCTATCTGTCTGCCGAGCGACTAGGAAAGGCACCTCTGCACGAGATAAGGAGTTGAACGCCCTTGAGGAAGTGGGCTAGGGCGTAACCCGGCCTCAGAGCATAGTCGTACCTTGCTTGTTTGAGATTAGCCCGCTTAGCGGCTGTGCGAGTCTACATAGCGTCTGCCTTTCTATCTAGTTCACCATCCACACAATCCTGAGCAACTGGACTCGAGACAACGCTTATTTCTGCAACAACATCATGTCCACATCAGGGAAATCCCACGGCCTAGGGGCTATACATCACAAGTTGAAGACGATTTCCTAGTAAGTGGCCACTTGTTTCGAGTGTCTAGTTTACACTGACCACATGCAGCGATGTGCGTGTGCCACGATACTCAGGATTCCTTAGTTACCCGGCCGAAGTACGCAACATGATCTATATGTACGTTTATGGAGATTTTGGAGTCTTTGCAGAAGCAAAAGACAACCTCGCGAGGCCCACGATGCTTATAGAGCTCGACGACGTCAACGCCGACGATACCGAGAAAGGCGAACTCGTCAAGTTCGGCTCTTCGTATCGAATTACAGGTTTACATCACACCTGCCGCCAGCTACGTCGGGAAACCGAGGACTCTAATCCCCTCTGGAAGGTCATACATGGAACTTCACAAGCTCTTCTCCGTATATTTCACCAGCCAAATCCATTTGAGTCTTTGAGGATTGTCAACATCTCTTTAGGACTGGGAGACACTGTATATGCGCATGGGGGATTCGGTCTTTCAAGCGGATTCACTTACTTGCTGTCTCATCTTGTTGGCTTAAGATTTCTGAAAAGAGTAAGAGTCTTTGGATGCGTGGATTTTTTCGGCTTCGAGGAAGACGCTGCTTTTAAATGTACTTGGTTATACCTGCAGATAAGGATGTGTTGTAGACAAGATTTTATGCTGGATTTTCGTTCGTCCAGATCATTGGAATAAAGTTCTTGTTTCAAAGACGGACAGGGAGTGGTCAAACGATAGGAAGGGGGTTCTAGAGCGATAACGGAGAAGCGAGCTTTGCGTAAAAATTGCAGATGAAAAGCGAAAGTAAAGTCGGCCAGGATTGGCATATATTGGTGTCTGGACCTGGCCAAAGGGATAAGTGTCTAGATATAATTGTATGGTTCTTTTAGAAGTTAACATGATAGTCCTTGAGAGGTTGAAAGAGCCAAAAGCATGATACCGAACAGGCTCCACTCCTCTGCCCGGAGCACCAAAGATGTAGCATGCATATTGCAACAAGAGATGTCGTCTAACCACAGCGACCGCCTAGATGTAATAGCGAAAAGAAGAAGTCCTTGCTCGATTGCTACAGTGGTAGCAGAGGCGTTTGGCTGTCAACCCCACTGCTCGGCACTAAGAACGACCTCGGGGAAGTTATTGCCGCGGAAGACGCTATCAGATTTGTTCTTCAGCACGAAATCCAGAAAATGTGTTACGTATGAGACCGTAAGGTTCATCATGCGACTGCCTTCGATAGTCCCCAAAAGCTGTCCAGCCTCTTCAGGTAATTGTCCTTGCAGACCAAGTGTCTCTACTACGAGCGGGAGATCCGAGAAGCTGTAGTGGGCGGTCTGCTTCACCTCAAACTCTTTCTTCCACCCTGTCAAGTTTGGCCATATCGAATTCCATGATGGGTCCGTCTCCTGCGTCTTATTTTCATGACCCATGAGCAGGAATGGTCGGTTCAAACCAGTCGAAAGGACAGTTCCGAACATACTGCCGTCAAGGTTAACGCCACCGCGAATTGACGGAAGACGTAGCATGGCAGATGCTGCAGCGGCACCTCCAAAAGAATGTCCTACGATAGCAGTTCTTCGAAGGGATTTCTTGCACCCATTCCCCTGTCCCTGAAATAGAGCATCTGCGAAGGACTGGTTGCCTAGCTGCCGGTGCACATAGGCAATATCTTCCACGCGTGTAGTGAGTGCCGCTTCGAGATCGTCGTCGCTAATATCGACACCTTCGACCATGGTACCATCCGGAAACTCGACTACATCGGCATCGTAGGGATGGTCTAGCGAGATGACCAAATAACCGGCCGCCGCGATCGATTGTAGCATGCTGCTGTACAGCAGGCGTGAAGTCCCAAGGGCTCCAGAAAAGAGGATGAGCGGGAACGCGTCTTCCTTTCCCTGCCGACGTGAGGCAGAGGGTCGGGAGACACAGGTCTCGAGCTGTAATGCCGGGAAAGACTCGTTCGGCAGACCGTATGCGCCGAACTTTTCGTCCTCGAATGCCGCGGTTGCCGGTGGCATATAATCCTGAAGTTCTTTGCTTCGGCAGCCGGCGATAGGTGTGAACGAAGATACTAGGATCCTACGGAAGCTCCCATCCTTAGCGAAAGGGTCGAGTCGTCCAGTATCGGCCAAGGATGCCGTAGAGATGGCGACTTCATAATCGTGGCGTCCAACAATGGGCAGTGTGCTCGCAGTCACGAACGACAACGCGATCAACGGAATGAACAGGAGGCTTGATCGGGCCATGATGGATTGGACAGTGTAGAAGAAGGAAGCTCAAGCACTGATATTCGATTTCGGATGTAGTCTAGGAGGGCTGGCGCCCTTGCATCCTTATATACCACAAAGAGCTGCGAAACCATCGCTGAGACTTTTTTTGGAGCGTTCTTTCGCTTCCTCAACTGGATTCGAATGTTGCGTTGGTGCACATAGGTACGTCTTTGGCAGAAATCAGCCTCAAGATCCCTAGACCGAATGAGTTTAGACGCGCTCTTTTTCTGCCCAATTCGGTCAAATACGTCTCCACTCTTCCTTCCCCCACGTGTCCGAGCAGTCATCGCAGCTTCAATGCTGTTCTATCAATTGACCCAAAGATGTCTGACATGCAAGAATTTGGCAATGAAATGACTCGATACACCCTGTGTTGGTTAGGTCCCGAAGGATGACTGCGCGCGACACCGCTGCCTCTTTCTTTCTAGCATTCAGAGGCTTACACTACCACCCCAAGCCCCATCACGCTCATATCAGCCTCCTGCATACATATGGCGCAAGCTATTGGACCCTATGACGGACGGAAGGCACGCAAGAAGCGATGTGACCGCTGTGTCGAACGAAGGATCAAGGTAGGACTCGACTCGCACAAGCTGAAGGAGCTCTTGCTAGAAACCATTGATCCGCTTTCACGGTCGCTAGCTGACAGACAGTACCAGTGTGTTGGTGGATGTCCCTGTCTAAACTGTACCAAGACAAATCGTGCATGCCACACGACGACGGCACGGAAGACCACCGGGCCGATCTTCGTTCACGCAACCCAAGCGTCCTTTCCTCATAGAGGCCGCTCCCACGTGACAGAGACAGTGGTAGATTTACCTGCACAAACGTCTCCCGTCTCGAGTGACTTTTACGTCACGTACTTCTTCACGTCGTTTCTGTACCAGAACTCGTTTACCGGCATCACCCCGCAAATCGGGACCGCGCTCTCGTCTCTGTTGCACTACTCTCCCGAGCTTCACGATGCGATCAATGCAATTTCGGCGCTTCACATGACCCGGAACGGTTACTTGAACTCTATCCAAGACGACAAGCTTGCAGCATTGAAGGCCTATTCGCGATCCGTGCAACGTGTACAAGGAAGAATAGTATCGAAATCTTTCGTTTGCGATCCGTCATCGTTGTGGACGACGCTATTACTCGGCATCTTTGAGGTGAGCAGATACTGCTGTAGCTGGTATTTGAGATGTACGATTTGTTACTAATCCTGCACAGCTGATGCGCGACCACACGGGTGCAAACTGGCTTGCGCATTTCTTGAATGGCACAAGTACCCTGCTGCAGCTGCAGGGACCAGGTCTTCTAGAAACCCAAGATAAGGAGAACGAACATCGTCAAGCATTCTTCTTCAGCACACGTATATTCGAGATCTCACGTGCTTTAATCTACACTGAGCCTACCTTCCTCGCAACGCCGAAATGGAGCACCGCCATCGAGGCTTACTGGATTCAGCGCCCCGGGGCTTGGACATCCAAGGAGGCCTTATTCAACATCCTACCTCAGTTCGTAGATCTTGCCATAAGAAATCTTGAATTTGTCATCAGCGCTGAGGATATGCTCTGGCAAGAGCAGAACCAATGCGCAACGTCGTTGGCCCAAGAGGGTCTTGTCTTGCAGTCTGCACTTCTCCAGTGGCAATTGGACTCTCTTTTGAGTACACCACCCGATATCCAGGAGAATCGAACCGATGCCGAGACGCTCCTCGCTCAGTTGTACTACCACACCATCTCCATCTACCTCGATGGCATCTTCTCGTACCAAGTGCCCTTCACAGCGACATCCGCACCGGTTTCACCAGTCTTGGACCGCATTACCGTAGACAATCACGTAGACTCAATTTTGAGCTTGAGCCAGGGCCTGTTAGCTCAGGGTACTGCGGGGATCTTCCTATTCTTCCCATTGAGAGTCGCAGGCGCCCGCGCAAGGAACTCCTGGACCCAGGCCGAGATATTACGGTTGCTGCGTATCATTGTGAAGCGAGGCTTTGCAGTGGCCACGTCGTTCGTAGAGGATCTCAATAATCTGTGGGTGAAATGGCGATAGAAGGAAATATTCAGGGGACTTGTTGCGAAAGGTTACACGTCCATCACTGAAACTACTCGCAACCCATCACACTGCATGTTGTGACATGAGAGCACAAAATGATGGATTCGAAGAGTTCTCATGTATGTTTGCGCGAGTCTAGCGCACTGACATCTACCATTTGGAGTCTGACACGAGATGCTAATACACATGCGCGCTTTGTCCCAGCTTTGGCCTCCTCTCTGTGCAGCCTTCTGTAACATCTATGTTCGGCTCCTCAGTATCGTCTGGAATAGCCGCGGATGTCAATAGTCCTCTTATCTCGCGTTCGAGTCTGCTTCGTCCTCTTCGATCCTTTGTTCACAAACGGATAGTCATCCGGTTCTGAGCTGGTATATGGATCATGCGCTCGACTTTCGCCATGGCGAGTACGTCCCGGCTCGCAAAGTGTGGTATGGTGTGGGGACTTTTTGCTCTGTGACTGAGGTGCTCGAACTGCTGGGTACGAATCGCTATCGTTGATCTCATTGATGGGACCAGAGAGGTGAGAGTGGCTAAGCACAGCCTGGTCGCTGTATGCAGGCGCCACGGCCGATGTGCTCGCTTGCAGCTCAGCCTCGCCCATACCTGGAATCGATCTCTGCGAGGCTACTCTAGAGCTCCAACGTTTTCACATTCTCTGATGTCGATGTTGAATGCAAAGAGATAGTACCCTGGTCCTCAGTTGTCCATTTGATGAATGTCTCCAGAAGGCCTGGAGCTGATCGAGACATGTTCGACTAAGAACAAAGACCACTTGCGTATATCCATCGGTAGACGGTATAATGCATGATTATATTTCAAAGTGAGGAAACATGTCTTCAGACAACGCCGAGGACCTTGCTTTGCAACGAGCAGAGGTCCACAATCGCGCTGATGCCGCTGACTTCCTGACGACTCTCTTGCAGGTGTTCCTTCACAAACGCCCTTGTCGCATATTCGGCCTCAGCTGCGACCTTGCCCCATGCGCTTGCACCCTTCGAACCAGCCGGGAGTAGATGACTTTCTCCTGACAGTCGCAGCAGCGCTTCTTCCAGCTCTTGATCTGAGGCCGCAAGCTGGCTCTGGAGATAGACAGCTTGTTGCAGCAACGAGCGTTCGTTTTGAGCAGAGCGAGCCAGAAGCGGCAGATGAGGCAGTAGCTTGGAAACGGGTCTCACCAGCTTTGTGTCTTTCCCAATGTCGACGGAGTCCCTCACTATGTGGTCTGTCTCGGTTTTATTACTCTCATACAGTGGCTCGCTTAAACTGCCGTATGACTCAATTAGGTCAATACGAGCAGTGGTGTATCGATCGTAAGAAGCGTAAATGCGTTCTTCAGCAAACTCGAGGTCTATAGGGGCGTCCTCTTGCGCTGCTCGCTTGATAGGCGAGGTATCTTCGAGGAACACCGAGTCTTCCTCCATCTTGGCCAATTCACATTGCATCCACTCGATGATTTGGTTCCGTGCTTTCTCAAGAGCGTGCACCTGTTCTGGAAGCCCCGGCTGGTCTCGTATCGCGTTTGTGGCTTGCTTCCTTGCAATGTTCGCTCGGTCCATCCGGCTCCTTGCTTCCAAAACCTCCTGCTTCAATTTGAAGATCGAACTCTGAATGTCGTCGGGCTGTGCAATTTGCTCAAGTCTTTCCGCTGGGAGGTCTGGTTGCTCTCCGATAGTGTCCTGAATATTATCGCGGGGATCTTGCTTTGGATTGGCGGGCTTTGCACCTAGCACTTTCTCGAGGGTTTCTTGAACTACGTTCAGTTCTGCGAGTTTTCGGCGTTGTCGGAGCAAGGTGATATAGCCTCGTGTCGATTCGTCGTCATGATCTGATTGCGGCAGCGTGGGATTTTCGTCAATGTGGTCGTTTTTGAGATCTTCCAGTGATGCTTGAAGCTCACGGTGCTTGGTCTCCGCTTGAGTCCTTACTCGTAGCGCATGCAAATATGCCATTCGTAAATCCTTCAAGCCGGGTGGATTGGAGCTGGTAGCTGATATGCCTTGAGGACACTCGTGGTTGACGTGCTGGTTTTGTGTTGCATTGTTGACTGGCCTGGTACTGGAAGTGAGATAGCGCGAGAGTGTACATCTGATTCTCAGTGTATCATTACGGGAGTTGATGTACAACGAGAGGGCCCGGTCAACTCCAGAGATGGGACATGCTGATTCAGCTGGCATGGAGGAGGTTGTTTGTTTGTTGTTGTACAAGTAGGGATATATATTCCGGGCTCACTAGAAAGTGGTAATGGCGGACTGATACTCGAGTAATCCGTGACTGGTGGTCCAGAGGCGACTCGGCGGGGTCTGGACGTGCTGCAGAGTGGTGGTACAGTCTCAGGTCGAGGGGAAACGAAACGACAGGGTCCAAAACAAGCGACAAGCTAATTTAGCGTAAACGCGTTACCACGTGACCGAAAATTGCTCTACCAATATCTCGTAAGATTGTGGTGCGAGAGAGAGAAAGGCACCTGTTCCACGCGCGTGTATTTGATATTCATTCTGTGGATTGGTGGTTGCTCGCATCCCCCCTCCAACACAAGCGTTGAGGCTGCTTCTTACTTTTGCCTAGAACAGGACCCGGAGATTACAAGTTCATGGCGTGAACACAGAAATGCAAAGCAGTTGCTTTTGCACAAAAACCGAGATTGTTGTGTTCCAATGCACACGCGTGTCTAGTTTTGAGACGATCAAGTTGGGGCAACGATGCCACGCTGGCAGGCGATCCTTGCTTGAGTTTGATAGCATGGAGATATGTGTGGAACCGGCTTTCAATTTCATGCAGCGTCCTTCGGCCCGCAAGGATGGCGCACTAGGGCTTAAATAAACGGCTATCAGTATCTCAGGGGCAGCGCCCAGCATGTCAGCCAGACAAAGTCCGCTCCCCGTGGCACCGTCGGGGGTAGGCAGAACTTTGAGTCATTGACTGTCGCACAACAAAGATGTGCCTGAATGTGGCGTTCGGTAGATGTTCTCCCTTTGCCGGATGCGGACTGCAGTGATCCGCGGTGAGTGACGCAGAGAGGACAGCGCATCAGCGAATCCTGGCCAATTAGGTGTTCAATAGGGCGAGTGTTCAACAGGGCGAATAATGTATCAAGGCAGCCCGACAAATCCGTAGACGATGTGCTGGCGGGCAGGGCATCGTTGCAAGAGCAGAGAATAATCTCCAGTACGTGCACAGGGCAGGAGCCACACGTTGTAGGGCAAGTGAGGTGGCATTGGCTCCAGTTATGGCGATCGGCGCGTTATTGGCCTGCACCCTTGTCATTTCGCTTCTCTCCACTTGGGAGCGGAGTGCCTCAGAAGCAACCGCCTCGTGCTTCTCCTTTTCACCTAGCACCTTCTGAAGCCCTGCAGCGCGTTCAGAGGTACACTGCGCGACTTTCACAGCACTTGCGCAGCCATTGCATACATAGATTCGTCCCTGCGTTGCGAGCGCCACACAGCAACCACGCGCGTCACCGCACGCTCTCTGCAGACCGCCCTCCCTTCCTACCCTGGCTGCAAGTGCAGAAGCCGCCAATTGAGGCTGCCCGCACCGTTTTAACATGCCGTTCTTCAAGAACGTCTTCAAATCGAAGGACCCCTCCAGGTCAGGGTCCAAAGCAGAAGCCAGCAGCCAGCCCGCACCACGGCCGCGATGGGAAGACGCATGGTCTCGCAAGGACGTAGCCCCAGAAGAGATCCAAGAGCTCGCCCATGTGTGCACACAGGAGATGAAGTCGAGAGGTATGCGCACAGCCAGTCCTGCCCATCGTGGTAGTCCGTACTGATTGGCGACAGCTGTCGATATGCCCTTCATCCTCCTCCCTTTCCGCCCCACCTCCGACACGAGCGCCTCACGAAACTTCATACGCAATTTCTTCAAAGCACAGTATGAGGGGACACGGCAGTTTCGCGGCGAGGGCCTGGCGCAAGAGTTGCGACTAGCGGAGCCATTGGTATGCCTAATTGCGCCCAACATCTGGGAGTGGGACACTACTAACAAATGCAGACATTATGCAGCATCATGAAGTGGTGCTGGAGTCGACTGCCTGGCGGTGTTGTAACCTGGGATGCCTACGAGCTCTTTCGAATTGGCGAGTCTGGTAGGCCACCGCTGCTGAATCGAGTTAGTGTTCAAGTACGTACTGACACATCTTTCAGATTCTAATTTCGCCCGCCATGCCTTCGATACATTCATACCTCTCAGCGTCGATTCAGAAGCACGCAAGCGCCTGATATTTGATTTCTTCGACCTCTTATCTGCAGTTGCCGCAAGGGGTAAAACGAACGGCATGGGTGGCAGGAAGCTGTCGCGCATGGCTGGATGGTGGGCCTTCGAATTCCACGACGATGGCCATGGCTTTGATGGAGGATATCGTACATGGGAGAAGTAGGTTTGCGCAGGACATAAGCAGGGAACAGTTGGCTAACATTTTGTCCACAGGGCGGCAGATGCTGCAAGTCACCTCTTCTTCGCGTACCTTCGATCGCTGTCCCCTGATGCCAACACAATCGGTGGCATCTCCAACCTTCCTCGTTCGCTGCAGTCGCTGCTTTCTCAGACCGAATACCCACCACAAGCGCCTACACTGATGCAGATCCGCACAACGAAGGTAGTCATGATAGTGGACTCTGTCTCACCAACACCATTTTCATTATTGCGCCGCGCAAGGAACTTCGAGTACCGAGACGACGACGCTGCATTGCAGCAATTCTCCTCTTACGATGATAGCGTGAAGGCGCTCACAGACGAATGCCGTAGAGTGTTGGATAGCATTGCATCGGCAAACCAATCTGTCACATCACCTGCAGCTACGACTCCGGATCCATCGTGGTCACGCTTCGAAGACTTTGGCTTCTCTGGTCTGATAGACGATTCAGCTAGCAGTACAAACGGAGCCTCGGCCGCGGGAAGCCCACGAGAGTTCTCTGGCCTTCGAAACGGAGCGCGGTCCAAGGAGACTGACTTTGGCCGCCCTACCACTCCATCATGGGCCGATTTCCTATCCTCTGGATTCGCTGATGAGAACAATCAGACTTCGCCCACCACTTTGTTGCTTCCCACACAAAAGCTTCCACCACTCGGCGAACCTGCGCGGGTGCACAGCTCCCAGTCGCACGTGCGCAATCCTCACGGATCCGAAGAAGACCTTGAACCTGGCGAACTCGCCAGCATCACCGCATTCGATCTTGATGAGACATTCTGGTGGGTGTGGATGACGAGCCTTGCAAATGAGGAAACACCAGATCGAAAGGCCGCTTTTGGTCGATGCACAATCGTTGAGACACGGATTCCCGGTGGGAAATGGCTAGTTATGGAAGAGCAAGTCAAAGGCGCGGCTACGGGGCCTGAAGAAGGTGCTTATATCGCGGAGAAGAAATCGAAGTTCAGCTTCACTAAGCGCGGGCGTCTCGGTCGGAGAAAGTCTACCGGCAAGAAGACCGCGTCGTCTGCACAGGACCCTTACAACCGAACCAACGCCAACACGCCGTCCAGCACCATCGGCGCAGACCAACATGCGCGAATCCAGGCCGCAGCTGCGAAATTGGCACAGAAAGAACGAGAACAGAAGGCAGCGGAACTGATGGGCCAACGCCGGGCTAGAATGGACGAAGCTTCATCCATCAAGACGAACAGTGTGCTGACCCTGCAGCCTCATCTACTGAGCGAAGCCGGGCCCGCTATGAAATGGGATAAGAGGTTTGGAGAGGGTGCCAAGGACAAAGACGCCCTGCGCGCGCAGTATCTTGGTGACATTCACGCTGGAAGGGGTTCGAAGAATGATCTCAAGACCACAGCCAACGGACGGTCGTCGCCATTACCTCCTGAGATATCCAACCGCGACCTGCCTGCGCTGCCGAACTCTCAGACAGATTTGCCTGTATCAAGGTCGCAGGTTTGGGAAGCTCCCAAAGCCAGCAGCCAAGACGCCACTATCACCCCGGTGCCATGGCCCGAGGACTCACCTCGTTCCACTCCGAGGCCAGAGCAAGAGGAGAAGCCAATGCCCGTTACACAGACCGTCGATCATCCTGTTTTGAAGGCGCCGGTCCCTGAGCGCAAAGCTCTCACACTAGTCCCCTCGAATGTCCGCGCTAGTGAGGAGCAAACAAGAAACCCAGAACTAAAGAAGTTGGAGAAGAAGAAGAAGAAGGAAGGTGGCGGCGGCGGTTTCAGGAAGCTCTTCGGCAGGAAAAAGACCGACATCTCTGCCCCAACTGGTGCGAACCAGCAGAGGCCCTCCGAAGATGATTCACGGCTACAGGCCCTTGACGCTGCTCGAAGCGCATCTCAAGTCTCACATCACAACCAACAATACCGAGAGCCGTCGCCAGAATTTGCGGTCGAGCCGGCTGAACCTTCGTTATCACCTTCGCCGGCGATTGAGCACGAAGCAGTCCCTTTCGAACATGCGCAGCCTAAAGTGGAACAGCCCAGTCCGCCACTTGCTCCAGGCAGTGCTGCGCTTGAACAGCGCGAGACCGACCAGGCTTTCTCCAGATTCGACCAAGGTCCTATGGAGGACATGCCAGCTTTCGTTCCAGAAGACAGTGATGAGGACGACCATGCTGTTCCACCAACAGTAAATCGTCGTCCAATCGGGCAGAATTCGAAGATACCTCGACCTATCACACCACCCGAGCAACAGGCCGCGTATGGCCGGGATGACATCTCTGAGGATTCTGTTGATGCCAGACAAGCGTCGCCGTCGCAAGACAGATGGGCTCAGATCAGGAAAAACGCTGCGGAGCGCGCAGCACGACTCAGTGAAGAGCAGACGCGTCGCAGCCGAAGTCAAAGCCAAAGTCAGCGTACTGACGAAGGTGAGACCAGTGGTGAGGAGACTATCGAGAGTCGTGTCGCTCGTATCAAGGCCCGCGTCGCCGAGTTGACGGGCAACATCGATGGCGCGCCAGGCAGACCTGGTGGAGCGACGCGGTAGATAATAAGCCTCGTATGCAGAGGTATGTTGAGCACCTGATATTAGCCAAAACGCTTGCTAATATCCAGGCAGATCTCTCACACGTCTACATGTACTTACTATTTTCTCAGCGTACAAAGAGCACAGATACCCATTTCCGTTTTGCTCTCCGGACATCTAATATCCTTCAATGTCTACAGCGAATTTTGACACGCTTTATACGATTCAGATTTTGTCCCTAGGGTAATGAGGGCAGATGTAATTAGCAGGTGTGCAGGTGCTGAAAAGGGATCGAGGCACTGCAAGTTTGGCATGTAATGCATTTTTGCAAATGTCCTTCTGATAACAATAGACTGTAATCCTTCGATGAATGTAGCGTGACAGAATCTTCGAGCTTTGATGGAAGTTCAGCCTTGAGATGCCGCTCGTGGGTCGAACGTCGATTGCAGCTCCATCGCAACCAAGGAGCCATCAGAGCGCATCTCACCCCAAACAATGCGCGCAATGCCACAAGTAATTCCAACACTGCCCCAGGTCGGCCCGCGGGTGCTTGGACGGGTCATCATCAATACCGGCGGGAAGTTCCGAACAGTCCACAAAGGCCCTTCCTCAGTAGTGTTAAATGCCCTTACAAACAGTGAACACACACTCGGCTACAAAAACCCGTCTGCATCGGATATGGTGCGGTGGGTCGCTCACGGCTGCGTCATCCCGCGTGTAGGTCTAAATTTAGCCACTGCGACAGCGTAGGCAAAGGTACGCGAGGGCGACGACCTACGACACCATAGACGCATCGTGATGAAGATGATGGAGGCTGGGGCGCGTACAGAGAATAAGGTCCTGTGGTTCGCTGACCACGCTCTCGATGACAATCGGTGAGATGACGAAGCAGCAGCTCGATGGCGATGCGGCGCAGTAGTGAGAGCGATGCTTTCGGGAGCTGCAATGCTCCGTACAGAGATGTGCAGAATAATTGCTGGACTTATCATGGCACGGTTCAGCAGAGACATCTGCCACTTAGCCCTGTGTCGTGAGGGAACGCGGCTCGTACGAGCAGCGCTATGTGTGCCAGAGCGCCCCCTATGTTCGAGTTCCCGCTGTTCGATGCCACCTCCCCCTCCTCCAAGGAGTGTTGCATATGAATTGTGAGAGTACCTCCCCGCCTTGCACGCGAGCATGGTCTGCGGGGTTGGTAGGAACTAGTGCCTGCTCAAACCAACAGTTCGTGAGACTCGCCCAGCACCGTCATATGATGCAAACCCTACGAACAAAAGCACACCCTCCAGCATGGGGGGTTTGCACAGGAGATCAGGGTCTGCATCTGCTCGAGGTGTCGAGGGTCTGGCGCAACGGCACAATCCCGGTCGTGATATGTCCTATAATTAGCTATGATGCTGCACCCTTTAGCCAGATTTGAGGTGTTTAGCGGACATCGGTTGATGCCATTACCTCAGCCTGGCCAATAGAAGCGGGCATGCTGCCGTAACACAAGGCTCCAACAGCAGCAAATGTCCGCGAACGGGCATTTTGGCAACTAGGGGGCCAGGCTCTCCAGCAGACCATGTTTTCTAATTATAGGCAGTGTGCCCGCGCCTGCCTCCATGCTTCCTCTGCGCATCATCTCTCGTTCTGAGCCTCGAGAATACCGGAGCTTTGGGTGCAGCTCTGTGTCGCGCATTGGAAGCATATAGCTTGCAGGCTGCGATCGACTCAGCAGCATTTTCGCGCCGACTTTGGCCGCCCATACCGGCCTCCTGAAACGCTCTTGCAGGAACGAGGTCGTGGTCATCTCTCACGACGCCGCGCAAGCTAATCGACGCTTCTGCCCTCGACGACGCTCGATCCCGAGCCACGCCATCACTGCCCACTATACCCTTCGACGTTCGATGCGCGCTGACGTCTGAGCCTGCTATCCATCATGGGCCGCAGAAAGATTGAGATCAAGGCCATCAAGGACGACCGGAACCGCTCAGTGTGCGCTTTCCTTCCACGACGCACGCTCGCCGCGGCCTGTTGCTGACACTGTGCAGGACATTCTTGAAGCGCAAAGGCGGCCTGTTCAAGAAGGCGCACGAGCTCTCGGTGCTCTGCTCCGTCGATGTCGCCGTCATCATCTTCGGTCACAACAAGAAGCTGTACGAATTCTCGTCTGGCGACATCAACGAGACTATCGGTCGCTACCAATACGTGAGTGTTCCTTGTCCTTTCTCTTGACCCATGATAGCAGTGCCTAACGGAGCCGCGCTGACAGGTCACGCAGTATGGCGGCGCACACGAGCACAAGGGCCCTGAGGACTTCATGGGCAAGAAGGATGACGAGGACGAGGACGAGGACGAAGAGGGCGCGCCTCCACGCGACTCGCACACGCCGCCCGAGCAGCATGGCCTGATGCCGCACCACATGCAGCACGCGCAGGCCTTCCAGCACGTCCGCCACGTCACGCCCTCCGCCTCGCCGCCAATTCCGAACGGGTTCCAGCACCGTGGGCCCTCGCCGCAGCCTCCGCACCACCTGTCGCGACCGAACTCGCGACTGGACCAGCACCCTGGCCACGTCCGCCGCAGCTCGAACCTCGCTCCTCCCCAGCCATACCCCTCACAAGCACCGCAGCCGCAGCCCAGCTACGCCTACATGCCAAATCCGCCCTTCTACAACCCGCAGGCCGCTCAGCAGCCACGGGGCCCTCCAGGACCGCAGTACCACTATGCTACCCACCCTATGCCGAACCCTCAAGTGCAACAATACATGCAGCAGGAGCCACGCAGACCGTCCATGCCCCCTATGCCTCAGATGCAGCCGTCCCCGCAAATGCAGCCTGCCGCCCAAATGCAGTCACACCCGTCGCAGCAGCAGCAACAACACCAGCAGCACCAGCACCAGCAGATCCAACACCAACAACAGCAACAGCAACAGCAACAGCAACAGCAACAGCATCAGCACCAGCAGCAGCACCAACAACAACAGCACCAACACCAACAACAACAACAACAACACCAACACCAACAACAACAACAACAACAGCACCAGCAGGCGCAGGCACAAGTACAGGCACAGGTACAAGCACAAGCACAAGCACAAGCACAAGCACAGGCACAAGTACAGGTACAGCAACAGCATCAGCAATCGCAGACTCCGCAGCCCCAAGCCCAGCAACATGAACAACCGCCGCAGCCTACGATCACCGTCCCGTCACCGCCCGCGCAGCACGACTTCCAAAGCCCGCCCCTTCCCCAGCCAAAGCCACTGCACGCTTCTGCCAAGCACAGCATCTTTACGCCGATTGATGACAGCCAGTCAATGCTGGCCGCGCACTGGGGCAGCAGCAGCATGAATCCGCCGCGCGGTGACATAGTCATCAAGCAGGAGCACCGGTCGCAATCGATCGATGTAGCCGCCATGTCGAGACTCCAGCCGAACGGTGCTCAGTCTACACAACCACCAAAGATGTCCAGCCCGCAACCGCCGCCGCAGCCTCCCCAGCGGACACAGTCTACTTCGTCCGTACCGCCGATAGCCCCGCCCACGAGAACGAACAGTCTACAGACAGACAAGAACAAGCCCAAGCTGCGCGTGCAGATCCCAAGTGAGCAGTCAGATGGCGGCAGTGCAACAGCGGATTCGTCGCCCAAGGATTCGATCTCAGGTCAAACGCCAGCTCGCAGCACCGATGCATCACACTCGTCCGGCGTTGTACTCCCTCCTCCCTCACCGAGCGCCAACTCGTTGCTGAGCGCCGGCGCGACTGGTCCACCGAATCCGTTTGCTCGCCCAGCACCACCTACCAACAGCAACTCATACGGCAGCAGCAATCGCGACATGGACACACCAATCTCAGCGTTGCCATCCCGGTTCGTCGAGAATGGATTGCTGCCATCCCCGAGCAGCTTCTATCCCGAGTGGGGCTTTGGGCGGGGTGATTCCAACATGCTGCCCAGCCCACTGACGTTCCAAACACCGGTGGTCACAAACGGGCCGTCTTTTGCACGCGATGACTCGACGGATCGCAAGCGCAAGACATCTGACGGCGGGAGCGACACGAGCCAGAAGCGAGTAAAGGCGTAAGCATTCTTCTCCTGTAGTACCATTGTATGTTCTCTTCTTTTGCGCTCGAGGCGCGGCGCGTGTTGTTTTATCATTTCACCCCTCGCTGTTTGTTCGCTATTGTAGGCGTTGTAGGGAGGATACCCACGACTCTTGAGTATGTTTTTTGTTGTTTCAGCTATATAATGGCATTTTGGTGTGTTGAGTTCAAGGCGCGAAGGACTGCACGATAGTCATGACGGTGATAGGGCGGCCTGCGGATTAGATAGCAGTCGAAAACTGAAAAGCATACCGCATTTCCTGTGACATGGAGTATGCACGGCCGATTATTGAGCGACGTTGCCTTCCACTGCCCTCGAGTCTGGCTGCACAGACGATTCTCGACATTCCGATCTTGCCAGGCCGGCTTCCGAAGACCGCGAGGCTGGGCTCGCAGGGTGACCAGAGCTTGGCTCGTCCCTTGACCGGCAGCGTCATACCCCGCCAGGGTTCGGTCAGCCGCAACGGAAGGCTGTGAGTGAATTGGGCGTCGCCAGTGCAAGTGGAGCCCAGAAGCTATTTCCGCAGTTACACTCGCGAAGACGCAGCCTCTCCGCAGAAGCTGAGCCTCTGCGTGCGCCTTATATCATCAGCCCGCGCCTCGTGTCACCTCCTGCCCTCTGCTGGCAATCCCAACTCTCCGTTCCCCTCCCTTTGTAGCGAACACCTCACCATGGCATACAACAAAGGCTTCAACCCAGACAGGCTGCCGGCGCATGCAGAGCCCGAGCAGGTATGTCTCGACTGTTGATGGGAACACGTGCACCATTGACATTGTCCAGGCCGCGCAAATGCTCTCCCAGGGGTCACGGCCGCCACGAACGTCCAGCGCTCGACCGGACTACAACAAACCCGCCCCCGCGCCACCGCCCTCCACCGCCCAGCATGCGTACCGCCCCGAGGAGCGCTATGGCGCGCGGCCACAGAGCTACGAACAGCGCCCTCCGCCAGGCGCGTACAACGACAACCGCCACGACTCGCGCTACGACTCGCGGCCTGCTCAGACGGTGGGCAGCCCCCCGCCCGCGAACTACGGCCACGGCCCTCCGCCACAAGGTTTCCACGGCAGACCGCCGATTGAGCAGCAGCAGAGACCTCCGCCGACACCTGCGCCGCCGAGGGACGCGAACGACCGCGATGCGCTGTGGAAGTTGTTCAGGGCTGTCGACAGGGACAGCAGCGGGAGTCTGACCGAGGCAGAGCTGAGGACTGCGCTTGTGAACGGTGACTGGAGTCCCTTCGACCCGCACACTGTGCGCATGATGATCAGGTAGAGCTACTCGAGACGTCTGTTGAGACGCTCGCTGACACGCCCAGAATGTTCGACACGGACCGCTCCGGCTCCGTAAACTTTGACGAGTTCTGGTACCAAGCCCCCCCCAAGCCCTGCTTTCAGCTCTACTGACACCTCCCAGCGGCCTGTGGGGCTTTCTCTCCGCGTGGCGCGGCCTCTTCGACCGCTTCGACGCAGACCACAGCGGCTCCATTTCCTACGCCGAGTTCAACGAGGCACTGGTTGCCTTTGGATACCGCCTCTCGCAGCAGTTTGTCACACTGCTGTACACCACCTACGACCGCGGCGGCAAGAACGCCATGAGCTTTGATTTGTTTGTGCAGGCGTGCATCAGTCTCAAGAGGATGACGGATGTGTTCAAGAAGTACGACGAGGACAGGGACGGATACATCACGCTGAGCTTGTAAGTCTTGACAGATTTGAGTCTGCTGCCGACGTGAAGCTAACGTCATCGCAGCGAGGAGTTCCTGACAGGTGCGCAAGCTTTGTTCCTCTTTAACTCGATTTCCGCGTCGACTGATACCGGACTGTATTAGAAATCATCCGCCAACGTTGAGCGAAGACGCGGCATCTGGACTGGCGTATCGCCGCTGCAGGGGTTCTTGGAGAGCGTCCTGGAGGCGTCGGAGGCGAGGCTGTCGAATGGCTGTCAGAGCATTCGAAGGGGGTGGGATGTGTAGGTCTTCCAGACCTCGTTCGAGGACTGAGCATTTCCAGCCTAGGGGGCTTCGTTGTTTGGCATGGTGTACGAAGAGCGTAGCCATTCGGGCTTGATGTGGGGAGGAGCAGGATGATCTAGATACCCGTTTTGAGGATGTGGAATGACATTACGATTTCAAATTCTTTTGTAGGTCTCTTTCGAAGAGTCGCTAAGAGCATCTAGGCCAAGACGGCGCGCGCAGCGTACTCTTTATCTCTGGCTCCGACAGACTTGCGTAGCGCAACCGACTGACCTACCCCCACGTGACGCGGAGAGCTGTCCATGCTCTACGACTCCTGCGTCCAACCCCAGCGGTCTTTCGTTTCTTGCAACTCTGAACGCGCCCATTGAACCGAACACGATCCGACTCGTCATTCGTGGACGTGTCTGAATCACTCCTCACCCACGCACCCTTACGATTGGCGGAACATTCAACCTCGAACAGGCCTTGGCCACACCTACTTGGCACCTACTTTGCATGTCGCCCTGATGTCACTGGCAACGTATTAGCATCTTGTCCAAGTATTACCATTAATCTGCTCCATGTATATTGCACCTTCCTAGCAGTGCTAGCACAACGGGGGGATGGGTCTAGTCGAACGCCCTTCGCCCGACGGCAAGAGGCATGTATAAGTATGAGGAGATATCCATGCATTCTTCCATACTCGGCTGCTTGAAGATCATCACCGATACCGATACCAATACCCCGTGCCCTCTAGCCGATTCTTTCCCGCCATGAAGCTCCTCGCAGTTCTTTCTACCGCGATTGCTGCCGTCTCGGCTGTGCCCACAGCCGCAGCAGCGCCCAAAGTCCTGATCTGCTCCGACAGCACGACAGCAAACTACGCCGAGGGCTCGGTTCTGCAAGGGTACAAACACACAGATTGTCGTATACGATGCCATCACTGACCTGATGCTCAGCTGGGGCTACTACCTCCACAACTACCTGACAATCCCCGTGGTCAACCTCGCCGTCAATGGCCGCTCAACGCGCTCCTTCATCAACGAGGGCAAATGGACCGCGCTGCTCGCCCAGACCAACCCGGGTGACTTCGTCCTCGTCGAGATGGGGCACAACGACGACGTCGACCCCACCACCGACACGCGGGACCGCGGCGTGCTGCCCGGCGCAGGCAACGAGACAATCGTCGTGACCACCGCCACTGGCGCGAATGAAACCGTGCACACCTTTGGCTGGTACCTGCGGTCCATGATCGCCGACGTCCGGGCTCAGCACGCAGTGCCGGTGCTCTCCGGCATGGTGCCGCGCAACTACTGGACCGGTGACACGCTGCAGGCGCGCTGGCCGTTCGCCGATACCGCGCAGCTGGTTGCCCGCACCGCCCGCGTGCAGTACGTCGACCACACCAAGTACGGCGTTAATGCGCTCCAGGCACTGGGGCCCGTGCAGGCGAAGACGTTGTTCCCGAATGATAACACGCACACGAATCCGGCGGGGGCGGTGCTCAATGCCGAGGCGTTTGTGACCGGTGTCAAGTGCGGGAGGCGGATTGGGCTTGCTGCATATTTGAGCGCGGAGGGAAGGGCGGTCGAGAGTTTGTGCTAAGTAGGTGTGGGATGGGTTTGGTTTCGAGGAATGGGGGGTTCGGCCGGGCTTGGGCGGTGGCCAGGGGCGGGCTAGACGCTTGCTTCTGTGTTGTGAATTTATATCTTCAACCCTTTTGGATCTAGGCCAATTGATCAGGAGATACGTTAGGACTTACCCGCGATATGCAGAACGTTCGTACGAGGCGAGTTGTGCAAGCGTACCGAACGAGCTGAGTGCCATCTCGTCCAACCCTATCGACCCAAGGCTCGCACTGAAACACGACGCCCGCAAAACCGACGAGAAGACACAGCAGACTGGGGAATTAGAAGCCAAGAACCAGATCGGCAGCATTCTGTTCCCACTGACTGCGAGCCGAGGAGCGCTGCCAGTCTCTCCATCTCCCCAGTGACCAAGAGGCCAACCATCCTCATGTGCGAGGAGCGATTACAACCCACGGAATCCGCCCTTGGGCAGCCACTGCATCACTCGTGCGAAACTGTCCCCATGGAATCCATACGCTGGTTCTGGTGGTTCTTCTTGAGATGAGGGAATCGCTTCGCCCCGGTTGCTCAACCAGAAAGCACACAATATCACTTCGTCTCGCGCCGCCCCAGGCCGTCCTCAGTGGCGAGAACGGCACACGTACCGTTGGCCGGAGGTCCGTCGCTGGGCCTTGATCCGACGTGTGGGGTATCCGAGGCGGACGTCAAGGCAGGAGGGCTTGGTATCTGTCGTGCGTTCAAGACCGGAGTCAATGCTCATTCTGGCGTTGCTGTCGACTCACAAAGACAAGCGGACAGCCGGGTGTGGGCACGTACTCGCCATTTGAACCAGCTAGCATGCATCGACTGATCGCGGGGCGTTTTGGAAACGGTCCGCCGAAGTTGGGCGAACGGTGTGCTGTGGTCCAGACTCTGGCTGGTGCGGGAGTTGTTGGAAGCCGTCTTGCAGGCCGCGGGTCTCGTCTGCTGAATGGCAGGTCACAGCTCTGAATAGAGCGGGTCGTGCACGCCTTGGGAAAGTAATTGAGTGCGTACGGTCTGCTTGGGATAGGGGGAGGCGTGGAGACGACTTGGACGAAAGCATTGTGATAGCAGCTGCGGCTTTAAGTTTGGGCGGTGGTGGCGATTGAGTACCGTATAGTCCCACTTTGTCCGGAGGCTGTAACTAAAACCTTGCTAATGCAGTCTTTTTGACGGGGATTCAATACGAGAGGGGGATAATAAGTGTAAGGGGACAGTGACTAAATTTGCTAGAATGATTTGTACTAGAATTCGTTAGCCAAGCTCCTATCTAAGCCTCTTGGAGGTTGCTACTTACCTGACTCTACAGCATCCTTCTTGCGTAACGCCCAAAGAAACGTCTGAACCTGCAATACCAGCCTGGTCACCCAAAGACCACTGAAGAGATTTCTGGAATGATAGCTCTGTTCTTTCCGATGCGGATGGCCATAGGACCTCAAATGCTGTCCTTACTGATGCAAATCGCACCTGCATACTGATTGCACATCGTCAAGAAGCAGCGTTACCACTGGCTTGGTGGGTGAGATCTGGAGGTGAAGACCCTCGATCCAGATCAGGCGGGTTTCATGAACCGCAATGAGCAAACCAAAGAAGAGGAAGTCGAGGTTGAGGAGTTCATTGTGAAGGATGCAAAGTACTCTGCCGAACACGAAGAGTATTGTGACGTGAAAGAGACTAGCTTAGAGGATGAAGAGGGATAATGGTCCTTGCTCTCTATACACTACTGGTACTGCGTCCACCGGGTCAGTTTCTATAGGCATTGGATTCTGCTACTTGTCTTCCCTCCACACAGTGCCCACGCGCTGCAGCCGCTTGACGTTGTGTGCTTCTCTCTGTTGGCACACAACTACTCCAAAGTCGTTACTCAGCACCTTCACAATAGCCAAGGCCTACCAGGGGTACATAAGAGCAACTTCTTCATGCTCTTTATTAGTTGTGGCAGCAAACCCTCACTGAAGAGCTTATACTTAGCGCCTTCAGGAACATGGGTATTTCTCCACCAAAGAGCAGCGTTATCCTCAGCCAATTTGATGACGATCATGTCAGTACAACAGAGACTCCCCCGCCTAATGAGGCAAATAATTGGCGCTCAATTGACTGTCTCTTTACTGCAATAGTGCCAGATTAGGCCTTAGTAGAGGCAAGGTAGTTGCGCAGAACCTCCACCATTTAGCAGCTCGCAGTTGTTGCGGCAAACGTAGCCGCTGTATATCGATGGAAAACTGCGCTGAGTTGCTTGCTAGCTAGGAGGCGACCATATATACATGCCCTGAGACGTGCTAGTCCAAGGTAGTCAACGGAGGTGACGATCGAGGCCTGTCGGACCGACTTGCACCGCAACAGCAGTGAGATCCTTAACCTTAAAAACAAAGGACTCTCGCAGTAGTTTTGTATCAGAAGCCCTCAAAGAAGAAGAGGGAGACTCTTGACCCGCAGCAGCGGCAGGAGTACCGCAGTGCAGCTATTCTTTACTCTCCGCGCAAAGTACGCAAAGCCCGGCACCGCAAACCTCACCCACTCACATGAGCTATCTTAACAAGCCTACCTAACCTCCTTCTTCTTATATTGACGCCTGCTGAACACCTGTTTGGATCTACCCAGCACTCTAATAGCGAAGCCCTTCTCATCTATATTGTACGTATGCTTAGGCTTAAGACTATGCTAAGTGATTTTCTGCTGCAGAAGCTTGAAGTATAACTTGTACTTGTACTCTAATTCAGTGTTGTGGCGATTAGAGTCCATACCTGTTGCCCATTAAGATGTGAGCTGATCACAGTGATGGTGGAAGAAGCGAGTAACCTAGCTTTTAGAGCAAGGATTTGAGGCAACTGCAGATGCGAAATTCTGTACTATACGCCTTATAGGTAGCAAGTAACGCCTAGTCAGCTTCTCTATATACTTAACTAAGTCCTCTTCTTGTTGGTGGTTGAGCTTTTGGTTGTTGCGTGTCTTAATATAGTGGGGGACCTGCACGCCTCGGTGCGCGCGCAACAACGTTGTACGCGAAACGCTGTGTTTTTCTGCAATCTTTGTACAGACAACTTCTTCTTCTGGTCTCATTGCATTCATCTCTGCAAGGGCATCGCTTAATCCTGGCATGGTGTTGAGTTATTACGCGTTGAAATCTGGTGTAGATGTTACGCGCCGGGCGTTCGGTGACTCCGGGCGTTCGGTGCACGGACACGGTAGTCGCGGCTAGTTGCGCCATCAAGACCTACAGTCTGTCGCGCGAAACGGCATATGTGAACTTCACCCCGCCGGTCCTCAAATCTCCAATTGTTTGAGACGTGAACTTCCATCTCAACTCCACTAATTTCCAGGCATCTAACGATCGACAGCTTTCGCAGGGGCGGCGAAAGGTGGATCACACGGGACGCTGCGGCAGGAGGACCTCCTCGTATCTGCACGAAGGCGGGGGTGTCTCAGCCTCACGTTTGCCTGCTGCACGTGCCCCGGGCAGCAAAAGAAGGCAAACGACAACGTGTCAAGACACACCATTATGACCCAACGAACGCGTCCGAAAGCAGGTTGACTGGCGGACTTGAAATTACTGCGATAGCCGAGTATTGGTACGGTACAGCGGTGCGCGGATCAGTCATCTCGCTCGATGCTTTGACATCTGGTAAAGCTCAGACTGCCGGTGAAAGCCAGCGTCAAACCGCTGTGGAGCTGCGGTATCGCGAGCTGAGCACATTCGCTATGCGTGCAAATGCGCAAGGATTCCTATAGATCCTATACTGTCCTCCTCACGAACCGGAAGCAGCAACCCGAAACGATGGTTGGGGGCCGATTCCTCTCACCTTTTCGCCCCTATCGACATACCCGTTGCCCTGTGCGCAGCCCTGTGCGCGGTGCAGCTGTGTGAGTGTGTGGTGACGTCGATGTTTGGGGGCTCTGTCAATTGGCTTGCTAATTGTGAAGTTAGGGTATGGCAGGAGCGCACGATGAGGGAAGGAGCGCGCGTGCGGATCGAGCGGTGCCATCCTTGGAGAAATCAAACAATATGCATTTTACTCATGACCGAAAGCGACTACATCAATGTTTCGAAGAACATGTCTAACACGAAGAGGGTGCGAACGTTTGCTGAATTTCAGGGTATCTGTCGACCAAAAGAAACTCGTAGCGGAATTCTAGTTGTACTCGTCGTCACTGGACTCGCTGTCCGTCCTTCGCGGCTTTCCGCCGCCAATCTTCCATGTGTCTTGCTCCCAAACTATCAAGTCTTCGTTCATGAGGTACTTCTCGAGAGCAATATCAGCTTTCCAGCTCGCGACATCAAAAATGTCTGCGCCGTTCTTCTTATCCTTCTCCATGTGGTGTCCAACGTGCTCCATGCGCTCTTCCCAACTCGTTGGGCCAAAGAACGCATGGTCGCAGCCATTGACTGGACAGATGGATTGCTGAGGAGCACAGCGAAGCTGCAAGTAACAGCGCGTCTGGTACTCTTGGATTTCATCCTCATTCACCAGGCGCTCTTTCATGTGGCGAGCACCAGAGCCCTGTTCGGTGTGCATGCGGCGGAGATGTTGAGTGAAGAGGTCCTTGCGGTTGAAGTCGTTGTAGTAAAGCACAGAGGCATCGTTGGGGTCGGTGGTTGGCGCGCAGAGATCGCAGCGCCAAAAGCCCAGCTTGATGTGCTGGGTGCTGACGTGACGCTTCCATTCGTTCTTGGAAGAGAATTTTGATGAGCAGCTGTAAGCTGCGAGAGGGCAGGGAAAGGAGCGACGGTCATCCTGACAGCTTCGTACGTTGACGTTGGAAGCAGCTCGTGGCTTTCGGCCGGTTTTGTTCTGGGTTGGGCTGCCCACTGCCGAGTCTTTGCAAGCGCCGCTGCGTCGTCTGGTTCCCCGAGTAACATGCTGTGCAGACTTTCTTCTCTTGCCGCCTCGACTGGTGGGGCTGTATTCCGAGTCTGTATCTGACTCATTCTTGAAACCGACTGGCTGAACTGACTCTGCATCTCGAACTGAATTACCAATACCAGAGTCTGTGTACTCCCTGTAACTAGTGTCGGGGGCGATCTCACACTTTATCGAGCCCTCTTCTGGTTCGACGGTAGCCTCCTGCTTGATGTCTATGTCGGCTTCTTCAATCGTAGGTTCGGGCTCTTGGTGGGTGTACTCGACCTCCTTCGGATTAATGCTGGAACCTGACGTGTATGTGACGTCGCTGAACTGCTCACAGTTGTGATATGGCTGCGAGGGGTGGAAAAAATCTGTAGGATTGCCATAGGATGTGGTGTGGTAGGCACGTGGTAAAGGAAAATCAATTTGAGATGTATAGCTCGAGGTTCCGGAGATGGAGGTGCGATCCGGTGATGTGTTGCGATAGACCTCGCTTGCGGGCCACTGCTGAGTGAATGGTTTGGAGTGCTGACTATGTAAAGGAATGTTCGCGTGCAGTAGGCCAAAAGACTGTGGAGATGCGTCGAACATGAAACGCTGCATTGGCTGCAGGCTCATTATGCTATCATCTAGATTGTCCAAGTACGCGTTGTCGTCAACAACACTGAAACTAGTCGCGTGTTGCTTTTCGACATAATGGTAGTTATTATAGTCGGATGACCACTTAGCATCCACGCTCGGGATTTGTAGAAGATCTCCGAATTGTTGGAATGACATATTCAATGGTCTCGATTGGGGCGGACCGGGATTCCGTACGCTTCGTGTGACCGAGATTGATACGAGAAGAGGAAGGTATGCAGCAGAAGTACAACTATGGCGGACTGCCTAGAATGTGTGAGTGCGAGGTCGATCATCTGAGTACGGCATCTCCCTCACGGTGGCTGTCCTTGGACTTTATACCAGGTAGTCGAAGGGTTCAATTATCTCAGAGACCGATCGATCGAGTCGACTATCAGCTGTAGACGAATGGGATGCGTCGTGTGGAGAGCAGGGGCGCAGCATCGAACAGAATGTCGTTGACTAGAGGCAGCAAAGTTTAAGCTTGATATCAACTTGCACTGCCACTGTTGCAGTCCTGTGTATTTCCACCCTCAACCTCAGTCCCTACCTGCTTTATGATGGGCGCATTCGCAGAGCCGCATCCCTTCCGGGCTTAGCTAGAGATACATGGGAGGTCTAGTGGATTGATGCGCTAGTGGTCGGCTTGCATAGGGGCCCTGCAGTTCCATTCACCGGTGGACACCAAAACGCTGGACAGCCACCACTCACCTGCCACTCAGCTGTCTGGGCGCGAAGTCCATGTTATGGAGATCTGATCAGGCATAGTCTACGCAATGCAGCCCCATTTCCAAAAAGCAACTGTTGCAAGGGACGCGAATCACCGCCGGATGGCTGCGCCTACCGAACCGAAACGCGTTGCCCGTACTGCGTTCGGGACCGCAGCGGATTCGCGGATTTGGGAGGCAGGTAAGCGGAAAGCGAGACCTGGATCCTACGAGCGCTAGCGTGATACTCCGCGGGTTGTATTGTTGGCTTCGGGGGCCAAACACAGAGGATCAGCTCTGCGTGACGAAGAGCGAACAGCGAACGCCTGGACTCCTGAGAACAGACCACCACCTTCATCCTTGCGCCACTCGTGATAGACTCGTGACAGGCGACAGCTGTGCTCCCGAACTTACATCAGGGGCTATATAGCCGAACTGATGCCCAAGGCCATAAAAACTTGAAGAAATGCTGAGTGATCAAGCCTTCGTCCTGATCGGGAGGAGCAGCGTCTCTAGAGCCAAGAGGATGCTGGCGAGGGTGGTGGAGAAGCCTCGTTCCATTGGAGAGTCTCCTGCACGGAAGCACACCATCTTGGGCGCATTGCCGTCGAGCAAGACCTCGAAGAAGGCAACGATGCCAGGGCTGAGCATGGATACTTGCCTTGTCCTGAGTCGTAGTACGTGAAGACGGCGTGTGGAAACGACGACTGCGTGGTGAACAATATGTAACGGACCGGACCGCGCCTGTGTAGGCTGTTTCGCAGGCAGCCCGCGCTGTCTCTCACTTCTACAGTCACGTCAACTCTGACCCGAGATCGACCGATGGCTCCAGCACTCCTGCTGGGGAGGGTTGAGGCGCATTCCAGCACATCGATGGGGCGTGCGACCCGCGGAGGGTGTGAATTGGCGGGGAAATTGAAGGGCTCCACCTCGAAGCTTGCACGGAAGGACCACCACTATGACAGCAATCTGCTCCAAGCGCCAGCTGCAGGGGTAGAGAAACAGTTGTCGTCCCAAAAAGCGAGCTCGATAGTAGGGCCACCGGCGGCTCTGCTCTACATTCCGCTGGACGAGAGCTTATCGTTCTCGTTATGGTGGTCATCATTCACGCAGCTTCGCATCTGTCAGCTGCAGGCGGCCCCCGCAGAACCAGGATCGAACCACCTGCCACAGGTACCGATACAGTGGTTGAAGGGACTGTCATAGAATTGACTTTGTGGCTATCTTGTGCCCAGTCGCGCAGATCAGGCAACCAGTGCGATGACAGCGTGGGATGATAGTCCTCCATTTTTGGCTTGTGTTGGTCTCATGTGTTGCAATATGATTACAAGCTTGCGAAACCAACAGCACAGACTACGCTGCATACTTCTCTACCAAACGATCCTCGATGCCCTGGAGGATCCATCGGTGCTCGAGGACCTCCAGGTTCTCGGCCTCAGCCAGGAACAACTTATCGGGGTCCTGCTCAGGTCCCATCATACCCATGCCCGCACCGGGGTTCTGCATGCCCATCTGCTGTGAGACGTTGCTTGCAGCTAGAAATAAAAGTCAGCCCAGGTTGAGCGACTGTATCGAAGAAGCATCTTACCATTGTTGCTGCCGAGAATGAAGTTGTAGACGGGCTGTAGACCAAAGAGTGTCAAGAAGTACCAAGACAGACTGGAAACCCATCTCACGTCCAGATCTCGAGTTCCAACACCAGACTGAAGCATGGACTTGAACTGTGGTGTCAATGGGAAGGGGAGTTTCACTGTCGTGCATGGTCAGCTTACATTGGTGCATGCAGACGCGCGTGTAGAGTGTGTATCAAGCGCCACCACGAGAAATCTACGTGATCTCGTTCCAATCGCGAGGCTTTGGTGACGGCTAAAACGCCAATATGTCACCGCCAGACTGGGTATAGACTTACTGATCACAAAGCCGGAGAAGAAAGCATTGATCCACCCCATAATCAAGGTCTGCGGAATCATCATAGCCATGTTGCCCTTCATCATGCCCATCATACCCTCCATAGCCGCAGGGTCGCTCATGGGGTTCGGTCTGGGCTTGCCCCTCATTTCAGGCTCTGCTAGGAATGCACCCTCCTGATACGCCTGCACCATGTATGATTTCCTCGCAGAAAAAGCAGCGGGAGAGAGAACGTTGGCATTCTGGCGCAATTGCAAACCGCGGGCGAGCGACCGCTGCTGACGGATCTTGGGTAGGTCTTGCTTCTTGGGTGTCGATTGGAGCAGTGTCATCGCATAGTGGCGCAGAATACCTGTCAGGACCTAGAAAGCGTTAGAGAAAGCGGGCAAACAGAAAGTAAAAAGACGTACCATGACCACCGTGATAGGAAGCAGAATCCACCAGCTATCATCTCGTCAGTACTGCATGTCCGTGCCATTCAGCGCATCGCACTTACAAGAGGGCGGGATCCCTGTGAATCGTCTGCACAATCGGTTCAGCCATCTTGTCGATGTATACAAGATGTGCAAGGAGTGAAGAGTGGGGTGGCGGTAGACGTGAGGTTGCCGTTCGACGATGAAAGCTCTCAGCGGAGCCTCGTGCGGCGGGCGGACCCTTGTCACCTCCGCGCCTTCCTTCTGGAAAGGTGTCTTCCATCAACCGAGCTCTACAGCTACGACATAACTCAAGTTGCGCGCCTCTTGCGACTGAATTACCGCGGCCTGAACCTGCATACAGATAAAGAATAGCCAAAATGTCGGCGACACAAAAGATTGCTGTGCATTCACTCTCTGGTACTTATCCATCACCTCGTACGGATATACATTCACAGGTAGCAACTAACACCTCCCAGATCTGAAGAACACCACCGACGATGCACTTCCCAACTACCTACACTCCCTCAAGTTCAAGCAGATTCACACCCAGACCGACGTCAGGTTAGCGCTCGGCTACAGCGCCGTCATCATCGCCGGCGCACTCTTCTACTTCGACTGGAAGTTTGGCTGGGAAGCATCGAAGCCGTACACTGCGCCCGCAGTAGTCGCCTACTTCCTCCTGAACAGTGCATTCTCCTGCTGGCTGTGGTTCGTGGAGAAGGGCGTTGTGTATGAGGGAGAGGGCCAGACAGGCAAGGTACGTTTGAGACCGCCAGCACAGCCGGTAGTGCTGCGCTGCTCGCTCTGGGATAGCTACACAGACACTAACAATACATAGATACGCATTTCCTCCTCAACTAAGAAGCACATCCCTATCTACGAATGCGACGTCGTCTTCACACCCACACCGTACACCTCGAACCCAGAGCAGAAGATCCACATCCGCGCGCCCATGACACGGTGGTTCACGTCTGACGGCTACTTCATCGCAAAGCCGTTGCAGCAGTGGCTTGCGTCTGAGATCCCAGTCATTGGCGCCGCAGACCCGAACAACGTTGTGGAAGATATTGGGAGGGGAAGTGGGGCGCAGGAGATGAACCTGAACAGCTCGAATGCGATCGATGTGCTGAACCAGTTGAAGGCTAGCGGGGCGAGCTTTGTTAGTGGAGAAGGGCGGAGGAGGAAGTGAGTGGTGCAGCGAAGAGCTGGGGGTGAGAGTGTGTGTTTGGCAGAGAAAGTGCACAACAGCACTGAGTACGCGCTGGCGTTCTGAGAAAACGGTCGCGTCTTTTGGGCGCCGCAATATCTTCGCTGAAAGAGTTCAGCTTCAGCGAGTCGCTGAAGAACTCACATTATAATATACTGACTAGTTCTCGAGACAGTAGGTCGGTTTCATATGGGTTGAATTTCAATATTTGTGGTATTTGTAAATGCTATGAATGCTAAAGACGCCAACACCTTGCAATGCATTTGGCCTTCCATGCAAATCGGTCACCCTTGTCCAGGCACATCTGCAAGTTGGTATCCAAGTCTCAGTCCGAATCCCTCTCCAGCAGAGGCAGCACCTCAAGTTCCCTCTGAATGATCCTCTCAAACTCTTCCCTATCAATGCCCGATGCTCTCGCCAGCCTGAATAAGCTCTTAATATCCGTGCTGATATGCTGTTTGATCGCAAGCTCAGCCTGACTGTGGCTCACCGCCTCCCGTTCCAGCTTCTCAATTGACCTCGAGGACGATGATGAGCTGGGTCGAGGGTGATTCAGCGCCGCGTGCTGAGCTTCGTAGACGGACTCGATATATTCTGTCCTGCTCTCTTCGCGAGGACTATTACCGTATGCTGGTGGCAGGGACGAGTCGTAGCCGTTGGGGCCCAGGTTCGATGTCTCGAGGGGCTCGGTCTGGGGAGTTCGGGTGTAAGTCAGGGCGTTGCCGTTCAATGTCGACTCGCCAGCTTCCGGGTTCTCTTCGTCTGGATCGTGTGCGTCGAGGGCGGGCTGCACCTCTGAGGCATACCGTGCGAAGTATTCGAGTTCGGACTGCGTGGGGCCAATCTGCGTGCGGCCAGGTTGGGGTGCGGGCGAGCGCTTCTGCACGGGTGTGCGGGTATTGGGGGTAGCATCGTAAGCGGCCCAGTATGAGCCATCGTCATCCTCGTCGTCCTCTTGCTGCGGCTCAACGTACTGTGGGGGCTCTTGTGTCGGGTAGCCGTTGGTCTCTGAGGGCTTGCGGCGGAAACCTGCTTCGTTTGCCTCGCCTAGGCTCTCGAACCATTCTGTGCCATCGTCTGCATCGGCAATTCCTCTGAGCTCAGCAAAAAGCCATCTACTACCACCCTCTCCTCCTGTGCACCAGAGGTATGTTGGTATTATGCCAAATTCGCGCAGAACAAGTCGTGTGTGCAGCGTTTCAGGATCTGACCGCCTGTACAGTATCTGGTCTGGGTCCTCGGGTTCAATCTCGCCGGACGCTGGGTGCGGTTCGACGTGGATGTTTTCGATAACTGCGGGCAATCTTGCTGCAACGTCTCGATCCCAGCAAAGAAGGGAGAGCCAGTCGTCCGTGGAAACGAGCTGGAGGCGTTGACGAAGAATCGGGGAAACGAGGGGGAGTAAACCAGGCGGTGCCTGTTTTGCTGTGCCTGAGACCGCAAGGCATGCCAAAAGAGGAGGGAGGAGCTCCCTTGAATCGGGCTGCGGAATAATCTGGTCGAGACCAGGCATTTTGGCTTACTGCGGGGAGTGTGAAGAGAGACACTGTGAAGCAGGTTCTTCGCCGGAGTCTGCTGAATATTGCTTATATGTCAGCATTCAGTGGTGATGTATCACTACTCGAGGAATTCGAATCGTGTGCTGGTCGCTAGTCTGGTGATGCTGTCACATGCAGACGCGGACGGCGACGCGCGGGGACACGGGCACGCAGGTGGCAGGGCAGCAAAATTGAGCAGACGTCTGTGGTGTCAAGGAGCAGAGAGGCGAAGATAAATCTGCATTCTGGAGACGAGCCATGTTTTGCGGGCAAAGCTGGAGCTGTGGAGTACCAAGGTTAGTCTCCGTTCCGCCGAACATCAAGGGTCTAGTCGATGCGGTTGCGATTGCCGGCATTGTCGAACAAAAAGTTCCAGATGCAGATGACCGCGGCTAAAGTTGAGCCTCACGTCCGTCAATCAACGGCTTTCGATTTCCCAACAGCAGCTCCAACTCCGCAAGATGCCCCGCTATTGATTGTTGCTACCCTGGACCGAGCCTTGAAAGATTGCTCTCGCTGCAGCTTCGGTCAAATTTTCTGACGATCGAGCAGGAGAGGTGTCTGACAGTACCTAGGACCGCACTGCTTGAATTGCGGACAACGACAAAGGCGCCTCACTATTTGTGGACGATCGTTCTGGTGCCCGTCTCTGACCACGTGCCATATGACGTCAACCCTTCTGTGAATCTGACGAGAGTCTCTAAAGAAACCGAAAAGCTGTCTCGCCTGGATCATCCTCAGGCGTCCAATAGCACAATTAGCTTGCATGTCGGTCGGTGCATCTTCCTAGTATCGAAGCGCCCGAAGGAGCATCAACCCACCGCAATTGGCCGCGATGGCCAAAATGCTCATCAGTATCTTTGCGACCATCAGTCAGTTATCTCAAAGTGTTCCTGAGATGAGAATCAACATCACGTTATGTTGCCCCACAAGATGCCCCGGGAGTCGGCATCGGTCCTGAGCCAGCCCAGATCCGCGACATGGCTAGCAGGAGCCTATGTTGAACTCGGCCTCGCTACATCTGGAGCTTGAAGCTCAAGCATAATCTGATAAAATGTTTGGCACGCACTCAAGCACTTCGTGCGCAATGAGTTCTCCCGGCTTAGTTTACACAAGGTACTTCTATATGGAAGGATCGAGTTGACCCGCAAACGAAAGCTTGGCTCGTCTTTATTTAGCACCTGTTGGCACTGGCTACGAGCTCTAGGCTAAGCGCCAGCCGATATTCTGGTGACGGGAAACAAAGTACGGAGTAACTGAGATTCTACGGTAAATGCGCAAGCAAAAAGCTTGAAACACGAAGATGTGGAGTCCATAACGCACTGTGACGACGGAGCAGCCCTACGCTTTGCAATCAGTGCATCGCCTGCATCGAAGTCGAGCATAGCCACTTGATGCACTTGCCCCGTTTTAGAGTGCTGGGGGCTGTGTTTGCCGTTGTATCAAGCGCCAAGAACCGGTCAGGCAGATTCACTCTAGGGCTGCCACTCAAGCTCGCAGCTCCCGTTGCATGTACGCGCTTGTTTCGATCTCTCTTCCACCAGCATTCGTCGGGACCAGCTGGACAACCGTGTTGTTCTCAAATCGCCGTAGCCGTCTGCTTAGCAGGTATCCGTCTCAATAACCCCTGCCAGCGCATTGGAGATCGTGAGCGCGGAGTCAGCCTCGAGGCTTTCTAGCCCGCCGCAGCAACATCGGCCACTACACGAAACTTGCGCTGCTTTCGCCTACCATCCGACTCACTGACGCATTAATGCTATAGTGCACGCGCGCTTTCCCCGTTTTCCTACTTCCGGTCTCTCGTAAAGTGGTCGACTCTGCGGAAAGCCGACACCGCCTCTACCACTGCAGCAGCTACCCTGCGCAAGGCAGAACGCAAACGTTGGGCCTCAGGCTAGCCTCACTTGTACCTAACCGTGCAGAGGTATTACCTACCTGAGTCGCCTCTCTGTACTCTGTTTGCCCATTTTGAAGCGCTGTTGAGCCGCCTTCTGTTGTTGTTATTCGTTTGGTTTCGCTGGCCTCTCGAATAATCCCACCACAGTACTCAGGCAGCACTATGCCTTCTTGATCGCCGGGTATCGAAGTCACGTTAGGTATCCCTTGATGTGTGCTTGACTACATCCGTCGCTCACCACTCTTCTACTCACCGACCACCTGTTCCATCTGCCAGCCTAGCAAGCTGTCACAGCCCTTATCCATGAACGCGATCGACGCTCGTATGCAGCCACAAGATGGCCAGCGGCGTCAGCACCGCCACTTCGAGGATGCGCCTGCCAGTACTTATCGGCCTGCAACTGGAACTGGGAATTTCCTGCTGCCAGATACGCAAGGCGCATTCTCCTTTTCGGCGGAGCCTACAGCCTTAGCTTACGAAAATTCGATGATGACCCTCCCGTCATCAACCACGCCGGGGCAAGACTCTGTATTCACCGCTAATGTTGGGTCCTCCTTCGACTCAACACTCCATCCTGAAATGATCAGTCGCTCATACCCTCTGAACGCATACAATCAAGGGCAGAGCCTCTCACCGGGAACCTACAGCAGCATTGGCCAAGCTGTCTCACCATCGCACTCGGCAGACCACCTCAGTCCGGATCCTGGTTACTCGAGCGACCTCAATCCGTACCCGAGCAATTACACAACATCGAGTTTCAACGGCCAGTATCTTGATGAGTCGTTCTCGAACCTCAACTTCGCTGAAGATCCTTCTTCCACAGCATTTTCTCCTCCCCAAAGAGATGTGAGCACGTCTCTCTTGACGTCTGGTACACTGAACACATACAACGCCCAAAACCTCATGTCAACGAACAACGGGATCTACGGTCACCAGAACCAGCTTATATCGCCAAGCATCACGAACAATTCCAGTCCGGCAACAGGCAACGAGGATCCAGCATTCCCAGCGATGCAATTTGTTGGGGAGAGCCAGAGCTCCCTGACGCCTCCCAATCTAACAAGTCAGACACAGCACACTACACTAAGGAAGCCGTTGCAGAGTCCGCCTCTGACGAACAGCCCTGGACCTATGTCTTTGGCGAGTCCGCGTCGCCTCACGCGTCATATGACAAGTCCTATTGTGCGAGTGGAGAATTATAGTAGGGAGGAGTCCCCTTCGCGTTCTGACCATAGTCAGGGCATGAGCGGACGAAGTCTCAGCAGCCGGCGATCTGGCAATCACCTTTCCCCGTACCCACCAAATGATTCCTCTGACGAAGAAGATCTGTCTGATCAAGCGCACGTTCGTACAGTGTATCGGGGGACGGAACGGAACGAGGGCAAACTATGGCTAGGCACCGGTGGTCAAGGCCGGGCAGGACTGAGTCCCAACGATCGTCAAGCAATGGACAACATTTTGGTACCTAGTCTTGACGAGATCGCTGAGCGTCGGGCGAGGATGGAGAAGAAGCGTGAAGTTCAAGACTGGCTGACGAAGAGCGAAGTCGGGAGCGATGCAGGTGATGTAGGCCCATCAAGCAGCTACCTCAAACCCCACAACGGACGCCGTCGCGCAAAGAGCCAGAACGATGCCAACCGCCAAGCCCTTCATGGCAGTTTTGCACTCGGTGTAGGCACTCATCTCGATGACTTCAGTCCCAGGTACATCAATGAGCAAAGCGACTACAGCGATGACGACGACGATGATGAAGATTATGAATCGCACTCTCCACCAGCCTCGGTAAACATACACGCAGACGAAACAGAGGGCTCGTACCTCCCTACTACACGAGAGCCGAGCCCCGACTCAGATGCCATCGTTCAACCATGGATGGATGCGCCAACGCAGCAATCAACAACATCGAGCCATTACCAGCCTCCCACATCGAATGCAGCAATGATGCGCTTTTGGCAACGAGCAAAGGATGTTGAATCAGCATCTCTCGCTGCCACTGTTGGCTCACGCCGGCTAAGTGAGCCTGATCTTGCTAGCATTCGAGGCTCGCCAGGCGTTGCACGACTCATAGAACCCGAGCCTCGCAAGAGTGATGACAGGCAGCGCCGCCCCAGTTTCCTGCGAAACATTCGACGCACTCCGAGCAACCTGCTCAAGCGCAAGGGCAGTATACCCGTGCAGCAGTCGTCAGATATGGGCTCAGATCCGTCGAAAGACCCCGGGTTCGAGAGGCCAAAACGCATTGGTAGCTGGGGTCGACCCAAGTCTCCCAGGGTAAATACTAATCTTAGCGACAAAAGCAAAGAAGGTATCCCTTCTGGTTCTCTTGGTCTGTCTGCAACATCGGGTCCGTGGTACCAGGGCGCCAAAAACGTCATCAAGCGGAGCCGTAGCCGAAGTGACATTGGTAGAAGTAGAGGTGATTCTGGGAAGTCGTTTGGTCTTGCCGAGCTCATGACCCAGCACGGCGGGCCGCCTATGCCTATGCTCGCTTCGCCGCTAGCAGATACCGAAGCGACAAAGCAGTCTGTCCAGCCAAGCCCTGCTGCGGATGATGAGGACGGCGAACGAGAAGCAATCACTATGGACCTCAAAGTCCGCACTAATCTCATTATTCCAGATCAGGAAGGTTTCCGGACACACGCACGCCAGCTGAATCCTCGTCTAGCAGACTTCATGGTTGAGCGCGTTGCGCAGGAGCAGATCAGAAGATACAAGCGGCTTCTTGAGTTCCGTGTTAAGCACATCAACGTTGTGCAAAACAAGAATTGCCCTTCGAAAGAGTTCTGCACGGAACTAGGAGGTGAGTCCAAGCAGCTCCCGCCGAAAGCGGGCAACAAAGACCCCGACGCGCCTTTCATCGGTTTCCAAATCACAGCCCCAGGAGAGGAGAATGACGATGTAGATCTCCCTCCCGAGGGCGCGGTCATAGCTGCCCAGTTTCCCACTGGCGTTCCTTTGCCGCCTGTGAAACGCCTTCCGGCCGAGTTCGAGTGCCCGCTATGCTTCAAGGTGAAGAAATTTTACAAGCCTTCGGACTGGACCAAGCACGTACACGAAGATGTCCAGCCTTTCACTTGTACCTTTCCCAATTGCCAGGAGCCAAAGTCTTTCAAGCGTAAGGCTGACTGGGTCCGTCACGAAAATGAGCGGCATCGACAGCTTGAGAACTGGACATGCAACATCACAGATTGCAATCACACCTGCTTCCGCAAGGACAACTTTGTGCAGCACCTTGTCCGGGAGCACAAGATTGCTGAACCAAAGCAGCGGACCGGTCGGGCTTCCAACAAGGATCCGCCAGCAAGCGGCGATTCAGGTATGTAATACAACCATGAGCTTGGTGAGGAAAGTGCTAACTATCAACCAGACGATATCTGGGCGGTCGTAGAAAGATGCCGTCGAGACACCACGAAGCAACCAAAAGACGAGCCTTGCCGTTTCTGTGGCAACGTTTGCAACAGCTGGAAGAAGCTCACCGTGCACTTGGCGAAACATATGGAGCAGATCAGCATGCCTATACTTCCACTGGTCGAGCAGAAGATCCTGAACGCGGACACTATCATCAGCCCCGTCCAAGAGCCACCGGACTCACGCAAGCTATCGGCCGCGTTCGCTCGAAGGCCAATTGGTGGCAGTCCTTCGCAGAACTCTCCGATCACGACTTATGCGCCAGGGATCGACCCTTTCGTCCAAGTCCCATCAGGCAGCCTGGCAGAGGCAGCCGCCAACGTGATGCACTCATATCCTCCGACCCAAATGGTCCCACAACCACAAAGTGGCTATACAGCCTACGCTGCAAACAACATCCACTACTCTAATCAGACTTATCCGGGGCTGCAAAACGCACCGAGATCGCTTCTGGTACACACCGACGGATTCAATATGCAGAGTTCAACATACCTCAACATGGGCCCGATGTCTGCAGTGCAACAACAGGAGCAGGCAATGTTCACAAATTCTCCTACTGAGACTACCGCGTTCCCCAGCTACTTTACACCTGATCAACAGAACATCACAGGAGGCTTCGACCCAACAATGCAGATGCCGTACCAGCAGCAAGCACCCGTAGGGACGTATCAAGGTATGCAGTACCTGGCGAACCAACACCAACCGAATTACCAATACCAAGGACAGTGACGGGCCTGCGTTTTGGGATCGTGATCGTACAGGGGATTACGCTGCGATTTCAGTAGAATTTACGCCTGACGACTTTTGCTTTACACGTTTTAACGATATCCCTGCTGCATTTTTTGGCGGTCACACTCTCGCTTACGCTTCACTCGGCTGTGTATCATAGTAGACATAGTGCAGAATGACATACCATCAAACTTTTCATATTGATGTAACACGCTTCGAAGTATCTTGAGAAGTACCTTGCCGGAAGCATTGCCTCTTGTGTTATGCGCGATGGCTATGTGCCGTAATCCGTAAGGCGAGCAATACAGTACTCGATCGCGTGCAACATATTAAATGTAGCAGCAGCGGTGGCACCACTTCCTCTTGAAATCAGGGATCACGTGCTGGCACGAGTCGCTGCTGTGTTCAAATGTACCCCGTCAGGGTCGTAATTGTGTGCCCTGCGGAGGCAAGGCATGATGCACATCGAAGATAGATTCGAGTACTCGAGCCTGGTCGGTGAGCCAACTATTGACCCGGACCTTCACTGAACATCTTGAGACGAAGATTGCACAAAGCTTCTGGGATTCACAAGCCTTCCACCTTGACAGACATGTTAGGCATGTGGTCAAGACTCAACACGAGCACCATCAACAGCCGCTGCTGAATACGCTCTGTCGACAAAGGCATGCCGATCGCTCTTCTCGAACAACGCAGGTTTCTTCCCTAAGGTTTCCTCTTGCGACATGGTGGGATGGCCTCGGACGCAGCATCAATCCTACGCTGTCATCGTCGGTGTGACTTCACATGCTTGTCGGCCGGACCAAGATGGTGGGATGGCACCGGCTCGACACGGTGGACTGTAAACGGGATGACGCAGTAAGGCAGGCTGGAGGTTGGGGACTTGATTCCTGAGCATTGCGCTTTGTTCATAGGATTTGTCCAGCACGTCAAAACAGGAGGTTTTCCACCTTTGCACACAAGGTTGACCCAGCGGAGGCATGCCGGCTGGACGAGGCGTCTGAGCGATCTGCGCCCAACAACACGCCTCATCCATGTGCGCGCTGGCCCCAGGATGACGATCGGAAGCTTAGACGCTCAGGTGCGGGCTAATAAGCCGCATAGCATCGTGCTGACGTTGTATGCTTCTGAGACGCCGACGAGACGGCTGCTAAGCCAATGAACGCCAGACGGCAGCATCGCAGCTCGATAAGGGGTGCGAAGCACAGCAGCAGCGCGAGGCGGCGCGTCTTGCCTTCACAGAGCTCAGGGCAGAGCTGCGGAGCAAAACTTGGGCACTGAGGAATCCTTGACAGATTGCGGTATGGCACGCAGAGGCAGGTTTTGCGCTGGCGAGGTAAACATGTGCCCTGTGCGACTGTGACCACGGCGCAACTGTCTGACCCGAGTGATACCGACGGCCACTATGTTTGCTATCGCTGCAGATTCATTCAGTGTCTGTTGTTGAGGCTGGTCCATCATGGAGCTTGTGCGCGCATGCCGCAATTTTCGACCGGCTCGCCAATCGGCCGCGAGGACTCACAGCGGATTTGAGCGCTGCGGGATCACGTTGGCTACGCGCGCGGGATTTCCGGCGATGTGCGACTGTGATTTGTCTGTCGGATGTGCATTTATTTCGCGCTCAGCACAGCGCGAGGCCTTGCGGGCTGGAGAGTGTTGAGCAGCACATTCGCGTCCACCTGCCACGGACTCAATTGCATATTGCGTACCCCTCGGGCTGACCGCTCTGTTGCTGCCCGCTTCTGCGCCGACCCATGACGTCCGGCTCCTCTCCCTTGTCTGTGGCAGCGCTCTGAGTCCCTCCGAGCCAGAAGAGAGGCGCCTGAGAAGCTGCTCCGCGAAATCGCCATGATCGAACATCAATGCGCGCCCAGGCCGCCGTGATGTGCAGCATGGTCGCGCACAACAGACCCCAGCACCATGAGCAGCTGGGGCGTCGCCAAAGACACGCCCGTGGCTGACCTCATTGGCGAACATCCCTGTCGGCAGGCCGCGCCTTCCGCGAATAGAAGAACCCCGCCCATCGCCCTTTCCCTCTCGCGCCCAACCACAGCTTCTCCTTCCTTCTCCAATCATCCTGCACCACCACGACTAGCCATCCATCAACCAGAATCACGAGTCTTGCGCTACAACGCGCTCGTGGTCACAACACGTCAAACCGCACCGGGTACCTTTGTGTATCTTGTCGGCGCTTCCACACGGCGTGCTGCCCGTCGCAGAATCGGTGCGCTCAAGTATCCGCACGCGTCGGTAAGACAAGAGCTGCGTCCTGCCGCCTTCTCAGCCAGTCAACGCGAGTCGCGCTCCTCACCACCACAAAATCTCGTGACTGAACTTTGCTGCGGCCTGCTGCATCCGTAAGTCCACCACGCCTGTCTGTCTGGCGCATCTCGTCGTCGTTTGATGTTCTCGCGACGCGCCGCCATGTTCTTTGCGCATTGTTATTGCGCACCGTCTGCAGCGCTGCCCGCGCAGCTCGCCCCCAGAGCTGTCATGCTGGCCCCAGCGCCATATACCATCGCGCCTTCCTGGCCTGCCATGCGCTCCTGCTAACGGCGCCCCAGCAGACACAGGGAACACACGGCTCAGTAACGCTGCCTGGCTTTGTATCGCGCACGCTGCCAGCTACTTGGATCGACTTCATTGTCGCCGGCATCACCTGCGCACTTGACAATATATCATTGCGCAGTCGCTGGTCGCCCTTAAAAGCACTGAGCTTGGAGCCGCCATCTGAGCACGCTCTAGCAACACCGCTACCAGAGTCCTACTACGACTACCACGCCAGCCAGCGTCACCTCGCCCGCGCAGCAATCGTCTAAGCGTGCATTTGCGACGTGCATGTGCAGTGCTGATCAAAGTCGGTAAGTGCCTTCATGGGCGTGCATGAACCTGCATTGCCAACGCATCACCTCCAATCGCCCGCCCGCCAGCACATGCCTCCCCTCGACCTCCTCCAATTGCCCGAGTACCTGTGCCTCGGACTAGCTGACGGTTACTCTTAACAGTGTGGACATCTTTCGCAGTCTCCTTTGACTGGGTGAAGCCCTGAAACGGACTCTTCCCCACACGGAGCGGGCCCTTAGACTGCGTATTCTTACCATCGCCGGTCCACTCTGCATTCTGTGCAAGTGCATCGCCCCAGATCTGACTCGGCACCCAATCGTCGTCATTGCGCCTCAAGACCTGCGCTGAGACTTCACCCGTGCGCGTCTTAAGCACTTCGCCTCATAAGCGTGGCCATTGACAACGCATCAAGCATCGGCTCTGCCGCGACGTGACCAGCTTGTACTGCGCGCCTAGAAACACCATTCCCGCTCTTGATCAGCAACACGACGCATCTATCGCAGTAGCCTTCACCACCTAGCTCACTGTCAAATCAGCCACCGAGTATTCGATCAAGCCCGAGTCAATCCTCCGTAAGCCTCCAGACGCTCGCTACACGCTTTATTGGATCGCGTACTAATTTCGCTCCCAGCTCTAGGCTACCGTCCTCCAACCATCCTTTGTAGGGCTATTAACCAAGTCGCGTCCCTGCGCGCTCATCATATACCCTTCTACGAATCACACGACACCCCGCTGTAGGCAACGCAGGCCACGAGCACTCGCAATTGAGGCTCCTTCTGTATACGACTGAGGCTTCCACGAGGATCAAGTACCCTGCATCTGTGTCAGCCAGTGGCGCATTCGAGGTAATACTCACAACAACGCCGCCTCCAAGTCGCGCGCGTCGAGTTTGCCTTGTACACCCACAACACCAACATCACATATTCCTACCATGACCGACTACGCGCAGTACCAACAGCCCCACCATGGGCACGCACCCGGCCACATCCAGCCCTATGGCGGCGCTCAGAACCCGGCTGCCGGGAACCCATCGATAACGTCACCCACCCAACAGCAACAGATGCATTCGTATCAACAAACATCGCCAATCCTCCCATCGCAGGGGTACGGCCAAGCTGGTGCGCAGCACCAGCAACACCCCCAGCAAATGAGTTACGCACAGCAAGGGTATATGCAAGGCATGCCCCAAGCGTACGGCATGTCGCCAACACAAGCGGCGGCCATGGCCACAGCTGCCGCTGCAGGTCCGGCGGGCGCATACGGATATGATCAGAACGCGATGCACGGACAAGTTGCGCAATCGCCGCGCATGGCTGGGGGACAATTGAAGCAAGATGTACGCGCTGCCCCGCGCTCGCCAACCGCGGTGTCCGCCGGTATGGCTGGACCCCTCGCCTCCCAAGTCCAGATGACACCCGGACAGATGCAGCAGCGCAGAATGAGTACCCAGATCAGCAGCCCTGCGATGCAGCAGCCCCAGCCCGTGATGAGTCACGTAGGACCTCGTTCGTCCATCTCAGTCCCACCTCAAATGGCAGCGCCACCGCAACACCAACAGTCGCCTGAGCTCGTAGCTGGGGCGCAGGCCGAGGAAGCTCCGCTATACGTCAACGCCAAACAGTTCCACCGAATTCTCAAGCGCCGTCTCGCGAGACAGAAGCTTGAGGATGCTCTGCGTCTTACATCGAAGGGTCGCAAGCCATACCTGCACGAGTCGAGACACAACCATGCTATGCGCCGTCCACGTGGACCTGGTGGTCGATTCTTGACTGCCGAGGAGGTTGCCGCAATGGATGCTCAACAAGGCAAGGATGGCGAGACCGACAACAAGGAGAACAGCGCTGCCCCGCCCGCGCCTAAAGCTAAAAGTGGAGGCCCTAAGCGCAAGGCCTCTCAGACTCAGCTGAAGGCCGGCCCTCCTAAAAAGGCGAAGGCGCAGCAGCAGAGTATCAGCGAGGAAGACGAGGATGAGGAAGACGATGACCCTGAGGATGATGGTTGAACCCTTTTGCCTTCCCCTGCTTCGACCTCTACCTGTTTAATCTTCTTCGACCTTTACACTTCTAAACAAACCCAACTTCTTGACGATTTACGACAGCGGATCTCTCGGGTCAACGGTTGGCTTTTGCATGTTACCCACATTGTGCGCCTCGATACACCCTTCACCATCAAATTGTCTTAGCAATACACCCTCTCATCAGAGTATTGAAACATACACACACGTTGGGCTGGTCAGGTATGGTGCACTTATTTTGTACGGACGGACTCATTGTCTGTTGTGGTTTCTGGTTGTTGTATTCCCCCCTTGTTGCGTTCTGTGCCTTTTACTCTTTCCTCATACCCCTATACCCCACATTCGTTCAGGAGCCGGACTGGGAGCACCGACTTGAAGCTGGTGCGATGGCTACGGACATAGAAAGGATTGGTCTCCAAGGACGAAAATGAATACCATGTTTGTGATCGTGTTTCCCCATGATTGCTTTCTTGCACAGACGACAGTGACTTTAGGTTCTTTCCGATCGGTAACGCTCACCAGCCAAGAATAATAACAGATAATAGGTGATGACCGTCAAGAGTATGTATATGTCGGACAGGACGGTCTGAAAGCAAGTCCATTTGAAATGGTACTCGAACAAACATGTTGGGGAACATATGTTGCATCCTGCCTTTGAGAGTAAGCTCCCAGTCAAAACAACACATCTTCCCATTTGATCTTTTGCTGGAATCACCACTTTGCCCTCATCTCTGACTCCGACTTCAACACCAGCTGGGTGCTTTGATGTCGACTTCCATAGACGATGATGCCCACAATGTGATGTTTACAGTGTGATATTCATCACGATTTGCGTGCTACAGCTTCTATGGTGCTTGACTCAAAAAGTTCGTGGGCTTTCCAGCACCTGCGTTGGCATTCTTGCATCGCGCATCTTGATGGTCTTGTTATTCGGGTACCTGAAGAACACGGCGACTGACCAGCATTTCCTGGTGCGGAACAGGCAGTTTGATTTGTTCGATATTCTGAGACTTTATCCGGACCTGCTGGGGATTGCTATCGATGAGGACACGGCGCTGGTTATTAGTAAGAATGAGGCAGATGTGTTTGGGAGTACTTATGTGGCGTTCTATGATGGGGGGTTCTGGTCGAGGGAGGGGAGTGGGTTGAAGAATTTGCCGCTGCCCGAGTCAAGATTCTACTTCTTGAAGGCTGGCGACAAGTACGACCTTGGGTCAAGGAAGGTCGTGAATATCGAAACAATTGCTGAAAGAATTGAGTTGTAGAAGATTGCACAATGAACTCAAATAGCACAACGTCTAGCCACGGAGAAGTAGTGGCCATGAACGGATATTTGTGTGAGCCCATGCGGTTGACTGTATAGCCGAAATACCTGGAGCTGACGGTACAAGAGTCTCCACCCTATGCAATATCTCAACATTCTGTTGTTCTTGGGCTCTCAACTGCGACAACTCTGAACTTGCTCCCATCCGCGAAAGCCGCCTGATCCTCTTCAATATCCTTCCTGCGTGGACTGTTCGCAAATTTTTCATTGAATACCTGACAATGCGCTTCATCCCTGAGCTCGACCGTAGTAATGCAGTCGTAATTGACTGTCTCTGCATCGCCAAAGAACACAAGCGGTGGAGGGATGTTACTTTCATCAACGCCGGCAGGGCTGCGCTTTCGGGGTAGCGATTGTGGCGGACGGGTGCTACATCGCCAAGGACTTCGAGAACGAGAGGGATGTGCTTATTCTCGTAGTGGTCAACAAAAGCTTCGAAACTGATGCCCGGTTTGCGGGTGAGGAACATGAAAATTGTGTATCCCATAATGAATATCGAAGACGGTGTTTGGAAACTTGTCTGGGGCGTGTGAGAAAAGATGAAAGGTCTGAGAATGTTCGGATCTTCATCTACAGATTGACAGACCTTTTATACCATTGCAAGTAGAACCTCACCTACATGGACGGTACGGAAGGGTAAGATTAGAATGACACCCGTCTTTGCCTTTGTCAAGCTTACCTACCTGTAAGCTGACAGCCAGCTCATCTTCATTGCGGTACCCCGACCGACAGACCTGACACGATCAAGGGAGGGCCTTTGATCAGATGAAGTAAAAGCCAAGAGCTAGGCACTGAAAAGCGACCGTCGACTGTGGAGCAAGACAGTGTCGGTCAAGGCAGCGTGTGATCATCCGGCGGTCGCAAGTCGCCGTGTCATGTATGGCGATGCCTGGACGGATGAAGGGTCTAATACGCTGAATATGGGTCAAAGATTTCGAACAGCAACAGTAATGTACAGCACATAGCAGCAATGCCATATTTAATATGCATGGTTGTTATGTCGAGGAGACTGACAGCAGTAACGCGACTTACAAGGATTGGCATCATTACGAAGTAATGTGCCTCGGCATCTTTCGGCTCTAACCCTTCCAGGAAGAGCGGAGAAGCAATCATCACGACTTTTGTATCAATCGCACAGTCCAAAGAACCTCTAGACATCTTATACATCACAATCAAAATGCCCATCGACATCGTTGCCATCATCACGCCCAAAGCCGGCAAAGCCGACCGCGTACGTCTCCACCACAGTCCATCAAAACAGCAGGAAGCCACTAACGAGCATCAAGGTCGAGGAGCTCCTCGTCGCCGCAGCAAAGGCTGTCAAAGCCAACGAGCCAGGCACGCTGCGGTACCACCTGCAGCGCGAGACGAAGGGCGACACTCCCGTCTTCGTAATGCTGGAGACGTACAAAGACCAGGCATCCATCGGCGCGCACGCCAAATCGCCAGACTTCAAGGCGATGGGCAAGACGATGATGAGCGAGGATCTGCTTGCTGAGCCGATGAGGATTATAGTGACTAAGGAGGTTGGGGGGTACGCGAGTAAGCTGTAGAGGTTGTTAGATTCAGCATGTGGGATCTGGCGTCGGAGTGTAAGCCGTGGGAAGTCGGAGGATGTCGGCGCTTGGAAGCTGATGCGATTGATGTAAGCGGAGAGCGCTTGGATGGCCAATGAGAGTGGGATGCATGAAGATGTTCGGCTGGGATGCACGTTTGTGGAGACCTCCATGTCCTTGTACCTTATGCGTACAGCGATGCAGGGGAAGTCGCACAACAACAGTTACACAGCAACTTTCAAGACGCATACTTGCATACACGCAAGTGTAAAATCTACGTACTGATTGGAGGTGTTGTGCAAAACGATCTCGTTTGAATTTTGACGGTTACACAGCTCCCCCCATGGAATAGCGGGCCAACCTCAGCTAAAGTTTAGGCCCGCCATCAGTTCACCCCCGCATGCTGACAGGGTTCAGCCTGGCTCCAGATCAACATTGACATAAAGACTGTAGCAGCCGTTGTACTTTCGTTCTGCTTCTCTCTGTCCCAAACACTGACATCTTCCTGACATGAACACTACTCATGATGCTCTATTGGAGCTTACATCTGGTCTCCCATGGGCAAAGATCGTGGTAACGGGTATCGTTACAGCACTATGCTATTTTGTGGTGAATCTGGTGCAGCGAAGACGCTTCTACAAAGACCTGGTATGCCCCTATCTTCGCACCTCCGGAATCATGCTCTGTACTCGTGAAGGTTCTAATGCTGACATTCCCAGCCCAAACCGCCACACTCCTTCTTCTGGGGCCATCTCAAGCTGATGGGGGAGACCTTCGCCGCATTCCCGAAAGACTGCCACATCCAAGTCGCCGTGACGACGATAGCGCAGAAGTACAAGCTCCCCGGTGTTTTCTACCTGGATCTCTGGCCAGTCGGGCCCAGCATCTGCGTCGTTACCGATCCCGACGCCGCGCTCCATTTGACCGTTACACGGAACCACGAGAAGCACGACGAGATGATCAGGGTAGTCGAGCCCATGATCGGAAGGGGCAATATCGTAACCACTGAGGGCGCGAGGTGGAAGATGCTGCACAAGATGCTCGCTCCTGCATTCTCGATCATACATGTCACGAATCAGCGGCCGATGATTGCTGAAGCCGTGATGGAATTCCGCGCGATCCTGACCAAGTTGGCTGAATCGGGTGAAACCTTCGAACTCGAGAAGTGCGCTGAGCGGATGACGCTCGATGTTATTGGTGAAGCAACGTTCGGTCATTCGCTGGGCGCTCAAGCGGGAAAGAGCGAGGTGATGCAACATTGGAATGACACGAGTCGAGCGCACATGCAGCTGCGTGACTGCTGGAAGGTTGATTTCTTAAGGAACTATTTGGCGCATCGGAAGCGGGAGGCGGCGAAAAAGAAACTCGATGCCGCGTTGACTGAGCTCGTTGAGAAGCGTTTTGCTCATGTTGTTGAGAACGACGTAAGTTTGGAGAAGCGGAAAGACAGCATCATCATCGACCTCATCCTGCGAGAATACCTGCAAGAAGCCCCACAGCGCAAGCAGAATCGCCTGGACCCGGCCTTTTTAGAGACCGTATTGATACAAGTACGCACGCTTGTTGTTGGAGGAACAGGCACGACTACGGATACATCCTGCTTCACGTACATGCTTCTCTCAGCATATCCAGATGTTGTACGGAAGTTGAGAGAAGAACACGACCGAGTATTCGCACCAGGGATCGATGCTACATATAATATTCTGTGCGCAGAACCTTACAGACTCAACAGCCTAGAATACACCACCAATGTCATCAAGGAGGCCTTGCGTCATTATCCGGTGGGGTGCACAGCTCGTAGAGAGCAGATCGAGGGTTTCATTCCGTACAATGGTCAACATTGCACTACGAAGGGCTTCCTGATCCTGCCAATGCAGCACACAATGCATATGAACCCAGAAATCTTCCCAAACCCAAGTGCGTTCGATCCGGATCGATTCACGCGCGAGGAGTTTCCGCGTCATGCCTGGCGACCTTTCGAGAGAGGACCAAGAGCTTGTTTGGGCCAGCCGCTAGCCATGGACGAATTGAAAATCATGCTTCTCTTGACAATCCGAGAGTTTGACTTCACTTGTGTTGGTCTTAAGCCGAACAAGACGCCACGAGTGCCGTGGACAGACCTGGATCTGACATTTGGAGATCGCGCATTTCAGGAGTATGTCTTCGAGGCGAAGCCCCGAGACCACATGCCGATGAGTGTGAAGAAGTCGAACTGGACGTAGGAGCGGAGATCGATCAAACCTATAGTTCAGAATTACAATTAGTTATTAGGCCAGAACTTTCTCCCTTTCAACCGTCGTCGTGGTCAGGGCCATTGAACTCCGTCAAGTCATCGCTCATGATGTGCAGAATTTGAGAAAACGTCCTGCTCTTCCAACGTCCCATTCCTTCCATAAGGTCAGCGCAGTGCAGCAAGGTTTTGCGGGCTGCAGCATAGCCAGCCTCCAAAGCGACGTTGCCCATGCTGAGAGACCCGCCATGCAAGATGAATCGTGCGGCTGCTGATTCTGTTTTGATTGCATTAGAGTACTCCTCGCGGTCGACCAAGCCGACTCTTTCAACAATGACCCAATCCACTGGGTCTGATAGCTCGTATCCGGCGGCGGTGCTTGAGTTTGCTGAGGGCGGAACCGTGAAAACGTACAGTCCAAGGACCAAAGCAGCATGGAACAGCGCTACAATGCTTTGTGGATGGACAACATCCGAGACCTTGCGATCTGAAAGCAGCTTGTAGATATGCGCTGCGTGAAGGATCGATCGACGCGCTGTCGAAGTTTGTGTCCATGCAGAGACGAGCTCGAGGGCAGTCGCAGCTGGTCCTGCGCCAGCTCGACCAGCAGCCAGCTCGAAGTTTTGCATGTTTGCACCGAGCCGCATGCACAGCTTGTGCCAGAGGACAAGAGAGTTTAAGTCATGAATGGACCTGAAGCTCACCATCAAAGGTACTATGCCACGGCTACGTTCATCGTCCGCAAAGACGCGCCAAGGCTCAAGATGCTGATGTTCACTCTTGACGCCCACCCTGTCATTTGCTTCTAACATCCGAAGTGAGATGAGCGTGAGCTGATTACATGCTAGTTCCAACGATCGAGAATTAGGCGCGGGAGCTAGGTCAGGGTAAGACGTGATGGCATCAATATGCGCTGGAGTGCCTTGGTCGACCATATGGATCCACGCTGTTGATGATTCTGCCTGGTATAAGCTTTGGTTTGTGACAGGGTAGACCTGCACAAGCTCGGGGCGGATAATGGGTGAGCTTGAAAGATGGCCTGCCCACCAGGAGTCGGCCTGGATCAGCCCGTAAGTGATCCTCTTAACACACTCGATGTTCACCCAGGCTCTCCACCTATGCTCCCCGTCGGCCAAAGAGTGCAGCAAGTCGCCTACGTCCATACCGTCGTTGACAGAGAAGAGGCCCTGGTTCTGAGACACTGTGATGAGCTCGATGTAGAGTTCCTCCGCCTGAGCGATGCGGTTCTTCCTGCCTGTAATTGAAGCGAGGTTGAGAACCAAAAGCCCTGTAGCGATTGTGCGCATGTGCCGTTGCGGAGGATCTTTGCTCGAGCGCAAAGAGCGCAGATCCGCTAGTACAAGCTGTAGCAAGCTGGGGAAGCTATGCGTTACGAACTTCACGGCGCCCGCAGTGCCGATGATGCTCATGCCTATGAGACACATTGACAGCAGAAGCGGTTGCGCAGCTTGCTTAGCGGAAAAGGTAGGCACGTGAACGACTGGTAGCGTCGGGTGGAAATAGTTCTGGTACATCTCCAATGCAATATCCAGAATCTCGGTTGGTGGAAATGGCAAGCTGTTTCCAGAAATGGCCATGCTGTTGGTCCCTACGAAGCTTCCTCGGTGATTGAATCGTAAATTATCGGCCGGAGGTGCCTGAGCTAGTACATCCTGAAGAGATTTTCGGCGGAGCTCATCCAAGCACCAGCGCGAGTTCCGTCGTTGGTCTTGGGAGGGGTGCTGTTCAATCATGTGCGTTGTATCATCAGCGAAGATGTTCGGGCATCCCTGCAAGGCCAAGTCCTGCCACAAGATAGGCATTGTTCGTGTTGTTCTTGAGATCTGTGGCGGCCAACAGTTGGCGACTCTTACAAATCGCTCTCTGGGAATCTTTGATGCGATGGACACGGCATCTGACGGACTGCCTTCGTCATGAGAGGGGCCTGCTGCGCCGTCTTGGTAGAGAGACTCGTCTAAATCTGGACGGTGGTTTCCGTTTGGTGTATCCAGATTGCCGTCTGGTGTGAAGAGCCACGATCTCAATGAGCTGGAGGTCGTTTGACCAAGCATAGCCTGGTGGCTCTGCATCAGATCGAAAGCCCATGGATCGAAGTTGCCACTGCTCGTGGCAGACGTGAAAGAGAGTGATTCCATGGAGGGGTCAATGGGTGGCCCCAGGTTACTGTCATGATGTCCTGCCATCTGGTAACTGTCGGGGTGCAATGAGTTAGGTGACTGCCAAGATGGATACGCAGTGGGCTCGAGGTGTTGGGCTGCGTTGATGAGCGCCTCCATACGGTGTCCGCTGTTTGGATGGATTGCTGGAGCATTCTCGCCTTCTGGCAAAGACATGTCTCCACCTGGCAAGGAAGGAGCAGGGGTAGGGCCAGCCATGTGCACTGGGGGATGGAAATGCAAGGGTTGGCTCGAAAGGTCCGTCGGTTGAAGCGATCCATGGCTTTGCTGTTCATCCTTCCTACGATTCATCGCGACCTGGTTGTGGCCCTTACAGTGCCGGAACAAGACGTCGCTGCGCAGTCATATTAGACGGTAAAGATAGAAAGTTTGGTCAGACGTTACCTTCTCGAAAAGCTCTTGTTGCATGTTGGGCACTCATACGGGCGCTCTTTGGTGTCTGGTCCTTTGTCAGCCAACTGCATCATTGCACCGAATGATCAGGTCTGACATACGCGATCTTTCGTGACGCTTGAGATGCTCGAGTTTGGTGAACGTGCGATCGCACATGCTGCATTGTTTCAGCGCCATAGCCTAGCTCTTTCTCGGCTCTGTGAGCGACTCTTCGATTGAATGGCATGAATGGCGCGTAGTGACACGGTTCGCTGCGTAAGAGTCGGAAAGACAGTGCGGTTCCGGCCTCGAAACAAGGGTGTGTCCGCGTCTGCGTAAAGTTCCAACGCGGACTGAAATCGGATGCGGGGCGGCGCTCAGTCGGAGGGAGACGCGCCAAACGAGAAAGCGCGACCGGTTCACAGGGTTGACTAGGCTCAATTCGGTCGTGGTGACGTTTATTCTTTCTGCAGAAGTTTTGAGAGCTCACCGACTCGAGCAGTTCGCGTGCCTGATTTGGAAAGAGCTGCGCTCGATAGTTGTTTATACTACCTCCATGGTGGCAATGCTGACCTGCCTTCAGGACCGACTATTGGCCTATATTCTGCAAATGTTGCTTAGATCGCACGATGAGGGCACATCTTAAACACCTTGTGTAGAAGCATTTTGCGCAACCCTTGACATCTTCTAGCGAGGCAATGCATTCGACGAAGGTTGCTCAACAATTCAGCTGCGATAGAGGGTATCAGACATAACCATAGAAACCTATCTTGGTTCAGATGGAAGCTACTCCGGCTCCTGATCCTTCCACTTCTCCCTCACAGCCCCAACATCAATCTCACAAGCCTCCGCATACTTCAACACGGCCCGCGCCTTCTTTACAACCGGCACATCAATCATCTTGCCTTCGAGCGTCCACGCCCCTCTTCCCGCCTTATCCGCCTTCTCATCCGCAATCACCACTCTCGTCGCCCACTCAACCTCCTTGTCCCCTGGACTAAACGCCTTGTGACACACAGCAACCTGGCTGGGATGTATACACTGCTTGCCGTTGAACCCCATGCCCTTACCGTTCAGACACTCTTCCTCGAGCGTTTGAAGCCCTGCATCGCCCTTGTAGCTTGTGCACACCAGGTCGATTGTGCTTGATAGAAGAGCAGCGCGCGCCGCAGTCGCAATCGCGCTGCGAGCGTACAGGAACTCGGTCAGCGAGGGCGTGCGTGTGAGACTCATATCTTTTGCGAAGTCCTCGGCAGCAAAAACCAAGCCATCAAGGTACGGCGATGCCTCGCAGATCTCCTTGAGGTTCTGGATGGCTTTCGCGGACTCGATCAGCGCGATTATGCTCACGGGCTTCTTCCCGGCTTTGTCACTCTTTGTAGGAGAGCTGGGGTGTCGCGCCGGCGACAGGTGCCGTATGACGTCCGTTATGAAGTGCAAGTCCGCGGCGCTCTCGCACTTGGGCAGCATGATGGCATCGAGGTATTCGCCCTGCAGAACCTCGGTCAGATCGTCGAGCGCGAGACCCGTATCGACGCTGTTGACGCGCACGCACATCTCTCTGATGCCGGCGGGGCGTGGTTTGGACAGGATGGAGCGCAGGTTCGAGCGTGCCTCAGCTTTCAGTGAGGGCGCGACTGAGTCTTCGAGGTCGTAGGTCACATTGTCGGCGTGCATGGCGAAGGACTTCTCGAGCATCTTCTGCGAGGATGCTGGGACTGGACGCCGTGAGCTGCTGCGGAAGACATTGGAAGAAGGGTTGTGAATGTACCGTACATGCACGCCCGCCGGATGATAGGGGCTGCCATTGCTACGTATGTAGTCAGTACCTCAGTGAGGAAGTGCAATTGAAGCCAGAAAGTCAATGGCAGGGCACGATGGCAGCCCGGCTATCTCCCGGCTACATGGGGTTGGCGTGGGGAAACCTTGAGATCAGAGCTTACACGCTAACGCCGACCTCCGACCTCCGAGACGCGTTCCCTGAGGTCTAGCCGCGTGTCATCACTGGTGCGCATTCAGTCGACAGCCCCAGCAGCACCACACAGCACCTCCCCCATGGAGACGGCACAGCAGTCGCCCGCGCCCGGCTCGCTGAGCTGGAAGCTCAGCAGCCACCCCATCACGCTCCTGACCTTCCTGTTCTTCCGCATCTGTACGCAATCCCTTCCTAGGCTCCCGAAAGCACATCTCACACAGCATACAGAGTTAACATGATTCATAGCCTCCCTCCTCGTCTACATCCTCGGACTGCGCCTCCTAACCTCCAACTTCGTCATGATCTTCATCATCACCATCCTCTTACTCGCCGTCGACTTCTATTACCTGAAGAACATCGCAGGACGGCGCCTCGTGGGTCTGCGGTGGTGGAACGAAGTCGACAGCGCGACCGGCGATGGACGGTGGGTGTTCGAGTCCGCAGACCCGGAGACGAGGGAGTTAAATGCGACGGACAAGCGGTTCTTCTGGATTGCGCTGTACGCGCAGCCTGTGCTGTGGATTCTGCTGGCGATTTTGGCGCTGGTGAGCTTGGAGTTTATTTGGTTGACGCTTGTTGGTGAGTCGTCTTGCTTCTCTGTGCTGTAATTGTGGAAAGCGGGATAAAGCTAATGAGAGCAGTTATTGCGCTGGTTCTGACGATTACGAATACGCTTGCGTTCTCGAGGTGCGACAAGTTCGGCCAGGCGAGTGGCTTTGCCTCGAACGCAATTTATGGCTCGGGTCTGGCGCGCAATTTGGCTGGAGGGGTCATTGGGGGCTTGTTCAGAAGATGATTTGGAGGAGGATGGCACGACAAAAGTGAGCGTTGAGCGCTGTAAGAGTAGGCATGGTGTCTGGAGTTCCAGGGTCACAGCATGATAGACTGATATTCTATGAGACTGCGATCAATTTCAGCGTTGCGTTGATTCATGCTCCTTACAGAATAGCGCTTCTACTATCGTGCGCACCTTGTAGTATTTGCTCTTACTAGCTGTCCTCGTTGACAATAACATCTACGCATTGTTGGATCCGACACTGAAACCTTGGACTCCGTCCAAATGGCGCCCGGTCTGTCACTAAGTATTCACTCTGTTGGCAGAACGATGGCAATTGGATACCTGCGCAGGTAGTCGTCGCGCGTTGACCGACGCAACGTCAGGTTACCAGCAGCCTATTTCTGGTACACCATCTTGTACTTGAATTGCGTAGGGAACGACCTGTCAGTGATGAGAATCTCCTCGCCGTCCTCGACCAAGTCGCGCAGCTTCTTCTCAAGGTTGGGGCGTGTCTGCTCCTCGAGGCCAGCCATCTGCATATACAGCGACTTCTCTCCGGTGCGGATCGAGGGCTTCTTGAGCTGACTATTGGCTGTCAGCTTTCCCATCTCAGTTCGAAGACCAGGACTTTAACTCACGCTTCAGGTCTCTCTGCCAGACCATCAATGAACTCCTGCAATGTAACGTTGGGGTTGATTGTCAGGGGTCGTGCAATATTGCCAGCTCCGCAGACAGGGCAGTCGTCTTTCTTCTGGTGCTCGAAAGTGTATGTGTAGACGCTGTCGTCGCCCGTGTACATCATGTAGTTGTCGGTCTCGGGGAAACCCAGGAACGGATTCGTGTTGGTGGCAATCTTGAACGCCTCGTTGCAGCAGCTTGCAGCCACAATGGCATTGGTTGAAGCAATCGCTGGGATGATGTTCTTGACTACACCTTGTGTCATAGAATATGTAACGCCTTCAATTTTGAACTCCTTAGCGCGCTTGAGAGCCTTCTCGTATAACCAGGTGATGTGTTCTGGGTCGTCGTTGTCAAGGGTGATGTCTTTACGCTCCTCGTCCCAGGCAATGATGTGTGCCCATTCGATGCAGTGCTGCGGTTGACGAGGGATGGTGGCTAGTGTGCAAAGTGGGACCGCAGCGCGTGGGGCGTGCATATCGAGCTGACACTCGATGCAGCTGGTCATGGTCGGAAGAATTACCCTCGCCTGGCCCTTGAAACCTTCGGTACCACCGTCTACTAACGGCTTCAGTGAATCTGGGTCGTTCTCATCTACCATACCGACGAGTGTGGCGTTGATCCAGCGGCGGGCCTCGATACTGTCCAGACCACACACTACCATCGCGAACTGCATGTAGTACGCTTCATCTTTGTCTTGAATCTTGCCGCAGTATGGGGTGATCTTGACTCCTTTGATGCGCTTCTCGATGAAACGAGCTGCGACTTCAGCCTTGAAGCTGCCAACGTCTGCTTGGCGGAAGAGGAATTGTCGGTTGAGATTGCTGACATCTATAGTGTCCATATCAATCACGTGGATATCTTTGAAGCCTGAAAGCGCAAGATTCTTAAGGATCTCACATCCAAGACCGCCTGCTCCACTGGAGTTGTATTGTTAGGACGTTCATGATAGTGTAAGACAAACTTACATGACTCTAGATATTGTTAGCCTTTAGAACAGTACAGATAGCTAGCATGTTTTACACACAGTACTTTGGAACGGCTCAGAGTCTCGATAACATTATCGCCTGGCTGAAACGCATCAGGATCCGTAAATGGCCCGCTTCGCATCAAGATGTTGTCCAGGTACTTCCTATATCACGTCACATTAGCAACCTAAATACCTGTCAGTTCATAGGCTTACCATCGTGCGCGAGGACTCGCTTCTATGCCAGACACTGGGTTCTGAGCTTCGATCGACATCTTGCGAAACGACAGAGAGTTGTAGTGTGAAATTCAAGTTGAGCAAACGGGAGTGGTGCAGGCATCGGTGTTAGATAGAGTTTAGCGCCGCCAAGAGTCTAGGTTCGGCAATTCTTGCCCCGTGTGGAAGGCAAGCATGCAGTGATCCTGAAGACATTCACTTGGACCAGTCATCGAGACCCTTGAATCATTCTGAAATCAGCAAGAACGTGGTGTGAATATTGCGACGGGTGGGCACGGATGACGAATACGAGCAGTTGAAGCCCTGTCGACAACCACACGCATAATCATTTCCAATCAGCGCAGCTTTCGTGAATCGAGACGACTTTTCAACGATCTCGGACTGGCTTGAGCGCCTCACAGTCAGACATCAGCCGGAAGCATAACCGAAATGGCAGACTTTCTCACCGCCGTCTCGAGCAAGAAGATCGTCTCCAAGCCAGCAATTGAGAAGATTCAGGACTTGAGCATCCGGGATGCAGCAACCATCGACACGCCGCAAGCAGCATTGCAGGCACTGAGGAGCCAGCCAAGCCATGGAACAGTCAACAATGTTATGAGCTTCCTCAACAGCAGAGGAGTTAGCATCGTCATCTCTGAGCCAGTGTATGCAAGCATCGCACACGAACTGGTTAGCAACCTCATACCAAACTTTTGGAGAGTCCTCAAGCAGCAAAAGAGTGACTGGTACCCCCTTATTGTCGCACTCCGCAATCCCGCGGGAATTGGGCACCTGCTTACAAGGCTCCGCACACTTATCATGGAGAGTCGGCAAAAGAAAGCCGCAGGGGCGACAGGTAGCGTGCCAGAATTCATCGAAGACACCTTGGAAGTACTCGACAGGGTATTGAGTGGTGTTAGTGTATCATATCAGATCTACGAACAGATTCTGGAGTTTGGCAAAAACGACATACAGAGGAGATTGTTATGGAAGGAGTATCTCGCGCAGGTAGCATCAGGCCGTGCCTTGTCGACGAGAGCTGAGGCTGAGGATGTACTGAAAGAAAGAGGAACTGAGATATCATCATCAAGTGGCAACGATCTTGCTGAGTGGCTTGGTCAAAATATCGACTTCATGCTGACGGTTGGCGACGAGGACAAGGACCTCAACACAGCTGTGAATAAGCTCGCCTCCAAGGCACTAACTTTGGGATACACGGGTGAGTCATTCTTCATTTACCGCGACATCCGTCACTGACTGCCAAGTTAGATCGCCTTGTCGCTGCCATCCTCGCCAATTGTATCGAGGTAGATCGAGCAACCCGAGTCGCAGCTCTAGTAGGGCGTTTGAAAGCTTCTGAACAGCGAAAGTACATCAATGCTGTCATCACCTATGTCACCAAGCAATTCTTTCAGTCTGAGGTTGTCAGCAAAGTTGATGAACCTATCGATCAATCTCCGACGGTGTCTGGAGTAGCATGTCTATTGAACAGCTTCATGAACAACAACGAAGTGTTGAAGGACCACATTGTCTCTTCACTTGCGAGATCTGCAATTCCTTCCTTGGATGATTCACTCGCTACTCGTCGTTCTGTGATTGCTGCGTTAGCTCAAGATGAAGGTGCGTGTTGAATCTCCAAGAATAATCTGATGGTCAGCTATTAATCCTACGTAGAGAAGCTGCAAACCCTATTCGAGAACTGTATCAAGACATTCGGAGACTCTGTCTATGTCAAGCACACGCCCGTAATGCAGCAAGAAGGTCAGTACACACTTCTCAATAGCCACCTGTGGTCTAACAAGAACTAGCTCTTGCGCAGACATTAGCGTTATGCTGCGGTTACGTACAGCGGATACAACCTATGTTCATGACCATGATGGCCAAGTCAACGTACCACGTTAACGGCATGTCCAATCGCATTAGGGCAGCATCACCCCGAGCTCGCTTCCTCGGTGTTGCGGTTGGCACGGCGATATCCAAGATGTTGGACAAGCCTGAGCTTCAGCTGAAGATCGAGCTTGAAGGGAGTGAAGCAGAGGAGGCGAGATGGTATGAGCGACTCGCGAAGGTGGACGACCGGCTTGGAAGCATCTCGGATCTCCGGAAGAAGCCAACAAGCAAAGGTTCTAGAAGTCGATCAACGTCCAAGCCTAAGCCAACGGCAAAAGTTGCGAAAACTCCAACAATCACTCAGATCCAAGGACCTCGCGTCATCGAGGTGCTTTCCAACTCTGAAGATGAAGATGCAGACCTGATGATTTACAGCAAGCCCGACTCAGACCCAGAAGACTCAGACGATGACCCCACGGCTATCAACCGTAACAAGCCCACTGCACCTGTGTACATTAGGGAACTTACTGCAGGCCTACGAGACCAGGAAAATTATGACCGTCACGAGCTTGCTCTCGCTACTGCAGCACCCTTGATCCGACGCAAGACCAATTTCGGCACTGAGGTCACAGATCATGTTGAAGAGCTTGCCACTACTTTGACTGGGCTACAGAACGGTCTTGAGCTGGAGAACTTTGCGCAGCAAAGGCAACAGGCCTTAATTGCTGTGCTTCTTGCAAGACCAGCGCAAATGGCGCAGTGGTTTGCACGTTCATTCTTCTCAGGCGACTACAGTCTGATGCAGCGCGTAGCCATGCTCACGACACTTGGACTTGGGGCGCGCGAGCTTGCTGGCATGAAGGACTCATCCACAGATGAACTGATCCCGGCAGCGCCATCATTCCCTAGCAAGCAACTACCGCCGCATTTGCATAAGACGTATACAGAAGACAAAACCGCAACCCCGGTCTCGAAGCTCACGAGCAGTATGGCCCGCGCCATGCTCTCACCCCTTGCCTCGCAAGCAGCCGACACACTAAGCGGGCCTAACGTCCTCAAGGTGCGCACGTTCAGCTCACGCATGGAAGTCGAAGCTGCGCGCAAGAAGCCCATCCCGAACGCTCTCGCACAGATAGTCGCAGACAACTTCTTCTTCCCGCTGACCGGTCGCTGGTGGCTGCAGATCAGATCGAGCAGCGACTCGATCTACGCATCTACACACCTCCTTCCACCGTTCCTGCAGACCCTGTCGCTGTTGCTGAACGCGTCAGGACCCAACACGCTTTCGCTGCCGCAAATGACGCGCGAGTATTGGGATTTGTTGCTTTCTGTGCGGGGACTAGCAATTAACGACAAGGCGATTCTGGGTGCGCTGCTGTTCGGATTCCTGATGCTATTGGAGACGAACGAGAACAAAGAGAGGTTGGCTACGGAGCAGGGCAAGGAGTTGATGGAAACACAGGCATGGGTCAAGATGGTGTTTGAGGGTCTGGGTGCTGGGAGCGAGGAGGACGAAAGGATCCGGGTGTTGGCTGCTGGTGTCGTGATACGGTGTCAGGAAGTCGTGGAGAAGTACCAGCGCAGGCTGGCGGGTGCGTTGATGCATTATTGACAGAGCGATAGGTGTGTGAAGCTCTGCGCACGAGATCAGCAGTGTCACAGGCGCAGGTTCGATGCAAAGCTTTGTCGGTGACACGTTCTCTTTTGAACACGTTGCGCACACAAACGTCGGGATATTGAAAACTTGTAGCGACAACACTCACAGCTCAATCAACCACGTCGACTCGTGCGTTGCACTCTGCGTCGGTTCATATCTCCTTCCTCAACGCCCTGCGCATGGCAGCGACATCAATGAAAAAGCCATTATAGGCAGCCAGCAAAAATTGCTCCGGTGGAGCCCCCGAAGGAGATCCATACCCAAACCAGTCCGCGCTGTGCTATGCAGCTGATTCGAGTAGAAGGAAGAAACCTTGAACTTCCTCCCTCCCGAAAAGGTAAGTATGATACTTGAGAATGGGGCGACCGGAGGAGGGTTTATATAGGCGCTGTGGATGGGACGTGCAGCTAGCGTGGCCCGAATTATGGGTAGGGGTGAGGCAGAAGAACTCACGAGAGAAGACCGAAGTGGCTGGTTTACCGTGTTTCACCGCCCCGGGCCTGTGCACGAAAATCATCCTGCTCAACACCACTCAAATGAAGCTGTAGAGCCACACACAAAAGCAATTATCACGAGATTTCTTGGTGGAGTGTTCTAGACACCTATTATTAAGTTTGACTGCGCCTTTGGCTTAGTGTAACAGTTAAACACCTGCTCGAGCTAGGCTAATCCTATCTCATTGTTTGTCCATCCTGAGGGCGAAAATGCAACGTGAACTAAGTGCTTTCCTGGGTGGATATCCGCTACCTAGCGATGTCTGTATAGTAGAGTTCTTTAACGCAAAGATAATGCCTAGGGGAAGAGCAGTACCATTAGCGCAGATAGTAGCTAAGAGGCTCACCTACTCACGTGAGCTATCTTAACAAGTCTGCCTAACCTCCTTCTTATATTGATGCCTGCTAAACACATGTTTACTTCTACCCAGCACCTCTAACCTAAACTATCACCGAGTGTCCCACATCACCGAGTGTCCCAAAACTTGCCAAGCCCTCTACCTACTCTCTCTCTCTAACATGCCTCAACTACCAAACGCGTTATTACTTGAACATGAAGGGAGGCTTCAGCTTGCTATTGAAGCCTTGAAATCTGGACAATTCCGAAGCCACTGGGCTGCTGCAGAGGCATTTAACGTTGATCGCTGTACACTCTCTCGTCGCGTCCAAGGACTCACATTTCGCGCAGAAGCTGCCCCCAACTGCCAGAAGCTCACTGCGACTGAACAGCAGACGATCATCCGATACATACTCGACCTCGACTTGCGAGGATTTGCGCCCCAGCTGTGCGAGGTGGCAGATATGGCTGATAAACTGCTGGCTGTACGCGGTGGCAAGCCTATTGGCAAGTGCTGGGCTGATCGCTTTGTAACGCGCTCGCCTGAGCTCAAAATGGCCTTCAATCGAGCAAAGGATAGGCAGAGAATACTCCAGGAGGATCCAGAGATAATTGGCGCGTGGTTTAAGCTGGTGGAGGAGACCAAAGCCAAGTATGGCGTCCACAATAACAACGTGCACAACTTTGATGAGACTGGCTTCCAGATGGGCGTGATTGGCTCTATGAAGGTCGTCACAGGTGCAGAGAGACGCGCCCGACCTGCGCTTGTTCAGCCAGGCGATCGCGAGTGGGTTACAGTTATCCAGAGCATCTGCGCTGCTGGGTACGCGACCCCGCCCTTCATCATCTACAAGGGACGCGTCCACATCTCTGCCTGGTACAAGGAGGCTTCAATACCGCGTAATTAGAAGCTCTCAGTCTCTGAGAACAGCTGGACAAACAACGCGCTTGGTCTGGAGTGGTTGAAGCACTTTGACGCGCATACAAAGACGCGCCAGGTGGGGGGGTACCAGCTGCTCATTTTAGACGGCCATGAGAGCCACCTCAACCAGCATTTCAAGGACTACTGCCTTGAACACAAGATCCTAACCCTCTGTATGCCCCCCCATTCATCGCACATCCTCCAGCTGCTTGATGTGGTCTGCTTCTCGCCGCTGAAGCGCAGGTACTCCCAGCGCGTCAGAGACTTGGCACGCCAACGCGTCTTCCATATTAACAAAGAAGGCTTCCTCCCTGCCTTTAAGGACGCGTTTTTTAACGTGTTTACAGAGCAGAACTGTCGAAAGGCTTTTAAGGCAGCAGGGCTAGTCCCAATCAACGCGCAGGTTGTATTAGATTGCCTTAAAGTGCGGCTGCGTACCCCGCCAGAACCCCTCCTCCTAGAGACGCCATGGCAGTCAAAGACTCCAAGCAATACCTATGAGTTTGGATCTCAATCAAAGCTTGTACGCGATTCCTTTACTCGCTCGCCTGTTACAGCTCAGGCTGGTTTCTCCCAGCTTATAAAAGGTGGTGAGCTGATGCTGCATGAAAATGCGCTTCAACGTGCTCGGATCCATGAGCTTGAAGAGCAATTAGCAGAGATGACCAAGCGAAAATCGCGTAAGCGCAAGCGGATTCAGCAGGGTGGTACTATGGAGTATGGGACTGCTGCAGCGCAGGTAGCTGCTGAGGCATCTATAGCGCCTCAGCGATCCAAGAAGGCTCGTAGTGGTAGTGGTCAAGAACTAGCCCAACCAGCTCTTCAGCGCTGTAGGAACTGTAGTAGGACTAGGCACAATGCGCGAACGTGCAAAAAGGATACAGAGGTGTCCTTAGAATTAGATGCCAGTACAACGTACGCAGGCTCCCTGTTTAATAGCGATGAAATTGAGGAGTTGTAGCATAGGTTGAGGCTGCCAAGAGATTTTGGGACACTCGGTGATGTGGGACACTCGGTGATAGTTTAGGTTATTGCAAAGCCCTTCTTATCTATATCGTATGTGTGCTCTGGCTCAAGCTTGTACTGAGTAATTTTCTGCTGCAGAAGCTTAAAGTATAGCTTGTACTTGTACGCTAACGCAGCGTGGTGGCGATTGGAGTCCATGCCAGTGGCCCATTGGGACGTGAGCCAATCGCAGTGACAGTGCAGGAATCGCTTGACCCAGCTATTGGAGCAGGGCTGTGAGGCAACAGGATGCGAAATTTTGTACCATACGCCTTGTAGGTGGTAAGTGACGCGCTGACAGCTCTTCTATATACTTAAATAGATCTGCTTCCTGTTGGTTGTTGAGTTTGCGCTTGTTTTCGTGGGCAACGCGTTGGGGACCCTGCACGCAACGTAGAGCGATCAACACCATGTTTTTCTGCAATGTGTGTGCATATAGATTTGACTCCTAGATTTAGGTTTTTGATATCTGCAAGCGCATCTGAAATTCCTGTCATGGTGGTTGAGTTATTACGCGTTGAAGTTTGGTGTAAATATTGTGCTCCGGGCGTTGTTCGACTCCGGGCGTTGTGCGCACGGACACGGTACCTAGTGGGTCGCGTTGTCGCGAGCGAGCGCTGCAGGGTGTCGAGCAGTTTTGTCGACTTCATCCTCGTGGCTTCACCGATTGATCTTTACTGACCTCTCTGTATTATCAAAAGCGGCTGCCATCCTTGCACGTTCGCACTTGCTGTGGAGCGTCGTCCCGCCGCGGAGCCAGTGACATGCGGTGAGGACGATCTGGTCCTTTTGAATGATGGAGCCAATATATTGACGGTCATCGACACTTTTTGCAAACCTGCCACTTCCGGCATCTTCAGTGTACGACAGTATAGCGACCAGATATTGAATTCCGCATTGAGCATTATGTGCTGCTTTATGACGGACTTCTGGCGACGTTCACACTACGAATTCTGGTCGATTGCGTCGTCATCCTGCGATGGAGCGGCTTGGCTTTATTGAATGATGAGGCAATGCGCCTCAGAACCACTGTTTGTTTGCCTGAGCTGATAACCCCGCCGCGAAGCAACCTCGTATTTGTCGATCGTATACCCTCCCACCACGCCGCCTGCTTCGCTGTAAAGCCTGTTCAGGTACCTCTAGGGGGTGGATAGGAGGTTTTTTTGGATCCTGAAGCATTGAAGGGGAGTCAGAAATGCTCTCTTATTCGAGATCGTGCTATAGGTGGCCCGCACGCTGGCAGAGCGTCATGAAAAGAGAGCAAGAGATGAGGCGCCATCAAGAGTGGATGTATACTAGGCGCGGAACGAGGCTACATACCGAGCATGCCGAGTCGAGTGTACGTTGCGGTCATTACATGCATGTCCGCACATGTCAGGGCGTTGTGCGACTGCACAGGAGGTCTATCTGGTTCGAAAGCTTAAAAGACATCTATGCATCCATGTCCGTCTCGGCCTGCAAATACTCCCTTGAGATCTTTAAGTACTGGACACTCAGTACTACACCTGCACCACTTGCCTCCAGGACCTCAGATGCTGTGGCAGCGGTCCTCCATCGTGATAGCGTTATAGAACTTCATCCGCATTTCGCACTGCTTCTCAGTCTCCACGATCGGCACATAGCAAGCCACTCCCTCATTCTCGGCCCATGCAATGAGGTAGTCTCTCGTGATATCCGGCTCGAAGCACTATTCTAGTGTGTCGCATGCGAACAGGTCCTTCCCTTATTGTCCCTCTGATCGAAAGAAGAAGTGGACTCTGACTCCGTTCAAGTGGAAAGTCTACGTACGATGTGACGACTGGGACAAGAAGTGCACCAACAGTGATCATAAGCCATAGACTAGAAACCTCATGTTAGACAAGGACTTTTCCAAGACCATTCTATACCCTCGCAAAGGCCGTACAGAAGACATTGGGTGACAAGTATCTCTATTTGCCTCGTCCATACAATGGACAAGGAATCGATGACGGTCCTGGCGGACGAACATTGTTTCTGCCACATCCAGCTCAGGTCTCCGATCATTACCGAAAGCTAGTTTGGAGTACGCACACCGCTAGGTTATTTCATCGAGGACTCGGTCAAGGGAGACAAGCCATGCACAAGCGGTGACTCCATCAGCACATGCCCACCCACAATCGAGGTATCCAAGCTCATCGATGACTGGAAGTACCCCAAGGAATACCTCGAGAAGCGTGCAGACTGGCTCAAAAAGATTGAGGAACATACTGGGAAAGGGCCTGCGGCGTAGGATAGCAGAGACACCTCCCTACAAGATGTCGCCTTGCTTAAGTATCGCTTCGAACTCATCTTTGTTTCCCCGGTCGCCGCCATCGAGACCACATTCACCAAGCAAAATATCATCGAAGCCAGCAGGCTGTTTAGTGGTGTTATTCTCGACAAAACCAAGCAGTTAGCAGTGCAAATACCTTATGAAGCCATCGCTGCGGAAATGTTCACTTATGCGACTTGGAACGCGGCCGATCCTTGGTGCATCTTGCGCGACAGCGGGGAGATCGCGGAGCAGCGCTGCGTAGAGATATTCAATTAGACGATCAATAGCTGTCCTAGCGATGTCGCCACTAAGACTTATAGCAGCTCTAAGATAGACAATTGCGTCGTGTACGGGCTCGATGTTACGAAAACCTTCACACTTAGGTCCGGCAAGAGGCGAAAAGGACAAGCGTGTCACTCGAGTAAAGGTTGCACTCCTTCAAGACGGACGACGAGCACAGCTTCAGGTCAAGGAAGGGGTTCGCAATGAAACGACCTGTAACATTCAGTCTTGTGTATTCTGATATCAGTCTGGTAGTCGAACGGGTCGCTCGTACCTTAAGAAGGCCCGCCACAACGGTCAAAGCCTGGCCTTCGAAGACGACATTAATCCTGCTAGCTTATACTAATAACATCATTATACTCTCGGTCGTCAAGCATGTGTCCAGTCTTGCTGCAGACCATCTTTATGGTGGAAGGAAAGCATCAGACTGAGCCAGTGGTGTCCATTGGCTTCTACACAGGCACTGTCAGCGGGTTCATTACCCCAGCACCACCATCAACCCTCATCTCCGCTCCCGTAATATAGCTACTAAAGCCACTAGCCAAAAAGCCAGCCACTCTTGCCACCTCCTCCGGCCTGCCCGCCCTCTCAAGCCCAATAGTCCTCTTCTGGACGTCCTTGTCCTGCAGCGCCGCAGGCGGAAACTGCCCACTCTCCATCTCCTTCAACCCACTACCTCTGAGATCCACGCCCACATCGATCTGTCCGGCTGCGATAGCGTTGATTCGTACGCCTGTGCCTTTAAGTACTGTCACGCCGGACTTCACCACGCCGAGCGCGGCGTGCGATGCCATTGTGAACGCAGGCGCCCAGCACCCGCCGTACGTGCCTGCAACGGAGGTAACCACAATGATACTCCCATATGGAGCATCCTTTGGCGCGGCATTAGGGTAGCTGCCCTTTGGTGTGGTCTTCTGCATAGCAGCTGGTGCGTACTTGAGCGCGAAGAAAGCGGGCATGGCATTTGTTTCGAAGGCAGCATAGAGGTCTTTGGGGCTGGTGGTGGTGATTGATGGTGGACCGAGGAGGCCGGTCGATGACGTCCAGATGTCGAGGCGGCCCCAGGAGTTGAGCACGTCGTCGATGAGCGCGAGCGTGTCTTCTTCCGAGGTGATCTTGTAGGGGTAGCCGATCACTTTGGTATTGGGGTACTGAGCATTAATGCTAGAGGCAAGCTCGGCGTAAGGCTCATCGGGGAGAGAGGAGCAGGCGTATATGCACGCCGCGCCGTGAGCTGGGATTCGTCAGTAAAAGGCTAAATCTGAGTTGCCCTATGCAGCATTTAGAAAAGTTCCTCATGCTGCGAGCCATAGTGAAAGTGCAGAAGCCCTCGCTGGAAAGACACGATGAGAACGAGCGGTCACGTTCAAAAGTGACATACCTGCAAGCTCAGCAACGATTGCCTTTCCCACAGGCTGAGCTGCGCCTGTGACTACACAGACAAAGCCGTACTAAAACACCTGCATTAGATCATGTCCGATCCAAACATTGTACCTCTTCGTACTTACAAGTTTACCATCCGGTCTATATGGTGAGAAATGTTCCGAATCGCTCGTTCCATTTGGTGCTGCCATGTTGGTTCCTTATTGTGGGTTAGGTATGCAAGCACAAGAAGTGCCGTGCGATTGAGGGGCTGCATTGTTTTTGTTAATCCAAGATCAGGTACACAGCAGGCGGCAGAAGCAATCATGTCATTCACATATCTCCGGAGCGCGGAAATGCATAATGCGCGAGCAATTGTTGGTCGAGGTCGTGGTATGAGATAAGAGACGATAACGGCTGCATGATGCGTTTGGTGGGTTGGTGGGCTGTTGGCCGCGGGGGTGCCGCAAGTGGAAGGGAGCTTTACATAAGAGCTGGGATCGACACATAGCTTCAATCGTCGAGGTTTGATTCGGGCATGCTTTTCAAAGCTTTGGGGTGTGATTTTGGTATATGGGGTGTTTAGTTGCGATTCACATGTTGTATTCCACGGGCAAGCTCACGCGGCCTTCGCCTTGTCTCCCTCCCTCTCCTTCTTCAACTGCTCTCTCGGCGGCAGCACATCGGGCCCAAAGCTCAGCGGCAGCAGCTCGCCCATCGTCCGCACAATGTATTTTCCCTCCTTGTTGAACATGAAAATGGGTGTCTCCAGGCTCAAGAATTCTCTCAAGAACTGCCTGCACATGCCACACGGCGAGCAGAAGTCGTCGATGTCTGTGGCCACAGCAACGGCCTTGAAAGACCCAAGCTTGTGGCCCTGAACTACAGCTGTACCGAAGGCGACGCGCTCAGCGCATGTTCCTACTGGGTATGCGGCGTTTTCGACGTTTGCGCCCTCGATGGTGGCTGGCTCGGATGTCGTCGACTGGCGGAGGAGAAGTGATGCACCTACACGGAAGAGAGAGTATGGACCTGCACGATCATATAAGTATAATGCAATTTTGGTACTCGGAAATTGTACATACAGTAAGCTTTGGCTTTTGCGTCAATGGCTTGCCCGCCGATGATCTCCAGCTCCTGCGCAGAGACGCCGTAGATCAACCCATTCTGCTCGTCGACAGGCTCAGCAGCGACCGGTTTGAAGGAGGTCGTGGACATTGTGAAGGGGAAGGAAGAAAAGCGAGAAGCGACGCGTCGCGGGCAGCTTTATCGATGATGGACTTGGTGGGGCTGACCGAGGCTTGTGCGCGGGGAGCTGCCTTTGTCGGTCGGCTGGTCCGGAGGTCGCCGAACCACTATCAAATGCATCTTGAATGTATCACAGTATTCCAAGGGGATGTGAAGCTGTGTTGAGCTGTCTCAGGAAGGCCGATGCAGGGTAACTCGGGGTCGATGAAGGATTGCGTCATCTAGTGCTCGAGAACCACCGGCTTTCCCTTCTCCCAGTTCGCAATACTCTCACTGATGTTCATCCAGTACCGCAGCTTAATTGTCTCGCTCTTCGCTGTTTCCACATCGTCCGCCGCGAAAGCTTGCTCGAGCGCCTTGATGCTCTCTTGTATCCTGACTTCGTTCTCATCCTTCATTCCAACAAGATCCTCCTCTGACTCTGCCTCTTCTATCTGTTCTCTTGCTTCCAAAACCTCCATGAGTAGTTCTGGATCATCAACCTTTGCTGTCTCATCCTCCGCAGTTTCAATGCCGCGCTGCGAGAGAAGATATTGTGCGCGGTGCAGCGGCGACTGCAACGTTTTGTAAGCTTCGTTGATCCGCGCAGATGTAGCTTCTGCCCTCTTCTTGTCTTCTTGTGGGTGCAAATCAGGATGCGCCTTAGCTTGGAGTTGCAAGAACTCCCGCTTCATGGCATTGAGATCAATGCTGAAGGGCCCCTCTGGTGGTGCGCCGGCCGATATCGATTTGGGAAAGAACGAGTAATGCGTTTGTGTTTGCGGTGACCCTGGCGGAGCTTTGAAGGGCTCTTCACGAGCATTTGACGTCGACTGATAGCGGCGCGAAGATATCTGCAGCGATGCGCTGTTGGCACAGAAAACACATGGTGTGGCAGTCGATTGAGCAGTGCCGGTCTTGCTAGCGGCCAGGGCCGTTCGGAGCCCTTTTCTAGCTGCTCGGGGTAATGAATGCATCTTTTGAGTCGAAGGTTTGGGAAGATGTTGTAGATAGAGGAATGCGATGTCTAGAAACCGACTCCATGATTATACGCGGAGCCTCGGCGGCAAACCCATAACTAGCGTTACGTCATCTTCGATGATGAGCATCGTGCTGCAAAAACTCTTCAAATCTCTCATCAGCCCCTAATTTTCGATGAATTTCCTTGTTGAACAGGAGACAAATCTCATTTTTTTCAAATGGGTCTATTTGTAGACCACTCGAAAGGTTCCTCCGTTGAGCTATGGCCATGAAGAACCAGACGATCCTGAGCAATCGCTGGAGGGCGCAAAGCGCGAGGTCTGACGACTGTACATCTTCACGCTATCGGCGCGGGCTACTGCTATCAAGCTGAAGCTGTCGCCACTAATTTAAAATGCTCGCCCGTCCTCCCCTACGCGCAGCAACGCGTTGCTTTGCCCTCTCCTCGATTCCTCTGCACGCTCGTGCAACGTCTTCGTTCGCGCTGGACAAGAATATCTTCAACCCTGCACTCTATCAAAGAGTTCAAGATGTCTGGCTCGGCGGAGTGAATCCCAATGGCGAAGAAGTCAACATGGACCTCGTGCGCATATGGTTCATGGGCACATCAGACGAACGACTCGCCCTCGACAAGAAATGCAGCGACAACTTCCTCAATGCACTCGATGCCATTGGCCCTGCAAAGCTCGCTACACCGACCGCCGAGCCCTTTCTGTTCCAATTGAGCTCGCTTGCAAAGAATGATTCGAAAGGCGATGGCGCAGAAGCAGCTTCGGCAGCGCTGGGTATCGCCATCCTCCTCGACCAGATGCCGCGCAACATCTTCCGCACAAACGAAGGTCTTATCAAGGTGTACACGCACTACGACAGGATATCGCAAGCATTCATTCGCACGCTCTTCTCGCCCGCGAGTCCTATACCACGACCCGACCAGCATCCACTCTGGCGCAATTCGATGGCGCATAGGATGTGGTTCTACATGCCGCTGTGTCACTCGGAGGACGTCGAGGTGCACAAGCAGCTGGATGAATTGCTCGATGATCTGCAGGTCGATTTGGATGGCCAGGTCGGATGCGCCGCGTCGAAGAAGTTGCTCGAGGGGCAGCTCAAGGCGGAGAGGAAGCACCGGGAAATCATCGATAAGTTTGGAAGATATCCGCATCGGAACGGCGCCCTGGGGCGGAAGAGCACAGATGAAGAGATCAAGTTCATGTCAGAAGGCGGCGCGACATTTGGAGTTGCGCAGGACAAAGAGAAGGAGAAGGAGGAGTTGTAGATACTCAATGTCAACCATCTTACGAAGGAGCTCATTTTCTTCAAAAGCTACCCTGACAAGAGGTCTTGGTTCATCTTGCTACAAATGTACAAGCGGTTTTCAGCAAGCATGCAGAGACATTCGCCAATTGAAATTGGCTTAGTTGGCTACAGTGCCTATAAACATTGATATCTCTCATTGAGAGCAGTGCATCAAATCCGAAATGTTGTGCTTGGAGCTGGCGACCTAGCGCTCAAACAAAACATCTATATCTTTCGTACATCGGACCGTTATGGAGGCAGTATGTGAACGAACCGTTTCAAACAGATGCAGTGCAAAGAACGGTGGATAGCAATAAACCATCGTACTACGCTCCCGTAGTGCCAAATATTAGGACCGCTCTACGTTAGCATCATACCCGCTTCCAATACAATGTCAGACTGTTAAGCATGTTCCTTTGCGCTATCCAACACAGTCGAAAAAATACATCTGTCACTCCAGCCTGCAAGCGAATCAAAGCAGTCAGTCTCTCAGGTAGTAGAGAAAAAAATGGTCGTAGAGCCTGAATTACTTGAGACAGTCAGAGTTTAGATACGCGTCCTTCGCGATTGAATGAGTTTACTGCGGTCTGCAATGCTCGGCCTCTTCCTCCACATATTGACCTTGTGTTTCCTAAAACATGTGAGAACTCAAACTCCACATTTCCAAATGTGTTCGAGTCGTTCTTAGCCGTCTTGAGTCTGCCGGTCCGTGTCCTTGTTGTTCTAGCACAAAAAGTCGTTCCTCAGCCCATTCCCAAACTTCACAAGTTACAAAAAAGGGTCCTGCCGCGACTCGAACGCGGGGCCTCTCGCAAGAAAGCTTAGTTACCCTAAGCGAGAATCATACCACTAGCTAATAGAACGTTAGATGCTTGTTGTAACAGGTTTGACGTGGAGTGACTTACACCACAGGACCGTGTACTACTTGTTGTAGTTCTTGATGAAAGTATGGACTAATAGTTAATAAATATTACCAACAAAAATTTTGTCCAACGCGCATTGAAGCGCTCGAAGGGCTGTAAGCTCAGAGTTGCAGAATTCACAGGCTCCGGGCCCTAGTGGGGACATCGTAGCTTGATAATGCTGTCAACAGATAAGAAGCACCGTTGTGATTTCATGTCCTAAAGCAGAGAATCGAAGGAATGGGGGTTTGACGTTCGATGAACTTCAATTGTTGTATGGCACGCTCCGGAATGTCATAGAGGGAATCGACAAACATCAGAATACGAGGTTTGGAGAGGAATTGACCGTTGATTGTCGAGTATGGGCCTCCAGGACCTCGGAAAGCTAGGTACCAAGAGTGGACTGCAACTGAAAAGTCAAGGGGTGGACGTAAATTGATGGAACTGCGATTGTTTGTACTTCAGAGGACAGCCTTTGAGATGGGCAACCATTGTTCGGCTTTCGTCAGGGCTAGGCTAGGGGTAGCCGCAACTGTACTACTTCGGTTTCCCTCACTCACAGCTCCTTCTTTCAACCGAGATTCTTTGGAAAGAACTCACTCAGCTCTGCAACTTTTGTAGTAAGCACCAGAATGTAACTCCATCCGTTGATTTTCCAGGCTGGGGGTGGAGGTGTGGCTTCTCTGGCAAACCTCGGTGTTGCGTCCGCCCGCTCATTAACGTTTTGAATGAGCCGAACAGCACAACGATCACTTCACACAACACTGATCATTCAGGATCCTGCGATATGCCAGGAAAGAGGGTTGCAGGGTTCCAAATGTCCAGTATTTGTTAAATTCGCTCTGTCGGGGCGATCCCCCTTCATATGTCAAGCTCAGTCGCCACAGGACCCTGCGCGATTGCGATGCCAGTTGCGCTAGACTGTGGAACTGGTAGGATTTCGAATCGGCGACGTCAACGTATCGAGCTGGACTCTACACCGCAATGCTCGGTGTCGACCTCCATAGGGATCCCAGCACCACCGCAGTCACATTGACCAATCTAGAGGACTAAAAACGCAATATGGTGCGCCTGTGTGTGCCTGCTGGTATGACATGTCCCAGGAAACCTCGTGTAGTAACTGACATCACGTAGGCGACGACCAGCATGCTCTCACGCGCAGACCACGCCTTGGTTTCTCCGCCGCAGAACCGTCTCTGATTTACTCTCCGTTTCGCGCCTGTCTCATCGCTACTGGCTTTACAGCATTCACTTCCATACTTGGGCTGGCACGACCCGGCACCTTCCTACGTAACGCTGCCTTCTGTGGATTGACCGACGGAGCGTTAACAGCATTGGGTATGTACGGGAGACATGAGCTCAATCGGGGTGTGTTCAAGCTGGATGGATTAGAAGACCCCAAGCCCTTCAAGCTATGGGAGCGAACAAAACAGTGGACTCTGGAAGATGCCTCTCTTTTTGGAGGCGCGATCGGGCTTCTGATTGCATCGAACCCACGAATGCTTCCCGGTGCCACTGGCATGTCCCGGTTCTTCGGTGCTACAATCGCGGGTTGTGCTATCGGAGCGAAAACAGCAGAGTGGGCATTCGCGCCACTCCAGGCGCAACGCATAGAATGGGCACTTACGATGCAAAGGCGAGCACATTATCAGCGGCTTTCGCAGGACGAGAGAGCGAAAGCGTCGCTCTCGCGGTTCGGACAGGCATTGCTGATGTCGGACACTGGCGACAGCCCCCTCATGCGGATACTGAGCAAGCCATTCGGAGGCTTGTCAGGACCGGGGAATTCCGGCAGTGCTCCAGCCGTTCATGGCCACAAAGATGCGCAGGTGGAGGCTATGCGACAGATGAAGATCCAGCAGGGGCACGCAAAGCGATTCGTCGTCATGCTGGCCGAGTTCGAAATGGACGAGCTAGCAGCACCTGACTACGAGGGCGGCCACCGACAATACCGCATGGACGCAACGGATACAGACCTGGAAGCATTGCAAGAGCATTTGGAAGATTTGAACAAACTACAAGCCGAGGAAGTCAAAGAGCTAGCGTTCGTGTGGCAGGAGCTGGCACCCAAAGAACACAAGTTGCACCAGCTACCACAGGAAGATCCCGAGAAGGAACTCACACGCCGCGAGCTACAGCTACTCAATAGTATCGCGACTCACACCAGCGTCCGATTGGCTGTTATTGCGTATGCACAGGCCGATGCCCGTAAGCGACTTGCCCAGATCAGAAACGAGGACCCAACCGCGATCTCGAAGATACGAATGTCTGCGTCAGGCGAGTCGACCTCGAACGAAGATTTTGACGAGAGCTACGTACCACAGAGGGTCGCTGCACGCATCCGCAAGCGTTGGGAGAGCTGCAGGACTGATGCGGCACAGATCGAGCACATGCTTTCCCAGTTTGATGAACTGAAAGCTCAAGGGTTGATGCACGGTCTTATGGATGCCGCCACTAACGAGTCAGTTAAGAACATCAGAGAAACCCAAGCCCAGCTAAATCTGAACATTGTCGCGACAGAAAGGCTGCTGAGAGCTTATGAGGACCGGATCAGCAAGGTAGATGCAGGACTGAGCAAATGATCGCCATGCCTAGTGGAGTCGTCACCATACGAGAACCTTCTGGATGCCAGACCGAAACCTCAGACACATCGTGCGATTGCCTACTCATAGCCACTCATATGGTGGCTCCTGCCATCGCGACACCAAGCCGTCAGACCTTGCTGTGGTCGCATTGGGCCGATTGCATGCGTTGCAGAGACAGGCTGCTTGAGGGTTCAAGTTCAATCATTCTATTGCACAGGTTGACGGACGACGGGAACGATACAACACCATGCACTCATGGCGAGAATAGGGTCTAGGCTGAGATAAGTTCTACTGTGTTGCATTCACGATTCTAATTAAGGCGCCGAATGTTCTTGCTGCTACTAGTGCGAATGGTGAAGCGAATAGTTCTGTGTTTGTTTGTTTGCTTGTTGCCCTTTTCGTCACGTCTGAGCCCACTTGCGCCTACTTCAACATCACCTGCACCTTTTAATCACTCCCACTCAACCAACATGGCCAGACTCAACCAACCACCAGACCCTTTGTACACCACACCACTCAATGACCGCACTTCCAACGTGCTTGCCGACGGTCAAACCAACATGTCTTCTTCACCTCCACTCCGCGCTCTCTCTCTTGAGAGCAGCCTCCAGTCACACGGCAATGACAACCTCCCCGCTTCACCACCGCGCCAAGGCTCTGATCGTCCTTCGCTCTCGCCTGCTGATTGTCGCACTCTTGAGAAGATCCTGCGCGACGTCGCCTCGCCCCCGGCGACTCCAAGCCCGGTCGAGCAAAACGACCAGCTATTCCTTAACGGCCATCATGGCATTACAAACGCAGCTGATGAGGAAGAGGACTATCATTCTGTTGGCGGCGAAGCTACCGACACCGGCTATGAGGACGATGACGACAGCATGGAGCTCAGCGAAGGCATTGAGGATGTCATAGTTAAGAAGGCCATCATCTCACTTGGCGAGCCTGTCTCACCATCTGCGTCCAAATCTGACCGCCGCTTGCAAGAAAGCATTTCGACGCATGATGAGAAGGAGAAGATGAGGTACAGTAGCGGCCGCCGCTCATCGACGAAGCGCGCAAAGGTGAAGCGTCCAGAGCATGAACGCACCACACGACTTGATGCCCTTGATGCTCTTGGTGGCGACACCATTGAAGACGTCACGACTATTCCCGACAATCATGCACCACCACCACCACTACGCTCATTAGATATTGGTCACAGCGACTCAGGCCGTCAAGCAGTACCTGATGATGTTCAGCAGCTCAACCGTATGCGCCTCTCTATGGGGAAGGTACTCGAACAGGAGCTTGTGGAGCAAGAGCAGACAGAGGGTAAGGATGAGTCTTCTGTCTTCAATACAAGCTCACTTGCGTCTGAAGACAAGGCAGAAAATCCATATGAGTCTGAGCTCGATGGATTCGATGCAGACAATGAGCGGACGCAGCAGCGATTCAGTCTCGGTATCTCTGGAGCTCCACGCAGGAAGGTGAGTAAGATTGACTCTAGCAAATATTTACCCAAACTCTTGGTCAAACTAATACCGAAATAGATTTCACGAATCCATGCAATAAAGCCCGAAGAGCAGGTATCTCCTGCTATCCCACAAACAAGAACAGCCGAAACAGCCGTCCTAGTCCCAAGCACGCCGACGCCTTCCGTCGAAAAGCCAGAGCCAGCCCATATGCAGATCGCGACGAACCAGACTGTCCCCGAGACACCCTTCACCAAAACGCTGAGCTACTTCAAGCAACACAAGGGCGCCGAGAACTCTCCATCAAAGAAGCGCCGCAACACTGCTTTGCTCAAAGAGATCATTGAGGTCGCCGGAGATGTCACTAATGTGGAGGTTAGAGTGGACATCCCAGAATGGGTCGAGGCGCAGCCTGTGATGGAAGATACAAGCTTGTCGACGGTCACATCTGCTCTAGCGGACTTGGAGGCTATGGTAGGGTCCAGTGACGTCGTTAAAGCAGCAGGCGCCCCTGCTCAGCAAGAAGAAGACTATGTCCAGGTCACTGCGGTTGTGGAGCTGACAAGTGACAAGGACGACATTGTTACAAAGCCAGCAATAAGCGAAGATCAGAAGCAGATCATTCTGTATCCCCAACATCCTGCATTCATCAACGTTATCAGCATGGTTCCAGCTACCATGTTCTGGGCCACTGCTGCGCCGGTCGTCAAGTACACCGGCATCGCTGTTGGACTGCTCATCGACAAGCTGAGAGACACTTACCTCTAGGACGGGGGAGGTATTCAGCTGGGTGATAGCTCAACTCTTGTACTGAACGATCTCGGCCCAAGGAGCATGTAAAGATGTACAAAAGTAGATGGGGAGAAACGAGAACAATGTAACGCTATTTCGTGCAGCAGGATGCCGAAGAAACTCTAGATCTACATGAAGCCGGAACGCCAATGCTATCCATGACACAAAATGCTTCGCTTTTTCTCTCCAAACTAGATGTTCATCTCCTTGAGGTCCTCAGCAACCTTGAACGGCGCCTCAGTCTTTGCCTTGATCTCATCAACTGTGACGCCCCTGGCATGCTCCCGCAATGTCAAACCCTCAACATGGTCGACATCGAAGACAGCAAGATCTGTAATGATAGTTGACACGCACTTGGGCCCTGTAAGAGGGAATGTGCACTGGTTGAGAATCTTTGGGTTTCCCTTCTTGTCAACGTGCTCCATTGTGACGATGACCTTGGTTTGTGTAGGGTTCGCCACGAGGTCCATGGCGCCGCCGATGCCTTTGACTTTACCGGGGAGCATGAAGTTTGCGAGATCTATCACGTCTTAGTCACGAAGCTTCCAGTGTGAAAGAGTGGAGAACTTACCCCCGAACTGGTTGACCTGCATAGCACCCAACATAGCTACATCGATCCTCCCAGACCTGATCATACCAAAACTCTCGTGGCTACCGAAGACCGATGCACCGCTGTTCAGCGTAACAGTCTCCTTGCCAGCATTGATCAGATCCGGATCCTCCTCACCGGGCTTGGGGTAGCGGCCCATACCCAAGATACCATTCTCGGACTCGAGGATGATCTCAGTGCCCTTGGGGAGGAAAGCAGGTGCAGCAAGCGGCATACCAATACCAAGGTTGACGTACATGCCATCCTTCAACTCCTGCGCAGCGCGCTTGATGATGCGCTCTCGCTTCTGGCTGGCCTCAGAGCTGCCCTCAGAGATAGCCTTCTTCTGCTCCTCGGGGCTCTTGTAGAAGACTGTGCGCTCGATCTGCTTGCCCTCGGTGCTCTTGATGACCCTCTTGACGTAGATACCCTGGAGGTGAATATCCTCAGGGGCGATCTGTCCGTCCTCGACGATCTCATCTGCCTCAACAATGGTGATCTTTGCGTTCTTGCCCATGGCTTCGTTGAAGTTGTTTTGTGCCTTGCGGAACTGGCAGTTCCCGAGGCGATCGGCTTTGGCGACCTTGACGAAGGCGTAGTCACCGAAGATGGCTTCTTCGAGGATGTAAGGCTTGCCGTTGAATTCGCGGGTTTCTTTGGGAGGAGCCATCTTCGCGATGGTACCGTCGGCGTTGTAGCGGACAGGAAGCTCACCGGTTTGGACTGCATCTTATAAGTATTTATGAGCCAACCAAGTCTTTGAGTACGCGTACCAATTGTGCCATACGCTGCCGGTGTGTAGAAAGCTGGAACACCAGCAGCACCAGCAGCGCATTTTTCAGCAATGGTACCCTGAGGTGTCAGCTCGAGGCTGAGCTCACCCTTCAGGTACATCTGCTCGAAGACCTTGTTGTCACCAATGTAACTTGCGACCATAGTGCCAATCTGCCTTGTTTTCAAGAGCTGACCGAGACCAACACCGGGCATACCGGCGTTGTTGCTGACGACTCTCAGGTTCTGGACGTCTGATCGATCGCGTAGCTCGTTGATCAATGTGTTTGGTACGCCAGAGAAACCGAAACCGCCGACCAGCAATGTAGACTCGGACTTCATATCCTTGATGGCTTCTTGTGCGGATGGGAAGATCTTGTTGATCGCAGGTCGTGCTGTTGTAATGGAGAAGAAGCGCATGACCTTGCCATTCCGGCGGCCTGCAAAGTGAAATGTGCGTTGCATTGTGAGAAAGTTCTTGGTATACTGTTCAGCGAAAGCCGAATGTTACGGGCGCGGAGTGGTTGTGTTAGTAACTCGACAGTCCATTCAAAGTCCAATTATGTTAGGTATGCGAATGCGGGAGCCGAAACTCAATCTCTAGAACAAATTGTGATTGACGTTTCTTGGGATGCAGCGCGACAATATGGGCGATTCTATCTCACGAGCGGAGAGTTTCATCGTGATCCTAACTGTATTGGGACCTCCGATACACTTGCCGTGCCGACGCCGGTAGAGCTCTCGCAGTCGGAAAAAGGTCGATAGTTCGGGTGGATAAGTGCTTAGCCGCGCCATCCTCGGAAATGTTCCAGTACCGTGTCATGATTGGCTGCGGAGTGAGTCGGAAGAAGACAAGACATGCGGATAAGGACATATTTTCCACGTTACAGTAGTTCAATTGTTGGCCATGTGATTTCGTGATGTTCTTCGCGTGTGCCACAGGTATGCGTGTCGCGTGTTATCCAATCCTGGAGTGACTCAGAGCACTTAGTAAAGACTTCGAAGGATATGTTTCACTGGGTTTCAATGATCAGTGATCAATTATAGTGGAGGTCAACGGGGTCGCTTACAGTTCACAAAGTCCTTGTGCTCCTTATCGCCGTGCAGTGCACGAGATGCAATGGCGTCTTCCTCCTCCTCGCCGGCAGGCACATTGTACTGCATCATGTCAACTTCCCTCACGGTGTGCAGCATATTTACGACGTACGGCTGTCAGTGTAGTCTTCAGACCGAGCTCTTCCACCAGTGTAGCAATTGCGTCCGCAACGACCCGTGCATCTTTGACGTTGTCGCCAGCACTTTCTTTGCCGATGTAAGGAACAATCCGCGCAATTTGCTCCGCTTCGTCGGCATTGCTCGCTTTCAGACGCACGACTGGAGCTAGACTTAGACAGCTTGTAATGCCGTGAGGAATGGCGTAAGAGGCGCCAATGGCATGTCCGATACTATGGCTCAGCCCGACACCACCGTTGAACAGGAAGGGAAAGAGAGAGGCGTAGCACGCAAGAAACAGCTTCGAGCGGATCTCGGCGTTGTCAGGGCTCACTTTTGATTGCGGGAGGTAGGTGAACAGATCCTTGATCGCTTCAAGGCACAGTCGCTTGGTTGGTATCTCAGGTGCGAGAGGGTGGTACATCAGTTCCACAGCATGGTCGAGTGCTCGCATCTGTAATGCAATGAGCACAGCTCAATTGAGTATCTTTAATGACCTACTCCAGTACTCAACCATAAGCTCATTGGTGTGTAGATGGCATTCTCGCCGTCGTAAATGACGGCTAGATGGCGGATATCAGCATCTGTCTCCTACAGGTGAATATAATAGCCTACCTGTGGGTACCTGTTCAGGATCGCTCACGGATATCTTATGCCCCTCATCAGTGGTGAAGCCTGCATTTTGTGTAGTCTCTGCTACTGAGAGAGTCGTGGGAATTGCAATGCTCGAGACCCATCGCCCGGTCTCTTTGTGGATGTTGTGGGCGATGGCTTTGGCTGAATCGATTGGAGAGCCTCCTCCTACAGAAACGAGTATGTCGCAGCCTGACTTCGACATTATTGCAGTCGCGTCCCTGATGAGCTGAATTGGTCTGCACCTGATCAGTTCGAAACCTCACTTTCGTCTGATCAGACCTACGCATGTTGCCCAATTCTGTAAAACGTGCCCCCATGCATCTGGTCCAGATGCTTTTCCACATTCTTGATAACGGGGGTCTTCTCGTAGAGTGACTGACCTGTAACGACGAATGCTTTTGTACCACCCAGCTGCAATATCACCTCTTTCAGTTGGCTGGTTGTACCTGAGATAAATGATTAAAAGTGCCAATTACAAATCGGCGAGACTGACCATTTCCGTACAGCATCAATTTGGCTGGTGATGCCCGGTAGATGCCTGCAGCTGAGCTATCGCAAATGGAACCTTGTGCATCGCTCGGCAGCGCCATCTTGCCAACTTAAGCCTAGATAATTGGTTCTGGGCTTCAGGGAACATGCAGTTGCAGTCAAGCGGGATGTTCTGGTGTTGGCCGGCAATGACGATGCAAGCACAGCAGGCACGCGGGGCACCGTGGAGACGCGGGTTGCCCCACCTGCACTTGCACCTGACCACATCCTTCGACCTCATCAAGATACTTCAGATATCTTGTTCACACGAATATCACCGTGCGACGGATCATCCAGAAGACTATAACTACGCTCTGGTTTCTTACCGTCTTTCTGGACGCTCATAATACTGTGTCAACGATGGCGACTACTGACGCAAACGGCCGCAAGGGTGCAGAGTGGACCAAGGTAGTGAGCAATAGCTTATATCTATAAAGACTCTCGTATCGCCCATCAATCATGCCACAAGCTCGCAGCAATACCGCAGAGGCAGCAGGACAATGCGACAATGACCGGTTCTCCCAATCCCAGTATTACTCTTGAGGACGCACAAGCAACGAAACGGCATCGCCGTCTGCGACAGGGTTCGAGCACGTAGGTTTGCTTTATTGTGCGATCTCGAGTGGACAGTGCTGACTCCATCGCAAAGGACGCTGCAGGATCCCATGGGCTTTGTCTCTCCTGTCCCTGCCAGCAGAACTTCGGAACTGGTTCTACGGATACGTTTTACAAGGATGGGTCTTTGCAATCAGACCGAATTCCAAACAAAAAAACGGCGCTGAAACAGACATCTGGTCTGCCGACACTGACCCGTACCAGATATTAGAATGACGCTCGTGGCCTCTCAAGAACTCCTCGTCGAATGAGCTTGGCTTACCGTACACCTGCCGACAGATCCATGCTGAGACAAAGCATCTGCCTTGTGGCCCGAGTACGGTCTTGTGTGAATATCGTGCGTTTCCTCGCGCGTGGACTGATTTTTTGAATCCACAGCTGTATCATGCTCGTACCCTACAACTATGCACGTACATGCCAGCCGGCATCATTCTGTCGAGGGTGTGGCTGGATTTTTTCTCACAATTCAACGACGTCAAGAAAGTCGAGATACATTAGCAATTGCGAGTGCCGTCCTGGGGTTCAGAAGAGGATCACTTGTCTGCTGTGGTCGCTGATGAAATTGACATGCGCAAGAAAATTGTTAAGGCTACTTCTGCTGCATGCGAGATTAGCTTCCATTGCACTGTTGTTTGGGAGTGAAGGATGGCTTCTACGCAAGAAAAGACGCACTCGATGGCTACTTCAAAGTGGAAGACGTAGTCTACAATCCATGCGTCAGAAGGGAACGCAAAGCGAAGGTCGGGACATGGCTTGTTGACGTCGGGTCGCTCACCGCTCAACGCGCGCCCATTCCGGAACATGTAAATATGCCACCGGAAAAGTGCAGAGCTTGCGCCGGATGCAGAAAAAGCTTGTTGGCCTAGGTTTCGAAATCCGACGAACCGGATAATACGCAGTCAAACCAAGCACACGTGGGCGATTCGAAGCCAACGAGTCATCGCAGATGAAACTCGTCAAGGCTGGCGCACTTCGTGCAAGGCTGTTCGTTAGTGTACGACCGGCAACATTTCAGCCTCCAATGCAAGACATGAGACTGAAAATGCCTACATTCGCCGCATCCGGTTGCTTGGTGCCGAATGTGTTGGGAAGGCCAGCTATTCTGTCGAACCTAGATCTTGGCTTGATCTTAATAAGGTCGAAAGTCGAGAGCATCGGCGGCTTCCTAGCGATGATGGTTTTGTTATGGAAGTTTCGGCCCTGAAAATCCTTGAGCGCTTACGGCTAAGAGTGGGGCTTACACGTTAACATCACTCCACTTAGCGTCTGAAGCAACAGCGCCACCGACCTTCCAACATCATCGTCATGTCTTTCGATCAGAGCTAGGGACAAGCCGGGATGAAATCTTCGCGAAGATTTGTCGCCAAGTGTGACACTTTGATTGTATCATAGAGGGCGAGGGAGGCGAGAGTCTGCCTGTATAAGGAGTACATTTGCGCATCTTGCATTTGATCATTCTACACCGTCCAAGATTCGAGCAAGAGCATTACACCTTCAAGCTACAGACCTCCAAAAGACACTTCAACCACTACATATTGCACTATGCCTTCGTTCAAGGGTAAGCTTCACCTTTTCCATCTCTCCCAGGTTTATTCTAACGATCATTTCAGACTCCGTCTCTTCTACTCCTGCGGGCCCCTCATCAGCACCCACCCCTGCCTCGACTGTCCCCACTCAGTCTACACCCGAGACTCTCCACGGAGCTACTACAGCTCTCACTGGTCAGGGTCTCAACCTGTGCCCTCACTGCTTTCGTGAGATGTCGCACTGCACTGAGCGCTTCGAGTTCGCTTGAACGCATTTTCAATCAAACTATCGCCGGGCATGTGTAAAAAAAAATCGCCCGAGGAAGAACCTTTCATGTCGCTGACGGATGGTGAATCATTCCAATGAGACTGTCAGGGCTACGAGCTTGACTGCGGACGGAAAGTTGGACTGGGCATTTACAGGCGTTTGCTTGCTGCACTGACACGACGAATTTCGCATCTAGATTACTTTAGGTTCAAATTTTGCAGCATATATCTCGCAGCATAGAGCAAGATGGAATCACATCTCAATCTTATTATCATCAATATATTATATGTTGTGTCACTTCTTCGTTCGTGTATGCTCCCTCTTTTGCATTGAGGTATGCTAGCTTTCGTCCTCAGAAAAAGAGAGGGTAGGCGTGCTGGTAAAATTTGGCCTCAGTGATATCCAAATACCTTTATTGGCACTGAAATTACCGCACTCATCCAACTCTCACAGCCTTGACTTCCGCAACGCTCCCTCAACACTCTACGATTGACCTGCCCGCAAACTTCAAGATCGATGCAAAGGTGATACTAACGAAGTAGCAAGTTGTCTCGCTAGGCGACGGAATGCTGGACGCCATCCTTTCTGGTGTATTTTCAAATGGTGAGCGACACTGTAGTGCGGTACTGGCTGATCAGCAAAGTGCCAGAGATGCACGCCTAGCTATACACCGCTAGAGAGGATACATGTAGGATTCTTGGCCTTACGTGCCCTATACCAAGAACTCAATCGGGTACATGCTATCGTCGATAAGATCAGAGCGGTATCTGAGATTCCCAATCTTCAAGTTGATGTTCATTAGTGGAACATGGACGGCTAGAGAGGAACATAAGCATATGTGCAGAGGTCGGTTGCGACTCATCGTCCTGTATAACCTCCGATAAAGTTATCATCGAGGTCAGTGGCCAATATAAGTCTTAGTGCATCCTTCAGGTTCCAGGCTAGGCGTTGATGGTAGTGAATAAAGATCGCCGCGACGGCAAGACCCATCTGCCGCTAAGCTTGACAGCTAAGACGAAACAACACTAGTGCATTTCCTTATCTAATTCATACGTCACGCGAAGTTGCATTGGTGACGCGACAAAGGCTGCGAGGGGCTGATATCATGCAGCAGCGCACCGCGATGCGGTTCCTGCAGGGTTCCCATCTATTCCACTCAATTGCTGCCCATTATGTGTGGCATCAGCTGCATTGTCAGCCTTGATCGCGCCCAGGGGCACGCCGCCGATTGCCTTGATGACACGAAGACTTTGACGACGCAGCTGGATGACAGCCTTGAGCTGATCAAGCATCGAGGCCCTGATTCGAGAGGTCAATGGATCAGCCCTGACAACAAAGTTGGTACTCTGTCCTTGCAACCTTCCAGAATTATGCAGTACCGTCAATTGCACTTGGAAAGCATATGCTGACGCTCAACGCAGCTTTCGGGCACGTCAGGCTAGCCATTAATGATCTTTCGCCTGATGGCGCGCAACCTTTCCATGATGAGGATGACAACATCCATGCAGTCGTCAATGGAGAGCTCTACGACCACGAGGCCATCCGTGCATCATTGGTCGAGAAGACAGACTACAAATTCAAGAGTCGCAGTGATTGTGAAATCGTGATTGCGCTGTACAAGTACTACGGCTTATCTTTCCTGAGCAAACTACGCGGAGAATTTGCCTTATGCATCTATGATGCACGCACTCAACTCTTCATCGCGGCAAGAGACCGCTATGGAATCAAGCCGCTGTTCTACACTTTTGTGAACGATAAGCTGTTGGTTGCTGCCGAGGCCAAGGCCTTCTTGCCGCTGGGTTGGAAGCCAAAGTGGGATGTTGCAAGCTTGAAAGAGGCAGGATGGAATCACGATGCTCGCACCATCTTCAAGGGTGTTAGAAAAGTAAAAGAATTGCAATGCGCGGACGGACGGTGACACTAATTCTTCCAGGTCCGCCCAGGCCATTACTTCACGTGTCAATCTTTCGACAATGTCGAGTCACGACCATACTGGGATATTGAATATCCATTAAAGGTACGAGCCGCGTATTCTACATCTAGTCTGCTGAACTGACACAACGTCAAGACCCTCACAGAGCTGCGATCCGATCAGGAGATGATCGAAGGCGTCAGAGAACAGATGCTAGAAGCGATCCGTATGCGCCTTCGTGCCGACGTCCCAGTTGGGGTCTACTTGAGTGGTGGCATAGATTCATCGGTCATCGCTGGCATGGTCACCCATCTGGTCAAAGAGCAAGGCGAGCGAATGGGTAACGACAAGGAGACTGAGCGTGTCAGCTGCTTCAGCATAGCATTCGATGAAGACAGTGGCTTCGATGAATCTGCCATCGCAAATCGTACAGCTGACCACCTCGGCGTCAAGTACTACAAGAAGCACATGAATGAGGCGGAGCTTGCGGCTCGCTTTGAAGACGCTACTTGGCACTGCGAGCATCACAACCCCGATCTCAACTACGTCGGGAAGTATGCACTCTCTGAGGTGCCGCAAGAGCTTGGTTTCAAGGTTGTGTTGACCGGAGAAGGTGCAGACGAGCAATTCGGTGGATACCCGATGTACCTGCCTGACTACCTCCGCGAAGCTGACTTGGCATACCCATCAAATCCACTCCCTGAGGATGTGCGGAAAGCACGATGCGTACAGACCGACGAAGAGGCGAGTGCTTACTACGAATCGATTGGCGCAGATGGTACGAATCGTGGCCCATCTCTTCCACGACGCATGCTTAACGACATCACGACCGTGTCGTCCATGACGGCCTTCTCCGCCAACTCGCTCTTTGCAGACTGGACAAGCAATTATGGCGCGTGCGATCCACAGCTGACCATCGCTAACTCTGTCGATGGACGTGTCAGAGATGTGATGAACGATGAGTGGCATCCGCTCCACACGGCGCTTTACGTGTGGCAGAAAGGCCATCTTTCCAACATCTTTCTGTCGTGTCTGGGAGACAGAACAGAAATGGCGCACTCAATCGAGGCTCGGACGCCTTTCCTAGACCATCACTTGACCGAGTACGTCAACGCGCTCCCCCCGAGTGTCAAGATCAGGTGGGATGCAGAAGAGAAGAGGTTCGTGGAGAAGTGGATCTTACGAGAAGCAAGTAAGCCCTTCATCACAGAAGAGTTGTATAAGAGGAAGAAACACGTAAGTGGTAGTAGCTGTACCTATCAGCTCAAAGTGTGTAAAAGATGCTGATCAGACACAGCCATATTCTGCGCCGACTACCTACCCAGAGAACGGTCCGCTACAGAAGCTGCTCGCTGTATTGTTGACGAAAGATAGAGTCGAAAAGCTCGGCTTTCTTGCATGGAGCAAGGTCCAGGTGCTTGTTGACAAAGCCTTCGGGCAAAAGGACGCCAATGCAATGCGATTTGCATTCACTGTGGCACAGTGGGTTGTCATTGGGGAACGTTTTGGGATCGAGACGGCGGATCCAGAGTCTGTTGGCATATCTTGAAACCCTTGAATGCCTTTGGTACTGGGGCTTGTCAGCTTTGTGACCTTCTACGTCTTACACCCTGAATAAATGCTTTTCGGTCCTGACCTCGTTCGGCTTTGAATGAACGTCTTCCTTCCACAGTATGCTCAATTATTGGCTCTCCTTTGTCACTGCGCCTACGGCAAGAACAATTGCTTTTCGTTCAATGACGTACAATCAATGACCGTCTCCAATATCTTCCGCCATACGCACCGACTGCCTCCAGCGTCAGACACGATGAACACATAGATCGGCAAGCGCTGATGGGCTCCGAAGTATCTGCAGTAGAGACATGACAGTTTCAACCATTCCTGCACGACGTGGCTGGTACTAATATATAAAACCTCGGTTGATAAAGAAGGAATGGGAGTTATTCTTGCAAGATCTCAAGATGTCATGGCTGATGAATAATGGTGTCAGCACTGTGCATGCATTTCGGTGCTTCGAGACTGCGAAGCGACTAATGTAGTCTGGGGTTAGAGACACAATCAGCCAAGCAAATGAGTCTGTCAGACCATTCCCGGTCAAGGACGAGAGAAGGGCGATTTAGGCAGGCGTGTTTGGTGTCGCACACGAAGCTGCAAAGTAAACCTAGGTCACCTGCTGTACGTTACCGTAAAAAGTACAGTGGGTGCTAAATGGTCACATTGACTCGACCAAGATACATTGGAGTAACTCAGAGTGTAGAGGTATTCAATTACGTAAGTATCACTTCGGCTCCGATCAAGTGAGTAGAGAATCGTCCCCACTGAAGGCTATCAGTGTTTCCCATCATCTGTGAGGCTCAAGACTCCATATACCAGTAACGTAAGAGCAAACGCGCTCAGTCCGCTGGGGGGCACCTTCATCAGTCGCCTTCATCTGCAACCTTTAGCGCTAGTTTTCCCGCGAGCATTCCAGAACCGAACCTGGACTCCAGAAGGCGTTTAATGCGCAAGATGCAAGAGATTAGGTGAGAACACGTACTAATTGCGATTTCATTTCTAATCCTTGTGGCCAAAGCACTCAGCAAAATGCGACGGTCTCTCCACTACTGCGTCTATCTCCAGAGTTCAGAAACCTTATCTACCGATTGATCTTCGCGGGATTACGCTGCGCTTACTCTTACAAGACGTAAGCCCAAGTCATTGTGCGACCTCGAATTGTCCACACGCTGGCTATTGTGCTCGTCTGCCAGCAGGTCTACGCAGAAGCCGCGCTCTGTCCCATCTCCTCGATGACACTCAGCTTCAGCATCTTAGCCGGGGATGTTTCGACTCTCTGCACTAGGCCTGGTTTCGACAAGCGAGTGTAGTTGTTATCAACATGGCCGCCAATCGTATCTTTGACATACCCAAGGAGGTCTTCAGGGCGATCAAAGTGATCCGCCCTCGAATCTGGCGCTCGGAGTAAATCAAATGGTGGGACAAGCACTAAACTGGCACCCGTCTCGCTCTCATAGGGAGGCCGGACATTATTTTCGAGCTAGAAGATCAGCGCGTCAGGCCTCCAGGTAATTTTTGACCTTACCGAGGGGGCAATACAGTAAGACTATGCTTTTATTGTATGTAAGCTGTAGTGGTAATCGAAAATCACAACGCAGAGTTCAAGGGCAACGAGTTTCACAGTTACTCACATATCCTCTCCTCCGGGTGAAGGCGTTTCCACTCCCAAACGATTTTCAATGCCCAATTCCGCCGACCATCCTCTACCAATCTTTCGAGAAGAGTTAACCAAAGCTTTCTTCCAAGTGTCGCCTCCTTAGAAAGCGCATATCGGACGTACTCTTCCGAAGCAGTGGCCTTGAAGATATCGATGAGCTCTTGCGTACATTCCTTGACAGCAATATCCTCGGCCCCGCTCCACATATTCATCGGCGGTCGGTACGCGCAAAACTTTGGCGCAAAGCATGCAAAGTCCCAATCTACTACGCCTGTGATCCCGATCGAGGAATTATTTAAAACCTCGGCGATGATGTTCCGTTAGGCCAGGTCGCTATGCACAAGATGGAAAGTGTCACCCGGAAAGCCACGCCGCTCAAGTGAGCGAAAAAGACCTTTTAGCTGGCTCCAGACGGTGAACGTCTTTTCGTCTGGCCAGTGCTCGGTGTCAAACTTTACCCAGAGATCCACCAGCGTGAGCATAAAAGTCAGTGGTGTCCGATCAGTACGTACCCTCAGTGAGAAAGCTCGCATCGAACGGGAACTCGAAATGTTTCATCGGTATCCGGCTTGAGCAAAGTCGTCTATCAATACCGTACCCATACTCTTCGGTAATGTTACCCGCGTAAGGTGCTGTAACTTCCGCCAGGCTCTCAATGAGCTTTACAACCTGCTTGAACGAAGAGATATTGTGCGCTTCATGTACAATCGCTGTTGACCAATTCCTGCAGCGAGCGGCCCCGAAAACGCGTCTCGATAGTGTACGGCGCATTGAGGACGTTCGTCTTCCCAAGATCAAATCCGTCAATCCCCGGGATAGGAATACCGAGCTTTCCTTCCAAGCCACCAAGAACCGCGATATTACGCCGCATATCTACATCCTTGTCACCAGCACTGCTGATGCGAGGAATGCGGACGACGTACTTTTCTTCTTATTCGATGAAGTGGCCTTCATCTTGACCACTCGCCGAGTGAAAAGCGATGAGCTTGAGCATTGGGACTGTGAGGCCGACGACATCGTGGAAGGAACCTGCGCCTACATGCTCGACTTGAAAGTCCTCAGAGCACGCGGCTTCCGGGAAGAGTTGGGCTGCGAGCATCAAGACTTTCTGGCACAAGATGCTCTGTTCGCGTTCTTCGGGCGCCGCGTCGAGGGGTTCTACGGTTGCAATAAAGGGTTGAGGAGAGTCGTCTCGACGACGAGCAACGTGCCACGATTGGTGAAAGGCCTGTCGTTACTTGTCTGCTTCAGGTGGAGACTTGTCAAAGATTTTGCTGAACGAGTCGGTGCTGGATGATGTTTCGCCTGATTTGCTAGAAGATGGACGTTTATCTGTTCGCAGACCATCTGAAGGAATCAGCCTTAGAGCGTTTATCTTTAGAACGGGGTTGACTTGATGCATCGAGCAGGGTACTTTTGCCAACTCGCAGGTATGAGCTGGGGAAATCTTGCGTTGCGCAAGCCATATCTTTGTGTTGTTCCACAGCATGGAACAGTTGAACAGTGTTGAGACATAGTTAGCAAATACTAGACCTGCACAGTGCATTCAGCTGTTACATTGTTCCCTAGGAGATGGAGGTGGAATATCGACGGTGCCTTGAGTAGATGTTGGTAGATATTCCTTGCTGTCACTCTTCGACCAGGTCTTCAAGTCCAGCGAACCAATTCTCTCATACTTGCAATATAGTGAATCGTCCGTCATGTGTAAGTTTGCTGGAACACCTAATATCCCACAGTACTCGTACAATCGCTGGTCTACACATGAGGCTTAAAAAGAGTGTATCTGGTCGTTCCTGTATCCCAACTCCTCCAGGATTCCCTTTGTCTTCTTGTCACCCTTGAGCGCGGTCTCCATGGCAGGCGGCCCACACACGAATACTTTCCCGTCCTTCGACTGTGTGACCTCAGACAACAGCTCTTTGGACACGCGGCCCCTCCGGAATGTCGATCCCTCGGCTGGTTGACTGACAGCGTACACAGCCTCGAACCTCCCCGGAAAGTCATTCTGAAAACCGTCGAATTCCTTCTTCAGCACAATATCCTCTTCTGAATTTGCAGCGTATACTAGTGTGATCTTGGTCTTATCCTCTGGGTTGCTCAAGATGCCTCTTGCGAGCTGGTAGATAGGCGTGATACCAGAACCGCCAGCGATCAGTGTCACATGCGGCACGCAGTTGGGTTTCCACTGATGGCTCCGTAGTGCGGCCACGAACAGGAGACTATCGCCGGGTGACAGGGAGTGTAGGTGTGTGCTTTGTTTGCCGCCGGGATAGCGCTTGACCAGGAGATCGAGCTTTCCGGGTTCATCTGAGGGAGACACTGGGGTGTAAGGTCGTGCAACAGGCGTCCAGCTGCCTTTTGGCCAAGAAGCTGTGAGCACCGCGGCTGTTACGATGTCAGCACCTAAACTTTGAGTTGCTCTCCAGAGGTACTTACATGTCAAGGAGAGGCCACTAACGTCGCTGTCGTGCGGCAGCTTGAATCGGAGAAGCTTTGTGTTGTGGTTCACTTGTTCGCTGCTTTCGAGTGGTAACGAAACAAAGGCTGGAACTCGCCCGAACACTTTTGCTGGAGCTCCTGTGTCTGCGTGGACGCTGCGAACGAAAGCGTAGCTGGTACCACCTATCGCAACACCGGCGAGGATTGCTGTTGGTCGGACGAGTCGTAGCGAAAGAGCGGACATGATGGAGTAAGGTGGATGATGTCTCAGTGCAGGGGTGACTAGTTGTTGGTTCTTTGGTTGGGCAATGAAGTGCTCAAGGGCATGTACCAGTGCGGTGTAATTATTTTGATGCAGACAACAGGCAGGTGCCAGAGACCATTCATATACTCCGACTTCGTCATATAGTGTCGGAGGTTTCCAACATGTTCCGCCGTCTAGTGGACCTAACGATATTTTCACAAGTATCGGCGCCGGGGTCCAGGGTAATTGGTGCAGCCAGTCGGTGCATCATTCGGATATCCAGGAGAATCTGTCCGCTCGGCACAACGCTGGCTATACCCCGGCAGAATTTGAGGTGTTCTTATGTTATGGCCCTAGCTTACACGCTAATTGGCGGAGTATGCCGAAGGCGTTGGTGCTGAGACACTTTGTAGCATCCTTCCTGACACAGACCAGGCCGCCCGACTTGGCTAGACATAGCCCACAAAACGATCCGCACTCCTGTAGGGCTGAACAGCTTCGAATCCGTATGGTGTAGCTGAGAGGGGTCATAGTCAGCCCGTGGCCAAACGACGTTGACTTCAAAGTTTGCTCGCGAAGGTGACGCGGTGGTTCGAATGAAGTTGTTGGTCGTGTGGTGCTGCTGGCGCGCTGGCTCACGGCCGACTTTGGGCTCGGACTTTCGGGCTTTGCGGCATGCCGTGTCCACCGGGTCAGTGCACGCGTCGGGTCAATGCACGCGATTACCAAAACACCCCCAAACCCTCAACACCACAACTTTACGAAATGATGTCAGTTTCTGATGCGCTTAAAATGGCACGCGCAACTGCACCAGGCAAAAAGATGTGCTACTAAACACTTGCTAATCAGACAGGGTTATTGCGTTCAACGTTGTCGCGCAATGACGGAGGCGTTATTATCCCCTGTGCAGACCAGCAACAATAAAAGCTTAACCCACAACAGGAGCGTGGGCTTTGTACTTATATAGAAGAGCTTACTTAGCGTTATCTACCACCTACAAGGCAAATAATAATAAAAATTGCTGCAGAAATAGCTGATAAGAGTGTTTGCAATACCTACTTCCTCTAACGTACATGTATAACATACCTGACGGGTGAGTCGACCAGACAGGTGAGTCAACCACTCTGCCAAGACCCCACCACAATTTCTATCTACAACACAATGCCACAACAACAACGCGAAGTAGGACTGTAGGACCCTTAAAGGAAGCAAGAATACAGCTTGACCTCTTAGCTCTTAAACAAGACGCAACACTCACGCTGTGACGCGCTGCAGCCCTCTATAACGCGCCTTATAGGACACTACGCAATTAATACGCTAGACAACCTACACAAGCTAATTATATGCCTAAATTAAGGAATTTAGACAAGAACAAGGAGGAGGTAATTATTTAGCATATACTTAACCTAGCTGCAAGGGGATTTCCCCCTAGCTAGCTGCAGTGGCTGATATAGCCAATTCTTTGCGCAAAGGGCGTAATCTAGGCTATATTAGCACAAAGTAGCCTAACATATTTATTAAGCACTGCCCTAAGCTCTAAGTAAGGTTTAATTGCAAGTATAACTACAAGCAAGCCCCCTGCAAGGATCTAGAGAGTATATAAGGCTAGTTCTGCCTTGTAGAGAATACTAAAGCTAAGCATAGCATCCTAGACAAAGACATATATAACTTTAACAAGACTAGGTTTATAATAGGCTAGATATTAATGGTCTAACGACGCAGGCAAGAAGAGAGACATCCAGAATAGGTGTGAGTCCGCTACAAGGCATATAGGAGTGCTAGGATGATAAGAACACTAGGATATATTATCTATACCTAACGTAGATTATCACCGAGCCGGCCATATCACCAAACCGGCCATTTTCTCTTGGCACAACTAACACAAGTTACTGCAACTACAACTACTTGCTATTAAATAGTGACCTAGTATACTGCGTGCTTATATTAGATTTAGAAGATGTTTCTGCACCCTCCTAGCACGTTTGTGCGTTGTGTCTAGTTTTGCTGCAGTTCCCACAGCGCTGAACAGTTGACTAAGCTCCTAGTTGACTACCTCCACCCTAAGTCTTCTTAGATGGCTGAGCTGCTACACACGCCTCAGCAGCTACCTGCAATGCTGCTGGGCCATACTCAAGTGTGCCACCATGCTGAATCTGCTTTCTCTTACGCAATTTTCTCTTAGTTATTACTGCTAATTGCTCTTCAAGCTCTCGCACGCGGGCCTTAATAAGGACGTTTTTGTGCAGCATCTCTTCAGCCCCTTTTACAAGCTTTAAGAACCCCTCTTACGCTACACTTAGTAATTATTAGAAGGAGTTGCTTATAAGCTTAGATTAAGACCTAAACTTGTGTGTATTACTTAGTATCTTAGATTACTACAGTGTTTTAGGTAGAGGTACTGCTAGTAGGGTATGTAGCTGCACTTTAAGGCAATCTAACACTACCTACGTATTAGTAGGAACAAGCCCTAATACCTTAAAGGCCTTTTAGTAGTTAACCTTTGTAAATATATTAAGGAACACGTCCCTAAAGGCTAGTAGGAAGCCTTCCTTATTAATATAGAAGATGTGTTAGTATGCTAAGTCTTAAATATATTAGGAGTACTTGCACTTTAACAGCAAGAAATAGACTACATTAAGTAGCTAGAGGATATATAACAAGTAAGGTAGTATGTAGAGAGTAAGGATTTAGTTCTCTAGGTAATAGTCCTTAAACTCCTAGTTAAGATAGCTCTTATAGCTATCTAAGATAAGTAACCTATACACTCCTACCTAACACGTCTTTATATGCGTGTTAAAGTGCTTTAACCACTTAAGGCTAAGCGTGTTATTTGTCTAACTATTCTTAGAGACTAAGAGCTTCTAATTGTAGGGTATATCTGTCTCCTCATACTAGGCAGAGATGTGGACGCGTCCTTTGTAGATGATGAAAGGTGGGGTTGCATACCCAGCGGCGCAGATGCTCTGGATAACGGTAACCCACTCGCGATCACCTGGCTGAACAAGCTCTGGCCAAGCACGTCTCTCTAAGCCTGTTACAACCTTTAAAGACAAAGCAACGCCTATCTAGAACCTAGTTTTATTAAAGTTGTGCATGTTATTGTTGTAAATGCTATACTTAACTTAAGTATCCTCTACTAGCTTAAACTACACGCTAATTATCTTAGGATCTTCCTATAGTATCCTCTGTCTATCCTTAGCTTAATTAAAGGCCATTTTAAGCTTGTCTGAACGCGTCACAAGCCTGCTAGCCTATAGTTTGCTAACAGGCTCTTCACCACGCACACTAAGTATCTTATTAGCTATATCTGCCACCTCACATAGCTAGGGCGCAAATCCTCGCGAATTAAGGTTAAGTATATACTAGACAATTGTCTGCTCCTCTAGTATAGTAAGTTTCTAGCAATTAGCACATACGTCTAGTTAAAACGTGATATTGCAAAGGCAATTAGAGACCTGCTAATAAGGTACGTTCAACGCTCTAGCAGCGCTGCAGATACTGCGAAATTAGCTAGCATAGAAGGCCTAGATAGCAAGGATAACTCTGCCTTCTCTAGTAGTATTCTGAAGTTGTTATTGTTAAGGCATGTTGTGTTAGGGTAAAAGGTGGTTGTGCCAAGAGAAAGTGGCCGGTTCGGTGATATGGCCGGCTCGGTGATAATCTACGTTATAGGTCTTGTACAAAAGGATATAGAAAAACTACTCTATAATACTATAGTTCCTTGCTCCTGTTATATAAGGATTTAGAGGCAGTTTAATGCAACCTTATGCTATGTGACAAGGGCCATGGTCATAAGTCGCTAGACCGTACTCTAATGGTATTGGGTCATTGTTCGCAGCGCGTTGTTACAAATATGTTACAGGCATAGAGTGTTAAGGATGTCTAAAGGCAGTTTAACAGGGCAATTAGGAGTAGACAATAGCTATCTATGTAAAGAAAGTAGGGGAAGGACTAGACTACTTTCTTCCTAGTCTAGAAGGACCTAGACAAATGTAGACTAGCTTTGTCTAAATAGGAAGCGTATAGCCTAATAGAGGTAAGGTAGGATTATGTAATATAATAGACAAGTTATTATATTAGATACTAGGTAGAGATTCCTAGGCTAGGTACAGAGCGAACAGAGGGGGAGAGGCAGAGGTATTTACGCTTCCTCTCCTCTGTCTTTATTTCTAAGCAGAATCTTCTAGATACCTCTAGATAAGTCTACTTAGTAATCTATGCTTAGCATTATTAGATACATAAGCAAGATAACGTAGGTGCATGCATAATTGTACATGTTAGTATCTACAAAGTAGGCTACTCTATTTGTAAGCAGAGTATCTAGAACATTCTCTAGTTACTAAAAATAGAGAACAACATATCTTAAAAAGGAGAGGAGAAGCAGGCTTAGTAAGCACACTATTCTCATCCTCTCTTTTAGTAGATTATAACAACAGTGCTTAGGTAACTTTAGCGCTATACCTTAGAAGGAAATACGCTAGAGAAAGATTATAAGAACAAAGTCTTATAACGTTAACTTTACATACTTGCAATTAAACTTAACTATAAGCTCTAAGTGCCGCCTAATAAATGTACTAGGCCACCTTGTGCTAATAGGGCCTAGATTACGCTTAGCGCGCAAAGAATTAGCTATAGTGGCCACATCTAAGAGCTAAGGGGGAAAGCCTTGCGCAACTAGCTTAAGAACATAGTTAATAATTACCTTCTCCTTATTGTTTTCTAGCTTCTGCAAGTTAGCTATAGAATTAGCTTGTGAAGGTTATCTAGTGCGTTGGTCGCTTAGTGTGCTTTAAGGAACTATGTAGATAGCAGCAGCGCATTGCAGGGATAGAGTTGCGTCTTGTTTAAGAGCCTGGAGCGCAAGCTGTATCTAAGCTTCCTTTAACGCGTCTAACTGGTGTTGTTAAGGAGGCATAATTGTGTGAAGGGTAGTTTGGTGGGGGCTTGGCAAAAGTGTCTGACTCGTCCGCTGTCTGACTCGTTATACATGTACGTTAAGTGCTATCTAAGAGAACACCAGGATAGATTCTTAACACCTAACATATTCCACCACCAAACCAGCCAATCCACCAAGCCGGCCACTTTTCCTTAGCATATCACGTAATTGTTAGGACCGGGCTCCGCCCACTCGGCCATGCAAGCAGCAAGAGGTGTTCAATAGATGTGCTCTAATAGGTGTCTAGAACACTCCACCAAAAAATCTCATAACAATTGCTTTTGTGTGTGGCTCTACAGCTTCATTTTAGTGGTGTTGAGCAGGATGATCTTCGTGCACAGGTCCGGGCCGTGCACGGGGCGGTGAAACACGGTAGCAGCTTTAGCCTCATGTCTCGAGCGCCACTTTCTCACCCACAATCGAATTTACTCCTTGCGCTGAACATGCATTCACTGCGATGCTAATTTAGTACATACGAATCTGCGGCGCTATACTCGATCTTCGAGAGCACGCATTACGGCCTAAATCCTTTCTCCTGCCAGAATTGCCTCGCCTCACCATCAATATTCCTCTGCACCCTGTCCGTCTCCCACACATCCTCCATATCCTCAAGCATATCCGCCCACCCATTTAATGCCTCATCCTTATGCGAGTTGCCTGCAAAATGTATCAACCAATCTCCTCTCCTTGCATGCACCTCTTCCATGCCCGCCTCCTTTGTGTCATTCCTCGATATAAACTCTTCCGGACCGCCGTGCGAATACGCATTGAACCAGTGTTGAGGTACGAATTGTACCTTATCTTTGAATCGATCATCCTTGAGCACTAGCTCCATGGCCGACTGCTCTGTAAATTTGAGCTCGACTTTGGGGTTGTAGTGCCGGTAGGCAAGGATCGCCGTGAACACTTCGACGGCCCAAGGTGAGACCCGTAAGAGGAAAATGCCATTGTTGAGACCGTTCATGTCATCTGTCGCCAGAAGATTGACTTCCGGAGAGGCTTTGTTGGGCTCTTCGCTTTTTCCCTGTTTGTTGCGGCGCCACCATTTCGCTACAGCTGTTTCTGATATGGAGGATGGTAGGAACGATGTTACGGGTCGACATTGATCGAGAATTAGCGTGTCGCGGTCCACCCAGACAAGCCATTCGAAACGCTTGCTCTCAGGTTTGATCATTTCTCGCAAGAGCAGGTCTAGAATGAACGCGGGTTTATTCCAAAGATCGTCGATCATCTTATCGCATAAGACGTGCACCTCGGTACCGTGCACGAGGGCGTGTTCGAGATGGGTGCTGAAGGCTTTGGTGTAGTGCTTGTTTCCTTGTAGGCCACCGAAGTGTGCGGTCACCATCGCTATCCGGGTGCGAGGAGCAGGAAATCGTGAGTATTTTGCGCAAGTGGCGTGCTTCTCTACCGACTTCTTAAGGAGGCCTGGTGAGACTGGCGGAATGCATTGTGTACTGCCGTAGCAGTTGAACTGAGGGATAGGTAGGGGGCGTGGCCGTGCGAATGGAACGGACAAAGAGTTGGAGATGGAATGCAAGCGCTCTGTCGGCGGTAATGAAGACCGTGCAAGAACGAGGATTTGAAGGATGAATACTAAGATGATGGTCCCGGTAAAGATCTTCATCCGTGTTGGTCGAAGGATACTAGATGGTACAGATATTATCTTCTGTAAGCGAGGAGAAAATGCAGGAGATGACAAAGGAGAGAGGAACATTTCGACGCGTAGCTTGGGGCAAAGACATGAGGTTCTTGTGTGGCCTTTTAGACAAGGCTGTGGGCTGTTTCTTAACCGCAGTGTGATATCGTCAGTGAGAGCATTATTCACAGGGAGAGTACGCGTCTGAATTGGCTTGCCGTGCTTGGCTAAGGTCAGAAACTCTTGTGCACAGCTCGGCATCGGACAAGTCTTCAGCTGTGACTTGGAATAGTTCGACTACGACCGCTAGAGTATGCCTGCGCCAAGGTGATGGCCGCGGCTTTCTATCGGCTGTGGTAGAGCCGAGTGCACATAGCACATTGGACTTCTCACCGTGGCGTCAAATAATGGGCATTGCGATGTCGGTCTCCGCTAAAATTTGATTTGCCCAAACTCATTATCCACTCTATCATTCCCTGTCGAACAGACTATTTGGAGCAGAGTCATCGGAATCGTGTAAAAGGTTATGTGTAAATCCACAGAGTAGTATAAGTCACTGCCTGGGGAGAATCGAGAGGTCTTGGGTTGTACTTGGCCTTGGCAACGTCCGCAAATCGCGTCATGCAGGCACCGTAAGAGTGCTTGCTCTAGCGCTTGACTATCGAGGAATGCAACAATGGCGTTCGTAATGCTGTAGATCATTTCCGACCCGAAAGAGCCGCATGTTGAGCCTCACAGTTACTGAGAATATGGGCTGCCCAGCCACACGTTTCGATCGGCAAATGGTGGTTGAGACACTGATTCTCGACAGTGGTCAACGTCAATATTACTACTATAGTATAATAAGGATGTTGCGACGAGTACTCTACCCTCGGTGCAGAATGGTGTCCAGAGGGTTCTTCTTCTTCTCGCCAATCTCATTTTGCATCTGCTTCTTCTTCGCTTTCGTGGGCAGACCTCTAGCCTTGAGTCCACGCTCTTTCCTCAGCTTCTTCAGAGCCTCTTCTGTAAGACCCTGTCGCATCATTTGCTCTACAACGAGTGTCTTGCGGCTGCGCTTGTCGCCGATGCCAATGATGATACCGGAAACGATGTTACAAGTCAAACTGCAAGCAAGAATGACGGCCGTGAGGGCTTTGGGTCGAACCTTGTAGTAGATGCCCCAAGTTGTGCCACCGAGAGCGATTTGAAACATGGAATGGCAATCGAGCAAAACGATGATAGTTATGAGCAAGCGAATAGAGAAAGCGTGGTGGGTGTAGGTCTCGTGTGGGCGGTAGAAAGTATGTGACTTCGCCAGCTTACCCTGATGATGCTCCAGCTTCTTCTGCTCTTCATCATTTAAAACGGGCGCCTCGATCTGTACCTCCTCCTCGATCTCTTCGGCAGTGTCATAAGGGGTCGACTGAGGGGGCATAACGGGCAGCTCGTTATGGTCCTTCAATTTCTTCAGTCCACGCTCCTTGCGCACACGCCAGGTCTTATGGGCATATTTGGCGACGAAAGCCATGTGATAGGTATCGTAAAGCCGGAAAGGGAACATGGTGATACCGACAACGCAGAATAGAGCAGTCAGGATCTGATCGCAGATCTCGACGAAGTATGCCTGTCGACCAGCAACAGAAATCCAGCCAATGAGGAAGAGCACCCAAGCAGCTCCCCAGAAGGTAATTAGGAAGAAGTATACGGTGACGAGAAGGCCAAGAGGGTTGCGGCAGTAGCGTGCAAATCCGCGCATACTGCGCTTGAACTTTGCTCGTCGTGAATGCAGTAGATGCCGCACGTGGTCGTCCAGAGCATCCTTCTCTTCCTGGGTCCAACCTGGAAGTGATGTTCCGTGTGGAAGGACAGCGAAATGGTGGCCTGGTCCTTCTTCAAGCGTTGAGAGGGTAGAATCGAGGGTGTCAGTTCGATGGAGCTGCCCACGCGATGCTTGCTCTTGCTCGCCTGGCTGGGTCATTTGGGTAAGATCGTCATTGCGACTCGCCGGCCTTGTACCCATCTCTTCATCTGAGGAGTCCGATGGAGATTGCATAAGGTCGTAAGTTGGTTGGCGGTTGTAAAGCCAAGGCAAGTTAGGCAAGAACAACGAGTTCTGAACGTTATTCAGGGTTGTCAGAGCTGATACTTCAGGATCTTGGCATGTGTCAGCAAGGGCTCTTTGAAGGATTGCAGGTACGCATACCAATGACATCGAGCATGTCAACCATGTCATTGTCGATGTCGTGATCCAGATGCTGATGGTCTCTGCGACGCAGATTGATGGCCGAGCTCATTCTGTTCATGCCCGGTCTCTTCCTCTTGCTGTTACCTCTCGCGGGCGGCGGACCTGCGCCAGTGTTGGTCTCAGCGCGTGACGCATCCTCATACACCGGCTGCAAGTGCGGTGGAATGGCTGAGGGATGGCGCCTCAAATCATGCTCGGCTTCTAGCATCGCTACAGACGGGCGCTGGGGTTCAGAGCTACTCCTCCTACGGTTACCCTGTCCTTGCCAGCTGTTGTCGGATGTTGGCTGAGCCTGTGGTATGGTCTGCAAAGGATGTGTGGCCGGCGCTGGCTGTGCCAATGGGACATCTTGTCCTGAGGGACGTCTTATGCGGATGGAGCTGTCCCGCGTTCGAGCGACCGGCGCAGCCGTGGGCGCCGGCGCTTGAGGCTGCTGCGAGGAAGTTGGAGGCTCATATTGATGGGTTTGTGGTTCGTGTGATATGTGAGTCTGCGAGTGGGGTGCCCGATCTGGCGACCGGGGCATCTGAGTGGTGGTGGTTATCGTGGGGTGCGTGATGGTCGTAGAAATCGGCCCGTGGTGCGTGATGGATGCCCCATGTCCTCCAGAGTAGCTTGTTGTTGTGGTCGTGTGTGGACCGGATGTGGCTGTTGTGGAGGTTGTTGAGGATACCAGCGGCTGCCCATCGTCAGGGGGTTGGTCGGCCATCGTTTCTTACTGAACAAACACCACAGAATGGTGTTGTTTGAGACACGCTCCCTTTGAAAATCGATGCTTTGGCGAAATTGACGGCGCTGAGCTTTGGGCGCGCGGGATGATGTATGCGCTCCGCTTCCTAAGCACGTTCCGGCTGCGACCGGGCTGCTTTCTAGCTCGCTGTCTAGTCAGCCGTGCTCCCGTCTTTGTCAACTATCAGCTTGCGTCAAACGGCAAGAGGGCAGCAGAGTTCAAGAGGGGCCAAAGAAGGGTCTGAAGTGTGCGGCGACTGATGATAAAGCAATGGTGTTGTTGTTGTTTTTGTCATTGTTCCCAGCTGATACCAAATCTTCGCGCACCCACGTCATATCTCCATTTGCGCACATGCACAGGGCCGAGCTTTGCAGTGATCTGCTCAGACCCCGGCTCTGGAGGATGCATGCGACGCCCTATCGCGTCAGCCCCAACCTATGCACTTGAGCTGCTTACTGAAGGAGCGAACTCTCGGATTTGCGTCGTATCCGTATCCGAATACTTGTCCAAACGAGTGAACGAATGGGGGATTCTTGCGAAGCCCTTAGCTATTACTCAGTAGCTGGTAAGGACCGACACTTCTATGCCGACCAGCGAACATCAAATCACAACTTTCGAGCAACGCACGACGCAGGGTTCAAGCTTCGCAGGCTGGGCGTTCAGACAGCGCAATATCTTGTGTTTCAGGACCTTGATGGCCAGCCCTAGCGAGCTTGGCTCTTACGTCAGTGGCCAGCGCTGAGTGCTGAGGATAACTTCAATGCTCGAATGCGCCTGCGCTCCCTGCGCCTTCGATATTCTTACCCTACAACCTGTGTCATGAAGTGGTCTCTCGCACTACTCGTCTTTCTGGCAGGCAGCCACGTAGCTGCCATGCCCCTGTTGCGCGATCAATTGCGCGCGCAATCGCAGGAAGTCCTCAAGACTCCCCCCAAGCACATCGGCGTCGGTCACTTTAGCGAATGGAGCCGCGCGACAAAGAAGTCATTCTTGCAGGACTGGCAGGCTGGAAAGGCCGGAGAATGGACCATTGTCATGGGCAACGAAGGTGGAGATTTGGACTCCATGACAGCTGCCATCACCTGGGCCTACCATCTGGACCACTCCACCGAGAACGACACCCATCCGGTCAAGGCTATTGCACTCCTGCAGACTCCCTCACACGCTCTAGACCTCCGACCAGAGAACAAGCTCGCGCTTGACAATTCGCAGATGACAGTCGGGCACGAAGACCTGCTCACTTCCGACGAAGTGCCCGAAGACCCAGAAACGCTGTCCCAGAAGCTCAAGGGCATTATTCTCGTCGACCACGGCGAGCCTCTGCGCAAATGGCGAGAGGCAAACATTATCAGTATTTTCGACCACCACAAGGACCGCGGCACTGCGCCTGAAGCTTCCCCCCGCATCTTCGAAAAGGTCGCATCTTGCACCACCATCGTCGCCCGCGAACTGCTCAACGCGCTTGAAAAGCTGCCCCAGGAATATCATCTCAACCACGAGTTCCTCGAGCTCATCCTCTCGGCCATCGCCATCGACTCCGGCGGTCTGACCAGCGACAAAACGACCGACGAGGACAAGTCCGTCGCCCAGCGCGTCCTCGCACGCAGCAACTGGAGAGACGAGAAGCTCTCAAGAGTCATGGCTGACCTGAACGGCGAGCTGAAATCGGCCCAAAAAGACATCTCGCACCTCAATCTCCGCGACCTGCTGCGCCGCGACTGGAAGGGCGACCTGATCGACACTCCCTCGCCGCGCACGCCCACAGTCTCGCTCGGCTTTGCGTCAATCCCGTACAGCATGGACGACCAAATCAAGAAAACCGATTTCGCGGAACTATTCGACTGGTTCGCTGTGCACGCTGCGTGGACCGCGGAGGCGGGCGTCGATATCAGTATTTGCCTCAACAAGTACAAGATTAAAGACAAGCACGGCAAGAAGGAGAAGATTCGCGAGGTCGTGCTGACAGTTCGCGATGACGTCAGGGTCGATCAGGAGCAGGCCGATGCGCTCTTTGAGGTTGTAAAGGATGCGCTGGAGAACAATGACCAGGGTATTGAGCTGGAACCGTGGCATCGTGCGGGTGAGCTGGGTCCGCGGCAGATGGTTTGGACGCACACAAGTAGTGCTGGGAGAAAGGTGTTTCGGCCGATCGTTGAGGAGGCTGTGCTAGGATGGGATAAAGTGACTATGGAGCTATAGATGGGGGGCTGCGTTTCCCTGAGAGGCGTGCACATATGCTGTGGAATTGATCTCTGACCCTGGAGGTCTTCAGAGACGTTACTACTTGAGCCCTATATGAAATGACACTCTTTGTTCTTCGACGCTCGTGGCATGTCCAATCTGACCGCGGAAGTCTACAAGGACTTCTCTCGCCCTTGATTGTTGGGGCATGATCGTTCCTGCAAATACCAAATATGTTCCAGGAGGCAGTCAGCATACTCACTCTCAGCGCCATGGTGCGCGATTGGAATGTTGATTTCTCAAGTTTGAATGATCGAAGCATTACTTTGGAGGTATTCAACGCATCAAGTATCGTGAAGTAGTCGCTGTTGCATTACCTACTCCACCAAGGCGAGATTATCTTTAGGAGCAAGCCATTGCGAGTAAGCTCAACCAAACGGTTCTCAAGCCTGGTGGAGAGCAGCTTGAAGACTACAATACATGAAGGGATTTACAAAAACCCGTCCCAAAACGCCGCGTATGCATCACAACCTGGGTATCTAGCGAACAAACATCCCAAAACTCCCTGAATAACCCTAGCCGTCAATGTCAGTAAATCTATCGTGGTCGGACGCTGCGAGTTGATGGCTTCGCGCGAGTATTATTGTTCTTTGGCGACAGCACTTCTGCGGGTGCAGTCTTCCGAGATGCTGCGCGGGTTGATCTGGCGGCTGGTGCTGCTGGTTTGGGAACTACAGGTTGTTTTGAGACTGTAGTTGCAGCTCGGACTCTCTTCTTGGGAACTGCGAGATCGATGGAAACATTCTCCTTGTCCTCACTGGTGGCTTCATCGCTGCTGCGCTTCTTTCCGCGCGTGGAAGTAGTCGGGACGGATTTCGAGGGTGCGTGTCTAGACTTGGTTGTTGGTTTGGGTGCAGGTGCGGCCTTGACGGTCGTTGGTCGAGAAGCGGTGGTGGTGGCCGCAGCAGCTCGAATCTTTGCTGGAGGTGCAAGAGCATGTACGGGTACGGAAGCAGGTGCGGCCTTCTTCGTAGGTGCCTTCTTGGTAGTTGCGGCCTTTGTTGGTGCAGGCGCGGGTTTCGCGGCTGGTGGTGGTGGCGGCGCGAGGAGTTCGATGAGTGGCATATGGCGTTTCGTGGCTGGTACGCGATTCACGCGTCGCTCGAGACGCGACCGCAGACTGGCGCACTGGGCTTCGCACATGGCGCGCAGCTTTTCCTTGCGTGCGTTGACTGAGGACTGTCAGAAGAGCGTTACATTGCATGGAAAGGCGACTTACACTCAAGTTCAAAGTTGGCAAGCATGGCGGCCTTCGCCTCTTCTGTGATGGGCGCAACCATGGTGAATGAAGTAGTGTAAACAACGCGTAAACAGAGGAGTTGTGGCTGTTGCAGAGAGCAATTGGGCTCTGGCGGGGGTCTCGGAGCGTTTGCGAGGCGTTCAGCGCGGTATTTGCGTGTGTGAGAGCGGTGTCGAGTGTGGTCGCTGCTTCTGATATTTGTCCAAAGTGTGGTGTTGAGGGGAGGAACGATGGAAGGCGGAGAGCCTTAAAGCTGGCGCTAGCTTACCGGTACCCCCAGCAAACAGGTGCGCCGCGACGTCGCGATAGCCAGAATCAAACGCGCACTACAAGCGTGTACTACACATTAGCTCCTAAGCTTGCGACCTGAGCTTAGACATTGTAGTCCAAATCTACCTTGTATCGCTCGGGCTGAGTGTGGTTTCACCAGACAACCGCGCCCTCACGTGCCCGGCTAGTTCCCGCGTCATCTAGCGCAGCGGCGCTCCAGCTACCTCCGACACGCCGCCTTGAGCTCATCATCAACATCGCCCGCCTTGCCGCTCCACCAAACAGACAGCCGCACACAACCGTCAAGATGGTGTTAGAAGCTACTATGATCGTGTGGGTATTCCTATGCTCTTCTTGATATGCCAATACTGACTATCGTAGTGTGGACAACAGCGAAGCCAGCCGAAACGGCGACTACGTTCCCTCACGATGGGAAGCACAGTCCGACGCTGTGAACCTCATCTTCTCCTCGAAAACGAATGCGAACCCGGAGTCATCAGTCGGTCTTATGAGCATGGGCGGCAGCACACCTGAGATCCTCACAACCCTCACCACAGATATCGGCAAGGTCCTGGATGGTCTGCACAGGACAAAGATAAAGGGTAGCTCGCACTTTATCACTGGAATCAATGTTGCGGCAGTACGTCAGATCTGCACTTCGTGTCCGGACAAACGCTAACAGGGTGAACAGTTGGCGCTCAAGCACAGGCAGAACAAGTCGCAGAAGCAGCGGATAATCATCTTCAACTGCAGCCCCGTTGAGGAGGATGAAAAGAACCTGGTAAAGCTGGCGAAGAAGATGAAGAAGACAAACATCAGCATCGACGTTGTCGCATTCGGCGAGCTCAGCGATGAGACCCTGAAGAAGCTTCGCGCATTCAACGAGAACTCGCAGAGCGCCGAGGGCTCTCACCTTGCGGAGGTGCAACCGAGCGGCAACCTTCTTAGCGACGCGCTCGTCACAACGCCTATCCTTGGAGGAGACGGTAGCTCCGGCGGCGCAGGCGCAGGATCGTCTGGTGGCGATGCTGGTGGTTCAGGCGGCAACGACTTTGAGTTTGGCGTTGACCCATCAGTCGACCCGGAGCTGGCGTTGGCGCTGAGGATGAGTTTCGAGGAAGAGAAGGCACGGCAAGAGAAGGACAAGAAGGCAAAGGAGGCAGCCGAAGGCAAAACAGAGCTCGAGGGCATCGCAGAGGGCGACGAAAAGCAGCCTCTGCTGGGCGACCAGAGTGAGGGAAGCGGCAGCAAAAACAAGAAGAAGGACGACGACGATAAGATGGACACAGCATGAGATGCATGCTACACAGATGTATAGCATCCACGGGCGGATACATCTAGGCTCAAAAATCCGCATCAAACAAGCATCCACGGCGTCGACTTCATAGACTAGTTGGCGCACACCATAGCAGCTTTCGTGGCTGAATGAGATTACGATAATCACCACACTGTACATATCGTGTGTGTTTCAGAAGGGGGTCTGCTTCCAGCCATGTCTGTACAAGACCAGTATGCCTCCAACTGAACCCTCTCGAACGCCTCTGGGTTCCAGTGGCCCTAATGTGCTTCTTCGGCTGACGATTGGCTTCCTTTGGTTCAAGCCATTGCTGTCTTGGGCTGTGTATGCCACACCGCTCGCCATGCACATGGCTGTTCAGCTGTGCCTCTCATAGCGCAGCCTCTCTTGATGAGCTGTCGTGGCAGCGCTACGTCTCTTGCATCTTCTTCGAACCTCAATCCTACCTCACCCCCTGACCTTGATGAACCCATCCAGCCCCCTGTCGAACTTCTCGCACCTTATCGGCATTTCCACGGTATAGAACGGGTTCTTCATAACAAAATCGGCATACAACTCATACACCTTCTTCACCATGGTATCCACGTTGGGCTGCTGCGGCTCTGTGACCAGCAAGAACTTGGTCCCCGTCTGCGTCTGGAAGCACTGCAGTCTGAAATGGCTGCTCTCCATGACTTCGATACCGGTGGGTCTGTTTGGGAAGGGAGACGGGGCAAGCATGTTGTTTTGCGGCGTGATGTGGGGAATGCGGGGTGCGGGCGAGAGCTGCGAGGTTATGGCGTGCATCCCGTGGAAGGAGCCCGCAAGGATCAAGTAGTCGTTGGACGATAGCTTGGAGAGACCGGTGTGGAATTCGCGGTTGTAGATGAGACCGCCGGACTTGGATACTATCATCAGGGCGAAGACGACCCTGCGAGTGTCAGCGTTCGCTGTGTGGGCTTTGGGAGGGCAGGTACATTGTGAATGTCGTCGAGCAATTAGCAGCTATGGAATGGAGGTCTTGGGAATCCAGTTGAAGCGAAAGGCTGGACCAGACGTGCGAATTGATCCGCGGGATGACAGGTGCGAGAACGCTCACATGTGACTTGACCGTGGGTATCGTGAATGGCGGGCGAAACTGACTTGCGCGCGGTGACCTGTCGCGCTATAGATGTCCAAGGTTGCGCGGAGTACGGTACGCGCGCCCCACATGCTTGCCTTGTATTTGGTTCCCAACACCTCCGCTTCGACTGTCGCCCACTCTCGACAGCTTGACTGGCGCCTCACCCACCCTCCCTTGGACGCCGTGAACTTTCTGTCTCGGCGTCCCTTTCTCCACTCAACCCGGGAACACCGTACGAGCTACGTCTGCTCTCCACGAGCACTCAGTCGGCCGGTCTGCTTGCTTCGCCCGCGGCTCGCAGCCTGAAGCTCCCATCATGGCGAACCAGTCGATCCTCCGAATCACTCGCGAACTCCACGAGATCCAGAACGGCTCCGACCTCTCGCTCGCAGTTGCCTGGCGTGACGTCGACGTACGCCATGTACGCGCGCTCATCGTTGGCCCACCGGACACGCCATACGAGTTCGGCTTCTTCGAGTTTACCGTCAAGTTTGGCAGGGAGTACCCGACAAAGGCACCAGGGGTGCTAGCAATAACCACAAACGGAGGCCGAACACGCTTCAACCCAAACATATACGCTGCTGGCAAAGTGTGCCTGTCGATCCTTGGGTAAGGGCGAGGCTATCATGTGGGAGACGTACACTAACCGTTGCAGCACATGGCGCGGTGAGCGAGGAGAGGAATGGTCATCAGCACAAGGCCTCGAGTCGATCCTCATTTCCATACAGAGCTTGATGTCCGGCAACCCGTACGAGAACGAGCCGGGCTTCGAAGACGCAAACTCTGACTATGACAAGAAGAACCAAGCAGCATACATCGACAAGATTCGACACGAGACACTGCGCATATCGATCATCGAACGATTGGAAGAGTACCTGGGTATCCGTGGAGAGAGGCCCGCCGTTACTGTCTACAACGCCGAAGAGGAATACCAGTCTGGGCGAGAGGATGCGCCATTTGAGCCTTTCAAGGACCTGTGCAAGCGCCGATTCCTCTGGTACTACCGCTCGTACCTGGCAACAATCGACGAGGCCGCCGAGAAGCACAAGGATGGCGATCGCTTCGAGAAGATGCCTTTCGAGGGCCCAGGCAACACCATGGAAGGAACCTACCAGTACACAGCGCTGAGGGAGCGACTTAACAAGATCTTTGCAGTGCTGAACCAAGAGACGGAGGGCTGGGCTGCAGAAGGCTTGCTAGCTGTCCAGAAGGAGACAAGTATTGCCAGTAACCTGCAGCGTCAGTTCGAGCAGATTGTCGAGAAGTACAAGAAGAACGATTCGGTCACACTTGACCTCGACCTCGTCGACAAGAACCCGTTCATCTGGCAGCTCGTTCTCTTCGGTCGGCCCATGACCAACCTGGATGGCGGCATGTTCAGGATCATGCTCTACATCAGCCCTACCAGGTGGCCTGACGTTCTGCCTCGAGTTCGCTTCGAAACACCCATCTTCCACCACCGCGTCTCCCCTGATGGCATTCTGTGCTATGATGCAGCAAATAAGCAGGACATGCGCTCCCACATCGAGGCTATCATTGGTGCTATCGAAGAGGAGTCGCCAGCCTATGACCCCCGAACGTTGGTGAATCCTGAAGCTGCCAAGCTGTTCTGGGGTGCACCTGAGGAGAAGAAACTATATAACCGCCGCCTCAGGCGTTCGGTTCAGGACAGTGCGGAGTGAGTCTTCCACATACAAGACAGGCTCTACTCTGCTGACCATGACCAGGAATTGCTTCTAAGACGAGTGCTCACAACTTATGGTTTCTAATGACGACACGGCCGATCAGCTCAACGACAGTTTTTCGTACACTTACAGTACATTGATACCCACGCTTGACTTCATCAATGTCTTGCGACCTGCATACTCGGCGCTTGTGACGGAATGGCGCATAGTATATTTGACCACCACAATAGGCGTTGGTCAATGCCATAGTTTGAAATGCTGGATTACCCTTTGTGACCTTATTGAACTAATTGTTCCACACTGCATGTGAAGGCTACATGGAACGCAGAGGATATTAAGTGGTCTTTGTATTGCAGTCCAAGACCTTTGATGCGAATGCAAGACCCTTGTCAGAGGCACTTGCGGGGGCTAGGCGCTCCACCGAATCTCCGCAACAGATCCCATTCCCCTGCACCACCTCCAATTGAACACCGGTCAACATGTCGGCCCCTTCAAAGTTTCAGACCCTTGGTACGGTGGTTGTCGTCGGTGGCTGTGGGTTCCTCGGCAGCCACATTGTGAGCTACATCGTCCAACGCCATCCTCAGACCCAGATCGCAGTGCTCGACCTGCGCACCAATTCGAACCGTCACGCGAGCAGCACCGTCTCCTATCACGATGGCGACATCACCGACCTCGCAGCGATGCAGGAGTTCTTCACCAGAACTAAGCCGGATGCCGTCATTCATACAGCATCACCCCACTTCAACCTGCCACCTGCGGTCCACGACAAGGTCAATGTCCAGGGTACCAAGAACCTGCTGAAGGCGTCGCAAGATGCTGGAGTCAAGGCTTTTGTTTACACCAGCTCTGCTAGTGTCGTTTTTGGGGGAACTACAGAGCTTGTCAACGCGAACGAAGAGTGGCCGTTGGTGACTGGCGATGCTCAGCCAGAGTACTACACTACTACCAAGGTAGGACCCAATTGAAGAGCCTCTGAACCTTTACTGACCAAGCATCAGGCCTTCGCTGAGACATACGTCCTCGAAGCGAACCGCAAGCCCGAGAACTTCCTCACCTGCGCCATCCGCCCCGCAGGCATCTTTGGCGAAGGCGACGTACAGCTTCTTCCTAAGATAGTCCAGGCCTTCAAAGATGGAAAGACCAAGTTCCAGGTCGGCGACAACGACAACCTCTTCGACTTCACATACGTTGAGAACGTAGCATACGGACACGTCTTAGCAGTACTCGCTCTGCTCACCACACAAAAGATGGGAACTATCCCTATTGACACTGAGCGCGTTGACGGCGAGGCTTTCTTCATCACAAATGGCGAGCCGGTCTACTTTTGGGACTTTGCGCGCGCAGTGTGGCACGAGGCCGGTGACCGTCTTCCTCTGAAGTCGGTATGGCATTTGGACGCTGGGTTCGCCAGCACGATTGGCTTTTTCTCGGAGTGGGCCATGTGGCTGATTGGCAAGACACCCAACTTGACAAGGGCGCAAGTCAGGTACAGCACGCTGAAGAAGTACCACAGCATTGCGAAGGCAAGGAGCAGGCTTGGCTACCAGCCAATTGTCAGCCTGGACGAGGGCGTGAGGAGGGGAGTGAGGTACATCCTCGAGCAGGATGAAAAAGCAGGCCAGAAGAAGGGACAGTAAATACGACACGATGGACTTTGCGACTGAGGCCAGCGCATCGCATTATGGATAGTGTAATCTAATATACCCTCTGATATGAACGCAACATCATCTGGCATGCAAAGGACACGGATAGGTAGTCTTCCGCACGCAGCTAGACGCAGATCAAAGCACAGACAACGGTACCGTACCTGAACTTGACGCGCTTGCTCCCGTCCACTACAATCTCTCTCCCAACCCCGCAACCACACCATGGCCGTCCCCAGCATCACCAACCAACATGAAGTATGTCGTACCACCCGGCGCTGCCGAAGTCAGCATACTCCGCCCTCGGGCTTGCCCCCAGTGTAGTCAGGATCCTGATGAACCCCAAGCCACGCGCGCCGTCCATCAGCGCGCCGGAGCTGCACCAGAATGCGACCGACTTCGCCGAGCGCCTGCCGGAAAATGAATCCCACATCATGCTGTATGCAGAGCTGCTGCTGCACATCCGCACCATCACGCTGTTTGCGAGCCTGCGGAGCCACCACACGCGAGAAACCAAGGCACGACTCGATGCGGACGGAAGCCTGATTACCGTGTCGCACGAGGGGTATCGCGCGACTATACGGCTCCCGATCAAAGTCGAGGGCAAGGGCGATGCCGCGCTCGAATTGCCTGCGCAGCCCCCGAGCAAGGAGCTGACGCTCAGACTGCAGATGGAAGAGCAGGAGGACAGCGATATGCTGGGGCTGATGGCTGAGTCGCGCAAGGCGAACATTGTGCCTTGGGATGGCGTGACGCTGAGGAAGCAGGAGGGCGTTGAGCTTAGGTGCAAGAACTGCGAGGGCGTGGTGGTTGAGAGGGACGCCGTGAGAGTGTGGAAGGATCTCCCGAATGAGAACTGGGCGGAGATGATGGACTTTTGGCATTGTCATAAACCGGACGAACATCATTTGCACGATCACACGCATGAGGCTGGCGGGCAGAAGGGGTATGCTGCTGGCAACCGTCTTAAAGCAGCAGAGGGCGTTGGCTTCGTGGATCTCACAGGCTTCCTTCTCAAAGAGCAAGACTGTGATGGTGCAAAGGTAAGGAAATTTCTGTTCAGTTGTTGTCGCGCTTTTGGGCGCAAAGAAGGCAGACTCGCCAATACCCGTGGCATTCTCGTCGATACAATCGCCCCATATTGATTTGCTCAACAGATCCCCTCAGCGCTGGACTATCCTCTTCCCTTGGTGTTGATGGGTCGCCGCGCTGTTGGGTGAGCGGTCTTACGTTTCACTGTCTTTCACCCTGAGCCTATTGGGACTGGCAGGATCGTTTAGACTATATCTTTGCACGTTACTCATACTCAAGCTCAACATGTGCTGACATGGCCTAGGTTTCTTTTGATGAAGATCAACCGGACACAGCAGTTCTGTGCAAGCACTGCGGCCAGAGCCTTGGTAAGCAAGACGCATCAGCAGACGGTTGGCGGCTGTGGAAATGGTGCCTCAGTCTGTCCGCAGGCCCACCCTCATCACTCTCATACAGCACACACAGCGTCCAGAAATGGATATCCGCACGGCTGCTATACCTGATCGAAAACGTCGGCGTCCGCAAATTCCATATCCACCCTCCGCCAGCTCCCTCAATAGCGATGGCATCCACGCCAACTGCGTGGACGCCGTCTATACTTGTCTGGGTCTTTACTCCGGATCTCCTGTTCTCTTCATCCATCTCACGCCCGCACCGTACAGACCCAACCAGGGCTGTCAAGTGCTTCTTCAAGAAACAGGCATGGGCTCCGTTGCAGCCAGGCGAGCCGGAGAGCGCAACGATTGAGGATGTCGAGTTTCCGCAGGAACTGTATGAAGAGCTGCAGGAGAGTCTGTATGAGAGCCAGAACATAATACCGGCGACGGCGAGGAAGTTCCAGGGCTGGAATGTAGGGTTGCTGGAAAGGTTCGATGTCGGTGAAGAGGTGCTTGATGAGCATGATGAGGGTAACGAAGGGGTAGAGGGGGTGGAGGGACTTGGTCTTGGTGACGACGATGGGAGGAGAGGAAGAGAAGTACGGCGGTCGATGTCACAGGAGTCTCTTGACTGAGCATACCACATACATGTGACGGACTTGGAGGGACACGTTTAGCAATACCCCGGGATAAAGACGAAGCACTCGTGAATTAACAAGATGGGCTCTGCGCGCTTCCGTCCATCTTGAGCTCTGTGGCTTTGACCAAGTGACACTGACATGGTGAACGCGTGCTGGGTGATGGCGGGGCAGGAACGGCGCTAACGCCACGCCAAATTCGCCAAATTTTGATATTGTCGAAATCGAACATCGATCCGACCCCACACTCAAGCAATCAACATGGCGCCCGCATCACTTCTGGACCTCGTGTCCGCGCTCCCCGCCACCGAGGGCTGGGGCCCGTCGGTCTCTGAGGAGACGATGCTCGACGGCGTGCCCTTTGCGCCGTACTCCAAGGCCGACAAGCTGGGCCGCATGGCCGACTGGACAGACGGCAAGGACCGCGACCGGGGCGGTCGCCAGCAGTACAGCAACCGCAACTACAGAGGTGGGCGTCCAGAGCTGACGAAGAGCGCGGGCGGGGGACAGCTGACTAACATGACCATCAGATGCCCAGGTATACGGCGCCAACGCGGCCGGAAACCCCTTCGCCATTCAGGTCGCCGAGGAGGAGGCCACCTTCTCCGTCGTCGACAACACACGCACATCAGCCCGCACTCGCGGATTCGGGAGAGGCGGCGGCACAGTCTTCCGCGGTCGCGGCGGCGCGCGAGGAGGACAGGCACAGCGCGGCGGGCGCGGCACCTTCCAGCGTGTCGGCGGCCGTGGTCAGCAGGGCGGCTACGACAACCGCGGCGGCCGTGGCGGAGGACGTGGCGGACGCCGCTTCGGATGGAGGGACGACAAGCCCCAGCGCAACCGCGACCCGTCCGTCCAGGTCAAGCCCGACTGGGCTGTCAAAGAGGAGATTGACTTCTCGCGTCTCGCCAAGCTCAACCTCGACACGGGCGAGGGCGAGGACCTCGACACGGGCGAGGGCGAGGACCTCGACAACTACGGTTTCCTCTACTACTACGACCGCAGCTACGACAAGCAGCCCGGCGCGAAGACATCGGAGCGCAAACTCAACGTCCTCGAGCGCGCCGCCTACAACGTCACCACCTCCAGCGACCCCATCCTGCAGGAGCTGGCCGAGAAGGACGAGGCGACCGTCTTCGCTACCGACAATGTCCTCTCCATGCTCATGTGCGCCACCAAGTCTGTCTACTCGTGGGATCTGGTCTTCACAAAGAGGGGCAACCAGGTCTTCATCGACAAGCGCGACCAGTCCAGCCTGGACATGGTTACCGTTAACGAGAACGCCGCGGATGCGCCGCTTGAGATTTCCGAGGGCAACAAGGACTCGATGAACAGCCCCGGCGCGCTCATGCTTGAGGCCACCCACATCAACAACGTCTTCCCTCTGCAGGTCGTTTCCGAGTCGGAGACCCAGAAGGTCAACATGGCTCACGAGCACCCCTTCTACAACGGAGAGGTCGAGAGCGATCCTCCTGCTTCCAAGGCATACAGGTACCGCCGCTTTGATCTCTCGCTCGAGAGGGATGAGGAGCCCCTGCACCTGATTGTCCGAACCGAGCTCGACGCCGTTGTCAAGAACAACATCAACGGCGAGGACCAGTTCCTGACCATCAAGGCGCTCAACGAGTTCGACAACAAGGCCCAGGGCGCCGGTGGTGCTCTGGACTGGAGGTCAAAGCTGGCCAGTCAGCGTGGTGCTGTTCTCGCTACCGAGATGAAGAACAACTCGTGCAAGCTTGCTCGCTGGGCCGTCCAGTCCATCCTTGCCAAGGCTGACACTATGAAGCTTGGGTATGTGCTTTTTGAGCATCTTACAACATGATGCAAATGCTAACTCACTGCAGTTTCGTATCCCGCACCAACCCCAAGAACAATAACGACCACGTCATCCTCGGCGTGCTCACCAACAAGCCCCGCGAGTTTGCCGCCCAGATGGCGCTCAACCTCAACAACGGATGGGGTATTGTCCGCACAATTGTCGACATGGTTCTGCGCATGGATGAGGGCAAGTACGTGCTCGTGAAGGACCCCAACAAGGCTGTCCTGCGCCTTTACAGCGTGCCCATGCACACATTCGAGGAGGAAGAGGAGGCTGATCTTGGCCCGGTTGAAGAGGACGACGAGTAGAGCGGTGCGTGTATAGTTCGTGATGATACCATGTTAATGGCTCGCATGATTGGCGGCAGACAAAACATGATGATTGATGGTACCTCATTCACCAATCTCCGCTCTCGACGAATTGACGAAATGTGCAGTTCGACATTGACGACAGGGTTCCTTCCTCCTCTAATCTCATAATTTCCTCAACCAGACTGCCGGTCAACATGGCTGTAGTCGATCAAGCTGACCAGAGTGCAAGGCGAGCTACCCATTTTCCAAAACCTTGAAGCAGGCGACGCCCCATTCCATGCATGAAGCTTTTGACGCCACCGTCTCGCTCTAGTGGGTCAAGGCAGTGGCTACTGTAACTAATGCAGCCACGCTTGGTGCCACTTTCAGCGCGTGCAATGGAAGACGCAGTGGAAGATCTTCAAGTGTTGCTGTAATTGCCCAGCTGAATTCGCAATGACAACCTCATTCTCTTCGCCACCAATTGATCAGCGGCGTTCACTGTCAGCGGTACGTCCCGTTGGCCTACCGACAAATCGTTTTCAAGTGCTGTACAGCACCAAACTTCACTACATACTTTCTTGACTGTCGGTGGTCGGCCAGTATCTCGCGACATCTCGTCGGCACTCCTGCCTTACAGCTCGCGGATCATGAGCGTACCGCACGTAGCGTCCAAATATGGCGGCCACCGAAGTTGCACGGGTGCACAAGAGGGAAATTCCACGTAACGCAATCCGTATCGAAGGCACCGTGGTCGTATTGGCGTCGCAGGTTCAACTGACTCGAGGAGGTTGTCGAGACTCGAGATAAGGCATCCTGCTTCAGCGTGTGGTTGACAAAATAATGCGTCCATGCTCCTGCAGCTGCGCGTTTGTCGTGCGCCTGTCGCACGGTTGTCCCTGCTCGGATATGCCTGCTCGGTTAGATGCAGGCGTGTCTGGGGATGCATCCTTCCTATCGCGGATCCGGTCTGCTGGGCTCGGCACTGCTTCATTCGCCAGACACCACTGTCCCAATATATCGGTTTGCAAGTCTCCGAGAAGCTCTCCAGAAGCCGACGTCCATCTCACATGTACTCGTTTCGACGCACGACACACGACCACACAAGCAATTATTCTCAATGGTTGAGGCATGTGGCTTAGGTACTGCATGAGCCATCCGTGCGCCCTCTGCCGCTCTCTCCACTCTCAACAACAGCATCGGTGGAGTTCGATGCAGGTGGCCTTGCTGCCCCTGAGCAGAGCATATCACTCTCCGTCTTCGTATTGAACGGCTCGCTTTGCGGCGGGGCGGCGAAGAAGAGCGCCGTAGTACCGCGAGCATGTGTTCACGGTCCCGTGTCGTTTGTCAAGTGTTTGGAGTCTCCGTCTGTTACATGTCCTGTCAGGAAACTCTAGCGCTGGAGTTAACCATGGCTTGGATCTTCTTTCAGTCCTTTTTTCAGTTCATCTGCTCCCGAGGATGAAACATCAACCGCCTTTCATCTCGACCTCGACTCGTCCTGCATCTTTCCGTCGGACTCGCTGCTCGCGGCTAGGAAATGGCGCTAATCATGATACGCCTATTCTACGCGGCTCACTGGCGCCAAAGCGCGAGTGGAAGGCCCGATCGCCGCCCCAGGACGATCTAATAGGTAGGTGCAGGAGGATACCGCAAGTAGCGGCGAGAGAATTTTGATTTGCTTTACGCAGGCACGACAGATTGCCAGGGTAGCTGGCTTTACTTTCAGCTTGGCGGGGGTATATCGGCATCATGCTGCCATTCTTTCGAGTCAGCTTGCTATCAACGAATACAGTGCACCCCAGAGGTTCGCCATCAGCAGATTGCTCCCCCGCGACTACAAAGACGCCACTATACCTAGTGTCCATCAGAAGTCTGCCAACTGCGGGTCCCTTGTCCACTTCTCATGGTCGACTGCGTGGGTCCCGGCACCTCGTCACGTCCCTGTCTCCAAGATTTTTGGATTTGTGTATCCTTACAGCAATCATCAGTCTTGTTCAACGAAGCCAGCAACGGCTCATTTTCGATTCGGACCTACTAAGCAACCAATCCTTTCATGGACTGTCACTCGTCTTGACTACCTCTACTTGTCGTTGCAATACACACTTGGCTCCTGAGCTGAGACATCGTGCACGATGTCAATACTCCAGCCAGAGGCATGTTACTCTGTCAACCAGCAATCACCGGGACTAACAACAAGAGAAGGCTGGCATACTATATGGGGTGTGCTGGTTCGTAGTGATAGTTCGATTGATATCGCGACGTCTCCATCGTGGAGCATGGAAACGTCTGCAATGGGATGATTATCTGATCGTTTGCGCCATGGTGCGACAATCCGACTGTATCATCATAGCATTTGCTGACTTTTCCAGCTGACTGATACTGTCTTGCTCTTCTGCATGTCCACAGTTGTCAACACGTCATCCAATCTCCTTCCGCCCAGTGATGATGTTTCGCAATATTCTCAAGCCGAAATCAGCGCTCGAGTGACCGGATCCAAATACGTTCTGGCTGTAGAGCAGATGCAGATCGCCACCATCTGGCTGGTGAAAGCATGTTTGCTCATCATGTACTTCCGCATGACTGCTATCCTACCACAGCGGAAGCTGGTCGTCGCGACATCGGTCTACGTCGCTGTCGCATTTGTGATTATGGAGATCCTATATTTCGCAGTATGGTGCAGGCCTTTCAATCAGTACTGGGCAGTACCAACCAGCTCAAGTTAGTGCTGGCCTCCCTTCATGGGTCCAAGCTGACAGACCCAGCGCAATGCTCTGCAGCAACATATCATCTGATTACCAATGCTGTGTTCAACATCAGCTCGGACCTCATCATTCTTAGCATTCCGATGCCGCTTCTGTTCAAAGTCCGCCTGCCGAGGAAGAACAAGCTGGCCTTGATTGGCGTCTTCATGATCGGACTCTTCACAGTCAGTACTTGCCTACTGCACCAAGCCAAGCTTACAAGTTCAGGTTACTGCTGCTGTGCTAAACAAGTACTACTCTTTCTCGAACCCGTTCGGCAACGACTGGGTGCTGTGGTACCTCCGCGAGTCGTATACTGCCTTGCTATGCGCCAACCTACCCCTGACATACCCCCTCATACAGCACTTGTTCAGTCTTCGCAATTGGAACTTCTATCCAGATCAGACGCGCTCGGCACAAGCGGCCGGAAATACTCGAGGCACAGGTACCGTAAAAAGCCACAGCCACTGGGTAAGTCAAGACAGGTCTCGGCCAAAGTCAAGACACTTGCGCACTACCGAGAGCCAAGAGGATATTCACGACCCATTTCGCAACTCAAGTGCAGCAGCCGATGAAGGCCCACAGTTCATCACCACTGCGATCGAATTAGATAGTGTGAAGACATACGAGAAGTCCTCGACCGACCTAAGTATAGACACGCCGATGAGCTGGCGGACAGAAGAAGCCCGCAAGAAGGACTTCAACTATAACCCTAGTAGTGCGACTTGAAATAATCGCCCAAAGCAATACAACTTCGAGTCTTGTTCAGCAGCCCATTTGCAGCGGTTTCCAGAGCGACAAAAGAACTACGCTGAACTCAATGCAGTTTCTCCAACCGACGGCTCAGGATATCGCCCGACCGAAATTGACGACTTGTGTGAATAGGTCACTTTATGCGCCCACATGCACAAATCACCCTCGCACGACAGCCCCTACGAAGCAAATTTAGAGTGCCACTTGGCTTGTCTTAGTTCCTAACTCTGATGCATGTCTGCTCAGGTAAAGCGACCGAATGGCATGCGACTTGTGGCGCGTGCGTGTCGCGTGCATTCGAGTACCAAGATGGTCATGCCAACCGAGCCATCAAGGTGCCCGAAGCATGACAATAGATTACTGAACCTCATCGCAGCCTCGCAATACTACCTCAGAAAATATAGTCATTTTCACAGATATTCTTGCAATGCATGTTCACGATGTACTCATCATCGGTGCTGGTCCCGCTGGGCTCGCTGCTGCTGCACGGTTGAAAGAACACACGCCCTCAGCCACCTTTACAGACGATGAACACCAACGCTACCATTGGATTCGAAAGCATGGTCGTAAAATGAACGTCAAGAACTACAAGACCAACCAAGACTCACTATCGACGTCTCGTCCTGCTTCCGATACCTCCAATTGCGGCTGCAACTGCGACACTGCACCTAAGGGCGATTCGATAGACATGCTCGTGTTGGATGCAGATGGAGTAGACTGGATGAGCAAATGGAATCGGCTGTTCAAGACATTCGGTATCAACTACCTCCGAAGTCCGATGTTCTTCCAAATCGACCCTGCAGACCGCGACGCGCTGCTTGGTTACGCATACGAGAAGGGGCGAGAGAAGGAACTACAAGCTCTGCCAGGCTGTGCCGGCAAAGAGATCAGCAAGCACAGGAAGAAGAAAAAGCTTAACTCGCGCGGAAGATTCCCAGGATCAGGGCCGGATGTTGATGAGCGAGACCGGAAGGACTACTACACACCGAGCACGAATTTATTCACGTCACACTGTGAAGAGGTGATTCGGCGATATGGACTTGGCCCGGATATGCTGCGGCAAGAGCGCGTGATCGATATCAGCTTTGATGAGGCGAGTGGCTTCGAGAACGCTGAACATGACAGCGTCATCTCGGACGACGCATCGAACGAAGACCAAAAGATCTTTTGCGTGAAGACCGACGCCGGCATGCGATACGCAAACATTGTGATATTGGCCGTTGGACCTGGCAATGCTCCATCGATACCCTCCGTCTCAGGGCTGCCGTCACCAAGTCCCCACGAGGGCTACACTCACGCCATGCAGATAAAGCAGTTTCCGCCGTCACACGTCACTGCAAAGATCAAGGCTCGACGCTCGACAAACATGCTCATCGTTGGTGGCGGACTCACAAGCGTTCAGCTGGCTGACCTCGCCATCAAACGTGGCGTGAACAAGGTGCACTTGTTGATGCGCGGACCGTTGAAAGTCAAGTACTTTGACGTGGATCTCGACTGGGTGGGCAAGTTCCGCAACTTCAACCAAGCAGCCTTCTGGAGCGCGGACACGGACGAAGAGCGCTTCGAGATGATTGCTCAAGCCCGGAATGGTGGCAGTATGACACCACGGTATCGCAAGATTCTCGATGCGCATGTAGCGAGTGGCAAGATCGAGCTACACACCCACACCACGCTGCGGTGTGTTAGATGGGATGTAGAGACGAAGACTTGGATGGATATCAAGGTGTCGACTGGCACTTCTGTCCCTCCAGTTGACTACATCGTCTTCGCAACAGGGATTCAGTCCGATATCCGCACGATCCCCTTTCTCGAGACTCTGCAGCAACAACACCCCATCGAGTACGTTGGCGGCCTACCGTGTCTCACAGACGACCTGATGTGGGATCGTGACGTGCCGCTGTTCGTCACTGGCCGACTTGCGGGCTTGAGACTCGGTCCGGGTGCGCCGAATCTGGTTGGTGCAAGGATCGGCGCAGAGCGGATCGCGTGGAATGTGGAGGATGAATTGAAGAAGCTGGGCAAGCTGAAGAAGCACGATCGGAGGGACTCGGGGTATGAGGGGAACAGTACGGATGAGGAGTATGAGAGTTATGCGAGTGCAAGGACTAATCGGTTTGCGGGTTTGGTTAGTGTGGGTGATGACTAAGGGTGTACATGAGGTGACACGATTACTTCCAAGATAGCAGAAGCGACCCTATAACCTAGAAATAGTTGAAGATGGCCGTGGCCGTGATGATAGAACCAACCAATGGAAACAAACTCCTCACGCCGTTATGCCAAACCCACCGATGCAACAGCTTCTCAGCTTCCTCCGCCTCTTTGGTGGCCAAGGCCTCTTTGTCCGCCTTCCGCGCTAATTCAAAAATTCTGTCAAGTGTCTTCTGCATGAACAGAAGCGTAAACGGAACGATACCAATCGTCGCGGCGCTACTCCACCAGAACCGTCGGTCACCTGTGGTCCATGCACAGAACCCCAGCGACGCAGCAGCAGCAAACGCGATAGGGGGGTTCTGCGCATGTCCGGCGTCGTAGAGGTGTGCCCATACCTGAAGAGCGTGGGAGATGGAGACGTTGTTCTTATGGACGGCTGTGAGTATGGCAGGAGCCGAGACTAGGGAGTAGGCTCCGATATTGCCTGTGCGCCGTCAGGTTCGGGACTTGTGACGGCTTGCAGGGTGAGGGAGGGAAGTACCTGCCAGCCATGCTGGGACTACGATGCCGACGGCTTTGGCGATGATTAGAGAATCGGGCATTGCGATTTTGGTGTTTACAATTTGAGTACTCCTGACAAGATGCCCAGTCCGTTCTTATATGGTACCTCGTCAGCTTAGCTTCTCCGCTTCTCCACACGTTGGGCCAAGTGAATTGAGAGCAAGACAAGCAATTGTGTCGGCGAACGCTGCCTAGATGGCTAACACTTAGACAACAGGTAGGCCAGTCTGGAGCCTTTGTGGGTACCGTCGTATGTGCGCAAGGCTAAAGCACCCCCTCAAAAAGCCCTGTCCCACTAGCAGATGTAGGTCCATAGGCCTTTGTCGGGGTGTACAGGGGCTCTAGACCACTCAGAGTCGTAGTAGCAAGAGGAATGACATTAGACACCCAACATGGAGGGTGTACTCGGCGCGGATACGCGTTTACTATCATTACATTCGTCGGTCTATGCTAATATCAAAGCGCCGGTGAGCACAGCGCCAGCAAGTGGCAAAAGACTCCTCACGCCGTTGATAGATGCCCACTTGTTCAGAAGCGCTTCGCCATCCTGTCCCTCAGAAGCGGTCAATTCCTCCTTCTTCGCGAGACTGAGCAGCTTGGCGTTCGTTGAGCCCATGAAGATGATTGTGAAGGGAACAATCGCTATTGTGAGAGCTGCTGACAAGAAGAACAACCTTCCGTCCTTCAGGCCTGTAGCGCGAGTGTTGCGCGCAGTCCATCCACAAAATGCAAGAGACGAAGCCGTTGCGAGCGCCACGGGAGGAGCCAGCCCTTTGCCGAAGTCAAAGTTGTTCCTCCAGACTTTGACTGCGTGCGCAGCGGACAGACCATCTTCCTTGAGCGATTTTGTCACGGCAGGCACCGAGACTAAGGAGAGGGACGCGATCGTGCCTTGGGAAGTTAGTACGGTGCTGTTCGGGGTTTCGGGGTTTCGGGGTTTCGGGGTTTAGGGTTGTCGGGGTCAAGTCAAGCAAAGTGCGAATGGAGCGTTCCACGTACCTGACAGCCATGCAGCTCCTGCAAAACCGACGAGCTTGCCGGTGGTGAACGCAGCCGATGCCATTGTCCCGAGGTCCTAGGTGAGGTTGATGATGTTCGTTGGGGAGGCTGATTTGACGAAGCGGGGATGAGACAAAGGTTTACGTTCGAAGTAAGGAAAAGATACAAGGTCTAAATATTGCACCAAAATGTCCATTGGTCCGTTCGATCCGTTAGATCCCATTTTGGACGCACAATCGGAGTTCCGCGTTGACCGATCCCATCCTCACCCCTTGAATTTCAAAAGACGGCCGCTCTCCGGGTCGTACGCATTCCGGGTATACGAGTTTCGTAGCAATCGGGAGCCTACTGCAAGAGAATGTCATCGTTGGTCTGGAAGGCTGTGGAGGTACTCACGCATTGCTGAGAGGTGATGTCAAACTTAGCACCGCAGTCTTCTGTGTTGACAGCGACATTGCAGGCGCCCTGTCGGTTGCAGACATCGACGTTGTCCGTGCCTCCCTAAGCACAGTTCAGGTTGATGCTGCCAGCGATCATGCACCAGGACAGAGTCAGTGATCGGTACTCACACAGCAATCAAACGCAAATGCGACCAGAGTGGATTGACTTACGGCAGCGTTGCGGTTATAGTAATGAAGAGAAGAACGTGGAAGATCTGCCCATTGGGGCTGCTATAGTATCTGAAGGCTGACTTCGTTGAACCAAGGAAAGGAGCGAATGAACAAGAAAGCCAAGGTATGTTGCTACGTCCCAATGTTGCTAAGTCTATAGCTCTACATTGGCAAAGAGATACCTGAAGGTGCATAAGTACCTTGTGCATCCGGTCACTATAGATGTAGGATGAATACACAAGATCTACCAAGCGGCTTTGGTCAGTTGAATGCAGACAGCGTGGTCAAGGGATATCTCGAAATACGGCTAACTGCATGAGCTAGAAATCCGTCCGGAAACAACGGCGCTCCCCAGAGCAGTTAGCAAGATCTTAATTTGTATTTCTCGCTCTTGAGAGGCCTACAGTGATGATGATTATACTCAGTTGATTCGTCACCCCGGGATCCCATCCCTCCAAGTAGTAATAGAGCATCGCGGAGTTTCTCATCCGTCTCGTCGTGGAACGCATTCAAAGTCTCATAGACGTTCATTTCAACAATTGTCGGGATGTCGCCGAAGACAAAGTAGTAGCGCAGGTGCGGAAACGATCAGTCAGACAGTGCTGAAAGACAGGGAGATGATTATGAAGAAATGGAACACTCACGGCGCTGTTGTCTCAATGGACCCGGGCCTGATGACCACACCACATCATTTCGCGAGCATGACTGGCGACCTCCTGAACTTTGCGATACTGGACCCACGTCTTCCAGAAATGTTGCAGTAGAGGCTGGAGGAAGCCTTCGCCATAGGATGTCGAAACACTCGATGATTGCAGCACGGAATACAAGGCTGATTAAGCCGATAAAACTTGAGACAAATCGAAGTCTGTGAATGACGAATGTCGGCCTTTTGACTGCTGGTCGGACGCAGACTGCTTTGTAGCGTACGTCTTTTGGATGAGCAGTAGACATACAAGTCAAGGGTATCATATTTGTAAAGTTCTTTAAAAGTCTCATCTTCTCCTCGCAGCCATACTCTCGACATTGTTCGCATGCGCCAAAAGATATTTGCAACACGTCAGCGTGTACTTACACGCCTTCGTCCAGCTTTCCTCTTTGTTCAGTGCCAGCTTGATACTTTGATCATGAATGCGGTCTTTGCGGATCTCATACGGCATCTTAACGCCGGGGCCGCCCATACCCACACGTAAGCTGCTTCCAGCATCAATGCCTTGGGTTTCGACAAACTCGCCAAGTTGTCGTAAGCATTCAAGAAACGCTACCATTGCGGTGTCGAATTTGCGATGCAGGAAGCCAAAGTTGATAGGGAAGTCGCCTGAGGAGTAGAGCTCGAGGCGCTGTTTCTGAATATTGGGAGAGCTGGCCGTCGACGCGCGAGTGTCGGCGACCGAAGCTCCGTTCTTGACTTCGTGCTTCAAGATTGTAGAAGTCGAGCCCATAGGTGAGAGTTCGTAATTTTGGAATTTGTAGCCAAGGCGCTCAGCAAGTGTGGCAAGAAGGAGGCATGTCTGGCCCCATGCGGCGTTGATCTCCGGCCAGTCAACGTATGGATGGGGCAGACGACCAAGGCGAAGACCGTTGATGGTGGCGAAGTGGTTGTCATGTGTTATGTTGAAAGTGTCATTGTACACACTCCTTCGCTGGAGCTGGTTCAGGATCTGTGTGTCATGCGCATGTCGTGCCGTGAGTGCATCCCGCTCGTTTTGGAACTCTGACAAGGTAGAGTTGAAGGCGTTCCTGTCTTTCCAAAAGTCTTCCTCCTCCCGGTCGAGCTGGCGGGCTTCAGCTTCAAGCGCAGCCAACTGTGCATCTAGGTCCACCTTCTCTGCTTCTAGCTTCTCGAGATTGACAATCGCGGTGGCTTCAGCCTTCTTTGCAGCCTTTAGTGCCGCATCAGCGGCCTTGACCTCTTCAGCGCTGGGTACGTCTGTATTGGCCCGTCGCAGATAGTCCACATATGCGTCGCGCTCTTTTGTGGCTACTCCAAGTCGCTTCTGGAGACGGTCTACCAAAAGCTCTGTGCACTCGACGCAGATGGGGTGATCGATGTCTGAACGCGCAGATAGTATCTCGAACATCCGTTGTGTGGTCTCCAAGCCATCTGCCAGGCTCGCTCCTCCGATTGTTCCCGATCCTGCGGTAGCATTCGCCCTTCTCGAAAGTTCGGGCGCGCCCGGTTGTATCGGCATTGTTTCTGTCTGCGGCTGCTGATCTGGACTGCGTACTGGTGGAGTATGTTCAGGTGGGTCCATCATCGACTCGGACATGTGTACGTTGACGAACGACATGGCAGGGTTCTGGCCACCATGCTGAAATCTCGAAGAAGGTACACTGCGCTTGAAGGTCGGGTTCCTCGCAGACTGTATCGCGGTCTCGTACGTCTGTTGTCTGGACGATGGGTACGTGGGGCGCGACTGGCGAGGGAGATCGCTCTTTTGGGACTGCTGCTGAGCTGTGAAAGTCGAGTCTAGTCAAAAATCAGTGCACATATAACATGCAAAGGCATGGCAGGTAATACCAGTCAACAGCTTGAACGCTGCAGGGTTGAGCTGGTCGATGGAGGCATCGATGTCGATGGGTGTTCGGCACTTCTGGCAGTACAGGCCGTGGCTCTTCTTGTCGTTGGCCATGGTGTCATTGCACGTTTCTCCCTCTCATCTCAAGACTGAAGCAGGGAATAGTAATGTTTGTGTTTGTTTGAAAGAAGCTCGGAGCTGTTGGCCGTTTGACGTGCATCATCTGCCCCATGCAGGCGGCCACTAGCTCCCGCGGCGACCCCACCTGGACTCACGCGAGGAAAGCGCGTTCCAGTCGCGTCATGGCTCGTGCTCCTCTCACAAACAATCCCCGCCAAGTAGCAACGACAAACGCTCCCCGAGACAGCGATTTCGAATCTTCGCACCGCCGACGCCCCAGGGGCGACCGTTCACTCGACTACCGCTCATTATGATGGGGTCCCCGGCGAAGCGATTGCGCATTCTCCGCTCCGTCGAGGTCGACGAGACGAACTCCGACTACATTGAAGCGAAGCAGAAGCAGCAGGAAAAGTTCAAAGGAACACTCGAGAAATTGTTCGCCAAGTACGGAGATATGCACGAATCAATGAGCGATGAGATCGACTTCAACACCGGCAAGGTGGTGGTTGACAGGGGACATCTTAGAAGGATCCAGCGACAGATGAAGCGCAAGGGTCCCGGACTACTCGACAGTCTCCTAGCGCCTGAGTTGCAGCAGGAATACACACCAGAGGAAGAGGAAGACCATGCGGAATCCGAAGATGAACTGGCCCCTACGCAGACACGGAAGCGGAAGAGAGACAGCTTGGAGGACGGAGAGCAGACTGTGCAAAGCTCAGGGCGACAGAAAACGGCCCCGATCACTTCGCCACCGCAAGCTGCATCGACAGCAATATCACAAACGAATGCGCCCCAGGTACCGAACACACCGAACCCAGCGGCGAACCTTTTCCAGCAAATCCAACAGACACCCCTGGATCAGCAGGCACAAGCAGCGCTGTTCGCGAATCTGAACCAGACCATTGCGCAAGCTGTGCAGCAGGCCGTGGCGCCACTCCTCAGCATCTTACAGAACACGCCAAACGGACAGGCAGCCACAGCCCTCTTCTCTGCACCATCCCCACACCTGCCAGCGACCGACAGCGTGAGACCAGCGGCGGATCCAAAATGGTATTTTCCTCCTATCTCAGCTGCCAAGGGTGCCCAGCCGAGCGATATCTACAGGTCCGCTCCGCCCAGAGCAAGCGAAGCGCAACCACAGACCAAATACTGCAATGAGATCAGCTCGCCCATTGTTGCTCGCCGAAGTAGCCCCATAGTCCGGGTACAGAGGCGACAAGGTGCAGTAAAGACGCATCAAAGCTCTCGCTTGCCGGAACCAAGTGTCGAGAGACCACATAGCTCGCATTCCCTGCCTGCATTGTGCCCTGTCGTTGAGTCCAAGGCAGCAAGCCCTTCCGTCCATGCCACGCCGGGTCGTAAATCGAGGAGAATCAGATCATTTCACAAATATCATTTCACTGAAGAGGATAACGTATACATCAGCAAGCGAAGAGTGCTCCAGAATATATCCTTTCAAGCAATCAAGGCCAGTAAAACAAAATGGGCAGAATGGCCTCTCAGCGCATTTCACAACCATTGGAAGAACTGCTTGAAGGACAAGGATCTTCATTTACGTAACGCCGCAGGGCAAGTACCGGTCGCACAGCATGCCTCAGCCACGTCAATTGAGCACGAGGAACACTTCTTCTCCAGTATCGAGATCCCAGAAACGTCCTCAGCCGAACATCGCCTACCTACACCAAGCTCTTTAGAGCAGGAGGAAAGCTACCTGGAAAGGCCGGTGATGCCCCCGTCTTCGCATTTTGACGACGACGAACTCGAATTACTCTCACTAGCCGGCGCCGACATCAGCGATGTACTGTCCCGACATGCCTCCCAGCACGCGGACGATACATACCCAACACCTGACGAGCCACTACCCTCAATCGAGGGCGCCGAATTCCGGACCGAGGACGAAGTGCAAGACGAGCTGCAGCGCGAGATGCTCAAACTCGAAGAGTCAACGACTCCAGAGCCGGTCCAGCCCAAAGCGCTTCCCAGCACGATACCAGAGACCCAGGAGTCTGTCGTCGTTATTTCCACACCTAGCCAGAATCGGAGTTCAAATACACAACTAAACTCAAAATCCAAGCCAAAGCCGTTTCCCACGTATCGCGCCGCCTCAGACGCATCGGATGATATCGACCTGGTCGGTACCAATGACGAGCCCATGACACCTCGCATACACATCAAACGAGAACCTTCGAGTCCCCAAGCAACAAGGGTCCTTTCTAGCTCGCCAGCGCCCAAGACGCCGTGGACCGCGCCACAGTCTTCTGGGATGGCCAAGTCGACTGGCAAGCTGGACAGAAGAGCGTATCTCAAAGAAGTAAAGCAAGGATGGGCGAAAGCCAAGGGGAATACGGGCACTGTGCAGAGGAGAAGAAGCCTCAACGTCTTGCCAGCGGTGAGGAGTAGGCGTCGAGTGCAGGCAGAGGCGGGGGATAGTGAAGATGAGCTGGCAGTATAAGTCAAGCTGCAGTTAACATGAGTAATACGCCAACATGACACGAATGCTCTGGTGTCAACCTCTTGTAGGCATTAGAATCGCACGAGATTGTCGTCCTTGCACTGTTGAATCGGTGGGGCACGTTCATGGGCGCAGGTGGCACCCACCACATAGCCACGCTCCCGGCTTAATCATAATATCACGATTATATTCGTCTTAGTAGGACTGCTTTCATCAATAAAAGTTGAATTCCTGGATTCTTAACTCAGTGGTAGAGTGCGGGATTGCAGTAATCGAATATCCTGAAGTCACCGGTTCGATCCCGGTAGGGTCCTTTTTTGTTGGAAGGAGCTCTTGTGCTTTGATACGCACGGAGCACATATTTTTGCTAATTTGTTAAAAATATATGGAGTGATCGTACAAAATACCTAACACAAGCCCCAAAAACAGAAGGTCTGTGGCGATGAATAGTATGAACCATGTAAGGCTACAGGATGTCTGGAGACTATATGTAGGTTTTGTTGTATACGGCTCTCTGCAATGTGCAAGACATATCGCGCCAAAGACCGGGTACAAGCTTTAAAAACGGGAGGTCTTCTGCAGTTGTGATTGTAAACCTGTGAGTCTACGGAGCTTCTGTGGACTACAGTCCAGTGGTTTTGCACGCCAGAAACGCACTCCGCATTCAGCGACATGTGGGAGAGGTAGGCCGAGCATGTTATATCTCTGCGATATCAAGAGAAGTTGCAAATTGCTATAGTCTCTATCATCATTGAAGTATCGAAAACTCTTCACGTGTAAACACTGTATACATGTATTCATTTTCAGAACAGGAGCTGACGCTCACAGGGCACTGGCAGGGAGCTCGTTCCGAAGCACCCCGTTCAACTCCACTACTCAAACTCAAACTCACCCGAGAAGAAGTCCAAAATGCCAGCCACGGCCTGCTCGCTGCCTAGTGCACTTCTCAGTCTACTTGCACATTCAGCACCGCCGTCCTTTGCGCCCAGCGCCAGCAGAACCAGTTCCTTTAAACTGCCAGCGACGTCCGTGACCGCGAGGACTTGGCTCTCGTTCAGCGGGACATCGGCGGTGCAATAGGGAAGGAGCGTTGTGACAGCGCTTCCTCCTGCTGGCTTGTGCTGCTTAGCAGGTGCGTGAGGTGCCATGGCGTTAGCTGGGTGCATAGGTCTTGCACGTATTTGCGGATGCTGGCTCTGTTGCTGGCGCCACTGTTGTGGAGGGACTCGCTGCTGGTGGTGGCCTTGGCTGCTGGGCTGACTGTGACCGTTCCTTCCGTTGAATGGGACCATTTGCGGGCGGTAGTCAGCAGGGCTATCGAGTTGGGTTTGCGCGCCATATGCGGCGTGCTGTGAGCTGGCCGAGGTCGGCGTACTGCGATCTTGGGCTTGAGGTCCAGGCTGGTGATAGAAAGGCATTGCACAAGTATTTCTCACAAAGTGAATGACACGAAAGGTTCTTTTACTGTATGTGAGTTGTGTTGTTGGCTTGAGGTGCTGAATATTGGGGTTCAGCGATACAGTGAAAACAGCGTCGGCGGACGAGGGTAGTCCAAGCGACGCTCAAAGCGATGCTCAAGACTCGATAATTTCGAGGACACCGGCAGTGCACGGTGGTCTGGACAGCTTTTGGGAAGGCGCGGCACGTGGCGCGACTGGAACAGCAAGAGCAACTGATACATCTGCCAGGGCTCCTGAGACATGATGCGATCTTGGGATTCAGCCGTTTAGGTCTTGCACAAATGACTTGACATTTGTTAGGCGGCTGTAATAGAAAAGTATACATATCGTACATCCAGACTATGCGTCGTGGTTCTATCGGTCTTCTATCGTCGGTATGGGTATCATGAGGGGAGAAAGTATGTGCAGCGCTCAATCCAGGGCGGCAGATGGCCAATGCGAAGGGTGACTGTAGCCTCGCTAGATCCAGGATGCCAAGGCTGGAGGAATCTATGCAGTTGCAAGCCTCCGGATGAAAACTCATTGCTTAGGCTGGCTATCGTCCGACGTGGAATGCCCTTGAGATACGTCTGATGCTTGCATGGCCGTCAAGTTGCTTGAACTGGAGGGCTTCTCTGCCTCCGCCTGCTCTCTTAACCTCTTCACCTCCTTATTCTTGGCGACAGCTACCTTGGCTTCAGCCCGGTGTTCCTCCTCTGTTCTCTGATGCTCGGCGACTCCGCTGCCTCTCCAGAAGCTAAGTAGCTTTCCTTGCTGCACGGGGTCGGGCTGCTTCTTCCTCAGCTCTTCAAGTTCGCTCTTGACAGTCTTCAGCTCGATCTGCAGCTCCTCGAGATCTTCTCTTATGTCGTCTCGAGCGTTTTTGGCCTTCCTCCTCTGCCGCCACTGCTCGAACACAATGACACTTATACCAACGGCGAAAATGAAGGATTCGGCGACAAAGTTTGCGCCAGTCTCGATGGCCTTTTGCTCAGAGAGCGGCCGAATCCGCGGCTTGAATCTCTCCTCGGTCCTCTTCTTTATGTCCTCTTTCTCCTTCTCCGTCATCTCCTCCTCCGTCTTCGTTTCTTCTTCCGTCTTGACTGTTGGGGTTGCGTGTCTATCCCGGGCAGCCTTTGCCGCGGCCACTTCTTTCTTGATCTGGCGGTCGATGACGGCTGGATCTTGGAGAAGGCCTAGGCGCATTCTCATGTCGACTCGGTGGATCCTCTGTGCGAAGCCAACGCATATCCTGCGGAACCGCTCGTGTTCGTGGGCATTGCGTTTGATGGTGTTCTAGCTGTGTCAGCTATTGTGCGAAGTTCTGACGAGGCACATCTTACGGCCATCGGTTTCGCAAGCGTCCTCACGAACAGCGAGGTGATCTTCAGTGTGAGGGACATGTTGGGCGAGGTGGGAGAGCTGTGACAAGGACAATTGAGGTATCACGAGATGTTCACAGCAGTCGCATTATAACGATATATGCTGCAGTGCAGATTGAAGGGCTAAAGACGTTACGGCGATCAGATACAACGTGTGGAGGGTCGATGGCTGCTTCGAAGCTGCCTGAAGTTCCGCAGCTCGGGAATTTCCGAGGCCGACGTCAGCGCCTGCCATGCGCTCGCAGGCATGAGGAAGACGGAGACACCACGAACATGATGAAAATATAGCCTGGGAGACTCCACATACGCCTCATCAGCTGATTGCTGCGATACAAGCCTCGATCTGCAGGTGCGTCATCAAGTGGAACGCAGCACGCGCAGGGCGCCAAGTGACAGGGGTGGTCTGGCATAGCAACGGCGGTGGCGGCGGTCGCTTAGGTGTTTGTTTGGCCCGGTCCCGAACTTCAACACCAGCGCTCACGCCTCCACGGCATCTGACATTCGACCGCCAAACTCTGGAATGTCCGCCCCGTCCGTCCACGCTGAGCCGCCACCCGAGGTGGTGCGCGACCCCGAAGGCCTGCAGTATGAGACTGGCCCGCAGCTGGGCAAGGGCGGCTTCGCCATCTGCCACCGCGCGAAACTGCTGGGCCACGAGCACCTCGGCAGCAGCACAGTCGCTTTGAAGATCGTCCGGTCCAAGATGGAGCCTCCCAAGCTGGCACAAAAGGTGCGCCGCCCCTCTCGCTGCTTTCCCCCACCCTGCTGACGCGCCGCAGTTTGTGACTGAGCTCCAAATCCACTCGAAACTGTCCCACCCCAACATCGTTGAATTCTACCGCGCCTTCTCCTTCCATTCGAGCACCTACGTAGTCCTGGAGCTGTGTGAAAACGGCTCCCTCGCCGACGCGATCAAGAAGCGCAAGTACTTCACCATGCCTGAGATCCGGCGATTCATGGTCCAGACGTGTGGCGCCATCAAGTACCTGCACCAGCGCAACATTGTGCACCGCGATCTCAAGACTGGCAACCTCTTCCTCGACAAGGACATGAACGTCAAGGTCGGCGACTTCGGCCTTGCTGCCCTGCTCCTCTCCCAGAACGACTACGGCGCGATTCGACGAACCACCATGTGCGGCACACCGAACTACCTCGCGCCCGAGGTTCTCGAGAAGACAGGCAAGGGCCACGACGAGAAGGTCGATCTGTGGGCGATCGGCATTATGATGTACACACTTGCCGTTGGTCGAGCGCCTTTCCACGCCGCAAAGCGCGAGGACATCTACCGAAAACTGAAGGCGCGTGAATACTCCTGGCCGGATCCAACAAAGTGCGCAAACGAAATTACCGACGACCTGCGCGACATTGTATCGTTGCTGCTCGTACACGAAGACGACAGGCCCACACCTGACCGCATCGTAGCGCATCCTTTCTTCAAGCTGGGAATGATCCCGTTGGACCTGGACAGCGGGTGCACGTCTAGGATCCCTAGGTGGCCCAAGGAACGTGCGCCGTCAGCTTCGACCATAAGACGAGGATACACTGAGGAGTGGTGGACACTGTGCAAAGCCTCGGCCGTCGGCGAATACGATCCAGGGAAGACATTCGGCGCATACGGAAGCAGAAGGAATAAGACGGTCGCTCGTGATTGCCAGAAGGAGATCGAGGCTGGCAAGCAGCCCAATGTACCTTTCAGCAAGGATGTCGTATACGTACCGTTCCCTGCACGTGTACAATGGCCACATAAAGCTGCGCCTGGAGGACTGAGCGAGATTTCAGAGGAGAGGGAATCATCACAAGAAGGCCAGGCGTTAGTGGAAACATCCGGAAACGATCGCCTGAACGGCCGCTTACCCCGTGTCAGGAAGGCGATGCCGCCGCCAGCATCGAAGGAGAATGCGCCCATGTCATCCCAGGAGTCGATACCGTCGACAGAGCCAGAGCTGGCCCGGAGAACACTGGACAAGGCACCCACAAGGTTACGGGCAGTACGCAAGATTTCAAGCTCTGCTCCAGTCAGCGCAGCCACAGCGCCTGCGCCGGCGCCGGCGCCGGTGCCGGTTCGGGTACCGAGAGAGACGAGGACAACAACGCGATCGCGCGCTGCGAAAGAGGGGCCGAAGAAGTCATCTCAAGAGACAGAGACCGGACTCCCTGATCTCCCACCTCTGCGCGCGATGAAGAACAGCATTCGAGTGACGGAGAACTCAGAGCCTGCGCCTCTGAAGACGACCATCCGAGTGACGGAGAACCCGGAGCCTGCGCCTCTGAAGACGACCATCCGAGTGACGGAAAACCCGGAGCCTACGCCTCAGTTCACGACTTCCACACGGGGCACCAAACTTTCGGCGTGTACAAAAAGCTCACCAAAATTCCAGGCCCTCACGGCCGAACTCGCTGCCACAGATCCTGTCACGGTGCTGGCGCGGCTGTACACATTCCGCGACAATCTCGCACGAGCGCTTGACAAGAAGCCGTCGAAATGCAGGAGAGAGCAGCCTCCACAGCTGCCGTTCGTGACGAAGTGGGTCGACTACTCGCGCAGATACGGAGTTGGCTATGTTTTGGACGACGGTAGCATTGGCACGCTGCTCACAGGGGATGAGCAGAATCCGGTGACAGCTGCGATCGCGACAGACGGATACAAGCATCTGAAGAAGAACGGAAGAGACCGAGAGGCAGCGAAGAGCGTGGCTCTTGACCTGTACACGACGGTGAAGAAAGACAGAGGGCTCTGTCAAATCGAGATGCAGGAGCGTCGACGAACGGAGGAGATTCGAACTGTGTGGCACAAGTTCGGAAAGTACATGTGCGCGACGTTCGGTGACGAGGAGCTGGTGGTCAAGGAGGGACCCAAACAATGCAACTTTGTCAAGTTCTACCAGCGACTGGGAAATGTCGGCATCTGGGGATTCGACGACGGCTCTTTCCAGGTATGTTGGAGATGATGAGATGATGAGATGATGCAGGCGAATTTGACTCAACTAATGCTTCTGCAGTTCAACTTCCCAGACCACACGAAGCTCGTGCTGTCGTCAGATGGCGGGTACGCTACTTTCCTCTGCCTGCCATGCGAGGCAACAGCACTCCTTGAAGCGACGGGCAACGTACCCTGGAGACACGTCAGGGCGCGCGAGACGCTCAAAGGATCGCTGCAGCAGCTGCTGTACGGGTCAGCAGACAAGGCTGACGGATACAAGGAGGTTACTCGAGGCAATCATCTGCGCGAGAAGATTGAGTTCATCTACGCAGTGGTCGAAGAGTGGGTGCGCGAGGGAGGCCTCGGCTGCCTCGTCGAACCCAAGAAGTACTCATGGACAGGACCGCAGCTCGAGGAGACCAAACGGTTAGACTGGGCGAGCGTTGGGCGTTTTGGGGGCGACGTCTTCTCGTGAGATTTCAAGGGTCGCGTTTTTTTATTCCTCGGGTTGGCTAGCGACGGCGTTTTGGGTTTTCAGGCATTCATACTGGCACAGGCATTTTGGTGGCGTCTCCGTCTTCGTTGACGATGTTGTTGGGTTGAAGGCTCATTTGCTGGGTCTTGCACATGTGCAGGCGGCTGGGTCGGCGCATTGTGCTTGTAGCATAGTCATCATAGCACCCATGCTAGGCATCGTTGTCCCAAATTGTTTGTGAAGAACGAACTCGGGCCCTGTCAATGCCGCCGCGTGGTGCTGCTTTTGTTGGTGCCTGACTGGGCCGCGTAATTAGACATGCAACGGGGATCCTTGGCGGATGTGCGTCAAGTGGCAGCAGAAATGCGGCGACACAGCTTGCGCGTCACTCGTGCAATGCACGTAGCCGGGGTGTGGCTGTGCAGACTACCGTGCTCCAGGTTCCGATACGGCCGACGTGGGCTGTGACATCGTTGGTTGGTAGGATTGCGGGACTCATCTCGCTCACCACGCTTTCGCTCACCACGCTCTTGTCTCTCGACACATTGCGCCACGTCTCCTCTCTCGACACATTGCGCCGCTCCTTCCTCTCTCGACACACTGCGCCTGCAGAACCCCCGCGACCCCCGCGACCCCCGCGACTCCAGACTCCGCCGCCCCCATCTGCTGCAAATTGCGCCCAGCAGCACACACGACACGCCAGACGGGCAAGACTCGCAGCACGCCGGAGCTTGCGGTCGGGCAGCAGCCATGGTACGCTCCGCCCTCGCCGCCCTCGCCACCGCCGCCGCCCACGAGGCGCTGCAGACGGACGCTGACCGAGTGCACTTGTAGGCGGTAACCAAGCGCGCCGGGCGCAAGAAGGACGCAGCGCGGCCAGGGCAGCCACAGTCCCAATTTGCAACCAAGGCCGTCTTCGAGAGCACCAAGAAGAAGGAGGTGGGCGTGTCAGACCTGACGCTGATCAGCAAGATCTCCAACGAGGCCATCAACGACAACCTGAAGAAGCGCTTTGAGAATGGCGAAATCTACGTGCGTGTCCGTGACGCCGCACACTCGGGGCACCCCAGCTGACGGCCGCGCAGACATATATTGGACACGTGCTGGTGTCGGTCAACCCCTTCCGGGACTGTACGTGGCCGCTGCGAGGATGAGGATATGCGGCGCCGGCATGCTGACAGCTGGCAGTGGGCATCTACACCGAGCAGGTCCTGGCGAGCTACAAGGGCAAGAACAGGCTGGAGGTATGGTGCATTGGGCCCCCGTAGACGGCCGTCTCTGACACATCCCAGGTGCCGCCGCACGTCTTCGCCATCGCCGAGTCCGCCTACTACAACATGAACGCCTACAAGGAGAACCAGTGCGTCATCATCTCCGGCGAGTCCGGCGCAGGCAAGACAGAAGCTGCGAAGCGCCTCATGCAGTACATCGCCAACGTCTCGGGCGGAAAGAACTCGCAGATCCAGGAGATGATGGACATGGTCCTGGCCACAAATCCGCTGCTCGAGTCGTTCGGAAACGCAAAGACGCTGAGGAACAACAATTCGTCGCGATTCGGAAAGTACCTCGAGATCCACTTCAACGCCCAGGGCGAGCCCATTGGCGCCAACATCAACAACTACCTGCTCGAGAAATCGCGTGTCGTCGGCCAGATCACAAACGAGCGCAACTTCCACATCTTCTACCAGTTCGCAAAAGCCGCGTCGCCGCAGTACAGGGGTCAGTCAGGTCACGAGTCCGACTGCGAAACAGCTGCTAATTCGAGCAGAGATCTTTGGCCTGCAACAGCCGCAATCGTACCTCTACACAAGCCGCTCGAAATGCTACGACGTGCCGAACATCGACGATCACGCCGAATTCCAGGACACAGTGAATGCCATGAAGGTCATTGGATTACAACAGGCGGAGCAGGACAACATTTTCCGGATGCTGTCCGCGATTCTGTGGCTCGGAAACGTGTCGTTTGTGGAAGACGACCAAGGCAACGCTGCCATCGCAGATCAGTCTGTAGTCGATTTCGTCGCCTATCTCCTGCAAGTCGAGTCGGCGCACGTCAACAAGGCTCTCACAATCCGAATCGTCGAGACAAGTCGCGGCGGGCGCAGAGGTTCCGTGTACGATGTCCCTCTGAACATTGCACAGGCTTCTTCGGTGCGAGACGCTCTTTCCAAGGCCATCTACTTCAACTTGTTCGACTGGATTGTAGAGCGCGTAAATGTTTCGCTGAAGGCGCGAGGCTCCTCCGCCTACTCCATCGGTATCCTGGATATCTATGGATTTGAGATCTTCGAGAAGAACAGCTTCGAGCAGCTTTGCATCAATTACGTCAATGAAAAGCTCCAGCAGATTTTCATCCAGCTGACGTTGAAGGCGGAACAAGAAGAGTATGAGCGAGAACAGATCAAGTGGACACCGATCAAGTACTTTGACAACAAGGTCGTGTGCGAGTTGATCGAGGAGAAGCGACCACCGGGTGTCTTCGCGGCACTGAACGATGCTTGCGCTACAGCCCACGCCGATCCTGGAGCCGCCGATCAGACCTTTGTCCAGCGATTGAACGCGCTTTCGTCGAACCCCAACTTTTCGCCCCGTCAAGGACAGTTTATCATCAAGCATTACGCTGGAGAGGTGGCGTATGCGGTAGAGGGCATGACTGACAAGAACAAAGACCAGCTCCTGAAGGACTTGCTCAACCTCCTTGGCCAGAGCTCAAACACTTTTGTTCACACACTGTTCCCCAACCAGGTCGATCAAGACAACAAGCGGCGACCGCCCACGGCCGGTGACAAGATCAAGGTCTCGGCAAACGATCTGGTCACCACGCTCATGCAAGCCCGGCCGTCCTACATCCGTACCATCAAGCCAAACGAAAACAAGTCGCCGAAAGAGTTCAACGAAGCCAATGTACTGCATCAAGTCAAGTATCTTGGTTTGCAGGAGAACGTCCGTATTCGCCGAGCTGGTTTCGCTTCCCGTCAGACCTTCGACAAGTTCGTGGAACGCTTCTTCTTGCTCTCGTCCAAGTGTGGTTACGCTGGAGAGTACATCTGGACAGGAAGCTACGAACAAGGCGCCAAGCAAATCTTGAAAGATACCAACATTCCCGCCGAGGAGTTCCAGATGGGTGTAACGAAGGTCTTCATCAAGACACCAGAGACGCTGTTTGCACTAGAGACGATGCGCGATCGCTACTGGCACAACATGGCCATTCGAATCCAGCGTGCGTGGAGGAACTACCTCAGATACCGTATCGAATGCGCCACGCGCATTCAGCGCTTCTGGCGCAAGCTGAACGGCGGCAAAGAGTTTATCGAATGGCGAGACCAGGGTCACAAGGTTCTTGCTGGCCGGAAGGAGAGGCGGAGATACAGTTTGGTCGGATCCCGGAGGTATCTGGGCGACTACCTGGGTATAGCAAACAAAGGCGGTCCGGGAGAGGTTATCGCCCAGGCTATTGGAATCTCCAGCAACGAGGAAGTCCCCTTCTCGTGCAGAGCGGAGACACTCGTCTCGAAGCTTGGTCGTTCGAGTAAGCCAGAAGCTCGCATGCTCATACTAACCAAGAGGAATGTATACATCGTAAAGCAGGTACTCGTCAACGGTCAGGTCCAGATCCAGGCCGAGCGAACAATACCAGTTGGCGCTATCAAGTTCATCAGCGCGTCGAAGCTCCAGGATGACTGGTTCTCCATCGGCGCTGGCTCACCAACAGAGCCTGACCCGCTCGTGAACTGTGTGTTCAAGACAGAGTTCTTTACTCAGCTCACAAACGTTCTACGAGGATCGCTGAGCCTCCAGATCGGCGACACGTAAGATTCTATCGCTCGAATGTGACGCACGACATGTTGACCATGACAGAATCACCTACAACAAGAAGCCTGGTAAACCTGCTCAGGTCAAGGTTGTGAAAGACCCTGGTGCCCGCATCGACATGTACAAGAGTGGAACTGTCCACACAGGTCAGGGCGAGTCACCAAGCTCCTCATCGAAGCCAACACCAAAGGGCAAGCAAGTCGCCGCCAAGCCCATCACCAAGGGTAAGCTCCTGCGGCCCGGCGGTCCTGGTGGAGGCCCTTCGAAGCTTGCCAGCCGCCCTGTGCAACCACGACCTGTGCCCGCTCCTGCCGCTTCTCAGTCACGAGCAGTGCCTCCTGCCCCAATGCCAGCTGCAGTCCAACCGCGACCCGTACCAGCCGCTACACCTGCTGCATCCACACCTCAACCAAGACCCGTACCGCAACCCGTTGCAGCCCTCAATGGGTCAGCAACCCACACAAGATCGCCATCAGCATCACGAGCCCCTCCCCCTCCCCCACCTCCTCCTGCCGCACCTGCCGCACCCAAGGAACCCACCTTCAAGGCACTCTACGACTTCGCCGGCCAGTCGGCGGGCGAGCTGAGTCTGCGAAAAGACGAAATCATCCTCGTCACCCAGAAAGAAAATAACGGTACGCCCCCCCCCCCCCCCTCCTTCACGCCCTCCTCAGATGGACTACGCATACTAACCTATTCTAGGCTGGTGGCTAGCATCGCGCCTCGACAAGTCGGCCTCGGGCTGGGCTCCCAGCGCCTACCTCGAGGAGCACGTGGTCAAGACGGCGCCCCCGCCGCCGCCCGCGCCCGCGCGTCCCGCAAACGGGAAGCCGAAACCGCCTGCGCCGCCCGCCAAGCGCCCTGCGGCGCGCAAACCCGCCCCGGATAGTAGGGATAGTGGGTACTCGGGCAGCGCGAGCGAGACGGGCGCGAGGGATAGCAGTGGTAGTATTGCGGGGGGACTGGCAGAGGCACTGAGGGCGAGGCAGCAGGCTATGCATGACCGGAGGGATGAGAATGACTGGTAGAGAGCGTGGATGGCGTTCTGCGGTGGATGCGGAGATGGGGTGAGAGTGTGTTTGATAGTCTTGGCGAGATGGAGGTGTTGCAATTTTTTTCAGTACAGTGAAGCCACGGAAACGCGAAGTGACGTGACGCATGAAGACTTCTGACGCAAGATTCCCCAGAGCAGTGATCGTGAAGTGCGATTGTACCATCGCCAGCCATCCAAGCGCTCTGGACATGTCCTCGGCGTGGACTCGACTTAATGAGGAGAGAAATGTCATCAACAACGAAAAAAGGAGACCATTGCTCGACATGCCCACAGGCTGTATGCACCCCGTAGAAGAAAATCCGCTCGCATTGAGCGCCCCAAGCACCCGTCCAACGCCTCTTTCAAGCCCCTTCCTTCTCCCCCGCGCTAGAAGATCCACTGAAAGCTCTCCTTGACCTCAAAGCCCACTATGCCTCTGCGTTTCGTTAGCTGACTCCCTCTCTCTCTCTCTCTCTCTCTCCTTGACCATGCAGCGGGGACATAACTCACCGGATATCAGTACTGCTCGCGCCAACCAGGACCTCGAACGCGCCCTCCTCGGCGATCCACGCGCCGGCCAGCCCCAGACTCGTGTCAAAGTATCCGACCGAGTACTTGTCCAGCTTCATATGCACCGCCTTGGTTTCGCCGGGCTGGAGGATCACTTTGCTAAAGGCCTGGAGTTCCTTCTCCGGCCGCGGCAGCGCGGATTTGGGGTCGCGGATGTACGCTTGCACAATCTCTGCTGCTGGCGCTGTGCCTGTGTTTGTGACCTTGACAGTTAGAGTGACGTGACCCGTCTCGGTGAGCACAGTGCTGGACAGGGTTGGCGCGGCGTATGAGAAGGTGGTGTATGTGAGGCCGTGGCCAAAGGGAAACAAGGGCACAATGCGAGAGCGTTCGTAGTGACGGTATCCGACGTATATGCCCTCGCCATACACGGTCTTCAGGTTCTCACCCGGCCAGTTGTGGAACGCGGGGTTGTCCTCGATACGCACGGGGAAGGTAGTCGGCAGTTTCCCACTGGGGGACGCATTGCCCAGCAGCACGTCTGCGAGCGCGTTTCCGGCTTCCTGGCCTTGGTACCACGCCTGTAGGATCGCGGGCGCGCGGTGCACCCACGGCATGCTGATGGGTGTCCCGGACTGGTTTACGACAATGGTGCGCGGGTTGGCGGCGAGGACGGCTTCGATGAGGGCGTCCTGGGAGCCGCCTTTGGGGAGGTCCATGGTCTGGCGGTCGTAGCCTTCCGATTCCCATTCTGCGTCGAGTCCGACGACGAGCACAGCAACGTCGGCGGCTGCGGCGGTGGAAGCGGCTTCCGCGAGGCGATTGATGCCATCTTCTTCCTGGTAGCCAATGCGGCAACCACCGTAGTCGTGGCGGCGGCCGATGATGGATACTTTGCTCGCAGGACGAACTTCGCTGGTCGATTCAATTCGGATTTCAACGGGTTTGTTGGCGGTAAGATGGATGGATTTGAGGACGTCTTGAGACGCGGAGAACATGGCTTCGCCCTCTTCGATCCAGTCCCAATTGTCGATGAAGAGCTGGCCGTCGAGATACATGCGTCCAGGCCCGACAGAGGCGAAGCTGAAGCTGTGATTGCCGGTTGTCTTCGGGGTAAGAATCGATTTGACCTTGAAAGAGAATGCGGGGAGGAGTTCCATAGGTGCGGAGTCCCACAACCAGAGATCTGTGCTGACTTTGTGTTGGACTACGGCTGGCTCGCCCTTGAACCTGTCTCCGCGGTAGTACTCAAGTCGCACGCCTTGCTGGCCATCTGGAGCCGTGCAGTATGGCGTCGCGAGCGGTAGCCACTTTGAGCTATCGCATCCCTGGGCAAAGGTGAGCTCACCATCGAAACGGTTGCGCATCCCGTCCCATGGACTTGATCGGTAATAAGGGTTGAGACCTGCGCTGCCGCCACCGCTCGCGATCGATCGCTTGACATTTGGTCCGATGAGTGCGATTGTCTTAGCATTCCTGATTGGCAACACGTTGTTCTCGTTCTTCAATAATGTCAACCCCTCGATTCCAGCTTGGAGAATCAGGTTCCTTGTCTCAACATTGTCGATAGACTGTTCGGGTTCTTCGGGCGTCTTGTTGCCCAGGCCTTTCGTGCGGTCTACCAGATAGAGTACTCGCGCAGCAGCCTCTTCAATGTCTTTCGGCTCCAGCTCACCATTTACAAGGGCCTCTTCGACCTGCTCGAACTTCCGCCACTTGGAGGGACCGGGCATCTCAATGTCGACACCGGCTTTTATTGATGGTGCAGTAGCGTATGTGCCTGTCCAGTCGGAGATGATCGCTCCGTTCCATCCCCACTCGCCTCGCAGGATGTCCTTGATGGTGTGTTCGCTTTCATCGGCATGGATACCGTTGACCAAGTTGTATGAGCTCATCAGAGCCCATGGCGAAGCGTCACGGACAGTGATCTCAAATGGCTTGAGGTAGATCTCGCGAAGTGGTCGTTCCGCGATGATGGCATCATAAGCCTTACGTTCGGTTTCTTGCTCGTTCCCAACGAAGTGCTTGATAGTCGCAGCAATACCTTTGCTCTGCAGACCGCGAACATATGAAGCAGCAAGTTTTCCTGTCAGAAACGGATCCTCGGAGTAAGACTCAAAGTTCCGTCCGCCAAGTGGTGATCGATGCATGCACACTGTGGGTGCAAGAAGAACGTTTGCGCCGCGAGCTTTGGTCTCCTCTCCCAGGTGCCGCCCGATCTCTTCCATCATATCTACATTCCATGTCGATGCCATGGAAATACCACACGGGAATAGCGCAGCCTGATTGAGTCAGTCTTGTCGTTCAGGAAGCAGGTGGTAGATTGATTACTCACTGGTGTGCCGTTTGTGAAGAACTCTCCTCGAGCACCGTTAGGTCCATCTGTCGTTTTTATTGACGGTATGCCTTTCTCAGGGATAGCCTTGGTCCGCCAAAAGTCTGCTCCAGCAAGCAGCGAGATCTACTTGCATCAGCTTGTGCAATACAGTAAAGAAGATGGCCCCTCTCGCGTCGATCATGAAGTGCGCTGCGAAGCAGGAGAAATCAAACGTCATGAGATCGCACCGCTTGTTTCGAGTCAATGGTTCCGAGAGTGCATGAGCCATGAAACCGTCCATGAACATGACAGTGTGGGGTCCAAAGCTTCAAACAAGGCTACAAGGGCGGAAAATGCCATACACAACACATACGGCAACCGTCATCTCTTCCCAGTGGTACATACCTGTTCCTCAAGGGTCAACTTTGAGGCCAGCTCCCTTGCCTTATCATCTGGCTTTTCCAGCGAGTACAGCTTCTTCCCTGCCATGGCGTATCCTTCAGGCGGTGAGGTTGGTGTGAGTGACGGTGTGACGGTGTCGACAGGCGTTACCTGGAACGTTGCTTGCTTGAGGTCGATGATTTTATTGTCGTCTTCTGTGGGGCTGAGGGTGCCCAAGTGCACGGTAGTCATTGCGAACGAGCCGGCTTTACTCGTTCGAGGTAGTAGTGGTGGAAGGATTCGAAAGAAGAGCCGCGTGTCACGCCGTTGTCGGCAGGGCGTTGGAGACTTTAACCTGGGAAATCGCACCTGAGGTGACAGAAAACGAGTGACTTAACAAACGTAGATAAACAAACAGTGTCAGTAGTGAATGCTCATCTTTTAGTAGTCTGAGCGCTCAAGACTTGACGCATAGACCACTCATCGCGTGGACCAGAAGAAAGCACATCGAATATCCGGGTGTATTGGGAACAAGCCTTGTACCTAGCTGCGGCACGCATGCTCGTCTCGGATCTACCTCTTGGGTACTATTGGTCGGCGGGACAGTAATGAACCGAAGTTAATGCGCACCAGTATTCATCTGCTGCTGGAGGAGGCTCTTGAACGATTTCAATCTAGATCGAAGCGCGCTGGGGTTTGCCTGTGGCAAATACAAGGGCAAGACGCGTGAGTACGACGCAAAAAGCTTGTCCGAATCGTCCATTGCGATAGCTGGACAGTAATGCACTGGTTGAGTGCATATTGAGGCAGTCATTGCAGTCGACCCACGCGCGCTACTGACCATTCTGGTGAGCAGTCACGTCTGTGATTCGACATTGGCAAGGCGGCGAAGGCGGTCCTGAACTGCGTACCGGGACGCGAGCTCCGGACCTAGTATGGAAGGCTTCCGGAATGCGACGTGAACGGTCGAGTGGTGGAGAAACTGTTGTGACAGGTTAGGCGGGTCGGATCAAGCGGGAAACGACAGCGGAAGGAGGCCCGAGCAACCGATCCCCAGGTTCAACCTTCCGCCGGCCCGCCAAGCGGCAGGCACGACCGCCCTCACCTTCGAGCACGTGCATGACAGCAGACCCCAATGTCTGCATTACATATACGCGGAAGTCTGGGCGACATGGAGGTATCTACATACAAATCACGTTGATGCCCAGGGGTTGTTCGAATAGTTGCATGTGAACGACTTCACCGCAATTCCGTCGAGACGAGGAGAAGCAGACGCATATTGAGCGGTGCAAGTCATCCCATGTTTTCCGCACCGACAGTCCGATGATGCCAGAAACGAGGTCGTATCCGCTGAGGCGAATCTCACTTCAATGGAAAGACGTCTTCAGCCCATGTACTGAATCAGGCAGATGACCCAACAGCCTTGAGCAAGGGATATGACTACCGCCTGAGTCGCGCCGAATCTCCTTCACACCATAACATGAAACAACATGTGCTCGTCACATATGAACTTTCAAACGTTCAACCTGCTAAAGATATTGTGGGGATATTGTGCGGGGACGATTAAAATTCTGATGTGATTTTGAGCCACATTGACGCCCAGATGACCGGCAGTTGTCAGTTTCGTAACTTAAACCGGTGGTTAAGTGTTTCAAGCATCCAACAGGGCATGACGCAGCCGAACTACGGAGGTATACGCGACCTCGCAGGATGTATCAGGACTCGTGATGCCGCACGTGAGTCTGAGAGCAGATATCGATGATTCGCATCGATGATTCGCATCGGGATTTGAAATTTAGTTCGCCACACATCCTAGCAACGCAGGTGATCAAGTGACCGTGATAGAGACGGGGTTGTGCGACAAAGTTACGTTCATGGGTATGGATAAAAGATCGGCTGTCAAGTCAAACGCCACAACTGCGCGAGGCAGTCTCACATGCTCGCTCCTGGGCTTACCCCATACCTGGTATACAAAACAGCCCGTAAGCCGATACACAAGCATCATGTCCCTGCTCATCATGTATATCGTGTTGGAGAAACACAGTTCGCCAGACGCCTTATCCTGAAAATGAAACTATGCCTCTGCCATCTCCACGTCTTCATTATCACTTGCCTGCTTGATCTCGTCGATACTCTTCTTAAAAGCGGCCTTCTTAGAGTCAACCTCATCGCGGCTGAGATCTCTCATCCAGGTGTTGTTGCGGACAAGCTTCTCCTGTGCTCGCTCGCGCCTTGCATCGTTGAGTGCCTTGAACTGGTCGTTGAGCTTGGAGGCGCCGCTCACACCCGCGCGAATGCCATCCGAAAGGGTAAAGTACTGGATACCGCCAGTGCCGAAGGGCTCACTGTTGATGAAGGTGATGTTGTAGGTCTGCGGGCTGATTGAGACGGTGATTTTGTCGCTGTGCATCACAGCATCGAGACGCTCGTCCTGCTCTGTAGTGTCTTCATCCTTGGCCAGACGCTTCTTGAGGTATGGGTGTTTGACGCTGTCATGATCTACCTCCTCAGTGGGCTCTATCGACTGGTAGGAGGCAAGGTATGCACGCCAGCGCCTAGTCCGGTCAAGTGCATTGGTGTCGAATGTAGGATCGTCCTTCTTGAATAAACGCACAGTAGCTTCCGTCTTTGCGGGATCCTGTGCTGTGGTGAGTAATGGCAGATGGTATTTGAGCAACAATTAACTTACGTAGGTGACACGGTAGGTATCCGCGTCCTTTGCGTACTTCTCAACTGCTTTCCTGTAGCTGATCTCGCTTTTGTGTGAGGTAGTATCGTTGACACGGTCCTTTCTGAACAGATTGTAGATATCAAGGCTCTTGTCCTTGCTGTCAGAGCTGATTACCACCAAAGCGAAGCGGACGAGTGAATTGATGAGCCTGTCAAAACTATACAACTGCCATCCAATGTGCAGGTAGTATCGTCGCAGTGTTTCCTCGATGAAGGACATGTCGGTTTCACCAAGAATCTGATCTTGGAACATCTCGAGGACTTGCTGGTAGAAGTTGGCTGATGACGATGTGTCTTTGAAGAAGTCGTCAGGCTGTTTGTCTAGCATCTTGAGTTGGCGAGCCGCTTTCGGTTCCATGGCCCGACTGACGACCTTACGGACTTCGTCCTCGCTTTCCTTGAGCTTCGACAGACGCTCGTACAGGCAGACAAACATGCGGAAGAAGCAGTAGATCGATGCGTTGGCGTACATATTGTACTCAATGCGTCGGTACGGCTCGTCGTGCTCAATCTCCTTGTCATCGAAGGCCGCGGGCTGTGTCGAGTATTCTACCCAGCTACCAGCGATTTGTTCGTCACGACCGTTGGAGTTTGAGCTGTCTCCAGCAGCCTCATCCTCGATGCCGGATGCGATCTCAGGGGTCGTATCCCTGCTCGCCGACGCAAGACTGTCTTCCTTGTCCTTGCGCGACTTACCGCGTGGATCAAGTACGTCTCGGCGCAGATCGCCTTTCTTGGGCTTTTGGGATCGTTGAGAAACGTCATCGTCAGGGCTTGGTGTGTCATCGCCAGACTCGTTGGGAGTGTCGCGACCCGATGTCTGAACACGTTGCTCAAACTTGGCCTGATCTAGGCCAAAGAACAACGGCACGAACTCTTTGATGAACGGAACTACCTTGGCGTACTCAGTACCGCTGTTGTTGTCCGCAAATGTGATCATGAGGCGGGCGACATCGAAAAGGACCTCCTCATCCTTGAAAGAGAAAGCGTACTGATACTCCGGCTGGGGAATTTCCTGGACCAGGCGCAGACGCTTCTGTTCTTCGTAGCGAACGAGAACCTCATTGGTAAGCGATTTGGGCTGGAACTGGCGCTTGTCGGCCTGCTTGACAGATAGACTCTGATGATCCAGAGACTTCCAGAAGATCTTCTGGGTCTGATCGCGCCAGACACGCTCCCACTCCCGCTGAGCAGCCTTCCAGTCTTCCAACTTGCATTTGAGGCGGTGCAACAAGACCGGCACCACACTCCAGGGCATGGAGAACAGTTCCTTGATGACATCCTTGCCTCGATCGCGACCATAAATCTTCATGATGACACGCTTGTAGATTGTCTCGCTCTGCCCTCCAATACCAGGTGGCAGTACAAAGTTCGTTCGGTCTTCTTGCTTCATGGTGAGCAGCTGGTTCGCAATGGGTTCCAACTGCTGAATCGTGCGACTACAGGCTTCGATGTTGAAGTCGTAGTCGTGGCGCTCTTCTTCGATTCGGTGAAGGCCTTCTTCAAACTGATTCTTGCGGTGAGCAATGAAGCCAGAGTCTTCGGAGGCCCACGTTGGGTGAGATGCCCATTCATCGTTCAGAACTGATTTGCACAATTCATCACGGCCGCTGCATACTCGCTCGCGCTCGCGCTTAGGTAGCAAACGATAGCTGGGTCCAAGGCTGCGGCAGTTAGACAGCGAGACTCGCGAGTTGACAGTCTTGGGACGCGTCTTCTGTTGATCCTCCTCCTCACCCATGAACTTTTTGAACCAAGCGAAGAGCTCTGGATTACCGCCGATGAAGGATTGCGCACGGTAGAGAAGTAGTCTCTTGTCTATCAGGTCCTGTGAGTAAAGGTTGCATAGCTTCAGGAATTCGTTCATTGTGTTCTTGTTTCCAATGAACTTCTTGACTCGGTCAAAGAACGCAAGCTCATCCTGGCTTGGAGTGGTGGTAGTGGTCGGTGGTATCGGTTCGGGCAATGCTGGTGTCAGAGTCGGTGACACTGGAGGTCCTTCAGGTACTGCTTGCTTTGCAGCATGGCTAGTCTTGGTTCGCTTGTTTGCAGCGCCTGTACCGAAATTGCCTCCGCGAACATTCGATGTGGTTGGTTCCTGTGCCATCGGGGCAGGCATCGGTACAGCAACAGGACCTTGCCTGTCGCGCTTTCGCTTGTTGTCGCGATTTGCAGTAGGTGTAGGAGCAAAGTTGCCCATTGGTGGAAGTCGACCCTGGTCTGCGCGAGGTGTCTGCTGAAGGGTTGGTGTCTGACCGTAGCCGGCAGCATCGCCACGCACATTGCTCAACATGACCGCATCCTCAGCATGTCTCGCAGCCTGCTGCTGCGCAGCCCTATGCTGAGCAGCTGATTCTGGGAGGAATTGCTTGAAGTCTTCTAGTAGGTCAGGAGCAGCGTTGAATAGTCCCGTGACTTGAGCATATACGTCTTGGATAGGTTTCGACTCGCGCTGGTAGGTCTGCAGAATTTCCAGGAACTGTTTGTAGATGTCGGGCTGCGACGCAAAACGATTTTTGATCTTGTTAACGTAGCTGATAGCATGGTTGAATTCGACCGGACCGCGCTTTTCAGCACCTATGCCGCCCATCTGAGCGACCTGGACAGCACCATTCAAGGCTTGTACAGGAAGGGCTGCTGCAGCGTCGCCGCTGAGTGCGAGCATGGAGCGACCGGTAGCAGCGGACACTGCGTTCTGAAGTTGAGACACTCCCTGTTGCTCTTGCTGATGCGCAAGCGCGGCCGCCGAAGCAACCGCGTCAGGGTGCGGACGCGTAGTGGTCTCGGGAGAATGCGGTGCGGGACCTTGCTGGCCGAGATTGCGATTGTTAGGAGAAAATAACGACTCTGGGTGCTCAGGTGCCCTTTGCTGCTGAGGCCAAGGTCGTCCCTGCGTCGTCTCGTAGAATGCAGGTTCCTGCTGAGGACCGGTGTTGCCGTTTGCCGCTGCGCTGCGTGATGGAGACAGCGGCCTGGGAGCAGGCATTGTGGAGACCATCGTGCCCATGGGAGTGGTAACTCTGATCGCATTTGGGTCACCGTTCGTTCCGCATTCTATTTTATATCCTGGAGGCAGGAACGTGTTGAAACCCTGGATCAGATTCGGGTTACCAGCGAAAAGAGTCGAAACGCGCTCAATGACACCTGGAGTGTCTATGGCACCGCTCTTGAAATCCTTCATGATGTCCAAGAAGCGGTTGTAAACATCGGGATGATCGGCGAACTGGACTTTGACTTGGTCGAGGTAGCTAAGAGCGTCCTAAGTAAATTTTAGCGGGCATTTCGAACAAGCAGACCCTGGCCGACTTACATTGAGAATGGGCTGCTGGCCCTGGCCCATGCCCATCGCGCCTGGCGGACCAGTAAAGGGCATCAGCATCTGTGCCTGTGTCGGCACCTGTACAGCATGCTGCATACGGGGTGTAGTCTGATCGTGCTGAGCAGGTGCATTGCCGTAAGGACCGGCAACGATGGGTCCACCCATCGGACCAGCCAGTGGGTTTGCTCCTGCTAATGGCCCAGATTGGCCCAGCAGTCCGTTGGGTCCATGTACTGTTCGTGTGGTGGGTGCGACAGCCACAGGCTGGTGAATCTGGATTGGCGCAGAGTGGCTCTGTAGTGCGGCCTGCTCTCGTTGCTGGCGTTCGTGCAGGTCTCGATCGCGCTGCTCAGCTTCACGCTTTGCATGCTCTTCTTGCTGTGCAGCGTGCTGCTGGGCCGCGTGCGACTCCATCATCTCACGCTCTCTGGCCTCGCGCTCGCGCAGCTCTCGTTCCCGATCTGCGTTCGCCTGGTCCTGTGGTGCAACCTGCTGCTGCAAAGTCTGCGAGATGCCAGGTAAGGAGTACGGGGGGCCCTGTGGCATCGGGTGTCCTTGCGCGGTTGATGCTCCCTCCGTTGAGGGCGCTCTTTGCGCAGACTGGTGGGGCGATGAGTGTGGAGGCTGGCCAGTGAAGCCAGGTAGTGGCGGCAGATTTTGGTTGTGGGCTGTCGCACTGCTCGACGAGTAGAAAGGGGTCCCTGCAGATGAGTCAATCGTGGGTTTGGTTTTACGGTTCGCGTGAGGCGTACCAGAAGGCGGGGGGAGCACAGGCCCTGGGCCTTGCGCAGGTGACGCATGTGTGAGAGCTTGTGCATTTGCGTTGCTTGACCTGTCGTTGCAATGACGGTTAGCGCTCATGTCCAGTATATGTGATGTATGAGGATGCTCGATGGCTGCTTGGTCCCTGACTGCTGGCGCAATCAGGTCGCAGGCGGGACTCACGCACCCATAAGGGTCGAGCGGTCGCGCGGACTGTCGCTGGTTTTGCTCTGTTTGTTGCTGCAGGTTTTGTCCAGGCGCAGGTGCCTGTGACTGTGGCCAGCCTTCGCGATGTGCTGGATTCATCTCGGCGTTTGCGATCCCTCGGCTGTAGGTGGAGCTGCGTGGTCGATGGGGCGACGCGTGGCCGGCCTGAAGCCAGTTGTGAAATCGCAGAAGGTTCGATTACAGCTTCAGACAAGCGCTGCAAGTCAAGTGTGCGTGGTCGGTGCTCAGTGGTGGCTGTTGTGCAGCTGTTAGCAGGCTATTGACTGTGCCAGCTCGAGCTGGTGTTGTTCTTGGATTTTGGCGATAGAGACGCCTGAAAAAGCAGGGCTAACGCCGTGAAATTATTTCGCCATATATTGCGACCACGTAAGAGCTCTTTGCATAGTCGAACCTGTGATGGTGTGGTTGTAGCTGGAACGCTCCTTCCCTCCGTCAGAACGCTCTATCCTGTTAATCCGGGCCGGGGCTAACCTTGTTCGGATCTGCGGCGAATCAGAATGCCGACCGATGACGGCCTCACGCGTTTGGTTTCCTTGGAAAAGGGTTCATGCAAATCACAATCTGAATTAAACGGGAACAGCGCGATAAGCTGCGGTTGCAGTCATTCAAACAATTTGTCACGGAGGCGTTGAGATGGTGGGAGACCCGGGCTTCCTTCAGAATGCGTTCTCACGTAGAAAGTAGTCAGAACTCAGAAATGAATGGGTATCATTGAACAAGACTCCTGATATCTATACAAGCCACAAAACGTCTGAGATCGCCGGAACCTTATGAACCCTGTTGCTCCTTATCTTCTTCATCAAGGGGATTGTGTTTGTGCACAAAATCATCTACCCACTCCTCAATATCATCTGCCTTGTCTGTGAACCAGTCCCACCAATGCTTGTGCACCGGCTTACTGCTTGCTGCAGGCGGTGCGCTTGATGTAGCACTCGCGGATACCGACGCGCTGCCTTCGAGAGACGCTGTCGTAGCCTCAAGACCAGACGCCGAAGCGGCAAGGCTCGACAGTGAGGACGTAGTTGCAGACATGGTCGCTGCAGAGGGTGGTGCAGAAGTCAGCGAGTGGGTGTCGACAGGATCGTGAGGTGTCTCGTCGGCCGAGTCCTCATCGTCGTTGTGTAAGCCCACAGGTTTCAGTGGAAGCCGAAGGGTGCCATTGTTAGGCGCGGGTATCAGACCAACTGAGTCGCAAATGATATTGTAGAGCTCGATATTCTCTGAGACATGCGTTAGCGTAATGCTTGCTGAAACGGAGGCGCCCACTTACGGAACGGCTTCATGCGACTGCCAGGCGTGTGTGGGAACGCGGGGCCGCGAGCGACGAAGACCGCCCTCATGAGTGGGTGTTCGTGGTCGTAGCCGTGTAAACCTCGTGGATGGTATATTTCACCCTTCTTCTTGCCCTCTTCGACGTTGAACTCGCTCTTCGTCACGATCGCCCAGCCCGCCTTTGGTATGATCCAGAGCGGTGCAATACGATCGTTGTTTGAGAAGTGGTAACGCTCAGGCATGTTTTCGCGCAGATAGATCTCGATATTTGGATTGTCCCCGTGTTCATGTACAAGTTTGTCGTACAATGGGTAAAGGCGGTCTCGGTTCTTAGGTCGCAACCCATACAGAGGCCAGCCGTCAACGTGTGAGAGCTCGTCTGGATCGATCAAATTCTCGAGCTGGATCATACGGGACACATCGGTGGTGGCCATACCATGATCGGAGACGACAACGACGTTCACAATGTTGGTGAGATTGCGCTCTTGTAGACCTTTGAGGATGCCACCGACCATGGCATCCGCACTGGAGATGGTCTGGCGAATCTGCGTGCTATTCGGTCCGTATCTATGGCCATCGCCGTCAACATTGGGTACATACGCTGCGATGAGTTGCGGTCGAGGCGTGCTGGCCTTTGCGCCTATGTCCATGGGACCAGGTACATCGAGCAGGTCCATGATACGATCGACTTTCCTGTCCAACACTTCTGAGCCGTTGTATTTGTCCACATAGGCGATCTGCTGGTCTTCTATGTGAGCTTCGGAGCCTGGCCACATGTGCACTGCGGTTCTGACGCTCTGCCTCTCTGCTGTCACCCAGAAGGGCTCCCCGCCCCACCAGAATGGCTGCAGACTACGCTCGGGATCGGTGTAGTAGAACTCCTTCTGCAAGTTCGGATCCCAGAAAGTGTTCCCCACAATCCCATGCGCTTCGGGATACATACCAGTGGCCATTGTGTAGTGATTGGGGAATGTAACGCTTGGGAAGCTGGGTAGCATGTACTTCGGCGAGATGCCTCGCGCTACGAGGTCATTGAGTGTAGGTGTGAGGTTGCGGTGTAGAAAATCGGCACGAAAGCCGTCGAGCGAGATTAATATAGTTGTCGGTGCGAAGAGGGAGGTTCCGTTCGAGGCAGCTGTTGCTGCGAACGCTGCGATCTTACTGTCCCTGGGTTTCGAGAGACGGTACACGAAGGCAAGCAACACGAAGAAGAAGCCGATGATCGATGTGTATATGCAAATGCTTCGCCATCGTCTCGAGCGCTTTGCCTGCATGTATTGTCAGCCATAATCCTGCCAGGCTTGCCATTGATCATGCCTTCTTCAGCGCCTTGGTCGCGAGGAGCCGCTGCTGATCACTCTCAGAGCTACGTTCTGACCGCAATAGATTTGACGTCGATTCGCCGGCTGCTTCCTCAGTGTCATATATTGGCGTGCTTGCCCCGGTGCTGACGCCTCTCTTGCGCTCTGTCATCTCCGCTTTCTTTCGGCCACCATCGCGCTTCCCGATCTTTACACCGGAACCGAACAGGCCAGAGGTGCCCTCTTCCTGTGTCAAGAGTCGCTCGCGCTCGTCCTCTGATTCCAGCAGATCATGGTCGTCATCCGAGTGCTCAGCCGAAGGCCGGAGGTCATAATCATCACTGTCTGAGCCGTTGTCATAGTGGGGAGCGCCTGCGGCCCTGCCGGCATCCACTCGTGATTTCGACGGCATTTTCGGTGTTTTCTAAAGAGTTGGCTATCGAGCCATCGCGAGGTAGTGTGTTGCACAGCGCTGGTGTTCAAAACTCTAGTCTGGGCACCTCAATCGCCCGGTGCGCTAGCGTCGTGTTTCATGCAGGGACGTGGATCACCAACGCCAGACCATTCCCAGTAGTGCAGACACATTGGCGAGTGCGAGTCTAGGATACACTGTCAGAATAACTATATCGTTGATCCAAAGCTAAGCAGTTGTTATATTCGACTTGGTGGTCAGTCTTCAAAACATTTCGATGACCACAATGCCATTGGCATCAACCCACTTTGACCCAGTTCCAGACGCCTTGCCTTTCGAACACAGCCAAAGGAGCAGCCACGTATGCTCTACAACCTCTCCCCAGCAGTAGAGTCGAAAGACTCCCAATGATTCTTGAGCCCCATTCTCTCGATGCAGTGTTGTTGCCCAGCCCAGCAGACCGCTGCAAACATACTCGCAAAGTGACAACCAAAGATCGCGTTGTGCATTGGAGGACCACCGCGTGCAATCGACACGCCAGAAGCCACGCTCATCGCTCTGTAAGTTTCTCCGTATGTTGAGTGGTTCGAAGCGAGTCGGATTCTTGGTCTTAATTACTGCGAGATGCTTTGTAATTTGTGAAGGTAGAGCTTCAGGGCGCGCCACTGATATGACTGGCGGGGGCGGGAACGCATTGATTGAAAGCTTTGAAAAGTCCACCTCGTCTGTGGTGATCTGAAGTCCATTGCGAAGGGTTGGAGTCGCGTGACTGGGCAGGTTCGCAGCCTCATATAACATGCTAATATCCATGTCGTTCTGAGCATCGTCCTCCACCGGGGCTGGCAACGATTTTTCCTCAGCTATCTTACTCTTTTGTAATCGATCTAGACTGAGTCCGTGAGTAGACCGGTCGGAGGGTTGGGCAAAGTCCTCATCTTCACCATCATCGACATCGGACGTATCTGCAGAAGTTGTTGAGTAGGTTTCCTGTAATTGACTTTGCAGAGCCTGCAATGCCGATTGCGAATCTTCGATGAAGCCAGTGTCGGCGCCGAGACCATCAGAACTCGTCTGCAGCTCTGCCTCGCTTCGCGCAAAGCTCGACTTGGGGGTCGCACGTCTCCGCCAACTTAGGTAGCTCCGGTCGAGTTGAGCCAAGCGGCTGATTGGCCGCACTGACGCATCCTGATCCAGATGATGTTCGTCGGCGGGTACATCAGATGGAAAGCTACCGTACGACTCTTTGCTGGCTGTGAGTGCGGATGTGTTGGTGGCTCCTCCGTTTGCACTGGTCCTGCCTCTCGTAGGTGAGGTTTTCGGCTGCCGTTCGATCGTCTGATTTACGCTAGCTCTTTTCCGCACTGGTTTATCGCGTTGAATCTGACGAGGTGAAAAATCGATGTAAGCATTCGCAAGATCTCGAAAGAGCTGGTCGTTCTGGCGTGTTGCAGGGGTAGAGATGTGAACAAGGACTTCGTCGCTCATGTTTGCAGCCAAGTGTGCGTGGAGATTGCACAGTTGACATCATGCGCTAGAGAGAATGTATATTGATTCCAGGTCTCGTGGTGCACCAAAATCTTGTTTCGAGTGTAGTAGACGTGTGAAGTTGCAGCCTTGCGTTCACAGAAGGTGACCTGCCTGGCTTGGCAGACTAGCCGTAGGTACAAAGGATAGGACCTGGAGCGCCTCTTACTCATCCCGCCTCGACTGAGCACCTCCCCGCCATCGTTGCTTTGCTTCATCAATGTGTTTTTCTTGAGATGTGTATCAGCGGACCATGGCACTGATCTTGGTCACCATGCGTTACCTACCTAGCAAATGCCTCTTGATCGTGGACGCGCTTCGAGAGCCTGTACCGCGTGTCGCAAACAGAAGACGAGATGCTACGAATCAGCCAGGGATCTAGCCTGTCTCCGGTGTAAGCATATCGGGCAGTGGTGCTCTCTAGAGCTAGACAGCACGGCATCCGCTGTTCGTCACGACCATCAATTGAGCAACGCGGATGTTACACAACATCAAGATGATGCGAGATATCTGACCCCATCACAGCTTGCTTTTCACCTGGTTATCAAAGAAGATTTGAGCGTCTGGAGAGACTCGTCGAGAGACTGTCGAGCAGGGTCGCGAAATTGGAGACCAAAGCCGCAAGATCTAGTGACCAACAGCCAGTGCAAGTGCGTGGTCCGCAACAGCTCAGCGGGACTTCAATACCTGATAAGGAATCTGCGCCACTAATCGTTCTTCGCGAGGTCGCTACAGAAACGGGCATCCGGATCCCAGACCGAGCAGGCATCATTACTCCTTTACACAACCTAGCAAACAACATCATCCTGAAGGGCTGATCGATTCCGATGACGCAATCTTCCTACTGTCGATATTTCAGCAGCATTACGGGCGGTGGTTGTCGTTCGATCCTTTGTTGCCGACCCCTATGCTTATAGAGGACATTCGAAAGTCACTTTTACTTCTTGCTGCCTGTTGCTTGATTGCAGTACGACATATAACACAGGATCTGGCTATGCGATTAGCACCGGTCCTTCTCAAGGAATCGAAATCACAGCCTTCGATTGCGTTGTTGCGGACTCCACAGCCTGTCGAGTTTTTCCAGGCCGCTTTGATATTGTGCATGTGGTCCACTACGATCGGACAAATCCTCGACCTCTGGCTTTTGAGGAGCTTTAAATTGCAACATAGCACAGTTAGCGGCTTCACTTCAATTGCTACTCAGGAGGACTTCGAGAGCACGGAGAGGCCTGAATCGCGTGCACTGAACGCCGGCCGCTGTTCGAACTTTGAATCGCGTATGGTGGCTGAAGTTTACTTGTACTGGATCAAATACAAAAGCTTGCGCGTCCCGGTCGATTTGCCAAAAACACACTCGACCTTGCAGGCTTGGAAGAATGATTGGGTATATTTGTTCGATGAGCCGCGGTCTCAATTTATACAAATGGGCTATCACTTTGCCCAGTTGTTGGCCTACGATAGGTCCCTCAGGTCAAAATCTGCAGCATTTCGAGAGGCGCTACTGAGTGAGATGGTTCGCCTCTCGACGACAACCATGAAACTAGCAATGGAAACAACGGACGAGCGGACTCTACACCTGTCTGACCACATCTATCACATGATTAGTTTCGCTGCCGTCACACTCATAAAGCTGCTTCACAAGTATGAAGAGCAGCTTCATTCGGCTCACAATCTTGAGGACCTTACTTCCAAGCTGGATTGACCGATAAGGTTTCATATCCACATGGTCTCAAGCGGTTGGCAAAGCGTTTTGCTGTTGAGACTGGTAGTATACAAAGCGTCACAGATGAGATCGGGAGGAGAACACCTCGAAGTGGTGGAATGCATGCACTTTCTGGTAAGACTGCAACTATCATCGATTGTGGTCTGGTTCTGACACTGGTATAGGATGAGTGCAAACTTCGCAGTTGCGACCCTGAATACTGGTTTGGTCGGTGGCAACATGGGCCTGAGCTTCCGGCACTGTTTCGCAATCGTTGCGGTCGTGAACATCTTCACCTGTCTACTTCCGGCTTGGACAGCTACCTTCGGGCTGACTGGTCCGCGCATGACAACCTTCTCGCGATACTCCTTTGGTTACTGGAAAAACATATTCGCAGTTGTATTCTCCATGGTCAGCACAACCGGCTGGAATGCGATAAATTCCATTTCCGGGGCCTCCTGCCTCTACGCGGTCTCCATGGCAAAGTTCCTCAGTGGGCCGGGGTTATCGTCATATGCACAACTGTCTGGATCATCTGCGCCCTGGATATCACTTGGATCCATCACCTCGATGCTTATCTCTAGATCCCACCTTTGGTCGTTTGGTGCATTGCTGCTGGAACAGGAGCCAAACACTTCAGTGGCGATGCAATCAAGTCTCCGACTGAAGCGAATGGTGCCGCTGCCGCCTTCAGCTTCATTGCGTTCATCTTCTCATTCGCGGTGTCCTCGATCAACTGTGCTGCAAACTACAACGTAAAGATGCCAGTCAACACGCCTCGTTGGAAGATCTTCATCGCAACGTACGTCGGTATCTGCATCCCAACAATTTTGGTCCAGACACTCGGTGCTGCGATGTTCAGTGGAACGGAGACCAATGCCTTGTGGAAGGCTGCGTACAAGGATGCAGGCGTGGGAGGTCCCTTGAAGGTGTCCTTGCTGCCTGCTCGGGTTTGGGAAGTTTCTGCTCGTACTTGCTGGTTTGAGTTCAATACCTGTCAGCCTCACCTTTCAACGTAGTACCGGCAGCAACCTGCTGACTGTCCCAGAACAACATTCCCCACAACTACTCATTCGCAATCCACGCGCAAAATTTCGTGCCATGGGCACTTGGTGTCCCACGCATTGCATTTGTGACCTTTGGCTATATCGCAGCCATCATAGTCGGCTGCTGCGCTGCTGCGCTGCCGCTTTCTTCGAAGATACCCTGCAAACTTTCCTCTCGATTATCGGGTTTTGGACTATCATGCATCTGATCATCATAATCGAGGAGCACATCATTTTTCGTCGCTCGCGCTGGCAGAACTACGATTGGGATGCGTGGTCTGACTATGACCTTCTTCGGTTCGGATGGGGCGCGATCGCAGCCTTCGCATTCGGGTTCCTAGGAGCTGCACTGGGCATGAAGGTTGCCTGGTATACTGCACCGATCGCTAGCCTCGTCGGAAAGAAAGGTGGAAATGTCGGGCACGATTTGACTGCTCTATTTTGTGGAGCTGCCTTCCCGGTGTTCCATTCTCTGGAGAAGCGACACACAGGAAAGTAGTCAGAGGGTCCTTGTGAGAACTGAGGGTCCTGTTCAGGGTCACAAATACAACGTGTCTTTTGCAACAGCATTTTAAAACCGAGCTTATCCCAACTCTGCGTGAAAGGAGTTTTGCTGCGTTGTCCTGTCCTTAATTTTTTGGCTTTCATGGCATGCTTTGTTTTGATACCTCCTCACGCCAGTACGATACCAGAGACCAGTCACACTTACCTCACACCATGTGTTACCTTTCCCTCCTGAAGCCCATCTCCTTTGTTGCCGCTTACGAAGTGGTTGTGCTTCCCCAGCGCACACACAGACCACGCTGCCCACCAAGCCGCGTCAACACAGATGGCTATTTCTGTGCACAATATCCAACAGGGCACATCTTGAAGAGCTGTCTCCAATGCCAACAATTCAGCCACAAGTATGTCAGCGAGGTGTTTCAGAGTACTGGATGATTGAAAGAGCAGTGTCGGGCTTGGGCATGCACTGGTCAAGCGGTAAGTAGAGGCGCGCTTTCACCGATGTTAAGCATACTGAATGTGGCAGGTTGATGATGGCTAACTCCGCCTGAATTGATTTAATTCAGCGCGGCTTCGTACGAAGTCCTCCCTGGATAACGATCGTATTCTACTTGAGACCACAACGACCTGGTTGACAAAGTCTAGAGCTTGTTATGGGTTCTTAGAACACAGCGTGAATGTACTGGACTCTTGGAGCCCTCTAGACTCAGACAGCAGTAAAAGCTAACCCGGGCGCGCCACCCTGTTCTTCAACTCATTTCGCGGGAAGTGAGAGTTCTTTCCCTACTCCAGATGCTTCAGCATGTACGGACCCGCATTAGATGTCACACTGCAGTCAACTGAAAGAAGGGATCATGGAAACTTTGGTTTCACCACAAAGCAAAATGTACTTCGATGCTTTCACGTTGATTTTGTGTACATCATGCCTTATTTAGGCGCGCTATTGCGCACCCTCCGAATGTCAACCACGATCTCCAAGCACGCCCTCCCCATCTACCGGTATATGCCCACTGAGCTCACAAATGCCTATGGCACGCACTGCAATAATGGAACATTGATGGACCCGCTTGCAGTTGGTTGTAGAACTAATATAGAGTGCTCGCCTTGATGTTGCTGAATGATCACCTCTTTTCACATTGGTGATAAGACGGCGCATAACTTCTGCAAGATTCACCAGATGGCATGCGGTCTGAAAGTAAAGACGTCTTGGCTCAGGGTTGCTCTGATGACCTGTTTCTGGTGCTAAAAGTGTACTGCTGAAGCATGGTATCGCTCCTACGGGCGAATAATGGCTCAGGGGCGGTATAAAGGTGGACACCGGCTTCCAAGGTCTCCAATACATGTTGTGCTCGCTTCTTCACATGTCCTAGGTCGTGTATGTGGAAAAAATAGCTTCCAACTGGCGGATATCACGGAAGTGGCGCGCGGGCAGCACTATCGAGCACTACCAAGTATACGCAACCATCGGGGCAGTTGAGGAGGTACATAGTTGGCAGTGAGCAATGATATGTCTCTCATTCAAACTTCTTCGTCGATACCCGATCTGATATACATTCCTCGCTCTACGTCCAAACACTCATTGGCCCACAGAACCGCCTCAAGGGCACTCCCGTCTTCGTCTTCGGCGGCACATCAGGCATTGGCTGCACTGTCGCCAAGACGGAACTATCCTACGGCACGCGAGTAACGATCTCTTGCTCAGAGCAACCCAAATGCGACACCAAAGCGAAGCAGCTCCAAACCGTCAACCCGAATGTTGCGGGCTTCGCCTGTGATCTTTCCAACCTCGCCAACCTCGAGGTAAATCTGACGGTTCTCTTCAACAAGGCCACCGGGGGTGTAAGCAAGAACATCGACCACATCGCCTTCACAGCTGGTGACTCCAAGTCTCCATTAAAACTGCAAATGTGAAACATACCATTCCTGGTGATCCCCTGAGGGGATTCAATGTACGCCTCGTCGCCCCGAGCATCATCGCCAAGCTTTTCACAACCGGCAAACACGTGCCGCAGTCCGTCGACTCATCGTTCACGTTGACCGGTGGGACGAACATGCACGAGCCGTTCCCTGGCTGGACATTCGTTGCCGCCGTCATTGCGTCTGCTGAAGGACTTGTGCGAAAATTGGTGGTGGACGTGAAGCCTGTTCGTATTAGCATCGTTACCCCTGGGGCTATTCAGAGCGAGTTGCTGCAACTGATGTTGGATCGAATGGGCGAGGAAGCAACAGCGAAGTGGATATGGGAGAACAATTTGACGTTTGCCCTTGAATAGCCCGAAGAGATTTCCGAGGCGTATGGATATGTGACGAAAGACAAGTTCGCGGACAAAAGTCAGGTTAAGGGTGATGGTGGAAGGGTATCGGTCTAGCTAGGACGTTGAGGTGGTTTTGAGTAGCCCTCCAAGTGAGAATCATCTTCTCGATATTGATTTATTCTCGATGATTTTCTTTGATCATACCGTCTATCCACTGCCTGAATCGAACCTTTCTTTCAGCTTCGGCCATCGTGCTTCAGGGGTATCGAGATCACTCGCCCTTAGGGTTAGCGCCATATACTTACTCATCAATTCGTTTGCCACTTTTCTGTTGGGGTCTATAAAGAAGTAACTATCGCCCTGAGGTGATGGTTAGTGAAGCTCTTCGAAGGAGTGGGTGCGGCGCTATCGCAGTCGCAACGATCGAAGCAATAAAACAGGGTACAAACATAGCAATCCGTATCCTCCGTGATCGCGTCTAGAATGAAGCAAAGTATCGCCGAAAACATCATCAGATCCAGTCGCTGTTGCTACTGTCCAACTTACTCCTGCATTACTGGTCTCCGCCTCTTGTACAGGCGTAGCTGCAACAATGGCGGCCCAGTCAGTGGTGCGCCAATCGGTAAGCTCCGTTTCCTTGAGATTGTTTTGTAACGGCCCAGGAGGGCTATCAGCGTTTCCTATGTTCGGCGATGGTACGTTCAAGTATGGTTCGAGTCTGTGGACGAACGGTCAAATATAAGCGAGAGAACAAATGGGCTCAATGTGGATATAGTAATCTAACCTGAGGTGGACGATCCTGTTCCACAGACGGCCGACGGGATCGTCGAGCTTGTAGTTGACCCAGCCACAGGTACTTAGTCGTTCCAGTAGTGCTTCTGCAGAGTCGATGTTGAACTCGGCGCATGCCAGCGAAGACTGATGAGTAAACCACGCACTCTCTGCTGAGCACTCGGCTGAGATAGCACCAATGGACAAGATCCAAAGAAGCAGATCCGGACACGATTGCCACTCTGCCCGCGTAGTGCAATTGAGCGCACTTTCGAGCCGCTTGCTAGCGGCGAAGTGTAGCAGGTGGATATCGGACGGTCGTTTAAGCGCTTCGGTCGTCCGTACAGTGAAGATGATTAGCGCAACGCAGAGAGCGCCTTCGAGAGGCGTGATAAGAGGTTCTTTTTCATGGATCCATGCGAGCAGCAAACACTCGAGTGAGCAGGAGAAGTTCTGCACGTCAAGCGCATTAAGTAGACTCTCTGGATCATCGTACCATGCGTTCAAGTCGGCAGCGAGTATCAGCACAGATTCCAGCAACTCAGTAAGGGATTTTGCAAGACCTGCGTAGCAGCACAAAGTGACAAGATGCTGTGAATAATTCGGGCTGTAGCCTCGTGGATGGTGAGGAAGATCTGCCGCGCGGATGTACGTTAGAGTCGTGGGGTAGGGTGCATTGAAATGTGCTATCGCGTGAGCTGTAGTATGCCTGATGCTCAGTAAGCACTTGCCAATCCCTTTTGGGCTACACCGCCAAAGTGAGGTGTTACATACCAAAGTATAAAGGCTTGTAAAATGCGATTGGTGCCAACAGCTTCTAAGCCGCCGCGCAAACTCAGCATCTCTCGCAGGCCGGTCAAATGCATGTCCATGGCATTTGGCTGTTCGTTGAACGGTATCTCATTCTTGAAGTGGGTCATCATCAGACCTTCCTCCACGGTCAAGAGGTTAAAGACGGTACCAAGAGTTGCGTCCGATACACGAACAGCAAGATCCTGTGTCGACAAAGCCTTATTTACTGCCGAGATAGCCTTTGCGCGGTGATCAAGGATTGATTTCACGGTACCTTTACCAAAAACGAACATGTGCAATGCAGCTGTACTGAGCAAACTATGCATGAAGCCTTTGTTACTCAGTGCGATGTCGAACCACTCTGACTTCATCAAGGTCGACTTGCGTCGAACATCAACTCCAATCACTCCGGGAACCATCTCATGGACGACTACGTGATCACAGTCAGCACTATTCGGCCCCCGAGAGTTTGAGATTGGGCGCAGGGATGCGTCACAATCTCGCACGAGTCTGTCAAGAACTCGGTTTTGAGTGATGTCTAGAGAAAGGACGGTAGGACTCTGCAGATTTGGCGCTCCTTCTCGTAATCTTTGGTAATTATGAGACATAAACTTACAATGATCAAGTAGCTCTGACATCTCCCTGTCTAACTTGAGAGCCGAAGCCCCAAAAGGATCAAGAGTACTGTTGTTCGGTTCTTTTACAGAACCAGTAGGTAAAAGTAAGACGCACTTCGGGCACAATGTTTGCCCATGGCGGGCAACAAAGATTTGACAATTTGAGCACACACCTCGCTCGAACATGCCAGAACTCGTCTGTTCAAAAGCTGGGAAGTAGCCATTTCGACTGGACTCAGAAGTAGGACTCGACGACGCTGTATTTGGAGTTGATAGCGAGTTGGGTGTGCCTACACTTGGGGGGCTCGCACTTCCTTGGGCCCTCTGCTTTGCGGCTTGCTTGCTCGTGGACCATGGCCGCGCCCTCCTCGCCTTCTGCATGACGAACGAGCGAGCATTGCGCCGTCCCTGGCGCGATGCCTTTGCTTCAGATGCATCGACGAACAAGAAGTCTTGTTGGATGGGCACAGTCGGCTGAGAGCGTTTCACGGCCTTGGCGTTGTGATCCTGGCCCTCCATTACACGTTCTGGGAAACAGGACCAGCAAGTTGTCGGTTTGCTGACCTGATCTCGTTGGTGGTGGAGGTAGTGCAAATCAGCAGGGCGCACAAAATCGTGAGATGCAAACGATATCGAAGCCAAGAACCCGCAATCAACTCTCGCTCGCCACTATCATCACTCGAATGCGCCTTGAACGGTGCCGGGCTGCGATTACCTCGTAGTGACGGTGTGCCTGGAAACCCTGGAGGGGCTGAAGCTGTGGAACTATTAAAGTCCAGATTAGTGTTAGGCTGCTGAAGCGAGCTCGGAGCTGACAGGGTGGTGACGACTTGGATCTCGTGTTTCGTCAGTCTTTGTCCTGCCTCCAAATGCTGTTTGGGAATACCCAAGAGACAGCAGGTGTGGCGAGCGGGGGCATGTAGTTCTTATTTGAAGCTATGCGGGTCTCATGCTGAAGAGGACAACAATAGGATCGTTATTAAGATGGCGTTCGACGAGCATGGGGTTGGTTAAATGAGCAGATGCTTTCTGACTTCCGGCGAACGGGCGGGTTATGTCAACTTAAGGCTTCTAACTCTGCCCGAGCCGGAGGACGCAATGTCGAAAACTTTCCTTCTTGATGTACGACCTTTTGGGGCGCGCGATTGGTGTAATGGGATAACGTTCGACTGACCGACGACGAGCAACGTGACTGGGCGTTCCAGGGCTGAGTGCTGTAACCCAAGATTAATCTTCCAGTGCTTTCTGGGCCACTCCCAAATATGAACAACCGAGCACTTGTCAGTTGTCATCAATCTGTTGCATTGGGACGACACGTGGTTCCCTAGCGTCAGCGGCGTTCACGTTGGTGATCTGCGCTTCCTGGTGTTTTGGTGGTGCTCGATGCCTTGCGGCATGGGACCGCACCTTCCCGAGGCTCTTTGTCAAATGCGGCGAGACTATGTGACGCAATTTGCGATCTTGCTACCACCGCAACCTGAGCGCAGCATTGAGTGAAGTAAACCTTTGGGACTGAATAACAGGAAGTTGCCCAGGCCTGGGATTATGTAAGGTGCAGGCTCACGGAATCTGGGTCCGGCACCGGTACCATTACCTGTTGGCAAGAGCACCTCGGTGGTCCAGACGCGTTTCCCAGCTTCCGGAGTCCCGGCCACAACGACATGACGAATGGCGACGGTCTCGTAGAAGGTGAGTCGCACGGCATCCCTGAGTTGGATTAAAAGTCCGCAGTAGTGATTGTGTACTGATTGATTGCAGGCCTCTCGCACTTCACCGCCGATCTTCTGCGCAGAGAGCTGCAGCGCCGGCAGGAAGAAGTCGAGAAACCGGAGTGCGGATCAAAGGGGGGAAAGAAGCACTATAACACCGGAATTCACGTGTTTGCCTTAGTTCTTATTCTCGCCTTGAGCACGGCAGGTGCGTCTGGTCGCGGTGGATATTGCCCGCGAGTAACTAACGGTGAACAGCTTGCTCTTTCCCTATCGTCGTGAAGCGATTCCCTGACATCCCCGTACCCTCACGATTCCTCTTCCTCTCACGACACTTCGGCACCGGCGTGCTCATAGCGACTGCCTTCGTCCACCTCCTCCCCACCGCCTTCGAGTCCCTGACCGACCGATGTCTTCCACATTTCTGGAATCGAGGCTACCCGGCCATGCCGGGCCTCATAGCCATGACAGCCGTCTTTGTGGTCGTGGGCATTGAGATGTTCTTCGCCTCGAAGGGTGCTGGACATTCTCACGCAGTTGACTACGACACACTCGGCCAGGACAACCACCACGCGCACGATCGGCCAGGTCACAAGCGAAGCCACAGTTTCGGACGATACAGCAGTGGCGCCAATGGGAATGTACCAGGCATCGTATTGCATGAAGTAGACGTGGAATCGTCTGAACAATCTGGTCTTATGGCAGGCCGTTCTCCAGCCCTTTCAATGGTGTCTCCTACCACACCAACTGCGCCGAACGGTCACGCCGCCCGACGAAGCATTGACAGTGATGACGACTCAGACCTAGACATCAGCCCTGAAGAACTCGCCAGACAACAAGAGGAGGATGACCTGGAGGACGAGTCTCAGCTGCTGTCACATCCACACGCGCTCAAGCGAACTCATGACACCCGCGACCCTTCGCCCGAGACACCTGAGAAGACAGAGGCGCAGAACAAGAAGCTGCTGTTGCAATGCCTGTTGCTTGAGGCTGGTATCTTGTTTCACAGTGTTTTCATTGGCATGGCTCTGTCTGTAGCGACAGGAACCTCGTTCATCGTACTACTGGTGGCTATCTCCTTTCACCAGACATTCGAGGGGTTTGCACTTGGATCACGTATTAGCGCCATTCGCTTCCCTGCTGGATCGCCTAAGCCTTGGCTTATGGCACTGGCCTACGGCACAACGACTCCAGTAGGACAAGCAATTGGCCTCGCAATTCACACCCTCTACGATCCATTCAGCCAGACTGGCCTGCTGATGGTAGGCTTCATGAATGCAATCTCAAGCGGGCTGCTGCTGTTTGCTGGTCTCGTAGAGCTTCTCGCTGAAGACTTCTTGAGCGACGAGAGCTACGTCACATTGCAGGGCAAGCGACGACTGCAAGCTTGTGGTAGTGTTGTAGCGGGAGCGGTGCTTATGGCCCTAGTCGGCGCTTGGGCATAGACTTCTTTCTCAAATAATAGATACACAATAAGCCGCACGGCGCCTTCGAAACCTCCTGCTTAAACTATCAACGTTCTCATTCCTCAGTAAAAGCTTTGATAGTTCATCGGAGTCGTTGATAACATTCTACAGATCGCGCAACGTACACCAATGCTAGACATAGGCCTAGACGCGTGACAGCAGAGCTCTGAGACGAGTATCAGATTATGAGAGTGTTCAATGTGCTGAAAACCTCGTGGGTCGGGTTCATTCGTGGCACACCTTCACCTACATGTGCAGAGTACTTATATTCATTTGTTCTGTAAAGAAACTATGTTGCAGAATCTCTATCAACAACTCGACTAATGAGTCTCACATCATCCCTGGCGCAATTGGTAGCGCGTTCGGCTGTTAACCCGTCGCAGTCATCTAAGGTCCATAGGACTTGAGTGTCTGTAACGGTCTCGCCACCGGAAGGCTGTCAGTTCGAGCCTGACTGGGAGGGTTTTAGTTTTGCTTCTCTGTCACTTTGCCCATTTCAGCGACCCACTACCTGCTTTCGCATGTGCCAGCACCCTCGCTATCTATCTTTTTGCATCTCGCAACAAGGTCGCTGATGTGCTTATCCCTGCTCTCCTCACTCAAGCCTAGTAGCGCTTCTTCCAGGTTGAATAGGTACTCTCTGTTCTCTCCACTGGGTCCCTTGCTTTTGAGTATGTGCTTGGCCAATGCTTCCGGATCCTGTGGGCCAAGGAACTGCGGATTCTCGGGTAGGCCAATATATACCAAGCATTTGATAGGCTTCGAGTCCAAAGCAGGGTGGAACGGCGTGAACTGTATGCTATATCCGTTGATTTCGCGGATATCGAGATACTCCCTGACCTCCGCGACTTTGGCTGCGGGGATGTGGTATGCGGCGCCCCACACGCGCTCGGTGGGCTCATGCTGAGGAGGTTAGGTAATGTCTCTAAACCTCAGGTGGTATCGTGGATGAAGCCTGGAGGCACTCACATGGTCAGACAGCGTGTCCCAGTGCGCGCGGTCAATGAGCGTTGCTACACGCCCGGGTGCTTCGGGTGTGCCTCTGTGGTCCTCACTCCATTATGTTAGGTCTCAGCCGATTACATGAGCTGACTTGAGATTTACCTTGCCTGCGGAGGTTCTTAGTCAGATGTCCCATCTTCTTTCACAGGCTGTCGTACCTGCCAAAAGCGTCGAACGTAACCTTCGATGTAGCCAGGTACTCGCTGATCTGCATTGTGCTGTTAGTACATCATTATCTTGATCTTCTGCGTAGCAGCAGTAGTACCGAAGTGTGGCGGTGGCTTCCATATCAGACTTCTGCACAATTGTCAGATGTGATCGTTACTCGTGATGTCTCCTTTTTCGTCGTACCCGTACCCAAACAGCCAAAAGTCGTCGTTGTTTCCGAATTCCTCTATCTCTTTCTGATGACCTGCCATGTTGGTATCGACTCAAACTGGTGTAAACGTCGGACGTCGAAATGTTGTCCGTCAATGACGTGGGGCGTAAACAGTGGGGTGGGGCATATGCAGGGCAAGTTGCGGGTCAATTCCGATGGCGCGATCTGATGCAATTGAGGTCTACACTGCGCAAGACGTGTTCCGGCTGCAGCTGGTATTTATACAAGTCAAAGTATACAGTAAATAAAGTACAACGTGCTACGATCCACCTGCTGCTCTGCTCATAAAGAAGCTCTTCAACGGGCCCATGGCATCTACTGCCCTCAGTCCAATGCTCCTCAGTCCTACAAGCGGTCCAGACTCAACGCTGTACAATCGGTGCAGCTTATCGCAAACGCCTAGCATGGCGTTGTTCTCGGCGTATCGCTCGCTGTTGTAGCTCTCCAAAGCTAGTGTGGAGCCAATATCCTGACCAGTTCGTACCGCGTGTGATATAGTCTTCACCAGAGCTGCAGCATCGCCTTGACCTTGATTTAGGCCCTGCCCTGCGAGCGGGTGTATTGTGTGGGCTGCGTCGCCAACAAGAGCGACTCGTTCGCCAGTGTATGTGTCGGCATGGCGCATGCGGAGAGGAAAGCCAGCAACGGTGCCAGACTCGACGTCAGTGATGCGCATCGGTATTCCTCGTTCATTGACGGGTGTGTGCTTCTCTCGCCATGCCACCTCCTCGGCTTGTCCCTTCTCGAGGGTGTGCAGGTACTCGAGATCGGTCATGGATAGTCTGAAGCCTGCATTGACCATAGCCACAAAATCTTCTGGCGCCAGTGCCTTGAGCCTAGCAGCACGTTCGGGTGTTGTACTCCACACAAGTGTCGACTTGTTGCCTGGGAGAGGTAGGAGTGCCAGAGGTCCCGAAGGCAGGAAGCGCTGGTATGCGATCTTGTGCTCTGGACCCCCCCAGCCTTGCCCTTCGACGCTCAAGCTCGCTACCACGCCAAAGCGGTTGTAGTCGAATCCTCGTGATTCGATATCTGCAAACGTCCGAACAGGGCTGTTTGCGCCATCTGCTCCTACAAGCAGCCTCGCTGCCAGTGTATTGCCGTTCGACAATGTAAGGACAGGCCATGATGTGAGGTCCATCTGCTCCGTATCGGTGCCCAGCTCAATCGAGTCCACTTTGGTCGAGGTGAACATGTCCACGCCGCCCAGTTCCTCCAGTCGACTTAACAGCATCGTGACGGTGTTCGTGTTCTCGATCATGTATGCGATTGTGGTCGGCTGCGCAGGGTTTCGAGGCGAGAGGAGTGGGCGCGCCGTGTCCCAGTCGAAGGATATACGTGCGTCTGTGACGCCATCCCATACCTGCATCTCCTGGTATGGCTGTACCCGAGCTACGTTTACGTGCTTCCATGCCCCGATCTCTATGTGTATGTCAGATGAGCCTCACTGCAATCGCACATTGCCCGGCGCACCTTGTAGATTTCGCACAGAAGCCGGTGTGAGAGAGCTACATCTATTCGAGAAGCTGCTTAGGCTTGCATCTTTTGACAGCCGGTTCTTCTGCATGTCCTGACCCTCAATGAGAGCCACCTTCAACCCTCTCGTCACTGGCGATGCCTTCAGGCCTGCCAGTAAGCTCAGTCCGGCCGGGCCACCACCCACGCAGACAACATCGTAAACGTCCGGCGCACTTGCGGAGCCCGAGGCGAACCTCCGGCCGAGGCGCACTCGCACGACCACTGCTGGGCGTGCAGAAAGGGCTCGCGGGGCTCCAAAGAGCAGTCGAGGAGGCATTACGTTCTCAGGATGCCCGTAGCATCGGCGGGCGCGATCGATTGGGGAAGGCGAGACTTGGGAGTGGTGGTGTCATAGTGAGCCGCGCATGTTTGCGTTGTTTGGCTGATGACATGAGATGTCGCTCATCGACGAATCGGCTGCCTTCCTGGCGCGGAAAGAGCCGCCCGCTAGCATCTGCATCTTTCGATACTATCAACGTTCCTCTCCACTAGACCTCCGTCCTAGCTTCAACAAGCATCATGCATAAGATTGAGAACCGCCAACAGGCCAGGTCTACTTCCTTTCAATTGTATTCGGACATCTGACAAAGCGTATCTTCAGTCCATAGAGCCTACTCTGACTGGTAAGACCCATTGGGCCATCTCGCAGCCTCACGAAAGCCGGTCTGCCAATGAGCTGCTCACTGTTGCTTACATCCTCATTTCCTATGGATCGAACGTGTCACTTTTCACTTCTATTGCATTACTACCTGTGATCACGTCAGATGTGCTGGCAACCTCCTGGCTCCAGTCTCCCCTCATCTATCCCATGGTTTGAACGGCCAAATAGACTTGGATGTGGAGCTGTGTCGTCAGTGATTGCTTCTGGATCGCTGTTCCTGCAGGAGCACTGGCCCTTCTCTTGAGCCTCCGATAGGCTTGTTGTTCATCGCTTTTACATCATCAACCGCGAACTCCATCGGAGAGACTTACTTAGACTTCTCAGAGCGCCTTCGAGCGCCTTCGAGCCTGTGAAGCGCAGTTCCGAGTTTCTTCAACGCTCGAACGATTGTCGGGACAACATGGAGCAATTCAGCCATGACGTCCGTGTCGACCTCGCCGTCGCTGGTAAGGTTGGGCAGTTCTCGTATAAATACCAATTTTAAGTGTGAGGCCATCGCGTTGAATGTCAATGCTCTAAAATTGTCAACATGAGCCTCACTGAGCCTCACATGGATATACCCTTATCTTCAAGTCTATCTCTCAACGATCTACCCATACACTGCCCTCGATCGGACCTCGGCAGAACCATGTCATTACCATACCTGAAGCAGCGACTGCAAGCCTTTCGTCGAGACAGCATCAAACGACGAAACATCGCACGTGACAACGGCATTACATTCCAACTTGGAGATGACCCAGCGCCATCCTCTGTGGCACTGCCAGCAGCCAATGAAATCACAGGACAATCTCCTGTGATAGCCGTCCGCAGATCACCCTCTCAAAACCGAAAAAGATATCTCGTACAACAGTGGTTAAGTCAGCAGTCAAAACGATTTGGTAGAGTCAGTCGCCGTTACGACTCAGTGGTTCTCTCCCCAGAAGACATCCAGAAAGAGCTCAAGCTACTAAGTAATGATGCAACTCGTTCGGTTGCAGGTCCTGACGGCGAATCACTGCCAGCTTGGGTCATCGACGACTTCTTCAAGTTGCACTCAGCCGGTGGGAGTGGCTGGCAGGAATCAGGGCTGTGGGAAGCCCACTTAGGCAAGTGGGAACATCACAAGCAGTATTGCATAAAGTGCGACCGTAGCTACTGCAGAGCCATGCGTAAGACAGAACATACACCTCCTCTACCGTGTGTTGCACTATTGCCGCCGACTTCACACACATGCTCGGCCCTGAACCAGAACCCGCGCAAAAAACCGAGCGAATCCGATGATGTCCACTTCACAGTTTCAATATGGCGTCGTGGATCCCGTCGACGAAGAGACAAGGGAAAGGAGCCAGCTTTGGATCAGGAATGGTGCAATCCCCTTGATGAATTGCTCATCAGTCCTTGCACGCAAGCGCCAGATCGCCCAAGAGCTCCGCGTACTCCCAGAAATGGCATTGTCATTCAAGAAGCTATTCAATGTCAACGAAGGAAGCCTGTCCGGTGCTTGTTCAGTACGACGCCCCTCGATCCTTGCCAGATACCCGTACCTGCGATTCCTGATTTATATCCTGAGGACTCGGGGACTCTCGACCTCTCTGGCCCCTCTCATGTCACCGGTCGCCCGTACGGTGCATCTCTGCTCCAAGGAAAACGTCTGCCCTTTCCTCTGTGCATCAACCTCTTACCACCACCGACTCCTCAGCTCAAGCCTGAGCAGCGCCTTACTCCCATACCGGAGCCACTGAAGCTCGAGGACCCTTTGCAACTATCCGCGAACAGAGAACTCTTCGACATCCCACCAATCACAAAAGTCAGTCGTGGTGCCACCAAGGTGCAGCGAGGCGGATTTCTGGGACAGGTGAATGCCTCCAGCACTAATCCTTACTCCCTCGTGGACATCCTGCCGAACCCACACAACAGCAGCGCTCCCCTACACTGTTCTCAGACGCACAAACCCATCCACAGTAGCCCAAAGTCCGGCGAATCTCTTCCCACATCTCCCGACTCGCAATGCAACAGTGGCGTCGGCGACATCCCAGACCTCAGTTTTGGCGCTACAGATCCACTCCCAACTCGATCTACCCGACCAACTCGCATTCCCACGGGATCAGCAGACCGCGACAGGAGAAATTGCACGCTCTCGGATACCACGGGGTCGTCCCTGCCGGACTGTCCTGTTTACATGAATGCCCTAGAAGCGAGGAATAGGAAGAATGAGAGGATGGCAAAGAGACATTGGCCTGGGATGTGCATTTGGCGGTATCGTTGCGATGATGAAGACGAGTGAGGTTACGGAGTGTGAATGTGTTGTGATTATTAAGAAACACATGTTTATAGAATTGGTTATAAAAGGCTATTATTGAACGACATGCAAGGGTGTAGACTTTAAGGATGATGTTATCTACGATGCAATGTGCTTGGTGCAAGCCTTCTGTGAGCTCCTCCTGGGCTCGTCATTGCTGGTCCTTGACGTCATGGTTAGAAAGAGAGGTTGGTGTTCGCGTCCCGACTAGCAAGGGATAGATTGAAGGGGCTGAGCCCACGGGATGTCTTACCTTCGTACTGGGTCGTACTCATCTCGTGCTACCTCAAAAAGCTTTCGCGAGTCGCCACAGTGTTACGCCGTGCGTAGTCGCCGGCGACCATGGTGATACTTGAGATGTCTCTTTCAACCTCACACATCTACGGCAAGAGAGAGCGGTGCACACAGCAAATCAGGATCGCAAACTGGGAGAGGATGGTGCAAGATCGATGGCTGATGATGAGAAGTCTTGGGCAATCGCCAAAACTCCACGCTATCGATTTAGAACTCCGGGCTACATGTGATGCAATGCGACTTTGACAATATTAGCCGCACCCTGTGCGTGCGCCTTGCTAATTAAACTCCCAATTTGCTTTCAAATGAGCGGCAAGTACCGTTGGGTATCTGTGGTGCGGTGAAATGACTGTAATGTATCCCGGACGCTATGCATGAAAAAGATCCTAAAGGAAGATGATGCAGAGAAAAGATATCAAGTATGGGGTGTCCAGGGCTTAAAGGAGCACAGCGAAGCCGAAGAACACGCTGCTGAGGAGGACGGCCATGCTGGTCGCTGCGCCAGGGACGAAGATCGCGGCAGCAGCACCAGTAGAGCCAGCAGCCGCAGAGGTCGCAGCGGCACCGCCGAAGCCGGTGACGGGAGGCGCCGTGGATGCGGCAGATCCGGTGGCAGATCCGGTAGCAGATCCGGTGGCAGATCCAGTAGCAGACACGGAGCTCGATGTGGCATTGCCCTTGTAGGGAGACTGAGCACCGCAGGGGTGGTCAGCACGGCAGCTGTTGGCGCAGGTGTTGTCGCCGTTGCAGCCAGTGACACACTGGTTACCCCACTCTTGGCAGATGTAAAAGGGGAGAGTCTGCGAGTATTCGGTGATATTAGGTGAGACGCCGTTTTCGCAAACGCAGGAGTAAGTCAACGCATCCTGAGAATGTTAGCTTGGGTTCTAAGCGATTGTTGGGACTGTTGAGGAGATAGGGGCCAGCCAATCGCGGTCGAGTTCAAACTGAGCACCATGACCTTAATAGTTGACCCTTCCTCCTCACTGTCCCAATCGCGCATAGGAATCGTGAATCCTACAGGGTCGCACTCGTTGTCCTCAGTAGTCGAGGAAGTAATGCCGGGCTGTTGAAGGCAGATGAGCGGGCATTGAGCCGTGTTCTGGTCACACCAGTATTCTGTAACCAGGTCAGACATCAGCCATGATTGTTTTGATGCTTGCACATACGCCTGTTGGCCTGGGAGACGGTGTCCGGGTCAATGCGGTACGGATAGTCGTTCTGAGCAGCGGTCTGAGCCGCGGCAAAGCCGGCAAAGGCAGCAACGCTGAGGGCGAGTGTGGAACGCATGTCGGTGATGTGGTGAGGTAAAGGCTTGAGGCTTGAAGGGGGACTGTAAAAGACAATGAGCTTTGATGTTTCGAGGAGATTGCCCCCAAGTGCGGAGATATAGTGTGGAATGCACGTACCTTTGCCTGCTTGGACACCAAGAGATTAAAAGAGGAGGCGGTCAGCGACAGACGGTTGGCAAACTAAACTTTTGATGAGGTGAGAGTTTCCAAAGAAGAACAATTCTCAACAGCGAGCGTGAGTGCGGTCGGAGAGGCTGGAGGGAGTAGGGCGGTATATAAAGGGAACGATCATGAGGACGGCAATGGCGCACAGTGCATAAGCCCGGGCCTCTCTCGATCCCTTTAGCGTGGAGCTCGGAGGTGGTTTCCCGCCACTTTTGTTGCGGTAGCTGACTCTTCGGATCCCTTTCGGCCAACAGACCCGTGGTGCAGAGCTGCATGTTTCGCCAGATGCTTTGTACTGGTATATCGCGCTGCCTGGTACCTACAATTCGCCGTGGAAAACCATGAACGAGCTTCGAATTGTTTCCCAAGATGGACCCTGGAGGCATTCGGGTGAGCTCCGAAGCAAGGTGTGCAGACCGTCCTTGTGCGATTGTCCAACCACGACGCGTCATTCTGCCGCTGTGACCAGGGTCCCGTGTCTGCGCATCATCCAGCCGTCTTGTTAGAGCGAGGCAAAAGAAGCCAGCTCGTCTTTCGTTTGCTGCCAACAGCACTAAGATATCTGGCTGCAGCGCCGTCCCACCTCAGAGGAATTTATCCACCCCTCCCCTCCCCTCTACGCATTTCTATCTGATATCTTCCGTCTTCCCGTTTGACGCGCCACCGCCTAGTCCGCTACACTGCAGATGGATGGAGCCGGTGAGCTCTGAAACTGTAAACGAAAGCTCCCCATCGCCGTCTCGTGAAGATGGGGCAAAGCTCGCCACCGCTTGTCCTGAGCGGGACTCGGTAGTCCCGCCTTACTGGCAGAGGCACGAGCGCAATGGTAGTCGTCTGAGCTCGTATATCTCTGACGCTGGATCTCGCATTGTGCTCGAGGATCACACCGACGAGAGCTCGGAGCAGTGCAAAGTGCTTTGGGCAAAGCACGTAACGATTGATGATTATGTGGTCGTCAGCGGCACAGCACCAGGACTGGGTGCTTACTCTCCCGGCCAGTACGTGGTGTGGAACTGCACAGTTGAGACACTCGATGTAAGTCCTCTGAGAGCCTCACCCGATTCGAGCACTGGTGTACGCGGCCCACATATTGAGCTTCTACCCCGCAGCCAATCAGTCGAGTTGGCGTTGTCCTAAAGGCACTGGTCATGCAGGGAACTATCAATTTGCATGCACCAGTCCATCTATCTCCAGATGCGCGGAACGGCTTGAGCATTTCACTAACGAACTAAAGGGCGGTCCGATGAAGATACGTAAGAGGTTGGTGATGTTCACGCCTCCCTTTGTGTCTCTGCTTACCCCGCCTTAGGTACTCTGAGTTCGAAGACCTCCATCAGAAGCTCCTCAAGACGTTCCCTCATGCTGTGGGTTCCATGCCACAGTTTCCACCGAAATCAGTAGTGTGTAAGTCACCTGCCTCTCAGCTCACCCCACCTCTTTACACTCAATGCTGACACGAAGGGCATAGCTCGATTCAGGCCGAGGTTTCTAGAAAGGCGAAAGCAGGGTCTTTCGTACTTCTTGAAGTTCGTCGTCAACGTTCACGCTAGTAATATATCGACTGACTTATTTTTAGCTGCGTCCTGCTCAACCCGGAGTTTGCGGGATCACCGGTCCTGAAGGAATTCTTGTTCTCGTGAACCGTCACGGGAATGAGGTGATTGGGGTAGTTGCTTTTTGGATACTGATTGCTGAAGTATGCTATTGGCAGTCGATCATGCCTCACCCTGGAGGTAGTCAGTATAGGCATCACGGAGGTAGCTCCAGGTGCGGTACAGTCCTCCTTCTCTCGAAGATGCATACTCTGTATATAATGTGTAATGACAAGACCCGTATATCGCGCATATCCTCGTGTACACAGAAGAGCCGGCAACAATGCAGAATGGTGGCCATCAGAGTTCTTGTCAAGTTACAAAGTGCACGCCAACGAAGACTGAGCTGACTACTTCATGACTTATGAAACCTAGCGCTTTCAGTCGACTTCGTGCACCTCACAAGCTTCAAACATCGGCATGACAGGACTGTCTCAACCTCGAGATCGCAGATTGATGAGAATGCTGCGTGATTGGCTGCTGTTCAGTGTGGCGTTAGCATTGTCAGAGTTGCTACAAGCTGATTCGATGAACAGCATTTTAAATTACAGTAGGACCTGGAGGACGTCAAATCCTATTTTACGAGGCTTATTATGACCTCGCAGGTGCTTTGGTGAAGGTGAAGTGACCCAAGGTACATGTCGCCCGTCCGTTGCAGAGGCCCTGAGCTCTAGAGCAACCACCCAAACGCCGTCACAGTAGCTTTGCCTTGACCCAGCGCGACGACACCCTCAATAGCAGCTATGTGTCGCAGTGCCTGAAAGATGACCCCGCGAAAGCAGAGAACCCCCAAGCAGCACCATGGCCAATCTCATACGGCCTCCAATGCGGTCGTCGACTGAGCGTCTCGTGCAGAGCCGGCTCAACTTTGCGCCTGTTGCGCCTCCGCAGCAACCCCACAACACCATCGTCTCGACGCGCCGTTCTAGCAAAAGCGGCCCGCTGCTCGTCCTCGGCGACGATGAGAAGACAGTGAAGCAGATTCCCGCGTCGCCAGCGCGTCCAGCAGCGCCTCCCCGCACCAGCTCGAGGAAGCGGCCGTCTGACGTGTTGGACGACCTCCCCGACGCGAGACCGCCCGCCAAAGTCGTGCACCGCGATCCACACGGCGAATTGGTGCGCATCACAAATGGCGTGCAGACGCTGCTAGACATAGACGCCGACGACGTGCCTTCTGGGCGCTCTGCGCCTCGGCCGGGCAGCGCAGGTAAGCTTGCGGTGCCTGCGCCGACCACAGACCCCAGGGCAAAGGACAGGAGAAGCCTGAGGAGCTCAGACGGCGGTTCGCGACTGAAGAGTGACCTCGCTGTATATTTCTCCAGCTACGACGACATCATCGCAGGCTTGCCTAAGCCATCTGGTGCGTCACTTGTTCCTGAGTTGGGACGCCCATTGACCCTTACATACAGAGTTCCTTGACACCGACACGCCCATATACATTGTCGACGAGCCCTCCAAGTCCAAGACACCGGTGCCCGTCTCGCTTGAACCTCTCCGCAAGTCTGCCAGCCCTGCACGGTCGCGCAAATTCAGGGCTGCCACACCTCCGCGCGAACCCTCGGTCCCCTCGATCCCCTCGATCCCCTCGATCCCTGCCTCACAGTCGTCCACTACCTTTCAAGTGTTGGACTACGGCAGCATAGCCAGGCACATTCGAAGCGATGGCACAGAAGACCCACTGGCAGACTCTCACTTCTTCTCTCAACATCGCCGTGCTGAACGCAAAGAGAAGCAGCTGCGCAACATCGAGAAGGAGCGCGCTATGCATGAGAAACAACAATTGGAGCGTCTTCTCGATGGCCTGCAAGGCCCCGATTGGCTTCGAGTAATGGGCATAACCGGTGTCACAGCCGGCGAGACAAGAGACTGGGAGCCAAAACGAGATTACTTCATCAAAGAGGTCGAGGCGCTTGTGGACAAGTTCCGCCAATGGAAACAAGAAGAGAAACGCATAAGAGCCGAGAAGGAAGCTGCACTCGCCGCTCGGACTGAAGACGAGGACGACGAAGGCGAAGAGTCCGAAGCCTCAGAGGTCGCAAAAGTCAACGGAAAGCCAGCATACACAAAGGAGCAACAACCCAAAGAACCAGAGCCGCCTAAACCCAAACGCCCACCGCGACCACATGGCTTCCTTCTACCTTTCGTACCACCCGAACCCACAGCGCCATTTCTATCCTTCTACACGAGACCACATCTACGGGCCGCTGCACTCGGCAAGCATCGTCATGGGCGTAATGCCACAGGCTTCGGGCAAGCCATACCAGATTTTGAGGAACACGAGTTCGAGTTGCCAGACGATTACATAGATCCGCAGTTTCTGCGTGACAATGCGAGGCAGAGACGGAGGAGGCAGAGGGAGCGGCAGAGCGGCGCGACTACACAGACGACATAGCCCTGGCTTCTTTCCTTTCCTATCCGTTTATACCCTTCTTTACAGCTCCGCAAAGCAAGAGCTGGATGTCGAGTGTCATTGTGGCGTTCATGGGTTGGATGCATCGACTGCGCGGTATGCAGGCGGAGAACACATTGTATGATTTCAATGTACAGGATAGACCAAAGCATAGCGTTGTAGAGCTCGTTCTTGTGCATATCTTCAAAACGTGACAACTTCGAACTCGGCAGTTTCCTTCCTTTGGCGGTGTCTGCCCCACTGTTACACTATCTATAGGGAACACATTGGCTGTGCCTGAGCAGCATAGAAGCATGACCGCCGTTTTGTTGTTAAGCTCCCCAGAAAGAAATATGGTCAGTTTCGATGCTGGAACCCAATGGTTCTCACCTCTTCTTATGACATGCGAGATCTCGGGAACGTCACCAAGCGTTGCTTTGTCTCGTCCCTTCCTCTCTGCCGTATGTGACCTTCAAGCAGGTCTCTCAGCGCAATGGGCGAGCTGAAATCTTACGTAGACCCCAGTCTTCACTCACTGGATCTTCAGCACATACGTTCCTCCAAAATGGCTTACTTTTCTTTCTCGAATACTGTTCTTGTCCTCGTTGTGCCCGGCTTGTCCAAAGAAGAGCTGTCCTGTGACACGTTAGAGACCTACAGGGCGAATGAATCGTCGTTTCTCCTGAAACAGAAACGCACCGAAGGCAAGACGTGTACGAGTAATCAAAAGGCCGCATAGATGTGGGTGTTATTCTTCGCGTCGTCTTCGTTCAACCTCTGGTATGTGAAGTATCGCAAAGTCAGCTATGAGCTAGCAAACATCTTAGAAACGATGGAAGCTCTCTCTATAAGCTGTCTTTCCTACGCGTAGAAGCCTCTAGAGACTCTTCCAACAGAGTTGGAGGACTGCTATATATATCCACACATTTGTTGACGCACTGTCTCTCAAGGTCCTTTTCAATTTCGAGAACGGTGTGTTCCAGTGATGATGTCCGCACTGCCACTGTGCGTTGGTCTGAAAACACGAAGTTTCTTTGAGAACCTTGGCAGAGTGCGATGCTGTCTCACACCAGAACGTCTGAAGCTTTGAATAGCAGGCCTTCTAACGCTTGTTCGTCAAACGTTCTTCATAGAGGATAGCATTTGTCAACGCACTACTTTGCATTGGACGATGTAGATACAACCTGCAATGCCAACACAATGCCGTCGGTATAGTTGTTGATCAAAGATGCCACTGCCAGCAACGCATGGTCGGCGCCGGTGTCTGTACTACTTGGTAAGTCACGAATATTTGCTAGCATGTGGATCACCATCTTTTTTATTCTCCGGTGCCAGAATGACTGAGAGCAAACTATATTGCGTCTCTGCGTGCGCTATGCGGGCTGTCGAAAACAAGAACAGATGGATGGTGTCGACGTCTCGATAAATTTCCTCTTCTGCTCTTGTTGGACAGTGACCCTGTTCAAGACGAACCAGGCCAGATGGCATGCTCGTTGCCTGCAATGGTATCTTGTAGCTTTCGTCGGGCGCAGAATGGATAGCGGGACTTGTTTTTTTGCTTGCTAAATTGACCAATGTTACGAGGACCAATGCTTTGAAAATGTCGGCTTCGTATGATGATGATCGGCTGCAAGCTTGCGGTATCCTCAGGAGGTTTCCTACTGATGACGAATTCTTGCTGTCAACAGCCTGACATCTCTGAGCTCAACAGTAATCAGACGAAGTACATAGCGATGTCAAGGGAGTTGTGCGTGTGGGGCAGTGCCGTCCAAACCCTGCAAGCTCAGGAGTTCGCATGTTTGGCATGGAGCTGCTGGACAAGTGGTGCTTAGCCTGATGTTTTCTTGACACATCCGAGATTTAGCAGCCTCTGCCACGTTGCACGCGCAGAAGCTTTCCGACCCGTCAAGACTGGGGACAAGGGAGAAATGAGTGACAAATGACTCGAAAAACTCATCATGGGCGAATGAAGGAATGTCAATAGGTACCGCTGTCAACCTCACGGCCCGTTTCAACCGTCCTGGCGTTATCAAGTTTAGCCGGGGCCGACTAAGCCATGTGGATCACCTTGGCGGGCAGGACCCTTCGACGTTTCTGTCAGCAATCCCCGACGGTGCAGGTATCGCACTCCACAGCGAAGCACGCCAACGATAATGCTTGCCAATCCGTACATTGCAGCGATGCCAGAGAGCAGGAAGTCATCTGCTTCGCTGCAGCTCACACTCACTCTAACATCACCCCCGCCAACATGACAACGGCTCAGGCTGTGTTGCCTCCATTGGCAACTTCAATCCTTTCGACTCGCAATGTACTGACGTTTGTTGTTATATGGATTGCCTACCATGCAATGAAAGCACTCTACAACATCTCGCCTCTACACCCATTAAGTGGCATTCCTGGACCTAAATTGGCAGCAGCAACGTACCTGCCGGAGTTCTACTACGATGTCGTCAAGTACGGATGCTTCACAAAGGAGATTGCGAAGATGCATGAGAGATATGGTAAGCCACGTTGTGGTTGAATTCGAAGGCTGTTAAAATTGACCGCATGGGACCAGGCCCCATTGTCCGCATCAATCCTCATGAAGTACATTGCAACGACATCTCCTTCGCGGACGAGATCTACGCTGTCGGCGGGCGGAAACGCGACAAGCCAGTGCATCAGATCAACGGCTCAGCGTAAGCCTTCCTTCGAATCGCATGATCTGTGCTTTGAACATCGCTGATTTGATTACAGATTAGGACAAGCTGGTTTCGGTACAGCAGACCATGACCTTCATCGTGTGCGCCGCATTCCAGTGGCAAAGTTCTTCTCGCGCGGCATGATTGCAAGGCTGGAACCTGAGATTCAGAACCTGGCGCAGAAGCTTTGTGACAAGCTCCTCCGGGAGTCGGGCCGTAAAGCTTTTGACATCACCATGGCTTACAGCTGCTTCACATCTGATGCGATCTCCGGTTACAGCTTTGGCGAGAGCTTCGGCTTCCTTGATCAGGATGGCTGGTATCCCAACTTTCGCGAACCTTTGGCCTCGATTCTGAAGCCTGTCTTCATCTTCCGTTTTTTTCCATGGACCAAAGCTAGCGCTGGCATAGGCAAATATCTGGTCGACTATATGCCACCAAGCACCGCTATGATGGTCCGCACACTGCAGATCGACCTCCCGGAAAAGATGAAGAAGGCCAAGGCCGATATCGATGCTGGAATCAAGTACGATCGACCAACAGTTTTTGGCACTATCCTTGAGTCAGATTTGGTCTCATTGGAGAAAGAGCCACAGAGGCTAGCCGACGAAGCTGCTGGTGTTATCGGTGCTGGCACAGAGACCACGAGCTGGGCAATGTCTGTCATCACTTATCATCTCTTGACTAAGCCAGAACTCCTCACAAAGCTCCAAAGCGAGCTGCAATCAGCCGTCAAAGACCCGAAACAGCTGCCTCCATGGACCGAACTCGAGAATTTGCCATATCTAGGAGCTGTCATCCAAGAGGGTCTCAGACTATCCTACGGTGTCTCGGCTCGTACCGCCCGCGTGCCAACTGAGGAAAATTTGATATTCCGTGGAGAATGGAACAAGCGATCTGTTGAATACATCATCCCTCAAGGCTACGCAGTGGGCATGTCAGCTGCCGTTACACATCACGATGAGAAGGCGTTCCCTGACTCGCATGCATTCATCCCTGAGCGATGGCTAGATGAGAACAACAACCGAAGGAAGGATATAGAGCGTAGCATGCTCGCATTCTCCAAAGGGAGCCGCTCTTGTCTCGGCATGAAGTAAGTGTTCTCAGTTAGCCGAGAAGATGCAATGCTAACGTTTGACAGTCTCGCATTGTGTGAGCTCAATTTAAGCCTTACAGCGCTGACTCTTCGTGTCCTGCCCCACATGCACCTATTCGAAACGACGCCTGAGGATCTGGCCTACGATCATGATATGTTCATCCCGATGACCAAAGACAACAGAGGCGTGCATGTGACGGTAGACTAGACCGGAGGTGCTAGGATGATCTACCGGGAACACACGGCCTGGTAGGTACCCAGACAATATCAATAATCAGCGGGCCAAGCACTTTGTTTTTACCCAACATACCAAACCCTTGATGTTCTTCGCGTCTCCATATTCGACACGAGTCATGACATACTCAATGCGGTCTGACAATAATGTTCCGCACTGGCTCGGCGTCGGCCGGAATGCTGTCTGAGACACGTCAAAGTCGCGGGATCCGTCCGAACCAGGTTTCCGTCCCGGGCTTCCGTTTCCGTCCCATGCAGAAGGCTTATTCACCATCTCAATTGACCGGCGAGAGCCCTGGAGCGCGACTAATCAGTAGCCGGTATAATTAGAGTACGGGCCCCTCTCAAGTTCGCACGCAATGTTGATACTTCCAACCATTTTAACTAAATGCCTGCTAGAGGTATGCATGTACAGAGTACCTGTGGCGATTATATCCAGATCATGGTCTACTCTGCTGCATCTTCACCCACACGGGTAAATCCGCCCGATCAAGCCAGTTAGAGAGCGGCACTTAATTAGCGCGCCAAACTTAGATCACATCTCAGTAATCCTTCACTTTACCAGCTCGTCAAAGGTCTCCAGAAGCCGTGCATGAATCGTGCAGCCAGAGATTGATGCTCCTTACCCAGAGACGTTTTAGGCGACATTTCTGGCAACTCAATTCCGTCACAGAGGCCTCGGCGCTGAACACAGCTTTGCTCACAGTGCAAAATAAGCGTGTGCAAGAGCTGCCCTATGCATCAATAGCACCAGGTTGAAGTCGCTGTCAAACACCTCACCAGACCCGAGGTGCTGCGACCTGCAAAGCCGAGGGCTCAAAAGTAGGTGGAGTTGAATGCTTTGCTTTGCTTTCACATCACAGCCTGCCTCTCAACTCGATCAGGAAGTGCTGCTTCGAGAAGTCTAATGGGCCAATTTTGGCGTACAGGCCTTGGACCCCGGTTTTCAACATATGCCGCCGCCCCTTGCCGATCGTCGATCAGCCGATCGTCCTGCCACCCCGAAGGCAAGAAGTAGCAGCGCAGTACAAGGGAAGTTTTCACGGCAAATATCATCATAAAATTCCGAGTTTGAATCTCTGCGTGGACGGATATGGAAGTTGTCCGGCTTTCAAGGGCCTAATTTCAATACTCCAGTACAAAGCGGCAGAGCGCGGCAAAGCGGCAGGGTCATGCTATGATCAGTCGTCTAGCGCGATACTCGACGCTTGCGCATGACCTTCACTCGGAACGTGCAAAGGGTATGCCAATCTGTTCATGGGTCTGGATGCAACGTCGTTGAAATTCTTGATGGGGACGGGAGACGCGGCTGCAGCGACTGACTCTCCAACGTCCGTGCCAGGATATCGAAATGCTTGGAACCGGAACCGGATCCAGGGAGAATCGACTGGGATATGGCCTTAGATATCAAGGTCTGCAAATATTCCCCACAGTCGACGAGGACAGGCTTCCTTGAAATTGTTGAGCTGCGACACTACCCTTGTGCCATACTGGGATGTATTTTCCGCCACTGCCCCCAGCATAGACGGTTCGAACGATTTAAGAACTCCAATTGTGGTGCAAGAAGAGCAACGATCGACACTATATCACCCATGCTTGCCATACCCGCTTCGGGGTCATAGTGGTCTCAGATTTATCATCGTATAAAGTGGACTGGCCTTCTGTGGCATCGCACCTTTTGGGATTTTGGAGACTGCACTCGCCCATCAGCTGTTCCCCAGATCAACGGCTATGGAGAATCCGAACGTGGATCCTGATGCGAGAATCATCGCTCCAGACGGATTGCCGTTGACCATCATTGTCATTTCGTGTGTCTTCCTTGGTCTCTCGATCATATCTGTGTCTCTAAGGGCATATGTTCGTCTCGTGAAGGGTACGTTTGGTTTGGATGATGCTTTTGTTGCAATTGGCACGGTAGGACAAGGCTGGCTTATCAATAGGGACACGCTGAAATTGTCATAGGTCGTTTATACCGCAGTCATCGGACTAGCGATCTACGGGTGTCTCGTTGGCCTCGGAAGACTGGAGGAAGATCTGAACGCCTGGCAGTGGGCTGAAGCCATGAAGTACTACATCATCTGGATCCTGATGTATGTTGTCGGCCTGGCTTTGATAAAGTCGTCTATTTGCATCACCATACAGCGTATTGCCTCGACAAAGAAAGGTCTCGTCTATGCTGTCTGGGCTCTGCTTGCCGTGACATGGGCATCCTTTCTCATCACCTTCCTCGGAACGCTGCTCTACTGCCAACCGATTCGCGCAATCTGGACACCCGCGTTGATCATTAGCGGAGAAGGAACATGCGCTCCAGTCGATACTTTCGTAGTCATAGGCCACGTCGCTACGGTATCAACGATCGCAACGGATCTGGCACTTGTCGTCGTACCCGCGGTCATGCTGTGGAACACGCAGATGAAGAGACAGGCAAAGATCCAGGCTTTTGGGCTGCTATCATTCGCATCAATCGCATCAGTCATCACCATGGTCAGGATTCCTTATGTGAACAAGTTTGAAGGTGGGGTGAATCTGCAATGTAAACCCACCCTGGAGGGATTCGACTAAACATTACGCTAACTGATCACAGTCTGGGTCTCTCACACCATGATATGCTCTAACATCGAAACCGGCATCGGCTGCATAGCCTCCTCGGTCCCCTCATTACGGCATTTCTTCCGGCGCAACGTCGATGGGAGCTCTGGTCCCAGCAACAAGAGGAGTGGGACAGGAACTCAGCTAGTGAAAGTCGGAGGATCACGTCAGCCTAGAAGACTGCGCGACAGCTTCCGCAATCCTACAGATATTGGGTTCAGTCTATCGACCGTGCATCATGGAAGAGCTGATGATAATTGGGAGCGATTGGATGGGGATTCAGACAAGAGCGATGTACCGATTGACCCGAAGAGGATATATGCTGAGCGCAGCTATGCTGTGGAAATTGAGTCGGACTCGGAAGTAAGGAGACAAGATCACAGACATTCACATGGATACGCCGTGTAAGCAAGTGCGCAGTGTGAATGTAAGAGGAATGAGATAAAATCATGATTATTACAGGTGAGAGTCACTATGGAATATGCTCCGTACTGCCAAGCAAAGGAAGGCCCGCAGCACATGTAGTGAGATTGCCGTCACATCCCGTAATCAGAATCACCATTTGATTACGCCTGCTCTAAGCTCTGGATCCTCGTCACCTGCCTCGCTCCGGATCTCGACCTTGCGAAAATTTGAAACACTCATGCTATAATCCCCCTCATCCTTGGAAACCCAGAACTCGAAAGTGATACCCTTGTGCTCTCCATGCTCAAGAGAAGCACTTCCACCGCGTTTGAGCAAGCTCTGAGCTTTCTCAGCCGTGTCGGTGCCTCTCGCAAAATCCTGCCGGAACCGAAAGCGGGCCTTGATATTGCCAAATTTGTCATCGAAGGAACCGTGAATGGTGAATGTCTCTTCCTCGACATCTTCCAGCCAGGCTTCGTTCCCATTGGCAATGATAGATTTGTAAACAGAGGTGTAGTCAATCTTCTCGTGCTGACCGCAAGCATCCTTGTAGAAACGCTGATGATTGCACATCCAGATGTAGCAGTCCTTGAAGTTGTCAGGACACTGCTTGCGGTGAATCTCGATGATTTGATGGGGCAAGAAGGAGCAAGAGTAGGTCTGGTAATGAGCACGCAGGAGGGCCAGCAAACTCAGATCGATTGGTCCGACACGAGATCTGAAAAAGCTGGAGCTGTACGAGACGATCAGTTGTCTCGACGCATACTGGTATTCATTCTTGGCTGGGTATAAAGCGTGGATGAAGCCGCCCAGAAAGTTGGCATGATTGCGGACGGAACAGTTGGTGAGCCAGACAGGGCGGCATTCTGTACGAATCTGCTTGCAAGTCTGAGCGAGCGCAAATTGGAGTTATGTCAGGGATCGAGTAGGGTATTGGAAGTTCAGGTACAGCGGACAGTACGGTGCAAATGTGTCCTCACTCGAAGTTACTTCGTCGAAACCCTCTAGACCGTCGAACAGTTCGCGAGTCTTTCGGCTTTCTACAGGATCTCCTTCGATAATATATTGCACAAAGTCGTAGATACGGTTACGAAGCTCTGTAGCAAATAGTCAACTTCATCCTTAAGCACTGTGACAGTCATTGTCAGACCTGGTGGGAGCTCAAGTAGTAAGCATCTGGCCTTCTGTTCGCCGCGCGCTACCTGCCCGCCGGACGCTTCACCTAGCAACTAACCAACTGCCTTTTTAGCACGCTTGGCTCCTGTCTGACTGAACGTTAAATCTGTCAGCAAAAGCACGTGGTGTGGCGTCTGGTGGAGCTGCCAGTGACTCACGCCATGTTTGTGCGAGGTGAAAGACCTTGCCGGCGTGGGCGCTGCACGAGTTATGCGTGGTGAAATGTGATGGCCCCAGCAGATGACAGTAGGTGAAGCAAAGGCACAGGCGGCGAGATTGAGCTGGACGCCAAGGAAAGCTACCAGTCGAGCCATGAGGCAGTCATAATCGTGTTGAAGTGGAGAAGGCAGGAACGCGGAACTGACGTGGCGGGCAGAGCTGCTCGAGAACAACGAGCAAATAATCAGAGGAGCTCTGGAGTGAGTTCTACGGCTATGGAAGTGAACGAACACGCAGCGTGCACCACGCACTAATACACCGTGAAAATGACACCTTCACTGAAATCAGCCAGGGCTCGGCTGTTCAGACCGCTACAGACAAACTCATCAACCCTACCGCTTCTACCTTCTCGATATCTCCACAAGCAGCTCGCGTGACCTCCATTCGTGTGTACACATACAACGCGATCTTTCGGTTACGCATTGCATGGACTACTACCGGTGCTCGGACGAAGCGTTGCGTCGAGAACTTGACCGACGTCACTTTGCAACATACGGCAATCACGATCTGCTGAGCGAACAGCTTCGAGCAGATGATGACGCGAAAGGCTCTGAGGCTACAACTGTGACAACAAGGTATCCTTCAACATGTGCGTCACGCGAGATCAACCTCATGCGGACAGCCGAGTTCGGCCAAACAGTACCGGCAACGCAGCTGGTGAACCAGAGTACGCGCAGACACAATTCGAGAACACTGAATACCCACTGACCGTAGGCCAGGGATCATATACTGGAACTTGAACACCTTCTTTCCAGCACTCCAGCTCTTCTTCGAATCCGGGTCATCATGTACGATTGATGGCGGTCGACTACCCGGCGCCGTCATTGGCCTGGATCCACAACTCCGGTTTCGCTTAACAGACTGCACGCACGAAGAGCAGGGTCGATTCACCAAGTGCATCGTACCGGACAAGTTTGCGCACTCGAGCGCCGGCATAAAGATTGTGGAAGCGACAGTCGCACAGCGGACTAGCGTCGCGGCGAAGTCCCGAGCATCGAGTGGCTTGCTTTCGACATCGGAGACTCAGCATCTGGATATCATGCAGGAGGCTCATACTGTGGTTGGGCTGCGACTAAGTGGTATGACCGACATGGGTTATGTCTGGGCCAAGACTGAAGCACCATCAGCGCAGGCTGGAAATCGTAAATGGGGAGACGTGAGACTCGCTGGTCTCAGGAACGACACCCCAGCGTCCTTTTTGGGGCTTCCAGCTGACTTGCCCAAGCCCGGTGGAGAGCTGATGGTGGTAGAGAAGGGCACTATGATCATGCTGCCAGCTGTGACTCCCAGTGGGCTCGATAGGCTGGGAAGACCTTGGATATGAGTAGGAAGACAGGTTTATGGTATCATGTCTCAGGGACCGCGCCAGTGCGGCGTTGGTAATCTTCCAAGACCCGTATTTGCACTCTGTCAATGTTAGCGTCGATCCACATAAAAATGCACAGGTACCACAACAATGTGTAGGAGGGCTACATGGTGCAGCCGAAGAGTCCAAGGTGTGAGAGTGCAGACGTTGTGGAAGACTCGGATGCTGGGCAGTCAGCACGGCTGATGCACGAAGTTCCAGCTGAACACTGAACAGCCGGCAACCAGTCTTGAGTCGGCCATGACTTGCAATGAAACCTGTCCATTACCGGTACCCAAGCCTTTTGTGTACAAGACTATCAAGCGCAGGCTGCGGATGTAAGGAATGAAGTGGGGTATACCTCAGGCTCTGACATAAAGGTACCCACTCCCCGCAGCCTTTAGGCCGAGAGCTTCGTTCTTCCAATTCAACCCAGCATCTTTGTTTAGCACATATCTTAAGTAGGAATATCTGTCACCGCTTCCTTACTCACGCTTACAGCTCGCAGCTACTTCACAAAACATACCCGGAACATCACAATGTCTCAGAACGGTGCACAAGCCGTCGTTCTCTACCCCCGCAAGGACGGAGCGACGTTCGACCTTGACTACTACCACGCCACACACATGCCGCTCGTCCAGGACACATGGACACAGCACGGTCTTCAGTCTTTCAGCATCATCCAGCTGGCCCCAGACAACCAATACAGCATCGCCGCGATTCTGAACTTCGAGAGCCAGGAGCACTTGGGCAAGGCAATGGGAGACCCGGCCACGAAGAAGGTCATGGACGATATCCCCAACTTCAGCAGCGAGCAGCCCGTTATTGTTGCAGGCAATGTTACTCTTCGGGGATAGGTGCGGGAATCGGATGGTGAAGAAGTAGGCTGTATGGATGCAATGGAGGGGTAGCTCTTGCTTCGATACAGGGAGCCCCGCACTAGATCATCAATCACCGAGGTACCTCCTCACACTTCATACCTGGAAGCATGACAATTACCCTCGATTCAGTGGTCCAATTAACGCTTACTTTGACGTACGACATACAATGCAGTCTTCTCTTCATAGTTCCAAACGTCTTTGCACTCTAGGCCGGCGGCACTCGGCCCTTCCCTCCACAGCCAGTCCACGCCATGCCGTTCCTGGCTGAAGAGCATATCGACATACCCACTACAGATCTATTATCATGGATGTTTGATAGACAGACGTACGATGCAGACAAGCCTGTAATGATGGTACTGAAGTTGGTCGTTGCAGCGACTGACCACTCCAGATTTACGTCGACGCTGCTGAGCCAGCACGATCGATATCCTCAAACCAGGCAAGGAGTATAGCAAGGAAGTTATGTGCGGGCTTCAGATCGATTGGACTGAAGGAGGGAGATTGTGTTTGTTTGCTGTCTTTCAATGATGTGAGTCCTTGAATCTGCTAACTCCTGTCACCCATGTTGGTTCCGCCGTATCGTTCAGACATCTCAAGAGGCATACTGACTATTAGAGATATATTATTCAATGGCCTTCGCAGGCATACTGACCTTCGGTGGCATCTTTGCTGGCGTCAATCCCTCCCACACACCATACGAGCTCGAACATGCTTTCCATACTGCCGAAGTCAAGGCTCTCATCGTCGAACCCGAGTTTCTCCCGAATGCTCTAAAAGCTGCTCAGCAAGCCGGTATCTCACGGACAAATATATTCGTTTTCGATCACCACACATCAGCCGCACAGCCCTGGGATGACAGTGAGGTTGGTGACATAGACATTAAAAGCTGGAGGTACCTAATGGGTCAAGGGGAAACTGACTGGGTAAAATGGGATAACGGAGCACGAAGCAAAGCGACAACAGCAGCCCGTCTGTTCTCAAGCGGGACCACCGGTCTTCCCAAAGCTGTGGAGATGACGCACCACAACTTCATCGCCCAGCACACCATGGTCCTCGAGCACAAAGCACGAGACTACGAAGTCATACGCCTTCTCTGCACCCCCATGTTCCACGTCTCCAATGTTCCGCGCGCACACACCTCACCTCTCCGCTCCGGCCTCCTTACGTACGTGATGCAGCGCTTCGAGCTAGAAACCTGGCTCTCGAACATACAACGCTTCCGCATAACAGAAGCAAACATGGTGCCACCGATGGTCATCTCTGTCATAAACTCGCCCCTCACAAAGCAGTACTCTCTAAGATCGATACGCAACTCCTGGGTTGGCGCAGCACCGCTTGCCGCCGAACCGCAAGCGCGCTACAAAGCCCTCTTACGGGCCGACACACCGTTCAATCAAGTCTGGGGCATGAGCGAAACGAGTTGTATAGCGACGATGGTGCACTACCCTGAGCAAGACTTGACAGGGTCTGTGGGCAGGTTTCTGCCGAACATGGACGCAAAGTTAGTAGACGACGAGGGGAGGGATATCACGGACTATAATGTCAGGGGGGAGCTGTGTGCGAGGGGCCCGCTGATAGTGAAGGGATATTACAATAACTCACAAGCGAATGCTGAGAGTTGGGATAAGGATGGATACTTCCACACCGGAGACATCGCTGTGCGGCGTCGAGACAACAGATTGTGGTATATCGTCGATAGGAAGAAGGTGAGTCGAGTATCTTGATGATCTCCACTGATGGCTGACACGAATATAGGAACTCATCAAAGTCCGCGGGTTCCAAGTCGCCCCCGCAGAACTCGAAGGCGTGCTCCTTTCACACCCCGAGATCAGCGACGCAGCCGTCATTGGTGTCGCAGCAGGCGGCACGGGCGGAGCAAACACCATCGCTAGAGCGGGCGAGGAGGGCAGTGAGCTACCACGAGCATACATCGTGCTAAAGCAAGGCGGCCAGCTAGCCGAGACAGACGTGCAAGCATACATGAGAGAGAAACTAGCTGGGTACAAGCAACTGGTAGGCGGTGTGCGGTTCATGGACTCGATACCGAAGAACGCATCAGGCAAGATACTGAAGAAAGATCTCAAGGAGGTTGCTAGGAAGGAAATGAGTGCGCGGTTATAGAGTATGCCGAAGACGAAGAGAGTGTAGACTCGTACCATGCAATATATTACTATCGTTCTTGATCCAGATTCCAAGACGCTAATGGGTAGTTACAGACTTGACGTCTTATGCAAACAGCTATCCAAAGCCGTGCTCCAATCCAATGCTTGCTTTCCGTCCAAAATATACAAATGAAAATGCAACTTGAGTCAGTATGTACTAGAATGTTGTAAGATGCTCGTGTAGTCAATATTATGTAACTTGTCGACCCTTGCTGGCCCTTATGCTCTTGAAAGCCTCATCTATGCGGTCGTGCTAGTGTCTCCGTTGCTGTGAGTTTTGGCCATACGGCCTTGTTGGTGGGTAACTTGGGTTTTGTTGCTGCATGTACTGCGGCTGTGGCGACTGCTGTTGTGGAAAGTACTGCCCTTGCATCGACTGTGCAGGCGTCTGGATCCAGCCTCCAGGCATCTGCATTTGAGGTGTCGTCTGTTGCGGGAAGTATCCTTGCTGTGCATACATCTGCGCCTGACCAGGGGTGGAGAAAGCCATACCAGGCATGCCGGTAGGGGTTCCCAGAGCTTGTGGTGTGCCCATACCCATGACGCTTGGCGCGTAATTGCTCTGTGCGTATGTGCTTTGCGCCATAGCCATTTGCTGGTTCATGTTTTGCATCTCCATCATCTGACGTTGGCGTGCCTCCATCTGACGCTGTTGTTCTTGCATCTGTCGCTGATTATGCTGCATCATGCGCTTATCGATTTCAGCTTGCATGGCTACAGAGTGCCGGTTTTGCTGCTTTGCCTTCTCTTTCTCCTTCTCACGGAAGTCAATGTAGCCTGTCAGACCCTGCGAAGGCTGCTGATGGTGTTTCTTGTTGGCGACTGATGACATGTTGAGTAGGGGGGTACCGGTTATACGGGCGACCTGCTCCTGCTCACGAGCAGACAAGGTAGTAGACTTCGAATCGAGCAAAACCTCTGCGCCTCTGGAAGGTGGCCTACTTAGTGTGAGTCTGCTGGACGGACGCGCGGCAGGCGATGTTGGACCCTCCGGAGTGCGTTGCAGATGAGCCCAATCGCCAGATCGTGTACGGTTCATGGGTGATGGTGTTTGCCTTGCATAGTTGATCAGGCCGGGAGATTGTTGAGCAGCACGATGCAGTACCCACTCCTCGGCGTCGATTTTGTGCCCGCTTGCCCTTCGAGGTGACGCCATGGCAGGCTGCCATGCAACCTGTCGTGGCTCGAAGTCGTTCGGAGACGCGGAAGTGCTGCGCATGTGCAACGCAGTGTTCGGTGTTGTCCTACCTGACGAGATGTATGAATTACGGTTAGGCATCTCGGTAGGAGAGGAAGCCAGATGCTCCTTGGAGCGTGAAAATTCGTTACCCGGCATCGCCTGCCCTGGGGTCATGGTACCACTTGTGCCTGGGCGCTTATCGTTGAAACCCAAAGCGTAAGTGGGACCAAAGTCGATTGAAGGCATGTCCGCAGAGGGTGTGACTCTGGGATCAAACGTAGGGTGGGAGGCTCCAGCAGTTGTGTCTCCACGAGGCAGCAGAGAGGCGTCACCGATTGTCTTTAGAACACCACTGCGAGGTCGGTCCTCCCGTCTTGCCGGCAGCTTTCGTACTACCACTTCCTCGCTATGCGTGCTCGCGTAATCTGGGGTTGAAGTCGAGATAGCATCATCGTCGTAACGACTGCTTGACTTGCTTTGCTGCCTGAACAGCGAATTTTCTGTCTGGTTCAGGGCATCAAGAGCTTCAGGATCAACTACATCCTGTCGTAAACTACCGAGACTTGAGCTAGTGGTCGAGCGCTGTGAAAAGGAGGGAGACCGACCTGGGACTGGTTTACGGGTAATCGGACCGCCGCTGCTACCAGAATGCGGGCGATGGGGAAGTTCCTGCCTCGACTGAGACTGCAATGGCACACCATGCTCTGGCACAGGAGGTGCTACAGGTTCGTATCCTTGGGGTGGCTGCACAAATTCAGCGTGCTCAACGTATGGTGACGCAGGGATTGTAGGCATCCTGTTCTGCGAGCGATCCTCACGAGTAACGGGTCGTTGCGCAGGATTGAGGTGCATCTGTTGCGATCGATCCGCACCATACTCTCCGCTTCTTCTACTGTGCAGACTTTCCTGGCTCCGCCAGGCGGCTGCCGCGCCAGCAGCTGCAATACCTCCAGGCAAAGGAGTATGTGCGACATCCGCCATCTGATTGAGAGTCGCAGTGTCAACGTGCGGATTTGGCTTGATTGTGGAACCTGGCACAGAAGGTCTGACGGGCGGCTGCTGGTTCGACGCGTGAGCGAAGGAGGGTGGCTGGTCCACCGGGCCCACAGGCGGTGCAGAGGCTGCGACTGGAAGTTCAGGCAGATTCTGGGGTTCGTGACCGGGAGACTCGTCCGTGTCAGAGCTCTCAAGATGTTGAGCCGAGCCATTCTGAGAAGTTTCGTTGTACACGACGCCATGTTGGGGTGGCGTCGGCGGGCGGTCGGTGTCGCCTACACTGTGCTGCTGCTGCGCTAGGCGGGTCCTCTTGATTAAGAGGTTTTGCGGAGTCTCAGACACCGATCGCTGATGGCGTGGGGGGGCAAAGGGGCCTGTGGGAGGCGCAGAATCAACACGTCGTGGTACTTGCGGGTCGAAGTTGGCTTCTCGCGAGGGTGAGGGTTGACGAGTTGACGGCTGCGAGCGAATGGAACCACCATCTTGGAACCTGAGATTGCGCGTCGAGGGTGTGAAACCTGCTCGACTGACGGTGTTCCTGCGACTTCCGGGACTTGCGGTAGAGTCAGGCAATGCGTTCATGCGGGTAGATGTCAGATCCTTCAGTTGCTTCCTCCACTGTCGCTCAGACCAAGCCTGACTGCCTTCCTTGTTGATCAGGCCAGTCACATCCCAAAGTTCAAGGTATCCATATCGCCTGTCAGAAGGCATTGCGAACATGAGACCACGGGTATCCAAGACATCTGCAATCAGCTTCTTCGGTCGTCCGTAGAGGTTGAAAGTATCGTACACTGGGAAGAGGAACTGCAGCATGATCTCGAAACCTGAGACGGCGGGTCGTGATTCTGGCATGACGAAAACGAAACCCTCAGTAGTCGTTTCTGGCTGAGAGTGGACGGTGATTTTTCCTTCGATCTTGACCAATGTTGACGAGTCGATGAGTGGCTTCGACTGAGGATAGATGGCGTAACACGCGAAAGTGTCCTTGACTGTTGCGATCGGCTTCGTCTTCTTGGTAATCTTCTTCGTCTCGTAGAACTTCATGTCACCCTTCAGAATAGTCTGCTTCTCGTAGGGATTCTTCTTGCCCTTCGCATCCTTTTGCAGCTTGGCGTACTCCTTCTGATCTGGCGGACTAACCACACACCAGCAACGGCGCCAGGGAGTTCCTGCGCCGAAACGCACGCGAACCCAATCTTCGTACTTGGCGTTCTCGCGAGCCAGAATTACGCGGATGTTGTTCAGCAGCTTGCCCTTTCCAGCAATCAAAGATCCCGTGTATGCCTCCTGCAGCGTCGTATGTTCGTACATGGCAAGTCGAATTGCGGCGGTCCATTGCGTCAAAGCGTGGTACGAATCGAAGTGGAGCAAATACTTGTTGCTTGCGGCCGTGGACACGCTGAGGATATGGTCGAGCTTCTTGCCGTCTTTCAGGGTCATGGAGGGAATCTGCTGGGCTTCAGTACGAACGTCCGCTCTGTATTCATCTGGGAACGTACCATGTGGATTGCAGCATCAGTGAGGTTAATGAAAGTCGGTATAACCTCACGGTCGCCGCCAACTTGATCCAGCTCGCTCGCGTCCCACAGGGACATGATGGTGCCCACGAGTTGGACAAAGTACTCCTGCCATTTCCTGTCTGGGGCGGGACGGCCACCTGCGTATCCGTCAGTGTCACAGCAGCGGGCATCCTGGTCGGTCGGACATACGAGTGTCTGTGTCGTGGAACTTGAGGAAGTAGCCCTCCTGGTACAGCTTATTCGAGTGGCTGTTCAGGAACGTGAAGATGCGCTGCAGCTCGGGTAGCGTGTCCTGGCCAACCTCCATGATGGGCGGCTGATACGTCTGTACCATGGACATGGGGCGCGACGAGCGGCCGGTGTCTGAGCGCTGGCGCGGCTGCTGGGCGGGACTGGGCGAGGCGCGCTCGCTGGTGAAGTCATTCAGCGCAGTGGCCGACTCTGCGAACGAGTGCGAAGACGGCGGCAGCTTCGAGGGCGACTGGGCGGTCGTGGGCGACGCGGGGCCGGGCGAGGGTGCAGCGGACGTGGACGTGGACGTGGACGTGGGGGTCTTGGATTGACTGTTGACACCACCCCATTGTGACATGAAAGAGAGGACTGTAAGGGAGCGAACAGAGCGCAGCATTAGTAAATGGTCATACACGAGTTGGACGGGCGCTGGCTGCCCCATAAAGCAGCCAGCTGAGGAACGCTCGGCGCAGTTATTTACCTCTTTTAGGGCGAGCCATGATGGACGCTCTTTCCTCAGGGAGCCCGGAAGCTCCTCCTGAAGTTCTAGCCACGCAGCACCACAAACGCCAGGAAACGCAGGCAATGCTCAGCGCGTGGTCGCTACCGCTGGGTCAGCCGCGCAAGCCACGGAAGCACCGGCTCCAAGTGAGGGCTTCGAACGTACACGGAAAAGGGTGCGCGGGAGCTAGAAGCGTGCTCCAGTTGAGAATCTATGTAACGAGTGACAGCAGACACAAGTGTCCTGTGGAGCAGGGAGAGTAAGAACTGTACAAAGCTTAGAACAGGCGGAGGTGCGAGGTCGTGGCTGCAATCTTGTAGTACCTGGTAGAACACCTTTTAGTGCTGTATGCACGCCGCGGTAAAACAATTCTCGGCGCCGGGACGCAGTGCAGATGACGACAAGAGGATCGCCGCAGCCGCGATGTGCTCTAGTCTCAACACCGAACACTGATTTCACACAATTGAACTCAAGAACAGGGAGGCGGTCGACGACGCGTGCTGTGGCTGACACGGCTGCGAACGTCGGAGCGGCAGTACTTATGGGTCGCCTCGAAATGGCACCGACAGTAGCCAGCTTCCGTTTGTAGACGTAATGCGCTGGGCCAGTATGTCGTGTGCGTGTCCCCAAAGCCTCGAGGTGCTGCTCACGGGCCTATCGTATTGGCATTGGTACCTGAGCAGCTAAACGAAACCGGATTCGTGTGAGCGCTGACGGCTCGACGGCACTGTTCTCTCTGCTTTGGGCGACGATGATGATCTAGTAAAGACCGCGTCCTTGGCGGTGTGCTGTGGCTGTTGGCAGCGAAGGCGGGGGAAGGGGCCTTGGAATGCTGACTGCCTTTAGAATAGGGCGATGGATTTCCTTCTCGAAGAATGACAGCTCTGAGATCGAGGCGTGCTACTTTTGTGGATGCCGCTCTTTGCTGCACGTCGTATACGGCAAATACAATGTATTGATTATGCCGCCCTGCGCCACACTTGCAGCACCCTTGGAATTCATCGCTAAGACTTAGTCATCGATTCAACATCTCACAGCCAAGGGTATTCTTGAGGCTGAGGAGAGCACAAGGGACGACGTTCACGAACAAAGTCCCAAAGCAGCGCAGCAAGGGGCTGCAGAAAACGCTGCTGGGATCTCCTCTATTCTAGAACTAGACGCGAAACCTAGAACTCACGTCAGCACGTGAGACGTCATCCCGGAGCCTGGTCCGCAGTCTTCGAAATTCGAATCTCCACGTACGCTCAAAAGAACGCGTCATATGTCTGTTATGTTTTCTGACAGGTCGGGGATTCTCCTGAACTGTCAAAAGTAGTTTTTGCAAGGGTGGCCATGTCACACAAGAGGCTGCCTTTGTTGGCCGAGGTTGTGTACATTTTGCATGTCCATTCCTATTGATATCTAATGTTGGTAATGATTGCTCGTGGGTATATCCATCCCCTCGACCCACCCAAAACGCCATCGCTGAATGCTGATCCACTAACACTACCCATTTTTTGCGAACTCGGAAACTCGAGTCTCGTACAATAACTCCTGCAAATGCATACATCCGTCCTCGGTCTGGTTTCTGCGGGATCAAGATAGCACTGAGAAGCTCACTCACCAGGCAGCTTGAACCTATCGACTTTCATCCTCACGATCAGCTTCGGCTTCTCACCGCCAGACCTCTCAATCTTCACTAAGCCAGTGTTACCTGCTCCATTGACCATCCCATTGGGCTCGACACTCTGTCTCTTAAACGGCCTATCATCACCGCCGTTGACCAGTTTCCTCTTCTTGTTGCTGCCGTTCTTAAGCCGAGCAAGCTTTTCCGGGGGTAGCTTGAGCTTAACAATCTTACTCCTCTTATTGGGCTTCGACTGACTCTGCTTCCCAGGCACAGGCGCAGGTCGTGGCGCAGGTGTACAAGTTCCGGATCTTGATGGAGGTGCAGATGCACCGTTGAGTCGCGGCGGAGGGGCGGTTGGTCGAGACGGTGCCGGTGTCGAAGGGCGCGAATTTGGTGCAGAAGACCCCGGTACTGTCTTGGTTTTGATCTTGATCCTAGGCCCTGACGAAGGAATTGGGGAGTGCATGGGTGACGACGCCGAGATAGCCTTTGGTACATTGACCGGCGCTGGTTTCGGACGTGGTGGTGCAGCCGCTATTGTAGCTGCTGCTGGTATCGATACCGGTGCTGGCTTCGGTGACGGCACAGGCGTATTCGCAACAGGAGCTGGCGTTGGATCATTCTTCGGCGGTGACACTGCAGGCGGACTGGCAGGCTTTGGCGGTAAAATCGGCGATTCATGTTTGACAACAGCTGGCTGCGGCGCTGGTGATGCTTTCCGCGAAGGTGGTGCTGACATTGGGGCAGGTGAAGCGTGCTTGATAGGTGGAGAAAATGTAGAGTGCGACCTTGCCAATGCCGAAGGTGGTGGAGACGATGCATTGCCAGATTTCGGTTTGCCAAACTTGAGTGACAACTTGGGTTTGGACGGCGCAGTGACGCTGGGAGCCGTAAGTTTGGGTGGTACGACTGGTGCAGGTGGTGGCTGCACAGATACCGCTCGAGGTAACTCCACTGGCGCCTGGGTTGGTGCTTGTACCGGTGCCAGTGCAGGCACGAGAGCGGGAGCGGGAGCAGGTGCCGGCGGAGCTTCTTTGACCAGCGGGTGTAGCGGTTTGGTGCGGAACTTCTCAGTCTGCGTGAATTGCAACTTGGCTTGGCCAAGATGCTTGACCTTCCAGTAGCGTGGGAAACGAAGCTTCACAGGCAAAGCATTCTTCCTGCGATCCCTGAACACCATGTCGCAGAAGTCCAAGAGGTGGGTCATATCGCTCAGGGAAAGTGTCCTCGAGTTCAAGGCCTCTTCAAGCACCAGCCGCAGCGTCATGTTATTGACCAAATCCTGCTTCAACCCGTTGAGAGCTCCCGCCAATGATGCACGTGCAAGGCTCGAGACACGGGCCGAGTTGTCGGCTCCTTGATCAATGACTAGAGCGCCTGTAGATTCCTGAGGCTTGGTCGGTGTAAACACCTCTCCGGTTGCAATCTGCCCGACAGCAAGGTCGAGGATGAGGAGCAGCTGCTTTCTGAAGTACGGTGATGGGTCCGAGCGAATCTCATGCATCAAAGACCTTGACATGCTGTCTTTACGGAATATGCCTAGTCGAACAAGACATTCCCAAGCCTTCAATCGTACATTGTCAGCATTGCCGAGCTGGGCGTATTGCGAGAATTCCGATGGCTTGAAAGGCATGACCCGGTTCATAACCAGTCTCAAGGTACACTCAAGGCCGGTGGTTGTGTAGATGTTTTGGAAGGTGGGTATCCACTCGTCCAGACGTTGGTGGCGGGTGAGCTCCTCGATGGCTTTCTTTGTGAAATCGAACTCCTCTGCTTGTGCACGGAAGTCAAAGTCGCTCACAACCCCAGACGGAACGCTGATGAGACACTCAGCTAGACACCTCATCAAGGTCGAGATGTAGTGATCATCACTGTAATCGTTGCCGCGATTATCGTTGTATCGCATGAGATCCAGGAGGAATCGTTTTGCTTCCATGGGGGCCTTGCCATCTTCACCCTTGATTCGGGCAATCGCTTTTGGAATGGCACACTGGATGAGGTACAGACTTCGGTCGGAGAAGTCGTTTGACCTTGTCATCGGCGAGCCAGGCAAGCAAAAGAGGTCCTGGAATGCTTTCTTTAGGTGGAACAAACCGATCCAGTCCAAGCTTTGTTTGGCGCTCTGAGCCAGAACGTCCGCAGCCATAGTGCGGATGCCGTGGAAGTATCGGCCATCCATGAGAGTCTTGACGAGGAACGTCGAGATAAGTTTATCTTCTTTCGTGGCCAGAAATTGGATGGACTACGCTATCAGCACGGTTGTTGAAACGATCAGGATAGACTTACCTCAGCCTGTGCAACAACATCTTTGTCTTGTTGCAGCTGCGAGATGTACATGTAGCTCGGCATCGCAACTTTGGCCTTACAAATCCATTCAAAATCGGCGTCCATACGGATCCATTCGTAGGCTTCACCCTCCTGCTGACGCTCGACCTCAGCTGGCCAGTCGCCGAGCTTCCACTCTTCTTGCTCTTCAGGCGATGCAAAGACATCACCCAGCATGTAAAATGTGACCTCCTCTTGAGCATCGCCTGAGGCATCTAAGCCAGCTGCAGCTGCCATACGCTCTTTGTTGAGCCGATTCCTCTTCAGGCGCTTGTACTTGGTATTGTACGGAATCTCGACCTTGACTTTCGATGCGTTGATCTCCACAATATGCTCGTAGGGTGTGCCATCAGCTTCGTGAATACGGATTGTCATGGGCCCCAAGAAAACCGGCCAGTTCTGTGTCGGCGCCAGATTGTGCATGCTTTCCTTTGTCTTCCGCACGAACTCATCAGGCGAGAGTGAGCTTCCAACAGCAAGAACGTTCTGTTCTTGTTGGATCGTAAGAACAACAACCTGCTTCTTCTTATTGAACTGCTGTTCACAGGTAAAGGTCGGGAAACCAGAACCCTCAATCCACTGCTTGAAGAACGTTTCAAGCTTCTGATGACCAACCTTCTCGCAAATGTCGAGAAAGTCATCGGTGGCGACTGCGCCACTGTCGTACTTGCCTTGTCGGGCATTGAACAACATACGGTATAGACACCTATCGACGCCATTTTTACCGCTCTGTTTTACGAGGCGGTTGTGAAGGACCGATAATACCAGCAGTGCCTTGATCTCCATGAAATCTTGTTCGGCAGGATGAAGCTGCAGCAGCGGCCCAAGCTCGATCAGACTTGGCCGCTCGTGATCCATGGCAATGATCTTGTCTACCATCTGCTTCTGCCGGAAACGCCAGTCATTGCGGCCGAAAAGTTCTCGAAGATACAATTCGGCCATGAACCAGGAGCCCCCAACGATTATCCAGTAGTCGTATGGACTGTATGCAACGACGTCCACTCCAATCCACTGGCTAGCCACTGCATGCACCAGGACCCTTGTCGTGTGCTCCAGAGGCTCCCATACGGTCTCGGGGAAGAGCAAACGGGTGCTGCAGATGGAGAATGAGGCAGTATGAACAGTGTCACAGTCCAGATCGTCCACAAAGGCCAATTTGTAGGCGTTGCCAAACGCATAACTCTGAAAGCGTTCCGTAAAGCTATCGAGAGCGCGTGCCAGCATCATGGCGCTGTTTCGAACCTCATCTTCCTTTCCTGGTAGGCAAAAAGCATGCACCTTCACAGCATTCGTTCCCAGACGTTCATCGTCGGCTGCATCGCGGTATTCGGAGAGGTCGACGTGCTCGAAAGGTCCGATGACGAACCCAATGTGCTGCGGCAGGACCGGGGTATCACAGGTGAAGCTTGCTGTTTTACGAGAGGCATCTGAATGGTCTGCAATGTCGTCGGTCAGAGCGCCTGAGCAAATGACTTGCATCTCCATAGCCCTCTCTTCTGCGGACAGATCTCCCAAGTCATCATCCACATCTGTCATGACGCTGTCTGCCTTGTCTGCCCCGCTCGCGAGACTCTGTCTATTTGCGCCTGCCAGCGCGGGAGCTGTTGCCTTGCTGAGTGCGTCGCCGACTGTTCGCGGGTATCTAATAGCGACATCGAAGAGGCACTTGCGTGTGCCGTCGTCTAGACATGGGAAGAGGCATGATGCAATGCCAGGGAAGGGTGAGTTGCGTGTGAAAGCGTGTGGATAGCGGCCGTCTCCGTCCTCAACACCAACGAAGTGCAGTGCATCGCGGAAGTCGTCCAGTATGTACTCGATCTCCAGCTTCAGCGGCGCATAGAAAACGCCCTGCGCATTTTCCATCTCGCCTACCTCTTCCGGCCGTACCTCCCGAATCGTGACCTTGTCCGGCAGGAAGATAACAAGCTCGTCCGCTGAAGCACTAGGGTCCACATGACGTGCTATCCGGTCTTTTGCGAAGTGATACTGGTCGAGACCGGTGCCTGGGTACAAGGTAAGGCGCTCGTGCAAGTTCGAGTAGCTGTAGCCGGCCGTCTGCTCGTCGATACAGATGCGCGTCGGTCTAAGCTGCCGGCAGTTGAGGACAATTTCGCGCAACTGCCCCTTCTTTGGCTGAAGGTCGATTACTGTCTTCCCTACGACGCGGCGCGGGCAGAAGCTGACATCGAGCTCCAGCGACTGCTTTATCACGGTGAAGGTGTCGCCCGTCGAGGCATCGTCCGGTATGTCGGGCGTCTCGATGGGCGCCATGGTGGGCGACGCAGGCGATCCTGCTCCCGAGGTTGCGCGAGCGTGGATGTCCGTCGAGGGCGGCGCGATGGTTGCTGGGTGGAGCTCAAGCGCAGGCGCGATGTTGAACCACGCACGGACGGACCTTCCGCGGGAGTTCGAGCGCGGCTCTTTCACCTGCTCCACAACGTCACCTTCACCTGTCTTCACAAACACGAAGGCAGGACACGTTTTCCTACACATCAATGCTGTTTTGGTGAACGATAAGATATGGCTGTTCCCCTCAAGTAGCGAGTGCTGCTCTTTTGCTACCTCAATGAAAGCTGCGAACAGAACACAGATGACACAACCTTCAGGACGGCAACGATCTTAAGTCTGCTCCAAAGTGGACCTCAAGAATACCGGACACTGCTAGTTGGGAAAGTGATCTGGGGCCGGTGCGCTCAGCTTGTGGGTGCATAACATGAACGAAATCGACTTTCTGCCTAAGTACGAGGGCCCGTACTGGATGCGTCCACAAACAGTGTTGACCCTCTCTGGGCCGGGACGAAGAAGTTTTGCAGTGTCTTCCTCGAGTGGGCAGATGTTGGGATTTACTCGTTCTTCATCATTGGCGATACCCCTACGCCCTTCCTGAATATATTCCTCTTCGCCCCAAACTACACGCTGGAGTCATACAACAATGTCGTGGAGCCTTTCTTTCAGTTCATAGAGGCGAACAACATCACGCTTACGTCGCCACACAAGAGCCTCGCTCATGACTCCTTTGACTCGGCCTACTAGACAACATGGGGCGCAAACTCATCCCATCAGTCTTGATAATTCACTGCCTGCCAACCAAATCATGCTACGCGCCAACTTCCAGGAGAAGTACAATAAGACCTTCGCCCTTATCAAAGAGTATGTCTAAGCTGTAAAACACTTTCTCGGCTACCACAAGGCGCCAGCGAAGTACGGCAACTTCAACACCGCCGTCAGCCTAGCATGGCGAAAGTGTGCAATGTTCCTCGTGACTTCGTCGAACAAGTCTCATGACCATTCGACTCCAAAAGCACTCGCCCTTGCGAACAAAGACCTACACGAGATCACCCTACAGCCATGACGCGACTTAGAATCAGCATTGGAAGGTGGAGGCACATATCTCAACGAGGCGAGTGTCATTGAGCCTGACTGGCAGGAGAGCTTCTATGGTGTGTCTTATGAGAGGCTGAGTGATATCAAGAGAAAGCGGAATCCGAGAGACGTCTTGTACGCCACGACGGCAGTGGGGAGTGAGGGATGGGAGGTCAGGAACGGCGAGCAGGGCATGCAAACGCAAAACGGTCAGCTACGTAAGGTCTGATGATAGATGTTGAACTCAGCCCGGGAGCGGCCACGAACTCCAGGCAGAGTGTTGTGTCACAGCTAAAAAGTGGCAAGTTGTAGAATACATTAGTACCTCTGATTAGGCTGCTTATATAAGGCTGAACCTCTGCGACACATTGAGCTCAGACCTACATATCATCTTTCTGTCTTTTCAATGCGCAAAGCTTGTCAACTGACCAAAAGAGGGCGGTCAAGCGAGTGCGAATTGTCGATCTTGCATCCCCGCGCGCCGCGTTCGTGGCGCTCTTGGCCTATCATGAATAACGTGTAGATAGGATGGGGCTGTCTATACAGTGTCTAATTCCAGTAGAACAATTTGCGAATACCTCCTCGACCCACTTTGAATTGTCGACTTCCTGTTCCTGCCATGCTCTATAGCGTCACTATGGCTGTCACAAGTGTCGCGGTCCACACCGTCAGCGCACTCGTTGCTTGTCTATCCATTGTCATTCTCGTTCTCACCATACACAGCGTCTCACTGAAAGACCGCCTGGATTATGCTGTTACTCCGCCCCTGAGACGAACGGGCATGAGTATCTTGTTCTGGCCTGCATGTGGCGGACTCGTGGACTGCTGCCTCTTTCTCTTCCTCTGGATCCGATCACCTTTTTATCCGACACAGGTCAGTATTGCTTAGAGTATGTGGCTAAATTGCTGACTGAATACTGAAAGAAGAAGACAGTCTACCTCAACGCGCTCCTCTTTGTGGCCGCGTTCTACTTTATGAGGCCGTTTATCGTGCTTGTCTACACCTTTGTTGAGCATGATGTCGAGGCCTGGGCGAGCTTGATGTCGAATCACGGCAAGGAAAACACTTCGGAAGTGCTTTGCAGAGAGTTGCGAGCCGTACACTTTCTACTGATTCCGTTGTTCATGCTGGGTGTAGTCTTTCTTGCGCTTGTGACTGGAGGAGAGCCAGCGTCCCAGATGAAGGGCACGCTAGTAGAGGTGAAAGATGAACGTGCCAAGGCACAGATACAATGAGATCGATGCATACGTGCCCACTTTTGAGTTCACGTACTGGCATATCATCAATCCAAGTGTGATGTGAGCAGGACCGGCTTGACACTTCTGTGGAAGCGAGTGACCTAGTCTCGATTGGGCGCTAGTGGCACGTCTCCACGCGATTGAGCTCTGCGACCCATGACGTTACAACAAGACACAGTTTCGCGTCTCTTCTACTAACAACAAACTGGCCTTCTGAACGAACGGACAGACAGACATGCCCATCAAACACGTCCTCAATGTAGCAGAAGAGGAAGAGGAAGGATGGGCGAGTTCATCTGCGCCATTCCGTCCAGCAAAATCTCCAGTTTGCGCCAATGAGAAAGGCGAAAGCACAGGGAATGGTCTTTTCGCTAACGTGGACTTCGAACCTGGTCAACTGGTGGCATCAATCAGGAGACCGATTGTGGGCTCATTGGATACCGAACGACTACTCGACACGTGTGCAAATTGCTTCGTTTGGACCGAAGGTGCATCAACGGGCACAAGAACATATGTACCAGAAGATGTCAGGGTATCAAAGTGTGCTGGATGTCAGAGGTTCCGATATTGTAGCAAGGTGCGCAAGAATTCGATGCTTACTCAAGCCCGAGCACTGATCAATTCAGGCATGCCAGAAGGCAGCCTGGAACCGTGGTCACAAGTACCAATGCAAGATCTTCAAGAAAATAGGTGACAGAGAGATTCCAAAAGCCGTTCTCGCCTGCATGGATCTTCTTACGATGAAAAAGCACGATATTGTACCAGAAGAGGCGTGGAACATGCTGCTCAGTCTACCATCCCACATCGACGACTTCAAGGCAAATGGCAATCACGGCAACATCGAGTTGATGGCGATGGGTGCAACCCAATTCTCGCTTACACAGGAACTCTTCGATAAGGACTTTGTGGCAGCCATGTACGCGCGAGTGAGTAGCCAAAACTGAAATGTCTACGCGCAAGCTTACAGTGACAGGTCCTTACGAACTCTCTGACTCTCATCACTCCAACGCTTGATCCTCTAGGCATCATCGTAGACCCAATGATGGGTCACTTCAATCATTCTTGTGACCCGAATGCCTACATCATCATGGACGGAGCTGAAGTCAACGTGAGATCACTCAAGCCCATCAAGAAGGATGAAGAAATCTTCATCGCCTACATCGACACGACCAATCCGTACTATCGACGTCAACACGAGCTCAAGCAACGCTGGTTCTTCGTATGCAGATGTGCGAAGTGCCAGAAGGGCGCAACCCTGGACGAAGACAAGTGGGCCATCGCTCCCAAGAGTCTGCCACAAGAGATGCAGCAAGTGGCCGAGATGATTTCCAAGACGGAAATCTTTGCGTCAGACCCAGCGAACTTTGTCGGCAACTCAAAGGTCGAGACATACATTGCTGCTATTCAAGGCAAAGCTTTCGCCGAGTACGAGGCAGCGCAGCGAGCGTCTCCCGATCAAGCAAACGAGATCATCGTCAATGGGATGCGCCTGTGTCATCAGTCAGGGCTCTGGCCTGTATATCGTCAGCCGTATGCTGCATTCAGAGACGAGCTGATCGTCAACTTGCTCGCAACAGGAACTTACCCAGATGCATGGGCACAGTGCGCGAAGCGATATAAGCACATTCAACCCAAACTGTATCCTGTGCCCTTCCACCCTGTACGTGTGGTTCAGACCTGGCAGATGGCTATGTTGGCAGCATACTTTGCTGGTGAGGAGGAAGGCATCGGTGCACCAGGAGCAAACATGGGTTTGATTGCGATGATGCTCACCAAGCAAGTCCTAGACGCTGCTGCGCTAAGCCATGGATCTAACAGTGCATTTACAAAGAGCGTGCAGAGCAAAGCGAATGAGATGAGCGAGGAATTGAGGAAGAGTGTGGGAGAGAACCCAGATAGAGCTGTGATCAATCACGAGCTCGAGGCGCAGAAACAGATGCTGATGGAGATGGGCGACTGGATCCAGTACTAACGCATCTTGAGAGACTGCGAGACTTATGTATTTGAGAGTCCTTCGTCTTCATTGTTAGTTAGCTGTCACAGCCTGCCCTTACGCGCTGTAGCTGTATCCCTAGCTTACAGGTACTGGCTTGAAGCAGCTCTACCAGAGCTTCGACGTCTCGCATTACTCCACCTCGTCACTAGCGCACCTCGCGCGTCGGATGAATCGTGGAGGTACCCACAATCATGTTCATTTTCACCTTCATCGAGCCGTCTCAGCCCACTCTCACTTAACGCCCTTGGGTACAAAGTCTTTAAGTCTTGGCTCTGAGTGACTCTCCCAAAACTCCGACCTTACTACAATCCCCGTCTACCACTCAGCGCGCCACACACTTCACGACACTAAAATCCCGCGACTTACCTCCAGACTACACGACAACATGCCCCCAAACGCAGCCACCAACGACAGTAAGGCCGGCAAAACGTACAGCGCCGACGTCGTGGCGGCCGTCTTGATGGCCACCGGCACCACTCCGCTGTCCATGAAACACTACGAACTCATGTCGTCCCTAGACGGCGTCAAGACAGCCAGTGAGTTCCAGCATGACTTCCGCGCCGTTCTCGCAAGAGCTAAGGAGCTCAAAGCCCGCGTCGACAACGGGGAGATCTTCGAACCTGTCGCGCCAGCAACCAAGCGTGGTACGTATTGTCGTGTCGCTGAACACCACCTGGCTCCCTTCACCTTCACTTGTGCCCTGCTGCTGCAGCCCACTCTCACGCGCTGCCTGCTCCCAGGCAGCTATAAAGTCCTATCGCAAGGCAGTACTTCCATTTCTCTGACACCTGTCTCAACCTCCCCTTCTGCACTTTTCCTTCGCACTCTCTCTTCACAACATCGCTTCGCTGCCCCATCATCCACGAGCAACAATGAGCAAGGCCGTCGATTCTCCCACTGTCAGCCAGAAGATGATCCCAGCGGACTGTGTCTCTGTCCTGATCATGGCGCTTGGCAATACCTCCGTCACCAGGGAGCAGCCCAACATGATGTCAGCTCTTGGTGGCAGTCGCACTGCCAGCAGCTTCTAGCAACAGTTCCGCTCCATTGTGACCAAGGCTAAGGAGCTTAAGAAGTGTGTTGAGAACGGCGAAGCGTTCACACCTGTACTGCCAGCCCCAAAGCGAGGTGTGCAGTTGTTTGCGACAACGCGTCCAGCAGGATGAATACGCTGACGAACTCCAGGAGGCACTACCACACCTGCAACTCCCAAGAAGCGCAACGGCGACGATGTCGGCGACAGCCCGAGCAAGAAGTCAAAGGCAACTCCCAAGCCTCGAGATAAGAAGGCCCGGGCTGAAGCACCTCCAACTCCTCAAACCGCCGATGATGACCTTGAGCTGCCTGAGGGCATGGACGCCTTCATCAGGGCGGAGAAGCAGTGGGAGGTGAACAATTTTGTCTGGAGTTGGCGCGTCGATCCAGTAGCTCACGACACTACTTCGGTGATTTCCTTCTGATGATGTGTATACCTCCACGATGACATAGCTATGCTGGCAGACAGATGTCATCAATAACGGAGGCACGGTAATAACTGGATTCAGCAACGAATGGGAATGATGATGGCTTGACCCTGGAGGTTTACAACGTGTCCATGCTCGTACTTCCATGCTCGCATGGTCAGTCCCAGCTTGATACTGCTGACTTGTCGCGATAGATCTTCTGTGTTGACCACGATACCTCGAGCACAGGACATGGCGTTCAATTTCCGTTGATGCGTTCATCCACGCCCAGCGACACGACTCGGCTGGCTTCGTCCAAGCGCGCATGGCGAGTCTTGATAGAATGTTCTTTGACCGTGACGACTCAACAATCAAATTTCGTATGAGTGGAGCCAATACCAGCGCGACTAAAATCGCTCGGGCTAACAGTCAAGGTTCGCCACCGGTTAGTCGCACCGACTGCCTCCAGGCTCCACCAACAACGATGCAAAGACTGTCGCTTTCCCAGCAGCAGATCCTCGCCATATCGATAAAGGGTGGGCATAAAAACAGCGAGACAGCGCGCGCATTTGGCTTGGGCCTGTTGACGATGACGTTGTCAGCGGCACGTTGAAACATAAAAAGCGTTCGGTGATTAGATGTCCGCATGCGGAAGGCATGCGCCAGTGCAGGGGCACGTAAACACCTCAAACAACGGAGAACAATGCTGATCGTGTGCGCATGGCGTCGCACAGAGTAGGTCATCGAGGGAGGTTGACCGTGTGCAGCCATCGCTTTGTACTTCAGCCTTCCGCTGCTGTGCGCCTCGTGTGTCGCTGTCAAGAGAGAGGCAGGCTCAGCCCCTGAATTTCCCCGGATTATTGAGTGGCTTTCGTCTAGGCTCACCCTGGCTAGACGAGAGACACGGCGGCCGTTGGCGTCCCTCTGGATGCGCCGAGATGCTTGACGATGCCAGCGGGGGCCTGGATGGTGAGTGGCTCTGGGCCGGGGCACACCTTTCCAACCTCGAGCGTCGGAGGGTGCGGAAAAGGGGCCTCCTAGGGGAGTCTGCCATCGCGCGCCTCGCCGATTGGTACATGAGCATGGCTCACCATACTCCTTCAGGAACCTAATTTTGCATTCCAGCCGTTGCTCTGGCGCTGTCCAGCCGAAAGCCCTCTTTGTAAAAGTCAGCTGCGCCCAACATTCACAGCGGTTCTTAATCCACAGGACATCGCTCACTTCCGTCTCTCTTTCATCCACCGATCGCTCCTCTCACTATACACAGTACCTACACTCGTTCTCTAATCCATCTACAACACGCACATCACTTAATATCTACCTAATCAACAACCCCAACAACATCAAAATGCGTTTCTTCCAGATGGTCGCTTCCAGCGCTGCTTTCATCGCAGCTGCTCTCGCCGTCGAGATCAACACGTACCCCTCTGGTGGTGTGAAGGCTGGTCAGACTTACGAAGTCACCTACTCCCCTGCCGACAACACCCCCACCACCTTCATCCTTCGCAAGGGTGCTTCCACCGACCTCGACACCATCGGTACCCTGACCAGTATGTTGCAACTCCAGTTCTTTTCACCAGACACGACATACTAATAATTCAACAGGCACTGCTACCGGCGGTACTTTCTCCTGGACTGTTGCCAGCAACCTCGTTGACGGCGCCGACTACGCTCTTGAGATCCGTCAGGGTGACCAAACTCCCAACTACTCCGGACAGTTCGGTCTGACCGGTGGCTCTGCTGCTGCCAGCTCCTCCGCTGCTGCGTCCGCGTCCGCCTCGTCTGCCTCTGCCTACTCTGTTTCCTCGGTCATCGCCTCCAAGGCTTCCTCTGCCTCCTCCGCTGCCTCCGTCTCCAGCATGGTCTCCAGCATGGTCTCCAGCGCTCACGCTTCCGCCACCGGCACCGGTTCCGTGACCGCCAGCCACAACGGCACTGTCTCCTCGGCCACACTCTCTCGCTCTGCCACCGGCAGCCGCGCCACCGGCTCCTCCACTGGCTCTGCCAGCATCCCCGAGAGCACCGGCGCTGCCAGCTCCCTCTCCTCCGCTCCTCTGGCGCTCCTCCTCGGTGCCGCCGGTGCCTTCGCTTTCATCAACTAAGTGATCACATCTAAAAAAAAAAATCTTCATGTATTTGCATTGGATAATTTAGAGACCTTGTTTATGTTGATATCCTTCTAATGAGCCACGAGCGCCGCGGCGTTCGCTTGGGGTGGAGTGCTGTGCATTGCTTAGTCTAGTGCAGAGGGCCTTGTACAGTGGGCGGTAGACCAATGACACTATGAAACCATCATACCCATCCAACCTTGATCTCGTGCTTCCGCTCACAACTCGCTCCTCGGCTCTGCGATCGATACGTGGTCGACTACGATCATGCGCAATGCATGTACCGTCTGCCTTGCAGGCTGAACTTGAAACACCGCGTTGTACAGAGATCGACGTAACTTGGTAGTCGAAGGGCAGGTATCACCGCATCGATCAAGCTGTTGTCGTCATACCATAGCACAAGGTTGTCAGCATGGCAGCGAGTGCCCTGAAGTGGTCGCTCATTCGTCTCGTGCATGACGACGGCAGGCAGGGATGTCAAACCGTGTGTCTGCCACAAACACCTCTACACACCATCACGCAACTCTGGGCCCAAAACGTCAAACTCGTACCTAACGCTCATGCGCTGATCGTCCATGGTTTGCGCTGCTGTGCCCACCCCTCCCCCACAGCGGGCGCTTCTGCACCCGAGCGCAGCTGCAAGAACCCGTCCATGACGGACCTCGCATCGCACAACCTCAGCCAGCCTTCTGTCTCTGCGCCCCCGTCCTTGATCGCAAACAAGCACATCCCTCGGTCAGTGCACACACGATCACGCAACAGAGACAATTGCGCAATAATGCACCACATCAGGTAAGACGTTCCACGCCGTCCGAGATGTGTTTACGCGTCAATACTTCATCATGTGGCCGTCCGCCGTTGGCAGATTCATGCAGCCCAACGCAGGCACTAGCGCAGGACCAGCCGCGAGTCTCCACCGGTGCAAGTACAGGCGAGGCCGGGACCTGGGCTGGCAAGTAGAGCCGGCTACCTACTGCTTGCGACTTGGGCCTGGCGACTTGGAGCTCAAGTCGTTGCAGGAGCTCAAGTCGTCGCATCAGCAGCGTTTCGTTGCGAAGGAGACGTCAAGCCGGCCGCGTCGAGTTTGCGGGGTGTTCGTAGCCTTCTCGACGAGTCGCGCTATGCGAATGGCTGTGCGACTCCAGCTTTTCACCGGTGGGCTGGGGCTGGGAAGCTGTGCTGCGCCTGCGGTGAGCCAGGCTAGGCGCGGAAGGCTGTCCTGGTGCGTTGCTGGGGAAAGACGGCCAGTAGTCAAGACTTGGCGAAGACTGGCGTGGCGACGAGTGTGGCCGTTACCGGCTGCTGCGGACTGTTGGGCCGGTGGTGTAGAGCTGTTTGTGTAAGTCGTTAAGGGCCGTTTCTGGAGCCTTCAGCCGCCAACCACGGGCTGGTGGTATTCGCACACCCATGGGTAGATGCGGGTGACATGCGAGCGTGAGGATTTCTTTTCGTGGATCGCGTTGGGTGGTAGCGAACGTTTCCGGTTCCGTCTTTTCCTGACTGAATCGGTTTCTTGATTACCAGAGATATGCGCCCATGACGTCTGGCGGCCGGTCTCACCATTCAGTGTAGGCTAACACCAGGACGATAGTTACCACATCGATCCCTGTCGAGCTCTTTGCTTGGGATGTTGCAACGAGACACCCTGATGCACGTCACTTGAAGATGCATAATGGACGTCACTTGAAGATGCATAATGGACGTCACTTGAAGATGCATAATGGACGTCACCTGAAGATGCATAATGGACGTCACTTGAACATGCATGATGGTGCACACTGATGCCACCGGTCGCAAAAGCAGAGCCAAACTCTCCTCTTACTTCTCCCAATGCACCTCCCGCTGCAGTCTCTGAAACCCCGCCTCTCTGCCAGCGAACTGTAATCTGCCCCCGTCGTCTCGAGCGGCCGGCAAGATAGATGCCTAAGCCGTGACGCTGGGTGGCTGCGTGTCGTGTGCACCGCCCCTTGTCGGCTTTCCGGCGTACCGCATGCCTTTCTATCCCCCTCGTCGGAGCGGGCGCCGCGCATCTCGCCGCTTCCAGGGCGGATGGGAGCTGCGCGAGTGCGTCGACGACGGATCACGCGGCGGTCGGGGCGGAAGATGCGGGGGAATGGGATGCGGAGATGCTGGATGTGCAGGGTGAGAGGAGGCGCAGATAGCAAGGGGAGGAAGGGGATACTGGATAGCGCCGCGAGGACTGGGGTTGATGGATGTATTTACTGACAGACGCTGAGGGAAGAGTTTAAGGATGGCTTGAGGACAGTGGCTCAACGTTGGAGATTGGTTCCATTGACGACGTGCAACAGTAGCTTGGAGCCCGTGGGTGGGATATTTGACTTTGGATCCCGCAGCGCTTGACTGTGCACATACGCCGCCTGCCTGCAGCATGCACAGCGACAAGATGGACAGTCCAAACTCGCCGACCCGTGCTCACACGAACAGCACCCCCGCGGCTCCAGCTAACGCCCCCACGATTCCCATTCTCCTCGCCGGCCCGTTGACGCCCACCGGCGCCGCGGCAGCGCTGCTCTGCGTCGCGGCTCCGCTACCACTCGCACTTGCACTCCTCGATGTCGAAGCACTCGCACTCGCACTCGCACTCGCACTCGCACTCGCACTAGCCGCGCTGCGCAACGACATCAAGCTGGTCACGGCAACAGCGCTCGACCCCAGACTTGTCGGGGTGCTCAATTCGGTGGGGATCGTAGTGCTGAACTCGCCCGTGACAGGGACGGCAGGGGCCAGCGCCGTCGTGGCCGGGGTGCTGGAGCCGATGACGTTGGTCAGCGGCTGGGCGCTGCTGCCCAGCAGGCTCTCTGCGCTCGCGGCGACGGTGAAGGGCTGGGATTGCGCCCACGACGAGGACTGGGCGGTGGCCAGGCCGAGGAGGGAGAGGAGGGCTGTGTTGCTGACGAGTGTGGCGCGCATCTTGGCGAGTTTCGAGGTCCGGGTTGGTCCGGGCGGGTACTTTTTCAATTTGCGGGGTGTTTGGGATGGCGGGGGGTTCTTCTGGGTTGTGCGTCTTGCGTGCAGAATGGGGTTCTGGATGGAGGGTTGTAGGACCTGGATCGTGGGGAGCAGGCAGCTGGACATGGCGACAGCCTTGTGGCGGCGATATGTTTAGCGGCTTATCGATACGAGGGGGGTACGTCGTCAGCTCAGCCGTTCAGTCTGTCTGCAAGTTGTCTGATTGGCGCAGGCTGGCGCTCGTGTTCGTTCGTGTCCCGGCTAGGCGTAACCGTCAGGCTAGGGTCGACAGCGGTCTGCTCAGGTCAAAAATAATGCAATGTGCACGCTGCGTAAGAAGGTCTTTAGCATGGCCGCTGCCCCCAGCGCACCCCACAATGTCCGAGATCATGGTTGCAGCCGCACGCGCTTGACGTGGATCATGTCAGGCGCGGCGATCAGCTTGGTCGACGGGTGAGGTGTGAGACGGAGGTGTGAGACGGAGGTGGGAGAGGGAGGTGGGAGATGGAGGTGGGAGAGCGTTGGTTGGTGAGGAAGCTCGGCTCTCCAACGCCTCCCGCGTTGGTCTCCGAAACCGGCTAGTTGGAGCCGAGGGGACTGTCAGCATGTGCGAGCGGTTTTGTTCCTTGAAAGAATGTGTACAAGGACGAAATGGTGTCTGTACCATTGAAACGGTGTCTGTACCATTGCACCCGTGGTGACGACAACGAGGGAGCTGTTCGTGCCTACTCGGACGAATACGATGAACTCTATTCAAAGGACAAGGGGTAGGTTGATTCAAAGGACAAGGGGTATGTTGATTCAAAGGACAAGGGGTATGTTGATTCAAAGGACAAGGGGTATGTTGACTATCAGACTCCGGTAACGATGCCATGCAGAGCAGGGCAATGCCACGAGCCTTTTTTTCTTTCCAAGAGGCCCGTCTGTGTCTGCGGCTTTTTACCTTCCATTGGCAGCGTCAGCGAGGGCCTCCAATCGGCTCACCAGTCTTTTCACGCCGCTCCATTCTTCGCTCCTCGTCTCAACACCGCCGAGATCCTGGCCGACTTCGAATATCGTGACGACGCCGTCCATACCACCGACCGCAAGCCGACGGCCCTCGTTCCTCTCCCACGCCACCTTGTTGAGACTGCGATTCATCATGCCACCGCCGGACGGCATGTTCGCAAAGGCGCCTCTCTTGTTGTCGCTCGGCTTGACAGACTGGACAGGGACTTCGGTGTCGACGTTCATGTCCCAGACCTCGAGGGAGCCCGCGCCATCGACGAGGGCAAAGACAGAGGGCTTGACGGGCGACCAGCGGGCGTCGTAGACGAGGTCTTCGCGCGCAATGTCCAGGACGGGCGCGACTTGCTGGGCGGCGCCGGGCTGGGTGGCGTTGCCCGTGCCGGTCGCGGCTGGGGGGCGGACCTTCCAGAGCTTGACGCTCCAGTCCACGCTCGAGGAGAGGACGAGGTCGCCGAGGTCGATCTGGCCCTTTGCTGGGTGGAAGTCGAGGCTCATCACCGGCGCAGCGTGGCCGGCGTCTTTTCCTCCGTACTTGACGCGCCCGTCGACACCTGCTTTTGCGCCTGCGCGATCGTAGCGGTGACAGGCGTAGATGGAGCCCTCCTCTGTGCCGGCGAGGAAGTAGGTGGGGTCTGACTGGGGAAAGGCAACGCACGTTACTGCCATGTCGTCCGTCTTTGCGGGCGGAGGCGAGGTGAGTTCAAGGAACTCCTGAGGCTGGGTGAGCATGTCGACGGACCAGCCACAGACGACGCCGTCTGTTGAACAGGAAATAATATTGTTTGCGTTTTGCGTTCCCACCACGTCTATCGAGTAGACGGGATGTGTGTGTCCGGATCCCGTCAGCGGTGTCTTCTGCACTGGGGCCGACTTTGCGCGCGTGTCCCACAGCAAGACCTGGCCCGAGTAGGCGCCGCCGATGATGATGTTTGGGTGGAACGGGGAGAATTTGGCGGTGAGGATATCCGACTGGGCGTGGAAAATGTACTCGGGCCGGTCGTGCATGTGCATGTTCCAGACCTGGACCAGACCATCTGGATCGTGGGGGGCAGACGGGTTCTTGGTGTAGGACGCCAGGACGAGTTCTGGGTGCTGTGCAGACGTCAGCCAGGCCTCGACAGGAAGCTCGAGCGCACTACCTTTGTTGAGAAGCCCAGGTCCGAGACCATTCTCTTCTTGCTCCATCGCTCGTCCCAAAACTGGGCAACCTCCTTGACGCGCCTGCCCTTCTTGCCGGTGCTCGTGCCATAGCCCTCGTCCTCGTCGTCCATGTCGACACCGTCGAGGGCGTAGTCTGCCAGAATATCGTACCCCAGCTGTTGGTCCAGGGCGCGCTCCAGGACCTTGGTGCTCCGCTCGACGAAGCCAACAAAGTCTTCCGAGCTCTCGACCGCAGCCAGCTCCTCGTCGGAGAGAGGCTTGAACGGGAAGTTCTCGGCGAACCCGGGCAGGGTGCCGTCCTGGGGCGCCTGCTGCGCAGCCTTGATCTCTTCCTCAATCTCCCTCCGCAGCTGGCTGCGGATCTCGTCGTCGCGCTCTTTCTGTCTTCTGCTCAGGCGCTTGCTGCGCGGCGAGCGCGTCGGGCTCTCGTCGCGCTCTGTGTCGCTCCCGCCGGCCCGGCGCGACTTTGGCGGGCTCCAGTCTATGCTCGCCTGCACGCCCTTGCTGTATGTGATGACGTCCTTTTGGGCGTTGGCCTCGGCGGTGACGGGGGCGTCGCCGGCGCTCTCGTAGACGGTGGCGAGCGGGCCAATGGATATCGTCTGGGTGCCGCCGTCGACCATGCGAGTCTGCGCGGGCGAGACGGGCTCGTTGTCGCTGCTGAGCTGGCTGGCGCTCACGACCGACGTGGGCCGGGTTGCGCGTGCGGCGGGCGAGCCGGGCTGGGTCGAGCCGGGCCGGCGGTCGCCCAGGATGTTGTTGATGAGGTGGTCGACATCGGCCCTGCGGTCGAGGTCCTGGCTGCGGCGCGGCGTCGGGGACAGGACCTGTGCAGCGTGTCAGCGTGTCAGCGCGGTTGCACGCACGGCGTGCAGTTGGGCGGCGCACCTCGCCCAGGGGACTCGCAGCGGTGGGCGGCCTGCTCGCGCCGGCCTGCTCGCGCCGCAGTTCGCGCTGCCGCTTGAGCTCGGCGAGCTTGGCCTTTTTTGCCTGGATTTCGGCGCGGCGCTGCTCAAACGAGGACTCCATCGTCGGCCGTCGACGTGGTGCCGGGCGGGGAGGGGGGGCGCGCTCGCGGCGGATACTGGCGGGTGCTGACGGGTGCTGGCGACTGCTGGCGGATACTGGCGACTGCTGGCGACTGTTGGCGACTGTTGGCGACTGCTGGCGACTGCTGGCGGGTGCTGGCGACTACTGGCGACTACTGGCGGGTGCTGACGCGACTGCTGCTGCTGCTGCTGCGGTGGAGGCGAAGGCTATAAACGGCACGTGGAGTCAGGCCCTGCACCGCTCCCAGACATGGCTCCTCTTGGGAAGGAAAAGAAAGAGGGAAAAGAAAGAGGGAAAAGAAAGAGGGAAAAAAGTAACAAAGCACAAAGCACGCGGTGCTGTCGTCGTCGTGCCTGACTAAGAGCCCGGTCCGTGCGCACGTCCGGCCGTGGAACTGCAGGAATCTCGTGAAGCTGCTGCTGCGCGACCGCCGTGTCTCCTCCGCCCAACCCCATCAACCCGCCCTCGTCGCCGTCGCCTCGCCCCTCCCGGACCCCAAACACCGGTGCATCAGCCGTCGCCTGACCCGGAATCTCAGCCATTGGACTCGCCCGACCCGCGCAATCGCTCCCCGCCCGCCCCAGCACGACAGCCAGCCGCCATGTCCACCTCGGTCGGTGTCAATGTACGCTCTCCATCGGCCGCGGCCGCCGGCGAGACGCGCCCGTGCAGCGCTGCCGGCGGCGCCCACCAGCCCCAGCGCGCATGCTAACCGCGATGACGCAGGTCCTCCGATGGTCCGCCCTGGCCACGGGCCTCTTCTACGGCGCCTACACGCAGCTGTCGATAACGGCGCGTGACAAGCTCACCGCCGAGCAGCACGCCTACAGCCACAGGGAGTCGCTGATCCGCCAGGCCAAGGCCGAGTGGGCAAAGACACACCCCCAGGAGCAGTCCACGCCCTCTGCCGGTGCGTCCCCCCTCGTCCACGGGTCTAGCCGGGCCACGGCCGCCGTGGTGAAGACGACTGCTGACACATTGCAGCCAAGGCCGACGCCAAGGACCCCAACGCCGACCTGAACGCAGTCCTCGGCATCACAGACGCGAAATGAGGCCCCTGACGGCGCGTGGAACCCCCCTTCTTCCCTTCACCATGGACACAATGGCCGACGGAAGCCAAGAGGCGCGATGCGGGGGAGCAGTCCATGCTGGTGCGAGATGGTCTGGTGCGACATGGTCTGGTGCGAGATGGTCTGGTGCGACATGAGCCTCTTGTATTGCGTACCATCTGTACAGTATAGACGGCCCTTGTCGCCTTTGAAATACACATGCTTACTTTCAGCTGTCACTTGCTATTCACTGTCACACGCGGCCCAATCAACGTAAAAGTCGTCGTCATTCGTTGCGGACAGAGGTAATGTATACATCGCCAGCCTCCAAGTGCACCATACGCCCAACGCACACATGAACTGCAAGCTACAGTATACTGCGAGCAACAACATACTCGAGCAATGACATACTCGAGCAATAACATGCTCAAGCAATGACATGCTCAAGCAATGACATACTCGAGCAATGACATACTCAAGCAATGACATATTCGAGCAATGACATACTCTAGCAATGACATGCTCAAGCAATGACATACTCAAGCAATAACACTGCAAGCAATAACACACTGCAAGCAATAACACACTGCAAGCAATAACACTGCAGGCAACAGCACACTGCAGGCAACAACAAACTGCAAGCAACGCACTGCAAGCAACACACTGCAAGCAACAACACACTGCATCAATCCTGGATTCCCGGCGCCGGCGTAGCCACTTCCATCTTCACCCCCACAGACGGCGCCTCCAGCGCCTCGCTCTCGGCCTCGTGCAAGGCGCCCCGCGGCGCCCGCCGTTCCCTCTCCCTCTCCCTCTCCCTCTCCCTCTCCCTCTCCTCGTAGTGCACGTACTCCTCAGGCCGGCCGCTGTGTCGCTGCGGAGGCCCGCGCTCGTACACGTACGGATCGTGGTACGGCTCGTAACGAACGGGAACCGCTCCAGCCTGCCGGTACTCGCCCATGTACCCCCGCGGCTGCCGGTAGTCCCCCCGCACACGCACAATCTCGTACTCCGCCTGCCCGTACCCGTCGTCGTAGTACACCGGCGGTGGCGGCCCGCGCGCATCCTCGTACCGGTGGTAGCGAGGCGGCGAGAAGTGGTGTGTACGCTCTTGCACAGACACGTACCCGCGCGGCTCTGGTCGCGCCGGCGGGTAGAAATGCTCAGGCGATGAGGCACGGTCGACGCTGCCTTCGCGCGAATAACTTGCTTCGTATGCGCGATCTCGCTCCGTCGTCGGCTGCGGCGTCTCTGCTTCGTCAATACGACGACGCTGTTCTTCGTACCTGCTTCTCTGCGACCGAGTGATGCTCGGCGCGCGACCGTACGGGTCCTCTCGAGCAGCGACGCTCATGTACCGGTAGTACCGAGACGGCATCCGGTGCTCCTGTGGCCGGTCCCTGCGCCGCTGAGGGCCAGGCCGGCGAGGAGGCGGAGGCCCCTGAGACTCCGGTGTAGCTATGTGGCAGCCATTTGGAGCGTCGTATCTTGAGTGATTGGAGACCGTGGAGGGTGGCTGCTGAGGCGCCGCCAGTGGTCGAGCCTGTATCTCAGCTTCATTCGAAGGTGGAGGAAAGCGACCATTCTCCTCGCCTTCGTGAGCCGACACTGGAGGCCCTGAATCCGGTCGTGGAGGCCGAGGCTGCTCTTCGCTTGCAGGAGGCTGCTTAGGAACAAACTCTTCAAGGAAACGATCAGCGGCTGATTGACCACGAGGCCCGCTAGCCTCCCGCGGCCGAACCTCAGATGGATACTGGCCATCGTCCTCGGCATATCTGACTTGGCGCAGATGGGCGTTGTACTGCCGGCTGTGTCCTCCTTCGTGAGGGCGTGCATACACAATTTCCTCCCTGGGAGGGCCATAGTAGCTGTCTGCCTCACGGAATCCGGTACGGCGTCCAGAATAATCATCGTAGACAGGCGCCGCGTGGTAGACTCGAGGGCTGGGAGCGTACTCGACGTACTCGCGACGCGGATACCCGTCCTCTGGTTGATCTCTTGCCAGCTATTCACAACTCATCAGCGCGTCCTTTGCCCTGTGTGTGCCAAAACTTACGTAGTATCTGGACTCGCCATAGTAGCGCTCCCCACGCTGCTCGGGTGGGGTGTTGCGATGGGAACGCTTCCTACTCCCCAAAACTGGAGCTTGGCCTGGCCGGCCGGAGGCAGTGGACGGGCGCTCGGGAGCATCTTCGTCCTCGGTAGGGTTCAGTGGCCCCGGAGACTCGGTGCGTGACGCACCCGCGCTCAGACCTGATCTCCCCAAGCCAGCACCTGGTGTTCCGCTTGCACGAAGGGCATCGTTCATGGGCCCGGAAGAGGTAGGCGAGGTTAGTCCGTCGTCTTCAATCTTGCCAATCGTGGGCAGGGGATGAGGGAACAGGCTCGGGAAGGTGGTCGCAATCATGAGAAGCTTCTCATCATCCATCCCTGGCGCGTGAATGAGTCCTGAGATGATGCGCTCGCTGGGCAGTTGGATCATGTCCTCTTTCCAGTCCAGTGCAGTAGGAGCCTGGCCGTAACCGAGACCTGAAGGATTGGTGGCTGGATGCTGATGCTGGGAACGGAAATGTTGGAACAGAGTCAGAACTGTATACGTTCTTCTCTCCTCCAGCTTAGTGTAATAGGCGCCAGTGAGATGGTGGGTTGACTGAAGCTGACAGGCCTTGCAAGATAGGCCAGGTGCATTCTTCAGCGCCTTTGATATCTCGTGGTTGGAGAGCGCCCCGATGAAGTGGTTCAGATTGGGCTCGTAGTTGAACTCGACGTGGAACTTGGAGATGACGCGATGCAGCAACACATAGATCCGGAGGCTGTTTGGCATGTCCTTGATACCAGAGGTCTGCTTCCACATATCCTGGGCCAATCCAATAATGGTACTTACTTCCTTGTCGAATGAGGCGGTACTGTGACTTGCGTCCTCGCCATTCGATGCAGCATCAACGACGCCATGAGGAGGTGGAGCCATATCGGGAGGTGGAGCCACGGCAGGATTGATTACAGCGGGGGACGGCATGTACGAAGGGCCGCCTGGATGGTGGCCGTATCCGGGAGGTCCCATCGAGTGGTACGGATGTCCCTCGGTTGGGGCACCATAGACCTGCGAGTAGTCGTATGGCACCTGGGGCGGAGCATACGGACCATTGTAGCCGGCATACTGGTATGGGCCTGGACTTGCTTGGGGCATGTGAGGGGGCATATGCGTTGGCATGTGGGGAGTGGAGGTACCTGCGCGCGAGAATCCGCTGTAGAATCCGCCGTACCCTGTTGCGTTAGACGACCCGTGGGGAGCATGTTTCATTGAAACGGGATCCGGGTGGAAGGGCGTTTCCTCTGGCCACTCGGCTTCTCTCCAGGCAACGACGATGTTGCCGCTGCTGAAAGCATTGGTATGCTTTGCCCCGTAGTGCTGGATGACACCTTCAAATCCAAATAGCCGGGTGGCTTGATCGCAGTCGTTGCCGTGGCAGAGGAACAACTCTCGGCGATACTGTTCTGTCAGGGGTTTGAGCTTATTGTCGTATACCCACTTCATGTTCTCCAGTACCAAGGGCGGTCTGCGGTCCGAGAGGTCACCTTCCATCGAGGGCTGCAGCGCAGCGGTCGACGCATTCGCCTCCTCGTAGTACTTTCGCCTTAGATGTACGAGGAGATCGGCGGCAAACTTTAGGCTGTTCTCGTACGTAAGAGCTTTGCCACGGTCCCAGTCGCTGTTGATGAAGTCGTCCGCAATGACGCTGAGCCTGTCACGGATCGGTCGTTGGGATTCTTCCCACTCTCGATCCATGGCCTCCTTTGCTTCCTTTGAGTTGGCATCCTGATGACGGCGGTCTGTTGTTTTTGTCGGAAGCAAGGCTACACGAGACACGTGGTCGGCTTCGGCTTGTTGGGCAGCAGGCAGATTGGCGATTAGGCGAGGCTGCAACACGCTCCAGGCATAGTCGTTCATTGGCTGCGATATCTGGATGGCTGCCTTGAACGCATCCATGTGGCGCAATATGTTTGGAGCAATGGGCGGCTTCATCTGCTGGCATCGGCGCTCTATGTCCGTTTTGCGGGTTGCTTTGGCCTCGTTGGCATCATGGAGGTTCCTCTGCTGGTTCGGCTGAGCGCTTCCTGTGAGTCCAGGCTGGGGAGTAAAGACGTTTGGGGGGATGGTCAGAGGCCTCTGATGCGCGAAATGCGTGTTTGGCGCTGCAGCTGTTAGGTTGGGCATCGGAGCGGTGTTTGTGACACGTCTGACACGGCTGCCACGCATGACAGCAATCGAGATGTTTGGAGAGTACTTACTTGCAGGCTTGGCCGGGACAGGTGCATGGATCACTGGGGATACTGTTTGGCGCTGTGGAGACGTTGATGGTTGGTGCCGTGGAGACGTTGATGGTTGGTGCCGTGGAGACGTTGATGGTTGGTGCCGTGGAGACGTTGATGGTTGGCGCCGTGGAGACGTTGATGGTTGGCGCCGTGGAGACGTTGATGGTTTGCGTCGTGTGGCTGCGAGTGAGCGTGTAGTGGCTGCGAGTGAGCGTGTAGCTGGGGCCGCAGGCTTCGTGCTGTCCTTGTCCGACCAGCGCTCCCATGCCTCTGCCAACTTCATGCGCTGCTTTCCTCTGGCGTCGAGGCCCTTTGCCCACTCCTCGGCAGCGGCAGGGCCAAGAGCGAGCGCATCGTTCATTTCTTCGACTATATCCGCCACATGCTTCTTGTAGTAGTATTTGCCAATTTCGACACTGACCGGTAGTGTGCTCGACTGCAGAGCATGCGCAGGTATGTAGTTGTGGTCGGCAGTGATGAGCGCAAACGGCAGCGCAGGCCGGAGGGCAGACGCGGCGGAGAAGAGAAGGCTGGCATCCTGGGGTCGTCAGCGGGCGAGGAGACGGATGTGCTTACAACTCACGGTCTGGCATTGCTGCATCAGACAAGGCCCGCACGCTCTTATGCCAAACGGCCAGACAGTGCGCACGCCAGCGTCACCGGGGCCTTGCTGCCACAGCTTCTCACCGGGAACAGCAGCATTCAGCTTGTTACAAAACTGGCACCTCTTCGACCAGACGAGCTGCCACATGTGCAGCTCAGCAAGGCCGGGAAGGGGCTTTGGGGCATTGGAGTGGTACGCATTGCGGGCAGAGGCCCACAGCGCTTCAGACAGAGAAATATGCAGACAGCCGTTCTCTGGTCTGGCCAGAGACAGGTCAGACACGTCTGTGAGATAGGAACGAAAGCAACGATTGACTTGAATCAACCGACCGAGGTCTGCAAGCGAACAGAAGGAAAAGATGTGCTGCCACACAGCACGTGGCAGCGCTACGCAGTTCCCCAACCGAGTTGAGAGGGAAGGAGAGCTGTGGGCGTGCAGCTTGCGCTTCTTGTCTGCAGCAGCAGCAGAAGCAGAAGAAGAAGAAGAAGCAAAAGAAGCATCTTCGGCCTTGCGCTTGCCAGCCGACGCGTCGGTCTGCATCTGGCCTGACGGTGCGTCCAGCTTCCCTTCAGACTCGTAGAAGTCGACTGAAGACGCGACGCTCGACTCGCGCTGGTACATGGCAGCACTGGCGTCGCCTGGCGAAGCTCACAAGAGCCGCGACGACGATGCGCGACAGGCTGCACTCATGTGTCGACGGGTGTGGAGACGGCGATGGGTAGGGATGTGCAGCCTTGGGACGTCGGGCGCGACAATGGATCCGGAGTGCGGAGCGGTACTGCGGTGCTGCACAACAAACAGCTGGTTCAAGGGTCCAAATCCAAAGCAAACGAATATGCACGAATGTGCGCGGAAAAGGGCCGAGCAGGCTGTTTGAAGAGGGAATCGTGGTGCTGTCCGGCTGTCCAGCCTGCTGCTGTCCCAACGTGGGCGATCAGACGGAGCTCGAGGTCCTGCTGCGTTCGTCTGCCAGCCAACCAGCGGGTGAGGCAAGACAGAGCTGCCTGAGGTGCCGACCGCCCGCGCTGCCGAGTATGACGACTGCGCTTGGCGGCGGGCCCACGGGCTTGCGGCCTGCGCGAGGCTGAGTGCAGGCACGGTGCCCGACTGCACCGTGTACATAACAGTACGTAGGTAATTATACTTTGTACGCCTTCCCACACGAGCAGCCGCACAGAGCCCGGCCCTACCCACTGCGCACACAGCGAGAGCACTCCCACCCAGCACTCCCACCCAGCACCCTCACCCAGC